AACGGCCGACTAGCGGAGCAACCTTGCTTAATTAAGGAGCGTTCGCTTAACCTAGCGGATAGATTCTACTAGGGCCGGAGCGAGTAATCTTAAGAGAGAGGGCAATTGCCTACTACAATCGTTCCTCCTTATCCTCCTTAGTTAAGTCTAGGATCTTAGCTTCTTAAATGCCCTATAATAGCTACTAGCTTAGACTACTATTTTAAGAGGAACTAGAAGTACTAGATAATCTCGTCTTAGTAGAAGAGATAGAGATAATCGACACCTCTCTGCTCCTAGTATTATTAAGCTAACGACGCCGAGATGCCGGAGTAATAGAAGGGCTAGCTTAAGGCTTCTTCCTAGGAGTCTATATCTTCCTGCTCTTAACTATAGTTTAGTCGGCTAAGTTACACTCCTACTAATAATTGCCCTAGAGACAATTACTATAAGCTCCCTACTTAAGTCCTCTATAACGACACTTCTTAAACGGGCTAATCGTGCGGGCCTTATAACGGTATCTATAAGCCTGCTTAGGCGCTCCGCCTAGCGCTTAAGAAAAAAGAGAGCCTAAACGCTACTATAGTAAGTAGTTAGGCATATAGCCGATATTCGTATTCTATTCGATAGGGCGAAGGTCGTCTAGCTAATATTAGTATAAGGCCTCGATAATAGCGCCTAGCTTATAGATTTCGTACTTCTTAAGGCGCTCTTATAGCCTAACGCGCCTATTAAGAAGGATTAGGATAAATATTACCTTACGTATCTAAGTATCGGTAATGCGTAAGAAGCCTAGGACACTATCTAAGCTTATCGTACTCGGCTCTAAGAGAGTTACTAACCGTATAAATAGCCGCTCCGAGGTAGCTACTAGATTAAAACCGCCTTAACTACGAGGCCGAAAGACTAAGAGACTATCGTATTACTTACGAAAGCTTCGGGGGAAGTTCTCTAAGGAGCGGTTTAAGAGGGGATTAAAGGACGATATCTTATTATTTCCCTAGCGAAGGCTCGCCTTACTTACTWRACCGCTAACTTAATCGAACCYRAACTTCTYRTATTCTATACGAGTAGCTATCGCTAYCGCCGGAATTAYRGGYACTAGCTTCCGCTAAACGCTTATACTAYRGCTTAGAGTRCCGTAACTAGGAGATTAAGGACTTAAAGCTTCCTTAATYRYCTATAGTTCCCTCTCCTTCCGGAGATCCGCCTTAGAGAGACTTAGACGTAGCTTAGAAGTTACCTTACCTAGAGATAAGCYTARAGTAGCGCCTAAGTYRTAAGAGCGTAGAGAGCGCCTTAAGCTTATAACGATATCGCTAGTATTCGCCGTAGGTCGCTTTCCGAGTAATTTCGCGCTTARRGTAACTAGCGGGTCTTAACCGTTACCCTTCTTRCCCTTATYGCCGTCGTCGCTCTTCTTAGATCCCTYCGCCTAGCTACGAGTTATAYGCYTATCGCCTATAGCTTCTTAATATATATAGCTAGTATAAGAGAAGACGTGTATAATAGATAGAGGAAGGGGAAGTATTAATTAAGGGACTTAATTAGGGAAGGGGAAGATAGATATAGATGCGGAGGAGAAGGTTAGTAGATTAAGAGGGCGAGTTAATATATGCCCTAGCAGCTCTTAAGCTACCGGATATGCGTTACGCCTCGACGCTCCCGTACCCCGTATACTACTTCCGCTCCGCTATACTATAACTACCTACTTAAGCCGAAGTAGCTAATCGTATACGCTATATACGTACTACTCTAAGCCGCTAGCTATATAAAGGATATAGCTTATAGTAAGGTAGAAGTGAACCCTACGTTTAAGCCTTTTACTTAAGCGATAGGGCTCTATAAAATAACCTATAGGGACCCCTTAGGTCTCTTAAGTAACTCCTATAGTTTTAAGGGCAAAACGACTTAGTAGGGGAGGATGTTCTTAAAGTCTCCACTTAAGAACTAAGCATGTATGCCTAAGGCTTAAGTAGCTACGTAACTCAGGCAGGACTATATAGCCGAGGGAATTTTCCCTCAAGTAGATTCAATCAGAGTTCATCCATTTTAGAACAACATCGCCTATCCCGGCTTACTCACCCTGCTTTCTTCGCATTTGTCGATGCCGTGCCACATGGACTGTATGCGGTCGAGATTCGCAAGCGGCAGAACAGTGAATTTGCAGCTTAGACGACTTGGAAGGGCTCTCTCTCTCTGCTCGTACGACGCATATTCATTTCATGACGGCTGATGACAATGGTGGAAACAACGCCGCCAGGGTCTCACCAACACCTTGTCCCTGCGATGTTCGGGCCATCCGGTAAAGGGTTCAGCGTACCTTGGTATGAATCCTTGAACGTGAGGCTGGGCATGAGACCATCATCAGGGCTTCCCAGGCTCTGTGTATCGTCACTGTCGCGCCGACGGCAGATACACATGTATTAACGGTTCGAGCAGAGTAGACAAGAATAGGCGTTTATAAATTCGTACTCTACATGCCATGCCGAACGCCCTGCTCACAACTAACGGCCAATAGGCTAACTCGTCTTGATGCACACAATTACGAGCTGGGGACAGCCATGCTCCCAGCACGCGGACGCTGAATGTGCGGCTCATCACTCTCGTACTTCTCCCAGTTATCCAAAATGTTTCCGATGCGTGGAGATTTGGCTACAAAGCTGTTAGTATAAAGCTCGATGATGCAATGATATCATTGTACTTACTCAACTTGTACACATCCTCAAAGTACTCTCTGGTGAGCTCAAACGGCTTGGCCGTGACGTTGGGGATGTACTTCCCGATGAGCTTGCTGGGATCRATGCTGGTCTTGTGGATCTTCTTGAGCAAGAACGACCGGAACGGCTTCACACCAGATCGGAGGAAAGTGCTGTGGAATGGCACATCGATACCTTTTAGTGGGATGGTGGCAAAGCCGCGCTGCAGGTCGAGCGGCTTTGGCTTGCCCTCCGTCTGCTTCGCGCACTCCTTGATGATCTCCACGAGGTGAGCCTTGACATCCTCCAAGGACAGGGTTTGCATGAGTTGCTGGATGTCGACCTTCTGTGCCTTGAGGTAGTTTGTCACGCCAGTGAGGGTATCGAGAGCGCGCAGATCACCAGCACAGACGTACTGCATGTTCTGAACGTTCAAGTTGACAATTTCCAGAAGCCAGCCCGTAGCCTCGGCGATGTTCTCAACAACATATTGCAGAGCCTGCTCGTTGAATGTCTTGCTGATGCGGGATGGGTTGACGGCGCACATGGAGTAGTTGGAGCGGCCAGCCGCATCACGCTCGACAGCGACCTGCATGGTCAAACCACGGTAGAAGACGACCGACACCAAACTCTCGATTGGCATGACTTCAGCGAGCGCAGCAAGAGCACTGTACTCTCCCAAAGAGTGACCAGCGAAGCTGCTGTCGCGTTGGACCAAGCCCTTCGATCGCATGTCCTCGAACGAAGCCTTCTCCATCAAAGTCAAAGCTGGCTGAGTAAATTGCGTTGCAGAAAGAAGACCAGTAGGCGAGCGGTAGGTGTAGGAGGTCGTCTCCTCCGTAACCTCCTTGAAGATTTTCTCTGACTTGATGCTGCCATCAGCAGCAACGGTCTCGAAGTTCATGTCAATGTAATTCTTGCGAATGGCCTTGCCACGAGCACCACCAAAGTGGATGGTAAGCTCTTTGGGGTTGTTCTTGACGATGTTGGTGATTGCGAAACCTGCAGTTTGTTAGTTCTGGGTGCGTGGCGGACAAGAAGTATGACTCGAACTCACCATAGTTGTCGAGGAAGTGCTTGTCGGCACGATCCCAGACCTCCTTCGCAACCTCGCTGGAGCCGTACAGGTCCATTCCCATTCCCTGCTCTTGAGAACCTTGTCCGGTGAATACGTACGAGGTCACAGGCTGTTCGACTTCGGCCTCTGCGAGCAAAACCTTCTCTGCGGACTTCTCCTCGGTCTCAGGCTTCTCGGCCTCGATCTTGATAATCTTGCGACCGGCGACCATGCCCACGTGCTGCAGCTTCACCTCAATGGTGTCGTCAGGTAGAACCATGCCGACAAGTGATGCGTGGAAGCTGCGAACACGACCGACGTTGTTCTCGGCGGCCCATGTCTCGACAAGACTACGCACGGCCGCGCTGGAGTACATGCCGTGAGTAATGGTGCCAGGAAGACCAGCATATTGAGAGAATACRCGAGAAACGTGAATGGGGTTGTAATCGCCAGAGACACGAGCATAGGTTTCGTTGGACGAAGGTGCCTTCAAGATTAGAGGAGTCTTGCCACTGAGCGGGATCGGGTTCTCAAACAACAGCGGCTGGTCGAGCGCAGAGCCGTTGCGGGTGAGGTAGTCGAGCACAGGGTTGCCGTAGGAGTTTCCAGCGTCGTATTCAACAGAGGCGATCTTGACAATCTCCTTGCTGGGCAGCTCCAATTCGACATTACCAATGGTCTGCACGGACGAGAAGAGCGTCTTGCTCTTGTAGCGGACCAAGCTTTGAAGCCTGAACGTGAGAGTCTGGCCGAGGAGGTCGATGTCGCTGTTCTCGAGCTTGAACCACTCCTTTGACTGAAGGACAGCAACATCCTTGGTGGAGCCAAGGTGGACCTGCATTGGGGTCTCGTCCTTGCGCTGGAAAGTGTTTTCAAAGTCGGTGTATGCGCCCCGGTAGAGGAACTGGCTAGTGACCTCCATAACTGGCTTGCCATCCCGAGTGATGGTGCCACAGACTTCCACCATCTTGCCAGAGTCCTGGTTGATGACGGCGTTGACCTCGGCAGTGGTGTCCAGCACGTCTCCCTTCTTCAACGGAGTGGCACCGGGGATCATGCGGAAGCCGTTGGACAGGTGGACAAGCTTCAGAAGATCACCGTCAATCTTGCGCGGGAAGATGGGCTTGGTAATGGCTTTCCAGCCAACAACAATAGCAAAGTCCATGGGGGCGAAGACCTCCTTACCTGGACGGTCAACAAAGGCCTCGCCAGTGTTTCCTACAGCGTGGACAAAGTCGTTGATGGCCTCGCTCGTAACAGTCGCTCTACCACCATCAAATCGAGAGGTGACTGGAGTGTCGAAAGGACAGGCCTCATCACCGAACCAGATACGGTAGTAGAACTCCTTGATGCGATCGTTTCGTGACTCCATGACTWCGCGGATCGGAGCATATCCTGTCTCTGGGTGGTAGGTGAACCGCAGTGGCAACGCAATTGGCTTTCCAGTGGCGCTGCGATCTTCAATCATGTTGAGAACAATCTCGCCGTTGGCGGCACGACTGACCTCGATGGTCTGGACGTACTGGCTTCCCTGGGTAGGCTCCTTCACACTGATGACGGTCTTCTTAGGATCCCTGGGGTGCGAGATCTCTACCACCATGCCGGGAGTCGGTGCAAATACACGCTGCATTGGGTTGGTCTGATACCGCTGACCCTGGACGAACACATCCGCGGTGAAGAAAGCGTGGCGCCATGTGTGTGCCTTGCCGGCAAGTAGCTGCATCCAGTTCTCGACAGGTGGGAGAGTGGAAGTTGAGACAGCTGACAAGCGGTAAAGCAACTTTTGCTCCGTCTCGTTGATGGTAAGACCCTCGAGGTTGATCTCGTCACTGACTTCGATGAGCTTGCCGCCAAAGTACTCAATCTTTGGGATCTTGTTCACGTCGCCATTGTAGAGATCCTTGGTCAAGCGCTCAATGTGGCCTTCGTGAACACCGTCAAGGATGTCTTTGATGGGCTCGTCAACGATCTTCGAGTACTTGACAGCCATTGGCCCTTGCAGGATGGCAACACGGCCGACGTCTTGGTCAACTACGGCGTCAAGATCTTCAGACTGCCACAGCGAGTCTTTCTTGAAGAAGAACTCGAAAGTGTCGTCGAGGCAAGGCACAAAGGGTGTTGGCTTCTGTCCGCGACGCTGACAGAGGAGTAAAAAGTGCTGGCAATCCTGAGCGTTGATGAGCTGGTTATCAGCCTCGGGGTATGCCTCCAACACCTTCTTCACAGTCTCGAACGGTGCGTCGAGCTCGCTGTAGTTCTGGATGATGGAGTTGGCGCCTTCGACAGATCCAAAGCGCTCCTCAATGCGACGGATGAAGTCACCAGTCAGCCGTGCAAGAGACTTGTCGATCCATCGCTTCTGGTGCTTGACATACATCAAGTCAACCATGCGACGTACAACCTCACCATAAGTCATGTCCTCGAGGTCGACAGACTCACCGGCCTTGTTGCGGCCGAACCATGGCTTCTGGAAATCATCGTTGAGTTTTTGAATGATGTACTCGCGGTTCTTCTTCAGCTCGGGGATACGCTTGGCCTTGTCCAAGCTGAAGATCTTCTGATCCATCTCAGCCCAGAATTTGACACCACGGGTGGCAAGCTTGTGAATAGGCTCGCCCATTTCGGAGCGAACGGTGATGACACCACCAGCGGGGCCCTTGTAGGTCTTTTCCCATTCATGGTCTTCGAGACCCTCAGCATCGACAATGGCTTGCTTTGCCATCTTGGAGGTGTAGCACTCCTTGGCAACCATTACACGGCTTCCAAACAAGACACCGTCAAAGGGCATGGGTGGGTAGCCAAAGTTGCGCGCCCACTCACCGTTGATGTAGGGATATGTGTCTTCCGCACCACCGAATCCAGATCCAGCGATCAAGACCAAGTTCTCGCATCGTCTGATCCTACTGTACATGGACAGAATCGGCTGGTGGAAATCCTCAAAGGAGTGGTGACCACCGCCACGGCCACCGGTCCACTGCATCATGACGGGGAAGTCAGGATTGGCCTTGGCGATGTTGATGACCTGTTGGATAGCCTCGACAGAACCTGGCTTGAAGCTGATGTGCTTGATTCCCAGAGTCTCGATGTACTCTTTGGCGATTTCGATCGAGGGGACACCAGCACCGATGGTAAGTCCTTCAATTGGGACACCTTCAGCGCGCAGTCGCGCAATCATCGGAATCTGCCACTGCATGGCCCGAGGGTTGATGTAGATCAGGTTGATGGTAATTCCACGTCCTGCTGGGATTGCCTTCTCGATCTTGGCAATGGCTTCGGTCATGGTCTTGTCATTGTAGTATCCTCCACCAGCAAGCTCGATTTCATAACCGGCACTCATTGTCGCAGCCACAAAGTCCCAAGGAACAGTGCAAGGGGTCATGCCTGCAACCATGACAGGCGGCAGACCAAGTAGTCTACTCATCTTGGTGTCGACAAACGTTTGATCTGCAGATGTTCGCACAAGCTTGGGACCGAACTCCTTGACCCAATCCACCGCAAACTTGACCGCGTGCTCGGCGTCACGATCAAAGATCTCAGGCTTGTAGCCAACGTCTGTGTTGGATCCATCCATGGTGCCAGCAAGAATAACACGCACGCCGGTTCCATCCTTGTTGCGGTTGGTAAGAACTCCCAGACCAGAAATGCCACCTGGACCGAAGTCGAGGATGTGAGTAGCGTTCGGCATGACCGTGGCGGTCTCCCAGAGAACCTGCTCCTGGCAGATCATCTTCACAAGCGCAGGTGTGATGTTCTCTGCGCCCTGATCGCGAAGATCCTTTCCTGTGTATGTGTGGTATACTGGAATGCCGAGCTCGGTCGCGGGGATGTTGATCTCTGCGAGGTCTGATTCGAGATCCTTGATAGCCTTTACGAGGTACGGGCTGTGGAATGGCGCCGTGATGGGCAGGAAGCGGTTGGTGAAGCGGACCTTGCGGTCTGTGTGAGGAATCCGGGCCTGATCAAGACCAGTGGGGGCCTTGATCTTGCGGAGTTGCAGATTGAGACCGTACAAAGACATTGGCGGACCAGTAACCACAAAGTTGCGTGCACTGTTGACCAGGGAGATGCCAATGTGACGATCCTTTGGCAAATGATGGTTGGTAGTCTCAATGAGCTTCTCTACCGTCTCGCGTGGGAGGTCGCGGACTGTAAGCATGGGTGTAGGGACACCTTCGCCGGCATCATTCGAATCCTGCAGAACGTTTGGAGCAAGAGAAGTTCGTGGGTAAGCTTGCTGGCTGCGGGCTCCAATCCAGAACAGGATCGTCAGGGCGTTCCTGGCCTGCTTATCGAACGTTTCCCAGTTGGATGAGGCCGCAATGGCAGCTGCAGTGACCACACCCTGCGAATGACCAGTGGTTCCCGAGAGTCTGTCTCGTACATGGCCTGGGTGGGTGCCGAGAACTCTGCAGGTGACGACGTAATGTGCCAGCTGTGTAAGTCCGATGAGAGGAAAGCTCACAGGTGCAGAGACGAGGTAGTCGGTGTCTGGCTGAGAATCGAGGTTGTCCAGCCATCGCATGACATCCAAGCCCTTGGGATAGCTCTTGAATGCTCGCGGATCGCGTGCCAGGAATTGCAAGTGCTGCGCAGCCACATTGATAAAATCTCTCACAAGCGATGGATATGTATTGTAGATCTCGCGAAGCTCGTCAAAATATTCTTCAATGTTGCCCTGACCTCCAAAAACAGCGTAAATGTACGCGTTCTCATCGGCGGCTTCACGGAGAAGAGCAGACTCGTGCGAACGGACTGGCCGCTTGACCGCAGCTCGTGCGGCATAGTACGATTGCACAGTTATCAGCTTCTTCTCCGAGATGCCAGGCAGACTCGCCGCCACAGCGTGCACTTCGTTACCACGAAGGAAACCACGCTCAAACTCTTGCAGGACCAGCTTCAGCACCTCGCTGAAAAGCTCTGGGTCCTCGCCCTCGTCGACCTCCTTTGCAACATAGCCGATGTAGCGAGCTACCAGTTCGGTGGTGGAAGAAGGCTCATCATCTTGAGCAAGCTCGTCGGTGGGCTCTGGGAGGGTTGCGAGGAAGGCATCTTTGAGCTGTGAGGCGTTGAAATGGAGGGCGGTGGGTATTAAAAAGTTGTATTCGAGCGAGCCGTGGGTGAGAGTGAGAGGTCGAGATACTGCTTGGGATCGTGGCGTAGAGACTCCGGTCTGCGAGCCTGAGGGCCCGGTGCCGTGCATTCTGGGGCGCTGGGATGAAGAGTCGCTCTGATTCCACTGCACATGCGGCGTCAGTTCTTGAGTTGGCGTAGTCATTGCAGTTGATGCGAATTCTGGCGCATTCTCTTTCGTGGGGCTTTTCGACCAATGCCGCTGACGGAGATTTTGCAGAGGTATTGGCAGTTCGATCTTTCCTGATATCGGATGCAATGCCTGGTGCTTTTTTCAATGAGATCGGGTCCACTCACGAATGATCGATCAAAGGTCCTGTCTGAACACTTTCAACCAGCTTTGTGGTATTCAACTGTAGCAGAGCCGCTAAAATTGCGGAGACGGAGACGCCAATGCGGCCGAATGCGAGAGCGACGGGGGAAGCTTGCTTGCTTGTATGCTGCTGTCGCTGGCTCGCAGTAACGAAGGAGGGGAGGGGGAGGAGAGTATACGGGGTGCAAAGGGCGAGAGAATTGGTCAAAGGCAACAATGTGGTTGATCAATGTACCGACGTAAGGTCTTCTCGCGGATCGTTGAAGCGAAAGCTCTCAACCAGCGCCCTGCATATCTATCCTGCATAATCGGGACGAAGCTTTCCACAGCTCTCTGTTCAACACGATTTGAATCTCTGGGTAACTACCTACCGCAGCAACCGGCTTTATTCCCCTGGACCAAGGTCTATGTGCTCCAATGACCATCAATTCCTTCGTCCTGTTTGACTGCTATCTGAACGACATACGTTGCACGTAGATCGGCTAGGCGGTAGAATGGAGGCCTGTACATGTATGTACGTAGCCCGTGCGATCGATTCTTAAAAATCCCCAACAAGCGTAATCAACACATTTTCCGGGGTCGCTCGGAAGAGAGAGTTGGATGGATGGGTGGATAAGAGCCATTGAATGACCCCAACGTCCCTCTCACCCTCTGGGCGTTCTTGTTGTGAAACCCAGTGCATGATCCTGATCCTCAACCGCATTGACATTATTGTTGAATTGGTGCGGGTGGTGAATACAGAGCTCTGCTTTTGCTTCTTGTGCTCGGTCCAACCGCCAATTTTCCATCCCAATCATCTTCTACTCCGTACCTCCGCATAATCAACACTTCACCTACACGCCTTTACATTCAACTTGTGGCGCATGGTTGATGCATACAACTAAGCCGTAATAACCTCGCCCTCGCTTTTCCTCGAACCTCTCAAACACCCGCATTGGGTGCAACCCGCCAGCATGCGCCCCGAAGTAGAACAGGATCTCGCCCACACCCTGTTGGTGGAGCTCCTGGCCTACCAATTCGCCTCGCCCGTACGATGGATCGAGACGCAGGATGTCATTCTCGGGGAGAAGACCACTGAGCGGATAGTGGAGGTTGGCCCAGCAGACACACTGGGCGGAATGGCAAAGCGGACACTTGCAGCAAAGTACGAGGCGTATGATGCCGCACGATCGGTTCAGCGTCAGATTCTGTGTTACAACAAGGATGCCAAGGATATCTACTACGATGTCGATCCAGTCGAGGACGAGCCAGCGGCGCCAGCACCCAGTGGAGGCGAGAGTGCACCAGCCGCTCAGTCTACAGCTTCTGCGGCACCGGCAGCGCCCTCAGCTCCAGCACCAGCAAGCTCCGGTCCTGCGGCATCAGTGCCAGATGCTCCAGTAGGCGCTGTTGACATTGTCCGGACACTGGTAGCGCAGAAGCTCAAGAAGCCCTTTGCCGACATTCCTCTCGGCAAGGCCATCAAAGATCTGGTTGGAGGTAAGCTATGTTGTGGACGTTCGAGAGGAAACGCAGCTAATGTAGGCATTCAGGAAAATCCACTCTCCAAAACGAGATCCTCGGTGACCTTGGAAAGGAATTCGGTTCGACACCAGAGAAGCCAGAGGACACTCCTCTCGATGAGCTCGGTGCTTCAATGCAGGCTACCTTCAATGGCCAGCTGGGCAAACAATCGACATCCCTCATCGCACGCATGGTATCATCGAAGATGCCAGGTGGTTTCAACATCACTGCCGTACGAAAGCATTTGGAAACAAGGTGGGGTCTTGGTCCCGGCCGACAAGATGGTGTGCTGCTTCTCGCTTTGACCAGCGAGCCTGCAGCCCGTCTTGGTTCTGAGAACGACGCAAAATCATGGTTAGATGAGGTCTCACAAAAGTACGCGGCGCAGGCAGGCATCAGTCTCTCAACAGGACCGGCTGCTGGCGACAGTGGAGCAGCGKGCGGTGGCATGATGATGGATCCTGCGGCACTCGATGCGCTTACCAAAGACCAGCGCGTTTTGTTCAAGCAGCAGCTTGAGCTGTTCGCTCGCTATCTGAAAATGGATCTTCGCGCGGGCGACAAGGCTGCTCTCGCAACGAAGCAGAACGAAGCCGCTCTGCAAGCACAGCTCGATCTCTGGAACACCGAGCATGGCGAATTTTATGCTGCCGGAATCGAGCCGTCATTCACTCCTCTCAAGGCCCGTGTTTACGATTCATCCTGGAATTGGGCACGACAAGACGCTCTCACCATGTTCTACGATATCATATTTGGTCGTCTGAAGGCTGTCGATCGAGAGATTGTCTCTCGTTGTATCCTCATCATGAACCGATCAAACCCAACCCTTCTGGATTTCATGCAGTACCACATCGATCACTGCCCTACGGAGCGTGGCGAGACGTACCAGCTGGCCAAGGAACTCGGCCAGCAGCTCATTGAGAACTGCCGCGAAGTTTTGAACGAGGCGCCCGTCTACAAGGATGTCAACGTCCCAACGGCGCCAAGTCTCAAGATTGACCCTCGTGGAAACATGGACTACAAGGAAGCTCCACGTGCAAGTGTTCGCAAGCTTGAACACTATGTTCAAGAGATGGCCGATGGTGGCAAGATTTCCGAGTACGGCAACCGTACCAAGGTGCAGAACGACTTGCAGCGTGTGTACAAGCTCATCCGCCAGCAGCACAAGCTTTCCAAGTCTTCGCAGCTTGAAATCAAGTCGTTGTACAGCAACATTGTGCGCTCTCTTTCCATGAACGAGGGCCAAATCATGCCAACGGAGAGCTCCAAGCCCAGCGGTCACATCAAAAAGGCTCGCAACGGCGGACGTACCACTGGTGCCCGCCCAAGCAAGCAAGGCAAGGTCGAGACTGTCCCCTTTTTGCATCTCAAGCGTAAAGAGGAGCATGGCTGGGAATACAGCAAGAAGCTCACCAGTATCTACCTTGATGGCCTGGAGCAGGCCGCCAAGTCTGGTGTCACATTCCAGAACAAGAATGTTCTCATGACTGGCGCTGGTGCTGGATCCATCGGTGCGGATGTCCTCCAGGGTCTCATCAGCGGTGGTGYCAAGGTGATTGTCACCACTTCTCGCTTTTCTCGTGAGGTGACGGAGTACTACCAGGCGATGTACGCCCGCTACGGCGCACGTGGATCCCAACTGGTTGTCGTACCCTTCAATCAGGGTAGCTTGCAGGATGTCAACGCACTGGTGGAATACATTTATGACGAGAAGAAGGGCCTCGGATGGGACCTAGACTACGTTGTTCCCTTTGCTGCTATCCCAGAGAATGGTCGCGAGATTGACAGCATTGACAGCAAGTCGGAGCTCGCACACCGCATCATGCTCACGAACTTGCTTCGTATGCTCGGAGCCGTCAAGTCACAAAAGGCAACTCGTGGGTTTGAGACCCGTCCGGCCCAAGTCATTCTGCCGCTGTCTCCCAACCACGGCACTTTCGGTAACGATGGTCTTTACTCCGAGTCCAAGCTGGCTTTGGAGACTCTGTTCAACAGGTGGCACTCTGAGAGCTGGGGCAACTTCCTCACTATATGCGGTGCTGTCATCGGCTGGACTCGTGGCACTGGCCTCATGGGCGGTAACAACATCGTTGCTGAGGGTGTTGAGAAGTACGGAGTGCGCACCTTTTCGCAGCAAGAGATGGCCTTCAACTTGCTGGGTCTGATGTCGCCTGCCATCTCCGACCTCTGCCAGACGGAGCCGGTGTTTGCCGATCTCAACGGTGGCTTGCAATTCTTGCCCAACCTGAAGGACCTCATGACGAAGCTCCGTAAGGACATCACTGAGACTTCCGAGATCCGCAAGGCTGTCACCCGGGAGACATCTGTCGAGAACAAGATTGTCAATGGCGAGGACAGCGAAGCCCTGTACAAGACTGTCAAGGTCGAGAAGCGTGCCAACCTGAAGTTTGACTTCCCCAACCTGCCAGACTGGGACAAGGAGGTTGCGCCTCTGAACGACAACTTGAAGGGCATGGTTGATCTTGAGAAGGTCGTCGTTGTTACAGGATTCGCAGAGGTCGGACCATGGGGTAACTCGAGGACCCGATGGGAGATGGAGGCGTACGGCCACTTCTCCTTGGAGGGATGTGTCGAGATGGCTTGGCTCATGGGTCTCATCAAGAACCACAACGGCCCACTCAAGGGCCAGTCCTACTCCGGCTGGGTCGATGCCAAGACTGGAGAGCCAGTCGATGACAAGGACATCAAGCCCAAGTACGAGAAGCACATCCTCGAGCACTCTGGTATTCGTCTCATCGAACCGGAGCTTTTCCACGGCTACGACCCAAACAAGAAGCAGCTCATGCAGGAGATCCAGATTGAAGAGGATCTTGACCCATTCGAGTCTGCCAAGGAGACTGCCGAAGAGTTCAAGCGTGAGCACGGCGACAAGGTCGAAGTCTTCGAGCTGGAGTCTGGCGAGTTCCAGGTTCGCCTGAAGAAGGGTGCCACTCTGCTTATTCCCAAGGCTCTTCGCTTCGACCGCCTGGTCGCCGGTCAAATTCCAACTGGTTGGGATGCCAAGCGCTACGGAATTCCAGACGACATCATCTCTCAGGTTGACCCAGTCACATTGTACGTGCTTGTCACGACCGCTGAGTGTCTCATGTCATCTGGTATCACCGATCCGTACGAGTTCTACAAGTATGTCCACATCTCGGAGGTTGGAAACTGCATCGGTTCCGGTATTGGTGGAACTACGGCCCTTCGTGGAATGTACAAGGACCGCTTCCTAGACAAGCCACTGCAGAAGGACATWCTACAGGAGTCCTTCATCAACACTATGAGCGCATGGGTGAACATGCTGTTGATGTCGTCAACTGGTCCCATCAGGACTCCCGTCGGTGCGTGCGCTACTGCTGTTGAGTCCATTGACATTGGATATGACTGCATTGTGGAAGGCAAGGCACGCATGTGCTTTGTGGGTGGTTTCGATGACTTCCAGGAGGAAGGCTCCTACGAATTCGCCAACATGAAGGCCACCAGCAATGCCGAGGACGAGTTTGCGCATGGTCGTACGCCAAAGGAGATGTCCCGCCCAACTACCACTACCCGCAGCGGATTCATGGAATCTCAGGGTTGCGGTATGCAGGTCATCATGGACGCGAAGCTGGCACTCGACATGGGCGTGCCAATCTACGGTGTTCTCGGCTTCACTGCCACGGCCACTGACAAGATCGGTCGCTCCGTGCCAGCCCCAGGACAGGGTGTGCTCACCTCTGCCCGCGAGCAGCCTTCCAAGTTCCCATCGCCGCTTCTTGACATCAAGTACAGGAAGAGACAGATGGATATGCGCCGCAAGCAGATCAAGAGCTGGCAGGAGTCTGAGCTCATGTACCTCCACGAAGAAGTCTCGGCCATGAAACAGTCTGGCAGCGAGTTTAACGAGTCAGAGTACATGCAAGACCGCGCCAACCACATCGAGCGTGAGGCCGAAAGGCAGGTGAAGGAGGCTCAGCAGAGCTTTGGCAACAACTTCTGGAAGCAAGATTCACGCATCGCGCCACTACGTGGAGCTCTCGCTACTTGGGGTCTGACTATCGACGACCTCGACGTTGCCTCCTTCCATGGAACATCTACCGTCGCCAACGACAAGAACGAGTCTGATGTCATTTGCCAGCAGATGAAGCATCTCGGTCGCAAGAAGGGTAATGCATTGATGGGCATCTTCCAGAAGCACTTGACAGGTCACCCCAAGGGTGCTGCCGGTGCATGGATGTTCAACGGCTGCCTGCAGGTCCTGAACACTGGTCTTGTTCCCGGTAACAGAAACGCAGACAATGTCGACAAGGTTATGGAGAAGTTCGATTTCATCGTCTATCCCAGCCAGAGCATCCAGACCGATGGCATCAAGGCTTTCTCAGTCACCTCCTTCGGTTTTGGTCAGAAGGGTGCACAGGCTATCGGTATTCACCCCAAGTACTTGTATGCTTCCCTTGACCAGGCACAGTTCCAGACATACAAGCAAAAGGTCGAAGCTCGTCAGAAGAAGGCCTACCGATACTACCATGACGGTCTCATCAACAACACCATGTTCCGCGCCAAGAGCAAGTCGCCTTACGAGGATGCCCAGCAGAGCAAGGTCTTCCTCAACCCTGACGCTCGTGTCACCGYTGACAAAAAGACCGCCGAGTACACGTACCCGCAGGTTCCTGTCAAGAAGGTCCAGAACAAGGGCACAACTGAGATGGTCGAGTCGCTGATTGCAGCGAATGCATCCACCAATTCCAACCCTGGAGTCGACATTGAGCAGATTGATGCACTGGACATCACCAACGAGACATTCATCGAAAGGAACTTTACGGATGCAGAGATTGCCTACTGCCGCAAGGCACCCTCTCCCCAGGCAAGCTTCACTGGTAAGTGGAGTGCCAAGGAGGCCGTCTTCAAGAGCTTGAAGGTGGCTAGCCGTGGTGGCGGTGCCGCGATGAAGGACATTGAAATCTCCAATGATGAGTCGGGTGCGCCGACCGTGATTGTAAGTCTGATCTCTCGTCTTGATGTGGTGGATTGAGCTAACTTGTACTTTCAGTTGCACGGTGACGCAAAGGCTGCTGCTGAGCAGTCTGGCGTGAAGTCTACGACTGTGAGCATCAGTCACAGCGACGCGCAGGTTATCGCTGTCGCGCTTTCGGTATTTTAGATTCGGCATGGAWCAAATGTATTACTGTAGTAGAGCGTGTATAAATGGCAGAATATTGTTTTGGTGAAGGCATCGTCTTGCTTCTTCTCATCCATCCCACGCGTCGACGGCCTACTGTTGGGAGAAGGTGATGTTTGATTTGATGGGCTGCCAGTGTTGCCACTGACGATGTTTTGGTGGTTGATGTTGGACTGTCTGGTCGTTGGCCCAGCTGAACGTCGTTCTGAAACGTCCGATGCAGGACATTGAGAGCGGTCAGGCGATAGCACCGTCAGTTACCATATCTCGACGATACTCGACCAGCTGTATGGTTACTGGACTGGAATCTTGTCATAGCTCCCTACCGTCATTGAAAGATCGCGGAGACCCACTACCCAAACCCTGACCCTAATGATGACATCCGCAGCGTTCATTGATCCTGCCGCTTGACATTTGAGTGCACACTCACATCACCACATTGGAAGCAAAACCTTGTCCACAAGTCTATATCATGATGATCATTTCATWTGAAGTAAAGTACACACCACGCTTGCTCGCATGGATCTCCAAAGCCTTGGAGTTGAAAGCRCACGAGACTCCAAACGCCTTTCAAGCATGTCAAGAAGATCAACCCAAGGGGATCAATGACTTTACCCAGCCGTGAGGATCAAGCTCTTCTGTAATCGAGAAGAACGACTCTATTCTTCTTGTGTACAAAACTCAGACAATCAGCCGCCCTGATGAAGATCAACCCGAAGGGATCTAAAACTCTGACCAGCTGTTCCGCTCAATTTCTTGAGAGGAAATCCACCTAGTTCTTGTGAACCAGACTCACGCCCTCGGCCTCCTTGGACAGACCGTACTTCTTCAGGCGGATGGCGTTGATGCTGATGAAACCAGTGGTGTCGCAAGGAGCAAAGTCACCGATCTCGTCCATGGACGCCAGGCTCGCGTCGTACAACTTCTCGGTGTCGGACCAGCGACCGATGACGTTGAACATGCCCTTGTAGACACGGCAGCGAACGGAGCCGTTGACCTTCTTCTGTGACTCGACGATGCTAGCCTCGAGGAACTCGCGCTCTGGAGAGAAGTACAGACCGTTGTACAGCAGCTTGGCGTAGTTGAATGTGACGAATTGATCACGGAGGTTGCGAACCTCGCGGTCCATGACGAGTCCCTCGAGATCGATGTGGGCGCCACGGAGCATGGTGAGACCGGGAGTCTCGTAGCAGCCGCGGGACTTGAGGCCGATGAAGCGGTTCTCAACAATGTCAATGCGGCCCACGCCGTGCTTGCGGGCAATGGTGTTGGCAGTGAGGAAGAGGTCGACGGGATCGGTAGCGACCTTCTTGCCGCCCTCATACTCGAGCTTGACGGGCAGACCCTTCTCGAACGTGAGGGTGAAGTCCTCGGGGGCATCAGGGGCCTTTGTTGGGTCGGTTGTCAACACCCACATGTTGTCTGGTGGCGTGACGTTGGGGTCCTCGAGGATGCCGGCCTCGAACGAGCAGTGAGCCAAGTTCTCGTCCATGCTCCAAGGCTTGCTCTTGGTGCTTGTCACGGGGATGCCCTTAGCGGCCGCGTAGTCAAGCAGGTCGTTGCGGCCCTGGAAACGCTCGTAGAAGATTGGGTCTCTCCATGGAGCAATGACCTTGATGCTGGGCTGCAGAGCATAGAAGGCCAGCTCGAAGCGGACCTGGTCGTTGCCCTTGCCGGTGCAGCCGTGGGAGACGGCGAAGCAGTTCTCCTGCTGAGCCACGGCGATCTGGGCGCGAGCGATGACGGGGCGGGCGAGCGAGGTGCCGAGGAGGTATACGTTCTCGTAGATGGCGTTGCAGGCGATGGCTGGGTAGCACAACTCCTCGATGAACTGGACGCGAAAAGTCAGCATTGGCCTGCAATTGTCCTCGATATTGTCCATGTACTGACCTCGCGACGCAGGTCCTTGATGTGAACGGAGCTGGCACCAATCTTCAGGGCCTTTGCCTCGGCGGCCTTGAAGTCCTCCTCCTGGCCAACATCGGCCATGAAGCACACAACCTCATAGCCCTCATCCTGCGAAGGGGTGTCAGCTTCACTCGGCTTCACGCAAGTGAGAATTTGCATGCCGACATACCAGCATGTACTTGAGGATGCAGCTGGTGTCGAGACCGCCCGAGTAGGCCAAGCACACTTTTCCCTTGCTCATGGTCGCGGTTGTGACGGGTTGTGTTGTGAGGTCTTGGGGTGGTGGTTGGAAGGGTGGTGAAGAGGTTGCTGCAGCTAATGAGGATGCAGTGGTTTTGATGTGTGCAGGGAGTAGAAAACTTCTGCAAGGTGGAGTGTGTGTGGAGTGTGAGTGGATTCGTGGTGAGGATGTGAGTGAGGTGCATGCATTGACAAGAATTATTGTTTTCTTGATGACTCCCAAGCGAGCTCGGAGCACCTCAGTCAGCTTATCATGCAGGGTCCAGCCATTGGCGGACAATTGAGGTGAGCCTAGGATGGAGGGGCAAGGAAACGAGCGACTTCACTTGGCGGGGCCATACACGCAGGCGTCCGACGGCTTGAAAATCACATATGAAAGGTGCGCTCGACGAGTAGCGGAACCGGAACCCCAATGTTTATCAACTCTGCTGCTACTTGTAATCTATTTCCTCCAGCGAAGAGATGAAAAGATGAAAGTACTCAAGAAGTAGGGCCTGGAGGAGGAGGAGTAAACAACCCAGGTTCTACAGGAGTCAGCAACCCACCACTCTTAAGAACTTCCGGAACACTCTCAGCAAGCACTTCAACCACAGTCTGAGCCATTTGTGTCAAGAGCTTCGTCATTCCCTCCACAAGAGATGTAAGAAGGACAGACAAATCTCCCATTGCATTCGCCAAGGCGGCGAGAGCTGGAGGGTTTGTTTTTGCTGTGAGGTTTTTGATTAGCGAAACCATGCATTCGGTGAGAGGATACGGAGATTGGGGAATGACATACACAGTACGTTCTTTGGCATCTCGGAGATGGTTCCAGAAACATCCTGGAAGATCTTAAGGGCCATTTGTTTGTTCTCTTGAGAATTGCCTACGCCCTTCTCTATGGTGATAGATAAGGAGGCGGCATRGAGGCTGTTTGCGAGGGCTTTGATCTCGCGGTCTACGGTTGCTACTACTGCTTTATCCCAATCTCCAGCGGAGCCGGTGAAGTGTGACGCGGACTCGTCTGATGGTAGCGTATACATTAGTGGAATGGTACTTGGAATGTCAAGGTGGAGGGATCGAGGGAAACATACTCATCTTAGCACCGTGAGCCTTCACGCTGGTTTGCAGCGTGGATAAGATGCTGGTCAGGTCTGAATCTTGGAGTTGTTCAATTGGAGAAKCGAGAGTACTGGCGACGAAAGCCGGGAGGAAGAATAACGAGAACTTAATGTTGATAATGCTGTGCTGTGTTGCTTAGGGTATGTGGTGGTGTCTTGTTGCAAATCAATGAGCACTTCCTGCTCCGGATTTGCACACATATGTAGAGCCCTTCCCCTAGTGTACGTAAATCACACTACAAACACTCCTCTCCTCTCCACTTCCCGACCCAAACCCTCGTTCGTGACTCCGCTTACAACCACCTGCTCGTACTCGTGGAGCCTGCGGATCAAAGAACTTCATCCCACTGGTGTACCTTCCTAAAAAGGCAAAATTCGACACTGTAAGCTGTAATAATCAACTTCGCACGCGGCACCATCCCCATTCTCTGGTACTTCTCACACGTTCCAAGAACTAGAGAAAAAAAGAAACTCGTGGCCCACTCGTGGCATCTACAAAGCACTTTATAARTCTCTCCATCGTCATCATAAGCCTTTCTTCTGCCGAGAATGCTCGCATACCTTGCTGCATCCGTACTGAATCATGATATCCAGAACGTCGTGCCGTGCCGCCTTCGATTGATCGACATCACTTGTATATACGAGCGGAGCGGTGTCCTCAGTCCCTGATGATCGCAGGCTTTCTTACAGCACGTGGTCGGTGTTGTCAGATCGATCGGGTGTCTTCATTCTTGGAATTCGCGGTGATTCACGCAGAACGGTTTCTAGATCTGATTTTCTTCCCGAGACCAGCGAATGTCATTGTAGCTCTGTTCATACGTCGCCAACAACCAATTCCAATCAACGGATCTGTCCTCGTCACTAGTCCTACCCTCCCCATGGACATATGAGATATCATCGATGCCATCGATGCCATCGATGCAGCTCAAACGTCCATGCATTCACCTGCAAGGATGTATCCCACAACGTCCATCCGGGTACAAATCAACGAGAGATATATGCGTTATCGGCAACACCGCTCGTAAGTGACGCCAGGCTCCGTTCGCCGAGAGATACTCCCACATTGCCTTCAGGCCGACGAGTGCGCTTCGATACGGGGGTCTCGTCGTGGGAGTTTCGCTTAGGTCTCGCATACGAGCTGAATGTCGAGCTGCGGGTCAAATCACTGTTGTTCAAAGAATCCGATGGGGAGGCGAGCCTATATGCAATATGTCCTGGTGTTGAGCTGCGCTCTGGTTGTTCAGGAGTACGCGGGGGAGTCCTTGGAGGTTGAACAGCCTCTCCCCTTGCGGTGCGAGCGGCAATGCGAGCGTGAGCTCGCAAAGCTTGCTCTTTTGATACATCGGGTCCTGCTCGTGTTGTCTCCCGAAAGTAGTCTTCAACCTCGGCTGCAGTCTTGCTACCCAATGCTGCAGCAATAGCTCTGGAATTTGAACCGAATCGATTGTTGAAGACTTTGAACAGCAGCTTTTCGACATCGCTCCATGCACCCAATGGCCGATTTAATGGCGTTGTCGGTCTCTGAGTTGATAGCTGAACCGGCGGAAAAGGCGGGCTGACAAAATTTGGGAGCGTTTGTACACGCCGCGGTCGCCGCACCGGTGTTTACCGGCCTCCAATTGGAGTGCTTTCGGCCTCCGGGGCATCTGCAGCTGATCCATCAACACTCCGTTGCTGAGCTCCATCCACGCCCTGTTGCTGAGTTCCATCTATGCTCTGTTGCTGGAATCCACCAACGGTAGGCTGCTGAGCTGGTGGATTCGCTTCTAACCCTTCCTCCTTCTCTGACATCCCACCCTCAGCCTTTTCGGCGGCATCTCTCGCGCGTGCATGTTTGGACTTTGGCCCGGGGCCCTTCTCGATATGATCGATGCTCAGGAATAACAGAATGCAGCTGTTACTTGTGTCAGAGAGACTGACTGTGAGGTTCACGCGAAAGTAGGCACTCWCCTTGGGACCACGCTAACAAATCCCAGCCAGGCGAAAACAGCGGCTGCAACAATGCGAGGGTTGTGTCTGTAGCACAATGGGGTACCGCCATCCACGGTGTATTGTGACAGCAAGGATTGGCCGTACTCGTAGGATGCTCCGCGGAAATAACCACAGTTCCTTGCCGTTATCACGGTAAACCACAAAGCGTTGGCCAGGGAGAAGATGCACGACAACACGCCGCATGTCTTCCATGCGATCATGACGCTTTTTGACTCGTGTCGCTCGGGCCAGAAAAGATCAAACTGCGTAGCCATCAGATTTCTTCCTTGCGGAAATACACGGAGGAACATACAAAGAATGCTGCTCCAAAGATGTTGGCGACGAAGATGCCGGCCTGGAAAAGGGTTAGAAGGGATTGTGTACGGAGCGAGGCAAGCAACGCACAAAAATGTTGAAGGATGCGGTCCCGATATAGTCATTGTTGTACAMGTAAACACTTGAGTCGAGCTGCTTGACCATTTGTTGCGAAAAACGATAATCTGAAGGCCATGAGGATCAGTCAAGTCGGTTGTCGACGTTCGCAGTGCCTCTCACCACCAAGAGCCGCAGTCGCAAGACTCTCCGACACGACGCAGAAGATCAGGGCGCATTGGTATCTTTTGGAATTCTTAGCATTTCGTGGTCTTTTTCACGAGCCTCGTGATGAGCTTGTTGAAGCTTGCAATTCTCCGTACGTACACGATGAACTTGGTCCGTCGAAGATGATAGTCGGTGTTCCACATGTAACTGCTCTTGAATTTGCTCCATTGAACCTCCCCAAGATTCAGGCCCCAGATGACCGGCGCCATGGTGGCGGGGTTTCTTCTCCGTAATCGGGGTCTGGAGGAAGATAGCGTGTGCTGTTGATAGAGCTCGAAGACACTCGAGTAAGTATTTTTATCTTGATGATTCTAGATACCAAAGAGGAATTATGCCAGAAGGGCAGATGCAATGATATGTAGTAACGAGAGAAAGAGCCACACGCAGATCGACGATAAGATACAGTACTTCCCCATACTCACCTATAAGTTCGCAGGAATGACGAGGCATGCCTGCCGTAAACGAGAGGCAGCCGAAACATTGGAGTATTGAGTCGCTGCTTCCCGTTCCAGTCGCGTCGACTTCACGCTCACGCACGACCGAGCACCATCAAACCTCCGACTTGTCAACAGTCTAGACTTCGAGTATCCTGTTGCTTGCTAGTCCAAGTACCATGATGAGCAACACGGCAGCCGGCAGGTCCGTCGCCCCGGAGAAGAAGAAGACGGAGACAAGATCGAGTGATGGAGAGTGTGATGTGCAAAAGATCGCCCTCAATTTTGCGGCGTGAACGATGTCATCTTCCGGCGACAAGCCGGGCCGATCATCCGTCACCCGTGGCATTCCAACTCCAGAAATGCCTTTTAATACCTCCTAGATATGTACCACATACAAGGACGMTGATATTCTAATGGGAGTGAAAAGAGCATAAGGGTGACCTCCAATTGGTTGCCATTCTGCGGGCGGCACACACAGTGATCTACAAAACTTAAGTCCAGCCCAACATTTGTTTCACGTGGCCCGGTCAGCGCTGTCCTCCTCGAATCGCTGCATCTTCCATCGGGATCTCATCAACCCGGCCTGGCCAGCAAAGAGAACGACTGCAGATGTTCACACACAGCCCTGTCCGCCCGTACCCTACGTCTTCTGCTTGCATGGGTCAGGCGATAGGCTGGATTTAATGCCACTGTGTCGAGCTCCGTCGGTTACCTCTCCCTTCGCCGCTTGGGAGCAGGGCCAGACCTTCCATTTTCTGCGCAAGACCAGATGAACATCTGAGCCAATCTGAGCGTCTTGAAAAATTGCCAATGTGGAGAAGGGTGCAATCACCAAAGGATCAGTCACCCTCAGGCCTCGCACTAGTCATGAGTTCGACACACCGCTCCTGCATAATGTTCTCGCGTTTCTCTGGATCTCGCCGTGCTCTGTCCTGCTCGAGCCACCACTCCAAGCCGTCGCCAGGCAGGTCCGACTTCCAACACGGCATGTGAGGCTCAGAGATGGTCAATCCTCGAAAGTCCACGCACATGGTCGATTGCAGCGCAGCCTGTATAGCACACTCTCGAGTGCTGCGAATATTTCCCCTTGATTCGCAACGTTGCCGAGCGAGCTGTTTCCGTGTGTGGGTATGAAGTTCTCTCTTGTAAGTCTTGATGATGCTGGCCTCCATCTGGCATCTCGAATGCAGTTCAAGCAGGTGGCGGTACCTACTCAGCTTGGTTGAGTTGTCGCCGTCTATGGGGTCTGGTTGTGAGGCTCTCTTTTCAATCGCCCTGGCGGAATTAACTTGATCGGGTTCTAGGAAGTCGAATACATAGCGTTGACGCCATGACATTTGTCGCGACGATGGGGAGAGTCGAAAGGCGCTGTCACGGGCTTCGGCGTGGGCGCTGAAGGTAGACATAGCACAAGAAACCTGCTGGGGTGTGGTTTTGCCACGGAATCGTTCTTCCTGCTAGATCTGTCTTTCGTTTGAGAAACGACTTTGCCAGTGGGGAGGCCTCCTGCTCAATCCACTACCGCAGCGTCGAAAATCTACCCGCAGTTTACTATCAGCAGGACCTTCTGGTGTTCAGGATCGGGGATTTTGGCTCCAGTTCAAGAACTCAGTGGCAGCGTGAGGAACTATACAAAGCGATTTATGCCATGCATCCCCAATACCCCAGACTGCTAAGCATGGACCACAAGATGGGCAACAAAGGGAACGACACATTCCTCGTTGAGACATTTGCGTCAGAGCTTTCCCCTTACATTCCAGATGTCCGCATCCAGCCCGCCCAATTCACCTCACGAAAGATTGACTCCTCGTCGCATGCGTCAAATCTTTCACTCTACACCACATGCTGGCGTGAGCATAGCTTCGACATGTAAGGCTATAGCAATCCTCAACCTCAAGCTGCTTTCAGAATGAAGAATAGCGATGGAATGCATCGCACGAAAGCGACTGAAACCCAGTCCATCTCATGAGAAGTAGCCACAGTACCGCAAATCGTCTCCGTTCACCTTCACCACAAGTCCCATCACTCTCCTAACCACCACATACAATCCCTCCCGCTCAAAGATGCAGTTCACCAGATCTCTTCCACTCGTAACCTCCTTCCTAGTCCTCGTCACAGCCCAATACGAAACCCCCGAAGACATTCCCATTTGCGCCTACAGTCCCATCCAAAATATCATCAACGCCGCAGGTTGCCAAGTCACCGAAACATCCTGTTTCTGCGCAAAACCAAACATCATTCCCGATTTCGCCGAAGCGGTAGTGGAAGCCTGTGACGGGACGGTGAATTCCGCCGAAGTCTCCAGTTTTGCAAGTTCGTTTTGTGTTATCACCAGTAGTGCTACGTCTGCTGCCACGACAAGTTTGGTGTAAGTAAGACTCCTATCTGAAAGAAAGAGAAAAAATCATCCAAGCAGTACCCATCTAACGCAAATGACATTAAAGTCGCGGTCCAACTCCCACCCCCGCGGGATTCACAGATCCATTCAGCAATTCCAACACCCTCCCAACAACCATCTCAAGAACGTCTAGCGCCATTTCGCCTTCAGGTGTTGCATCGACAACTTCAAGAAGTAGTAGTCCTGGATTAACAGCTACGAGTTCTACCCCTGCAGCAACTGCAACACCTTCAGATCAGTCGACGGGAAGTCCGAATCTGGGAGTGAGTGCGTTGGCGCTGGCTATTGCTATTGGGGGTTTGACGTGGGTTTTTGGGGAGCTTTGAAAACGACGGGAAATTTCTTTCATCCAAGGAACGAAATGTCTATAAAGTAGTACAGAACTTGGAGGACGATCACTGATACTGATCACTTCTTCTGGGATGTCATTTAAGCAAATATGACCGCCATGAAGCGCAATGAGGCACTATAGAGAGCCGGGCTGACGTGGAAACTTGGAGCACTGAAATCAACAGCTCAACTTCCGYAAATAATTGACCATCCTTCTCAAACGCTAATATCAGCACTCGCTCATTCGCTATGAAAGGCAAAGCAAGCACAAAAATTGCTCATCTCATCGCATTCAACTATGAATTCCACGCTTGCCCCACGATACCCTGCTTTCGTCATGTATCAATCTGTGATTGACCCAAGATACTCATATTCCCAATTTCCTTAGAGTCTGGAATATGTACCGACTCGCTCCTCGGTGCTGGGGTAATCATATCCTCATCCCCAATCGTGCCGAGTCCCGTCAAAGGAGGGTGCTCAGCATACATTGGAGGAGCTGAAGTGCTGGATTCGCCGGTATCCCCTCGGGATCGGCTCCCATCAATTGCGGTTATGTAGTGCTGTGAAACGACYGGACTGGGCTCCTTTAGCTGCATGTCCAGCTCGGGCGGAGGGATGGCAGTCTCGATTCGCTCAATGTGCTCCCCATTCCGGCTTTTGTCGTGGTCGACCATGGCTGCCAATGAGCCAAAGTTGAACATGCTCTCAGCACCATTGCCACCGTTTGTGTCATGTGGCGCGGCATCCATGCTACCGCCACGATTCGGTGTTGCATTCGACTCCGCGCCTGCCGTCGAACCCATCGAAGACGAGGCTGCCGATGATACCTGTGACACACTCGACAAGTTGGATAGTTGTCGTGCAAGTGTTGAAGGCGGATTAGGGCCAATCGCCGAGTCCGAGATGATCGTTGACGTGGGCGGGAGATTCGCGCGTGACGTTTCTAGATGCCTTTGTGAGTCCTCATTTCTAGAAGAGGCCGTCGCCGGCGATGACAGTGGGGAGGCTGACTTGTTCTCACTCGGGCCCCTGYTGAGCGTTGAAGTTGGCTCAGTGAGGGGGTTGAAGCCAGCAAAGTCTTGCGCCGGCTGTTTACCCTTGCCTTGGGTGCGGTCTTCTTCCTCGCGTATGGACGGTTGCGCGCCGAGGTTGCTGGTAGAGCGCGCCATACTTGTGCTTGCCCATGTACTGCTGCTGCTGTCGTTTGTCGGGGCATGATGAAGAGATGCACTACCGCCACGCTTCCGCTCAAGTTTCTCCGCCTTCTTTTCTTCCTTCTTGTCAGACTTGGCCTTTTTCTTTGCTTCTTTCTGCGCCTCCTTCTCCTCCCTTCGTTTGCGTTCTTCTTCCGCTTCGAGGGACAATCGGATCGCCTCCATCATCATCAAATCTTCGAGATCCTCGACACGATTCCTGCGTGAACTACTGCGTCCACCAGCAAGATCATTGCCGTTGACTTCGCCGGCGTTGCCATCACCTTGTTGTTGTGTGTTAGTGATTCGAACAAAGTCTTCATAGCTGATGGCAATCCTACCTTCTCTCGGTGTCGAGACGCCACTAGCGCCAGGACTGTCAAACATCAAAGTTCTCCGCCGTCGGCCGATTATACCACTGCGCGTTTGTCGATCGCCCTGATTCCCAAGCACATATGCGGCGTTGTGGAGAGCAGTGGCGGCCGCGGATCTGCGAAGCGCATTGGCTCTTGCGTCCGCCAACTTCTTTGCCCAGTCTGGGCGCACGCGATCTGTTGTGACAACATTCGAAGCGTTGGCAGACACCGAAGTTGCTCGCCGACGTCCTCCTGCGGGAACACCAGATGTGAGAGAGGATGAGGAAGACATTGCAGAAGTTGGGTTTTGTAGCGCATTGGATTGTTGATGTGCATATGCGAGGCCTCTCCGAAAGTGTGGCGGGTCATATGTCACGCCGAACTCGGGCGTGACACAGAATGGACAGGAGGCGATCTCAGAGACCAGCAATTCAGCTTCTTCTTCTGGTGGACGCTCCTGGCCAGGCTGCTCATGCTCTGGCGCATGTGGATCAGGGCGCTTAATCTGTACAAAGCACTCGGAGCAGATGTATTGATCGCAGCACCTCGTTTTGTTCAAATAAGGAGGATAGTAGAGAAAGCAGATGGGACACTCGACGGGATCCTTGTAGAGGTAGACTTCCAACTGCTGACCGTTGACGCGATTGTCGTTGGGCAGACGGATCTCCTGGGGTGGGGCGTCCGCCGACTGGCTCTTACCACTGGCAAATGAGGCAAGAGTCTTTGCACGACCCCGGAAGAGGTTTGATGCGGAGGGAGTCGAGGGTGGCGACAAACCGGGGGTGTTTGAAAAGGCCGGATGGGATGCAGATAGGGACGCCGACCGATCTGACTGGTATGACTGTGAGCGAGAGGTGATGGGTACAGTCAGAGTGTTGATGTTTGTTTCCATCGTGGGAGGGTCTGCGGAAGCCTGGGAGATGGTGCGCGCCATTTCCGGAGGCACCTCATCTGGCGCTGGTATAGGTAGACCTCGAGCTGCGGCAAACAGCTGTGCTTCTGTCCACGAATCGCTGTGATCATCCAATCCCTTCCAAAACGGCGCCAGTCGCCTCTCAATCATGAGCTGCCGCACAATTGCCTTGTTGAAATCCTCGGGGCCGGTATATGTGCCGACGGTGACGAGATAGCCTCCATCGACGTGTTCCTCTGCCATGCTCCGCTCCCGCTCCTTGAGACGTGCCAGACGGTCCCTCTCCGCTCTCCTCGCCTCGCGCTCCTGCTTCGTTTCCCGCGGCCGCTCCGGCGCAGTGGTCTCTGCATCTCGCTCTCGATCACCGCGGCCAAGGTGTAGGAAGGAGATGTCATGCCGACTTCCTCGTGCACTTGCGTTCCTCACGGCATAGATGCTGGCGGCGAGTCGATCGGCCGATGTTTGCTGCTGTTGTGCGGATGACTGGCGTGTTGGGGTCTGGTGGTTGGCGTTGGCCTGTCGGCGCTCATCCTTGGAAGAGCTGTTCCCCATGTTGTAATAGAATTTGGACTATCCAGGCGGGGGATCAAGCGTGGGACCTAGTCGAGGGTGGGGCGCTGGGAAGACGAGGGGTGGACGGCGGCCAATGTTTGTGGTAGCATTGATGAGGGTTGCCAAAGCTACAGCAATCAAGTGAGCAATGGCAGGTCGAGGTGGTGGATGACCTCTTTCTTCCTCGCCAATGTGCCGTGATGCAACCAATCCAATACTTTCCAGGACGGCGGGAGAGGCAGGGCGGGCGTTTGAAGATGCAAGCAAGCAATGAAGCAGCTTCTAAACTTGGAATCCTCCCGTTTCAACAGGTCTCAGCACGATGCTGGATCGGGATGGAGCGCGCGATGGCCGGCCGTCTCGCAGCTGCAGCACAGAAATCCGGTTGCGAGTAACTTAGTGAGCTCCAGAGAGGAGCACCAGACCGAATGCTCAACGCCTCTGAGATGTGTACCTCCGAGGCAGTACAGCAATATTGATTGATTCACGGGTGGGAAAGATTGGTACAGGCGGAAACGGTACCTGAGATGGATGGCATGTCATGTGGGAGAGCGAGTCGAGGTGGAGATGATGAACAAGMACTCGGATGCCGTTGCGGCGGGCGGGCGTCATTTCTTGGTGGATCAGAGGCATGGTCTTGCTCTTCCCGACGACAAGCCGACAGCACATGAAACAACTTTTTCCTGCAACGCAACGAGTCTGCATGTGCCATGACGACGTCCACCTCCACTGTCGTGACATTATCTCTATCCAGGACATCGTTATCGATATCAATCGCCCTCGCGTGACTGTTGCTAATCATTCGCTACATAAAAAACATGGTTCTTATCTCCAACACCATCATCCGCACTACCCCATACATCCTCCACGTGAGCGCATGATCTCTCCCTCTGCTATCGTAGCGGCAAAGTCGCGTCTGCGCAATAGCCACTGTCTTCGGGCTGGGGAGATGCCGCTGGTGTAAACAACAGCGTCTCGTCTGCTTGCAGCAATTCCTGCTTTGCCCGCTTCGACTTCACCACGAAGCCCTTGGGAGGTGAGTCCCACGTGTAGTCGAGGAATTCATCCAGATGTTCTTGGATGCCATCGGCGAGAATCTGCACGGCTCTCTGTCGATTCAAACTCCACTCGTGGTCGCGCTTCCACCGCCCAGCTCGGTCCGCAGTCTCCTGTCCATTCTCCAACCCATCAAGGATACTCCTCCACACCTGCATCGTCTTTTCCAACTCGCTGGCTTTGCTGACACCCATCACACTGACTCCCAGTCTGTTACCACCAACTTGGAGGTTGGACTCTCGCTGCCAGGGAACCCCGGAAGCAGGATCGCCGCGGGATCCCACCTCTGCACCGAGTTTCAACCAGCTTTCCAATGCATATCGGATGGCGACAACTTCCAGCTTCTCGTCATGACGGTCGCAGAAATCACTCGCCCGCTTAACAGCCGCACGCATCTCATTGCTGGAAGGATGCCAATTGCCCATGGCTCCAATGGGAACGCCCTCCCTTCGAAGGAGACCCATGGAGAGCGGCGACGCATTGGGTACAACATCCACACCCGCCTCCTTCAACTGCTTGATGCCGGTCGAAGCGAGCAGCTGGTTCTGCAGCGTAAAGTTCGAGTACGACATGACAGCATCAAGAGGCTCGCCCGTCTCGCGCAGTACTCGGTGTGCAATCGAACACAACACAGGTAGAGGGTATCCAGAAATCCCCACATACTTGATAGTTCCCTCCTCATCGCGTATTCTTCGTAGCTCGCGAATAGCCTCCATCGCTTCTTCCTCCGTGACAAACTCCACATCATGACAATACACCAGATCCAAATAAGGTGTCCTCAGCCTCTCCAAACTGCGCTGGATGCTTTGGTATACCCATTCTCTTGAATAGTCAAACTCGTCAGACGCAACACGTCCGCATTTCGTAATGAGGAAGAAGTCCCGACGGGGCACGTTCTCACGCACAAAGTCCGTGTCGAGCGCTGCACCAAGAATCTCCTCCGAAGGACCATAGTATGGTGATGTATCGAAAGCACGAACACCGAATTCCAACGCTTTCTTTACGAGGCCCGTCGTGTCCATTCCGTAGGGATCGTCATTGTACTGGTAATTGAATGTCGCCGTTCCGAAAATCAGCGGCGGGAGGATGTTCGATAGAGGGACCTTGTCGACCTTGGCCATGGCCATTACACTGAAAACTTTTGCGCGAAGAGCGCCTGCGCTCGTTGCAAGGATACGATTATTGGTCGTTGTAGTTGAGGAGTACGGTGTTCGGTTCCGGCTCGTCGCTTGGGGGTGGGAAAATGTATACAATGGATGTTCCACGGATGGAGAAGGGGAGGGAACAAAGGTCAACACATCGCTTCGGTATACGGTCTGTCGGATTATCAAGCCGGCGCGAGCGAGCTGAGATTTAATCTTCAAATCATCATAGAAAACGCGGCACGCATTCCACTATCAGATCAATTTCTCAGGATAAGGCCCGACGATTTGCGTTCGATTGAGCTAAAAAATGAGCTAGCAGATGACGAGATGTTCCAGAATGCCGTCGGCTGGGAGCGTGATTGGGTGAGAAGCGGAGACCCCCGAATCCAGTTGCCGGATTTTGACGACTTTCGGTTGAGGACCTGCATCCAACCCGGCCTCTCCATGACCACCTTTTGCGCTCGAAGCCGCTTCCAGGGTGGTGTACCTGTCTCCGCAGCACGTGGGCTCGCAATGACGGCTTTTGGTCGGCCAGATGGGGACCAATAATCTACGTGTTACGTGCGTATGCACCGTGCCTTGGGATGCGTCTGTGGGATCTCGTCCAGTTTCAACGAATGAAGTAACTTATCAGACGCGGAAGCGCTTTCCATGCATTGGGTGCTGCATCGACAAGAGTAGGTGAAGGAGAGAGATTCCTGTCTTTACAATCAGTCCTTAATCACCACACCGGCGATTTGCTTACTATCTACCAATCCATACATCTCCAATGGCAGGCAATCCACCCCATCAACTCCAATCGCCATCTAGAATCGTCGGCTCGCCCTTCTCCAGCCCCTGAATCAGTCCGTCGATAGTCCATGGAATGTACTCCACACCTTTGGTAGGCCGATTAGTATTCAGAAATGGTCTCGTCCGGTCCTCCAAGTGCAGTCTCGCCTCCTCAAATCTCTCCTCGGCATAAGCTTCAGCATCATGCTCCCAAAGCCAACTGCCAGGGACAGGAGGTTCTTTCAAATTCTTCGCTCCACTCTCGATTCTGGTGTGAGATCTTGCAACTCCCATGGCTTGCAGGAAGGAGACTCTCTCAAACCGCAGGAGGTTGTGCACGCGAGTTGCGTCCGGGATGTTCTTCGCCGCCGCTATACAAGCGGCGAGACTGACGGCGTCTTCAATGGCCTGAGTAGCTCCATTCCCAGAACTGGGCAGAAATGTATGAGCTGCATCTCCCAGCTGCACGACGAAGCCCCTTGGTGAGACCCAATTGTGCTGAGGGTCTCTCCACATCAACTTCCAATCGATGAGTTCGCCTCCCGGAGTTTCTTTGATCACCCGATCTGCCACTTCCGCCCAGCCAGGGACATGGGATGTGAATTTGAGCACTTCCTCCACATCGATTTTATTACTCCAGGATTCTACCGCGGTGCCATCGAGGTCTGGACGTGTGACAGACCACATCATAGACTCATGGTTTCTCCAGAATGTAGCAAAGACACGTCCCTCTCTGTTGAAGGAAAAGTCAGCTGAAAAACTCACCGCCATCATAATGCCAAAACATACCCAGTCCACAACTCAAAAGTCGTCCGATCACCCTCCCTAAGCTTGAACCTCTCAGCAACAACCGGATCCCTCACAGCCAACTCAACCGGATACGCCGCTCGAAAAATAGCAAGCCCACTACTCTTCGCAGGCACAGGTTCCCCAGCAACAAGTCTCCAAGACTGCCCATGCCACCCCTCAGCGGCAACCACGACATTCGCCTCACACCTCTCCCCATCCTTGAGCACAATTCCCCCAACCGCAGAATCCTCATCCTCGAAATAATCCACAACCTCCCTTCCAAACTCAATCGGAATCCCACATTTCCGCACCTGCTCCAGAAGCAAAGCATGGAATTTCGGCCGCGAATGCATCGCCGCGCTCCAAGTCGTAATCCTCTTCGCTTTCTCCGGGTCCTTGACTGCCAAATTCACCCTGGCCATCTCTCCGGGTCTCAATCGCCGTTCCCCCGCAAGTGTACAGCCCGCAAACAGAGGCGAATACGCGATTTCATCATGTCGCTTCTTCATCTCTGGCCAATGGTCCAGAAATTTCAACGCAGATTGTCCGATATTAATCACATCGCCTGTGCATCTCGCACCCACCCATTAGCTCTCCCCTTCTTCATAAAACGGGAATTAAKAGAGATGTGGTACCAGCAGTGCTGCTAACAGCAGTCTTCTCAAAGACTCGCACATTGCACCCTTTACGCCATAATTCCAACGCTGCGACGAGTCCTCCAATTCCTGCACCGGAAATCAGGGCCGAGATACCAGTTGGCGAGCTGCGAAGGACGGGTGTTGACATTTGCGCAACCGGAAATAATTTTCAACGAATTCTTTCTCGATTGGGAAAGATGGATTGTGCTAATACCTTTGTTATTATGTGCGCGACTCTAGATATATTTGTACATACAATGTACCTGTCATCGATTGGGTTCATTGATCTATCTTCGGGTCAACACCCCGGTCTCTTCACCAGGCCAAGTCTACAGGGGATGGAGCGTTTATATACTCCGGAGCGTCATAACCGCCGGTCTACAGTGAAGATCCTCACGAATCCGCTCTCACTCCGTACTGCACCCTCTGTAGGAATCACTCTCAATCAGGCTGTCGACGTTTCTAGCCTTCTCAGGCGTATGATCGTGGCTTCAACAATGTAAACGCGTTGATTATCTCGCATAACAACAGCTCAAACACTAAACGAAGACTCACACTTACACTCTTAATCATACACCCCTCGACCTCTCCTGCTCGTATGGCACTCCCAACGATGCGAGCTGGTCCATGGCCTTCTTATCTAATTTCACATACTCCCAATTCGCGGGGAGCCTGCTTTTCCCACCATACGCCTTCAACAGCGTGAGCTTCATGTTTCTCGCCTTGAATCTCATGTCCTCTGCACTCCTCCTAGCGAGCTGCTCATCCTCAGACTCTCTGTCAATAACCTTGAGTGCAGCATACGAGACGCCATCAGATCCATGCTGTTCGACAAGCGAAATCAGAGCGTTCTCTTCCGCATCCGTCCATGGCTGACGCACTCTACTKGGTTTGTTTTGCGATGCCGCGATGCGATTGCATTTCGCTTGGTTTTTGGCGCGGCTGTATAAGCTGTCTGGATCCAAATTTTCATCGTCCTCATCAAGTGGCTGTTGCGTGWGAGGAATTGAGGAGCCCGGATTGAGTCGCTGTCTCTTCGAAGGGCTGGGCATGGGACGGTCTTCTTGCATGTCAGCACCGGTAGTTGGATCCATCCTCGGTTGGGAGAATGCAACTTCCCGGCGTCGCTGATCAGCTCCAGAGTTATCGCGTGTATCAGTCTGGAAACCTTCGTCTTGCGTGGGCTCAAACCCATCGTCCATGTCTGCATGGGAACGTTTGCCACGCATGGATTGCTGGCTCGGCTGACTATCATCATCAATCGCGCTGATACGTACGGCACCTGGCTGTGGATCAGTCCATCTGGGCTTTTGCCTCTGCGAGTTTTGTCGTAATTGCTGAGCTTGCTGTCGTTGCATAATTTGGAAGCCGGACATGTTGTGTGTTCCCGGAAGGTCGGCATTTTCGTCCTGAGAGAAGTGCTGATTATCTGCAAAGTCGTGGGCGCCGGCGTCACCAGTCGACGAAGCAACCATTTGAGCCACTGGGGCTGCTGCTTGCTGCGATGCCATTGAAAGCCGCTTTTTGAGCAAAGACATGCCGCCGCCCAGGCTTTTACGAGGCGTGGAGCCCGGTTCGGTAAATCGTTGCTTTCCTTGCTCGTATATCTCGCTGTTCGTTCGGCGTGCTGCCTCTGCGGTAAGACTCTTCAAGATCTGCGAGACGCCTCCTACGTTGCCAATGGCGCGGTTGAGGTATTCCGAACGAGAGACGTAGTATCGGACAGCCTGTTCTTTCAGCATGTCCCATTGATATTCACCCTTCAATTGTCCATTAGCGGCAGTGGCGTCGAGGTCTTCCGTTAAAAAGGGTGCTTTCAGCTTGGCCACCTGGTCTTCCACCATGCTGTAGACAAGTTCACGTTCGTGCTCATCTTCAATGGCCTCCAATCCGAGAGCTTCCGCGTGCCTAAACTCTTCATTCTCGTCATAGAATACACTGTCAATCTCAGACTCTAGAGACGTCTCATCTCCACTCTCAATGCAGGCTTGTAGACGAGCGATGGCGAGTTGCGCAGAGAATTGCAAATAGAGCTCCGTGGCCTCGGGTGAGAATTGACTGCCTGCAATTGCCGAGGGAAATGCCACGTCAAGTCTTTCCAAAGCATCCATTGACGACTTGGTCCAGTCACTCGGATCGCAGACTATCAACAAGCTGTTCAGCATCTGCGCCAGGTTGATTTTGAAGATGATGTTGTCGGGACGCCATGGTGCAGGCGTTTCCATCCCAGATGCGTCGCCCAACAAGGCTCGTAAGACAATTCTTGGCTGGATGTACTCTTGGCTACCAAAGTTGGGCTTGTGAGTATTGATGGTGGCAATGCGATTCTTGTACTGTTTGTGGTGTCGAGAGCCTGGCGTTCGGATTTCCTTCCATGTCTCAGGTTTGGTGTTGATGCCAGCAGGTACCAGAAATTGAGCCAACTTCTCGGACGCGGCAGTCAAATCAGGAAGTACATCAATCATGATCTCTTGGTCCAGTTGCTCGGCTTCTTCTTGGGAGAATGAGGTCTTGGTAGTTGTTCCTGATATTGCGGATCCACGTGAAGCTGGACGCGGATAATGCTGGATCTCCTCGTCTGCCGTTGTGTGTCGCGCGGGTTCAGCGTCCGCGCCACTCGCTTCGACCGTACGGCTACGCGTCTGTCGCGCAGCCGGCGCGTTACCCCCATGAAGCTTTGCCATGGAGAAATTGCGAATTTTCTAGATGATAAATGATGGATGTTGGAAGAGAGGGTTAGGGTTGGGGTGTAGAGGAGGAGGCAATGTGAGCGGAAGTCGCGACGGTCTCCGCACGTGATAATACCGCTAGGCCTCATCTAGTCAGCTTGAGAACCGGGATCTTAAGACGATGCATTATGACTAGGGGTGTTATCTAATGGTATTAATAGCGTTAATAGCGTTAATAGCATTATTAATAGCATTAAAAGCTATTAATTAAACGTCCGTACCCTAATAGTATACTATTACGCTAGCCGTATTAATGTAAGAGCTAAGTAAGTGTCGAAAGGGCCTACTACGGCTTAAAGGATCTAGAACTAAAGGAGTCCTCTAGCCTCTAATTAGCCGGCTATAAAACGACGAATAGGTGCTTATTCGAGTAACTAGCATCCGTACGAGTCGTTTCCGTAAGTAAGAGATATATATAGGCGTTCTAAGAGCTATTACTACTAGCTATATCTACCGCTACTATTCCCTTACTATCTACTAGCCCCTTACTATCTACTATATCCGTTATATCTATCTATCTTACTATATAATCTCTTACTAAGTAGCGACTATAGTAACGACTCTTATAACTAGCCTAGAGGGAACATCTAGCTCTTAAAATAGTTATTATAGAACTACTACTAGCCGGCTATAAAGTAAAGCTATATTAGCTATATTTAATACAGTAGCGAAGCCGGTAGAGCTAGTATTACTATCGCTAGTATCGCTATCGCCGGTATCGCTATCGCTAGTAGAGCTATCGCCTTATCCTTACTATCTATATTACTATCCTCGTCCGGTAGGTATAACGATAGGCGGTAGGGCTCCGCCCCTACCCCTATTACGTACCTCTTACGAACCCCCTATAGTATTCTACCTAAAAGTCCTAGGATATACCCTACGGACCCCTTACGGTTACTATACRGTCCCCTTATAGACCTCCGGGGAACTTAGGGTAAAAGGTATCTTCTCCCTAACCGAACTAGAGGGAGAGCGACTACTCCCCGAAGGGGAGGATAAGAAGAAGAGGAGAGAGAGGGAAGAAGGATAAGAATTACTATTTAATTAATATTAGAGTATCCTTTATATCTACTTAGCATTCCTTATACTATATAATTACCCTAACTATCCGAGCCTACCCTAACTCTATATACTTATATTATAGTAGGCCTACTACTACCTATTAGTAGAGTTCCTTAATATTATTATCCTTAAGGTTCTTAAGGTAGCGTAGAGCTAGCCCCGCTACTACTAGCTTCTTATCCTCTTTAATTAAGTACGCTAGTTGTTTTTAACGCCGCTCTTTCTTAGTAAGTATATTATTGCGATCGAGTTAGTACTTCGTCGCGCGGCGTATACGCGCTTACTTCTCGAGAGCTAGATTACGGCGGAGTAACTTAGTATTAAAGTAGATAAAAATAAGGCGTATAAGGTTCTTAAGTAATAGCGACGAGCGGTAGTTATCTTAGATATAGTTTATTATACTAAATCTACGCTCTAAGGGTACTAAATTAGTAGGTATCTAATATAGGCGGATTACTAGCTTTATAAGGTCTAGAGCGTCCGCTATTATAGWAATCTAGTAGGTAAGTAGATTACTACGTAAAGCTACTTAGTTAGTATTAGTATTACTAAAGATGCCGTATCGCTAGATAAACGTAGAGTACTATCCTCGAAACTATATATTACGCTCTTAATAGATATAGCTCTTAAGGAACGAGCGAGCGCGTTACTACTCTTAAGAAGTAAAGCTATCTACTAATACGCTCTAATCCTCGTAATTAAGCGCCTATACGGCCTAGTAGATATCCGTTATTTATATAATAAAGCGAGTATCTAAGTAAGTAATAATATCGTTAATAAAGGGCGGCGGATCCTTAGTGTCCTTTAGAGCGGCTATCTTACGCCTTATTACTCTCTACTACTTAATAACGAGGCTAACGTAAGAGCGGTCGCTTTTACTAAGGAGCTAGTATTCGTAGATAATGCCGAGGATAGTATATAGGTGCTTAATACGGCTCTAAAAGTAGATGTTCTATATAAGATCTATCGCTTTTTTACTACTCTTCGAGAGCCTACCGCCGCTTCTAAATACGCGCTTATTCTCGTATATAGCGTTACGTAGAGTTTTACGGCCCTTAACGAGCGAGTTCGCTACTATATAGTAAGAGCCCTATCGTATAAGTATAGCAATTACGAAGGCTCGAAGGACCTTACTCTATAAAGCGGCGAACTTACGTAATATAGCTATTATCTTCTTCGAACGCTTAAGTAGTATAGTAAGGAATAATACCTTACTAAGAGCCCTTACGTAGTAGATAACGCCCTTCGCTTTCTTACTATTAGCTACGGTTACGAAGTCCTTAATAAAGAGCTATAAGCCGTAACTATCGTAGAGCGAGTAAAATATATACGTAGTAGATAGATTAGCCGCTAATCTACGGTATACGTTCCTTATTACCTTATACGTATCGCTATAAAAGCTATTCTACTTCTTTATATTGCCCTATATCTATTATAAAGCCTACTCGATAAGTAGCTTAGTAAGTCCTTTACCGTCGTTATTAAGAGCCTTACGATCTACGTATTCGAGTAGGAAAGCGACTCCTTCGGTCGTTACGTAGTAGAGGTTAGTATAGCGCGTTCCGCTATTACTATCGCTTTTATCCGCTATTAAATTAAGGTATTACTAAGAGTAGATAATCGCTTTAACCTCTGCTCTATAGCGTATATATACTTCGTATAAAAGAGGGCTAGTAAGCTACTATTACGAAGGAAACTCGTACTTTTAGTCGAAGAGGTAGATAAAGGCGGTAAACTTAGAATACGCGGTTTTATCGCTCGTTCGGTACGCGTATCTACTAGTATAAAGAGCTCGTACCTATACGATATCGCGTTATTCTTTTAGTATATTATAGTTAAAGTAATAATAGATAGATAGTTAAAATAAAGATAAGGCTACTACTAGCTCTACGCTCTCCGCCTTCTCTATAGCCTAGATACGGACGGCTTAGAGGTAGTTATTATAGGTAGAGCACTTATTTAAGTATCCTTATTTAATTTAGTTACGTACGTCCTTTACGTACTACTATTATAAGTAGTAGATGCATTAGATACGCTTAGTTTTCTTCGAATTATTAATAAAACTTATAAAGTAAAGATTAACTTCGTTTATAGGTAGTAGTATAATAGAAGTCGTTTCCCGTTATATAGAACTAAATAAGGCGGTTCTAACGGGAAAACAATCGAGTAAATCGAGTAAGTATTAAGCTTACTATCGCTATTAAATAATAACTAAACCCTAACCCTAAGACGAACTTCGAGTATAGTTTAGATATAGATAATTATATAATACTACGGTAAAGACTCCGATTAGCTCTTCGGCTCGTACCGGCCTCGCACCGAGCTCGGACCGAGTACGATAATGGCTTTAATAGCATTAATAACTATTGATGCCATTAAAAGCTAAGGATTAACTATGATGCCAACAACAGCCCTAATCATGACAACCACATCATGTCTCCACAACTTAATATCATCCTCAGCCAACGCAGTGGAGGTGATTGAACGTGCGCGTCTGTTGACATGCGCAGTCGCAGTCCGAATCTGGAACTCTGCTCAAAAATCATATATTGTCTACAGTCCAGGCTACCGCATGGAAAGACTGATCGGCCTCTCTCCCGAAGTTTGTCGTCAAATGCCTGATGCTGGATGTCGGCCTACTCTCCGAGATCACTCGAAGCAAGATCCGTCACGCGCTGGGCGACGCGACACGCAACCTACARCCTGGAAGTGTAGAGACCACGTCATGTACTTCACCTGTCTAAAGTGTCGGAGCATTGGACTCACTTTTCCTGGCACGCCAACATTTTGGCCCGGATGTGAACGAGGAATGGATGACATCCCACATCGACATGCTCAGAGAAAAATCACAAGAAACGGTGGATGACACGATTGGACAGAGGTATCAGTGATGCTTGCTTACTGCGACCTATCCTGTCTGCATCGACCCAACAGCTGGACCTCGCGAGCTTTTTCCACAGGAATCCTCCTGGCCAGCCATGCCAGCACGACAATCTCCAACGCTGGTACCGAGATACATGAAGTGGAACGGCCAAGTCTCCGAGTCGCGTGCAAGATACAATCGCCTCACCTCCCCGATGCAATGCTCCTGATCAAACGCGCTCACTCAGCGGGAAGAGAACCGCTCCAATCCTCAAAGACGACACACGTGTAGACCATGAGATATCCTCTCTACGAGATAATATCCTCGATCATCAAGCCTCCACAGCTCCCTGCGCCCGGCTCTAAGGATCACCACCAAGCACGAAAGCTTCCCACCCGGACTTCCCACTTGGCATACACGCCAAGGGCTTATCATATTCGCAAAATCGGTTTGAGTCGAGGATTCCTGGTTCTGGCCACACACACTCGATGCCCGACGCTGCTTTGATGTGGCATACACTACAAGGCCGCGTGGCTTCGTGGAAGCCACCATGCTGACAACCAGTGACAGCGCCATTCAAGTCGCTACATGCGCATGACAGATGGGAGCCATAATTGACGTGGACGATCCATATCCATTGCAATCACCATATCATCTTTGTGAAGCAAGAGTAGACAGGCTCATCATTCCGACAGTTCCTCCGAGATATCCAGTCTAGGTATCCATGAATGACAGACCGGATCGCGGCGGCTCGGAACATCCGAACGTTTTGGTTGCGTTGGTAGAGAAAACGCTTATCGTAAATCGATATCGACCGGAAGGTGGAATTGCGCTGCCAAGTCACAGCATATCAATTCGTGCAGCGAATCTTCTTTGGCGCAGGCAAGACCATGCTCACCGCCGGTCTACGTGTTCCAGCATTGGAACTTCAGTCTAGACTTTCCAAGCCCTTCCTCAGTCGGAGTTCCGAAATGCATGTCAACCCACGCCTTTCAAAGTGACTTGCCCACAAACAGCAATGGACAGCTCAGTACATGCAAAGAGACACCTTGATGATCATCATGGTCATTGTCATGTCGAGTCATGGTAGCAACGGTAATACTTCCATATAAAGCTACCTCCTACACTCAAAACGTGGGTRCAAGTTCTCATGGCAAGTGCCACGGACCCCGACATCATACAGGTCGATCTCTTCCCATCCTTGGAAGGTCGTGCGACGCACCCTTGAAGGATTGTGCGTCTACGAGCTCCATCCAGCCATACAGGGCTCTCGCCCGAAAATGTCCAACACCGCCAAGGGCTCGGCGCCGCGCCAAGTTGTCAGCCACGTGCAGCCACATGCTCTTGGCGCATCCTTGCAACTTCGTCCGGCATCAACGGGTTGTCTTCGCCGGAATTTGAGCGGTGAGAGTGGCTGTGTGCCTTGATCCCGGGGCGCGATAAGTCGGAATGCTCCGGAGATCCAGAGAGTCTGTGGGCTCCCGYTGAACGATGCAAATTCCAATACCAGCCGGCCTCTTTGTGCTTCCATCAGCACTAGTGATTGTGATCATGCGTAATCAATACTTGTATGTCCTCCCGTATTTGCAAATCCGGTTTGATCGGGATGATTGTTTCAGACGGGCTTGACAAAAAGCCTCGAGGACATGCGTTTCCAGCCGCGGGTGAATGTGCTTCGTTGGCTGTTGAATCTTCGAAGTGAGGTGTTGGATGAAGCAGTGTTGTCATCGTCTCCCGTTTCGAGGATGCTGGCGTAGGTGGGATAGTACTTCTTCGCGCTGGGCAACACCTCATGGAGGTCTGAACAGAGGTATGCGTGAATCCGGTCATTCATGTCTTTTGAACGTTGCGCACGTTCAAACTCCATGACGCTGCTGGTGCTGCTCTGTCTCGATAATGGGCCGAGAGTGAGTCCATTGAGGGTGTTGACACTGCCTCGTCGACTGCTGCGACCGGGAGGTGCGGAGTCGGATGGAGACGATGCGACTGAACTGGCGGACGAAGTGCTACCGAAGAGCCGGTGAGTAGCGAGATGAGGCTCACTTCCAGTACACCATGGACAGATTCCCTCGTGGCGGGTTTCCCAGCCCTGTAGACGGAGGCGCTCGGGACAATTGGCGAGATCGCTGGATTGGTTGCAAGGCTTAATCAGTTCATACCACCGATGGGAGCACGGTGCAGTGGTGACATGCAATCCTGCAATACACATGCCAGGCGCTGGATGTGGTTTGGTGGATGTGTTTGGTGTTGGTTGATGATGAGGTGGGACCCGGTTTGASGAATGAAGAAGGATGAAGGCGAGGAAGAAAGGACCAGAGCGATCTTCAGAACCAGGCGGAGAGAGTTGTGGGGCGGATGCGAATGATATAGGCAGGCAGATGTCAGGTTGGAACAGGACAGGCTTGCCGGGCTTGGCGAGGAGGGCGAAGGACGCCGTTTGCTTGGACGCGAGAGCTTGCTCTTTGTGGTAGCGTGCCGTAGGTACCTTTCTCTATTTCACACCGAGAATCGTGGGGTATTCAGAGGATCGCTGGTGGGATGCAAAATGTCCCGGTAGTGCAGGCGTGTAGCGTGTAGAGTGGGCTGTGCAGGGTATTGGAACCCGCCAAATGTTCTTCACTTTTGTTGCGCAGTGCTGGGAACGGCGTCGAGTGAGGTTGGTGTCAAAGAACTTTGACTATGCCACTTTTTCCCCCCTCAAAGAGACAGCCGCTGGTGGGTGGAGAGAAGGAACAGACGAGACAAGGAAGACGGGAACAACAACAGGCGGGCATGGGAAGGACTCACCCTTGCTTTCATGTATGGACGGCCACGTTTTATGAGGCAGGCCTGTTCTGGGCTGCGATGGTGATGTCGCGTTTAGCCAGCCTGGGATCGAGCCGCGTCCAGTGCGTCCACATGCTGCTTTGCAAGTCGCAGGCAATGCAGCAACCCGCACTGTTCCCGAACGTCTCAAATTTGCTGCCACCTGCGGGCTTACAAGGATCATCGGACTTTGACTTTGCAGACCAAGAAGACCAGGCGCCAGAAAGTATGGCGCTCCTGGCTGAGATTCCCGCCCGCCCGCCTAGCTAGCTCATCGGCCCGCGGACGAGGACTGCCGGCCCCATTCCCTCGGGATGCACGCCATGCCTGGTGCCATGGTTCCACTCTCCTGCTGCGGCATGCCCAGTGTTCTCGCCATCCAAGGACCGACAGTGAAGATGTGATGCATCGGATCGGATGATGATGATGATGATGTTTGTGGTCACATCTGCGATGGAGCGATGAAATCTGTCGCAAGAACAACCCCGTGGTGTACCATGCAGGTGTCACATCCAATCTACATGTATATTAATCCACTCCGCACGTTGCCTGCACGCCAGAAGAACCCGGCGCATGGGTTGTCTAGGAACGGCAGTGCACAGGCCTTGCATTTCCTTCTGCCAAACGCGCCGGCTCTTTCAAACACCACATGTTTGCTGCCCGACCTCGTGATAGATGGCCTTGTCCAATCTCGCAGTGGAAGAGATGAATGATGATCCGGACGGGCTGTGATGATCTTCTTTGCATGTGATGAGCGCTGCTGCGGCTTGCAGTCCTTTTTCCCTTTCCGACCTCAGCCCGAAGACTATCCCATCTCGTACAAACTTTTTTTTCTGCGCGCGACTTCACCGCCATCTTTGCATATCAACATCAAAAAGCTTGTGATGCAGCGGCTGTCATGCACGGTCACGAATCTGGTCTGGTCTGCGAGGTGTTCATACTATCAGTCTATCAAGTGCGAATCCGGAAATATCTTGCGGTGTGCTGCATTGCATGTCTTGATAAGCAAGTCAACTAAACACTAGCGTCTCTCACACCGCATGCATGCATTAATCACATAGACAGCGGTGCTGTGGCCTGTTCACCACCTACAAAAAGCTCGAGAACTCGCCACTAGCAGTTTCCAGAGAGAGTGGTCGTGCTAGACGACGTACTAGTCTTGTTGGCCTCAGACGTACGGACGTGTATCCTAAAGGAAAGCCAGATATACACACATGGTGGCTCCTTAGACACCACTTTGAGACGGGATATATCGATACCAGCATTCCCTCAGATACCAGCATTCCCTCACGAATATCAAAAAATAAACCCCTCTTAATCAAACCCACACCCAAGAATATTCTCTCGAATGCTATAGCTACTTCGTCATCTCGACACAACGGAAGTTCAGTACCACTTCCTCACCCAATAAACAGARACGAGACCCGCCCGCCCGCCTACGAAGACGAAAAAAGCAAAAGGCAAGAATCATTTACCTGCCTAAGGTAGTTGCCAACATTCAACGATACCTAGGCTAGATTTGAAGCCATCCGATGAAAAAGTCGTAACATGGCAGAGAGGCGATCCCTTGGCCAGTTGATGCTGCTGGAGCCCGAGCGGCTGCTAGAAATATCATGGCGGATTTCTACCGCGTCTTTCTGCATGTCTCGGATAATCCTTTCGTTTTTCGCGAGTGCCAGCCGGGGCTGTTCCATCRTGGCCGCAGTCAGTTTGATGGCATTGAGCCGAGGATGTTTTGCAGGACCAACGCTCTCGTTGCCTGTATCGGCCTCTCGCGCTCAGTTTCCAGTTATGGCCGTCGTGTTGCAAATTTTCCGAAGAAAGACAATGGCTGGAGATGTTGATGTACATGCAGGGGAGGAGAGATAAAGTTGACGTGTTGCTTGAGGTAACTCTCGGCTTGGCGTGTTGGAACGTGTACTTTTCGCGTTTCCTTGCCAGCCGTCTTTCCGTGTCACCTTCTACAACACCCACCATAGGAAAGCATCCATCCGTTAATGGGGGAAGACCAAGGTGGACCCTCCGTCTCCCATGGACTACGAGCGACTAAGGTATAGATCCTTGCAACATGGCGAGTCGCGATCGATTCGTCTATCCATGGTCCCAAGAGTGGNTGCTCGAACATGTCCATCAACGAGAGCCATGCCCAAATTCTTTCTAGATCCTGAATTACGATTTTAGCAGGAAGTTGGAGTTTCCGCTGTCGTGTCGACAAGGTCACTTTAATATCTATGAAGATGGCTCTATGCTCAGCTCCACTTCGATCAAAGCAGGAGACAAGAAATYGCATTCAACCTTTGGGATAGATTCTATGCTGTGTAAGGTAGCTAGCTACTTACCTTCCGTTTCTGGACCCCTAAAGATGTCAAAAAGGGGCAATATCTCTCCCTTCCAGTGACCGCAAAAATCATCCAACAATTGGGATTTGGGGTTGCATTTTTGCAGTTGTTGGAGATAGTCGTATACGTACTAAGTATTGACTGGGAAATGCTTCAAGCCAATGCTAATACTTCTCGAAGATGAAGATCTCCATCCAATGCCTAAGTATACCCACCTATGTGGACGAACGATCACCTTTCATGGTACTCGAATGATCCCGAATCAAATACAATTGATCCCACAGGTGCGACACATCGCAAAGTAGCCTGAGAGGACCCAACTTGGACTTCTCCGCCAAGCCCTCTGGCTGATGAGGATGTGCTCGCTTGACCTCCCGACGCAAACACTCCATGGTATGCTCAACACAGCCATGTTCATACTCGGCCAAAATTCTCAACGCAGACTTCTGCATCTCGATCTCCTTCAACGCAGGCGTACTGTTGAATTCCGGAAAGTGCACGGAATTTAAATTGCACTCGAGGGTATCCCGCGCAATCGAGCTGAGATCGTTGAACATGCGATTCGTCGCTGCCAGGTGGCGCGAAAGGGCAGATGCCAGATATTTCTCGGCGGGATTCGAAAAGACTTCGTTGCCGTTGTGCAGCGTCCCGGAGCTCCAGCAACACACCCAGGCGAAGTTCAATGGAGTTGAGACGTGGTCGGAGGCTGTTGTTCGTACCCAGTTGAAGTATGTCATGTCGGTTGTGAAGACTTGGCCCTGTGGATTGTCAGACTCGCTCGATTGTATTCCTGTGGTTTATTGATTGATTGATTGATACTGACTTTGCCGACTGATTGAGCACGAAACATGGTGTTATCCTCCATCTGGGTCGTTTGGGTGTGGAGAAATTGGCGAAATTCGTGTTTGAGAGCCTTGCGATCTGCAGGACTTGCGTGAACAATCGGGCCATGGTTGAGGATGTAATCTGAGAATCGCAAAAGTGGTTGGTACACCTGCAGAATTGGTTAGAGAAGATCTCATCTCCAGCATATAATTGTTCTTCCACGCATACCTTCATATGCCGAAATTTGGGATCGATCTTGGTGAAGGCCACAGTCTCATCTGAAGCGACAGGAGAGTCCACTCTAGCCCACGCTTCTTCAGTCGCCTCATCAATCAAACTGTGCAACCCAGCGGGATTTTGCTCAAACGCCTGCGTGGCGATGTCCTCCATGAACTCATCCACTTGAATATTGATCAAGGTCATGAATAGCATGTCGAAAATGAATGTGGTTGGGACAAAGTTCCTCGCTCGATTACTACAGCCGACCCACAGAAATGGCAACATGTCGAAATAAGCGTCTTTGCTGACTTTCAGATCATCCCGTGGAAAGACTTCCAACCTGCGGTTACGTAGCAGGGGTAAAAATAGAGCTGCTTCTGCTAGAGACGCTTGAAGGTCCTGATCCGATAGGGTGGAGAAAGTCTTGGTCAGCTTCAGTAGGGGGAGGAAGGGTCTCGTCTTCATAACGCTCTCTTCAAAGCCAAGTGAGTATCCGATGTTGCCTGTATCCCTTGTAACAGGGGCTGCATGCCGAGCGGACAGGATGTAGGCTTCCATGACAAATCTCACACAGTACCGAGTCTTGGAAGTCCAGTAWCGTCCATTTGCTCCAGTGGTACCCGATTCGAGATAGGCGACCCCTGAATCGATGGCGCTCTGTAAACTTGGGACAAGATCTATCATCATGTTAGCAAGACTCATAACAAGGCCATGGCGTTCGTTGAATCGCTCATCGTACACACCTGCAAAGAAGCACAACTTGCGAGCTTCGACCAGAGTTAGAATAGCATACGCTGTCTGCTCCGGGGAGTCATCCCACGATCCATCTTCACTCTGCTCATTCAGCGTACGGATACAAGCCTGGAATACCGCAATAGCGATCTTGATACTGAGATCCGAGCCAAGAAGCTCAGATGCAGAACCTTCATCCACATCGCGAAGCAGAATGGTGAATCCTTTTACCATCAGCATGGTCGGGTAAAGGYGGCTCAAATGCTATCAATCAATCATCAATCAGCTGAATGGAGGACTGAGGGACACAATCATGAGCTACCCACCCATTTATCCTTGAATCGTCCATTTGCATTCCACCAGTATTCGCACGTGAAACTTGCCGCTTTGCGAATCTGCGATCCGTAACGCGAATAGTCATTCCATGCCAGAAGTGCAAGCAGTACATGGCAATTGGAGCTGACACTTCGATCTCGCTCGGCCGCCATGGTACCAAAGGCATCTTTCTTTTCAAACAATCGGATCATGATATCTGGTGAAATGTCACGTTCTTGACCGAGAAGTTTCAGTGCAAGAAGCCCCTTTGCTGTGTCGTCCACATCGACGGTGCCCTGCGAGAATGGTCAGTAATGTTTACACTCATGCCGTAGACAGTCTCAAGATCCCGTAGGATATCCACATACTGGAGCTGGAGTGAAGAATTAGCAAGTGAGTTCCCACATAAAAGGGTGCACATACCGTGACCTATTACACCACCATCCGCAGCGAATCCAGCCCGGACAATTTCCGCAACTCTTGTCAGATCCATTTCGTCAAAGTTAGACAATCGGAAGCCGCTTTGTAAAAGAGTTGCCACTGCCCAATTGAGCTCGAACTGATGGGTTGGAAAGGTACCCGGCACGCTACCATCGCCACGACCCTCTCCCGCATTGACAACATGCCGCAGCCAGTCCTCGGCTTCGGTACTCCAAGTACTGGCATTCATTAAATAGGCTGCAGTCGATGACGGCGAGGTCCACATGGATCCGTTCATTTGTTGGCCCTGCACCAAATCAAAGTCGATCTTCCCGATGAAAGCTTCGAGWGAATAAGACGCAGGGGATATCGATTTGCCGTACAACATCTCAATCCGGAAACGAGACATTTTGGCGGCATGCATACGTGCAAGTAAATCCTCGCAGGGAAAGGAGAAGGTGAGGGATGGATCTTCATCTTTGAGATATTGAAGCATCGCAGGAGCGATAATTTCCACGCCGATATGATTGGTGCTTTCGATATCGTTCCAGGCTTCGAGTTGAGAGGCAAGTGATATTGTTGCGAGGGCTATGCGCTCGGAAATCTCTTGTGTGCTGTATTGATCGATCTGCAAGGGCTCAGCTGCGTGTTTCAAGAGCGCCAGTAGACCTGCTGATGAGTCTAGAATTGCTACGGTCTGGGATACGTTGTCGATGGCCCAGGTATCTTGAGTTCGCATGAGGTAGTGGAAGGCTTCTGGGAATAGCCATTGCTTCTCCCCGTTGGTGGTCTTGCATATCTGGACAAGCTGTAAGTTTGGTTTCTCTCAAGTTCAACCATGTGATACAAACCATCGATACCCAAGCTGTGTCGTATAACTGACAGCTCGCGGTTGAGAATCCATATGTCGGGTCGAAGCAGTCCAAAGCACGAGCAACCAGCGAACGTGCCAGATCAGCAAGATTCTCAGTCGTGCCGTGGAGCACATCGCTCTCTTTCGACATGATTCTTATCATTGTCCTCGTATGAATGTATTAAAAAGAAGGGCGGTGAAATCGAGCCACAGTTAAATATATTGTACCTTGAAAGCCAAAGCTCGAAACTTACCTGGTAATCTCCTTTTGAGAACCCGGCTGATCAATCAATCAAAGCGACTAAGAGCGTCGCCCTGGACATGGCAGTGTTGCGCCCTCGTGTACTAACCTATTCGATATAAAACGACTGGTAGACAAGCACATCCCGGCCTAATCCGAGAACCGCGGCCGGTGTTGCTCAATATCGGAAATTTGAACCGATTCAACACATGAAGGGGACTTTGGCTGGTGTATCTTGACTACATACATGAACACATGTTTCCATCCTCTCATACCAGTCTGTACAATTATCTACTCCGACACACAGAAGATGGATCTGCAATCAACCATGACATCCCTTGATGGTCTCTTTGCTTCACTTTACTCCCTCAAGCCCAAATCTATCTTGGATATAAGCACTCTCGACAAGCTCTTGGAGGAACTCTCCTCTCCTGCGCGGGGAACCATTTGCGTTGCCGATGACAAAAGGTGCAGATGGTCAGCACTGATGATCTCGTGCATTCTTCTCGCCATAACCATCACCTATCTTCTTGGATCGCTCTTCGAGCAAAGGACCCTCAGATCAAAGATTCCTGTTGCTGGACGGGGAAGCTTCTTTGTACCGAATTGGTGGGCACGGTTGCGTTTCATCCGCAATAGTCGGGAGATAATTCAAGATGGTTATAGCAAGGTCAGTCCCACCATCAAACAGAACCTTCACGCTCCTCACTCACATCATGGCAGTACAAAGACATCTTCATCATTCGAAAATCAGGCGCGGACATTGTAGCCATAGGCAGTGCCAAACTCGTGGACGAAGTACGAGCCCAGACCAAAGACTCAGCACGCTCTGTCGAGATCTTTCTCCACGACTTTGTGGGCTCGTACACCGGCGGCAAGGTCTTTGCGGAGAGTGATCTCCAAAATCGAGTTTTGATGCAGAAAGTCACGCCCAACCTTGGCGCATTGATTCCTGCCATCAAAGACGAACTTGAATATGCTATCAAGATGGAGCTACCCGTAACTCACGACACAGAGTGGATGGAAGTCGACATGCTGACAGCATTCCCACGCATAGCAGCTCGTGTTGTTGCTCGAATCCTCCTTGGTCCAGAGGGTTGCAGRGATGAGGAATGGCTTCGTACAACAGCACAGTATACACAGAATGTGTTCCTCACAGGATTTGCCTTGCGCTTTGTGCCTCGAATTTTTCGACCGCTTGTGGCAGCAATCCTGCCAACTTACTGGAAGCTGCTCACGAATCTCGCCTCCGCTCGTTCTTTCATCGGTGGATTGGCCGAAAAACGGGTGCTGCACCCCGAGGATGATGTGCTTCAGTCGATCATGGACCTTGCGAAACCCAACGAACGAGAGGCCGATGATCTGTCACAAAGGATGATGGTCCTAAGCTTGGCTGGTATCCACACCACCGCCGTTACAATGGCCCAGGCCATGTACGACTTGTGTGCCAGGCCCCAGGACTTCTCCGCGATTCGCGCCGAACTGACGGACGTGCTGAGTTCAGGGCCCGAATGGAACAAAGGCATGCTGCTGAATCTGCACAAGATGGATAGTCAGCTCAAGGAGTCCCAACGGTTCAACCCAGTCTTCCTCCTGACATTCAATCGGATCCTCCCAACCGCAGTATCACTATCGAATGGAATCGAGCTCCCTGCCGGAACGCGCGTCGCTGTTCCATACCAAGCCATTCTCAACGACCCAACGGAAGTTCCTGGCGAGAATCCAGCTTCTTACGATCCATGGCGTTACGCCAAACTGCGTGAAGATCCCGGAAATGCACAAAGACACCAGTTTGCCATGGTGGATTCCAGGAACATGGCTTTTGGGTATGGAAAGCATGCGTGTCCAGGCCGATTCTTCCTCGCAACCGAGATCAAAATGATCTTTGCGCACATGCTCATGAACTTCGATTGGAAACTCCCTGAGGGGCATAAGCGACCGGAAAGTTTCACCATTGATACTGATATGTACCCGGACCGTAGCGCAAGGGTGCTGATACGGTCGAGAGAAGTTCCGCATTCTCTGAAAGGGATTGTCTCGGTCTGAGGACAACATGAGTCCAGCCTCCAATAGGGACTGGTCTGGAGTGTAAGAATACGTTACGATTTGATCCTTTGGTTGGAGATATTCAAAAGAAACGGTTCATTGTTCACGGGCTCAACAAGCGCTCTGAAGTTTCTCAATCTACATGTTGTGATGTGCAGCTTGTGCCTTGCACCCTGTCTACCCATGACTTGGCGATGTTGCGGCACGGTAGAATAAGATGGAGGTTAGGCTGCCGGACTTGGCGTTCGACTTGCGAGCTACCCCTTATTTACTCCTTGCAGGATAAACTTTTCCCATCGATCCGATTTCCGAGCTCCTCCCTCTCTTAGAACATGGATACGGTTTCCGTAACGACAACATGCTCCAATCGCTTTGTAAAGACAGAGATATGTTACTWCGTACTGGTTTGTAGATCTGTACATTTTAGTCTACTGAACTTGCTTCTTCCTTGGCACTAGTGAAATTGTGGATAACCTTAAACTAAGGACCTTGATCCGATTCCTACTCGATTCTGTCAATGGAAAAGCTCCGAATAATAGCTCTTTCCTCGCGACTCTACCTATCCGGCTGAGCACGAAGTATGCCTGCACTCTTATTATAACTAGCTTTGCAAGGTTTCAACGTTCCGCGTTACTTGCCGTCATTTTTCCGGCCATTTCCGAATGCATGACAGACTCTGGATGAGATTAATCCCCACCTTCGGCCTTCGTGTGCAATCCCGATACCCTTCTTTCAACCCATGTACGATCCCTGCCACCGGGATTCAATCAGAAGGGGATCATATGTCGCGAGAATACTGCGAAGCCCATCTTTCTCATTGATGAACTCCTATCCACAGCTAACCAGTCTCATCATCAGTCATCCACACATACTCGGATTCGGTCATTTCACCATCTTTGGCACCTGAAAAAAAAAGATCGGTCCCGTCCCAGATCAACAACACCATGCAGATCGTCCGATCCGCTCATCAGAGAGGTATCGCAACGATCCAAGGGACAAAAATCTTCACCGGAACGGCATATATAGATCCCATCTTCTCCGTGCCGGACAATGGAAGTTGCAACTGTGCGAATGTTACATTTTTGCCAGGAGCTCGGACATTCTGGCATACACATGAGAAGGGGCAAATTCTAACAGTCACGTCTGGTGAAGGTCTCATTTGCTCTGCGGGACAGGAACCTAAGCGACTTTGTGTTGGAGATGTGGTTTATATCCCTGGGGGCGAGAAGCACTGGCATGGTGCGACGGCGACGTCTACAATGACACACATGGCTGTAGCTATTGGAGGTACTGCAAGACGCCGCCTGAAGTATCTCTCAGGTGAGATCCATGACTTATCGCTAACGTCTGCACAGGCTGTGAGTGGCACGAGGAGGTTGATGAAGAAGAGTTTGAGAGAGCAAATTCATCAGCTTGAAGACAAGACCAAAATATGCTCACTTTGATGTGAATTTTGTATTTATTTGAGCCTGGGGCCATAGTTCAGACAAGAATGGAACCAATCGTTGATACTTGAACGTTCCTACCTGCACAAGTCGCCACAACGCGTGTTTTTCCCCAGAGGATTCCATGACCAGCACAAGAAGAAGTTGAGAATATGCTCTTGATTCTGCCGACATGGAAGACCTTTATTCTCAACTTGGTACATGTTCGAGAGCTTCCAGTCCCACAATAAGTGCACTGTKTTGCTGTATCGAAAGCCCAGCTACAGGTTTCGCAAACCGTACACTCTGAACAGGACAGGCCCAACTGATGACAATCATCAGACAAATTGTGTCTCTGATCTCTAATAGAGCCAACAGCTGCATTGTACACCTATCCTCCAATTCATCGTAGCATGATCCGGTCAAGCCGATATTTTCACGCTCTTCATCTGCGTCCAATCCCTCAACGCTGCCATTCCGTTCTCTATCCCTTGACCACTCTCTGTTCTTCGTTAGAATGACTCGTAATGGAGCTAGAAAGCGAAGACTCACGTTTCCAACCGCCAGTGGTCGTATGTGGCACCCACGGCACATGTGTGTTGCCATTGACYCCCACGCATCCAGCTTCAATTCGACTGCTGACTCGAAGTGCTCGTCCAATATCGCGAGTCCAGAGATATGCGCCGAGGCCAAGCTCAGAGTCATTTGCAGACTGTATGACTGCATCCTCGTCTTGGAATTTCGATATGACAACGACAGGGCCGAAAATCTCACTTTTCAGGATACTGGCTTCAGGCGTTGGATCCGTGAAGATTGCTGGTCGAATGTAGCACCCATCGCCGTCGATGATTTCGCCACCTCCTGGGAGTAGCGTTGCCTCTTGCTTGCCATTCTCGATATGTTGCAGTACAATGTCTCTTTGACGCGCATGGAACAAAGGAGAGCTCCAGGTACCGTCTTGGAAAGGATCCGATCCAAGATTTTCCTCATACATGTTTACCATTGCCTTGATCCTCATCATCATTGCATCGTAAACGTCTGCATGGAGATATACTCGCGTGCCCAACATGCAACCCTGGCCATTGAGCATCAAGAACTGACAGCAGCTTTCCGCGGCTTTGTCAAAATCTGCGTCTGGAAATACAATGAMAGGGGACTTCCCACCGAGTTCCAGAGTGACGCTCTTCAGATTGGATTGAGCGGCGGCGACTTGTATGAGCCGTGCAGTTGGTAGGCTTCCAGTGAGACTAATCTTGCGGATTTTCATGTGTCGTGCTAGTGCATTTCCAGCCACTCCATCTCCCGTAAGACAATTGATGGTTCCGGCAGGAATTCCAGCTTGGATCGCCAAGGATACTGCGAAAAGGGTAGAAAAGGGGTTCATCTCGCTCGCTTTTACAATAAGGGCATTGCCTGCAGCTAAAGCTGGCGCGGCCTTCATGGCAAAGCAGACTAGAGGTCCATTAAATGGAACGATTGCCGCACATATCCCGTATGGTTGATACAGCGTGTATTTGATACAGTCGTCTTCTTGGCTGAGCACCTGCCCGTGGAATGTATCAATCGCATTTKCGAAGTCTGTGTCGTGTCAGAATAGAATTGAAGATAGGCGGAGCCGAGAGCTGGGAGGCTTGCGGATGAATGTCTCAGCAGCGGCATCTACTTCGTAAGTACTGAATGATCGCGCCTTGCCTGTGAGTACCGCCTCCAACCAGAAAATTTCTTCGGCGTGCTTCCTGATGAGTTCGCCGTATTTAACAAGAGCCTCTCGTCGTTGACGCTGACATTATAAGCATGTTGTTGCAGAGTGGGGCACTGAGCACCGGTTGGATGATTCCACTGACCTTGCTAAGGGCTTGCCAGGCCTTGAGACCTTCTCCGGCGCTTTCAACAGCACGATCAACGTCCTTGTCATTGGCCCAATGAATGTCTGATTATAGAGGGTTAGTATATCTTAAAGAATAACAAGTGAGAGTAGAGTCTGGCCACTTTTGCATATAGTCTGGCCATTGACAGCCGATGCCAAGCTTCGATTCTGCTCTTCACCGCTGTCCGCCCAGTCGCCGTGAATAAACAGTTTGTTAGGAATGGAGAATCGATCAAGGTCGAAGTCTGGCAGTATTGCTTGCGTCATGGTGAGTTTTGCTTTAAAGGTGGTAGAATCTATAGAGTGACCTGAGTATCACTGCCAAAGTAAGACAAACGTTTCTCACTGTCCTGAGAAATGTGAAAAACCTCCGGCAAACGTGTAGATGATCCGGTTCGCGTTCGTTTCCCCGGGGGTCCAAGCAAGCATCGCGTTCAGAGTTTCCAAGAAGTAGGGATTCCCTTTTCTTTGAGATCGCTGCACAGGGTGGACCAGGGAGGGAACCGTAGGTTTGTCGGGTGAACCCGTTCAATCCAACACTCAATCAATCAGAGCACTTCAACGATTGCCGGGTACCACTGGAACCCGAAACCTATTCTCACTGGTCAATGAGCTGGACTGCAGCAAGCTTGATTGCCTCAGCTTATTTCCGGACTATATAAGTTACCGTTCAGACCTCCACGGGTCCTTTGATCGAAGAGCGATACCATATCCCTGCAAAACAAGTTACCGTACCAATATCATGACTTGGATTCAGCATCAACGATCAATATTGACAACTTGCTGCAGAACTTGAGCTGTTCTCAYCTTGATGACCAGCTCATCCTACAGTAGCGTGGCCTAGAGCCCACCCGCAAGCATTACTTTGCAGACTTGTCAGCTTTCCGAGCAGTGGTTTGAGACGGGAGCTTAAGAAGACTATAAGTTTTCGAAGGGACCGATTCATTCGGCACCGTAAAGATGCAGAAGAGCAGAAGGACGATTATATAGACTCCAAGGCCAATTCCAGCGGCCACTTTCTGGTCGTCTTCCAGACCGTCATTGTAACCGCGAAAGGGAAGAGAGTCAAAATCTACAGGCGCCGCAATAATCAAAGGATCGTTGAATTTTAATGCTGCTTCCCTATATCAGCTGTGAGTTTGGTGACTATCTCCTTCAGCAAGCTGTATCCTCCTCGATCGCCATCGATCTCCTTTGCCAAAGCAAGAGTCTCTTCCGAGAGCCGCTGCAGTACTCTTCGGGTGTAAGAAAAGCTGCCACACTGCTCTATATATGATACAGCTTTCTTTTTCAGCGCTTCATCCTCTGTACGCTGCCTCAGAACATCATAAAGAAACCGATTTCCCGGCCTGGAATGAATCGCATGAATGATTGGAAAGCTGAATTTCCCTTCGGTGAGATCTTCACAAAGGCCTTTCTGCGTGGTATACCGACCGTCCGTGAGATTCCGATAATCGTCCATGATCTGGAACAAAAGGCCGACCATATTTGCAAGCCTTACAAATTTCGCAGTGGCGTGTGGTGAATGTGACTCGGCACACATACATCGAATAGCTAATCGAAACAAGCCGCCGGTTTTGTTGCCGACCGTTTCGAGGTATTGAAGCTCCGTTGGACAGATTCCTTGATCGCGCCAGGAGAGCTCCATGCCTTGTCCCTGATGTAGATTGAGGAGCTCCGCGGTGTAGATTTCGACGRCTTTGGGGTTGTTCAGTGTGGAAAGMCCCTGAAGGACACGGAAATATACGTAGTTTGCGGAATTGAWAGTTTGAGCGACTCCAAAGACAATGTGTGCTGCTGGAAATCCTCGTCTGAGCTCGCTACTGTCCTGGATATCATCCACTAAGAGGGACGCAGTATGTAGCATGCCGACCATGTTGTTGATTGTAGCCAGTGAGGATGATGGTAATTGTAGCCAGGAGTCGAAGGCATGGATGAGATGAGATCTGATGTTTTTGCCTGGTCGAGAAGCTAGGTAGTTGAAGGGTGCCATTATGACCTTCTCGTCTTCGGTACTTTGACTTGTGCCATCAATCATATCTGCAATACTTTTGCTTTGATTGATCAAGTTTGTGACATCTGTTCTGCCTGTGTCGACTGGAGTGAGGTGACAACGATTCAGCGTAGGCGGGTGCTCTTGAGATAAAATGCATGTCTGCTGCGCCATCTTTCGTTTCTGACATATAGTCAGCATAGTCATGGTGCCGGTACTAGCTGGAAAGAGTCTCACATAGTTTGAGCAGACTTCCTACCATATCAAAAAACGTCGATACTCGTACGGTATGCTCGAACCGAAGTCTATGGTAGAGAACTGATTGAATTGCCTAGAATGATCCAAGTGTCAAATCTCATCACAGGCTCGAGAGACGGGTGTAGTGATTTTTCAGTAAGCCTCTCGCTATAGCTCTCCCAGCCGGTTGATGATATAATAACCCGGCAGCAATTCCCGACCAGAAGAAGGTTCCCGCTGGATTTTGGCTAGACAGGATATCTATTTTAGCGCTACATAGCCCTGTATCCTGCATAGCGAAGTCCGAAATAACTTCTTGTCGGTTATTATTAGGCAGTCGGCAGCATGCCCGCATACTTTTCTAGGGGCTACCCTAAGACTTTCCAGTAAGCATAGTTAACTTCTATCGGCTATGCTTCGGGTTAGACTTCCAACCCGGCAGGGAGGGGATGGTCAAAGCGATACATATTGCCTTTCGACAAGGTCTATCGGACTTCGGTGACTTGCCCCGGGCTATGAGACCTGCCATGGCTCACCATCAGATGGCCCCAGTAGATTTCCACCATTTGGTATCGTGGCAGACCTTGTCATTTAGTGCCAAATCGTTCATTGTCATTAGCAAACGATCTTCAATTCCAAGAACTCGGTGTTGAATAGCATCAGCCTTGAGAGGCATGATTTCCTCGATGGTGTCCGGTTCTGGTGCGCTGTATACGTTCGCAGGAACGATAATTCTGGCAAGTATCACGTTCAAAAAAGCAGCTCAACTTGTAAAAGTTAACGATTTCTTATAGGGACTGATCTACTCAACGGCAATCATTCTCTACAACTTATTCTTCCACCCACTCGCAAAATATCCAGGGCCAAAAGTGAGAGCCGCCTTAGACTTTCCCTACTTCTGGTCCTTGATTCGCGGCTATGCCCCCCAATATATGCTGGAACTGCACAACACATATGGCCCAGTCGTGCGTGTTGCACCAAATGAGTTGATCTTCAATCGTCCCCAAGCTTTCAAGGATATATACGGGCTTAAAAGACCAGGACAAGAAGAATTGAAAAAGGACAAGAAATATGTCGAGGGCATGGGCGAGCCAACATTGCTTTTCAGCGATCAAACTTACCACAGTTACTTGCGCAAGCTCATGGCTCCAGGCTTCTCGGAGGGTGGTCTCAGGAAGCAGGAGGCAGTTATTCTTGGACATGTTAATGTTCTTACAAATAAACTCAGTGAAGTCGGCCAGCGTGGTCAGACCTCGGTCGACCTTTTGAAATGGGTCAATGTTAGTTTTTTTCACGGGTTACAGGACTCTATGTTCGACAAAAGGCTGACCTTCACTCTTAGTTCTTTGTTTTCGATGTGGTTGGGCATTTGAGTGAGTCATTTCATTGGAGAAGTTCTTGCTGGACGCACAACTAACATGATACCCAGCATATGGCGACCAGTTCGACTGCCTCACAACCTCGAACTTGCACGTTTGGGTCACCAAATTCACGAAACTTGGCCGACCGATGGCATACGCGTACGTCTCCTCTCTTTGGCCATTCATTATATTGCATGACGGTCATCGATAACTCCTGCTAATCGCAAAGTACAGTCAAGCTTCAGCAAGGCTACCGAAACTCCTTCGACTTCCGTTCATGGTCTTGGCTTTAGACAGGAGCTTAATGTCGGATCGAAACTTCCTCTACGAAACCAGCGAGGTAAGGAATGTGAGATCGAAAGGCACACCTTACCATACTGACCCTGACCACAAAGGCTAAAGTGAAAAGTCGTGTGAATAAAGAGTCTCCAATTCCCGACTTCATGGGCAATCTCATCCAGTCTCACAAAGATGGCAAGATGACAACTTTCCAGCTAAACTCCAACGCCGTATTTCTCATGGCCGCTGGAACGGAGACCTTGGTGACCGCTATAGTCCACACCGTATATCGACTTCTCATGAACAAGGAGACTCTCCACAAACTAGTTCAAGAGATTCGTGGAAAGTTCACCACGGCAGAGAACATCCACATGACCGGTGTTAATGGATGCAAATATCTTCTGGCGTGCATTAATGAGAGTTTGAGAATCCAGGCACCATCTCCTGCAACACATCCTCGTTACACCCCGGCCGGCGGTATGACAATCGACGGGCATTACGTTCCGGGAAATGTAGCTGTTGGCGTTCCGATCCATGCAGCATGTCGAGGGGATGCGAACTTTCGAGACCCAGAGAAATATGTGCCGGAGCGATGGACTGGAGAGCTTCCACAGTATGCCACGGATTCGAAGGATGCTGCTATGATTTTCTCAGTGGGCCCGCGAGACTGTAAGTTTTCTTCCTCCACAGCAACGCTGTCGCTATATGGTCTAACTCTGCAATGTGTAGGCCTCGGTCGCAATATTGCAATGATGGGTTTGAAGCTTGTCCTTGCTCATTTGATCTGGCAATTCGATCTTGAGCAGTGTTTTCCCGACGATTGGGCTGAGCAGGAGGTATATCTTGTTTGGGAGAAGCCGCCCATTCACGTCAAATTACACCCAGTGGATAGGTCCTAGGGCACAATGATGGTCTTGCAGCATAGCTCGGGCTGCATACCCGTGCGTTGTATCTTCAGTGTCCGTATATCTTCGCAATCCACTCTTTGGGATCGATCAATATAAGAAACAAGCATTGTTCAATCTACTACGTCCTGTAAAACCTTACAATCCCACTCGACGAGCTACTGTAGAGCAMAAGTAAATCCCTAGCCACCAAGTAGCTCCATGATTCCAACCTCCCACTATCTTAAGCAGGCTCAAAGCAAGTAGAGAGAACCGGGCCCCCACTATATTTCATCTGACAAAGCCTGAGACAATTCGTCCGCTCCCCATACACCGTATCAAGATTCTGGCATTCCCCGCCCAACGGCCCGAGGTGTTTTCCAATACAGACCCCATCGTTTTTACTCTTGCCACTGAAAGCTTGCCATTCAAGATCAGCGGCCGCACCAGCGAGATATACCGAGTGGGTAGTATCGTCCATGGTGACGGTTTCAAGGAATGGGGAGCGATGGCCGAAGTTGAGGTCGCCGGAACTGTTGTGTGTTAGTGATGGGTTGGGGAATTAGGGGAGGTGGGGGGGACTTGCCAGTCGCCGCTGGTGTATTCGTTCGCTTTGGGGATGGCTGCGTTCACGACTGCCGTGAGGGAGATTGCCATCAGGACGGCTCGGAGGAAGGAGGTTGACATGGTTGATGATAGCTGGAGTGGGTGTGTTGAGTGTGGATTTTTGAATTGGATTTGTAGTGTTCCTCGTTGTGAATGAGCAATCAAATGGGGGATTGTTCTTGGTTTATATATTCGATCATTATCGCATCCTACAACTTCTGCGTAACAGCATCCTCTACGCACGTCTTGCAACCTTCACCGGTATTGTTCTAACAATAAGTCAGATAACCAGCCTGGCACTCTCATTCGCGCGTTTTTGGAGAGCCCTAGGTAGAGACATGGGAATAGGAATGTTACCTGCATGTTGGTAAATTATGATGATGTATTCAGGACCCAGCGTGATCCTTCCTCGCAGCAGAGCTCAATGTTATATTGGGCTTGGCGTAAGCAATCCCATATCTTCAATCCTACATGCCCGATACTGCGTCCTCAATGCTGTGTGATCGCTCTATCATCCTCCGTATCGCGCTGACCGTCCCTCTTGGCGATCACCATTACTGGAAATTCATTGGCCAGGCCTGGATAGGCTGTTACTACGCCTTTATCGAATTAGTACCAACAGGATCGCGTATGCAAGCATCCTTGGCTGTCCTCAGCCGCACGCATCATGCGATGATGGCGAAAGGATTCTCAGGGCGAAAGGATTCTCAGGGCGGAAGGATTCTCGGGACGGAAGGATTCTCAGGGCGGAGGACCCAGAGTGCTTGTTGGTTTGGTTACACCGGTCAACCGGGCAAAGAGACCTTCCGTCACCCCCTCGGGAGTTGGCAATCTCTTGATCAGGTGTGAAGAGGCTGTTGGTTGCTGCGCCTTTATCGAATTAGCACCAACACAATCGCGTATGCAAGCATCCTTGGCAATCCTCAGCCGCACGCATCATGCGACGATCGCGAAAGGATTCTCAGGGCGGAGCAACTAGTATGCTTGTTTGTTTGTTCACGCCGGTATGGAATGATATCATACCATACTGATCAATTGGATGTGCACGTGAATACCAACTGCATCAAAAATCATCAACTTCCTAAATAGGCAATTAGCTTACTAGAAGAGCCTTCAACCTCTGATGGGTACCTGTTTATTGTCCTCTCGAACTATCAACGCTTTCTAAGTAGCATCACTAATCTATAGGCATYGAAATGATGATAATATCAACAGTTCGACGCAGTCACATACTGAGCTTCTCTCGTTCTGCGTTGAGAAGCATGTGGACCAGGCCTTACTGGAAGAACCAACACTAGCTATATCGATCCATACCAACAGGCTTCAGAGACTATACCAGACCAACCGGTAACTAACCAATCGAGAACCGTACCACACCAACAAGCACACTGCTGAGGGAGAGAGACAACGATCGACAACACCGGACCCCTATCTAGAGTCTCCTACAGGAGGTTTGTCTCCTGATGTGGCGGGCTGGGTTCAGTGTGTGCTGCGTATGCACTTCGCGGTGGGCTTCGATGAATTGAGGGATCTATTGAGAAACGTGCCAAATATCGCTCTAAAGCAAGCCGACATCCCTAAAATCTCCAAACAGAAACCTCCTTGCGAGCCATCAGCGTCACAAATTGTCAGCTTCTCAATTAACCAGAGCGACAGAACAGTCATTCTTCCTCCTCATTTAATTCCATTACATACACCTCCAAAACCTCTAATACCTTCTCATAGGCCAAGCATCAAACAACCCCTCATAAACCGTCGTATTATCAACCATAACTCCCTCCGCATCCTCAAACAAGAAACTAATCCGTGTACTCTCCTCATACCAAGACCAAACCCACGTACTCAACGCAAATCGATCATTAGCGTAAACTTCCACGATACTGTTATCCACAATAATGGTTAGATTCAAAGTTTCAATCGAGCTACCACCATCATAGCCAGTCATCGTCGACGGCGATGCAATATCGAAGAGTCGTAATCTACCGGCTTCGTTATTCGTTAAGATCCCCGGAGTGCTGGATGCGGCGGCGCTGGAGTTGGAACGGTCGATGATGATGCTTTCGTTGGAGAATTGGTAGTAGATATCCGTGTGTTCGAATTCGGATCCTAGAATTCGGAGGCCGGCTTTGAGGTTGGATGTGCGTGCTGAGGAGGGGAAATGGATGTTGGTTTTTAGCATGAAGAATTTGCTGATTGGGTTCWGTTGGAATTCGAGCTGGGTGGCGGAGCTGTTGCGGGCTGGCTCGATGAATTTCCTGGTTGCGTTCGAAATCATCGCGGCGTGGACTTCTTGGGCTACGGTCTGTTTGAGCGTTGTCAAAGTAACTGTCGCTGTGGTCGGATCGCTGCCGTTCTTGACCTTCCAGGATCCAGTCTCGTTGACGAGAGCATTGTTCACCACATTGTCAATCGTTCCCACGGAAAGCTCGCGGACAGTGGTAAGCGAACCATCCCATCCTTGCTGGGGCTTGGGAAATGCGCTGGTGCCAAAGTTATCCCCTGTCAACCAGAGGTAGGTGATGAACCTATCGTGGGATATACCCGAGGCCTGAGATGCGGAAGAATTCGCCGGCAGGATCTTTCCAGCTGCGGCGTAGGCAAAAGRGCCCCAGTCCAATTTTCCGGCCATGGTGACTGCAAGACTCACACTGCCATTCGAGGCTGTCTCGAGAGTGTGRGCAGCCCAAAGCATCTCTCGAAATTGCGAGACCTGCGGAATGATGGGCGCTTTCGACCATTCTGCGCCTTGCGTTGTGAAGATCTCTCCTTCAGGGTTATACCCAGCCTCATCAAGGGCGAAAACATTCCCAACCTCGAAATTGTACCCCCAACGTCCGGCCCAGGTCCCATCACCCCAACTAGAGTTGGCAGCCTCATGCCACCATTCTCCGAGATACTCCCAGTCACGGAACTCTGGATCATACTGTTTGTAGAGGAATGAAGATGGACCCACTCCATGAATGCCTCCACTGATGATGTTGTACCAAGTGCTTTCCTGGCTACCTGTTGCACGGTCAAGATGAGGGCTCTGGAATACGTATGGGTCTCGAAAGCCCGTGACGTTCGTCAGAGGGAACGGGGGTCCAGGGATTGCCGGACCGTATTCCAGCTTGGTGAAGTTCTTGCCACCATCTGAGGATACCGCCAGACTTTGTGTCTCCGAACCCTTGACGTATGGGACCGTCCATTGAATTGGAAGATACGAGACGCTGGTGTAGAGTAATGTAGCCGAGCCATTGATGCCGGCAGGGATCACAGAACCGTCAAAGACGAATAGAGGATCATTTTTCCCTCCACTTCGAATGAAGGTTGGATCTTCGTTGACGTCCTGGTAAGTGATCAAGTCTCCTGTCGTTGCAGCGGCCGCACCAGATGCCCCGAGGCCTCCCGAGTAGAGATAGCCTGAGTGGAACAGGCCAGTGGACGGATCAGTATATTGCATGCATGGATCTCCGATATGTGCAAACGGCGGTAAGAAATGAGACTTTGGCCGCCAGGTGTAGAAGAGGGTATTGTTGAAGAGCGTGGTCAGGTTGGGTGGAGCGGCATTGTAGTCGAGGACGTTGGTAAAGGCAGAGACGCCATGCAGCAGCAATGCCACACAGGCCAGCGATTCAGGAAGCAACATGCCGTGGGTGAAGAGGTGCTGCAAGTCGGAGTCTCCCGTCGCTGAAGGATTTTCCTACAAAGTCCATTTTAACCATTGGCCGTGACATGCCTGTCATATAAACAGCTTGGACACTTGCGGAGTGGAGAGGGGAAGAATATGTGGGGTTAGTCCGTGTCGAAACGGGCTTGGTGAGTTCAAAGTGGTCGCGAGAATAATCGCGAGAGTAATCCCGGATCCGACAGTCGACGCCATGACGGCATCAAAGACTTTTGTGGTCAGTAAAGGATTGTGCAGCACATGTCATGTGTTTACACGAGCCTATAGTGCATGTGGCTAGGTTAATATAGCTCTCGATCGTGGGGGTTTCTTTCAATATTTCGATGAACTGCGGAATGACCAATGTACAACAATGCCCGTGGAGGAGGATCGTGACTTTCTCTCGCTTGTACCTCTCCCGAGGAGGCGAGTCTTGGCATCCTCTAGATTGCGGGAGCCACAACATCATCCTTGCACGCACGCGACACAGCCTGCTGAATAAAGCCATCCATGACAGGTCTTCTCCACCGCAACTTATGCCTTTGGGCCGGCTCTTCGTATAACTAAGTATACAGAGACTAAAAGTCATGGCCGCCGGATGAGACGCCTGCGAAGAGATCCAAGCCTGTATCCCCGCTACACATCATTTCTATATGGATCCCCACACTCAATTTCCATTGCACAGCGGTAATCACGAATCTTGACCGCCGGTCGCAGCTGACGGTCGTGGCTCGGGACTGTGGAAGGTCACAGACTACATGCTTGGGTACTTTGTCCACGTGCGTCAATAATTGACACGGCCATGCTATCTGTTTCTACAGCCAGGGGCTTTATTTGAAGAGGCTGTCAGCTGAGTCTCAAGACAGAAACGTACTCTCAGCATGACGCAATAATATGATAAGCATGCCACATTGACTTGGTCCAACAACAGACATCTACTCAAATATTCTCGCTCATCGCTCAAGGCATATCCGCGTACTATGAACGACCTGAGCTTCCCGGCCTACATCCCGCCTCCAACTCACCAGGCCACTTTAATAAACGTGCCGATCGTAGCGGATTATAGATCTAACAATGGCGAGGCCAGTTCTTCTATTTCTCGAGTTTGAATCAACAATGAGCATACGAAGAGTATTGATATCCTCCCCCGCTCTCTTCAATACTGACATTAAAAGCAGGTCGGAAGCCCTCGAGGCACTTATTTATGCCCACCCCTTTTTCTTTCGACGTAAGTTCTCTCGCTCTGTATTTACAAATTGATAAGCAGAGTAAGTTCAAACTGTTTATGGAATTTCGAGATGACGACGTTCGTACATGCCATTTTCATCGACCTACAAGCAAAAGCATGTGAAGTTGATCGCGATTGCCCATTTCTTAACTGGAATCGTACTAGGTAGTACATGTAGTCAATGGGATTAACGCTTGATGCAATGACGTTGATGCTGATGTCAGCTACTGTATAAAATGCCCTTCTCCAACGGTGTTGGGACAGTAAGTCACATGCCTACGTCCTTCTCGGAACCTTGAAGTCCCAGCCCGGTTTATCAAGGAAATTTTTAACTTGGCTTACCCAAGCACGGTGTTGGCTGTAGACAGACGCTTGATTGCGCTGGCGGATCGACAGCATGAAGTGCAAGCTTCATATGTCGGAGAGACTCTCTTCTGGGTTGATCCTCATTCACTGCTTGAGCTCCCACATACAGTCGAGCTTGGATCCCTGGATGCTTTGACGCGTGCATGATACCAAGTCAACCTCCTTGTTCGTAAGTTCAGAGCAATCGATCGACTTCTTACTAGACCATCGCTTGTGAGCGAAAGAAACCTTGTAAGCTACCAATTTCAATCCATTCGGTGTTTACGGTGACTCCAACAATCTATCATACACCATCATGATGATCGTACAATTTATCTCAGACCCACTTACACACAATGAAAGAAACCTTCTCACACGAAAGCACACTCAAGGTTCACACTGCGCAGGCTTAGGTAAATCGCCCCCCTTCTCCGCTCTCCAATGTTGACTTCGATACCTCAGCATCAAAACCGCACTTCCCACCACCACCAAATCCAACAACCCCAACCCAGTAAAGAACCAACCAATCCCAATCTTCCTACTCAACACAGGAGTCAAAATAGCACCAATAGCACCCGCAGGGTTCCGTAGCATATTCCCCAACGCAACCGCTCCAGCAGCTTGTTGTGGCACACATTCCGTCAGATAAGCCGTCGAACAGACAAATACCCAACTCGTCCCGAAGCCCGTGATGAAAGTCGATACCAGAACAGCCGCGGGGTGATATTCCCGTTGGATGAACCAGCCATACATCATCGTTCCCGTAGCACAGATCACCACTCCCCAGATTTGATCCACGAGTCTCACTTCCGGATCCACTTCGTCCGTCTCGGAGGCTTTGGCGAGATTGTTCCGACGAATATCAATGATTCTTCCTCCCGTGAGGGATCCTAGAATCAATGCTATGCCCGAGGAAATATATGATGCTCCCACGGCCGCGGAACTCCAATTGTAGACGCCTTCGAGACTTCGGGGTAGGTTGACCGCGATGCAGAAATATGCGGCGTAGATGAATGCCGTGTCGAAAGCTGCGAGACCTATGGGAGGGTAGCGGAAGAGTTTCCAGTAGCCTAGTAGAGTGGGTTTTGGGGGTGGGGGACCTCGTTCTTCGAGTGGTGCTTTTTCCGTCGCTAGTAGAGGCGGCCAGATGAACCATGTGGATTTTTCGGCGTGGATTCTACCGTTGCCGACTCGACAGCGGAGAGTCTCGGGGAGGGTGAAGACTACTACTATCCATACCACCGAGCCAAGTAGAGCTTGCAGTGGGAATTAGCATGGTTGTTGTTAGATACATGCTTCGCTATGGTCTATGACCTTACCTAAAAATCCGAAAWTCCACCTCCAAGATGCCCCGGCCAGAGGACCCCCTATGACCGGCCCGAAGACAGGTCCCAGATTGGGCCCGAGTAGATAGTAAGACATGCATCTACCGCGATGCTCTGGCTCAGTTAACTGGGAAATGCTTGTCAGAGTACAACTCTCAAGAAAAAAGGGGGGAAAGGGGGTAAAAAGATGTACATCTGCCACAGTTCCAGCTCCCATGGCCACGACTGCAGCGGAACCAAAAGCTTGTAGAATTCGCAAAAAGAGGAGCGCTTCGTAATTCGCCGGGAGAGCTGTGATGAGAATATTGGCTCCAATGTACATTGCCAGCGAGATGATGTAGATGGGTCGTCGACCTAGGTAATCGGAGAAACTGGTCCAGAAGAGTGGCTGTAAAAACAAGGGCGTCAAAGTCAGTTATGCACAATCTTAACCTCAACAAGATAAGAATGTCGGAGAGGATATTCGGATTAGACGTACTGCGAATGCAAAAACAATCATAAAAGTAGCAACAGTAGCATTGATCGCCGTAGCTCCAACTCCAAATGCTTGCTGAAGAACAGACAGAGCAGGCAAGTAGATGTTACTAGCAAGAGGAGCGAAGAAAGCGGCAATCGTGACGATGGCAAGAACATATCTTCGTCGGTTTCGGCTCAGGGCACAATAGGGCTGTTTGGAGCCTTCCTCTTTCGCTTCTTCCACTTTGACATCCTTATTAACGGTGAGTGTGGAGGGTGAAGGTAACTGGAGTTTTTCGAAATTCGAGGAGCGGTCACTCATGTCTGTGTAGAATGAATCGATTCTTTCGAGATATGTTGAGGAGGTTTCGACTTTTTCGAGATCGGAGGCGTCACTCATGTCTGAGGGGGTGGTGGAGGACATTTTTGTGAAGTTGGGTTTGTAACTTGGGAATCTTTCGGGAGAGGAGAGTATACATACTTTTATACCCTGCGAGGAGTCTGGCAGATGAGTTTACGATTCGCTCATGGGTTATTGTCAGCTCGAGTGTTGGTTTGTATGAGGTACATGCAGTTGTGAAGACATGCGCAAGGTATATGCATGTCCACTGTCGGTGACGCGATATCTTACCTACACTTGAGGCCTGGGGGTTCGTTCCGAGCATCATATGCTGAAGATCACATTTTATATCACTGTGACCTTCACTATCATGCCAGAAATCCATTCCTCGCAGTCTGTGAAGATGATGTACCGTTACTATTGATTTTCACTACGTAGCCTCAAGTCAGATTGTTTTCCTCCTCGTTCAGGTCTCATTCAGATGTTAGATCCTAGCCTAGAGGGTTGATAGTGCCCAAAGCTCAAGAATAGAGTGAGCAGCCCAAAGGTTGATCGCAAGGCGTACGACATCGAAGGTTGTCAAAAAAGCTTACAGTGCCGTGTGCCGTTTACCTTCCCCTGTCGTATCACACGGGAGTTTAAGCAATTGACGGAAATCACCGTCGACGACGAAATGCGGTCTGGGGATAAGTGTGGGGGGAGGGGACGAGGTCGGAACGTGGCGCTCATTCTTTGGACTGCATGTGAAGAACACGACCGATGCTAGGGTGGGTCAGGAAGCTCGATGGATTCCCTCATCAAGATTCCTCTCAATTTGTAAACCCCCAACAGCAGGGCCTCAGGCTGAACATTCCTGGAATACCTTAATCCCAATGGACCACCCACTCACCACTTTAGGAAATTCAAAATCTGGAACCAAGGTTGACCCCTGTCGAGTCGGAAGTATAACCAAGATTGTGATTGGTTGTTGTCTCTGCTGTCAATGGCCAAAACCAATTAGCGCGATATGCGTGTCTGCCTGGGGCTTCTATACCGGATTTTTAGGTGTTTCAGATTTCTGGAGGTAGGGAAGCTGACGGCATGTGCAATCGTAGGTAGGTAGTTACCACGCCTTTTAAGCTTTTGACAGTACAGTACATCTTCGTATCCACAGACTGAGTGGAGAAGGTGCAGAAAGCTCCTTTACCCTCGTACAACGCATCAGAGATAAGAGAACGCGGATAGATTCATTCAACAGGAACCCCTTGCTTTCACTAACAGACACAAGTAGCACATACGCAATGCTGAAGAAACAATGAATAAGGCCCATTGCAAAGTCCAATCCATCGTCTCACCTACATGTAGTCAGCAGTATTACCATGCAAGCATCGCGTGCATCACGTCACATTTCGCAACCTGCTACGTTGCAGATGATGTCGAATCCATTGACACATGTATCTCGCAAAACTCATCCCAGCAACGCATCCCTCCCCAAACCACGCTACAGCCCAAACTTACGACAAACAAGCCAGCCATTCACATCCTTTTCTCATCARCCGGTGAGTGAGTACCTCTCCTCAACAGCTGGAGCCACGTTCTCYCAGCATACATGTCTGAAAATTCTCACATGGCCAACTGCGGAGCAACTCAATCGAAATCTTAGATTAGAAGGGTTGTCCAAACAGCGAAGCGATACATGCAACGTGCTGCCCCATTTGTCGGAAGTAGTGTAGTTTCGAGGCAGGGGATTATGTGCTCGTTGATCTTAGGTGCGCTTGCATCATCGTGCTCACTTGTTGAGCTTGTCGAGATTCCTCCATGTGTGTGTGTGTGGTGGGTGAAAAGCATCTCGGTGGAAGACTTATGAATGTCGCGCAAAGAGGGGCGGAAAATGTGCATACCCTGACCAGCCGAACATTCACTTCCCCTAGAAGAAAAGATCTGTGGAATGCCCGATAATTTCCCGAGGATGTTTGGTATGAGATAGACTCGACCTCCAACGTGGAAAAGTGACTCCTATTGACTTCCTTGCCATGCCGTGTAAAATCCATCTCGTCTCCGGGTTAACACTCTCATGACGATTCACACCTCGCTCATCACAACACCTTCTACCGCAGCCCGAGAGCGGCACAAAGAATATGAGTTTCGCTGTCAATTCACCACCCATCCATCCAAACATACAGTGAATGCATCAAAGTTTAAACTCCCCAGCCGAGCGTTCCCATCCTCCACTCTCAGGCCCAGGCTCCCTAGCCGCACACTTCTGAATGAAACCTCCCTTCCCCTCGCCCCCCCTTTCCGTGCCAAGAAGTTCATAGAGCGTGCAGAGATTAAACAGCAGCGTCGGAAAGATGGGTCCTCGCGCCGCAAGATCCTCCAGCACATTTTTCGCAGAAGTAATTTGACCAGTATACAACAAAGTGACAGCGGCATTCTGAGCGAAAAGGTCAAGACTATGGAGGGAGGGAGATTCAGCGATGAGATTTTGCAGGGTTTGGGCGGCGGCGGAGTAGTCGCCGTCGGAGATTTGGAGGAGAGAGGAGAATTGGGCTTTGTGGAGAGGAGAGGAGAGGGCAGCGGCTGTTTGGCGAGCGCCGGCGATATCTCCGACGCGGATGCGGAGGAGAGATTTTCGATGGGCTAGTTCTTCTGCGTCTACTYCGACCAGAGTGTCGAGATGTCGAGTGGCGGTCTCTAGCTCTCCCATTTCGACCAGCGCATCACAGACTCGTAGACCGAGATCGAGCAGATTATCGCTCCAGAGATTGATGGCGGGAGTGTCGGCAGTGGCWCGGGCTTGGCGGAGATGCGATCGGGCTTCTGCGGCCAGAGCGTACAGCGACATGATTCCTCTACGCCCGCCATCGGGAGCTCCGATGGATTGAAGACGGACGAGGAGGAGGCGGAGGTCCCACGGGATGGCGGACAAGGATTCTGGGGGAGCTCGGGCGAGGAAAGATTCGAGGGGCTGAGCTTCGGCGGCTGCTATGTCGGGGCGCTGGATGAGGATGAGGCAGGCCAAACGCGTATAGAAGAGTTGGAGGATGTTCAACGTGGCGATCGGGTCACACTGGAGTAAGGAGCGGGCGGCGGAATCTGCGGCGCGGCGGAAATGCCCTCCCGCCAACAGTTGAGGGAGTGGGGTGTCGGGTGCGGGCCGATGGTTGGAGGTGAGAAAGGCGTTGGGAATGTCAWCGGTGGGGAGTGGGTGGTATATGCGAGCATCTTGGAGGAATTGCACGTGAATCCTTGGGGTTTCTTGTTTTGGAGGGAGTGGTGGTGGTGAGGATGTGGTCGTCGGACTAGGCACACATTCCAACATTCAGCGGGTGAAGATGGTCCCAATAGAGGAGGAAGAAGATCTCACTCATTATCATCATCATTATCATCATCTAGTGGGCCTCGCTCGGCTGGTTGWGGGATGGAATGCGAAATGTTTCGACCATGCCGCCGTCCACCTTCCATCTCATTCATTTCTGGGAGAGATGTAGCTATCATGGATGTTTGCTGCATGTCGCTAAGGTAACGTTAGGTAGTGGAGTCGGACCCTCCCGATCCACCTCCACAGGGCGCACAGCCTCCGATGTCGCATGCAATGCTTGTCGATCGTTCGGCTTGGCGAGGCCGAGAACAAGCGGAGATTCTTCTTGGGATGGATTGATGGACGGATGTGACTGTGATGTGACTCCAACAACTACAGTACACTGCACTGCACCTCACTCTCCTCTCCCCTCCCTCTCCTCCACCTCATTATCCCCGCCGACATTGCGCATGAGCTCCATCATGTTGCAATCGCACGCGGCCAAGAGGGCCCTTCAATCCCTTCCCAGACGCCGCCCATTCTCCACCACCCCATCCCCAGCTGCCATTTCGCCCTACCGACCCGGATCCCAACAAACACAATCCACACAGTCCGCCCGACGTAATGTCTCGGACACGGCATCACGGCCTGCGCAGGCAGCCACGGCGACCCAGACACAACGAACCGTGCCCAGTCCTGCCTTCAATCGCGAAATGGACCCCAAACCACAGCCTCTGCAGCCATTCCGCCAGCCCGAAATGGATCACAGCTTTGTGGGCATGAAGGGTGGAGAAATCTTTCACGAGATGATGTTGCGGCATAACGTCAAGCACGTCTGTGAGTTGCGATCCAAGACAATACACAAAACAGTCATATCTTTATGAGGAATTACAACGCTAACACATCACTCCTCCAGTCGGCTACCCCGGAGGCGCCATTCTCCCCGTCTTCGATGCCATCTACAACAGCCCGCACTTTGACTTTATCCTCCCCCGACACGAGCAGGGCGCCGGACACATGGCCGAGGGTTATGCGCGTGCGTCGGGCAAATGTGGCGTGGTGATTGTTACCTCGGGACCCGGGGCCACCAACACCATCACTCCCATGCAGGATGCCCTCATGGATGGAACTCCCATGGTTGTCTTTTGTGGACAGGTACCAACTTCGGCCATTGGTTCCGATGCCTTCCAAGAAGCCGATACCATCGGCATCTCCAGAGCATGCACCAAGTGGAATGTCATGGTCAAGAACATTGCCGAACTCCCCAGACGCATTAACGAGGCGTTTGAGATTGCCACCTCGGGCAGACCAGGTCCTGTCTTGGTCGATTTGCCCAAGGATGTCACGGGCGGAACTCTGCAACGTCCCATTCCCATGACTTCAACCCTCCCATCCCATCCATCCGCCGCGACCGTCGCAGCACGCGAATTGTCCGTCAAGCAGCTGGACGGCAGCATTCGCCGATCCGCAGACCTCATCAACATGGCCAAGAAGCCCGTCGTCTACGCCGGACAGGGAGTTCTCGGTCACCCCGATGGCCCCAAGTTCTTGAAGGAGCTTTCCGAAAAGGCCCAGATCCCCGTGACAACCACCCTGCAAGGTCTGGGTGCGTTTGATGAACTCGACTCGAAATCTCTCCACATGCTTGGTATGCACGGTTCCGCGTTTGCCAACATGGCCATCCAAGAAGCCGATTTGGTGATTGCGTTGGGTGCACGATTCGACGATCGTATCACCGGGCACGTTCCACGATTCGCCCCTCAGGCACGTCTGGCCGCAGCCGAAGGTCGCGGTGGTATCATCCACTTTGACATTCAACCCAAGAACATCAACAAAGTCGTGCAAGCGACCGAGGCGGTCGAGGGAGATGTCACTGCCAACTTGGCCCTTCTCCTCCCACACATCAACACTGTTCAGGAGTCAGACAGAGGAGACTGGTTTGGACAGATCGCTGCGTGGAAGGAGCGATTCCCCTGGGCCTACGAGAAGGAAGATGGTCCAGATGGAGCCATCAAGCCACAAACCGTCATTTCCGCCCTCTCCGACCTCTGTGCCGACCGCAAGGAGGAAACCATCATCGCAACTGGTGTCGGTCAACATCAAATGTGGACCGCCCAACATTTCCGATGGCGTTCCCCTCGCACCATGATCACCTCGGGGGGTCTCGGAACCATGGGCTACGGTCTTCCCGCGGCCATTGGAGCCAAAGTTGCCATGCCGGACAAACTCGTCATCGACATTGACGGCGATGCCTCCTTCCTCATGACCCAAACCGAACTCAGCACCGCCGCCGAATTCGGCATCGGCGTCAAAGTGCTCGTGTTGAACAACGAAGAGCAGGGCATGGTCACGCAATGGCAATCCCTCTTCTACAACGACCGCTTCTCCCACACCCATCAACGAAACCCGGATTTCGTCAAACTTTCCGAAGCCATGCACGTTCCCGCCCGCAGGACCACCAAACTCGCGGATCTCAAGGCGGATCTGGAGTGGTTGACCGTCGGGTCGGGTCCGGGACCGGCTTTCTTGGAGGTTAAGGTCGATCAAAAGGTCCCCGTCTTGCCCATGGTTCCTGGCGGCAGCGCGTTGCATGAGTTTTTGGTGTATGATGAGAAGAAGGAAAAGGAGCGAAGAAAGCAGACAAAGGAGAGGTCGGGGCGGTGATTCTTTCAAGATTAATTGATCGATACTGATCGATTGATTGATGGAAAGCTGGATGGAAGGATATCGTCCACGGATGACTTCTTCTTGCAAAAAAACATCATCTCTGCATGGCGTTATTAATGGCGTGGATACCTTTTTAGCATGTTTACATTTCTGTTAACTCGATCGACTGGGGCGTCTTGAAAAACGGAGGCCCGTCTTCTCTGTACATTGTTGTGTTGTGGGTAAGGGAGTGGGATGGGAACCCCTGACAGTCATCTGAGAAGAAGAAGAAGAGGAAGAAAAGAAATGGTCTCTCGTTCTTGGGTCTGTTTTGTATGTAGGTACGGTAGTAGATACCTATCTACATGAGAGAAAGAAGGATAGAAAGAAAGAAACCTTTTTGAGTTCTCCTCTCCATCAAAGTATTCTTCCTTTCTCGGAGATGATCCTTCACATTAGTTCCCACCAGAACTATTCAATCTCGACTAAAAAAAATCTGCACTATCAGACTTCAAAATGCCGCATCCAGCTCAGATCCCGGTGTTTCCGACTCACGACATCGCCTGAGTAGAGCCATCTCAATCGCCAAACCAGGACCAAACGAAGTTGCAACGACATGATCACTTCCCCTCCCCATCAATCTCAATTGATCAAGCACCATCAACACCGCCGGGGAAGAACTATTACCTTTAGTCCGGTAAATTTCTCGTGTGGCTCGGAGTTGATGCTCGCTCAAGTCCAACATTTTCTTGACGCCTTCGATGATGGCTTTCCCACCGGGATGTAATGCCCAATCGAAATCACTCTTCCTCATCAGACCGTTGCTGAAGTGGGCCGAGTAGTCTGGTACTATACTATCAAACATGGGTTCGACGGCCTGTTTGACCAAATTCGGGACATCTCGTGCCAGAACAGTTCGATTTCCTACAACCAGTCAATCAACGATCCCACCGACTTCAACTCGACGAAAAGAAAAGAAAACTCACCATAAGGATCCGCATAAAAACTCATCCGATCAACCGTATCGGGTATAATAGAATTCCCCCACTCCACCAATTCAAACAGCGGCGTAATCCCCTCTCCCATTCCAATCCCATTGCAAAGCACAAAAGCAGCCGCCCCATCCGAAAACAAAACCCCAGCAACCCCAACCTCCTCCTCCCCCCCAATTTTCTCCACAGCAGCAGCAGCAGCAAGTTCACTCCTAACCCCAAGCGTACAAAGCTCACAAGCAAACCCCAAAACTCTCGCCGGCCTACCCCTCGCCTCCGCCCCAGCAGCAACTTGCGCCGCAGCCCTCAAAATCGCTAACCCGCCCGCACAACCAACTCCATGTAATAACATCCTATCCACAGATTCTCTCAAGCCTAGGGCGCGATTTACGAGAACGTCGTAGCCGGGATTTCCTTGGTTTGTGCAGGTTACTGCTATTGTGTGGGTTATTTCGTGGGATTGGAGGGTTGATTCGAGGAGGGCGGCTTGGGCGGCTTGGAGGGTTAGGGATACGCCGTGGGTGCGGAAGAATTCGTCTTGGTGGGTTATTGTTGGGGGGGTCGGGTGGGTGCCGAAACTTCCTGGAGAAGAGTAGGGGTTTATTGAGGAGCGGGTTTGGATTTCGGTTGAGAGGTTTATGCGGAGGAGTTTTGAGATTCTGTTCTCACACATATGTCTGTTAGTTGGAATCTGGTGATGATGATGGTGATGATGGCGAGGAGGAGGAAAAGGAGGAGGAGGAAGTGTGTGTACCCTGGAGATGAAACGTCGTAGAATTTCCTGGCGATGTTTTCGAAATCTGAAGGGGTGAGAGTATAGGGAGGGAATTGTGATGCTAGGCCTGTGATCCAGAGACGTGGTGGAGTGTGATGGGTAGGGTTGGTTTTTGATTGGTTTGTTTGTGTTGCCATTTTTTATTTTTGTTTTGTTTCTGAGGAGGAGAGGAGTTTAGAGGGGTGGTAATTAAGCGGATGGATGGTATGGATGGTATGAATTGTATGGATGGATGGTAGAGAAGGATAGTATGGATGGTATGGATGAAGACGCGATTCTCTCGCGCTGCTACTGTGTTGAGATAGATGTACCCAGGTCCCGTCTCTTTTCATCTTGGGCAGGGGAAAGAAGATTACCCAGCGCTAAGGCACACCCTCTCGATTGGATTGTCCTCGCTACCTTAGTTAGGTACACAGCCCGGGGCATGTATTACATTGCATTAGCGAAATGCAGGGCCGTCTTAATATAGGTAGTAAGGTACCTAGAAACTCGCTTCTTCCCTCCACTGCGATAAAATGCTATACACCCTCATTAACTCGATTGTTTCCAGGCTGTTTTGTCGGGACATAGGATGGCTTTACCCCAATAGATTCAATCTTCCTCTATAAAAGTCCCTGCCTAACTCCTAATAGTAGGTATATTAGTACCGCACAATCGAGAAGGACGGGAAGGAATTCAAGGAAAAGGATCCTACTTCCCTCGCTCGCTCGCTACTTCCCTCGCTACCTAAGCGATACCTAGGTGCCTTAGCGTTAATTAGCCGAGAAGGATTCGTATAAATCATTTATCAGGACAATCGATAAGGTAAGAAGGATGTGACTTTTTCATCTTCTTCTTCTTTATCTTCATCTTCAATTATTAGAGAGGTAGGGAGAGAACCCCTTTTCCGTACACATATATATATAATACATGTTAAACTCACCCTCTCCGCTAGGAAGAAGGAGAAGGAGAAGGAGAAGGAGAAGGAGAAGGAGAAGGAGAAGGAGAAGAAGAGGTAGAAGTATAAGTAGAAGTAGTAGGTAAAGTTTAGTGCGCTCTAAGCCTACCTAAGAGATGAGATAATAAAAAGAATGAACAAACTCTAGAAACCCTAGACTTACCTCCCACTTACCTGACCCACTACCAGGAATTTTGTTAGGAACATATATATACATACCTTACCTCACCTCACCCATCTCCAAGCCTCAATAATCCACCMCACTACACCACACTACCTCGACAATGATTCCTCACCTCTCTTATAAATGGCTCCCGAGGAGGAAATAAAAGGTGTGGGGTAGGGATATATAAACAATACAAGTCCCCCTCGAAATATCATTCCAGACCATTGCCCCAGAGGTACAGTACAGTACAACACGCCCATTTTTTTCCCTTCCTGTCGTTATTCCCATCCTATACTCAAGCACCCCGCCTGCCTCACATCCACCTCTCAAGATATGAATCCATCTACCCCTCACTCCRCGCCTCCCACAGATAAATCACACCAAAAGCCAAAAACGCCACGGCTCCTCCGACGGTGACGACTCGGAGACTGACCCTCCCGGCCAAAGCCCTGCCTCCGGCGACGGCGAGTCCCGTGCAGCAGGCATGCCCAACAATGGCGCCCAAGGTGACCAGCCAGTAATCCTGCCCGGCGGCCATGGCGATGGTCGCGATTTGACTGCGATCGCCCCACTCGCCGAGAAAGGTCATGATAAAAGTGCTCACCCAGGCGGGGGAGAGGACGATTTCGAGAAGGTTGCGAATGCCTCCCAGGGTAGAGGAGGGGCGAGGTTTGGAGGGGGATGGAGAGCGAGAGAGGGGAGGACTGGGTTCCCTCCTTCCGGATTCGAGTTCGTAGGGAGAGGGTTTGCTGGATCTTCCCTGTCGGGAGTGGTGGTGTGCTTCACTCTCTTCCAATTCCGCCTCGACCTCGCGCATTTCCTCGCCAATGCCGGCATCCTTGTCCATGGTCAGACCTTCCTTCAACGACCTCGCTCCGAAGACGAGGAAGAGGATGGCTGCGGCAAAAGTTGTGAGTCGTTTTGGGAGGAGGGAAGGGAAGGCGTGACCCAGGATGGCGGAGAGAACGGTCATGGCGATCAAGGCGGTCAAGGCGGCGGAGAAGACCAGTAATCTAGAATGACGCATTGCCATGAGGGCGGCGACGAGGAAGGTCTTGTCGCCGATTTCGGAGAATATTATCATCGTAAAGGACAGGACAAAGGAGTGGAACCATTCATGCCATGAATCTCCCTCTCCTGGATGGAGGGGTGCTGTTTGTGAGGGAGTGGATTCTTGATGTTGTGGAGGAGGATTCGTCTTGGGTTTCTTGGGATTCGTCTTTCCCTCGGTATCCGGCATGGTATCCACCAACCACTTATCCCTCCCCTGTCGGTCGGCGATGGGAGGACTCGCGTCGGACGTGGCAATCTTGGGATCGGGATGGGGGATGTTGTGTGGTTTCWCCGGCAGATTCTTGGGCTTCTCCATCCCATTGTACTCTCCACTGCCAGCGGGTTTGGAGGCATCTCCCACCACCTTCCCCGTAATGGCATCCTTTCCATCCTTGGAAATCAATGGCTTCTTCTTCTTCTGCTCCTCACTCTCCGGCAATGGAGGCGCTTCCTTGGGAGGCTGCGGTTTGTTCTCCACCTTGGGTTTGTTGGCCTTTTCACTGATCCCTCCCTCGGTTCCCGTGGTTCCCTTCTTGGGCAACAATCGGTTCTCATCATCCATGACTCCATCATTCTTCTCGGGAATCTTCCCTAACGATGCCGTCCGTTCGGATTTGACCTCTTCCTCCTCATCCGTCAAGACGTCCTTGCTCTTCGTCTTCTTCTTTTTGTYCGAGTCCTCCTTTTCGCCATCATCGGGGGTTCGGTCGACAAACGGGCCGGCGTGGGGGAGTCCGTCGTGTCCATCTAGGGAGTGGGTTAGAAATTGTGCGCCATCTTCCATCAATTCAAGTCGACCCACCGACGGGCGCATTCTTGGTGCCGACATAGGGTTTGGGCGTGTTGGCGGCGGATGCGGGTGCGGGCGCATGATTCAAGGCGAGAATGTCTTCATTGGTGAGAATGTCCTTGGTTTCGGTGGTGGAAATGGCAATGCTGGCGGGCGCGAGGAGGAGCCAGAGCGGCGATGCGCGATGGAGGCGCATGGTGGGTGGTGGATGTGATGCGATAAAACTTGGTAAAGGAGGGAATGACAGACAAGTGAAGGGAATGGCCAAAACAACGGGGAATCAAATGGGAGGTGGTAGTACAGTAGATGGAAAGAATGAAGCTGATTCCAAGGAAATGGAAGTCTCCTGGTCGACATGACCAAAAGGAAGCCCAAGCCAAGTCTGGGCGCATCGCCCGGCATCTCCCAAACATGGAATCCAGGGATTTATTTGGACGATCCGCCCCGCCACGACTCAAAGCTTCAAAGGAAGTCAGGGAAAAAGGCAGGCAGGGTTCATCAAGATTCGACTCTTTGCTCGCGTGCCGTCCATTCCGTCGGCTTCTTCTTCTTCCACCCGCTCTCTTCTTGTCCCTTTCTTCATCATCATCATCTCATCATCATTATCTATCAGCCATCAACCTTKCATTCAACAACATGTTTCTCATCATCTACTTACACTCTCTTTTCTCCCTACGCAACTACCTTGTTTTATCTTCAAAATTGCATGGAAAGGCACTGCCACAAGTTACAACACCAACACCAACAAGGTTCCGCCCGCCAATGCTTGGTACTACTAGTTAGCTCTCCCGGCTTTAGCTCCGCCTGATATAGAAATAAATAGGAGCCTCCGATTAATCATCACATTGAAATACATCCTACTAAGGTCACGGGTACATCCTCCCTCGTATTCACCACCAATCCAATCTCCCCTCCTTCATAGCAACCTCCAACTTCCCCTCCACAACCCCCACCTCACCCTCTCCCATATACACCTCTCCAATTCCATCCACCACCTCACCAGCAACTTTCTCCACTTCCAAATACCTCTCAATTTCCCCCCTCTCCCTCTCCAACAACCCCTCCGACATCCACCCCTCCACAACCCCCTCAACCCTCCCCTTCCCCCTCTTAGCCTCCTCCACAACCTCCCCAAACACCTCCCCTGCCTTGTTATACACCATCTCAAGCCACTCCACTACTATCTCAAACCCTGACTCAACCTTCTCCTCCCTCAACCCAACTTTCAACTTCCCTAATACAACTGCCAACTCCCCACCAGCCCTCCGCACCAATTCCCTGGCCTCCTCGCCTCGAAATTCAAAGAATTCCACATACCCCTCCCGCATACCCTCCTCCGTCCATCCTTCCAATCTCCCGAATTCTTCCAGCCCTTCCCTCACATCCTGGCGAAAGGAATCTTCCAATCCACTGAATTCCTCTACTAATCTCTTGCTTTCATTCGCTTCCTCCATCAAATTCTCAGAGACTGATAGTGCTGATGATGATGGTGATGAGGATGATGAGGATGAAGATGATGGCAATGAAGATGATGCAAGCGCCGTCAAATTCCTCACCAAAATAAACGTCCCCAAACCCGTATACGGCAACGCGGGCGACAAGTTCGTGAGCTGTTCCAATGAGGTGAGGAGAGGTTTTAGAGGTGTTGTGGTGTCGAATTCCGTGGATTGTGGTGACGCCGATCGTGATGATAATGAGGAGGAGGAAGGGGAGGAAGACGGCAGGGAGAGATACGCTAGGAGGAGGAGGAAGATGAGGGGAATGATGTAGAAGATGGGATTGCGGGATTTTGGAGTTGTGAGGGTGGGGATGCTTTTCTTCTTCTCTTTCTCTTTCTTTTCGCGGGATGATTTCTTGGAATCATCATCATCGTCGTCGTCGATTTTCGGCTCGAAGAATGCTACGCCGCGACGACGGCGGGGGGTTGTTGAAGTTGCTTCATCTGTAGTCGTTGTTGTTGGTGGTATTGGTGGTGGCGATAATGATGGAACCTCCTGCCGAGTAGATTCCGATTCCAATTCCGCCATTTTCTTCTCAATTAATTATTGAATTCCTTTTAGTCTTGTACAGTCTTGGTTTCATGTACCGATCCGAGTCCGACTATTCGGCGGGATTGAGTTGGTTGGTCGGTAGAATAGAATTTGGTGGAAATCTTGTTCTTTTTCTTGTTCGTGTTTTTGTTGCCCTTTGGTAGTAGTAGTATACTCTACACGAAACACATAAAAAGTCTCGCTGGTAAGTTAGGTAGATAGGTAAGTAAGTAGGTAGGTAGGATAGGTAGGTAGGTAAGTATCTTCAACACCCAAGCAAGAAATCACAAATGACCGCTTGCGGTATAGGAATTTCCCCGTATGATGAGAGAGGCATTTGTGTGTGTGTATGTGTAGGTGTGTATGCCGCATCCGGATGTCTTTGATGAAATTCTTCATTTTTCGTTTCTTCATATCAATGTATATAAAGAACATTTGGAATGGAGAATAAATAGGGTAGGCCGCTTGTTGTTGTCAATAGATGAAATAATTGATAACGTTAGAGGGACAGATGTAGTTGAGGGGAGGGGGAGGTTTCATTTCATTTCATTGCGAAGAAGGAGGAGGAAAAGGGGATTTCAATACTAGTGGCTAGAATAGAATGCAAACTACATTCCACTCCAAATAACCATCCCCTCCACCTCCAAAATTCAACCCATCCCCATCCATCTATCCATCCCCCATCCCACAAAATCACATAGTAATAGGCGCCAAAGGCACCCCCCCAAAAGCCACCACCCCCCTCCTCCAATCCGCATCAATAGCAGCCACAGGTTCCGCCGCCGCAGGAACGGTCAAGAGATTTAATTTCGGCGCCACGGCGATCAAACTCAAAGTATCATGATCGTAAGAAATCAAATTCAATGAAGAGGCGGTTTCGGAGGTGAAGCCTGCGGTGTCGATGAGGGGTTTTTTGGCGATGAGGGCGTTGACTGTGCGGGTTATGTCGGGTTGGATTGGGGAGGCTACGATTTGGATTATGCGGTTGGAGTCGGGGATTGATTCTATTATTGGGGGTGGGGTGGTTAGATTTGATGTACAAGTGAGGTGCTTTTGGGAAAAAGACGTACGAGGTTTAATCGTCATAGCATCATAGTAAGCAATTCGATTCGTCCGATTCACCTCCGCGAAGGATTCCCGAATGAAGGCGTATTCTGCCACGCCGCCATTGTAGGTTTCTGCTGCGAGGGTGAGGGTGTTGATTGCGGCGTCCAGACGGCGGAGATCTTGGATTAGGAGGTCGGTTCCTTCGTCGCGGGGAGTGTTGGTGGAGAGGGGGGTTGCTAGGGCTGTGAAGGCTGATGTAGCGAGGAGGAAGAGGGAGGGGAGCATTTTTCTAGTTTTTTTGCGGGGGGGTTTTTCCTATGATGTTGAGGGGGAATTGAAAGCGGAGGAGGAAAGCTGGGAGGAGGAATGAGTGAGATACTTCTACTTTGATTTGGATGGGATTATGGAAGACGCCGTTCGGTGACGAGGCGTGAAGTCAAACGCGTGCAAGACGAGATGCCGAGGTGGTGTTGACGGTTGATGCCGTGGGAGGGAAATTCAGGGTTAGGGTTGGGGTAGTGCATGGTTCGGGGAACTGAATAATCCCACGACTTTATCGTTCAAGAAGGATGGGTATGTCTGTCAAGCACATTGGCAACAATATGAGCCACAAGCATCGACTCACATGGAAACGAATATATATCTTCACGGGAGGCTACCATTAAATGAGTGCGTGGAATTTTCTCGTTGGAAGTCGGGCCCGTAGAGGATGAAGATTGGAGTGCGGATTGTGTCGCTACTGGCGATTTCCATCACAGGGGCTTTCCTCCTCCTTCTCCTCCATCAATATCGACAATGGACGGAGCGGAATATACGGCCCGCGGGTCATTTCACGGAAAGCTGCTCGCTGGACGACAATCATTGGATCGATGACATGATTCGCGATGCGGAATGGAAATCCGAGCATTTTCTCGAAGCGGATCCGACCAGTCTTGCAATCGCAGCGGCGGCATATCGAGTGCGAAGAGGTCGACATCCCCCGCCGGGCTTTGATGTGTGGTTTGCGTGGGGGAAAAAGCATCATCGGGTCATGGTCGAGGAGTTTTTTGATCAGATTTATGAAGATTTGGAGCCTTATTGGGGTGTCTCCCCTCAAAACATTCGAGATTCCGTTGATTCATGGCCTTCTGATGTTCTTGGAATTCGGAATGGAAAAGTACTGGACTTCAACAAGGAGAGATTTCGGACTCGGACTTGGGCCATGATGTTAAAGGAGATTTCACCTTTTCTCCCAGATGTTGACTTGGCTGTCAACGCACTGGACGAGCCTCGGATCTTGGTGTCCAAGGATGTGATGGATGGGCATCTCCAAGACGCATCCAAGCAGAAGATACGCATGATGTCCATTCCTACTTCCCAAATTTCTCCCACTTTCCAACGACGGAAGATGGAGCAAAGCAGTGCACCAAAAGCCCGAATGGATGTCACAAATGTGGACTCCTACCACGCCGCGTTGAAAGCCAGTTGCGGAGATGGCCATCCCACCATCAACAACCCATCCTCCATCAAAACCAACACCATGGTAGCACAGGATATCTGCGCAAACCCCCACCTCACATCACAACACGGCTTCCTCATCGAACCAGCAACCATTCATTTCTCCACCTCCCTGATCCCAGTCTTCAGCGCTTCCAAAACCAGCATCAACAACGACATCCTCCTCCCCGAACCCGCCTACTACTACGACCAATTCCACCTCTTCTCCTCCCAAGACTTCTGGTCCTACTTCCGAAGCCCCATCCCCTGGACCCACAAAACCCACGCCCTCATCTGGAGAGGAGGTGCAACAGGCGGCATCCCCCGTCCCACCACCTGGTCAAACTTCCACCGCCACCGCTTCGTCACAGCAATGAACGCCACCACCACCACCACCACCGACAAACCCCCCGAAATCTCCCCCGAATGGCTCCACCAAATCAGCAACGTAGCCTTCACATCCCTCTCCTGCAACCCCCACCTCTCCACCCCCGAAACCTGCAACGCCCTCACCCAGCACTTCCACCTCGAATCCCACCTCCCAATGCACCAACAATTCACCCACAAATACCTCCCCGACATCGACGGAAACACTCTCTCASGCCGTTTTCGAGAATTCCTCCTCAGCACCAGCGCGCCCTTGAAATCCACCATTTTCAAAGAATGGCATGATCATCGCCTCCTGGCGTGGAAACATTACATTCCCGTGAGCATTGCTTTGGGGGAGGAGATTTATGAAATTTTGAGATTCTTTTTGGGGGATGAGAGGGTTTGTGCGAATGATGCCGCTGGGGAGAGAATTGCGGGGAGTGGCAAGGGGTGGGCGGAGAGGGTGTTGGGGAGGGAGGATATGTTGTTGTATTTGTGGAGGGTTGTGTTGGAGTTTGCGAGGGTTGGGGAGGAGGAGAGGGATTTGGTGGGGTTTGTGGGGGATTTGTTGTGATGTGAGGGAGGGAGGGGTGCATGCCAGAGCTGTTGATGTGAGAAATCATCAACGCAACTCCAGCGCCTTGGACTCACTCTTTTCGATTGGATTGAGAAATCACTCTGCTTGTAGCAAGGATTCTAGCAGGCCTAGAATTGTCGAGTTCGCAGAGATTGAGGCCTTGGGGACGTTGTGAGGATTACTGAGGATCTCTTGTTCTGATGAATGATTCTCATCTCGACAGTTCTGGCACTGGATGGAGCGAGCGAAGTTGGCATTGAAAGGGTGGAAATTTCTCTTTTCTAGGGGATGGAGATTTGTGCGGAACAGAACATTCGGTCCATTTGGAATGTTCCATCTATAGAAGCTTCTCATGTATTCGCGAGATAAAATTCATCTCTTGCTAGCCGAGACATTTTCTACTTTTTTTTCTGTCTGCTGGCGAGACTGGGATTTTTGAGTCTGGGACGTATCCTCTGAGAGAGGACCTTTCGAGGACGCGATGTCTATAGTCGAAGGGAATGTTAGACCTGGGGAGTTTTTCTCTTTTCTTTCTCTGTGATGTTAGACCGGCTTGGGATTCTAATGAGGTTCGGTTAGAACAAGCCGAATTTTCATGTGCTGGCCTCCCTATCGCCCTTTTTGTGAATCAAACGGGACGCATGTCTAGAGACTTGATAATATACAGACGTACCGAGTGACCGTGGAGTTTTGATTGGGTGGAGGATGGCCGGGAAACAAACGGAGAGATGTTGGAGAAGGGCAGGCAGACGATTGGAGGACATTGAACGATCTGATGTCGCTAGAATTACTTATCTCTTTGGAGAGAGAGGGACTTTTAGTGCAGGGTGGACGGTCGCCCACTTACTCACTCACTGCTGATACATTTTTGTTCGGATTGTAATGGATATTTCGTTCATAAGATGTTTCCTCGTTGGGGGGGGGGGNGGGGGGGGGGGGGGGGGGGGGGGGGGGGGGGGGGGGGGGGGGGGGGGGGGGGGGGGGGGGGGTTGGTCGGCTTGCTGGGTTAGAAAGCAGCGTAGAATGTATTGAAGAGCTACAGGTCAGACAGCAGCGTGAAATGTATTGAAGAGCTACACACGCGAGTACTACGTCTGAGAATGAAAGATGATGAGAATGTACTTACCATCGCCAAAGAAGAGGCGCAGAGTACAGATGAATAGTCAAAAAAAGCCAGTGGTAGTCCTCGAAGAAGATTTATAAGACGAGGACCAAGAAGAAAAAAAAAGACAACGTGATTCATGAATACCAGAGCCGACTACATATCTCTAGAAAAGTTGACTCGTGTGCTGTGCTATGTATATCCGGATGTAGGTATAGACTCGACGGACCGTTTTCCGCCAACGTCTCACTTAAAAACGTGGGCAAAAAGTCAAGGTTAAAATTTTGAAGGTCATTTTAGAAAAGAGTCAGAAGTTTGCTTGATGGATGCGGTTGCGATTCGGAGGGCTACTCCTACAATCTATATATGATGCATGTCAAAAAACGTGGCATCAGTCGGGGTTGAAATGAAGGTCATTTTAGGGAGAGTCAGAAGTTTGCTTGGTGGATGGGATTGCGACTACCGGTGCGATGTTGAGATGTTTGTGCGTGACTCGACGACATCTTCATGTCCACGTGTATCTTTTCGAGATGAGTTGTCAACCTCATGAAGGTCAACTTTTCGATGTGGTTTATTATTATCATCTTTGCTGTTGGAGTGCTCTCGGAAGAACTTTATCCCGAGCGAAAGATGTGAACCCTTCTCAGTCTCGACCCCGATGCGATTCAATAGTCGAGGAAGGGATGACGGGATGGCTTGCTTTGCTGTTCCTGCCCACCGTCTATCGATGCTGTTGTTGTCGTAAGCAGCATGTCCGTAGATCAGCATTTTGGTGAGCTGGTGAGACGCCACTAAACCAATTGCAAGGGTCTTTTTAGCATTTGTGTGGCGCTTCTTGTTAGGGAGATTTGAGATCGACATGCGCTGATTCACACGTCACCCGGCAACCCGGCAACGCACATTCACATTCTTCAGAAATGTCAGACTCGATCTTACCTGTCTGCAGTACATGACATATCCATTGACACTTCAATCTCCACTGTTCCAGCTATCAGTAATATCTTCATCACTACTCACTCTTTCATCAAAACAACACGAACGGAATATCCGGGACCCAACCCTTGCTAGCTTCTAGTGTCATGCACGTGGATCTCACGGCGTCTCCCAAGTGCCAGATCGTCACAAGGGATCGACTTGCAAAGCCCGAATTGGGATAATCCACAATGCTCGTTGGGACTCATGTCCCTCGAACGCTGACGTCGAACGGAAGATTGTACACGCCGAGTCGTGGCATGGCAAATTACGGCAACCGCTGAGCTGGCAATACGTGTGGGTATGTGTAGGATTCTCATTGAGCAGGATCAATATACCCAATCAAACTGCTTGATTCGTAGTCAAAGGGGTTGCTGTGGCTGCTGGGGTTCAATCCATCCATCGACCCAACACACAATCAACTATTTGCATTATTGACGACATTGCAGTACAAGCAGCTTCGACCCGTCTCAATTCATGTAGATAGCCGCCGCCATGATGTCTCCAACAACCGACATCTGCACGATGAAGCGCAGGGCAAGAGTAGCTCCAAAAATTCAATCCAGTGAAGAGGTGTAGACAGCCGAATTCATGACGCATGGGTGAGTCTTTGCCGGTTATGAAAAACATCCAAACAAAGCATATCCACAGGCTAACGATTGTTGAAGACCTCCTTTGGTGCTAGTCGCCCGCGCCTTACAACACATCAATGCGGCGGCAGGTCCCTACCGTCTGCTTTAGTTCAAGCCACAGTACTGGGACACCGCCGAACGAGCAGTGTTGATGACGGCCAACAAAATTATTCCGCGTGTCGATCATAGTGTGCAGACGACGACGATCTCAACAACAAGCGAGTGAAGATGATATATAACAAATTCGCTTGAGCTCGAAAAGTTATCTCTTCACCCACAAACAACTCTCCTCTTCACACATCAACCTTTCATCCTATCAACTCATCCTCAACCCACCACCACCTCCACACAACAAACATGCGTTTCTCCCTCTTCACCCTCCCGGCTCTGGCCGTCTTCGCTGCCGCAGCACCCACTGCCATGAGCAATGAGGTCTCGACCGCAAACAGCCCCCTCGCCGATATGATCACCGGCTTGACCGAGCAAGTCCGTGGCTTCACCGCCAACATGAGTACGTCGCTTCAATCCTCATTTACAATAACGATCTATTAACACATCATCACAGACCAGGTCACAGCTTCCATGCCAGCCGATGCCAGCGAGGAGCAGAAGAAGGCTGCCGCCGCCTCCGCCATCAAGGACATTGAGGGCATGACCGCCGCCTTCCAGGCCACCAACAACCAGCTCGCCGCTGCCCAGCAGCAGCAGTCTTCTCTTGTTGCCCGTCAGGGACAGGGATTGCAGAACCTCCCCAAGGATGTTCTTGGCCAGCTCAACGGACAGCCAATTGTCTTTGCCCGCCTCCTGAACACTCTTCTCCGCGAGTTGAACCCAGCCGTCCAGTCTCTTCTCCTCACCCTCTCTCTTGGTAAGACACAATCAATCATATCCAATCTAAGCATGTGCTAACAATGATATTTCCAGGCGAGGTCTACGTCGCTCTCCAGCCCCTCCTCCGCGTCCAGCTCCCCCTCCTCCTCACCAACGTCGGTAACCTCGTCAACGGCCTGCTTGTTTCTCTCGCACCTCTCCTCGCTGGTCTTGGTGGCATTCTTGGCCCTCTCCTCCTCAGCTTGGGATTGTAAGCGTTGTTTGGATATCATGAAGCGTTCGCTTGGAATGAATGACATTCTTACTTGAGAAGAAAAGAGAAATAGGCGACATGTTAAAGCCGTTGTACATATACATAGAAATATCTTTAACGAATTTTACTTCTTGCTGCAACATGATACCTTGTTATCTCTATCTACCATTTGGGCGTGATTATCCGGCAAGCAGTTGAAGGACACTCTTACATTCACTTCAATCCAATTATCATTTTCGTTTCCCCATCATGTGTCTTCATTGTGCCGCAGACATTCTTGTACTTGATTCTCTGCGGATCAGCATCAAGTCATCAACCCAGAATAATTCCCCATCCATCTATCCATCCATTCATCCATCCATCAACCTTGAACAATCTCCCCATCCCTCTCACCATCTCCCATCTATCTTGTTAGTTGACTCGCAAAGGCATTCCTTCCGCATCAACAATCCCCCTGACTCGCCAAGCAATCTCCCAAACGTCGAAACGATATTGCACCACGCCAATCAAAAGCGACCATCATTCAATGCGAGTATTCCACACGAGTCAAGAGCAAAGAAATGGCATGGTGAAAGCGGCTGTTGTGCTGATATACGAGTCTCATTGCTACGAGTCTCATTATGCTCTACATGCAGCACGTGCATAACAGACCGTAATGGGGTCGTTTCCAGAGTCTCAGCTTGATCAACACAGATAGGATATAGACCGGAAAATTCGACATCAGTCACATTCGACCATAGATGCATGAAAGCAAGCCATCCGTATATATTCAACGCTCTGGGAAGTTAAGCCTGCCGAATCTCGACCCACATRCTTTTTACTTTATAGAAGTAGCTTGGCGTTCTTACGTTCAAAAAAATTGAACGAGACGTATAAAGTTTACTGGTTTTCTCACGTTTTTTTTACCGTGCAATTTACCTATGTCAAGATCCTGCTTCATGTACTTAGGTCCCGCTGTTCAGGCATAAGAGAAGCGATGATAGGATGCTGGTGAAGCGCGCTGATAGAGAGCGATGAATACATTCTCTCGATGATTCCTTTCAAGATGCCAATGCCAAAAAAGCGCCATTCATCCTCCTTCTTGGTGGTGACACGGATGGATTCATCCTGCTTCGTAGTATTGATGTCGATGAACCTATCCTCTTCCTTACAAGAACCAGTCAATGGTGGGTACTAACGGTAAAGCTGATTGAACAGCCAGAAGTGCACTCCTTAATACAGCTTATCCAGGCGTTTCCGAAATCCCAAAGCGTTATGTACATCCTCATGTTCCTGCTCCTGCTCCTCCTCGTCGTAGAGGTCTAGCCCCCATACTCGGTTACAAAACGAGCGGTAATTGCCTCCAGTTTGATCTTCACTCCAGTCGGGAGCCGCTCGATTGGGATGGGGAACTTGTCATGTGTCAAGACATGTCCATTGGGACCTATCTTGACGAAGAAACGTGGTCTGGCTTGGTATGCGGGTGTAGAAGCTGTCTGCTTAGAGGCCTCATATCCGAGAACGAAGATATGGACCTCACCAAAATCGGTTTCTGCGAATTCGAGGGGGTTTTCTTAGATTTGACAGAGAATACCCTCTAGTCGAGCTTCGTTCTATGTGTGATGGGATATTCCTACGAGATCTTAATTCGATAGGGAGGTTGGAACCGATGGTGTGAAGTTGGATAATTGAAGCAAGACGCCATCGCTCGCGTGGTAATAGTCAATAGGGCAAATATTAATAATGATTAGATGGAGTTTGTGAGTTCGCGAAGAAGACAACTTACTAAACGATACTTATACTAAACTTACGCTATTTGTCCTTAAACCCTTAGCAATTTAGGAAATAACGCGCTCTCTAAGTAGCTTACTATACTAACATAATCTACTCTACACGTACCTACCTACTCTTTACGTAGCGACTACCTACTCTACACGCACCAAACTCACTAGCAAGCCGCATTATAAGCGTCATCCTAAATCCGCGGGGGTCTGTGTAGAGATAGATCGAACCGATTGCGACTTTGACGCATTCGATTGCGGCTTTGATCTCATCATATCGCGTTTCGATTCAATATGGCAAATGACTTTCTCAGTCAAAGCCATCTTAACGATCATCGTATTAATGAATAAGAGTCCTAGACTAAAGGCCAGTAGGGTAAATGCATGGCTGGACACCAGAAGTAGCAACATCGTGACTGACCAAGTGTCTAGAGGAGAATGTAGCAAAGCCCTCCAGTTCACCTGTTTGAGCAACTTCGAAGCTGTGTGCTCTACCCAGCAACACCCACGAAGCAGCTTTGGAGAGCGAGTGTCTTGAGTCCATTTTACCAAGTCTAAGTATATGCTGACTCTCAGGGCACTCAGTAGGGTGGAAAATGGTTTAATAAGGAAGAAGGCTCCTGTTTGGACAGATTCGAGAACCACGGCCCCTATCTTCGATTGGAGAACCCTTGCTGATGGGTGCGTAAAGAAGGACCAGGCGATTGCTTGAACATATAGGAGAAGCGTTTCAAACAGGATCGTAAGAAACGTTTCCAACAGGAGCGTAAGAACCATTCTAAATGCCTTGTATACCGGGTATCCCTTGGAGGTAAGGTATGCGAGCAGGTACAAAATGACCCTGAAGAATATGTGAACGATTTTGCTATTCGGCCAGACAAGATAAATCGTCGCATAAACGATGACCAATGGGCTATGCTTGACGCCAAACTTCACCCCAAAAGGAATAAGCGACTCGTTGTCACCCATGATCTTTAGCAGCAGCCACGAAGCGCAAAGTCGGAGCACCCGAAGTTTTTGAAAGTTTGAAGACACAAGCAGTTTCAAATCTCGGTCTCGAGTAGTTTTGATAACAGTGATGATGATTTGTAGCCAGGAAATTTCGTAATACCGCGCGGAGACCAAGAAAGCTACTAGGCTCAAAAACTCCCATTGGCGATACATACCAGTAGTGCCAAGTGTGGAACGAATGAACTGATAGACATTCGAGTCAGTCTGTGTGAGGGCTCTTGGTGAAAGGCTGTGCAGTGCGTAAATGTAATTTTCGAGTTGAGCCCCGTTGAGTTGAATAGCGAGGTGTGTAGCTCCACACCAAGATATGGCACCCCAGAGGCCCTGACCGGGATCGTGGCGCATCATAAATGCTAAGCCTGCGAGCTTTCCCATCATAACAAAGTGCCCGCCGTTTAGAAATGATGACACCAAGGACTGGTCGATGAAGTGCCTCAAGCTCGAGTTCCCAATGTTCCAGCCGATGGCTATGAACACTACCCAGTGAACAATTTGCCTGCAGAAAGAAATCCAGCGTTGGACATTAGACTCTGGTTCGAGCAGCTTCAAGCGTGCGACCCAAAGTGGCTGACCAGGAGTCTCTGCCTTGTCGAGTTCTATTTGGAGCTGCGTGCCATTGATAGCCGGGATTGTGCGTACAAGTGGTAGGGTGTGCATCAGCGGGTCTTCTCGCGGTCGCCACTGTGATGCGACCCGAGCGCATGCCTGTTTGAGCTCGGCTGTTTGAGAAACTGGATCTGAGTCGGCCTCCTTTGCGGCTTCAGCGAGCATTACTGGAAGGGCCGGGTACGTGAACTGCGCAAGTTCGTTGGGATCATTCAGAGCGTATGGGTTGGGGCGGGCCGTGGGCCCATATGCAAAAGCGAGAACAAATTCCTGTGAAGATTCGGATCGCGTCACAGGATCCAGCACGCGGTATCTGATACGCACGGCAACGCCTTGGTCTGCCCCATGGTCTGGCTTGGGCTGACATGTTGATAAATCAGCGGTCCAAGACTGTGGAGGATAGACTGCACAAAATGGTGGGACCGTGTTGATCAACGAGCAAATCTTCAGTGTACGCAACGAGGCGTAGCGCTGTATACAGGGGAGTTCCGTCACTGCGAATGTCAGGCCGCGCGCGCTCTGAGGTTCTCGCGGTCCGAGTGATTGTAATCCTGCGCCGTGGGAAGCGTGTCATACGTTCGCGGCGTCTTAAAACTAGCCAGTCTATATCCTCGCATCGACTTGATGTATTCGGGGAAATACAGAATTCGCCTTGTCCGGCAGGGTTTAGGTTGATTAGAATTACACTCGAAGGACTGATGGTCGACCGACAGTCAAGTATCGCCTGGTGACGAACGCCAACCGACAAACCCGCACTGTTCATCAATGCCCTGAAGCCTTGGATTTCAATGTTTAGGCCACGGTTGTTCATCTGAAAAGCAGTAGGCACCGACAGCTCACTAGGGGTGATGTGACCACGGCCTCTGAAGCATTTTGGCGATGGGGCGAAGAGCAGGCCTTCATTCTTCTCCATGTCACCCACATCCCAGGCGAACAGGGATTGATTGGTCGGCAGAAAATTTGACAATCTCTTCCTGAAGTCGAAAAAATGCTCTCTGCTCGCCTTCGCCATATTGGGTCAACATCGTGATATGAAAGAGTCCAAACAGTGAGTAAGCACGATCTTCCGGGCGTGTTGTCTCCCTTTCAGCTGCCCATGACATTCGCTTAGCGATACTGAAGGAGTCTAAGCGGAGGTGGCCGTCGCAAGTGGTCAAGACCTCGATATCGATCTGGGTGACTTTTGAAAGTACAAGGGCGGAGTCTCGCCGAGATGTCAAGTATTGCCAGTTGCTGTCGTAAAAAATCACGGCAGAAGGAGCGATGAGTTCTTGAAGGGTCCAGCCTCGTGTGATCCATTTAGTCTTCGAGAAGGCTTCTGCCACATTTGCTGGCCTCCCAGACCCCTGGTCGACATCGTCCAGATACGCATAACAGACCGCAGCATCTCTATACCATTCGAACATGGAGTTAATCGATGTACCGAGTTCGGTGGGATTGCGTTGGTCGATACAGCAAGTGTCGATCCAGACGTATTCGTATCCATCTTTTTTGGCCTGGTTCATCGTGTAAGCAATCTTGTTCCAGCCTTGTTTCTGCTTGGCTTCCGTCCAGTCTGTGTCCCGTAGATCCTGCAGAGAGACTTCATGATGGTTGGGTTGGATCCACGCGTGGGAGAGAATCGCATATTCAGGCGTCTTGCTTCTGTCGTGGAATTCCACAAACCGTTGATGCGAGACGTGCAAAAGTCGCATTGCAGACGATACGAGCGTTCACTGCAAGTTTGAAAGGAGTGTTTTGATTAAAGTAGACCCGACAAGGATGAGTCCAAAGATGTGCGGAGGCAGTCGGGTATATAGACATTTTGTGCAGCCTCACTGATTGACCATTAGCGTCAGCTTCACCGGTGTGCTGCGATTGTGCGATCGTGTAGATAACATCGCCACATAGCGGGTAGAGAAACCCCCTCGGCCTCCTCTCGCATCTCAGCGAGCGGAGTTTAGTTAACACTGAGAGGCATTTCGAACGCCCACCGTGCATTGAGGATTGAGGCTATGGTGCTTCGCTTCTGTGGAGGCTGAGCTGGCTGCAGGAGGAGGCCGCTAACCGAAAATCCTTCAAGGCATCCATCCACTAAGGGCGGGTTTGAATTCTTTTGATCCACCCCTGTCACAACCATGAACAACTACTCGCAAGCAAGATTTTTTATATAGAAGGCCGGCTGCCTAGGCGAAGTATTACGGTTTTATAAGCCAGAACATGTTAATATTATAGCAAAAAATCGTGAACTTTTTGGACATGTYGTTTAGCGAGCCTTGGCAAACCCTAAATAGCGGGGCATTCGGTTGGCGAGTTAGGTACAGACCACCGTAAAAGTCCTAGCCAGCCCGACTAATAAAAAACGAGGGGTGGCCGACGTTGGAGTCAAAGCATTCTAGTAGGTAGGGCTTTCTASCGGTTACCGACTACTCTTACAGCCAGCCTTCAGATGTCTCTATAAGCAGCCTTTAGATGCAACATACACGGTTTGGACGACAACGTGGTAACACTGCTTCAAAATGACCATATAGCGCCCGAAGAAAAAGGACAAAATGACCATGTGGCCCGAAAAAAAGGACAAAATGACTATATGGCCCGAGACACCGTGGTCCCCTCGGTGAGCAGTGCTTGACGAAACACCGGATATGTGGAGGTAGCCTCTTGTCCATATCGTTCGCAGCTAAGCAGCGTCGAAGTACAAATAGCCCGTACCGGTCTTGCAGTTTTGTCCTCCATTTACTCACATCCAACCTGTTCCGAATCAACTCGCTCCGGACCATCTCGCTCCAAATCAACTCACTCCGAACCAGTCACCAAGAACCTCACCCAGCCACACAATACTGCGCCTTCTCGTTACGGCGTTGATGCTCTCGAGCTTTGCTAGCGCGTGCAGCTCTTGGTGTGTTTGCGATGGCGTATGCAAGGTCGATGCCGGCCATAATGTCTTCAACCAGAAGGACTGCGGACTAGTGTGCAAAGACAAGGGACGAACCCGCTCGGCGGATTGCAAACCAGGAGCAACCTTTTACGATTATTGCTAGTACATACGGCAAGCTCAAGATATGTCTGTCATCAATCGGATTACAATTCACAATACCGACTATTACCGACAAGCTGAACACGGCTCTTACTCGATGCGGATAACAAACTATCTCAACACCCCGGCGGATTATTTCCACTGTTGATCGCAGGTGGAATTTGTCAGGCATGGCTACCCGTCGTCTGGCTGTAAGGAGGAGGATTTCTTGGTTTATAGCAGTCGGTAACCACGCAATGAGTGTATTTCCTAAGAGCTGTCCACGGAAGTCATGTTTGTGTCCAGCTAGGTATCCTCGTTGTTTTCGCTCTAGACGGGGATGTACTGCGATCCAAATTCGCGTTGCTGTGCTGTTTTTCCCTAGCATACCCACTGTGTTTTTTGGCAAGATCATGACTTGGATAAAGCTGAACGAACGAACTTACGAAGAAGAACAAGTCTCTCCTCGCAGGGGTTTCTTGGATGATGAGAGAAATCAACGCTACATGTACCTTTCAACATTAATAACATCAAGGCGACGCCATTGTCTGTGTTGATCTAGCGAGTGGGATGCTAACGAAGACTACTATCATTCCTCCCGAGGTGAGGAGAACCCAGGGGAGGTTTTCATCAGATCCGATTTCCAAAGCACTTCAATCGCTGCCCCGCAACAATTCGTTCCCAAACTCCAAGTACAGGCCATTAACACATAAATCATCTAGTAAGCGCCAGTCCGATCATTGAACCTAGTATACCCAGGAAAGATCCCCAGCTGACCATCATCATATCTGGCCAATTGCGGACATGAGAGTCCCGAAAGCGCATCACCAATCGCCGACTGCACCTTTGCATTCACCTGACCGAGAACATCATTGATGACGCCGCCGTTGGTGATGATGTCGGGAGTTGTAATCGCTAGGACTTGAAACATGAAGCATATGAAGTTGTTATCTTGTAAGACGTTCTCTGCGTTGTACACGCCACCCTGAGTTGGAGAATTGTTAGAATTGTTCGATTTCACTCGAGGGACTCCGTTCATCTGCCATGTATCTTTTTTGAAATACWTACAGTCAAATTTCCCACATCCACAGACGTCATGGAATTCGGCGTGCCTGTATTACCGCCTGCTACCAGGGTTTCCTAATTACATGTGATCAGGGGTTTGCATCAGACAAGAAGAATGATCATGGCAGAGTTTACAGGGTGTGCGGTGTAGAATGCCACAACATCAGCATCGAACGAGGAGCCCGTATAAGGGGTCGTGGGACTCCACTTGTACCAAGATTCGGGTATACGCTCATGGCCAGGTTTGGATTGGAGATTATTGTCATCGCCAGTCACTCCATAGAATGATTTGATTGTAGAGCGGCTGAGATAGCCATTTGGATGCTCGGCTGATTTATTCGAGAAGAGGTTCGCTGCGAGACCGGCTGTACCGGGGGGGATTAAGATGCTGATGGGGCCTCGGAAGAAGTAGGGGTTGTTGTGGAGCGAGTGGTTGTCTGTAGAGAGGGTGGCGTGTCAGTGGTTGATATTAGCTGGGAGATCATCTGTGGAGGGTGAACTGACATCTAGCAACGCTGTAATCGCCTAGCAGATCCAAATTGAACTCATCCCTGTCCCCGGCAAAGTCAAGCAAGTCTTTGAAAAGTCGTAGTTGGAATGTATGTGCGTCTCCACTGGATAATAGTCAGCGAAGACGGAGTCGCTATTGACATTAGAACCACCACCTACGTGAGATATAGATCATCGCGCGTGATACTTGCATCGCCCTCGAAGCGATTATGAGCAGCAGAGATGCCTAGAGGTCGTCCGAGCAGCCCTTCGACAACGGCATCCRACGGCGGAGGCCCTCCAATCGAAGAAGCAAAGCCATCACCGGCTTCAACAGCGGCAAGAATGGCAATGGCGGTTCCAGAATCAAATCCTCAACAACGCTATCGTTAACATGCAAACTCGCCCTGTTGCAATGATCCGTCAGAACACTCACCTACGCCGTACGTGGTGGACATGCCTTCTACGACTTCCGGAATGCTCACAAAGCCATTACGTGGGATGTATGCATGGTTAGCCATGGCGTTCAGACCTGGGCATGGACCGCGCATATCTCCTGGTTCTGGTGCCTGCCAGACATGCTTGCCGGAGACGGAGACGGCTTGAGTCGTGGGATCAAAGCCCAAGGATTGGCGCTTCATGTGTCTCATGGCATTGCTCGTGGCAATGAGCAGATGTATGATCCTCATTGTTGGTTTATTCCAAAGCAAAGAAATTGCAGTGATAAGGCGGGGATCGGCGGGAGAAGCATATGGATTTAAACAAACTGCTGCGACTGAGAAGCAGCCAGGGTTGCCACATKCCACGTGCCACATATGCCGTGGTCCAACACAACCCATCTGACGATTGGATGATAGGAGCATCACATTGCCATCCATTGTTCGGCTGCGGCTTGAGTGTCGCGGCGTAGTGTATTATTGTTGTGTCAACCACTGCCCGGTGGAAGTCATGAGCTGCGATTACATTCTCTCTTGAGGATCAGTAAGCTGCTCTTCTTCGCCGTCCTGCATCTTCGTGTTATTTTGCGACACATACTGCTCCAACAAAGCGTCAAAATTAAGGTATGATACCACGTCGGAAGAGTAGTCCCTGAAATTCAACTCCGTGACCGCAGGCAGTTGTTCCGAACCTGAAGACTGTGATACCCACGAGAAAGAACGGATAGAGCTGAAGAGAATGATCCTTTCCGCAGCCAGAAAAGTGGAGAGTGGATCATTTGTATATCCAGGACCTACCAATGGTGGAAAAGGGTGAAGAGACTAGATCGAAAACTTAAGAAGATACTGAAGGAGATATTGAAATCGTAGACTCCGAAGATCATCGGTTCATTGCCAAGTTGTTCTGCAGTCCATCGACTCTGGTATAGGATCTCATGAAGTAGCTGGCAGCCGATCAGCATAGCATCTAAAAGCATGAAGCATTCACCGGAAGCATCATATTTGTGACTTGAAAAAAGGCCCACTCGATCTTCCCGCCTTTTTCGAATCTGCCTGCTCAAACTCCTGGCGGTTTGCATGCGATCAAAGAGTTGTCATCACCTCTTCCTCACTTACCGCCAGGATGAAGTCTAGGGTCTTTGGRGCAGGTGTCAAGGGATGTGAGGGATAAGGGGAGAAGAGCTTCCGTGACGCGCGCTGGGATGCCACCCGGACTGCCGTTGACGTTGACGGCCAAGACTCACAAAAGACCGATGTTTCTCCGGAGTCTTTCCCATAGTCTGCTCGACTTGTCCGCCCCTAAGACGGCATACATGCACTACCTCGACAAATTGCAGAAACATTGCATTCTTTCTACGATGCTCGTCGCTCGAAGGGGGAGGACCTATACGCAGAAGATGGAACCTCAAGTAATCCAGTCGTCTGCTGTCAGTGCTTACCCTCGTATAGTACGCCTTGTTCGGGGAGTACGGAACTACAACGCGGACGCCCAGTGTCCTGTGTGAACTGATGAATCACTGCCGTCTCAATTCCATCATCTTACAAGCTAACTCAACAGCCATGGCAAGCAGCAGTCTTCGACGTCAACCTCGTGGGTTCTTTCGAGGCGTGTCTGACCGCTTCTTCTCCTGGATATTTGGCTTCCCTCCAGAAAGATGCAACTTCACCACACTACCCTTGCGTATTCCCATCTCCAATGGCTTGTCACGCATAGAGCTCGCCGCGGATTTGTACCAGCCATTGCGTCCGGACGGCGTCAAACCACTCGGGACAATTTTGATTCGATCACCCTATGGTCGCGGAATTCCCATTGTTATACCAGCACGCGCATATGCTGCAAGAGGCTATCAAGTACTCTTTGTGAGCTCTCGTGGTACTTTTGGATCCGGTGGCGAGTTTGATCCATTCGTGACGGAGTTGCACGATGGCAAGGCTGTTGTGGAATGGATGCGTGAACAAGATTGGTATACCGGCACCTTTGCCACGGTTGGAAAATCTTATCTCGGATTCGTGCAATGGGCTTTGCTATGTGATCCGCCTGAAGATCTGGTCGCTGCTGTCCCGGCGGTCAGTCCACATGATTTCTCTCGGATCATCTGGGGAAGTGGAGCTTTCAACCTTGATGTGGTTAGGTTTGGGGATGTGATTGTGAAACAAGAGAAACCGCTTCGTTGCTGGGATAGTCTGATGTCGTTTTGGTCGACTAAATTCGAGGGCGTGTTCGGTAGTCTTCCTCTGGCTCAGGCAATTCAGGCTCATCAACGTGGAGAAACACCTTGGCTGGAGAGGATGCTCGAGAAGCCTGACATTTCCGATCCTTACTACGCACCAATGCAGCTTGGACAGGCACTTGAGCGGGCAAATATACCCATACTCATCATCACTGGATGGTATGACCTACTTCTTGAGCAGTCAATGGAGCAATACCTGCGACTGAAGGAGAGGGGATGTAAGGTGGCCTTGACCGTCGGACCCTGGACACATTTGAAGAGTGGTTTAGCACCCCAAATGAGCCGACATGGATTCGATTGGATAGAAGAACACCTTGCGGGGTCTGAAGAGGCGAGCCGTTTCGTTCCCGTGGAGTATTTCGTAACTGGCGCGCAAGAGTGGAGGAAAGCTGCTTCATTTCCTCCACACACTATACCTTCAACTCTTTACTTGCATGAAGGTGGGAAGCTACTAAGAGAGCCTCCTTCGAGCGAGTCTGGAATTTCAAAATTCACATTTAATCCGCGTCAACCGACTCCGACTATTGGAGGCAATGGTTCACTCTCCGTAAAGGGGAGTTGCAATGATACGGCCCTTGCAAAACGAAGCGATGTCCTAGTCTTCGACTCCACTCCTCTTTTCGAAGACCTTGAGATTTGCGGCAAACCCACCATCGATCTTGCTCACTCAACTAGCAGCCCATTTGCTGATGTCTTTGTACGAATTAGCGAAGTGCACGAGGATGGAAAGTCACACAACATTACAGAAACTTTCAAGCGTCTGGACCCAAATCGCGATGAAGGTGTAGAAGTGAAGCTGGCACTGAACTACTGCGCGCATCGCTTTTTGAGGGGGAAACAGATTCGAGTAATTGTCGCTGGGGGGAATTTTCCTCAGTATGCGAGAAATCATGGTGTGAAGAATGAGGACAATAGGGGAAGCGAGACATGTGCTGTTGAGCACATTCTTCACCACGATGCTATTCGCATGTCGAAGGTTGTGTTGCCTGTATCATCTACAATTCTGGGGTGATGGAACATACCCGGGATGATGGAACATACAAGCTGCAGCGTGGCAGCAGACGTCGGGCCTTGATCAGAAGCGGGAGTGTAGAAAAGATCTCAGCCGTGATCATCCTCATCTTCACAAAGGCGCTCGCCGCCCCCAATCGCAGAAAGCTTATATACATCTCCATCGCTGGCAACGTAGCGACCATGATGGCTGGGACTGTCTTGAAAGTCTCTCTCATACCTTCTCCTTATCCACTCTACCTAGCCTCACAATATCCAATCGCTCCAACAACCAAAATTGCCTTTCCCTCTTGCAGCAGCCTCTGCAACATTCATCTGATCCTTCGCTTCACAAGCCCGTGAGTATCCTCCAAAACCTACAAAACATGGTATCGTGAATACATACCCCATCCGTTCAGAAATTCCTGTCCAAACATCTCCAACCGTGCTAAACTGGATGACCAGAAGATTCAAGCCTACTACACTCAAGGCCCTCAACGAAGACCAAGCGAAGCCGGCATGCAAGTTATGGCTACTTCCCCTGGTAGTCGTGATGATCCCGCTGTTCGAGGTTGCTCCAGCAGAGACGAAGGATAGATATCCCTTCTCGGAACCAAGGAGATTGGTGCTGTTTAGAAGACCTTGGAAAATGCCATGAAAGCTCCCGCGCTGCAATCCCTCTGTTCTCAGCAAAGACTTCTCCTCTATACTTGCGTGGACAAGTATGATACGAATAGCATCTACACATTGGGAGTAACTCATCAAGTCAGGAGAAATTCGAAGCTCTCCTCTTCTCTAAGCGACGACTATGCTTGTAGATAGGTAACCACCACTACTTAGATTAGTAGTATTGTCCGCACTCTAAATATTCGGCAAAGATGAAGAGTGGATATATCTTTGCACGATTAAAGAGCTTGTGGACCAGTTTTTTGAAGCGCCGTAAGACGGGATTGTGATGGCCATTCGATCATTCATGATCGTCGTAGAATACACTTTTGACCTTATAGGGAAGCAGAAGCACTTATTTCAATCACCCTCCTCGTTACATCATTACAGTCCAGTTCGAATTATACCGAGAGTACGTTGCACAGTATATAGAATGCTGTGAAGCGTTGTGACTACTCAAGACACTGCTCACAGCTGTCTCGGACTATTACGTTCTTTCTTGCCTCCATAGATTAGAGGACGTTGCAACAGCCTTGATGTCTCGCAACAGACTCGATATCTCGCAACATACAATATGCTAGGAATCATGTTGAAATAGACTAGCCGTCTTGCAAAGTTGCAAAGTAATAGATGATATGAATGGCATTCTATGTATACTCCCTGTGTGCTCGTAGCCTACTAGTACTTTCAAATAGACTTGCAGTAAATCTGAGCTTCTTCTATCGTCGCTACCTGATAGCATCACTTCCATGTCAAAATGAACATGTATACCGTTCTCAATTGAGCCGTGGGCCAGAAATGATGCACGTGAGCATACCACTGACATCCCCTTCATGATATCACCCCGATCAATACCTCCTTTTGAAGAATCTCCTCGCCCACAGACGACAAGCGGCTGTAAGCTTGCAAACCATTATCCAAAGAGCTATATCCTCTCGAAATATCGAACCCTTTCCAACGCTTGCTTCTTCCAAAACGAAAAGCCTTGACGGCACTCCATCATATCCCTCCACCTCCTCTCTCATTAATCATACATTTCCTCAATTCATAAAAGGCCCTCGCTGCCTCAACATCAGCAATAGTACGCRAACCGCTCAAAGATATCCCCCAAGCAACCAGCTTCCTCACCCGAATCCCATTCTCCGCCCGAACCAAGTACCGCGTAAAGTCTACAAGCCGCTGACGAACAGCGTCCAGCAAATTCCTCTCCTCCAGACCCTGCCAAACAAGCCTCATATCATCCTGCGCCTTTGTATTATACCACAAAGCATACTCAGACATTCCCTGTTCCGCATAGACTCTCGCGCAGATATCTTGGAACCTAGCACGGCTGTAAGGACCTAGTGCCGGATCTGCCAGGGATTCGTGACATTGGCTGAGGATTTCACTCCAGGGGGGTTGGGAGCTTGAGTTGGAGAGAATGTTTGGATAGAGGGGTGGGTTGWGTAATGTGCAAACGCGAGCGTAGCGTTCTCGGTGTGCTTGGTGTGCGAGGTTTATGGAATAGAGGTTTTCGATGTTGCGTTCGTGTTCGGGGCGGTTTGCCATGGTTGTGATAGTTGGGAGATTGGGAGTAGATGTGGAGATGGTATGTTCGTTGTTAATGTCCAGGATGTGAATGGAGTGGGAGATGTCTTGAGAGGTAGCATTTTGAAAAGCATCCTCCAATGGATGTCCCTTCCGAAGTTCCTGTTGTCGAGGAAAGCAGTTGGGGAAGAACCGCAGGCAAGAGCAACTCTTTCACTCCACTTCGGAGCACCCTCTTCCACTTCTCGCCATTCATCTCCCATGCAACTCTTCCAAGTAGACGGTATCAGTACCTAGAATCCATATCCTCCAGATCCTGCGTCTCCTCGCCACTATCATCAGCCCCATCAACAGTTGCAACCTCCTCCAGATCATCATCATCATCGCTCCCACTCTCTTCCACGCCCTCACTAAGATTCTGCTGATCTCGTAATGAGGCATTTCCCAGCCGTACTCCCAGCTCTCTCGCATCTTCAGGACTAACACCCAACAATTTCGCCTGTTCGGGGGTGAGATCCACAATTTGAGGTGCAAACTCTCCCATCTCATCATCCTCGTCAAAAGCCGTGCTATCCATTGTTACCTGCTCACCATCCTCCAGCTCCAACACTCCCGATCTTAAGAAGTCCCCTCCAAAAGTCCAGCCATGCTCATCGCGGAGATATTCGTAGAGGTCATCGAGTTCATCCATTACATCTCCTACATCTGCTGAGCCTGGAGGAAGGGATTCTAACCCTTTGCGAAATCGCATGAGAAGGGTTTTGAGAAGCGATCCACTCTCTTCGGCTAGATCGATCAAACCACCTTCGGCATCTTTGCAGTGTTGAAGTTGTAAGCGAAGGGTTGACAGGGTTCTGATGAATAGGTCCGGGTGTGTGGGCACTGCAGACTTGCAGGTGAGGAGTACTTCGAGCAAGCGGCGCCATTGTTCTAGACAAGAAAAGTTGTTGAGGGTGAGGATCATGAGAAATGTGAATTGCAGTTCACCGATTACCTGTGATGGATTTCATTAGCATCATGTACAAGTATGTCGGTTCAGGAAAGACTCACCTCGCCTAAATCACCCCCCGAACACTCCAATCTGATTACATTCTCCAATGCCCAACTCCGGTCTTGAGCGGCATCCGTGCGTTCCCGGCCTGTTGCACCTTCTCGCCACGTCCGCTTGAAGTCGATTGTGAGAWAGTTGAGCTCGCTACCATCCGATTGAAGCTCCTTTTTATCCTTCTCATCAAGTCCGGGGATGTCTTCAAGATCTCGACGTGCGGAGCTGGCGGAAGTGAGGTACCAATGATGTCCATCTCCACCAGTAATTCTTGACACAAGTGGGGCCTTGATTTCTGAAGTCAGAGCCGGCCAGTCTTGAAGCTCCTCCGCAGCATCACCCTCCTTTGTAAAGGATGACTGGCGATAAGGTGTAAGACCTTCTCGCCAGAACGTTCCAAGGTTAGCTCGCCAGCGTAGCTTTTCGGCATCGTCAGTTTCTGCTTTTAGGGTCTCGGTGGCTTGACTCCATTTAGTGATGAAAAGCGGCACTTCGGGTGCTTGTGAGCCTGTGTTGTAGAACCAGAGACCATGGCGTTCGGAAAATGCTGTGGTGGTGCTTGCAAAGGCGAAGTGGAAGCCGGATGGTAGGTCCTTGACTCCGCGAAATCTCGGTGTGACGGTGAAGGAGAGAAGGTCAATTCCGGCCAAAGCTGATGGCGGGAGATCCAGTAGGAGAACCGCGGCCGATGATGCGGTTTCCATGGCTGTGATGTGGTAGTGTGGATCTTGTTGTCAGGTTGTTATGTGGCAATGTTGATTACATGTATGCTGTCTTGCTCCGGCGCTCGAGGTGCGGCTTTCAAATTTTGCACAATTGCGATTCAAAAAAAATCACTTCTTATTGCTGGCCTTTCATTGCAGCTGTGTATTTTGCACATGTCTGACAGATCTACAAAATAAATTGTGGTGTAAGAATACAAGCGGTGAAGTGAATAGATACATGTAGCCGGAAAAGTAAAAGACCATCGTTCATGAAGAAATGCATGTCACGGTAGCGTTATGCTTTATGTCTGAGAAGTGATTGTCGAATGCCTCGCCGATATCGGATCCGTAGGGTAGAAGTGTGATCCGCGCTACGCACGGTCCACGGTCCGCACGTTTTCGAATCCAACTTCGAAAAAGGTGTAACTTTTACCGAGTTACTACGCTATAACTATACGTCTAATAGAGGCCGCATTAAAGGAGCTAAAAGAAGGCGATAAGAAGTATATTACAAAAATTGCACGTAAGTATAGGGTGGAGCGTACTACCCTTAGTAAGAGGTTCCGCGGAGTCTATAATTCTCGTAAACGACGCGACGAAAACGCGTCTATTCTCTTATACTAATAGGAGCGTACGCTAGTAGCCTATATTAACACCCTTATACTTAGAGGCATTCCCCCTACGCCTACTATAGTTATAAACTTTATATTCGATATTACGAAGAGGTTACTAAAGCGATAATAGGTCCCTCGATTCGTAGAGCGATATAAAGAGCTAGAATCGAGATATCTTAATCCTCTAGATAAATTAAGGAAAAAAGCAGACTCTATACGGCAATATAGGGCCTACTTCGATCTATTAGTAAGCAAGATAGAGCAGTATAATATATTGCTAGAAAACACATATAATATAAATAAGAAGGGCTTTATAATTAGGGTCCTTTAGAAGACTCGACGAGTATTTACTAAGAGCTACCGTACGATAGGCCGTCTACTTAGTAATATATAGGATAGTAGTCGTAAGTWGATTACCTATATTGCCTATATTTGCGTAGATAGCTCTAAATTACTACCTAGCCTTATCTATAAGGCTATTACTAGTAATATTTAGTCTACTTAGACTTAGGATTTTAATGCGAATACTTATACTGCATTCTTTACCTCCTTACTAAACGGATAGACGGACAACTACCTTAGATTACGCTAGGTAATAGACGTATTTAATCGGTTTATAAAGCAGAAAGTAGGCCGTAACTAGAGACTCCTTATAATCGATAGCTATAGATTATATATAAACATGCCGTTCCTTAACTACTATATTACTAACCGTATTATAGTAGCTATATATCTACCTTACTCTACGCATCGATTATAGCCTCTAGATATGTCWCTTTTTAGTACCCTAGCTACCTACTATAGCTAGGAGCTCGTAAGATATATATAATAGAGTAAGGGTTTCTTAGGCGTATTAAAGCGTAACTTCTTCTATATGTTTAATATCGCATATAAACGAGCCTTTACTATATAGAATATTAACTCTAGCTTTAGGAAGATAGGTCTATATCTACTAGATTCTTCTACAATTCTTAGGACTTTCGAGTCTATATTTAAAGATAAACTACGGTTAAATAGCAGTAGTAGGCTAGTAACCTTATCCTCTAAAACCTTAGTATTGTCGGCTAGTTAATAGCGTTAGATACGTGCAATACTTAAGAACGTAGTAATTAAGAACGAGAACAACGAGCGAGATATCTAGAAGCTATCTAATACTATACTTTATATATAAACAGAGAACGCCCTACTTAAAAACGAGTGTAGTAGCCTCTATAAGGCCTTCTAGTATAAGAAGAAGAAGCGATAACGTACTAAACCGTTATTTGCTATTCCTTAGGACTAAGCAGCTTAATAGTACTTACTAGCGAAGGTATAGGCTAGCTAGGCCCTATTAATTAAGAAGGAGCGTTAGAAAGAGAATAAGAAGAAAGAGAAATATCTAAAAGTAATTAATACACGTGCTACAAAGCAGTTAAAAGAGGATAAGGCTATATAAGCTCGAAAAAATCGCGAGATCGAGAAGGCTAAGAAAGTAGCTAAGAAGTAGAAGCGATTAAAGGCTATTACTATATAAAAATAGGTAAATAAGACTCTTTAGGCTTCTATTAGGAAGCTAAGGAAATAGCCTATAAAGACTACAGTTACAAGCAATTAGAAGAGCCGTATTATAGTGCTTAAACTACCGGTATCTAGCTTATAGGCTATATAGCCCCCCCGGCTAACTACGAGGCGCACACTCGTAGAAAAACTCCGCGCTACTTAGGGATTAAAGAGCTAATTATTACGAGCAATTTAAGCTATTAAACACGTAGATTGGACCGTTAGTTGTTGTATAATTAATTGTTAAAGTAGTTCGTATATTAAGTAATTATCGTAAGGACCGTGGACCGTGCGTAGCGTGGATCACACTTCTAGTAGCAGAATTCGATCCTGGCTATAGTCTCTATACGATACGATATACTTATATATTTGAGTAATAAGTTATATAGAAATTTCGCTGTTACCGACGTCCTCTCCTCTCCCCTAAACTCCTCATACGACGTACAGCCTTATGGAATCGCCTCTATCCGCGCCTCCTTCGAGGTCCGCGTACCCGCATTACAGCACCCGTCCTTGAAGTTTTGCCCAACCCCGGGACGCCAATTGACCTTCGGCGAAGCTGGGACATTCATCTAGGAGTCGAGCGGCTTCTGGACTTTCTGGGAGGCCTTGTCGTGCGCTGGTAGTCAACTTACTGCCAGGTTTGAATCGAGATGCTGCCACTCAATCTGGCAGACTTGTTGCGCTCAGTCTGTAGCTCCACCGCATGTACCTCCAGCTCCTGCGCGCGGGGACTAGCGAGCTCGACCGATAAAGCTCCACGCAGCGGTAGAGCTCTGTAGCAACTTTTGCTCGATTTTGCGTCTCCCCTGGAAGATTGCATACGTTCCAGTAAAGAGTGTGTGCTTGCCCAAGTTGGACAACATGACTGTGGCACACGCGCTCATCGGGCTGGAGCTGTGGAGACCTCTGCTTCCATCCGGCAGCCGAACAGTCTGGAGGATTGCATCGAGAGAAAGGAGGTTGTGGCGTGACCCGTCGTCCGATCGGTACACTTGAGGCATGTAAACGTCTTCCGTCCTTCCCTGCGCATTCATCGGAATGAGTTCCAGAATCTTCTTCGCCTCCTCGACGGGTGTCAGCTCAAATGTCTTGCCGAGACAAGCTCAACGCTCACTCCGGATCGACGCAGCGAGATGCTGTACGCAGAGAGTGGCCGAGAGTACCACGATCCCTTCTGTGGATGTAAGACGTCCACAATCGGAACATGTCACCTTCCCGCTGCTGCGCGGACCGAATAGACTCCGCAGTGGGGTGCCATCCTTCATGGCGGCGTTGATCTCGTCGGCGCAGACGGCAGCGGCTTGAAACGTAGCCCGCATGCCTTCTCCAGAAAGATATGTGCTGTCTGTGGTATCAAGAAGGAGGGCGACAGCGGAGTAAGATCGGGAATCAAGGTATATGCGAATCTTCGCCTTGTTCTGAATGACCTTCTTGTCACCAAGCTTGGTGCTACTGAACACGTCGGTGAGYAGAGGTGTGCTCCATTTGAGGTGTGATCCACGAGTACACGCACCGTGAATACTTCAAAATGGCTTGCCGGCGTATTACCGTCCTTTCTGTGGAATGTCAGTACAAATTCGTTGAACAATGGGGAAAATAGCGTATGGAGGGAGTTGCATCGACCCTGATACCGTCTAGTGACGCAGTCGATGTAAGCTGCAACCGCCCCACGCCACTCAACTATCTCCGTCTGACCGACTTTGGCATACACAAGTTCCAGGAAGCGAAGAGCTTTTCGGTGCTGAAGTCTTTCAACCTCGCCCTTGTAGACTTTCGCGTCTGGGACTTGTGCCGTGGTGGTGTATTCGTGCGCACCGCCTTTGCACGTCGGAACCTTGTACTTGGTCTCAGGGAGGGGAGCAGAAAGCTCAGGCGGCTTGAGATTGACAATTGAGGGTACACAGGTCACGCAGTGGGACTGTTCAATCTGTACACCATCGCGGAGTAACATTGCAGGCATGAGCATCCTAAACATATTGTCAGATTGTACAGATTAATGCAGCATGGGAAACGTACTGATACGAAGGCGTTGTTCCAGACCGGTGAGTCGTTGGGCGGCCAATGTGGTAGTCCGGGGGGGTGAATGCCGGATGTAGTTGATGATGACCATGTTTATCAGTCGCTTCGGCTTGACCGGCACGGTGCGTGGCCAGAAAGGGTCGCCGGCGATGTGCTCCAGCAGGCTCGCCACGTTGTCACCAATGACAACTCAGTATGTGAAATAGTGCCGCCTTTTTCGTACTTGTAAACTCCAAGAGAATTCTTGGTGATATCCTTTGCCACAGAGAGGTTGGCGTTTGGACGGTGGAAGATCAGACTGCTGTTGGTCGCATCCTTTGTCATCTTGCTAAAGTTCGTATGATTGACCGTACAGAGCACCTTTCGAACTTCAGGAAGAGCAAATATCGACTGGAAAGTCTCTGGTAGAAGAGACTTGTGGAGTTGTCGCTGCGTCCCACTTGGCGATCGTGTGCATCTGACGGAACTTGTGCTGAGACAGAGGAATCTTCATGCTCTCGATCTCTGCGGGTAGCAGCATGGTCAAATTTCGATCGCTTTCACCGAGACTGGTAAGTCCGCTGGCAAAGGCATTCGCGGTTTGCGTGCCCACGGTCCCCTGCTTGAGACAAGGCTCTTCAAGGTTGCTGGCTTTGTGGATAGCACAGCATCCTTCAGTGCCGCACCAGCAGCGCCCTAGTCTTCGAGAGCTACACCTTCTCCCTCTTCCCCCGCGTCGATGACATACTGCTCCTCGCTCGGAACGCCAGCCTCCTCCGTCGCTGCCGTTACATCGCGTCTCGTGCGCTTATTCCCCTCTAGACTCGGACTTTCGCTGACAACCTTCTTGCGCTTCGCCATTGTGCTTGGCGAGTTGATTGAGTTGACAGGTTGTAAACTGCTGGGTCCGGGCTGTTGGAACAGTGGAGATCGAAAATGCGGATGTCGTGGTGAAGTTTTTCGCTGGTATTTGGGCTGCAAGGTCTGGCGATTACGAAACGTCTACAGAAAACGCAGCAAACGCCGCATCAATCTGGAACGTTCCGCCTGAGCTCGGACATTCCTGTTTGCCAACATCGACAGATTTTACTGCTCAATTTCTGCTTTCTCCCTCGAAAGACAACACAAGTCGCACKATGGCAGTCCCGACCACTGCATCTTCAGACCCATTCCGCAACCAACACGCAATGTACGATCAACAGTATGCCACCATCAGCGCCATGGTAGGCTCCGAAGACGATGAAGCGCCAGACTGGCCAGCGCTTGCGCTGCGCCTCGATGAAGCGCTGAGTGACCCAGCTCTACCTCGCTGGCACCGCGCCGAGTATCATATAATTCACGCATGGTACGTTACACTGCTACTCAGCCGACGCTGAATATCCCATCGCGAGCCGCATGTGAGAGGACAGAGGCTTTCATGGCAGCCCGTAACAAGTATACTAACAGCTCGTGCTTGCGTTATCAGGTGCACACAAGAGCCTGAGCTCCAGCTTGAGCGGGCGCGCGAGTCGATTGAGGGCATGGTGCAGGTCTTGCAGGCCGAGGGCCTTTCGCAAGAGCAGATCGATGCGCGCCTCGAGCCGCTGACATCCATGATGGCCACCACGCAGAGCGCTCTCGACGACAAGAACAAGGAGAAGGCAGCTCGCGAGGAGAAGGATAAGGCCGAGCTCGCGGAGAAATAAGCTTCGCATGCTACATGAAATGGTCGTAGTCAATTGCCGTAGTGAATGATTGCATACTAGCTTTGGAGGCCGAGTTCGCGGACAATCAAGCTACGCATGCTACGTGAAATTGTCTTAGCCAATTGCTGTAGTGAATGGTTGCTACCTAGCTTTCGGGGCCGCGCAAACAGGTGCCATGTTCCAGGCGGCGGCCGGCAAGAAGAAGAAGAATCGTCGCATGCATTCCCGAGATGATCCGAACGAGGAGGCCAGCGGCTGGCAGGAATACAGTAAGAGCAGCCGTCAGTGGGTGAATTTGGGTACGGCAATTAACCCTATGGCCGAAGACGAGGACGAGGAGATGTTGCTGGGTCACGGCGAGGAAGAGCGGATCGTGCGACCACCTGGGGCGCCAGGAAACGAAGATGATGAGATGCTGCTTGGTTACGAGGAGTTGTCGACCATTTGGATATGGGCACGATGATAAGAGTGGGGAGATGTGAAGATGGAGGCGGAGGTGTAGCGTGGGAGGTGCAGCGTGAGAGGTGAAGTGCGCTTCTGCGATGACCAACCCCGCACAGACCACACCAAGTACTTCACGTCTTGGTCGATGTCAGTTGTTTGGACGGCAGCTCAAACGGAAAAGTGGAAGCGGAAATGGCGAAGTAGCGTCCATAGAATCTCGACAGTTCTTTGAAGCTACATAAGAGACTTTGCTAGCAAGTTCGCCGAAGCTGATCGGATATGTCTGTCCAGCTAGCAAACACTCCACGATCCTCGTCTTCCACGGTCCTACTCATTTTCGCTGTCCTGCACCACTCGCCTCATCGACCGTCTGGATCTGGGCTGCTCTTCGACCTCATCAGCCCCAAGAACTTCATCGACATCCTCAACTTCACTGTCCAGCACCACACGCCTCATCGACTGTCTGAATCTGGGCTGCTCTTGGATATCATCGAGCTCGGCATCCTCGTTATCATCCTCCACATCCTCATCGACATCCTCAACTTCACTGTCCAGCACCACACGCCTCATCGACCGTCTGAATCTGGGCTGCTCTTCGACGTCGTCATCTTCACTATCTTTCAGCTTTTGCGCTCTCGCCAAAGCATTCGGACCGCCAGTAGTCATCCTCCGGCGACTAGCAGGCTGGGGAGCAGCGGCTCTACCCTTGCCTTTGCCGATGAATTCCGCAGGCTCGTCGTCATCGTCATCTTCCTCTGGAATCTCATCGAGACCTGTAGTAGTTTGCGAATTGTCTTCAACAAAGTCTTCTTGTGCCAGCGACGGCTGTGGGACTCGACTCGTTCCGTTGCCGAAGATTCCGTCGATGATAGTTGGCCGTACTTGGAGACGTTGACTCGATCTGGTGGAAGGGCTTGAAAAGTGCAACGTGGAGCTCCAGTATCTATGCATCTTCGGCAAGGCGCACCGTCGCATGGCAGACCCTTGTGGAAGCACTCCATGCACGCATCGAGGCCGGGGTGTGGGAATGTCTCATCAAAGTTCAGACCGGTTTCCTCCTCCCACAGCTTGATAACATCGTCCATGGTATCATTCTTCTCGTTCATAATCGCCTTGTACAGCATCAAGGCGCCAGGGAACGTGGGGTTGCGCAGCAGTCGCTTTCCTTTCGAGCTCAGAGAGTTTCCGTCGAAGTTCCGGACGTCGATTCCTGTTGGCAAGCTGGAGGCTGTTAGCAATCATGTAGAATGAATGAATCGATTCGAACCGAATCAAATGACAGGCTGTGGCGGGAAACTTACAAATGAATGGTGCGGACTCTGTCATCTCCTTCAGCTTTTGCAGGTACGCCGATGTCCTCTGAGTGGCGCCCGCCATTGATCATGAGTCTCGCCGTACTGCCATCCGCCTGTTTGAGATACATCTGGGCCACTCCTGAAGCATTGACGACTATCTGCTGACCGTCAAACCTATTCTTGAACTCGCGCTTGGCATCTTCGTCGTGCAGGAGGTTCTGAGATCCCAGGTTGCAGTTTCGTCAAAGTCCTGGACACGGTGTCTCTCAGCGCGGAGCCAATATTAGAGGCACAGGAGCCTCGCCAATCGCATGGTCATGCACGGCACTGTTAGAGTGACTCGCCATATTGCTTCCGTGGATCGCTTAAGGTTCAAAATGTTCGCTAAGGCGATGTCGCTAGTAAGCATTAGAAACTGTAGAATACCCTCGGAATCTTAGGTCTAGCGGGACTTTTTCGTCGTGTAGGAAGTTCTAAGAACCTAGGCTGCATTTTCGTTAAAGTCCTAGATTCGGTTAGCTCGAGCGTGTCTCTTAGTACGGAGCTAGTTTTAGAGGCAGAGGAGCCTCGCTATTCGTATAGTTATGTACGACACTAACAGAGTAACTAAACAGATGCCGTAGACCGCTCTAGGTCAGACTGTTCGCTAAGGCGATGTCGCTAGTAAGCATTAAAAACTATAGAAGACTATCGACATCGTTAGTCTAGCGGGCCTTTTTCGTCGTGTAGTAAGTTCTAAGATCCTAGGCTACAGTTTCGTTAAATTCCTAGACACGGTTAGCTTAAGTAAGTCTCTCGGTACGGAGCTAGTTTTAGAGGCATAGGAGCCTCGCCATTCGCATAGTTGTGCACGACACTAATAGAGTGACTAAACAGATGCCGTGGACCGCTCTAGGTCAGACTATTCGCTAAGGCGATGTCGCTAGTAAGCATTAAAAACTATAGAAGACCATCGACATCGTTGGTCCAGCGGGCCTTTTTCGTCGTGTAGTAAGTTCTAAGATCCTAGGCTGCAGTTTCGTTAAATTCCTGGACACGGTTAGCTTAAGTAAGTCTCTTAGTACGGAGCTAGTTTTAGAGGTATAGGAGCCTCGCTATTCGCATAGTTATGCACGACACTAACAGAGTAACTTAACAGATGCCGTAGACCGCTCCAGGTCAGACTGTTCGCCAAGGCGATGTCGCTAGTGAGCATTGGAAATTGTAAAAGACGTTTGCTTCCAGGTCCCGTGCTGGCTGGCACCTTTCGGGAGCGGAAATGGAGTCCAATCAGTGTCAGGCCTAAGACATTGACTCTGGCTTGGCGCAGGCGAGTGATATCTCCTCATAAATGGACCGATTGAGGGCGCTCGAATGAATCTGTGCCTCGCCAGAGCCCTGCAAGAGTGTTGGCGTCATGGGATGCGTTATCGTTTGATGATATTTTATGATGTGACATACCTCGTCACTTGGGGGTTCGAAGTCATCAATGGTTCTCATGCGGCGTGACTTCGCAGGATGAGCAAGACCGCCAAAGCCGGTCGGTGCTGTGCGGGTGCGACGGTTCGGTTGGATTGTCAGCGTCGTGTGCCTGCCGAGCAGATTGCTCGTCGACATGGTGTGAGTGTCGCCGCTGGAGGGTGTGTCGCCGCCGTAGGAGTGCCGCCGCGGGAGTGTCGCGCAGGAGTGTCGCCGCCGCAGGAGTATCGCTTGCGGAGGAGTATCGCTTGCGGAGAACCTCTGCGGTCGTCGACAAGCGAGCGTCGTCACAGGAACGTCGCCGAGTGAGCGCGGTGCTGTGATCGCCGCCGCAGCAGGGCCGCCAATGTCGTGATGTGAGGAGCCTTTACGGTGAGTTCTGGTGAGCTCACGCGTAGTAGGACGGTCTCAAGGTAGTATGCGCAACAACGAGAGGCAACCTCCTGAGGAAGGAGTTGATGGTGTGAAGAGAGGRAGAGATTTCGAGTCCGAAACCGAGAAAAGTGTGGGCAGGCAGCAACAAACAAAGTGATGGCACGTGCACGCGCGAAAAGAACCATGAAACCACTCTCTACGTAGTCGTCGCATCGAGAGCTTCCAGAGACCTGCTCATAAGTTCAGTCAGGACCTGAATGAGTGAAACATCTCTTGAGCGGCGATAACATGCCTGTCTGCATGGAAGAGTTGGGTGATTGCGGACGCCGTACCTTTTACGCCAGCCCACAACAGTGGCCGAAGGTCTGGAAAGTGTCCATGGGGCTGTGGCAAGAAGGCCTTTTCCAGCGATGCGTATGACTTACCTCTTTCAGTGCCATGACTGAACTGGAAGCCAGGAGAGGGAACACGGCCCATGAGCGGTTTGAGCCTACCTTTTGATGCGCAGCCGAGCCATTACAGAAGCTCAACCTCGACCTTGGCCTCAAGCTCTTCGACCAAATATGTTGAATCTGCTGCCACAATACCACCAAAGAAGACAAGGTCTCGAGTGTTATCTCTCACGACCTGCCTCCAGATTCCATCAGCCGCCGCTGACAACATGAGGCTGCATTTCGTTCGCAACACCCTCTCATGGAAGTGCAGACGGTCTCCAGGAAAGCGGGAGGATTCCACGGAGGCAGCCTTAAAGTCTTGCTGTGGGTCGTAAGTGGGATTTTCCACCCGGCTTGAGTAAGGTTGCAGGGGCCAGGGTGTCTGGTGCCGCTGGTCGCACCGCTGCAGGAAGACGTGGCGCGACATGCGGCAAGTGAAGTGGTGTGAAAAAGGGTGCAAATTCAGGATCCAGCTGGGAGGATGATGTGAAAGGTTGATCAGGGCGGATCCTCGCCGGTGCGGAGGACAACTCCTCACTGCTGTCATTGTCCATGCTGAGGACGGCTATGTGGCGCGAGTCCGATAAAGATGCGCGAAGATGAGCTGAGGACGAGGAACCGGGAATGGAGCAGCAAGCCAGAAGATCGAGCCGACCGAATGAGGATAACGAAATGTCATTACGACTGAAAGCGTCTCATCGATGCTTGGCGGACATGATGGAGTGGCCCATCGAGCGGAGGTGATGTCCAGGGTCATGTGATGTGAAAGATGTTCCTTGGCGGAGCTAAATTTGCACGTGGCACGACATCCTCGCATTGATCCGAGCCGCACACCCGATGCCCATCTTTCTGACAACCTTCACGGAGTCCTTGTTGCAGGCATTCATGTAATTATGATGGGCAGTAAGTCTTCATTACGCAGTTCACGATAGGAGCTTCCGCCTCCCATTCGATCAATGCCTCCGATGGCGCCAGACTTCAGAAAGCGGCTCACAACGCACACCACTACTACCCTACCGTCGCAGTTCTGCTGTAATGATGGTCCAGGTATCGAAACGGCCGTGGAGCTCGACACAGTGCATATTATATTGAATGCTATATCTAGCAAGGCTCTGAGACTGGAGAAAGAAGAGATGGCGAAAGCGAGGACGGATCCGACCGCAAGCGACAACGGGCAGTGAGCAGTCAGAATGCTTTATGGCACTGCAATGCTACGCGCTATGTCCACAGGACGAAATCTAATCCACTGTCGCACTTGTCCTGAATATCGTTCGCAGCTATATAACATAGTCATGTGAACTGACGGTGTTGCTCGACATAGTGCAAAGCATTTTCAATGCTGCAAAGGATCAAGGCCCTAAGGAGGGTAAGGAAGAAGGTACAGCGACGACAGGTCTGATCGACAGCGGCGGCGGCAGTGAGCAATCAAAATGCTGAGCAGTATGCAATATGCTATGCGCTATGTCCAACGCACGACTCGAATCATGATCCAATCGGCCAGTTTTCCGCCCACCAAAACTTTGAGCAGAGACCGAGAGATTATGCTCCAAAATGATTCTGGTGAATCAAGACGACGGCCGAGTACAGGAGCAGAGTCTTTCACAATGCCGTATTCAATTCGACGAGTGGTGTTGGCCTTCAAAGCCCTATCGCCACACGCCGTCGGAGATTGAGAGTAAGCCATCGGATCGCAACAACTGGCCAGTACGGGTGGAGGACGGGAGCGAGCCATCGGATCGCAACATTTGACCGAGGCGAGTGGAGGTGTAGACTGAAGAAGCTCTGCGCAACCTCCGTTTTGCAATACATGCCTTGAACGAGCCTCAAGGGTGGTTGGAAGTGTATATATCGAGCTGACGCTTCACGATWCCATGGTCGCAAGAACTTGCTGAAGTGGGGAAAGTAGAATGTTAACTAGCTGATCTGAAGAAGGATTTGGAATTGGCGCCTCCGAGATGCTTTCTCGAATCTCGTGTCTTTGTCTCAGTTAAGTAGGAGAAAATGAGTCCTCGGTGAAGAGAAACGTACTTTCAGAAGACATCTCAGAGCACCTATCGGATCGTGGTTCTCCGCGACGATATTCCCTTAACAGTAGCTGCACTTTATCCTTCGCTTTCCACCAAGCAGTCCATATCCATCGCAGCGTATGCCTATGTTGCAATGTTGTTCAACTTCTCACAGCCACGCTGTATTCAGCTCATGTCCTATGTGACGTTGAGGACCTGACCTTTCGGCCGGAAATCACTGACTGGCAATCTGATGTTAAAGGGGTTTGCTTGAGATTGAAGTCTTCTTAGTCGTCACTTGTTCCTACGTGCATAAAAGTTATTGCCGTGCGAACTTCAGTAAACAGGAACTTCGTGTACCATCCTGGATAACTCCTCCCAATTTAAAGGGATTCTGAGCGATCAGAGTACGCTTGTCGGCCAGACTATATCACATCACCATACAGGTCCTCGAGATGCTCTATGGTTGTACCTCCCGTAGAGCGTTTCAGAGACGGAACTCTGTACAGTTTGAACGTGTTCTTCAACACACAACTTAGTACACWTCATGCTTCGAAGGACGAAGGAGGAGTAGTAAGTAGAAGGAAGAGAAGCAGCGGCGGCGGTCCTACGTAGTCGGCATAATACACTGCATTAAATTATATGCGCTATATCTCTAGAACTCTCCCTAGCAGAGTGCTGAAGACTTCAAGCAGGTCTGTATCTTAAAGCTCATAAATGAGCGCTTCCCTACGAGGGAATTGAAACTATACGAATTATAGGGGTTGGTCGAGCATAATTGCAAGGCACGGCACCCGTCCCGGTTTACCAAAACAAGACCTCACCGTCGAGAATAGTTGTACATGCTCGTGTATGCTTTGGAGCAATTACAACCGAGAGCTTTGGCTGTAAACCCGAAAATGACAGAAATCGACCAAAGATAGATATGGCTATACCACGACATGATGGCACTACAATTATTGTCAAAATAGGAAGAGAGTGAAGCGGTTCTTACCAGTATAAGCATGTGTCCTTCGGTACGCTGCTTCCTTGTAGTTCAACAGCCCTGACAAAAAAAAAACGAAAAATCCCAAAACTCGACCAAAACTCGACCAAAAATAGATATCTCTATACCACAACGACGGCAAAAGAGATGGACGAGAAGGTGATCGAAACCTTGGCCTTTCGCAGGTTGCTAGGTGCAAAGCGAACGCGCGTGACGGAGGTCAGTTCCTGAACTATGAGAGGGAGTAATAGGTGATATACTAACCTACCACTGCGCCACACGCCCGAGAAATTTTGGCCATAATACCCTGCCATGTGGGGTAGTGTCTTGTTGTGATGTCAGTCAACCGTTTTGTCTAAATATATACCTTTGCAAACCTACCCGAGACAGAGCCGACGTCTCGATACCCCTGTCCGAGGGCCCGAAGACATTCGGTGACATGAACGCGAAGGAATAGAGTAAAGGGTGTCTTACAATTGGTGTTGACAATGCAGGATATGTCGTACGCGTGCGGCAGGCAATTTTTGCAGTCGGTACGCACTATACGTAGAAACTCCTTTTCTCACAGAGTTTGAAGTTATAGAGGTAGTTGTTTATTATTTCCTTGAGCGGCGCTATACCAATGACCACACACTCTTCGGCACTCTATTGACGAAATTTACGCAGACGCTCGTTCATAATTCGCACCGTAGCAACGTATATTTCTGTGATATACCAACAGATCTGTATTAATAATTGCACTGTCATGTTCCGATCTAAACGAATAATTTGGCTGGTCGAGCGAAGTATAGTCGGGCACGACGAAGGGTAAGCTCATGCCGCTTTGTTTGCGTCTAGTGGAGCAAAGGCTACCTGCAGAAGCATATGCAGCAGACGTCCTCCACCCCCATAAATCTTCTTGCTTTCAATTCTCTATAGGGACACCGATGTTGAACCAGTCTCTCAAGAACACTCAATGCCCGACGAGCCGCTCAAGATCCTGGAAGGCCTACTCGGACGGACGAGGGGCGCCTACTTCGAAGGCGATATATGTTCCGTTCTCTTGCAGTCCCCCTTCGTTGTTAGGGCGTTTGAATTTGCTCTTGCAGACCTTGCTATCGACTGTACMGCACAGTACAATAACACGGACAGCTTTGCCCATCGATTTTGGGACCTTGATAGCAGACAGTTTATCCCTCAGGAGGCTAGCGACATTGCCACCATCGATGTCAAAAGCACGATAAACGATCACCTTTTCGTCACTACGCAGGCCCAGCGTCGCCGTGTATCTGCCTTCATATGTGTAAATGCTGGAGACCCTACATTTGTCGACTTTGTGCCAAACTTCTTCCAGGTTGAAGATGCTGTCAACGCCAGTGAATTGGGTCCCGAAGATGTCGGACRTGCCACTGTCACGCTACACAGGGCTTCGAGGCTCCCAGTCTCGGCCTTCGGAATGCTTAGCCCGTGTACAGCACCCTACCGCATGCCCCTTCGGCTGCTCCCAGAAGCGATTTCTCGGGCGAGAGCCCACATACGTGGCGAGGCGGTAGGTCGTGACGACCATCTTAGAACGATCATCCACTCACTTTCGTGTAGATCTTTCAGAATCCGTGGACCCTTGTGTCGTTTCCGGAGTGGAACCCAATCACTGTAAATCGAACCGATAGCCTAAAGCCAACCGGCAAGGGTCACCGGTCCGCATGCGATGCAGTTATGGACATTTATCAAGCCGCAACCTACCAATCGAGCGAATCGTTGGAGCTTGATTTCGTCGGTCTCCAGCCTCGTCTCGCAGACTTCAAATTACGGCTCGATAACGGTCCCCAACGATTCGTCCAACACAAGCAAGAAGGCCGCGTGCGTGGCAGAAACTCACTGCTAACTCAAGTTCCCATTACGCGCTCCAGTGGTGGGTACATTTGGTGGTATTTCTGCCAGATTGATCGCTTCGACTTTTTGTTCTTTCAGTTCGAGTTCTCGCAGCTCCCTAACCCAGTTAACCGGATCGAGTTCTTTTTCGTTCCTGAGCGGCTGATTCCTGACTCCTGGTACACTTCGGACTCTGAGCATGCGGATTTCGAGATTGCCGAGTTGAAAGAATATCGATTTCACAAAGACGAAGATGGGGAGTGGATTGGTCACATCAAGGAAGTGCTGCGCCAGAATCCACATCCTCGCAGACCCGGCATGCGCCCTGCTAGGGTAGCATCTTCTGAGAGTCCGGAGGAGATTCTGGAACCGGGAGACCACGCTGAGGGCTTGCCGGTAGGAACCCTTGGCACCTCCGCGCACGGTCGAGCCGTGCACGCACAGTTGATGACAAGCAAGCAGCGAGACTTTTTCTATGGAGTTATGAATGAATGTGCAGAGAGGTAAGCGTTGCACGGATTTTTGACACACGAACCACGCTGACATCTTCGCCGCTTGTCATAGTCGCTCTGGGTTGCTAGTCTGTCTTTCGAGAAGCAGTAGTTCGGGGGACTTCGGATTCATCCTGTACGAATGGTCACAGCCTGATCAGGACATGTGGAGGAGATATCAACGACCACCACAGTTCATGCATACCCTACCTCCTGCTGTGGAGATGATCTTAATCACATACTATACGCGGCATGAGGAATGCTCGTATCAAGGTCCTCCCGTTACAGCAGCCGAATTCTGTCGCATTAACGCCTCGAAAGACAATCGCCTGCTCATCTGGGATATTGGTGGCGCAGACACTACGATGCTAGCTTTGATTCCGTCTAACGATATTCGCCCAACCGAAGCGCAGCGTGAGAAGTTCCGATCAAACTTTGGACTTTCGGCAGAAGAGTGGAAGGCGTCGACGCCGGTCCTGTCGTCATTGCTCTGCACGGGGCTACAGGCCGGCGAGTATACAATTTCCGGCGACTTGTTTTCTTGTGGATGCTCTTGGGATAGGGTGTGGCGTGCGCTTCATAAATTCGCGGCGGAGGATGTTGTAGAGCATCCGCCTCGTCGACTCCGGCAGGCTCCAGATTTTCGCTACACTGTCACCCACGTTTTGTCCCGCTTAGTATGCGAACATCACCTGAGAAGCAGACTAGAGGAGAGGGTGCCAGACACGGAAGCAGATGCCGAAGGAGAGGATTAGGTCCACGTGTAGTAGGTTCCAGCAAATGGCCCCGTTTCGATTCGTCTCCCTTTCGTGATGTTCCAGCAACCACCACCACTGCCCACTGGGCATAGGAGCTCACCAGACGAGCCGCCACTTAGGCTGCCGCGTGCAGCAGCCTGGATCCATTGGGTGCCCTCGCCTTGACGATATCTGCAGCTTCCGTGTGCCCTTTCGCTGGGACTGCACGGCCCTGCTCGCTTAACTCCCCACCACGCCGTTTAAGAGGAACGATCGCCGCAGGCGGTATCAGGGAGCATGGCAATGGGGGTGAGCGGGACTTTGAGTTTGGACTCKTTCGAGATAGGTGCTCATCGATCAGCGCTTCAAACCGAGCCATGTCTGCTACCTGCACTACGAAGTCAAAAGTCTCATCTTTTCCCAAGCGAATTTGAGTGCTGTTGTGCAAGGGCACGAACGCGTTCGGAAGAGGCTGGAAAGATGTCCGCGGAGATCGACGCAGTAGGAGATTGTGGCCTGAGTGGTTGACTAAAAACAAGCCATCGCGATCGACGGTAATAGTGAAGTGAAAGTCGTCGATCCCGCTGTCTTTGGGGAAGGTGTACATATTCCACCGTGAGGCTCCAAAGGAAATGCACTGTCTGCCGATAAGAGCGGCAAAATCCAGCTTGCCAAAGTGTTTGTGAGGCGCAGGCCCATCGTGCAGCGAGCATTCTTGATGACCTCGCGGAAAGCAGCAAGTGAGGAGTTGTTGGCACCTGGCCGGGTCTGCCAGTCTCGATTTGTTGGCCGGTAGCTTAAGCATTTTGAGGGCACTTGCCGAAGAAGGTATTAAGAGCGCAAAGGCGGATGAGCGTCTGGCGAGTCCAGCAGGGTTTATGAGCGGCATTTCGTGTGACATTCTGGCTGTGGCATGGCAAGATGCAAGAGGGCCGTGGTCCCCTGCGCTTTATCATCACAAAAACATCTAGGAGGCGGCCTTGCAGAGACGCTGGTGCCGAGTCTAAGACAATGCATAGCTGCGTCTCGAACATTGCCAATAGTCTTGAGGAGGAGAAAGGAAGTCTAAGCCACTCCAGATGACATACCCTACACCTCTCGAGGCTTACGCGAAAACGGGAGTGAACGACGTATCGTCAATGGCCATGACAATCGAAAGTGCGGTCGCTTTTACCTAGGTACACCTTCGCACGATCGGCAGCTCTGGCTGACTCATCTGGTTGCGGACGACTCGGGACTCAACTCAGCTCAGGTCAACTCCTCCTCTCCCTGATCTTTCCCGCTCCTCACTCCTTTGCGCTTCCTGATCGGCTCCGTCTTGATATATCCGTCCCCGGTGAACGGCGTGCCCAGTGCTACGGCCGTCAGGTTTTCGTCCGGTGCTACTGGACGCGGAACGATCGCCGACAATTCTCCCTTAGAGATGGTGGGGTTAACGCGGCCGGCGATTAATGCACAGTCGCTCGATATACGCAGATACAGCTCCTCGAGTGTGCCGACCTTGTTGAAGCTTCCTTGCACATCTCCCTCGCCCCATAGCGATCTTGGGACCTCTAGCCTGCTCTCCGGCTCGACGCCGCCTCTTACCCGGCCCTGCTTCCGGCCGATGGAATGCGTGGTTGTGAGATAGAACGAGTCGCGCGTGGCGAACACGACTAGCGATTCCCGTGGCGTTGCAAAGAGGAGGAAGTCGGCGTGGTGAACATATTGAATCGCGTACAGAGGTGTTGCTTCTGGAAGCGCGCTCAAGAGGGCATTGGCTTTCAGATAACGAGCCCGGTGGGTGTTGCGGTAGAAGTCGCGAGTGGAAGCATCGTTCCATTGGCAGTTGGCGAACACGATCGACGGATATTGGGATCTGGGCATGACATGTTAGTCGGATGCCATCCACTCGGGAGAGTACTCACCCCGGAGGCGGTGCATTTCTACATGCTGGCGCCAAAGTCTCGTTCGCTGCCGGCTTCCACACATCTCTCGAAGGCAAGTAGAAGAACATGCCCTTGCCGTGTTTGGCAGCCACTTCATTCAGGGCCAGGGTACTAATCTCATGCTTCGCGAGGCTGCGCTTTACGGAGCGCCAGGTCGTCTTGTCTGTGGCGTGCTGAGATAGCTGGGCTTCCGTGGTCTCCTTCCAGAACTGCCGATCGGTCCGCTCGAGAGCCCTGAGCATCTGCGAAGGCTGTTGCGCTGCGATGCTGGTCAACGCATGCCTGGTTCCTCCGGTGGCCTTGGATCCGGATTCCTTGTTGCCTTTCGCCTTGCCGCCGGCATTGGTGCGCTGTCTCTTGCTTGGAGGCGCCTTGTCAACCATGATTGCGAACCGCGACGAGGGCTGGAGTGGAGTGCGAGCGGCAGTGGAAGTGGAGGCTGGAACTGAGATACCTACCTTTGGAGCTGTGCGCACGGACTCAGACCGTCTCCTGCATACAGCCGAACGCGAACGCGCTCTCACTTGCACTGAACTTCGTTTTCATGCTCAGCGCATTGCAGCCCAGCATGAGCCTCGAAGCTGCCCTCCAACAGCTCCGCGAGCGGCCGAAGATCAGCGGATGGGCCACTTCACTACAAATCACTTGCGGAGCCCTGTGKAAGGCTCTCGCAAACAAGGATCCCCTTGCGCAGAGTCTGGTGGAGGAGTTCTGTGCCATGCTTCACCAAGATGACAGCTTCGATGTTGCGCGGTTCGCAATACCAGAACTCCGCGGATTCACGGATGGGCCCCTCTCCGTAGCCCAGCGGCGCATCCTCGAGCTTACGAGTGACCTGCACCAAAAGATACGCGATCAGAGTGCCGTCACCCAGGACGACTTCGACAGCCAGCTCTATCGTGAGGAGAAGGACATCTTGCTAGATGCGGAGGTGAATCGCGCCAGCCTACTCATCCACAGCAGCGGCGCGCTGGATCCAGCGAGCGCCGAAGACATTCGGAGATGGTTGGATCAGSGACCAGGCAGGAGAGATGCAGGCGAATTTGCGGCAAAGTGAGGAAGTGAGTGAGAAGCTAGTCTAACATCTTCGACGTGGTGCTAACTACAGCAGCGCTCGCCTGTGCTGTGAGGACCAGTGCTGTACGAGTAAAGGTTCGACGTGGCTCGCACGCTCCTTTTACCCCACCCACGCCGTCTCGATCTTCCAATCGCCCGCAGGTGCGCAAGTGAAAGCAACACAAGCTCAAGACACAAGAATTTCAGTACAGACAGCAGTGCGCCGTCTGCATCGCCAGCGGCACCTGAGCCAGTAGCGTGACGGAATCATTTCCGTCGACAGTCATCTCAAGTTCTCAATCAAAGCCAGCAACGTGGCGGGATCATTCCCACAGGCAAGTCGCCTCCTCAACTTTCTCGGTCAAATTCTACTCGCCAAATGGCGCTGCAAGAACCGCTTTGACAGCGCGTCTTTCTTCCGCTGCCCTGCTCACTGATGCTTGCTCCGATAAATCTGATCCATGTCCTCTACCAAGCACTCCTAGTCGTCATCATCTTCCAAGATATAGCGTGAGCGACGTCGCTTGAAACCACTTCCGCCCATCACGAAGTCGCGATAAGGCCGTTCCGCGTTCCACCCGCCGACATCACTGGCTGTGTTGGGATGCGCCTCGTCTTCGAATGGGAGGGTTTGCGGGAGTCCTGCAGGAGCTGGGCGTGGCTCGGCRATGCGTTCCTGTGGTCCTAAAGACGAGTGAACTCGGTGCTGTTGTTCGGCCTCGCCCGATTGGCACATGATCTCGTCGTAATGCTCGTGTATGAGGGTCGCTGCATGCTGTCAGCGTTGTGCGTGACTGGAGGCCATTGTCTTTACCCAGCAGATCTCCCAGTGCTTTAGCATTTTCCAACCTCCCATCAGTTGCCCATTGGCTTTGGTTCTTGATCTCCTTCTCGATGAGAACAGCTTGATCCTTCAGCAAGCTGATTTCCATCGATCTCAATGTCCTCTGCACACCAAATGCAAAAGGGTCGTCTGCCCGCCAAGGCTGCGAGGCATCACTGCTCTCGGCGACCCCATGGTTGTGAAGGGTTCTGCTGTCGCCGACATCTCGACCACATTAGCTCATGTATTTCAGCCAAGGTCATTGCAACCTACTATCGATTTCAGTGCTCAACTGAAGCACCGCGTGCTCGGCGGCACTCAGCTCGTGGGCTAAACGCCATGCAAATTGCCTCGCGAACGCTTTCCGGAGGAAGCCTTGGGGACCGTAGAGAGGAACTCTTGGGGCTACGTGAGATCCAACTAGAATCGCAGTCTTCCCGCCCCAGAACAGGCGCCGCAAAGAGACCACCCCATCGTTGGGGTCATCAGCGCCAGAGTGTGTTTCTGGGCGCAGGACTTCGAACCACTCGAACACGAAGCGAGCTAATTGCTCATCCTTGGCRACCTGGAGGAGCTGCGCATGTTGCTCCTCTGTGGCGGCTCGGCCTGCAATCACCTGTTGCACAAGATCGACAAGCTGAAGACGTGAGAGTTTCGACTTGCTGGACATGGTATTTGGATTGACGCCGCTGTCTGTCGTCCTTGCCTGTCTAATCGATGCTCATATTGCGAACTATTTGCGCGAGTGGCAGAGGCAAACAAGCGATTTACCACCAGCTGGAAACCACCAGACAAAGGCACTCCCCCTGCCTGTCACTTCTCGGGTGACGACGACCTTCTAGTTCGGCCTTCCCAGGGTCTTGCGATGGGTGCCGCCCTTCTGGGGATTGCTCGGGTCTCGTGCTCGCGATTTATCAGCGGGAACTCGTTGACGGTCTGCTGGCTTGCCGTCCACAGCCGCCGGCTTCCGCCACACTAAACTAGGTCAGCATCGTGCTGGCTACGTGAGAAATGGCTTGACTTACGAGAGTAGTCCCACGCAGCTTGGTGGAAGGCTCGAACGTCAGTGATGTTCTCCGCCTTTGTGAATAGTTGATTTGCGCCATCGACTAGCGGCGATTGAATACTCATCTCTGGGGCAGACCCCCGAAGGAGTTCGAGCAGGATGGCAGGGAGCGCTCCGAAGTCGATCACATTGGTCAAAGGGTCAAAGTCCTCCGTAACGAAGACGCTGTTCTTCTTGAGCGACTTCGGATGGGAGCCGGAAAAGCGGACACCATGCAGCAGTTCACTCTCGGCTTGCGGAGTAGAATTGAAGAAGAGTTTATCGCGCTCTCGACACGCCGCGTCGTCCGCTGGTTTCGGGACTGGCTCCCTCATCTCATCTGAGAAGTATGAGCTGAGACGCTGCGCAGGTATGAGCACGTAAGGCCGCCAGCTCGAATCGTTGCCTTTCGTGTAGACTTCCGGGGGAAGGACTGCTCCGAGCAGCATCACGCCCCTGACACTAGGACAGGGCCGTGTCCAGTACGAAGGTCGCATGACTATGGGCTGGCCCTCCGAGGCACCAAATCCGCCTGAGCAGTCGGCGAAGCGCATGGCGACTGCCTTGGTCCGGGTTTTGCCGATCAGCGGGCTGAAGGGAAGTTGACCAAGCTTCAGTCTGGCCAGATCATCATCAGACCACACGTGGTCGACGACGAGGTGGTCAGCCCCGCTGGGGTGATAAGGGTCCACCGGATAGCAGACGAGATGGCGCTGCTCGGCAAAGAGGTTATTGAGGGCAAGACACACCCACGGGAGACCTTTCGCTTGAAAGACGCGGTCCTTGGGAGCGCGCGCGCTTTGGGTCGTCCTTTCACCTGTTGTCCTGTCGGAGTGTGCAGCTGCTTCGCGAGACTCGCGACTAATGATGCTCGCTAGATTACGCTCCGTCGAGTGATTCTGGCGCGAGCCTAAGCGCTCAGACTCCGCTGCAGCTGCCGCGGCGTTCTCCGCGATGTATTTGAGCAATGACTCTATGCTATCGTGGCAGAAACTCTCATAGACATCATTGTCCAGGTGCTCCAGATCAATCCAGGACTCGTCGGCTGCTTGCCTTGCGCAGCAGAACATCCTTTCTACGTCGGGGCGGGAGCATATCAGAAAGTGCCATTGTCTATCGAGTCCAAACGGGGAGTCCACGCCGGTGAAGAAGTAGTTATCCATCGCTTTGTGCTCAATGAAGATCGGCTCTTGCAAGTGTTCGACTGACTTACACCAGATCCAAAAGTCGCAGATAAGCGGTGCAACCGGGTTGAAGTCCATATCCCAGCCCTCCGCTTTTATCATCCCGAGAAGGTAGAGAATCGCCGTCATAGACGTGATCTTTCGCTGCTGCCCTGGTTTCAGCGAACGAGGGTCTGCAAGTCGTTGTGGGATCCAACCCGTAAAGACCAATCCAGTAGTAGGATTGCGGTACCATTGGGATTCTTTTGCACCGAGCAGTCCTTGTATGGCCTCTGCTAGATCTTCGACGTGCACAAGGAAGTGTAAGCACCATGCTGGCATTCCGCAGATTAATGGCTCCACGCCATATCCAAAGTCGGTAGCATTCTCAAAAACGTACTTCGGAATCAAAGCCACGTAGTCAGTAAGCGATTCTATAACTACCACATAGACGGCTGCGTCGTCTTTCAATGCAGTGCCGTCGGGAGTGCTGTATGCGTAATCAAGCTCAGCCTTGGCACTTGGTCGCAGGCTGAAGTACTTCACATCGAAATACAGAAGCTCCGTGTCCGGATGCTCGTTGGCCCATTCGAACAACTCGAGGGATGTACTCCCTACGAGGGGAAGGTCCGCAGAGTTGGACGGGTCATAGATCCAGGCGCCATCGCAGGCGGAGCTCTCCGCACCTACACGAAGGTTAACATGGCGGGTGCACGTGTGAGTGGAGTCTGCGTCACCTCGAATAGTCCGGATGCCGAACTTCTCCAGAGTCCTGCAGATCTCGAGGAACCAGGACTCGGCCAGCCATCCGGTCACTGTAAGTTGGGCAGCGTTCTTGATACAGGACCACAGTTCGCGAACGAACACGAGGCGAACCGCGGGCRGCAGATCAGATAGCAGGTCAGGCAGTGACACTATTGAAGTGGGAGCGCTCCCGCCCCGAGGGCGGGGCACTGAAAGCGTCGGTGCCATGGCGATATCAGAACGAAAGGCGGCGAGGCAAGCCAACTGCTGGAAAGGAGGACGAGAGGGCTAAAAGGGAAAATTTCGGTCGGGAAGGGGATTACCTTTGAGGTGCCCATTACGCGGTTGATGGACCTAAGCGCCGGTGACGTGACACAACCGCATGCGTGACATGTTGGCAAGGGAAAGGACGCCAATCGCAAGCTCAAGCGCCCCACGCCCAGTGACAGGCCTCTGGGATGCCAAACACACCTCGAAGGCCCATGCCACTGTTTTTGAAAGCAAGGAGATGGCGTACGAGCGCAGGAGGGCTTGCTCCTCGATGCGCCGCGCGAGACGGTCCGCAGGGCAATACCCCGTCTTATAGTGATTTCATATTGATGAGAGGTTGTTGAAGTACCTGGGTGGGGGAACGGTCGGTACAGCAGGGGGTGCGTGGTCACCCCGAGCACACGCTCTGGAAAACGTCCGCCAAGCGCTTTGTGCGACGCTCTGGCACGTCGCGAAGGAACTCGGACATTAGGCGTGAGTGAAGTGCCCCGAGATCTCCCACTCCTGTGCCTACTGTGCGGGCGCGCGCCCATTGCTTGCACTCCGCGGAGCCGTGGTTATAGAACCAATGGACTTCACACCGACCGCCACTATCCTGGTAGACGTACCAGCACGGCCCCTGCCCTGTAAGTCCGTCGTCGGCGCTGACGTTTGCGATGGTGGACCTGACAATCCTCCGACTCTCGTGAAGGAGGTCCGGCATCGTGGCGACCACGAATCTGTCCTCCAGGTAGAGGACCACCAACATGCCTTCGTCTGCGCGGGTGGCCGCCACCGACGTTGAAGAGCAGAAAGCGATGCGGCTGAGCTGGCCTGCGTATGGCAGGGCATCAAGGCTCCGCAGGTCGGGTATCATAAAGCGTAGGGTGATCACTTCTGTGTTTTGACTATCATTCTCGTCAGTAGACTCGCTTCTCGAGGTGGATCTCAACTCACGTGTCATCCCTGCGTGGAATGGCTGCATTGCTCGCGAAAAGCTGTGTTGCAGGTTTCCATGACCTGTAGTTGGCGATGTCCGCAGCCGACCATTCGGAGGCCTGGACGATCAGTGGCAGCTGGGACGTACACGAGCCTTGCACGATCTTGTTCGCTACTCCCATGTACAATCTCATCCTGCCTGAGGTCGTCGTCAGGAAAGATGAGGCAAAAACCGAGTAGATGGACTGACCTCTAGGCGTGGCTTGGCCGCGAAGAACGTAATCGTTGTAGACCAGGGTGAATGCCTCATCCGCCGACAAGATCGTTCCCTGCCAGCGCCGAGACTCAGCAGCTACCCAGACTGACATTGGAGGAAATGCTGTGTCATGAGGGAGATCACCGAAGACGATGTGCCTTGCTGTGAGCTGCTTGTTCATGTTGCGGCTGCCCGTCGTCTTCACGAACATGAGTTGCTCAACGGAGAAAGGGTCGTAAACGCAGTCAACACTGTCCTTGCGGCAGCGTGGGCATGGTTGTCCGCCACGGCACAAGGTCCTCGTCCTCTGGCAATAATAGCAGGACCTAGCCAATGGCACCTCTTCTCTCCTCGAAGATTCATTTTCCTCTTGCTGCTGCTGCTCCTGCTCGACGACTGCGCCACTGATATCCTTATCCTGCTTCAGCTCTTGGTCGACCGTCGTGCCGCTGGACCGCTCGCCGTGCTGCACGCCAAAGAAGTCTTTGATAACGCGCTGCGCAGCGTTCGACTCCGTTCCCTTCGCCTGCCCTTTCTTCCGTCTACGGTTCTGCTTGGTCATAATGCCGTACTAATGAGCTCGTGCGTCCAGAGAGCGGCCATGGCTCGGTCTTGAGAAAAACGAGTGCGAGCTGGTCTGCTGCGGCTACCCGTGCACCGCTTAGCCAGCCTACCGATTTCAAGCGTGCGCATGTCCGAGTTGTCGATAGATAATTAGGAGTTCCCGCGGGGCTATTTTGCTTGTGAAAATAGTGGTGTGTTGCATCATGTTACGCACGGAGTCCTGAAACCCCCAGATCAAATCCATCTAGAAGTGGCGCGGGCCGTAGTTCTAGAACCTTGGAACGGTTTCGCCCTTCCACCACACCTCACGTCTTGACGTCGGCCTCGATCTCGACCGACCACGACGTCTGCGAATGACCTGCAAACTCCACTCGAAATGCTCGCACTTATTCCCACCAGTCGTAGTCCATCGAAGGTGCATGTGTCAAGTCTCGAGAGCTGCGATTTCGGAACAACACTATTCGCTCAGTCAAGTCGGCCCAAAGAATGACCCGAACGAATCCGTATGACGACAGGAGGATGTGGCATGTCTTTATCCAAAAGACGAGCGAAGGAGTTGTCTGCCTTATGCGCCATGAAGTCGACGATGCCGTAGCTGACGACGATACTTTCATCCTTGATCGTACTTTCAACAGTCTCGTCGATGCCTTGCGCCGGCTCGAAGATAAGGTTTTAGCTCATGCCGCAAAGGAGGCAGCACGAGAGGCCATGAGAAACCTGACCCCGGGATGCATTGGAGGATCACTCCGCCCGCAGTGGGACGTTGAAATAACAGTGGATGATTACGAGAATCCTCTCGATGACCCTGATCCCAACTGCGCTGCTGCCACATGGATGGCTCATTCGATGAATGTTGAATGCGTGAGAGCAGGTCGTGGCTTCGTCGTAACTTTGGGCGACGGACACGCACTCTCTTCTAACCTGATGATCGAGCATCTGTGGACGAACGAAGAAAAGATCGCCTACCAAGCTTGCGGAAAGGCACCAATTGACCTTTGGCAAAAGGACGTTGCTGGAAGAGATTGCATTGCTTTGAGGTTGCATAACCTTGACCCTATGGCTCAGCCTCTTCACCAGATTTCTGGTCAACGGACTCATTGGTTGCGGGGTCCGGCTGATATTTCGCACTTCATGATCGTTGGAACGAGAGCCCAGCCGGCCGGGGATGGAGCCATCAGTGGCGCAGAGAGGGTTTTGGTACTCCCCTCACAGTTCTCAACTCTTGCTAACGCAGCCTAGAGCCTGGACACTCCATCTCCAGCCGAAATGAAGTCCGGGTCTCACTTCTGGAAATCGCAGACCGGAGACCGGAAGAAAGTTCGGGACTTGAGTGATCCCAAGTGGCCCTCCAAAGAAGTCAGAATTCGCTACGAAGACATGATTCAGCCTGCCTACCAGGAAAATCGTCATCTCGACCAACTCACCACGCCCTTCTCGCAAGGCGTAGCCTCAATCTCGGCCATCCTACACGACAAGTCCGAAGTGGTATCGGATACACATGCAGCCGGCTTCAAGAAAAATCAGAGCTTTGAAACAGCACCGTATCGGCTGAAAGTCTCTCAAGTCAATCAGGCGACATGGGATTATGGCTGTGAGCACAAACGTTTGATTCTCAAGTTCATCGTGCTAATCTGATGCAGATTTCCCTTGGGACAGACGCAGTAGTCTGAACATGGCTACTTCGGCGTGAAGTGGTCGTTGGCAGTGCTATCTTCACCCAGTCCAGCCTGGAGAAGCTCATGCTCTTGTGCCGGGCGCTGATTCACCCTTCGTACAGTATATTGGTACGGACGTGCTGATGAACGCAAACTTCTCTCATCCAACTGCCTACCACGGGACTTCTTCTGCGCAGTCCTCTCCATCTTTCTGCTTACATTGCGAGAGCTCGTGCTGCTTTACCAGCCTTTGGTTTGCACTCTGCACAGTATGTTGGTACATCGTGGGTTGCCGGATATGGTTTTGAGGATGCTCAAAAGTATTCAGTGATATGAATTGGTCTAGAATCTCCAGAATTGAACTCCAGTTGTTACTTTCGTAACTTAGTGGCCCACCGTCACCGATGCCGTACTCTGCAGCCAGCAATCCAGTCTTCAGTAGGGCTGAGAGAGTTGGATTCCTCTCTTCGAACTCGCCCCTATTCTTGTCAGTGGAGAGGTTCCTTTGGAAAAGTCTTCGCTGRGCATTCGATGGCTCAATGTCATCAGATGGAATGACAGCTTGCTTGTGTGGTCGGTCAGGGTTCCCGTCTGGCCCACTGATATCCCATATCGTGATGCGTGGTTCGCGGCTCGCATCAAGGCGCCGGAAATGCCGTGCTCGTACGTTCGGTCCTGTAGATGCTGCTTCTGCATGCTGCGTGTAGTATGATATGGGCACGATCAACGTATTCGGAGACAGATGGTGTAAAGCCTGTGGAGGGTCCCCATGCCGTGCGAACGCCGCTTTCTCCTTCGCACTCCACTTGTACTTCAGATAGCCGAAGTCTGACCATGGATGTAAAGTTGCCATTACAACAAGTAGACCAGAACCCCTGCGAAGGTCAGCACTTGAATTCATCAATATTGCCCAGCCTTTCAAGCGATACTCACCTGTGAGCACACAACCTCAGGACGTTGCGAAAGAAAGCTTTTTGACCTCGCATTGTCTGCTTTGCGAAGAGACAGCGTCCGAGAGGCAGCTTGCATGACTCCCTATCCGGCAGAGTACGATCGTCGACTTCGCTTGACAATGTTGGAGGCGGAACTACGCGCAGCGGTCGCTCTTGGCATGATCTTGGGGTCGAATACTCGTGTAATATTCGCTCAACACTGTGTATCCAGGCACCATMTGCGTCTAGCACCATACGGAACCGCTGTAGGCTCGAGAAGTCTTCGAAATTGATATTCTTTTCTAACGTGGTGAAAAGAATATTTGGCAGCTCCCGCTCCRGCACGAAAAAGAAAACACGCTCAATCTCGCCGTTGCCTTTGGAGTAGTGGAATTGAAACCACAAGAAGTCAAATCTGGAGAATGAAGAGAAGTACCATCCACGTTCGGTTCCATCCCCACGGGCTACGCCAACTCTGTCCAAAGCAGAKCCCGCAGATCGAACACGCATGTCGAGCTTATGTTGAACAAAGTATTGTCTGCCTCCTAGCAGGATTTTGAAATCTGCAAGGCTAGGCTGAAKTCCGACAACATCAATGTCCAACGCTGTTGACGGGTTGAGTCGGAAATTTCTAATAGTGCGATAGAGATCCAAGAATGCCTCGTAGGCTGTGGCGTGATCTGCTTTGTCTGCTGGCCTAATGAACTTTGTCATAGTCGTGCATAGCGGTTTCCAATTGGGGAACTCGACGGCGGTCCAGGGATTGATGTAGATTCCTTCGCCAAGAGCGCAGCGTCGAATGCGGGCGATGGCCTCTGCAAGGAAGGAAATTGGCATACGATAAGGTGTGCTGCACTGATCGATCCCAGCATAGGCTCGTGGCGAATGAACAGACATCCTAGCAGTGTTGACCTTCACATCCTGGCGGCCTTCTGGATCATCCGTGTATGTTGTCTCTTCACGTTCTAGAGCCTGTTTAACTTGCAAGTAGTTTGGGATTACATCCACAAACGTGGGTTCTGCTGAATTCATGCCAATGTAGAATGCCACATGTCGCTGCTGAGCGACAGTAGTCATGTATACTTGCTCGCCCGCTTCAATTCCCACCGTGCTTTTCGCTTCGAAGAGCATCAACTTGCTCGCCTCATCATCAAGATATCGTCGCTCATGCACATCCCAGTATCGCTCTGCCCATGAAGTGCCCTTTTCATACTCTCTAGAGCAATCAACAGCGCCGTCTGCCAAAGCAAATTCAAATGATCGAATGATACAGGCTATCTGTTTCAAGATGGAGAAAATGTCACCTTCATACCAGGCGCCGCGTGTCTGATTTATCCGGCGACCCACTGCTCTGAGTGGCTCCGGAATGTCCATATGGTTGTTGTGTAGGTGCTGTGATAAAGATAGTGGTGGAGGTGATGAGCCCTGGATAATCTGCCAGGGGCAAACAAGGGATGGAAATCAAAGGAAAGCTTCAAAAACATCGTACATCATTAAACATTAGTTAACAATCTTGCTGAATTGCGAGGCAATCTGAGTCAAAAAGGCTTGGCAGTCTTTGGCGGATGCGCGTGTGATGCGCCTGAAGCTGCTTACTAACCAGATTATGTTTGTAGATCTTTACCGCGACGAGGGATAAGACGGCAGTAAACTCAGTCTTAGTTCTGAATKGGATCCCCAATTCGTGGATCCGCAATGTTGATTCCGACGTAGAACGCAACGTGGCGGCGTTGGCGGGCAAGTGTATGGTATATCAGCTCTCCAGCGGCGTCTCCGACGAAGCGTTTTGCGTCAAAAAGCTGTTTTCCGAGGGATAAGTCCTCGAGCAGTTGATAGCAAGGTCTGCAAGCCCAAACTCGGAAGCGCGGACCACGAAAGGGGACGATTTGGGCATCGAGCAAATGTCTCCCTCGTAGGACGCACCCCGTAAGCGAAGAATCCATGGATGCGTTGCCCAATAAGCCGAAGAGGGTCATCTGACATAATGATCAATCAGTCTGGCGATCATATGTGATTTACGGCAGAAAAGAAGACCTGTGGAGAGAGGACGGGTACACAACAGCGGTATCTTGGCATTCCTGTTGGGACGTGTTACAATCTATTTACATTCAGCTTGAAACACCCGCATCGCCTTCGCGCTTTCCGCCAAGTGTATGACATGAAATGCTGACTATTCCCACGAAATCTTGACAATGATGCCCAATTTGAATGGACAAAGTCTTACGCCAAACGACCGAGCTGCCACACCATGCTCACCGCGAACCGTTCAATCAGCTCAACAGCATGTCCAGGGTCAGACGAGAGGACTCGCTGCGCCATCTGAGGGAGGCTGCCCAGTTCTAGCATCAACAACTTCGCCGTGTCCTCGTACTCCTCGGAATCTTCCTGGAAACCGCCCTCCTCGGCCGTGTGGGACTTGCCGGAGGATTCGCCCGCCAGAGATGCAGGCAGATAGCTCAACATCTGGCGCAGTCCGTCAATGACGTCCTCGTAATCTTCGTTGTCCATGTTTTTAGCAAGGCTACGCATCTGAGAAAACATTCTAGCAATATAGATCGTTGCATCTTGGAGGGTTTTTCTGTCGGGCACCGGCCGGGTCGAAGGTCTTCGAGGTGCAGCACTCGCCACTGCCGCCAGAGTGCGTGATGAAGCAGGCGAGACGGGGTGCAGAGTTAGACGGCCCATATCGATGCCAAGATCCTCTGGCGCGGCGCGTTGATAACCTTGCAGCTCGATGCGCATGCTGACCAGGTTGTCCTCAAAGATAGCCTGCATAGTCTCGAAATTGGCTTTACCTGGCACGCGGAGGTCGTGGTAGGCGAGAACTTGGCGTAGTTGTGCGTTGGAGTAGGACCGGGGTTTGAAGTCGGGTTCGAGGTATGACCGGTCATGGCGGCCATGCTTAAATCGCTGGTGGGCGAAGAAGGACTCGACTGCGAACACGCAGTCGGGCTTGCTGGAAGAGGAGGCTTGGATGTTGTAGTTGGAGCACATAGCCGCGAGGCTGGTTTTGTTGTGGTGCTTGTCGAAGTCGTATCCAAAATCGACGACGGAAAGACCTCCCTTGATCATAGCAGATGGCATTATGTCGCGGATAGGGTGGATCTGGGTGCTTGAAAGATGTGGGATGTCGAGATCGAAGCGGTCTTGTATGGGTTCTTTGCTTATTTTTCTTGCGGAGAAGAACAGATGTAATCGGAAGATTGTGGAAGGTGGGTGGTAGTACGAGGAAGTGTAGTGGTATTGTTAAGTGCACAGGGCGACGACAACATACCCATATAGCCTCTGTTAGCCGAAGTGCTGTGCCTAATGACTTGGATCGGGTCCAGCCATGTCTTGACACCCATAATGTTTTAGCACCATGGTCGAACGTGAGCTGCGCACCACTGATCATACCGTTGATGCTATACGCATCGCTCCCAGCGCGCCCTGGCGTCTGGTCTCAGTTCGACAGCTTGTGTTCCACTACCATGCAGTATTTCTCATGCGATGTAGAAGACGTCTCAAATTCTTCAGGGGGACGGCTCACCTCTTTTTGCGCCTCCGCTACTGAGACTCGGTCCAGGCCCTCCCTCACGGACCAAAGCGCGGCGAGACGTTTGAGATAAGCGGCCGCGTCTGGGCGAGACGCAGTATAGATGTCATGATCATTACGCCTGAGCTTCTAGGACCATGTCTCGGATCCAAAATCCCAGCGGCCAAAGTCGAGAGACTGTGGCGTACTGAACCGAGTCCGCGCGAAACTGATTTTGTGGAGCGCAAAGCCGCGGAATGGCGGTGTGCAAGACAGCAACGACCTCTTGTACATGGCACCYGCCTGCCGACATGCCCGCATGGTATCAAGATCTTGAAGTAGCAAAGATCGAAGAAGGCGGGGTCCTTCACATGCGTGCTTCCGTATAAATATTTGGCGACTTCATGATGAGCGCGGAGAGATCCAAGAGGCAGACGCCGGGATCCRACCGAGCTCCTTTAACATCGCCAGCTCGAGAGCGCGACGGGCGAGACGTGCACCGTGTCGCCATCAAGAACTGGGACGCAGTTTTTCCTGGACTCCCTGGCCGCTCTCGTCGACGCAGCCAACCCCAAGGCCCTCTCAACACCAGTAATGATCTATCTCTGGTCTTGGAAAGGATCAGACGTACGGAAGAGCAGTCTAAGAGACTGGTTAGCCAGGTGGTACATCTCCAACACCAGTTGGAAATGCAAGAATCCTCGGCGGCGAAGCTGCGATMAGAGCGCAAAGCTGCGATTAGAGCATCTGAGGAGGGCGAACGACGATTCTTGGCAGCTCTGGATGAAACTGCTGCCCAAGAATCTGCGGGGGTGCAGGAGAGAAGTGCGAAGCTCCTCAGCAACACAGACCGATATCAAGGGCGCGGGCGCTATCGTTCTACATGCGAGTGTGGCGGGAAGAGCCCTTTCAAGGAGTGAGTGGACTGGGGAAAGGCGTCAATAGGTGACAACAACGGAGGAGACGGCGCAGGGACGGGGTATGGTGAGGAGAATAAGGAAGGCCCACCTCGAGCACATAGTGAGCTGGGTGATCGTCAGCTGTGTGTATGGCAGAAAGCCGTACAGATGTCGTCGTTCCAATCTTCTTGCCTTCCGACTAGCTGTACTGTCTCAGATGTTGAATTATTCCCTCCAATACTGAGTGCCATATCGCGAGCTGTTGGCGCGATTGGTCGCGCTAACCCATAAGTCCGCTCGATGTCCAATCCAACGCTCTCGTTTCCTTTCGGCTGTTCCGCAGCCGCGCTTGATGTATGCGTCATCTCCGTGCATTCGAGTGATAGTAGTTGATTGATTGTCCAAGATCGATGACTTTAATGAATACTGAGGAGAAAGCGGAAGGGCAATGGCCACGTCACTCACGTCCACAAAGACATTCGATGTGGGTCGTATGGCAAGTTCAGAGTGTGAAGGTTCGGGGTGAGGGTAAAACATGTGATGATGAATACGTCTCGGTAATATATGTAGGCCAATGGGAAAAGAGGGAATAGAAGTGAATTTACTGTCGCTGGAGTATCACATGAGGTCAATAGTGAGCACCACTAGCGCTCCGACCTTGGCGACAAGGATGGTCTTGGCGATGCGGCCTTCCCGTCATCCAAGCTAAGGTAACAGTGCGATCGAAATAACATGGCAGAGAGATGTTGACGGCGAGAGTGTGCGTCGTCGGCCTAGCCTAGTCGGCGTTGTGTGGACTGCGATGCTTTGGTAGCGACGGGCTGCTTGTTGGCGTCATCTGAAGTCTGCTGTTGATTCTGATGCTGGCCGTCGAGATGCGCCACAGGCTGGAAGCCTCCGAAGAGCTGCTGCTGCTGGGATTGGTGGGTGAAATATATCGGTCCGTTGAAGGGTTGTTGCTGGAGTTGCTGCTGATTTGCGAGGTACATTCCAGGGTGCCAGCCTGCGTATTGCTGCTGTTGATAGTGCAGGTGGGAAAAGTCTGCTGGAGCCTGCAAACCCTGGAACAACTGCTGTTGCAGCTGATTGACAAAGGGAGCCGTAACCTGGAATACTGGCTGCCAGCAAACACTGTACGGCTGTTGCTGCTGGTTGGCGAAATGCGGCGAGTGTGGGAACCCACCGAAAGGCTGTTGCTGTTGCTGCTGGCCGGCGAAGTGGGTTGGGCCATTAGAGCCCACAAACGACAAGGGCTGCCCAGGATTGCCATAGAATGGCACCGCATTGCTAGCCACAATGTTCCGTGGAACAGAAGCGAAGATTGTTCCTCCAGCTGTGCCTTTAGTAGAGGACATTCCTGCGCTCAAGGCCCGCCCGCCAAGCACGTCAACAGGCGGAGATCTGTTCTCGTGAGAAAGGACGAGTCCTGCATCGTCACCGGACATTGCAGTATTGTCAGACAACTGGGTAGGTCCGTCGCCAGTGAGATCAATAATTGACATTCTCTTCGCGCTGAACAACTCATTTGCGACACTCCTGGTGCTCATGGTATTGTTTCCTAAACCAAACAGACGACCGTCTGAGCTGTTGCTCGACGCTGTCGATGGTTGCTTCATGCCAAAAAGAGGGCCTCCAGGGTTACTGTTGGGATTCGTAGCATTACCAAATAAGGACATCGAAGATGGTTTGACCAATGGATTGCCCATCGAATGTTGATTCGTGACGAGAAAAGGATCTTCTATACGATTGCTCGAAGCTTCAGCATTGCCAAAGCAGGAKGCCGAAGATGATTTGGCGAGAAGACTCCCGTTCGCGAAAGTATTGCTGAACAAGGACGGAGCGAACGGAGAATGTTTCGTGCCGAACAGGCGACCTTCTGGGTTGTTGTTGTTGTTATTGGCTGTTGTTGTGTTGGCAAATGCCGCGCTGGAATGTGTGTGGCTAGTTGGCTCATCTGTGGTAGGCAAGCCTGCATTGGGAGCGGACTTGCCTTTGCTTTTGCCACCGTCGTTACCAAACCTCCGGCCTTGAAGGTAGTCTTCGACCCGCAGCTGCTCGAAACTCTTGTTCTTGTATACGTCTTGAGTAAAGATCGATTGGTGGTTCTCGGTTCCTGACCCTACAAAGAAGGACGTCCTAGCAGTCCTGCCGTTGCTTTCGCCAGATTTGCCGGTGGTGTTGGACTTCCCGGAACATACCAGGCTTGGTTGTGTTGTCGCTATCAACCTTGGCGGCGTCCGAGCTCTGGGTATTGGAATCGGCCAAGAAGCCGCGCTGCAAGGACTCAAAATCACATCGATAACGACCCACCGTCGCTCCCTGGGCGGCGGCGATCAATGGTGGCACCGATTCTACAGCACATATTTCGATGTCGCGGGCATCGAACCATGCAAGCAAGGCAGGTACAACCTGATACTTGTGCTTACCAAGCGCGCGGAGCTCGTGGGCAACAGTGATCTCGTTCCACGTATGCTTTTCTCCGGAGGCAGAGACGGTGTCGAACATTTGGGACCGAAGAGCGATCGGGTTGAGAACCGCGAAGACGTCGACCTCATTGGTTCCGATCCGAACACGGTGCTGATATTTGCAAGTAGTGTCGTAGTTGCGGTCGAAGAACTCCATTGCGGCAGCCAATTTCTCCTACAATCGGAGGTCAGCGCAAGTCATCTACAAAAGTGGAAAGTCACAGACACAGATCTGCTGTTTGCCACGCGTGCGCATATGATGCCGCTCTCCATCGCCAGGATCTTGAGAAGCCATCGTGCAAGCTGAGCCTCGAAGTCGTTGGTGTTGAGAACAGCACAACAAGAAGTGCTCGCAAACACTGCAGCTTTCAGTTCGCAAAAGGAGTCCTGAGACAGGAGGGGTTTCCTCATCTCCGCCACGGTTAACTAGGTAGGGATACCGAAACGCTGCTGTAATCTTCGGCGACAAGATGTGTGGCATCTGAGATCTACCGGCCGTGTCCTTTGATCCGTCGCGCAAGGCTGTTTTCCGAATAAACACGTATGCTGGGAGAAGCGCTGATGGCCGACTTGGCAGCGGAGTGAGACATGCGGAGACCGCTTCTTATGGTACCCTTGATATCGGACCATCTTTCAATCATGGCCCGTTCAGTAATTGGAGCTCAACTTGAGAAATGTGCGGTTAAAACGATTGATTGCGAAGTGATGTAATCATGACCGGCGAATCCTATTGGACACGAACGGTTGTTAGGCGTGCCTGAAGTCTCCAAGTTCGTACTGTGTTTTTGAACCCGCAAGGTTTACAATGGCCGCATTCATGGTCGTATCGTTACATGAGGAATCTGATATAGTGGCTGTTAGAAACTAGTGTAGCTCGAGATGAGCCGAAAGAAGATGTTCGCGAAGGGATCTTCAAGAACAAGCAGGAAAAGGAGGAATTTGGAGTTTAGGGATAGCAATTAGTTAGTAGAGCATGTAGAACAGTAATCAGCTGATACCTCGACATATAGAAATGATAATCTTGGCTCTTACTGGACTTCAGACCTTCGACAGGTGCTCCATCTTCATAGAGTCGTCCCGAGCCAAGCCTCGGTCTCTTCACAGCTATGCGTAGGCCCATGCTCTTGGCCCCTCGTCTTATGCCTTGCCCTTACACGTTACGGCTCGCGCTCGCGCCTTCCACGGAATGGGTTGGCTTACCGATCATGTCATCAGATTTTCTCACGAGAGGTAGTCGATAATGGGGCGATCGTCGATTGGTTGTGACGATCTCCTTTTCCATAACATGTATATCCTCTACGAGGATCGTTGAAAAACTCTGAGCCATTCAAGAAGACTGACATTGGATTGGCGGCCAGATCTCTCTTATGCATCATCAAGTTCCCCCGTGCTTCCGAACAATGTCCATTCTACGGATGTCAAGTCTTCGCCGCGTACGCGTGCAGACCTGTCAACCTGAGCACAGATCCTGCCCCACGGAAGACTGCTGGAAGGAAAGCGACCGGCCTATAGCTCCAAATCAGGCTCTACCTTCTCTTGAATGCCAACGGCTCGTCTTCTCCGTGACTATCTTCCGACGACTGGGAGGTGTAAGCTATCTTGGCTTCTGCTCCTCTTTTGGCTCTGGCCATGTCGTTCCGCCGCGTATGTGCTTCATTGTCTGCGGCGATTCCCTCTCGTCGACCTGTCTCCTCAGCCTCGACGCGTTCGGCCTCCAGATCATCGTTACGCTTCCAAGTCCTGCGGAGCTTCTTCTCCAAGTTCTTCACCCAGTCCTCCAAAACCTCAACAAGCCAGGTGACTTTCTGGAATTCGCTGCGTTGACTGGCCAGCCGAGGAAGAGGGTCGGTGCCTGAAGTATTAATGCGTCCGAAGTCGCCAACCGCATCACGTTCTTTGCAGTCTGGCATGTGCCGGAACACGCCAGTCGCCGCATCTCCCATGGCTTGCAGTAGCTGGTCGATGGTACCTTGACGGTCCTCGATACGGTGGTACATGCATGTCGAACAGTCGCGGATACTGCGGCATGTCTTCCAGTAGGTATGGACTACGGGGAGAGGCGGCATGTGATGTTTCTCCGTCGTATACTGAATACGTAGCTTTGCAATCCTTTCACCGATCGCTCGGAGATCGCGCTCGAGATGCACAGCCCCTGCGCAGGCTTGCTCCTCCACGGGGAATGGAACGAGCGGATTCGAGAAAGTTGGATAGCTCTGTACCAGGCGAGCCGGTAGCCTCATTGTCTTTTCGAGCATCATGAACTCCTTCTCCGTCAAGTCGTTTGCTCTGGCCACATAGCCGACTTCCTCTACCGCGTTCCCAACGCTTGCCGGTATCCAGAGCGCTGGTTTCGCGAGATCGCGCAGCGCTTTGGGCAGCGACTCGGACATCTTCTCGGGCGGACGCAGCTCAGGAGGTGGTGGAGAGTAGCTGTTAGCGAGTTTCGAGTCGTAGATGACGGCAGCGATGGAGCGATGCGAGCGAGAGGAGGTTGGACGTAGGAATGTAGCCGCTCTAGCTATAACGTTGCAGGTCGTGAAGTGAATTGCAAGCACACTAGTGCTGAGTAACTTCTCGAGCAGTGACCAAATTTTCTAGAAGGACCGGGCCTAGGTTGAACAGGCATCACCTTTTGGATGTAACAGGAACAGAAGATTTGGGAAGTAGTGATCATGGTGATGGGAAGAGGATATCATTTGCGAGCATCTGACGTTACCATAAGCTGTCTCTAGGAGGGTAGGTTCTGCTACCCGTACCGTGCACACCGTGCGTGCTGCTTCCTCTTGGTGAGAGCAGCGTAGATGATCGAATTCCCTGAGGCCGCGCAGTGTTCATAGACTAAATCATGACCGCATTCCTTGTCCATGATGTCTGAATGTTCGTCCCTTCTGTGCGGTCTTGACACCCAGCATGCGTACATGGCCCTGTCAAGTGATGGATTCCTTCAGACGCTTCTGGAACAGGATCTTAGCTGCTACGCTGTCTCGACTCGGCGGTGTCCAAGTCAAGTTCCGGTCGGGACGGGTCTCCTGGCTGGACGGGAACGGCGCATCGACTGACGGCGGCAGCACTGTGTCGTACAGGAAGCGTGCAGTGAAGTCGAGAACGTTGCCAGTCAAGGTGTTGCGGAAACCTTCTGGCATGAGACGCGTGACTGCGTGGGTGATGGTACTGGTGATCCGGGCGCGATCACGGCTACGGAGAGCCGCCAAAATCAGGCAGGCGTCCACCGTCCCAGCCCTCAGCATTTCGCCCGTGAAGTGGGTCGCGTTGAAGAATGGGATCTCGCGCCGACCGCCCTCGTTCCTCAACACGTACACTTGGTGCACTGGAGTAGTGCCTTCAGGGGTTGCCTGTGAGGTCGATCCGGCAGGAGCTGGGATGAGCGCCATCGTGGCGATCGCCGTCGTGGGCGCAGTCGAATCATTGTCCGAAACGCTGGGAGGGCCAGGCATCGGGATATTGATCAGTTCGGTGCCGGCAGGCGGCGTGTACGCAATCAGCTGGCGTGCGCTATAAAAGGTGGACATGAAAGCCGAGATAAGCCCCTTTGTGGGCTTCTTCTTACCGCCTCCAAGCTGGTGCAGCGCCTCCACTAGAGTGACTTCGGGCCAGGTGTGCTTGCGGGCGATGTGGCGCGCTTCGAGCGCCGGGCACTGAACCTGAATCTTATGGTCTTTCAGCACCGCGTAAACGACGTTATTGGGGCCATCGCAAACGCAGGTGCCGAGCGGCATAGTGTTGGTGTTGAAGTTGAAGTGCTCGCTCACGTATGCCGCAGCGGCGGCATCGGACATAATCAGGAGGTTCGGTGCGGCGATGCTGCCACACGTCAATCGTCAAGGCCAAATGCAACCTCTCTTGGAGTCGTACCGCTTGACTTTGTCGTTGGGAGATAACGTAACTGGGGCCGTGGGCGGACGAGCAATTCGGAAACGGCGACACCGCGGTTGGGATCGGTATGAACTGATGGGATCGCTGTGATAAGTTAGTGGACGGTGTGCGTGGCAATCTCATGAGTTTATACCGCTTTAATCCGGTGGAGAATGACAGTCGCGTAGCCGGTTGATAAAGGAGGATGATGAGAGAGGGGCGTGGCCACCATTCACGAATATTGCAAAGTCCCCAACATAGGTGGGTCAGGTGACACGGGAATACGCATATTCTTCCTCAACCTCATCACTTGGGCCGAGACGCTCGTCGTCAATATCCACATCCGCTCGAAGTCATGGCATGGACGCTACTACAATTGCTGGCCGCGGGAGAGATGGTGCTGTTCGCTGGCCTCGTGATTTCGGTCTTCTGGAACTGGGCCAGCGGGCTTGTGCGAAAAGCACCTGCCACGGCAATCCGAGGGAGGGCCAACGCCGGATGGAGCGCCCGGACATTGGTCGTTGCATGCGTAGTTGGACTCATTTTCCTCGAACAAGGACTTTTGCAGCTCCTACCGCCAGAAACCTACAGCACTAGTCCTAGGATTTTCTCACCGCACGAGCCTTCGCAGATCAGCCCTTCGCTGGCCGTTGACCTCGTCAACATCCTCGAATACCTCAAGCTTGACCTCAAGCAGCCGGCAGACTTCGACGCCCGTATTGAGGCCACAACCAATGCCTTTGTGGGCGACGTACAAGCAGCATTCACGCGTCATCGAACAGTCGTATCAACTCTTGCCGCATTCAAGACCGAGGCTCTGGAGTATGTCGTGGCAGCTGTAGACAGCAAAGGGAAGAATGCGCAGCCAATGGTCAAGCTCACCGCAGTTGACAAGCGGGTGGCCGAGGTGAAGAAGCATGCTGAGCTGTGCCAGGCTGCCGTGTCCAAGCTCGCGGACGAAAACACGGGCTCTGCAATTCGAGTTCAGCGMGCTGTAAATGACTTCCGAGCGACCATTCACGCGGAGCAAGCCAGGCGCGACGCGCATGGAACAGGCGGTTCCCGGTCGACTCTACTGCAGCAGCAGACGAGCGAAGGCCTCGCCAACGTCATGAATGTTGTCGGCGAGGCTCAGGACAAATTGTCGAGTATTGGCGAGCTGTATGATGGCGATCAAGAACTTTGTCTGGTTGACGCGGTGCCTCGGGCGGTGGCCGGGTGGAAGGAGGTTGTTGAGCGTGCAGGCACCATCAAGAACAAGGCAGAGCTGCAAGACACAATGGCTAAGGTTCGCGCCTGGTAGCCTCATGGGTGCCAAGGTACATGCTGGGAGGTGGAAATAGAASCAGGTACGGAACTTCAAACTCAACGGCGCATTTTTGCGCTACATAGCTAGTGCAATTCTATTCCAATGTCTATCCCCATACCACCTTTGAACATCATTTTCGACCCTATGCTACATCACGCCATCGCCCACCCGCATGGTCCTTTTCTTATCACGACGCTTCACCTTCTCATTGTTCCCCACGATGAGCTCACTGGGCTCACATGCCCAGACCAGCAGCTCCTTGACCAAGCGACCAACCACACAGGATGTCCCGTACATCACGGCCAGCGAGGCCATCCATGGTCCGCGCTGCGGCGGCCATAYCAGGATCTCGTCAAAAGGAATACATAGCCCACGCCCCATTGTCGCAGCGAGTGTGTGATACGCGATGCCGGCGCAGTACGAGGACCCGATCCGGATGACGATGGGAACCGTCCAGCGAATGACGGCTGCGCTTGCCCTGCCATTCGTTAGCGGTGCTACTATACCACCCATGCCATACATACCACTCAAGAGATCTTCGAGATGGGTGGAAATTCTGCCCCATGTACACTGCCAGCTGCCTCGTAATGACACCATACATTGCCAGAGCAACGAGAAATGACAAGGGCTGCTGCATCACGCCTGACTGATGCTCGCCGAATGGTACGTCTGGGAAAGACACACCGAGTCCCAGGCTCAGCGTCAATTCGTAAAACGCGAACGCTATCAACGATGTGATGGCCCGAAACGTGACGGTGATGTATTGTATGCCACGCATGAGGGCGTCTTTTTTCCTTGGGAAAGTCAGCCAAACCCTTTTCGAGGCGCCCACTTCCAATGGACAAACGGCTTTGCGAGTGTCGACCACTCTTCATCGTCATTGGCGATGAACAACGGCATCCTGTGATGATCGATGTCTACATGCGATTTGTTTGGGGTCTGTTGAGGAATTCTCAAATACATGAACTCCGCGGGGATGAGCTTAGCCGAACGACCCATCGACATGGAACCATGAAATGAATTCCGAGGAAGGCCGCAACAGTTCTATATCAAAAGGATCCTCAAAATAGCACTACAGCTCCCATCGCCAGAATAGCATACGGCACTTCTCCCCACTGTTCAAAAACACCGCCTTGATACGCTGTGTCGACCTGCAGAGTCTGCCTCCCCTGCAGGAATCGACAAACGATGCGCAGAGGACGCGTCAACCGCGTCGAGCCAATCAACTTCGCCGCACAGAATGAGAATATCCTTTCCACCTGACAAATGAAACCACCCGATCTCCTTTCAATGACAGTCCTGACTCCTCAAAGAATCACGCTGGATTGGGCCTGCTGCCATTGTAGCATGTCGCTCCGACGAAACTGAGGTCTGTGCCGCCAAGAATGAGATTCCCATGTCCTCCTGCACCCAAGTTATCACTTCACCCCGCTCTCGACGCTGCCTCGTCTTCAGATCATCCTGCGGCGGCTCCGGCCCGCCACTAGGAAGCCCACTCTTTGACGCTGCGTGACAGTTCATCCGCGCGATCATATGATGCGGTAACAGCGCCAACAAAATCGCCTCTCTGCAGCTTCTGGATTATAGTGATATATCCATTCTCGATGAGCTTGACCAACTCGGGGGTGATCTTGCTCTGGCTGGGACTGCGTGCGTTGAGAGAGCGGCTTGGTGTAGATATCTGGCTGCCTGCGTACCTCCGAATCTGCGGCCCCGGAGAGGAGTCGCTGGCACACTCCGGGAATTGACTGGATAATGGCTGATCGAATGGCGAGGAGAGATCGGGGCTCGCTTGCTGCGAATGCCGGTCGAACGGGGAAGAAGTTCGGACCTTTACTTCGGAGGGGCTGCCATGCTGGGAGCGATCGCCATGTAAAGAAGAAGCACGGGTGCTCGCCCCTACCGGCTGATCGAATTGTGATGAGCGCACAGGATTCGTCTGCTCGGGGTGGATGAAAGGTGCTGAGGTGTGAGAGATTTGTTGATGGGAGGGCGCYGATGGTGATGACGTGCGAGAGTATTTCTTCCGGGCAGGTGCGGACGAGGCTTTGGGCCAAAGGACACCGCTGTGCACTGGCAGGGAGGGCGGCGACGGCGTGGCGCTGCTAGGACCTCTATCAAACGCACTCATGTTCTGAACACCCTCGGTCAAATCGTTCATAGCATCGGTCATGAACAAATCCGCCAAAAGATGATTCCCCGGGTTTTGGTTGAATGCCCGCTGTACTTGTCTGCGAATCGTGGTGATATTGTGAGAAACGATATCAGCGAGCGTGCCATGGTCTGCGAGGTCGTCGTACTTGATGTCGGAGGTGCTAAGAAGCATGCGCAGCTCCGATTCAGAGTATTCGCGCGGATCTAATTCGAAGCAGACGTCCAGCGGGAACTTTCCCTGTCGCATCACCTCCAAGCCGTAGTACTTTTCTAGCTTTGCTCTCAGGACGTCCTTGGTGTCATTCGACAGAAATGGAACTCCGAGAGTGGTCAACAACGCCTTCATTGGATCTTTCTTGAGTCTGAAATCGTAACCGAACACACAGTAGGGATCGCTCGGTTGGGACGACATCGGGAGCGGACGTTCTGGAAGACGTCAGCGAGTGCTTAATTGCCGACGCGCCGCAAGAGAAAACGGGATCAGGGCGAAAAGTCGATTAACGTGTGGGGGAAACGAGCGTGCGAAGGGAATAGTAACGATTGCAGTGTTAACGTGCCGGAGGGAAGGACGTAGGAAACGGAGACATAAAGATCGGAGAACTTTGAGATTGAAGGGGCTGTAGATTGCGGGCGGATGCCGATGCGAAATGAGGCCAACAAAGAAAGCGAAACCATCTGCCACCCAGATCTGTGATGCTTTAATTCATGACGTATACCTGAAATCCGGCAGCGCACTGGGAGCGCATCTAAGCTGCCCTCTGCAGACTTTCTGGCCGCGCGACTTGCGGCCCATCGACCCCACCCCGAGGAAGATTGGCTGCGTTGAGAAAGAGCCGACATTGCATCGTGACAAGTTCAGCAGTCCTCGAGAATGACGGAGCGTCGTAGCAGCATTCGACGACGGTTGCACGGGCTGCTTCAATGTGCCGCTMAATCGAACGTCCCAGACGGAGAGAGCATCCACACGCAAGGCACCGCGGAAGAAGGCACCGAAGGCGGCGACAGCAAAGTTCAGCCGACCATGTCGGCAGGACCATCAATCGATTCACCGCCGGGTGCCATAGACCAGGAAGGCGACGATCAGGCGAACCTCAGGGSTTTAGTAGTGACCCTACAGGAGACCATGCAAGGCTTCACCGAGCTACTTTCCCGCAACTTCCGGGGAGTCGACGACACAATGTCTCGCGACATCGTGTCTGCACTTGGCCAGGCTTTCCTTGCTATCGGTGCGCAAGCCGGCGAAACCCAAAGCAACGCCACGGAAGAGATGCTGTCGATAAAGCGCGACCTCCAAATCATGCGTGCAGAGCTCCGAGCGATGAGGGATATCAAGGCTGCGATGGGGGATTTGGTGGTCTCCACGCATGCATTGTGGTCGAAGGACGCGGTGGTCATTGGAAATGTGCCAAAATTGCCTCAACCATTATCAGCAYCGACTCATACAGATCGCACTACGAGCTGTGAAGATGGAACATCAATCCCAAGTTTCTCGCCGTCAACAGCCCATATGGATGGTGCTGCCGCAATACGTACCCCATACCAGGCTGACATCGTTACTGTTCAGCAGGAGAATATTTCTCCCAGCCAGCAGTCCACTGCGTCTCCCCCCTCCTCGTCACCGCCGCACCTGTCATTGCCATTTACCCCGAACACCATCATCACCACTCCGGCTCAGTGGCATGACATTACGCTCGGACAGCAACCCGTTGAGTCTCCCTCCGCTATTTTAACAGAGTCGACATTGCTAACTACTCTGACTAAGACCGTATTTGCGCGGCAAGACGATATCCCGGCCGGACAGCCGTCAAATGCATCTCCCTCTTCATACTCCCAGCCAACCATGACATCTTCGACCGCTGCTACCACGGGCGAGCGTGTTAGTATTCCCACCACAGGATATCAATCCCTCGCGTCTCTGAGCGGCGTCATGCCAGCTGCCATCATCGTCTGAGCTTATGCAATCTGCTTTTGCATTAGTGCTGCCGGGACCGTCCTGGGAGAGTCGTCCTGCAGTCGTCCCGGACCATACATGTCATTCGCTGCTCTAAGGTTCAAGCACATCTTCCCGACGACCAGGTTGTAATGTGGTACGAGCACAGGGCTACATGTTCCACGAGTGCACCTTGGCTGTTTCGTTGAGGGGCCGTGCTGGTTGGGGTAAGATTCGGCGGATACGCGCTTCAATTCACACATGTAATATCACATCAAATCAAATCAAATCAACGTTGCGTTCAAGAAGCACATCGCTCGACTCCACCTCCCGCCGTTACTCGGACTCGATCTCAGTCGTCATGTCGAACCAGAAACCAATCCCCGGCCGCCGGTCTGCCGGAAAGCATAACAGCGGGCTGCAGCCCGAGCTGGACCAGAAGGACGCATTGATCAAGTCCCTTCAAGACGAAATAGCGGTCAAGGACGATACCATCGCCCAGCAGATAGTTTCGCTGTCCGTGAAAAGCGAACAAGTCAAGGAGACCGCAGCCAATCTGAGAAGCACGATAAAGACTCTCAGCAGTGTCGAAAACGCGGCCGATAACATCGCTGGACAAGCCATCACCGACACGTTACGAGCGACCCACGCCTCGCTCACATCCGCGGCGGAGGCCTTGCAGCAGAGCATCACGACCCTAGACGCCCGGCTTCAGACATCGAAAGCAGAACATGAGAACCAGCTGGCCGAGATGCGGCAGGCCCACCAAGATGTACTCGACCTGTTTCGCACGGATAATCAGCAGCGACGGGAGGCGCACTTAGATCTACTTGCAGCAGTCAGTGATGGTCTCAAGGCAGGCATGTCACCCTTGGCAGAGAGGGAAGAATTCCTGGCGAAGTTGATGAAGACGATGAACCTGTACGAAGAGGCGCTGCTCATGTGAGCAGGCTTGGATATAGAGTGTGGATACCGTGATAGACGGGTTCGGGCCAGGGTCACATCCGTGTTTTTCCCCCTTGTCCCAGCTTACCCTCCATCCTCAGTAGCGCCGGCTGTCCCATCTTTCAAGCCTTACTGAGGCCCAATGTGCTACCACTGGTCCATATCGCGACAACGCGTGCTCATGCCCGTCTCTCTTGCAGGCTCTTGAAATTCAGTGGCAACGTCAATCTTTGAGTGGGCACCCATGCTCGCCTGTAGTCTCCTTCTCATCAAGGCCAGACCCACGTGATCCCCGCTCGTTTCTCATGATCACTGGAAGAACCTGTGGGCTGGGAGGCATATCCCAAATGTCCGCCATCTGGTATTCGTATGCGAGAGTTGGTTCAACATAAAGCCCCATTCGCCGAATCACGTCTTCCACTTCCAACTTGATGCCGAGGTCGCAGAGTTGATCATCATTATTGCGATACAGCTTCAATACCAAGATGATCGTCAAGGATGTGAGGTTCGCGAAGCCAATATTGGACAGGTTTCGCAGGGGCCAGAGGAAATCGCTTTTGTGGTCGTAGATGACGTCCGACCACCTCCAACGAGGATCGATCTCGCGCTCTGCGCCGGGCGGTAAGAGGCGCAGAGTGAKATCCTTGACCGCCATTCGAGCTCGCAAATGTGGTAGTCGAAGATCGAATCGTTGCCTGCCGTGATTTTGCAGCTTCTGATGACTGCCATATCGAAGCACAGTGGCAGAATAATAGGAGTCAAGGGTGGGAATCGCGCAGTCAACCTCGATGGCAGAGAAGTGGCAGGTGTGGGTGCGATAGAACGCCGGTGTGATCTCCAGATTGAGCTGTGTAGCGGACAAGCTGGCGTTGGTAAGCTCCGTTTGGGCGTATCTCTTGAACGAGGTGCGGCCGATGATCATCTTTTGCTGGGTCCTGCGGTCATGGAACGTGAAAGCGAGGGCATATATCTTGTGGCGAAGTTCGGCTGGGAGGCCTTGTAGAGATGCTCGTGGGTACGACATCTACGTCGGTGCAAAATGTGCATTATGAGAAGAATCATGGGCGCCGAAGAGTAGCGAGACAATATCCTCGCGCTTGGTCGCGTTGTTCCCAAACGTCCTGTCTCAGCCCACTCCATCAACAGCACCATGAGTTATTTGTGCCGCCAGCCCAGGGAAAATGACATTGCGAACACAATCGTTGTGGTGAAGAGAGATCTCGATGGTCAGGGGTGTGATCAGCATGTTGATGTTTTGATGAACTTTGAACTTACATGCATAAGGTAGACTACCTTGGGAGAGGTGGAAGTGGAGGTGGGGGTGCCAAGAAGACGAAATATACCTACCTGACAGTCCTTCATCTTGAGATGAATAAGGTAAGGTAGAGCGAAGGTAGCACCCTTTTGAATTGATGACAACTTTCATGAGATTTGCTTCAGCGACCACCTAGGGTTGAGCAGGGGTGCCGCGCCATTTATCTCAACTTGAAGGACTGCACGTACATGTACCAACTTTTCCCTTTCTTTTCTGCCCTCGTTCCTCTCGAACCAGAAGTGAAGTGATCTGGCATCACATTCAACCCGTATCTCCATGCCGGGTAGTCATCGACTTGCGGTGCAAATATCCGCCCGTCTTCAAGTTCCCACTCTTGTGCGATCAAAATGAATATGCCAGGATTCTCAAGATGACCGGTAAAAAGACCGGCAAGTAAAAGTGGATCTCCTTCAGACTTATTAATGAATATGGATAGCAGGTTTCAAGTCATCATCAATCGAGAGCGACAAAATCAGGTATCCGAGTATGCTCACATCCAAGGTCTACCGCAATGGCATCTGATACTATCTCCCCCCAAGGTTCTCTTGAAGTCGCTGATCATTAAAGATCCATTTCCTTGGGCGGCCTCTCGCCTGGCCTATAATGAACATAGAGCAGGTACAAAGCTCGGAAGGCGCGCATGAGAAGGAGGTAGGTCCGACATATCAACATGCTTCCGTGCTTGATATTGATGAATGCATTCCCTCCAGCAAGGTTTCACCTGTCGAACGTTTGGCTCACGCTACTCAGTTCTTACGTCGTTTGAGCAGACGTTCGTGGTAACGCCGGACGTCTCACTCCAGGACAACCGGTCCAAACCTGCACCCACACCTCCCTTCGGACCAGAGGCCACTCCCATCGCTTCTCTCACCTAAGATTATCATCTATGAGTAGGGTCGTCCTGAAAGTAGAGGCAGAGAGATGCTCTTGCAAAGGCTGTGACATCCACCCGCACTTAACGTCGCTCGCAATGCTCCGATCAGAATGCACTATGWTCATTCCCAAACCTCACCTTTTAAATGGTYCCAGCGACGTTCTAGAAGTCCACCGGCATTTGGTATCAGGCAAGCATTTGGTAAAGTTGGTTCTGCCCGGTCGGGAGTTACATTCACGCCCCCAATCTGCGGCGAGGCTTGACCATGCAAAGGATCCATCTCGCTCGCTTTCCCTGACGGCCAGCACCTTCCAGCGCCGCCCAAAGGGTCGTTACCAGAGAGGCCCTAGCAAACACACTGATGAATAAAATGCTGAGCACTGCAAGCATGCCAACCCTTGGAGTTCCGAATAACAAGGAAATATGCATCCGGAAACGCCTGATCGGCGGCTCGACGACCTGCTACCCCCACGGATCACGGCGGTAACACGTTATCAACCACCTGTTCCAAAGACCAAAACCGGAAGTCCTCTAGTCCGTTCACGCAAACGTTCTGGCACTGCCACCACCAGCGCCGAGTCGGACCGGTGTAAGCGCATCCAGCTTACCTGTGAGCAGGACACAGGGGTCGATGACACGATAGAAGACGACACCAGCGAAGCGGATGGTTCAACCGAAGAAGACACTAGCGAAACGGACAGCGATGATGAAGACATCTGGGACGGTATGACGATTTTACCGCCCCCTCGAACGCTAAGCCAGAGCAGCAGCACGGATTCGGAAGTCAGTGACAAAGCAGCCGGCCCGGAAGAARTGCACGAAGCTGAGGCCAGAGGAAAGCCTTCTCTTGCATCCCTCGTCAACATCAAAGATGACCGGTTGCAGCAACGTAAGCTCGACGCCATCCTTATCTCGGCGCAAGCCGTCAAGTACAAGGAGTTCAGCGAGGATTTCATTCCCGCCGCTCTCTCCGTCACTAAGCCAGATGGTGATGTCGGAGACGTGTATCTATGGAACAAGCTCCGCCATCGATCGCAGAAGTAAGTAATAGCGAGCTGCACTTGTTGTCGTTCAGGAGGCTGATGCTGACCAAAATTTCAGGACGTACCTCGGCGGCAACATTTTCGTTTTCCATGCGTTCGAGCTAACGTACGAATTTGAACAACGCCTGCATAGCATCGGATTGAAAGTCGAGGACCGTCAGGTGGACCAGAATCTGGCTAGACATGTCCGACACGTGAGGATCCATACCGTTGATGTCCGCGGCCTCACCCGCCAAAAAGCAACACTAGAGATCAACAAGCTGCGGGCCAAAAACTACCGCCACACGATTTGGTACGGCCAGCGACAGTTTCCCAACGCTCTAATTGAGACTCTTTTGTATGAAAAGAACAAGTCGAAGAGGTGGGCCAACATACATGAGATCCGTGCCRTCAAGAGGAGGCTGCGGTCGTCGAACCTGAAAATGTAGCTGCTACCACAAGAGTGTGATCGTATGATTACAGTGGGAAACGGCCGATGGTTTTGGTTCTCATGATCGTGRGCTTGATGGATGAACCCGAGGATTGTGAAGGGAGGGTCGGACACGATAAAAACGCATAGGATGCGATGCCTTGTTAGGCTCACGTTGTCCCGACCGATGTTGGATGTCCCCAATCTAGGGCCCGTCCACTTAGTCTACTACGTACAACCTGTGCCTCATGCGCCCATTTATAAAGCATGCGCTAGTTACGTGTGCCCGTCGAGCGAATTGCAATTCCAAACCGAGCTAGGAGGATCAAAACTGACCGTGCATTTCCTCATGTACTGGGTCGACCTGAGAAGGTGGCCTGAAATGCAAGCTTACATGAAGCGCCCTTTAGCGTAACGCTAGTATCAGTGTCCAGTCGAATTCTCGTGTCATGTAGTCCAAGTAGACAAGGGCCTAGTTCCAAAGCAACACCAGGCTATCATCATAAGTCCGTCCAGTCCGAAGCTGTTAAAGACTTGAGAACATTCACTTGGAGGAATTCATTCATTCGATTTGTGATGTGGAACCTTCTGAATATCGAGCTAGTGGATATACATAGGTGCTGTCATTCACTCGTAGATACCTTAGGCAAGCAATCAAGTCGTCAATTTTCACAGAAGCTACAATTCAGTCTTACGACCCAATTAGCATTTCCTCCTGGCATCCGGCGCCGTTGCCACGGTTAATAGCCAGGGCGAGTTTTCAGTGGCTTCTCGCTCTACGCAGTCAAGATTCAATTCTCTTTGCTTCAAGAACCCTGGGTCAACCCTTATAACGCAGCACATGATCTGAGAAACGACCCGGAATGTGCGTTGATATTCAGTTCTTAGTCGGTTGATTTCTAAGCTTTTTGGAACCCAGAGAAGTGAAGCTAATGCGCTCGTCTTTGCACGAACCATAATCCAATGCCACCAAGTCCGCCCTTGTCGTAGCTTCAGAGAACAAAGCTAACGGAAAAGGATACTGTAACTGGAGCTATCGTTCGTGAAACCCGTATACAGATCCTCGACTTGAGCAGCTTTGCCTGATCCGTACCTGACTGTCTGTCCGTCGCTTGTTTAATTATCATCATTATGATAATTGATGAGGTGCTCATTGTATGATGCGATCGTCGCCGTAGGCACACTGCTGTTTCCGCATTGTCTTATCTATTCTTGCCCATAAAAGCTAGGGCGGACGGGTTGTTGAGTGAGCCTTCTTACTAGCCGATTCGTGAAACGATCCAATATTCCAGATATGAGCTACATACTAAAGTGGTTGGCCGCATGTTTCATGTTAGAAGCCGTCCTAGGAGTAGACGAGTCTTTCCTATTGGTGTGGAGTTCCCCGCGATCTGGCGGCCGTAATAAGGTTCGGGCCGCCTTGTGCAGGCTTGATAGCAAAGCACAGGGCCCGGGAGCAGATTCTTTCGTTTTTGTGAGAACGTTTGGTTTTTTCTCTCTGCTCCCGGACCCATCGCCTCCTCACTACTGCATAATACTACTACTAGTTCCTTAACTCATCCCACCCACACTCTCACACACCCGAGCGACCTGTTTCTGACCATCCGGTCAGACCACGCGATCTGCACAATGCCTTCAACCGAAACTTCCACCGCAAGCTGCAGTCTATTGGCGGAAGAAACAATTTTGGGCATTGTCACTGTCTGTCCTCTCCTCGTCCCATTCTCCACATCTTGCCGCGACTCGCACAATGCCTTCAACCGAAACTTCCACCGCAAGCTGCAGTCTATTGGCGGAAGAAACAATCTCGGGCATTGTCACTGTCTGTCCCTTTCTCGTCCCATTCCCCTCCACCATTTCGACTTCCTAGCGCACTGGCTCCTGTCTTCCACAACTTCGCCTCATATGTTTCAACTTCTCGGTCCACTTCCTCTCGCCCTCCGCCGCCGCCTTTCCCTAGTGCAGCGCTGACAGCGTCATTCACGCACGAAGACTTTCCTTCTCTGCGGGAGACTGACCTCTTCAATGGGCCTGCTCGTCGCCGTAGTCCTTGGTCAGCTCGCATTGCAGCAATATCAAGACAGGATCCGCAGATGCCTGGCCTTTTTGACTGGGTAAAGCTCAAGCCTCGGGGATGGCATTTGCTGGATCACTCTGCGGCGAATCCCCTTGTGATAAGTTGATGCGAATCGCAACATTCATGGCATATCTTTTGAAGTGGCCTATGTGGTGCACGCTTCAAGGTTCTTTTCACGATTATGCCAATGGTGGGTGGAAACGATTTCCTTCTTGAGTCGCCGTCAGGACTTTTGTGGTTCTTGCGAGAGATAGGCATTGAGGTGGATCGTTCTTTTCTTTTGTTGTGTTTGTGTTTGTGTGTGTGTGTGTGTGTGTGTGTGTGTGTTCCTTTTTCTTTTTGGTTTGAGTTGATCTTTCGTGGTCTTTGTTTCTGCAATTCGTTCGCCTGCTTATGTTCTTCATTTTCTCCCAGTTTCGATTGGACGGCTTCGAACAAGACTTGGCGGAGGAGCTGCTCAGTAAGACGGAGAATGTTTTAACAGGCGAGACTTGATACATTCACACACGTTGAGTTGAAGACTACTCATTTCGAATTGGATTGGGCCCGCGGAGCTCGTCTTCTGTACTTTATGCATAGTGTGTGGGTGTCTTTGTCTCAGGTGGTCAGTCTCAAGCCTACACTGCACAGAGACGTGCGAAACACAGTCTTTGTTCAAGCGCCTAAACCGTTGAACCTGACTCTCTTCGATTTCCGTAAGCGCATCGCCACACCGTATTGTTAACATCTTGGCCACCTTCAAGTGTTTCATTAGCAGGGTCCCATCTCCACGGAGGAAATGCCTAGTCACTGAGGTAGGAGACCATGTGTAATAGACTTCTCGCGGCGCGCCTTGGAAAGATGTACAGTGTGCGGGCTCACAAGGGTATATGTGGGAGATTTTGATCAGGTTCCAACTCGCGGGAAACTTGAAGTGGACATCTCAGCTAAGTTCTTTGGATTTCAACAATAAGGTAAGGTAGTCATCAGGTGGGCTGATCCTTATAAAATATTGGATGGGCTCCGACGTTCCCTCGTATCTCCACCTTTACCTACGTAGTAAATAATCTCCCGCGGCGAACGCTCCATGCACCTCCGAAGTAGCATTAGGGTAAGGTGCATCATGCACTATCCGAGGTAGTATGGTAGTCTCAGATAAGGTATTAGTTGTGGCGCTACGGAGTAAGACTACCGAGCTATTGCATTGCGAGAATCGGATGATCGGGGACGTATAGGACTTGGTCGATAATGCAACTGTACTTAGGTGGGATTTGCAAGGAACCTGCTAACTTCCATAACATTGACCTCGAATCTACGGAGCAACACGGGAAGACAGCATTCGCACTGCCTCCTTCTCAGACGCTCTTGTATTCCTTTTGTGCATGTTAAACCTACCTACCCTTGGTGACGTGACTACCCTTCCCTACCCACTGGGGGTCAGGAGCTACCCTTCGTATAAGCAGCCAAGGAAGCCAAGCCGATTAATAAGCGACCAGGCGGCAATTCAACCTGGAAGGCTCTGTGACCTTACCTGAGCATGCGCACACATGTAAAGTAGGTCGTATAGGCTGACCGCGTCATCATCATTGCTCTTCCATCTTCAGGTCTTTAACCAGAGCCGCCCAGAATGTTTACGCCCGCTTTCCATCACTTCCAGATCGGAGACGCCGCTTCTGTATAGCTCCACCTCAAAGACTCTAGTAACATCCTCATTGTTTAGGAAGAATAAACACGCAGCAAACGCTTGCGTTTGTCAGACATGCATACAAAAGCCCCGCCTCTGCAGCAGGTTGATCCAAATACAAAAGCACTCTTTCCACTGCAAGTTCATTAACAATCACCCACAATCATCAGAGAGCAACACGAACGGGACAGATCCCGCCATGCGACCCACTACGCCAACTGGATTCCATACTGCCCCAAAGCACGGCTTGATCTCTCCAGACTCTCCGGACCACAGCAAGAAACGAACCAAGTCCTTCAGTGATTTGACCATCAATCAGCAACCAGACAGTGATTTGACCATCGATCAGCAACCAGACAGTGAGATGCAGGAGTATGACGTGGAGCAGATGCAGGTGGAAAACTTTGAGAAGCAGCGTGTAGGAGAAGAGGAGCAGCAGCGTGTCGAAGACGAGGAGAAGAAGCGTGTCGAAGACGAGGAGAAGAAGCGTGTCGAAGACGAGGAGAAGAAGCGTGTCGAAGACGAGGAGAAGAAGCGTGTGGCAGACGAGGAGAAGAAGCGTGTGGCAGACGAGGAGAAGAAGCAGAAAGAGGAGTTGGAGCTTGGTTTAATGGTCAAGGACACCCGAGCTCTGGGTGCCTGCATCTGCATTCCATGCATCCCTTCGGCGCTGCGTTTCTCAGGCGGATACCCAGAAGACATGACGCGCTCTGAGCAGAGGACTGTGGCACGCGTGTCGACGTACTCGAAGACTCCGATCAAGTTCCCATTCGAAATGCCTGCCATCACCTGCTACAAAGACGACATCTTCCGTACGGTTGTTCTGGAGGAGTATCTTAGTGAGAACACTTTCGAGCTAAAGAACTCGAACGCCGCACTCTCCTTCCGTAAGCAGCTGAAGGAACACGCTGCAGCGGTCGGACAGACGGGAGCACAAGAACTCAACACGCTTGTCAAGCATCTCCGCGTCTTTCCCGAGGGTACGTTCGGCCAGCACGCGCAGGCCAACACGAAATCCGTCTTTCCCAATGCCGTAATTGAGGTGCTCATGCCTGTCGATGGTGGCAAAAAGTTGTGGACCGCAAGTCCCCTCACCTAGTGGAATTGGCTGAGACTTCATCGTAATGTCGCCGAGCAATAAGGCTTGGATGAGGATATGCTCAAGGGGTATGGACGTGTAGTGTGTAGCAATCAGAGTCACTCCATAGCCCATGCATAATTGAATCTGAATCTGACTTTGACATTCCAATTTCCCTCCGTCGTCTCTGCCCCTGACCAAAGTTCTTCCGCTCTCTTCTCTTTGGGTTTTATCACAGCAGTTTGATACTCGCCTCAGACCACGTCCATCCCTGGCCAGTAGTGCAGAGTGAGCAACGTCGACCTGGTGCCGTCTCCGCCGCCCCGGAATATGATTTACAAGCAAATTCGAGACGTATGAACCAGAGGCTTCTCGTCCCTTTCTCTTCCAAGCGGTACTTCCAAACAAATACTGATAATCACAGCTGTTTGTCAATCAGCGTCTTTGACTTGACAATTCGCAAAGAAGGTGGCAAAAAGGGAGAGCCCTATATCTTTGAATGATCGCCAGACAACGAAATCCAACACTACAACTGACAGACGGCTCCTGGCTCGCAAAGTACCCCAAGCAAAGCACGTTAAGTCCTGCACCTCCTCCGTTTGATCCATTCCCTGAGCGAGCCGGGACAAGATCCAAGCTCTGTGTCGTCCTCGATCTCCGGTCGGACGATGACCAATCATGTGTTGTTGCCAGACGTAACACCCGATTGCCCTTTCCGACGCCTTTCGCCTGAGCTTCAGATCCGCATGTGCCGCCTTGAGCTGATAAGCCATGCAAGAATTACCGATCCTGGAGATGAGCCGGCCGTGATCAGTGCTTTCCCGTGGCTCGAAGATGAACTAAGGTGGATCTACTATGGAGAGAACTCCTTYCATCTGAACGTTAGTAACAGCGACATCACACCTCATCTTGACTTCCTTGAGTCTTTCACCGCGCTATTCGCCGTACCAACACCACGTTTATCGCTGAGCCTGCGATTTCGTGACGGCAACCGGAATTGGAAGAACCTGCGGCAGTGGCTGTACCTTGTTTACCAGGATCGACATGGTGATCCCCTGATCATTGAAGATGACGCGTCGTACAAGCCTGAGCTTCATGCACTCGCAGCAGTGTTCGAGATGGTTCTTAACAAGAGGGATCGAGGAAAGCTGTCATGGAAGAAAATCAAAAAGAACTACCTCCCTTTCGCTCGGAAGATGATGGGAGCTGTGAATGACGAGTGGCTGCAGTAGAAAAGAGGAGGGGGCGAGAGGGAGAGGGAGAAGGAGGGCGTGCGAGAGAGTTGGTTCCGACGTTCAGCGATTGTGAACCTCTGCTTTGGGGATTGGCTGTCAGGGACTTCATAATGTAGCGGTGTTCGTGCATTCACGAATGACGCTTTGCGCGGCATGGAAGGTGGGCATGCCTCCTTCGTCTTGTAGCTATGATCTTCTTTAATGCCGACTACATATCCTGCCTCTTTACACAACCTTGTAGACAGACATACAGTTCCGTGGTCTCCCTGCAATGGTTAGGTAGGGAGTGGTGTCAACTCACGCCCCACGGAGAAGGGAGCCTCCTCCTGGCAGGCAAATTGTGATCAAAGCATGATGACGTCTAAGCATCGTATGGTCAAGAAAGATATGAGAATCAACTGCAAAGCTCAATGCTCCATCACAAGAGCAGCACGTATCTGGTGCGATCAGATCCAGACTAGTTTGCTACTCTGTCGTCGATGTATTGTGTAGCTCTTGAATGGCCTTGGCTCAAGACGCCAATTGGTTTGCCACTACGGCGTGGCGCCTCTCGAGGCTTTCAACCTTGGCTGTCAGCAGAGTGTACCTCAAGGCCTGTTGGTTCTGAATTGCTGATAGTCCAGCGTTCTGCTGCTGCTGCTGCGAGATCTGTGCATCTTGCGCTCTGCTTATCTCGCCGCATAGGCTCACCACTTCCTCGCAGCAGCACCTGCGCCCACGCTGCAATATAGAGCGATCTTGTGTCTCGTTTTCCACGAAGGTTTCTAGCGTCAGTGCCGCGGTTTGGAGGATTTGGCATGAATCCCGGAATGGCTGATCGATCAAACCGTGTAACTCATGAATTTGTTGGGCAGTATCCACTTGATGGTCTGACAGGGCTTCTACTGCGACTGCATGTCTTGCAATGTGTTGTTCTATTTCTCCAATGCGGCTGCTCTGTCGATTCATTTCATGTTTCAACCTGCCGATTTCTTGGTAGATAGGAAGCATGAAAGCTGTCTGCCGGGTGATCTCTCTGTTTTGCTCACTGAACATCTTGGTGACATTGGTCTCGACACGGCGAATGACACGTTCCAGCTGCTCTGTCCTATCCATATGGAGTATCTCGTCCTCGGCATGACGACGCAACTGTAGTTCGTACTGCAGCTGCTTCTGCAGATTTTCCACCAACACTTCCTTTGCCGAAGTCATGGTTCTCTCGCGCTCGACATTGGCCTCGGCTTCAATATACTGCAATTCGAGGTATCTGTAATTGCTCTCGAGTCTCTCGTACCTAGGATCATCGTAAAACGAATGTTGGTCACTTGTTCCTGCTTGTTGATAACTGGGGGTGGGGTTGTGGGTGAGTTGCTCGACGGGATGAATCGGAGTTGACGGTTCTGACCCATGATACCTCAAACTACGTCCTTTGGTCGCGACGAAGATGGAATGATCCGAAGATGTTGGGAGGTCCGCTGGTGAGTAAGACCAGGCTTTTTGCAAAGATGATAGCGGAGAGCAATGATGCGGCTGGTCGATGGGAGTCCTTCTCGGCGCAGAGGCCTTTATTGGACCGCTGATAGCTCTTGGTGGACGAGTAAAAAAGGCCGCCGATCGGAGCTTCGCTCGCTGAGAACTAGCGTCTACATCGGTGCGTCCGCCCCGGCGAGCGGAAGCGTCTGCATCGGTTGTGACATCGGAGACTCTGCAGAAGTCACCAGCGGATGAAAAACCAATTCGCGGCTGCTTTATCACTGCATCCTGCCCTTGAGAGTTCGAAGATTGTGATGCTGACCAGGACTTCACTCGCACTAGGGAGGCAGAGCTCGCAGGCCTAACGTGATCGCTTGATCCTCGATTCCTCCAACTGGCAATTGGGAGCCTGGTGGGGAAGTGTACGCCACCTCGAGCAGAATCATGTGGCTCGTGACCCATAAAGCTTGATGCAGAGGTCGACTGTAGTGATGGACTGGCACTTTGCGGTCGAATAAGATGGCCCTGAGAGATGGTCCGTGGATCGCGGTCCTGCGGCATGTTGGACCAGATGAGGATGATCCGGCCAAATACTGAAAATGTCTATTATGAGCCTCAGAACAACGGTATGGCTGCAATAAATGATGGATACAGCACTCAAAGGGAGAAAGCCCAGGAGCTTCTGTTGTCTTAGTGACTTGTTTCACAAGCCTGTACACACGCTCGTCCTGCGGGTGGCACCATCAGCAAAAAAGTATATTCGATAAAAATTGAAGCAGTGCGATTCCTACCTCGTCTGCCATTACAGTTGTTAAAGCTGGTAGCCCAAGAACATGTGATGAAGTCGCAAACTCGGAAGGCCGTTCTGCCGATTATTGTACGATTACGAACGCCGATTATTGGGTGGTCTGTATCTCGCCAACCACTTGCCCCGCTGGGGTTTGCCAAGGCTCGCTAAACGTATTGCAGACCACCCGATTATTCAAGTCCATTGTATCTACATAAGATGACGATGGGTAGTTCTGCAGCTTCTGCTGCCCGGCTGGAAACGGCTACGACTCCGATTCGTTCGGGACTCGCGCTATGTCAATGATCACGCTGAGACTCCGCTCGCGCTTTACGATGTAGAGTGTAAGGTAAAGGAAGGAAATGAGTGCGCTAAGCCAATCAGAGTCTCAACCGTTGACATTGATAGGTTGAATCTATCCTCACATTCGTGGCATTCCATTGCACCGTAGACGTCCTGCGAGAAGCCCGCACTTCTTATTTAGGACGGGCAACTTCGGCGCAGCCCGTCATCTCAAGACCTTTACAGAACTGTGACAATCGCAAGGTTGGGAACCAGGGTAGCAATCGCATTGAAGCTTGGACATTGCGGCAATATCCCGAGTAAGGCCCTGCGGCTTCCTTGAGCGATGTACAACATGCGAAACGAGAGGCTGGGAACTAGGGGACAACCTCAAAGCCTCTGATGGTACAACGCATAAGGGTGAGACTATTTTGTCATCGATTTTGTTGAAGAGGCGCCACAGTCTCTTTGAAAGGAAATTGGCATAAACTGATAAGAGCGCCCTTGTAATGTATACCCGCCTGGCGATGTCTCAAACAACATCATGAATGAAAACTGAAAACGTGATTTCAGAGATGTGTGGAGGTCTCCAATACCGGCGGACCGGCCTTTGGTCAGGAACGCTGCACGCGGTGCACTTCGTACATTTTCATTGCGACGCCCTAACTGTACGGAACGCTCGCGGTCCTTGCAGTCTTCATCACTAAGGTAGCTTCGTTGCATCACTATCCTCTTCATGATTGTCATCTATTCCAACAGAATCATGACGCTACCATTACCGGCAATGATCGCCCTCCTATCAGCCTCAGCTCATTCTGTGCAAATTTTCGGCTCTCGAACACTCCTAAGCGGGCGTTTTTTCCACGACCGCTCTATGCACGCGGCCTTGACCCCATCCCTATGCATCCAGATTACGCAGATGATGTTGCCAGTGCCCGGAATTGTCTCACCTGCCATAGACGATAGCGCCTCCGAAGCGTGCGGCTGATACTCTTGGCTTACACATTCCAAAGGGCAAATGACGACTATACGACCAGYGTGGAGAATGATGTTCACATGACTTACAGTTCAGTTGGGCGTCCTCGTTAAATAACGACGGCACTCGTGGTGACGCCGCCCCATCATCACAAACAAGTGGAACCTAGAGGGGTAGGGAAGTGTTAAGTATGAAACACAATCATGGCTTGTTCACGGCTGTTGTTCCTCGTAACGCGATGAAATGGCTACGAATGGCTGAGAGGTGTTGAAAGTCGCAGGCACTATTAAGGCTTTTCCAGCATCGAAGTTCGAAACAAATGGCTGATGCTGGTATCGCCGGACTTGCAACTCCTGGCAAGGCAATTGTAGCAACTCGGGCTGTAGCGGTCATATATTTAGCCAAGGATGCCCGCCGAACAAACACTACTCTCAAGCACCACAGGACTTCGAACTCGTCCACAGCCAGCCCTTGTTGATTTGCATTCGTCTGAACATATCGCTGCACTCAAAAGCAATCAGCATCACCAACATCATGGCCGCAAGTAATCCAGCCTTTCGACTGTACCATCAGCTGACTCTTATAAGCAGCACCGTGCCGCAGCAGCGCGAGTCGTTAACCCCGAACCACATCCTACGATCGCTACTTTCACTTCCAATTCTTCTGTCCCTCCATCTGGATCATGCTCCTGCTCCAATGTAAGCCGTCGAGATGTCTCTCTCTTTTTTATGTACCTCACGCTGATTCAATTATCCAGGAGAGGTACTTTGAATCTGTCCTGCCCCAACACTGCTCTGCGACCGCTACTACAGCTCCTGCTCTCTCCACCGCTGGTGTGAGTAACCTGGTTTCTACTGCTATTGTGCACGCTAATTCATCCTGCTAGATCGATTGCAACCCCCCAGCCACTGCCGATACTCCTTCCTCCATCATCAGCGCAAGCCACGCCGCCAGCAAGCCCTCTATCCGTGCTAACGAAGCTTCCATCCACACCTCTGCCTTTGACGGTCCACCCGTCGAGCCATCCCAAGCTGCGATCCTTGATCATTTGGGTCGTGACTTCTCAGATCCAGTCAGCTTTCTCGCTGGTATGACCAAGGCGAACATGCTCCTTTCCGGCTCTCGTGTTCTGGAGATCTTTCTTCCCGGTTCGTGCGAGGAAAACTCTGATTGGGATTGTTACTGCCAGGGCTCCGCCCGCTCCGTTGGACAAGCCATCGTTGCCCTCAAACAAGCTGGCGTGGTCTTCGACTGTCCCTTCAAGTTGATGACTGACATTGCGCTCGCGTCCCACGGTTCAGTGATCACTATCAACGCCGATACCCACCGGACGCTCTCCTCATACGCCCGCTCCGATCTGTGGAGTGGCAAGGTTCCTGTTCTCGCTAGTGCTGTCATGCTCGCTATTGGGGCTGCGCTCTCTGAGAACAAACACTGCAAGGCCGTCCCGCTGAGTCACGGTGTCCTGGTCCGGATCCGCCATGGGAAGAGTTCCCACGATTACGAGAACGGCGACGGATATATGCCAGGCTTGAAGATCATCACTGGCTCTACCACCCATGGGGAGACGCCCCGTAAAGTGCAACTCATCTCTGCCGCTAGGAAGTCRCCGCTAAGCCACATCTTCGACTTCTATTCAACTTGTTCTCAGGTCGTCATCACTGGCTTGGGAGCGATCATGTTCCATTGGCATGGCCAGCGAGACGGGATCTATCTTTCGTCCAATACCCAGCACAAGGACAGCGCGGAAGCTGCGACGAGGAAGTATGCGCGACGTGGCTTCAAGTTCACCATGCCCACCAGCACCGATTACATCGTCAAACACCTCGGCACTCCTGGACACGGAGCCAGCGTGGTGGTATTCGACGGTATCCCGCTAGGTGTCTCGCCYGATCTCTATGCTGTACGTCTCGCACACTTCAAGAACCTCGCCTGGTCCGAGTATGCCGGTGAGACTCGGCTTTTGCAGACCTCTACCTTCGAAATGAAGGCCGTTCTCAAGCGCAACCGTAACGCTCGTATCGCCCTTCGCGCGGCTGGGATGTGGGATGATACCGACCTCGTTGTCGCTCAGTCGCACACGGCTGCCTACGCCGGTAGTCGCCACAGCTATCCAGACGAGGTCATCGGTTTGTAGACCACTCGGTATAAGGACAAGCGGATGGACCTGGGCTGACGGAAGCATGAAGAATTGACATCAAGGGTGGACTGTGGAGAGTGCGAATTTGCGAAGGTCCGATGACCTTGAGAGCGCTTCGCGTGCTTTGCTTACTTTGGGAGATCTACAGTATTATCCAATTCAATGCCACCCCGGCCGTATCGTGAGCATACTTCCCGATCGGCCGGCATTTTCTTTTCCATGCTTGTATCGTTCTGCATTGCACCCCACGCCGGGCGATCGCCAGAGTCTAGCAGCCAGCCTCTGTAGCGGTGACTGTTTCCTAGTCGATGACCACGTTCTCTCGGAAAACGCATGTCCAACAAGACACGATTTGGCGTATCAGTAAACGGATTCAATCACCAAAGGCTTGTCCCATTTACCCATTCTCACCCTTTGATCTAGGATCTCCGCCTTGAGCATTCGTTGAAAGCCGATACCCTCTTGAGACTATGACTCTGTGTCGTGAATAAAAGCCGCGCGGTGTTGGGATGAAATAGAGATCGTTTGCAAAAATGCAGTGAGACTGGCAGACACCTGGGAAAGTATAGTCCTATTTACTTGCCGAGGATTTGCGAAAAGTATAGAACAAGCAGCGAGAAGTACAAGAGAAACATGCACATGTGCTCAAGTGTAATCGACTAATGTATGTCTCTCGTGCTACTTGGCTACCGCTCCGCCCTGAACTGACAAAGGGGCTCTATCCATCCAAATTGCCTAAGCAGATCCAAATACGGCAAACATCTTGTCTTGCTTGCCAATGGAGCCTTGCCATTTTCCGGACACGAGCGAGTGCCAAGCGCTCCAAAGTTGACCAAAAGCACCACGTGCGGCATTGCTCCTCCTCCCAACAACCAAGATTGAGCACTAATTATCCCCCTTTCTAGTTCATTTCCTCCCTCAACCGTCTTGCGAAGTGAGCGGCGGCGTGAGCATGCATCGAAAGCTTGAACATAGTCTCATGAAACTTCATGTATCCACCGGAGAGGTCGTTGTCGGGTGCTCTGTCGACGATATCCTGGGCACCGGTGCGATAACCCTCGAGAGCCATGACATTGACGTCAATGTCGGTGCATGCAGAAAGTAGACTGTCTTTGACGAGTCGAAAAGTATCGGCAATTGTCTTGATCCTATTAATGTCCTCTCCGATCTCGATGCTGTTGGTCTTGCTCCGATGAACCGCTTCCTCGTCTGCAGTTTCCGCCTGGGGACCAAAGGGGATGGCAACCTTATCGACCTGTTTCTTGTCCTCCTCCGCGACGTGCACCCACTCGGCTCTGTCAATCATCTCGTTTTGATCCTCCATTATCTCATCGATCCGATCCTCCTTGGTTTTCTGCTTCTTGGGCTGTGGGAAGAAAGCTTCATCGAGACTTGCAGCACGCTTCCGATTAGAGTCGACGAAGGCGGAGGTGGAGGCAATCGCGTCCGGAGTCTTTTGTTTCTTGGCGAGACGGAACGGGATCGAGGCGAAGAATGCCATGCTGACGTATCTCTAGGTATTGGGTGAATACTTGAATATCGTGCGGGTGGAGAAGGAGAGCACCTACAACTTCGCAGGAGAGGTTGTCAAGAGCAAGTGTCTTACAACTGTCTTAGCTTGAACTTCATGATGCTCGAAATGAGTAGGACTTGTGTCTAAGCAAATGGCTCCTCCATTCGGCCGGACCTACGTTACCAGCAGCCTCCTCCACGAAGCTGTCACTACCCAACTGGACATAATACTTGGAGAGATCCAAAATTCCAACGCGAAGCGTACAAGGCGCCTTGACCGCTATCGAGTGTCGGCCGGGCACCAGCGTGACCCTTTAGCGCGGAGGGATGGCATGGCAATCAAAAATGTGGAGAGAGTGAGGTTGTGTAGTCGCTTCAGCCAAAGCCGTAGAACCCCATCTCCTTCTTATACGAATGTGTTACTCTTACTTACGTTGAGGGCCGTGGAGGGTCCGATAGCTGCTTGGCCCGAAGCTGCATTACTTGATATATTCTAGCAAAGATTGGAATTGAACTATCTCCAGCTCCAGCTCCAGGCCGTTTGCTGATGAGTACATTGACCTTCGTGTCCATCAATACCTGGGATCAACTCGGTGGTGGAAATTTCGAGTATTGATGTTCCTCTTACTCACTCGAATCGAGAGGAATGGAACGAGGAACGAGGAATCACTTCGGGCGCTTTTGAGGCGGCTTTGAAGGCTTGATAGGGCATTACCAAYCGTACGTCCGTTTCATTGACGGTCTTGTTGACATTCTGATCGCGGCGGTACAGTATGTAACAACGCCAGTGAGCCCCTGGGTCTCTAACCTAGCACAAAGGGAATATGCTCGTCTTGTTCCTCCCTGACCCTAGCCAAGTGGCGTACAAAGCCACGCAGGTGTAATGCTGAAGCCATGACACCAGCAAGAATTGAATCTACAAACATCGGTTGCCAACCCCGCTCTGTTGTGTATATGWAAGGCGCCGCAGCTTTGATACATCTAGAATTCGGTCATGCTCTCCGAAATCTCCGCGGCTGATGTGGCATGAGAAGAAAGCTCGGGCATGGAGTGACGGTATGGGAGGTACGCATCGTACAAAGCATTGAGCTCATCATGTGTGCCTGAGCGGGCCACTTTGCGCATCATCTCGAGCGTCTCGATGTGGTTGTCAATGCTGGTGCTGGCGGAGTTCAGATGGGCTTTGACAGCGTGGAAGTCGGATATACAACGACCGATGGCCAGACTCTCCGGTGTTGGATTGTAGCGCATTGCCTTCTTCTGCCCGTTCGACTGGTTCGAACGGACGACATCCGCCGTCTCAGTGCTTCCTGAATGCTTGCGTTTTCCGGCGGCCTGTGGAGCCTCCATGCCAGCGGCTCCGCAGGGGTTGCCTGTGACCAACCGAGAGTGTTCACGATCCAAGCTTTCGCTCTTACTCGCGGCCCAAGGTGTATCAATGGCGGGAGTTGTCTGTGATGCATGATCCTTGCTTTTGTCCTTGTCTTCGACCCCCGAGAATCTGCTAATAAGAAGAGAGGCGTTATTGGCAAATCCCTGTCCAGCGAGAGGTGTACCGTAAGGGTGGCCTGTAGCAGRGCCTGCGCCTCCCAAGATCTGGACGGCATTGTCCTTGCTCGTGCTTTGCTTTTCGTTCCACTTAACGCTGCTGCTGCTGAACCCTGTCATGTCGCTAGGGGCTGACTCGTCTGGGGCGCTTAGGGGATGTTTTGGCGGTTAGGACTGCAGTGTAAAGTAGCAGTTCGAAGCGAAGCTGGTGATGCGCCAAGCCGTGGTGGTACAGWCTGGCAGTGTAGCCCGGTCCGGTTGAGAGTGTCACTGATGAAGCAGTAAGTGTATCGTGCCAGGGAAAGAAGACCATGGTGGGCAGCTTTTGGTCTTGCGGGCGGGATCAAGCCATTGTCTCAGCTGAAGGACATCAGTGAAGTCTTGAACGTTCCTGAACGTCCCGCCGTATGTGTACAAGGCGTGCAAGGCCACGCACCACATCTGGTGGAGTAGGTATCTTTCATGACATGGCGTGTTCTGGTTRCGCAGACCTCAGCATACGAGCGAGGCTCGAAGCTCTCGTGACTTGTGCGAGGCAATCATGAACTATGCCTCAATCATGTTGCCTTCATGACCCGCGCCGATGCTGAAGACAAGCTGTTGTCCGTCTCAAAGCCAATCTCGGGAGTTGGTGCGAAGGTGATTCCACGGCACCTTGGGAATTCCACGAAGCGGTGGCGGGGTGACCGGGCAGAGCGGCAAGATGCGGGTCGGTCAATTCAACAACCCAGCAAGAACGACCATCATGCGGACGGGGAAGAGGAATACAAGGCGCTTGAGTGATCAGTACGATATGCATCAAACATGCATACACACACCATCAAGCTAATCTCTCAGTGCAGCAAGGTCACAACCCACGCGGCTGCGTCAGTCCTGGTGACGTTCTATCATCTCGCAACGGTGTGCTCCGCCGGCTTCGCAACTTGGCAGTTCTGGGAAATATCTCCTCGCATTTGGCTTGCGAACCTATGGAACCTGGGCGACATTGGCCAAATAGCTGTGTTCTTCGGTCTTCCGGTCTGCGGCAACGCGGTTTTCTTGTTCCTCCTCTTCACTCCAAGCCACCGAGCTCGCACATTTTTCTACAGCTCGGGCACATTTGGCGCTTGGATGCAGATGGTGCTCGCGTTCTGTGCACTTCATCTGTGCCTGTGCGCGGCCGCGGCAGTTATTTACACTTGGCTGGATTCCTACGGCTGGCCAGTCATCCCAATCGAAGACTACGCTAGCTGGTCTGCATACAAAGCATTCATCCATTGGCAGCTCACACTCTTCACCGCCGGTTTCGCGTTGCTCATCGCCAGATGTGTAGTACCGCTCGAGATACGGTTCGTGGAGTGGGCTTTCGATCCCTCGTTTCGATGCCACAGCTTGTTTGGCGAGAGAGGCGCAATAGCGCGGGAACTGCGGGCTGCGAGGGTGGGCCGCTAGGTGGGTCTGAAGCCGGGTGTGGAATGACGTGGAAAATGATCGTAGAATGAGCGGTGCTATAGCCTACAACTATATGTACTGGTGAAGTGAAGCACAAATATACTTTGATACTTTGCAACTTTGTGGCGGTCCAATCGCGATCTTCGTGCTTTCATGCCTCCGCCCATCACATGGCCCCTCAACTAACGGTAGGTATACACATCATCCCTCCCAATTCTGATGCCCCATCACACCACTACTTTTGGCGAGCACTGCAGCTTCGCCACATCGGCGAGGACCGTACCTTGGTCTCCGGTGCGCACGTGCTTGGAGATTGCGTCGATGCGAGGTATAGCCCCAGTGCAGACATCGTCCGCTTTGGAGGACACTTGGAGCTCATTGATGGTACTAATGGCAGCCGCGCATTGGTCTACAATGTTCCCCAGACTCGCAACACTAATCTGGCCGGCTGATTGAGATCCTACTCGGTGATCGAGCTCACGCTTTGCGCTCGCCTCTATGCTGGCCAGGTGTTGCAAGAGCGGTCCGGCACTCTCGGCGCTGTGTGACTTGAAGGAGCGGCAATCGTCGCCCAGGGCCATCACATCTTCAACCATCTCTAGTTTCTGGAGCCAATCTTGCATGGTCGCGATCTTCAGATCCGCACAGGCGCTCGAGACGGCCACGCGAACTGCAAAAAGAGCGTCAACATCCACGTGATACGTCCCGTGCACTTGCGAAATGCCTGGCGATATCTTCGCGAGCTCGCGCACCTCCCGTTGGAGAAATTCGATTCCGTCCCGGTCTGGCGTAAAGTTGCTAGGAGTATCGGGGCATTCCTCTGATGGTGGCGGCTTGATCATGCTTCCAAGGAATCCCGCGGCCATTAGGATCACGGCAAGCAGGTGTGATGCGTTTCGTAGTAAGCGACCGAGCGACGAGCTACAGGCCTTGTATACGGCGAGGGAGGATAGCAAGATGTGAATCACCAGACCCGTCGTAAAGATGAACTCTCCGATCATTAACAGATGGCCGATCGTGCTGGCGAACATGATGGAATCCCCTTCGCTCTATGTCCGTGCGGGGAGTCGATGGATCTGAAGGGCAAGCYACAGCTTCTCGAACGCGTGAACTTTACAGCTCCTTGTCTAAGTTCTTTGTAGGCTTTCTCACGTGCTCTTCTAACCTTCACAAACCGCCAGATCCGCTTGAACTCCCAACGACGTCAAGGATATCGCTGCTTAAAGCAGAACCGCGCACCACTGTCGACAAGATGGACCCTTACACATACTTCAACCAGCACTACGATGCCAACAACAGATGGGTCAGTATTGGCGCTCTTGACACTGGCGAAGAGGTTCACGTCGTGTTAGACACAATCGACAGCGTAAAATACAGCGTGCGCACTACGGGCTCTCCAACGACGATTACATGGGCCGGCTTTATTCTCAACGACGATCTCGCTACGCTCAACCATAACGATAGAAGGAGGACGTCCAAGACACGCATGCGCAGCCTACTACGCAAATGGGACACCCAACGAGACCTTCAGGACGTATTAACACCTGCCGCTCCGTCAGCTCCCGCCTACGCCGAACACCTTCAGGTGCAACATCACGCGCCTAATCGGGTGCTCGAGAGCACGGGTACCGAGACGGCTGCTGCTTTCCAGAAGATCGGGGGATACAAGAATGACCACAATCTAGTGCTTTTCAAGGGCACCGCCGAAGAGCGCGAGGTGCTCGTCGATGAGGAGGTCCACGAAGATCCGATCATCAAGGCACGGAACTATTTTCACATCGCCAAGGAGTTCATTCAAGGTCATATCGCCCAGGACATGGACGAGCTGTGCGCTGCTGCTTATGACGGGCGTCCTCAAGCCATGTGTCAGGCAGTCGTTAACTTGACGATTAAGTACGCATGGCCCGCTCTCCCCACTTGGCTTCGTGGCAGTGTTCCGCAGCATGCTGCGTACGGAGTTTCAGCTCTGCTCCTGCAGGGTTTCTGGGCTTCGGCTTTGCCTAAGATCCGACAAAAAATGGATGTAATCTACGTCAATCCAATCAACGAAGAGGCTGCGACCTGGGCTGAAGAAGCAAGGAAGAAGCGGGGCCCTCGTCGGCCCGACTATTGTTGACACTAGGACAGCGAGAGATGGCAATTCTTAGAGGAAGTTGCAGAGGCAACTTGATGAAGAGGGCCACACAGAAGAGATGGAGACAGAGTCCGAAGAGGATAAAGATTAGCTCCCATCACAGTGTCGGCATGAGAGGAAGTGAAAGGTCGAGAGTGTTAGGATTATCTTGGGGAACGTCAGATGTGCTCAATCGCAGAGGTGGCTTGTTGCGGCCTTTGCAATCAGGATCAGGAGGGTCTAGAAGGTGGCGTACCCGAGCGTTCTGCCTCTTATAACAGGGTATGTAGCTTGTACCAACCGCTTGGAGTGAGTTGATCCGCCATTCCTCATTATTGTTGCGCCAGACATCCGCCGTGGAGTCAGGCTTAAGATCGGCCGAGGGACGAGGGATGAGGCTCGCCGCGTGGCCGTGTTGTTTTACTTTCGCATGCTCATCCGAGACCGTGGAGCATTGTTTGACGCTTGGATCAGCACTGCTTCCACGTCTGCTTCGAGGTGAACAACATTTCCTCGATAGTAATCCCAGTCCAGAAGGCCGCATCCTCACCATGACCAGGCCTTGGACAATGTTCAATAAACGGCTTTGCGGCCAATGTTTAAGACTTAATATACCAGACGGTGAGACTTGGTATGAAGCATTGTCTGAGGCCAACTTAGACTATGCTGCATTGTGGTTCACATGGCGCCGGGTGCAAGACACTCCTGGTGCAGAATATAAGGCGGCGGTCGTCGTAGAGTATGTGATAGAGCACCGGCCAATATGAACCAATACGATCACCACCGTAGCCCACTGAAAAGATCACGTTGCTTTGCATACCTCGTGCCTGCCTCTGAACCCGCAAGCGTGGCGATCAAGCATCGTGCCAACCGGCTGCGACGTGCCCTTGCGAAAAGCGTTCCACAACTCCAGAACGTCCCAGCTCGCCAATCGATCGCAAGGCTCGACTTCGCAATGTTCCTGGGCCGCCGGTCCCTATCATTCGGCTCGACTCGTGCAGTAGAATTCCGTCTCCCGAACAATCCCGAAGTTAGTGGCTGCCATTTTCTGCTTCGTCTTGACACCCAGACGGGGCTATTAAGTATTACAGATACTTCTGCTGCCGGTACATGGATCTCTRACAGCAGACTGAACACTTGGACACTGCTTTCTCGTTCGACATACACAATCAGGTTTGACTGTAGCATTAAAATCGGTCACGGCCCGGACGCGCTCATCATCAATTTCGTCTTGGCCGATCAACCCAAAGGAGCCTTGGGATCACATCGACTTCTCCAGGATTACGGGCGATCGGTGGGAGCTCTCCATTCAGTGCAGGCAAATTCCTTGAACAAMCACGATGAAGCTTGGAACAAGGAGAAAGAATGTACCGTGTGCAATTGATCGTCTAGTTCTTCATGCATCGTGAGGATCGCATACACTTTGTCTGTTTAGCCGAGCTGATGGCTACGAACACATTCGGGGAAAGCTGGCCTCCTCGGTGCCAATCATATCGCAATGTGAAAGATTGGCAGAGTTGTGCACTGTTAATCAGGTCCTGCACACTAGGCGCAGTACGCAGGGTGTCCCGGGTCGTGGGTGTGCGGTTAGATGTTAACGAAGAGAGAGAGGGAAGAGAGGGAAAGGGAGGTAGGCGCAAAACTTGGCACTTGATTGGATGAGGTGAAGTGTATATGAATTGCAACGGACGATAAACGCGGAAATAGGGCCGTAATAAGTAGTCAGCTTGGGAGGCAGTAGAGTAGGTACGCATTGACTACAGGATTAGGGTTATATGACAAGCTTTTCTAGCGCTCCAAAGCTCGATACTGTAACAGCATACCGTCTCAACATCACAGCATATCTGGATGCTTTTCCAGGAGGTGACGAGGCTCACAAGTTGACTACTGCAGGTTGCCRCTGCGAGCGCTACTACAGCTTAACAAGACAGAGAGCTGGGCCCATTTCTCATCCGACCTGAGCAAGCCGCGCATCAACTGGACTTTGCTCTCCCATTCGACGTATACAATCCGTGCTGGCTGTAGTATCAAGATTGGTCACGGGTATGAATCCCTTGTCCTCAACTTTGTGTTAGCAGACCAGTCGAATGTCGAGGGAGGACCTCGTCCGTTGCTCTAGAACTCCGGATCGGTAGGAGTTCTGCACGCGACGACGGCAAATGACTCTAGCGACCGAGCATTCACAGCACTGGCAGCAGGGGGATCTCCCATGGACACAGGACCAATGAGACAAGCAGGAAGAGGGTGTCGTATGCGATGGAATCCCTCCATCCTCACTCCGCAATCATGCGCTGCAGCTTAGCCAGATGGGCTTCGTCTATCCTTCCCTCACCTACCTGTGCTCCATCGGGTTCTCTGAACAGACTGGACTCGACCGCTGAATTCTTCAATCAACCTGAGACCTCTGCGTCATCGTCCAGCTTTTGCTTCTTCTTGTGAATCTCTCCCCAACGCGAAGAAGGTTCTGCTGAAATGCCTGCACCTAGGGGCGAGCCTGCTGAGCCTGCTGCATGATAATCTGGCCGAGGTATCAAGTTCTTGATCATTGCCGCAGTGTATGTGGGCTCAAGCTGGGCCCCAGAGCAGGTGTCCACAATCTTGAAGTATGAGTCCTCGAGGGTTGCGAGTCGCATACCAGACATGTCAAGATACTTTTGTCTCCTCGAAGCCTTGTCAGCGCCTTTGCCCTTATCAAGGGAACCGGCAGCCCACAACCAGTTGGCAGACTTGAGCTTGTTGTCATCTTTGTTGTCACGCCCCAGAATTCGAAGAAGCGTGTTTGTCTGTGCAAGATAGTATGCGTCGGGTGTGCCAAAAAGCACCAGTGAGTCTCGCGGTGTTATGAAAATAGGGCATCTCTGGAAGGCGTATTGAATTGCAAACAATGGAGTGTATGCTGGCGGAGGATTGGCCAGAGCACTTGAACGGRGATAACGTCCTCGCTGTGGCTCCTGAACAAATCCGTGATGCATAGTCTCACTCCATTTGACGTCCATGTATAGCATAGTAGGGTATTGTGGCCTTGAATGAAATCAGTATCCGCAGCTTCATCTTCCCCCTCTTGTCGTACCCTGGAGCTGACGCGGGCGTGCGTGCTGGCGGAACCCGCTCTTCATCAGCAACTGTCGTCCATGCTGGACGCGAAGGTAAATGAAAGAAGTATCCTCGACGATGCTTCGCAGCGATTTCATTCAGTCCGAGCACGCAGGTCTCGTTCTCTGGCAGAGCTCGTTTGAGGTAATCGGGATTCTGATCGAAGACTTTTTGAGAAATCTGCTCTACCGCAGTCTCTCGCCAGAAGTATCGCTCGGCAGGTGCGATTTCACGAAGCAGGATCTTGGGAGGCATCTGCACCTCTGGCAACTCGCGCAAGTCGTAACAACCTAAGAGTGCGATGATGTCGAGCTGGCCGCGGGACCACCATGACGGCAGCCTGCATCGCAATCAATAAAAGACAGCAAACAACTTCGATCCTAATCTTTCACTTTAGTGACTGTAATGTCCGCCATGAGATGCCACTTTCCTCTTAGAACACAAGAATGGCACGACCGTACATCCAAGAGCTACGAGAGTTGGAGCAAAATCCCGGTGGAACTGGTTGGCAAGGCCGCTGGCAGCAATTGTGCGAAACCATCTGGTCCATCATGGCCACTGCGACCTTGTACGAGCTTGCCATTCCTCCTATTGAATACCAACGATTTCTGGCATTGCTTTTGAGCGAAGAGCGCTTCGCTTTGGCTCGTTTGGTGATTGTGGAACTACGAGAGGGGAGGGGAGAACATCACTTAAGCGCACAGCAAGAAGACTTGCTGGACAAAACATCTCAAATCAGAGCTCGCATCCAGGTCGTCCAGAACATGCAACAAAGCGATTTTGATGAGGATGCGTATGCGCAGGAAAAACTCATTCATCTTGACGCTGAATTGCACCGAGCTCGTATTCTCATGCATCGAAGTGCTCCATATGGCGCCGCCAGTGAGGAGAGAATCGCTGAGTGGCTTGCACAATATCCTGGAACTCCATGAGAAAGACAGAGACCAATAGCGTGGTGTAACGCCTGACTCCTGAGGCTTTCGGGAAGGTGGGGATGCGGGATGTCGGATTTGAGTTTGTCTTAAACACTATGGACATGGAACACACTTTACAGAGATCTGTGAGACGGTCTCCAAGTCTGTTAGCCTTATACCCTTCATAGTAGGGCCCGCAGATTGGTACTGTGACTGATGAAAGACCCAAAATCTTCAGCTTACAAGAGTACTGCTTTTACAAGCACAGCCGGGCCGAGTTTGAGCCTTGCAAAGCTGCAGGTTTCCCCACCAGAAAATGGTTGGGTCGGAAATCTCAGCATGCAGCTTTCCCACTCCCGACGCTTGTTCCATGACTCGCTGCACACCTAACCACTTCTCTACAACTGCAACAACACGGTACCGATCGATCACAACGCTTGAGTCATCGTTGCAGCGTTGCCAAACGATTCCATGGCCCCAACGATTTTACCCCTATGCAATATCACAAAAAGGGGAAAGGCTTGGCATCCGGGAACTCCCGCTCACGCACCATCAAACCACGCTCCGTCACGATGATACCGAGGAACCAAGAGAACGCCCGCAGGTCCATCCTGCTACATATCAGCCACGCGACTGTATATGAAATCCGTTCAATCAACATGTGCCTCACTGCATGCATCGGCTGTGCTGGTGCTGCAAGGCCACTTCGAGACTACGGCAATGTCGAACGGCTGAATATCGCCGCATATCTCTGTCACAGATCGCGGGAGGTAACCAGAGGTATAAGTCCACTGGATTCTGTGGTTGATCTTGACAGCGTGTACCGGTGCTGCTTCTGCTTCCTCCTCACGGTCGCCGCTGTCATACAATCATGTCGGCGTGGATTGTCTTATCACTATACTGCGATTGCTAGGCAGTCGACAAGGCACTGCACGACAAAGACATACGGCCGTCTCGGCTCAACGTCTTTGCCTGGAGATCGGCATATATGTGCGATCACTCGGCTTTGGACGTCAGCGACGATGTGCCATCTCAGACTACTCTCTGATGACCTGGTGGACAATGGGGTCTTGTATCCAGGCTGTCAACTGATTCATCCACTCTGCTTCGACAATCGCACTTTTTGCAGAGCAAGCTTCGAGATCTTATTCAAGATGGCATCGTTCCGCATTGCATGAACCCATGTCCAGAGATCGCATTACCTTATACTCTTCCCATTTGYAGGACAAGTTCCTCTTCCGGTCATTCACGACCACGTGTGGACTGGCTTCATCTCAACAGACGTCCTCACAGCCACTGACTTGAAAGGTATCGAATGATGCGTCCTCAGAGTCTAGAATGCGGCAATACCATAATGGCGTCCCCTTCATCAAGTGGCAGTGCTTTGCCAGAGGATGGAAAGTATCGTCCACCTCGACATCCTTAGCGCTGGTCTCGGCAAACCGACTATATTCACGCACTTCATGTGGAGTTTCCATCTCATCAGCACTATAGGATAAGCATACTGCAAATGTGCTTTACGAGGCATTGTCGTTGTCGCCGACGCTCGCACAAAAGACTCACTTTACACAGATCAGACGTGGCTTCTCTTGCCTCGCCTTTACAGCTATTACGAAAGACAAGCGTATTGAGCGCTTTCGCGAGCCTGGAGCATCCTCCAAAATGTTGGTGGACGCAGATTGCATGGCATCCAAAAGCTAATACAGGTCTAGCTTTGTGTAGTGCGCGCCATTCCACGCCAACTGTAAGTTCAATCCCTCAGCCCCATTTACCCTAAGTCGCCTTCTTCCCATAGGATGCACTCTGCCAACTCCTCAAGGATGTCTAGTCTTTAGAAGGGCTCCAACAAGGTCTGTCAAGGCCTGCAAGATACATATACATACCCTGTTCGCAGTCCCAAACATACACATCTCATCTTAATCCACTGTATGCTATTAAGAATCATGATTTCATCCTCTCTCCTGATATCTGCTCTCGCAGTTCCAATCATGGCACAATACGCCTCTAAAACTACATTTACCTTCCCCGGCACAACTCTTCCAACAGGCTTAACAGTCTCAACATACCCCATCTACGAGGACAAGGTCACCAACGGTCAAGGACCCAAATACGATCGAGTCTTTGAGCGTAAGAACGTCGTTGTAAGAAACGGTTTCATGGAACTTCGTGTTCCAGGAGGACAAACCAAGAGCCCCATCAGCTGTGCGGAAGTCGGAACCACGTTTGAAGTCCAGTATGGAAGTATTCGAACGTATGCCATTTTGGCTGAAGAGCCGGGTGTATGCAACGGTGAGTTCATCTCTTATTCCAATTCCTACATTTGCTGATTATATGTAAACAGGCATGTTCTTATACCACGATGAGAGCAACGAGACGGACATTGAATGGATTTCCGACCCTGCATCGTTTGCCAATATCGATCAACATAATGGAACAAGAGCGATGCTGTACACTAACCAGGGACCAAATGGGAATGAAGATGCAACGACTGTTTCTGGTATCGCGGCGAGCGATGCTACGTCAAAGGTGCATGAGTATCGACTCGATTGGACTCCCAGCGAAACGAGATATTATCTTGATGGCAAGCTTCAGCAAACGATCAAAAAGAATGTCAGTGATCAATCCGCACAATTAATCCGTTCGTTGAAGTATCGCTGACAGGCTGTTGCTTTCAGGTTCCCAAGGTCGGAGGCCAATGGCTTTGGAACAACTGGGTGTACGCTTACCCTTCTTACGTTCAGAAAGATTCAACTAATGCGTGCATGTAGGAACGGAGATCCTTACTTCACCGCCGGACCACCCAAGAAAGATGCAGTATTCAAAATTCAGAAGATTGTGATGGAGTACAACTCCAAATAATGGATTGCTAGCTAGATATCACGACTTGTATAGACATCTTGTAGAGCTCTGCGACCTTCTGCATCGTCTACGAGATTCAACACTCCTTTCTGACTATACTCAAGCGGTTTCCCGTGCCAGACCGGTGGTGACCTACGCTGATGTTCWCTTTCGGCTGTTATCGAATATCTTAGGGTTAGGGTTGGGGTAGTAGCATATTCCACTACATGGACGACAAGTATATGAACTTCCCCCCTGTTGTTGTGGGAACACATCTCAGGCTATTTGGGGTATAACTCATTGTCATTTTCACACGATATGTGTAGTTGTGGACTTTAGGCAGCGTTTTGGTGAATGGCTACTTTGAACAATTGTGGAACGTGAAAAGTGATCTCGGAAAATATCAACTCTAGCCAGACATCCATTCATAGCACAAGACTTGCATAGAACTTCATCTCGCAGTACAGTACCATCACATCAGATCCAAGGCTCGACAAGTCAAYCTTAAAGTAGATGGCAACAGTGTCTTTGCGACGCAATCTCCAGACCACTACCACTCCCAAGCACATCACATGTGAGATGCAACGCCTCTGTATGTGAACACCTCGATTGGCGTCGATCTGTTCATGAGCTATTTTCTATCCATGTGGCATTGGGCTATGATATACATAAAGTCGTTCCATCATTACCCAAATGAGAAGCCTCTCATAAAGCCTTCCAAACTCCTCCCCGAAAACAGCAGAAGAAAACAACACCTCTACTCATGCCCTCCAGCCCGACCCATCTTCTCAATACTGGACATGATCTTGCTCTTGCCTGCATTGCTGCCTGACCTGCCCAAACCACCAATCCGACTGCCACCTCCAATGCGACTCTCCGGCGGTGCCATACTGCCCGGCGCCTTCAACCCGCTAGGCCGGCTGATGGATTTGCGAAAGTCTTCCACAACACTCATCGCACCCTTGGCTGGACCTTGCTCAGATTGTAATAATAACATCTCATCCACAGCAGCCACCAGGTCTCCCTTCTCAATCCTCTCCTGCTGGAGTTCCTTCATGAGTTGCTCCTGCTGCATTCGAGAAGTCTGCATTTCCTCCTCCACTCTCGCGAGATGAGCGCGCTGCGCTTCAATCTCAGCTTTGAGTACAGCAGCCTCCTCTCCACTCCTCTGCTCGCCGAACCGCTCCCCAGTAAAGGTGGCATCGCGAGCATTCACAAGCTCATCATTCATCTTCTCCAGCTCGGCMAGCCGGTTTTGCAGATCCGCACACTTCATGGCGTTCCGCGCTTCATAGCTCTTCTTCAACGTCGCGACCTTGCGCTCGWGCTTGTCCTTGTAGACTGAATGGAGCTCGCGGGAGACTGCCTCAATCTTGGAGTCGAWCTGCGCCGCAACAAGACGCTGGACTTGTTCTTCAGTCGCAGACATGCCCTCCTCTCCGTCACCACTCCCGCCTCTGGCAGCCAGCGCATCGGCGAAGCGTTCTTCAGCCTTGGCAGCACGAGATTCAGCCTCTGCCACAAGACGCTCCGTCTCTTCCACCTTACGATGGAGATCTTCCTTTTCTGCTTCACTGCGGTAGACCTCCTCTTTCACACTCTTCAACACATGCTCAACCTCCTGCCCACGTTTCTCCCAACCCGCCTTTGCTTCTTCAGCGTCTTCTCTCCTGCCTCGCTCTTCCCGAACTTGCTCCTGCGCTTCACCTACTCTTCTCTCGGCATCACCCACAGCACGCTTCAGACTCTCGACCTCCGCCTCACGACCACTCAGGGTAGCCTTGAGAGACGAGATTTGTGAAAGGTAGCTAGACTTGAGCGATTCGAGCTCGCGGACAGTAATGGTAGGAATGGATCGAGGAGTAGGAGCAGGCGGGAGCTCAAAGTCGAGCAGGTTGAGAATGTTGTTGGGCTTGCTGGGCGTGGCGTAGCTGTTGCGAGTCGACTTGTGGGGAGAGCGTTGAGAGTTCATGTATTGTAGCAAGTTCGGCTCAGACTTTCCGGGTGAATTTTGACGGTAGCTGCCCATGTTGGAGAGGTCGCCCATTTGCTGGGTGAAGTCGATGAGGAAGCTGGTCGTGCCGTCCGCATTTGCGTAAGCGGGAGTCTTTTGTCGTCGAGGAGTGGGAGAGGGAGATCGGGATGGCGAAGGACGCTTGCGGGTGGTACGTGGTGTAGTGGCATCTCGACCGGGTGTACGCAAGCCCGTCTTTGTCGGACTCTGGCCGAGTTTGGCGAACAAAGTCATTTYAGGAATCTCCGAGAAGGCGCTGAAACAAGTGTCGTCCATGTTAGCCAGGTCTTGAGCCGGCATTTGAGAAGCACGGAGATCTAGACCGTCTTGAAATGAAGAGGATGATTGCTCGGTCTTGTGGGAGGATAGAATGTCCATGGTATGGGAGTGGACGTGTGTTGTGTGAGATTCGAAGGAATCGCCTCTGCTGAGCGTAGCGCGAGGGGTATTGGCGGCGCTACGAGACGGCCGTAAAGGAGTCCTCTTGGGCGTCTTGCGAGTGGAAGGTGGAGGAGGCATCAGGTCGGAATCTGCACTGCCGCGTCGTTGTTGGGTGCTGGGAGACTCTGCGGGTGTGCGTGTTGATTTGGCTTCGGGGGTTGCTGGCGCTGGAGCAGCCTTTTCGGGTGTCATCATGGCGGGCATGTTCTCCTTGTCTTCTTGGAGATCCATGACTGCGTTGTGCATGGATTTGGAGGCGGGTGTCCCAAACAGATCATCGACGAGCTTCTCAGCGATTTCCTCTGGCGCGGTCCATGTCTTGCTGGCGACCCGGCTTTGGTCCATTTCGGATACGAATGGTGATGATGGCAGATTAACCATACTGGCTTCGTTTTGTGCTGACGGTGAGTCCATCTCGTGCGTTGTGCTATGGAGCAGGTCGAGTCGAGTCGAGAGTCAAAGCTTGAAGCCAAACAGCTGGAAAACTTTCGGCTGTTGGCATGGTGATGCGACACGTGATTCATGAGTCTCACCTTTCATCCTCGTCCACACATGTTCATCATCACTTTGACAATCAAGAAGCTGCGGCATAGGTCATGTATATAGCCTGACCTGGATGTAATGCTGATGCCGCCCCAACACTACTCTGCAAGCGATTGCAATGGCAAAGCTTGCAGAACATTGGCAACATCGTCACACATTCATTGAGCCGTATAACCACCATCCACGACCATCGATGCCCCGGTCATGAAACTGGCCATTGGACTGGACAAGAAGACCACTGCATCCGCAACCTCCTCCATCTCTGCCAATCTCCCTGCAGGAACCCTGCTTTCAATCATTTGACGCATGACATCTGCACCGGCATATTGCGAGTTCTATAAGAACAAATCAGCAAGGGTCTATTACCAACCAATCGATAATGTCTCACAATGTATCCCCTCAACAGCGGTGTAGCCACATATCCAGGACATATGGCGTTAATCCGCACCTTCTGAGGAGCATATAAGCATCCATCATTCTTCGAGAATCCCACTACGGCATGCTTCGAAGCTGCATAAGGACACGCCGGCGTCTCACGCGGAGATGCCACAACTCCAAGAACCGAAGCCATGTTGACAATCACGCCTCTCGAACCTCTCACGCCCGGATCGCGAGGCTCTTGTGTTAGCATCTGTCGAATTTGAGCCCGATGGCAAAGCCAGACTCCTTTGAGATTGACATCCATCACACGCTGCCACTCGTCCAGACTGGTCTCATGCGTCTGCGTACGAGGACCTCCAATGCCCGCATTGTTGAATGCAATGTCAATACGACCAAAGGCAGCCACTGTCTGTGTTACCGCGGAACCCACGGCACTCTCGTCGCTGGTATCCATTTCAATCAGGAGAAGCTCAATCTCTGGGTATAGACTTTTCAATTCCGCGCTGGTGTTTTCAAGTGCCGCTGCTTGAATGTCGCATAGAGCTAGCTGGCGAACGCCATTTTTGGCAAAGGCGAGAGCCGTGCACTGACCAATTCCTAGAACATATCATGAGCTGACTTGGCATCTCGTTGCTTCATGTCGCGTGTTGTGTAAGATATCAGGATCTTCTTCTTCTCTGCTACAACTCACCGGATCCAGCTCCCGTTATGAAAGCAGAGCCTTGAAGCATGTTCTCCATCTCGATGTCGACGTCAACGGTCTGATCTGAAGTCACAAACTGGGTGATTTCTATGTCCAGGACTCGGTATGGAACAGATGGCAAGGACTAAATTTCAGGCGAATGCTCAAGGGTACACACGTTCATTACTTATATATACATTTAGTGGATCGAAAAGAGCGGGTCTTACTTCGACAGGCTTCAATCTAGATGCGGGGAGGATTTGATCACCTGAATTCTGTTTGGAGTGAGTTTATACAAGCTCAGGACTACTCTTTTGGAGCCTCGGAGTAGACAGCTCATGGAGGCAATCCTTAAATGCCTCATTCTCCAATCGGGTGAGGCTGTGCTTGGCATGGAAAAAGTATACCTAGGTCCTTACTGAATGCACTTCACTTTGGCTGCACTACAGTACAACAACACACCACAACTATTAAAGTCATTCTCGAGATGCTAAGCTTCATGTTGGTAGGTTCCGCTCTGCATGTCATACATGGACTCCAATCCGGGACAATCCACCAGCAATTCCCCAAAACACATATGTATATTCGAAGGCAACACCACTACACCACAGGATATCTGGATTGTAAATAAGCCAAGTTGAAGAGCGGATTCTCTTGGCTAGTGCCCGTTTTGGAAAAAGGCAAAAGTATGCTCGTGTTACGACGAAACATAGGAAAACTAACTTGTCTTCGCCGACAGCAAAAAGAAACACAACTTTGTCACGTTCGCTAATAGCCTACCTACCTTATATACAGCATTGTTTAACATTGTTTAACTAGGTCTCAAGATAAGGCAAATGGAGCATGCTCTTCAACTTCGCATATTTAGATTCTTGGTAACCTACGTCGTTGTAGCTGTATAAGTTTCTTGTGGTTGCTAGCTAGATTGTCCCCCAATCTGGAAAACTTTGCGAACGAGACTAACCTCGCTGTTAATCCCCCTGCCGGGTGAGATCCGGAGGGAGTACAGTAGTAGCGCATGTRAGCCATGTCTACCAGGGCATTCCACACGACACTACATGTCTCAAGAAGATACAGCAGCCGGTTCCGCATAGCTAAGCCGAGTCAAAGCGGCTAGGAGCTGATAACATTGTGGAATTGTTGCCTCAAGAAGAGATTGTCAGGCTTTGTCAGCTTTGGTGAAGACTGTGGACAACCTTATCGTAATACCCATGCGTAAGTCTTAAGCGCGGCCCAGGTCCCCACGGGGCTTCTTACCTTTGTAGGTAAAGTCGCCTATGAGCCCGAAGTTCAACCGACGAAACGCGATTGAGTGACGCAGCTGGTTTCCAACCAACAAGGAGAATGGACAGATTGCAATGTAGGAATCGGGCAACAGTGGCCTGTCTAGTACTTGGAAACCCTGCTTCGACAGGCTCCAGCGCGAACCATTCCTTAGCATGGATTCTGCAAAAGATGTCATTTCAAGGTAGTCCTTCGCTCGAATACTTGCTAGCATTTGGGGCCATCTGCATATGTTAATGGGTGCAATGTGTTGAAGMTACAAGCTGGTGAAACATTGACATGTCGTTGCCGAAGGAGAAGGAGTCCTGTAATCTTCCTCATGATTTCCCCTTGAGGAGATTCCGAAGACCCGGTTCCACAACACGGAGGACGTCCCGAGAACAGCAAGCGTCCTCGTAAGAGAGTACTGCCAAGTACTGCACAATCCAGGYCAAGTGCATATAACTAGACTTCTAGCGCCGATCTGCTCCTCGATCCGAATCGCATGAATCTTCACGGTTGATTAAAAGATCGATCCGGATCCGTAGTGCGCGGGCACTTTCTGTCATGAGGCTTGACTTGGCGTGTTTAAACGACGGCATGTTCCGATCTACTGTGTGATGACGAGCGTATGCAATGCAATGCAGCCTTGACATCCCATTCGCATCCCACGCATACGCTCCCTCTGCAGGAGCACACAGGCACGTGTCCAGCGTTTGTCAGCGGTTGTATCCCCGATTATGATTGCAGGAGCTGCTTCGCTGCGTAGTGTTTGTGTTGTGGACGCTCGGCTGATTTGGAAAGAGTTCTGCAGGCCAGTTTCTTGCTGTATCCCACGCATATCACTCTCCGAAATTGACGACCGGACATGCGACCCTCGTGACTGTGTTAAAATGTCATCCTTGCAACTCATTGTAGATTGTCCACACGCGAAGCACTGATCTCGGTTCCAACGCCTTCCGAGTTCAGGTTCCGAGATCTGACACCGATCCGGAGATCTCTCCAAAGCCGAGATAGATGTGGTTTCGAAGCCACGGAGTGACCGATCTTGCATCTCTCCCTTGTTCTCCGTAAAGTCTCACGCCACGATCATGTTGCTAGCCCGAATTGGCGCATACATGCAGCTTGCATAGATCTTGTCCAGTACTCTCCCGTCTGCTTAGTCAATTGCTGTGATGTAGCACCTGGCGTACTTGTGATGGTCATTCGCGGCACAGCCTATTCTTGCACAGTGACACCTACGTCAGGCAATGATGGCACCGTGGAAAAGTTCTGGAAGCACGGTCGGCCGGTGACGCAAGAATCTCCCAGGTACCCACCGCAGGGAAGCGATCAAAGTACCGCACACCGTAGTCTCTTAGCCTGTGGTGTGTTGGACGTTCGACTTCGGGACAGGTGGGTCAAGCCACTCGGCACGATTTCCGCGGGGATCCACAATTGGCCGGCGAGATCGATCTCGACTGGGCAGGGAACATCGTTCCATATTCCATCTCTTCCGTAGCATAGCACGCTCTTGTCAGGATCTGAGTGACAGGTGAGGTTGAGGTCGAGATCGATATGCCGATGAGCTAGATCAACAGAGTTTGCAAGTCCTGCCCCTGAGGGGCTCGCCTGAATTTTAAAGTTTTGGCTACGAAAATCCTTGTCGCAAACCTTTGTTGACCTACCTTACCTAGATATAGTGCCCTCGATCCAGACAGTCAACGCTATGCTCGGCACGGCAGATCCTCTCTGTTCACGGGCCCGAAGAGTTGATGTAGTCGCGTAGTTCTCCCAGTGCGCTTCACTCTGCCATTGTTCTGCGACTCCCGACTTTTTTTCTGTGCCGCAAGCTCAACCGCCACATCATTGCGCACGACATGCAAGCCGCTGATACTACTCAAGACATACAAGATGGCAGCTCCAAACGCCAGAAGTCGAGACACCGTGCTTCGGTAGCATGCGCAACATGCCGGGAGCGCCGCATTCGCTGCGTGGTGCCAGAAGGCGACAATACGTGCACGCAGTGCAAAAGAGTCGGGTGATTAATGTCGCACTAGCATTGCCCAACGACCCACGGCGCTGACTCTACATTCTAGATCAGAATGCGTAATCAAACAGGATGATGAGAGGAGGCGTCCGATTTCGCGGGCGTACATGTCAACGCTTGCCGATCGCGTCTCCTTGTTAGAGGCCATGCTAAAGAAGAGAGGCGAAGAACTACCGCCAGTCAAGTATCCACCAAAAACAACGCGTGGAAGTCTCTACGCCGATGGTGATGAATCACCCGAACGACCAGCTGTCTCCAATTCGCAATCTCGACAGAGGGATTCGTCAAATAGTGGCTTTACATTCCAGGATGGCCGCAGTCCCGACGGAGATAGTATCGAAGGCTCTCACGTCGGTGCTTCGAGTATTGATCATCGGAATGAGCAGGAAGGTGGGCTGGGGACGCCTTTAGATGACAAGACAGACGGTCTCGTAAGTCGTCTCTTGTCAACCCGAGGTCATCTCTCATTCGACCAATTGAGTGGACGTTTGCGCTTCTATGGAGGAACTGTCAACTGCCACGTCTATTCAGAACTGGAGGTGGATGAGGCCCAGACTGCTCCACTACCTGAACAAGTGCGGAGGGCAGAGAAGTGCATTCGWTCGCTAGCTCTCGAGACGCACGACTATCTGATGCAGCTGTTCTGGACGCACTACAACGGTGTCTTGCATGTGGTTCACGAGACGGCTTTCACCGAAGACAGGGAAAGTGGCAGGACGCAGTTCTACTCTGGCTTTCTTCACGTGTGCATTCTGGCGGTGAGTACCTGCCTTGACGCTGTAGATATACCCCGCTGATCAGATGCAATAGATGGCCTACCGATTCTCCGACAAGTCAAGACCAGACATGCAACGTATAGCGCTTCCGGAGCGAGATAGTACTCTGCACCGAGAAGCAAAGCTCATGCTCGACCTTGAGCTTGAACGTCCTGGTGGTGTGCCTTCAATCGCTGCACTTCTCATTCTTGGAGATTTAGAAGTCGGCATGGGAAGGGACAATGTTGGCTGGATGTATGCAGGCATGGCCATGCGTCTCTGCTATGACATTGGTCTCCAACTGGACACTCGCTCAGCAGGACTGTCCGAGAGGGAGATGGACATCAGAAGAATGACTCTATGGGCATGCGTCATCTATGATCGATACTGGTCACTGTTTCTTGGACGTCCGCTTACAATGAAGTCTGTTGACGTGGAAATCTATTCACTTGCAGAGCAGTTTGAACGCTTGGGAACATGTATGCCGGCCGGACCATCCAGGAGCATGCACACCCGAATATACGAAGCATTGATTGATTTGATGGAAATTGCTGGCCACATGGTCGAGCAAGCGGAATTCCGGCAGAACAATGCGTCTGAGACGAAACCCGACCAGGCCGCTTACTTTCGCATGGCTGGGTTGGATAAAGACCTACACAGCTGGGCAGCACGACTGCCTGCAGATCTGCAATACACCGAAGAGAATCGCAAACATGCCCCGATTTCCTTTTACCTGCTACATCAACAATTTCACGCAGCACTCATCTTACTCCACCGCCCTTTTGCGCGGTACGATACCATGGATGATGCGGAAAGACAGGAAGTGGGCTCTTTAGATCACCATTTCTCCCGTGCTAGTCGAGCAATCTGCACCAAGTCAGGTATGTTTCATTGAGGGTGATATCGTGAGGTTGGAATGCTTACTCTTTCTCGATCTTTAGCCATCATGATAGCTCGTATCTTCTGGGAGCACCGGCGAAAATTCGACGGCAAGGTCATATTCTGCATCGGCATCCAGCATGCTGGAGTTGCAGCAATGGCGCTCATCGCAGCGCTGGMGTACACGCCGGATATAACTGCTCGAAACAACAACATGCAATATCTGGAAGTTCTGCACGCCGCGCTACAAGACATGTCGTTCCTTTACCAGCCAGCGGAGAGAATGGTCTCAGTGCTGAACGCCGTCATGGTTGAGCTCCGTGGTGGTCCAATCAGTCCAAAGCAGGTCCACCCACCGCGACGTGCCAGCGAAGCCCTTGAACCTGAGCGAGGAATTGTCAAACGGAGACAGATCAAACACACGAGTCAGTCTGTAACAATGCCTCCTCCAGCAACTACATTTCGACAGGAACCATCAACAACCAACAGTATTGACCACAGCAAACCTACCTTGCCACAACAGCAGATGAACCCGGGAGAGCTCAAAACACAGAATGCACATAATACTCACTGGTGGCCCGAAATGTACCCCAACGGGAATCTTCAACAGATGGCTCCCATTCCGCCATCTCTCCCAAACATGAAGCTACCAGAGACGCAGCTCCAATGGGATACCTCTCCAATGGTCAATCATAATTACGCTCATACACAGCCACCACTACGCTCTGTTTCTGGAATGCATGGAGGCGATGTTTCCAGCCTGGAGTACATGCACCTACCCGCACAAGATAATTGGAACTTTTGGCCATCAACGTCTTATCCTATGGCTAGTGCCGCCCTTGGCTCGATGTCTGAACCAGTGCCTTCCTCTACGACTAGCCATGGCCATAATGGTAGCGAGCTCAATGAGTATTCGCCGCATGGCCAATTGTACGATCCGAATGCGTTCCCGCCTTTAGGGACGGGTGGTTCGATGAATGAACAGGCACGACAACGATGATGATCATGATGTATTATTGGAGGCATGATCTGATTAATTGGGAGAGAGTGTTCGAAAGAGCGGAGCGGCACTGCGTCCACACGATTTGGCCGGCCCGCCTCCGCGCGACGTCCGTCGTAATGAGTGCCGTGGAACGATTGCAGACAGCTCAGCATTCGTTCCATACAATGACCTAGCGCACCGTGGCTCTCGCAGGAACAGGAAACAGCTCACTTTTCTAAGATGTATGGCGAGGATACACATGTCTCTACCTCCCGCATTTGGCAATGATCACGAACTGTGTTTCATATTATGAAAGACACGACAATCACATTTTGAAAGAAGACATTCTGTTTAACTTTGTTGATTCATGAGCCTCCCAGACTACATACACAATCCTCAAGACTGCCTCAGCAATCTACCCACAAAGGAAAGTCATCGGTGGAGATCTCCTAATCATATCCCGGAGATGCTCTCCCTCAAATCAAGATGGCTCGTGGCTGACTGATCATGACCATGACCATGGACAAGCCTTCTGATGAAGCGCGTCGTGTTGGATCGTGCCAACAGTCATGACAGAGATGCATCAGACAGCCCGGCCGATGAAAAGTCGGGTGACGAGACCTGGTCGTGCATGTGGTTGCAAGGGAGTGGTGGTGTGAAGCGCGCTAGCTTCAAGGACTGGTGTTGCAATTGTAAAGTCGATCGCGCGCTGATAGCTGCGTTCGACGATGAGGTCGAGGAGAATCTCCTCGACTCGCAAGGGCTTGTGCAAACTTCAAGACCCATGCCACTGGCTGTTCAGTGTCAGTGGGGAGTACTGAGGAGGGGCTCCTTGGACTGACTCACCATCGCCAGTGAGAAACGCGACGCGGCGTTTAGACGACCTTTGGAAGACGCTTCCATGGCACCTTGCGACCGACCTTGACCATACGGTGGAAGTTGTATGGGCTAGTATCCGTTAGCAGATACTCCGGAGCTGGATGAGGGACAAGATACATACCCGTTCTTGCCATGCTGGATAGGGTAGCGGACACCGACCCAGAAGGCGGCAAAGGCTGTGCAAGTGCAGTACAAGGCTGCGCCGCTGTAGAGCAGCTTCGATGCGTTTGCTGAAGCGAACATGATTGCGTCGAGGAAAAGCTGTTCTTGAGGAGTGGGAGAGTGAAGTCGAGGTGTCGATAATGTGCGAGGACGAGAGGGTTCAGAGAGAGGACTGGACAATGAAAAGGTACCTGGCGACGTACCACAGGCTGCCTCTTAAAGCAACCAAGGAGGCAAGTCATGTGCTCGTACCCCGCATTTTGGTCTCCAGACTCGTTGCGCCGGTATTTGAATGGGGCGTGAGCTTCAGAAATAACGGCAGGTCTGATTGGAGGTAGATGGTACGGAGGTACTTCCAGTGGTCGCACCATCATGCTAGGGCTGCGATAAGGACTGCTCTTGGGGAAGATTGCTTCCCTGATCGAGGTCGTTCTCTTTTGAACAAAGAAACTCAGCCTGCAAGCTCTGTGAGGTCATTCAACTCTTCAAGAGACACTTCTAGAAGTCCACCCAAGTGATGCTGGTAGTGGAACACAATGGCATGCGTTGTCATGGTTGCTCGCTGGAACATTGCGGTCTCATTTGGCTGCCACGCTTACTCCACAATACCACGCTAGCCCCCAGATCTGCATATCTGGGGAAATGCGGGGGTGTCAGTGCGCCTTGCCCTGCCCTTTCTTTGCTCTGCACTACAGTCGTCCATTCTGCTTCATCTTGCATGAGCAGAATTCATGAAAGATGTACATGTAACGCTTACTTTCGAGAGCAGATACACGGTATCCAAAGACACGCGAGCTTCCACGTGAGTTGCCCTGGGAGCTGTGGAGGTACAAAAATACACCGAAAGATCACTCAGCCAATCGTGGAGGGCGGACGAAGCTTCCCAGCCTTGAAACATTGGTACGGAGGTACCTTTTCAGCCCAATCTGCAACATTTCGCATGCGGTGAAGGGTGTCTCTTTCATGTGCAAACAGGTCCTTACCTCATAGCCACTCTTCTTTGTCTCTGTGCTTTATGCAAACATTGCTGCCGAGTGTTGTTCTTTCCTGAGCGGTTGGTTGGGTGTCGCGTGACACTTTTGAGAGGACTTCCAGGTTGTTCCTGAGATTGCGGCATATTTCTCCTCGGGGGTTTGGGTCGACGACGACGCTAGACGATAGCTCTGCTTTGACGGCACTGCGGTTCCGAGAGGCTATGCAGCAGCTCGTGATGAAGAGTCCAGCCAGGCGCCTTGGATCAATCCCAGTTATCGTAAGCGAATCTTTCCACCCTTGACCCTGTGGGCTCATGGCTTTGATCGATCGGGCGGTCACTATACAAGCTCAAAGTGCAATATTATGCTGTAGTGCAGCTCTTCGGAGCACTACTAWGTGCCACTATTCGGCGCCGCATTCGGTACGGCAATGTCTAGCCAGGGACAATCACATCCGTCTCTGCAAGTCAATAATAATCGGATGTTAATTTGTTGCGTTCATCATACCGGATATATCGCTAAGGCATCATTCGCAACCGACAGACAGATGCAGAGACTGTACACCGCACACCATGTYGAAGACATCTATAGCTTAGCCCGATCAAAAGTCTTCGACAGCTCTTTAGCATCCTCTTTGCTCCACTCCTTAAGAACTTTGCGCTGAATCTTGCCGCTCGCTAATTTCGGCTGTGTGTGWTAGTCAGTTGTGTTCGAAATCCACAAATCTAAGAACAAGCTTACAATTTCATCCACAAACTTCACACCGCCGACAAGTGCTTTGTGTTTTGCAACYCGTGGTTTGAGCCAGTCTTGTATTTGCTTAGGTGTGACTCCGCTCTTCTTTGCTTCGTCGCTCAAAACGACGTAGGCTCGAGGCCATTCCTCGTCGTTGAGTGTGATCCCGACTACCGCTGCGTCGCTGATGACCTCGTTTTTGAGAAGCTGATCTTCTAGCTCCGCGGGCGCGACTTGGAGCGCATTTATTTTCAGGAGCTGTGGCCTGTCAGTTGTGGCAATCGATGTTGAACGCATCACTTCTCCTCACCTCCTTCTTGCGGTCCACGATCCAGATCAGGCCTTCTTTGTTGATAATCACTACATCCCCTGTCCTCAGCCATCTATCACTGCTGAGAGTCTCTCGCGTTGCGGCTTCGTTTTTCCAGTACCCCAACATGACATTCGGAGCTTTGATGCACATCTCACCGGGAGTGTCAAATCCCACCTCGTTGCCATCATCGTCGATGACTTTCATCTCATTGTTCGGGAGCAGTTCTCCAATGGTTCCATCATCGCGGGGCTCCCGCTGCATAACAGAGCCGCAGGTCACCTCGGTCATGCCTGTGATATGCGTGAGCTCGTCTCCTAAGTCTGTGAAAGCAATCATAAGACGTACCCCATCCCTGCTTTACAGTAACATTAAACCTCCGCGAGATCTCATTCGCAAGGTCCTTCCCGAGAGGAGCACCGCCGCTGAGAATGTTGTTCAAGCTGCTTAAGTCGTAGTTCTTCGTCTCGGGACGCTTTGCCATCATGACCAATACTGGGGGCGCGAGCTGCAAATCGGAGACCCTATGTTCCTRAATGCAGTGGAGGAAATCCGTGTAGACGAATTGTCGCATAATGAAGATGGGAACACCAAATCTTACGGCCAGAAGATTGGCGTAGAGCTGACCATACGCGTGGTACAGAGGCAAGAATCCAATCCATCGCTCATTCACTTTATCGCCTTGGTTGAAGTTCTTTTCGGGCCATCGAACAGCAGCGGTCTGTTCGACGTTGGCAATCAGAGCAGAGTGTGCAATCATAACGCCCTAATGCAACGTCAGCTAAGCTTAGTTCTTAGAGTGCTCTCTGCTATACCTTCGGCATCCCCGTTGTCCCACTTGAAAAGTTTATCGTAGCGATTGTCTTTTCGGCCTCTTGTGGAGACAGCTCTATCCAGTTGTAGTTTTCTGCCTCTTTCTCGCTGCCAATCATGTATCGCCAATCCTTGACTCCAGAAATCTCTTTATGAGGCTTCGGGTCGTCTGAAAACTGGAATATTCGATCTTTCGACAGTCCCACCTTCTTAGCCGCCTCCAAATCCCTCTCAACCAAGCTAGGATGTGTGAGAAGACATTTCACGTCTGTAAGCTTCATCTGGTGGACGATCTCATCGACCGTGTATATCGGGTTCGCCGCGCTAAAGCATCTTGCGCCGCCTACGATACCGAGGTATGCAGCGGGAACGAGAACATGATTGGGAGTGTGTATCATACAAACATCGCCTTTCTGAAGGCCGAGTTTGTCCAAGCCAATGATAACCCGCTTGATCTGCACATCATTGTTACCACGCAGGTCGAGACACTGTCATTCCCTCAACGTACCCACGTAAGCATCTGCTTGGGCGAGACGTTGATATTCGCGTCGGCGGCATCGTGCCAAACAGGGTCATTCGATACGGGGCGGTCTTTTGGGAAGAGATAGCTCAGGACATTGCACTGCAAGCTGCGTTAGCTCAGTCTGGAGTCTGTTTCAAAGCGGAGGCATACCTTTGGGATGTCCAGGTCCGGTATAGGTGAGGTGTGAATCATCTTGCCGGCGACTGCCTTCTGTGACTGGAGGAGAGAAAGATGTAGAACGCAACAATTTTCCTACCTGGGAAGCAGTAACAACAAAAAGAGCTTACAGAGTTGCCACTACCTCGGGCACATGCAATCGCGCGTGGCATGAATATGTATAATCATGCAGTACTGAGTCAACCGCTTCGATGCGGCGATGCCAGCCTCCGCCTCACGTCGACGCGATCCCGTGGCAATTGCGGCAACGGAACGCGGATCGGTGTTTGCCGGCGATAAGGTCCCCTCGGATCAGACAGGTGCGGAGAAATGTATACATTGTGGAGCGCTAGAAAACGTGGGATACCGAGCCAGTATCGCAGCTGATGAACTCGGATGTAGCCAGTATCGCTACTCGCTCTCCAAACAACACTTTCCTCTCAAAAGGTTCGAAAGCGAAGAGCATAGGCATCATGTCCGATATCAGCATCAATGGCATGTTTGATCTGTCAGGAAAGACAGCACTTGTTACAGGAGGAAGCCGAGGACTGGGCCTTCACGCAGCTACTGCTTTATTACTAGCAGGCGCGAAAACCATCTTTATCAGCGCCAGAAAAGCTGGCGGTGAGCAGGGTATCGATCAGGCTGTGAAGCGCCTCAACGATCTTGCCGCGAAGCAGGGTCTCAAAGGTCGTGCCATTGGCATTCCAGCAAATGTAGCACAAGAAGAAGATATCAAGCGGTTGGTTGAAGAGGTAAAGAAGCACGAACAGACTCTCGACATCCTGCTGGCCAACGCAGGCGCAACTTGGGGAGGTCCATTCGAGGTATGCAATGCCCTCTGCTGCTGTTATAGCAGGCCTGCTGACGATGTTGCAGCCAACTCCCGACTGGAGCAGCCAGAAGATCTTGGACCTCAACGTTCGAGGCGTGTTCAATCTCGCAAGACTGTTTGCCCCCATGCTGGCAGCAGCAGGAAAGGCAGAGGATCCTTCACGAATAATCGTCATGTCATCTGTGGCCGGAACGAATGTCGCTCAAGTTGGAGACAATGGCACGATCATGTATAGCGCCTCAAAGGCAGCGGCGCATCATCTCGCTAGAAACCTCGCCGTTGAGTTGGGTGTAAGTCTTGTCGGCTCACAATGTTGCTGTCAGTTGCTGACCTTGTCAGCCCCGTAACATAACCGTCAACACTATCGCCCCGGGCTTCTTCCCTTCTAAGCTTGCGAACGGACTAATTGAGAATCTCGGTGGCGTCGAGCAGCTTTCAAAAGATAACCCAAGGAAACGTCTCGGCGAGCCAGCAGATATTGCAGGCGTGACTCTCTTCCTCTGCTCCAAGGCCAGCAGCTATGTGAATGGCGAATACATATCTGTAGATGGTGGCCAGAGGTTGAGCAGCGGAAGGTTGACAAAGATATGAAAGGAAGAACAAGCAGTTCGAGCAATGACATTGCCTGCGGCGTAAATTTCTGTTGTGTGGTTGATGGTGTCGAAGATGCAGTCGAAGTTTGTGAGAGACGACAAAGTTGAGATCTGTCGGCTTGTCCCGATGAAATGCCGAGACGCAATCATTGCCTCGGGACGTTCAACAGCGACAGAGCAGCACCCGCATCAACGCCAACCAGAAAAGCGTCTTTTCTTGTAGAATCGCAGTCTACTGTAAGTGCGTCGTCTTGCTACATCCTTTATTCACCCATCTTCATACCGCAAAGAAGCTTTGATCCACAGCTTTTGATCTTTCCAACACTATGGCCGGTCCTGTGCGACAACCCATCGACGTAGCGGCGTTGGAAAKATGGATCGAGCACAATGTCCCAGAGGTCAAGCCACCGCTGGACTTGAAGCAGGTATACAGCAATCTTTTACTGCCTCATGAATGTATGCTGATTCAATCACGGCTATAGTTTGGCTTTGGACAGGTAAGACGAAGAGCACATTCGACCGTAATGGACCCTTTCCAATCTCACACTCTTCTTATAGTCCAACCCAACGTATCAACTCACAGACTCGACGAAGAAGAAGTATGTCCTACGAAAGAAGCCGCCAGGCAAGCTGCTGTCAAAGACAGCTCATCGAGTCGATCGCGAATACCAAGTCATCCACGCTCTCGCAAAGACCGATGTACCCGTACCCAAAGCATAYGCCTTATGCGAGGATGAAAGCATTATTGGCACTCCATTTTATATCWTGGAATGTTTAGAGGGCCGATTTATCGACAATGCTGCCATTCCAGGTGTTAGTGAGCACGACAGGAGGGAGATGTGGAGGGATGCCGTCAGAACTTTGGCCAAGTTGCACAGATTAGACCCGAAAGACGTTGGCTTGGAGAAGTTTGGCAGACCGAATGGCTTTTACCAGCGTCAGATCAAGACATTCAGAGGGTTAGCGGAATCGCAAGCAGCAGCAAAGGACAAGGATACTGGGGAGGCTGTTGGACAATTACCCCATTTTGACGAATTCCTGTCATTCTTCTCGCAAGAAGCAAATCAGCCATACGATCGAGGCGTCCTGTTCCATGGCGATTACAAGATTGACAACCTGGTATTCCACAAGACTGAGCCGAGAGTAATTGGAATCTTGGACTGGGAAATGGCTACCATCGGCCACAACCTCGCAGACGTCTGCAATTTGTTGCAAGGATGGACCATCTCCAACGCTCCAGGAGGTTCGGCTCGTGTGCATACTGATGCCGCGTTCTTACCCGCTTCAGACCCGAAGAGCACGCTCAAAGACCACCCTGGTCTTCCTACGCGAGAACAGTGTGTGGAATGGTACGAACAGGATGTCGGTTATAAGATCACCGAGAAAGATTTGGCATGGGCAACAGCGTTCGCTCTCTTTAGAGATTCGATCATCTTCCAAGGAATCGCTGCGAGATATGCGACTCGACAGGCAAGCTCTGCTCAGGCGAAGAAATATGGAGATGAGAGAGCACCCTTTGCAGAGATGGCGTGGGATAAGGTGAAGGAGACGAAAGAGAAGCTGAGCGGCCAGACAAAGTTATGAGTGTTGTATTGGAATACAGAACAGCCTTTGACCGTTGGATACTCTCTCCAAGTCTGAATGGTTCGTACGCTTTGCTCATACGTATAGCGCAACCGACTGCTCGAAGGCTACACTCSCATGAGTTTGCTGGTAGGATCCTCAGGCTGTATGACTTTGCATGAACCTTTGCAAACTGCAATCTCAGATCTGCCGCAAAACCGTGTTTTCTGTTCCCGCCAATCCCCTCTGTCACTAAACATCTTGCGGCAGACGCTGATGTAGTGATCTAGAGATGACCTGCATGAGGCGAGTGTATCTTCGGCAATCAATACCCGCGAACCCTAACGATCTCTTCTTCTCTACCCTCGGTCTCACGGTAAAAGAGGATTATTACGATATTGATCGTTCTACGAAGGCAGTCCATGATTGGAAGCCTGTTCAACTCATGTTCCTCGCATTATCGGACGCCTCGTTTCTGAACATAGAGAACGCCTTGTTTACTCATTGCTGAACGCTTAGCGTCTGGAAAACTTACCAACTACCTTACCTGAATAGCTTTACAACATGACAGAGCATCCTGCGCTCGCCCGAATTCCAGTCTGGGTGCAAGAGAAGCTATCACCGAAAGCTATCGAGACCATTAAACACGTCTTTGAATGGGTGAGTTCGCATCAAATTCCCAAGAAAGGAGATTATAAAATTGGAAACCCAGGCCACTTTTTGACGTAGAGTCCATTGAACGCGATTCTCACAACCCCATGATTCTAGGTCGAGAATGAATGTGTACCAGCCGAGCCCATATTCAAAGCCCAATTAAAAAAATATGGAAACTGGAAGRCTCCTCCCATCATCACAGAATTGCGAGAAAAGGCGAAGAAACAAGGACTCTTTAATCTCTTCCTCCCCAAAAGTTTTGGAGAGTTGAGTCCTGGACTTACGAATCTCGAGTATGCTTGCTGTGCCGAGATTATGGGAAGATGCTATTGGGCGGCACAGGTGAGATCAAAGATTGCCTGACTGTCTAAGCGGGACCATTTACTTACTATCCAGACCATGAATTGCCACGCACCAGACACTGGCAACATGGAGTTGCTAGCCAAATACTGCAACGAAGAGCAGAAGAAGAAGTGGCTGCTCCCTCTTCTCGAAGGCAAGACATTCTCTGCATACAGCATGACAGAGCCGGATGTAGCCTCTTCAGATGCAACCAACATTTCATGCCGAATTACGAAAGATCCACAGGACTCCAATACCTTGATTATCAATGGCAGGAAGCTTTACGGAAACTGCAAATGGAATGATGAGCTGGGTTTCTACATTCTCATGGCGTGTTCGGATCCGGGGAATCCATCCCCCTGGAAACGACATACAATGGTCATTGTACCTAGGGATACCCCAGGTTTCAGCATGGTGCGGAATCTTACCATCATGGGTTATGATCACGCACCTGAAGGCCATGGAGAATATCTATATGAGAATGCCAGAGTTCCTGCAGAGAATATTATCCTAGGAGAAGGCCGTGCTTTTGAGATCGCGCAGGGGAGACTTGGACCAGGCCGTATTCACCATTGCATGCGTCTTATCGGACAGACCGAGAGGGCATATGAACTGGCTCTTTTACGATGTACAGACCCAGCAAAGAAGCCTCGCGGTAAGCTCCTCGCCGAATTCGACTCCAATGTTGAAAAGCTGGCTACGATGCGCATGGAGCTGGATAGTATGCGTCTGGTAGTGATGAATGCCGCCCACACGATGGATGTTCAAGGGAACAAAGCTGGTCGCTATGCCATTGCTCAATCCAAAGTACTGGTTCCAATCGCTGCTGCCAAGATCATTRACGAGTGTATGCAGTTGTATGGTGGACAAGGTCTCACGCAGCATACCGCTTTGCCGGAGATGTGGACTTATGCAAGATTTGTACGAATTGCAGATGGGCCGGATGCAGCGCATAGGCACCAAGTGGGTCGAGATCAGATCAAGACCGCGCCTGTGTTTAGAGAGAGGCATGAGGGATATGAGAAACGATATAAAGAGCTGTGTGAGATTTGGGGAGTTGAAGAGGAGACGTTCGACGATCCTCGACGAGTCTCTGCGAGAACGAGCAAACTTTGATGAGGTAGACGCTGAATGCAAGACTTCGATATGCCGATAGATGCATGTGAACTGACGAGAACCTTTGAAGGAGAAGGTGARGGTGGCAGTCTTCTGACTAATCAACCCTAACCTTGGATTCTCAGACACGGCAGGAGGTGGAAGAGAGGARGGGCAGAAGCCGACCGGTGCTGGCCTCACAGACGCGAGAGACTCCTTGTGCAATCATTTGTGGGCTTCAGCGGGTGTCAAATTAAATCAAGTGATAAATGTGTGTTCCATCAAACGCAATGCTGCCTCACAGAGGATGCTGGCGAGATGACAATAGAGTTGCTGCAAGAATGTGAGGTGGACGCAATGTTGGAAAGAACGTGTGGTGAACCCTACATTGCACGTGACCCAGCCAGCAAAGTCACAGTCAAACCCGTTCCCTCCTACCGCACAGCTCTCTTCTCCCATCTCACCAAAGCCTCTCACCAAAGCCTCTCACCACAGGCTCTCTCACCAAAATCTTAGAGGTATGGATCCCCGCGCAAGCTTCATCGCACTTCACAACAACCGCATCTTCACCTGCCACAATATCTAACCCAATTTTCGCGTGTTTCCCAAGCACGACGCGTGTCAATGGCTTCATTCTCGTCTCGTCGCGAATGCAACTTGTTTGTTGTTGGCGTTCATCAAGACCTCACTGACGCGCTCTGTACCAGCTGAACAACACCGTTCGAAACCACAACCAATCGAATCCACCTTTCGTTGTAAGTCTGCCTCTTGCTGCCCTTCAATTCACGTGCAGAGGCTCGCCGTCGCGTTTGCGACCGTGAGCTGGCGCGATCCAGTCACTACATATACAGCAACATCTATCGATCAACCACCCAAATCATCCAAATCCGCATTCCACCCATTGAACAATCTGCGACCTGTTCTCGAGTCGCGTGAACGTCCTCAAAACATCGCCGCTGACACGTTCTCTCACGCAGCAAAACAACAACCGCAATCATGCCAAAGGAAAAGTCCTCTCGCGCCGCCAAGAAGGCCACAAGCAAGGCCGATGGTGGAAAGAAGAAGAAGGGTCAGTCTGCCACTTACTTGTTGAATCGCGGTCATTGCAAATGCTAATTGCCTGTTCAGACCCCAATGCCCCAAAGCGTGGTCTGTCCGCCTACATGTTCTTCGCCAACGAGCAGCGTGACGGAGTCCGTGAGGACAACCCCGGCATCAAGTTCGGTATGTCGAATCTCTCCCTCTGACATGTGAGACTCTACTGACGACCCTCAAGGCGAGGTCGGCAAGGTCCTRGGTGAAAAGTGGAAGGGCCTGAACGAGAAGCAGAAGGCACCATATGAGGCCAAGGCCGCCGCTGACAAGAAGCGGTACGAGGACCAGAAGAAGATCTACCTCGAGGTAAGTGCATTCCCATCCCATCCACGTGAATTCTGCTGACAGGTTTCCAGGAGCAGGCCAATGCCGCTGAGGATGACGAGGAGGAGGATGAGGACTAAACGTTCTCCGTCCCTCTCTTCTCTTTCAGCATCAGTGTCTGTCTGTTTTGTCTCCGGGTTGATGTGATTTACTGGCGTGGGTGCTTTTCTTCAGCTGGCTCAGGGCATGTATGAATGAGTGCCGGCGTGCTGCAACAGTGAATGCAGCTGCACCTTACTCATGGGTGGAATGATATACCAAGGGAGTGTTCGCAGGAGGATAACGAACCAGCTCCCCTGCAATTATGAAAGTGGCAGTTTGACATGTAACCTAGCGGAAGTATGTGCTTTAGCTGATGTGGTGTCACCTCCGTTCCAGTGTTGCTGTGCTCAACGATGGAGTGTCAAGCAGTACTTAGCCGCGAGCCAGTGTCCTATAAGCGAAGTGGGAGTAAATCAGGTATGGCTTGCACGAGTACAGCCAGGATCATGTGGGTCAACGTGATACCGTCAGACGATGAAGATCTCTTCACGGATGGTGCAGTCTGGACCCTTTCCTTTATACATCCACGATTCACGCGTCCTTCGGCGAAGCTTCCACATCCTTCTACCTCAAAACTACCTTAGCGTCCCCAACCAACGCTGTCCGTCTTATACGACGCGCGGCTAAATAGAGACCAAAAATGATGGCATCGGCTCGAGAGCCACGACATGACTGGCTCGAATGAAAAAGTTGGGGACTGTACCTGAAAATAGGTACCGTGGAGCGCCCCGCCGCTCGTGGGACCAGGTTCTTTGTTGCTTGTCTTTCTTCTTCTTCCATCCCGGTCAACATCAACATCCACTCGTCCTTCGTATCCATTTGCCGTTTTTGCCAGCGTATTGTATCTTTTCTTCCCCGGCTCCGGTGCTCGACACAGTCGCTACTTAGATATCAGAAGATAGATTGCTTGGTGAAGGCCTTTCAGGACGGGCGACTTTTGAAGATATCCGAAACAGACTCACGACAACGCGTGGCCTGACCGCAAAACCTTCCACCACCATGTCAGGCTCCGAGAGCGCTGGCAAACAGTTTCTCGACACCATCGGAAGTGGATACAATGTCGATGGGAAGTCCGCGCTGGCAGGTTTGGTCACATCCGTGGTCCTCACAATAGTAATCGCGCTTCTATTCTGCTTTTTGCGACCCTACAACAGCGTCGTCTACGCGCCCCGAGCCAAGTACGCCGATAACAAACATGCCCCGCCTCCCGTGGCCAAAGGACTACTGGGGTGGATACCGCCGTTGATCAAAACGAAAGAGAAGGACTTGGTGGAGAAGGTTGGACTCGATGCTGCCGTGTTCATGCGGGTATGCCGGATGCTGAGGAACATCTTCACCATTCTTGCTGTGATCGGATGTGGAATCCTGATCCCAAACAACTTGGTGGGAGCAAAGAAGAGTGGGGTCTCGCACGTGGGATTCTTCACGCGATTGACACCGATCTACCTTTACTCTGCACCACAGTCGCTTTGGGCATATGTGATAGTGGCATGGCTGTATAACAGTGTGATTATGTACTTCCTCTGGGCAAACTACCGGCAGGTCTCACGTCTGAGGAGGGAGTACTTTGACAGTCCAGATTTTCAGCGGAGTCTTCACGCCCGTACGTTGATGTTGACGGACATCCCCAAAGAGCTTCGATCGGATGAAGGCATTGCCAGGATCATAGACGAGGTCAAGGTGGCCCAAGATCACCCTCGCACTGCAATTGCGCGTAATCTGAGAGACTTGCCAGATCTGATTGAGGACTACACCGAGACTGTAAAAGAGCTGGAGGAACATTTAGCCAAGTACCTCAAGAACCCCGACCGCCTTCCGCCGAACCGTCCAACATGCAAGGTGCACAAAAACGACAAGGCATATGGAGCTCAAGCAAAGGGTCAGAGAGTTGATGCTATCGAATACCTCACTGGTCGTATCAAGGAACTCGAGTACCAGATCAAAGAAGTTCGACAGGCTGTCGACAAGCGAGACGCATTATCGTACGGCTTTGCATCTTATGAGAGTATCCCCGTTGCACACAGTATGGCATATGCCGCACGGAACAAGACACCTCACGGAGCTGCCATTCAACTTGCGCCAAAACCCAACGACCTTGTGTGGAAGAACCTTAAAATGAGCCGAAGCCAACGGAGACGACAAAACCTCATCAACAGTTTCTGGATCGCGGTATTGACCCTCGCTTGGACCGTGCCCAACTTACTCATTGCCGTGTTCCTTTCCAACTTGTCGAACCTGGCAAAGCTTTGGCCAGCGTTCAATCAAAACTACTTGGCGAACCCTACTTGGTGGGCCATCGTTCAGGGTGTGCTAGCACCAGCGCTGACAATGGCCTTTTACTTTTACCTTCCTGCCATCTTCCGTAAGCTTTGCATCAAGGCTGGAGATACTACCAAGAGCAGCAGAGAGAGACACGTTGCCCGCTCTCTCTACAGCTTCTTCTTTTTGAACAACTTGCTGATCTTCTCACTCTTCTCGACTGTTTGGGCTTGGGTGGTGGAGCTGATCAACGGAAAGAATTTCGCTGACTCTGAGCCATTACTTCTCCTATTGAATGGGTTCTGCAAGGTCTCGACATATTGGATTTGTTGGATGTTGCAGCGTAACTTGGGTGCCGCGGTCGATCTCAGCCAGCTGTTCACACTTATCTGGGGATCGTACTCACGGCGCTTCCTGTCGCCAACAGTAAGTGTCTCTCATGCATGTACTCATCTCTCTGGCCATCGCTGACATCACATCTAGCCTCGAAGTCTTATCGAGCTCTCAGCTCCCCAGGCCATGGACTACGCTGGCTACTACAATTACTTCCTCTTCTACGCCACCGTTGCCCTCACCTTCGCCACAATTCAACCACTCATCCTACCCGTCACGGCGTTTTACTTCTGGATGGACTCGTTTATGAAGAAGTACTTGATCCTCTACGTATTCATCACAAAGTACGAATCTGGAGGCATGTTCTGGCGGTCAATCTTCAACCGAATCCTGTTTATGACGGTATTTGGCAACGTGATTGTGGCCTTGGTTATCGGGGCCAACGCTTTGGGCTTCTTTGACGTTCATTGGCCTAAACTGGCAGCTCTCGTTCCCCTGCCCGTGATGGTGATTGCCTTTAAGATCTACTGCAGACGGACTTTCGACAACGAAATTCACTACTACCACATGGGCAGGAAAATGCAAGACGCAGAGATCCACGCAGGGAATGAGCTGAAGAAGTCGAGCAAAGGCGATAAAATGGCTAAGCGTTTTGGACATCCGGCGCTTTACAGGCCTCTCATCACTCCTATGGTGTCCTCGAAGAGCCAGCATCTGCTGCGAAGTATATACACTGGACGTACCTCTCTTGACGATACTGCGACTGTTGCAGGGTATTCGGACGTCTACATGGACGAAATGGATGCCCGCAAGCCCGGAAAAGGCAAATCCTCCCAGAACGAACCATTTGAGCTGGTTGATGAACACAACATGGACTTTGAGAATTACAAGAACCGTCCTGAATTCCGTGACGAAGCGGGTGGTGATGGCGAGCTATATGGCCACGCCGGTGACTTTGTCCGACCAGGGACGCCCAGCACAACCATCACTGGCTTCTCCAGAGCTGGAACCTTTGACTCGTCCATATCTGGTCACAGTCGCGATAATTCTGGCAGCTCGCTCTATCACAGCCGCAACCACAGTCGTAACATTTCCCAGCAAGATACAGCCTACATACGCAGCCGAAGCGAGTCTCGGGAGTCTGAGAGAACGAAAATTGGTGGGGATGGCGAGACGTTTTATCCTCGCGGATACCACCAGCCGGCGCCTTCGCAACTCCGCGAACAATCTCCTGCTGGCGAGATCCGGCCAAGTCACCCACTCCGACAGGAGAGCAGAGACATGCTCGTTGGTGGCGCTGCGGGTATGGGCAGCAGCACGCCTGCTGTCTTGACACCTGGAGGCTATGGACCAGTCAGATACGGCACTCCCGATGCAGGCTATGGGTCCGACGGCGATCAGATTTCTTACGATTACATCCGAAGAGGACGAAATTATCCTAATGTCTGAGTTGATGTCTAATTTGCGGGTGTGTATTGTTGAAGGTGTACGAATACTGTAACCAAAAGTTTGCTTTTTGCACAGAGGGGATGAAAGAGACGACGGTGTTGCACCGAACATAGACGCATTACGTTAACACGAATTGAAAAGACTTGAATGTTCATCGCTCGATGTATCTTCCAGTTTCGAATCTGGGTGAAATTGGAATCTACAGAACCGTCTTTGTTTCACGTGAACCGTTTCGGTGGACACTAGAACTACCTAGGTACCTAGGTAGACTAGCCGACCTCGACCCAGAAGCGGCTCGGATTCATGATTCTTTCCAACTTCTTACACACACACCACAACTCCACAACTCACCAACAGAAGCTCACTCGTCGTCGGGATATTCCTGACGAAACCGACTGCAAACCGAACATCCCGCATACACCACATATGGGCTATCATCTACCCACCGCTACCACTTTCTTGAACACCGCGCACGGCGAAGCAGCACCCTTCACCGGCGCCGCAAGAGCAGGACTGTCTCGCACCGATTCCAGCTTTGCATCTCTTCTTTGGCTGTGGGTACTGGCGGCTGGCCCACCGTGAACAACTCAGGTGGGCGAAACGAGAAGGATCGTGAGACGAAAGCGGAAACGTGCATGCCCCAACAGGACGCATGAGACTCGTCTAGTCGGAAGACATATGCAACATCCATAGAGTGGATTAAATTACAATGCCTGCCATGGATATCGAATACGCCAACAGCCAGCGGTCACCACCCATGGCTATTGCCTCTCCTCGGACTGTCGCGCAGGATGCGCCGCCGGCCGACTCGGGACATCTGCCGATTCCCAAGTTGAACCACGATGCGATTCGGGAGAAGGCCAGAAAGCGGAAGAAGAACAAGAAGAAGGCGATGCCACCGGCTGCACCGGCTGTGAATGTGATCAAGGGCTTTCAGACACCGGGCACTTCTTGTGGTGAGGAATCGGATGTGTCCAGGCTCGGCACACCGCGGATCGGCGCAACCAGGATGGGAGACATGTCGAGTGCGTTGAGCAGTCCAGCACTGCGACCCGCGACTCCTTCAGGCGGCATCAGTGCTTTGCGCGCACGATTGGATGCGCTTGCCCTCGAGCAAGACGATGACAAGCCAAACCTTATGCGGACTATGACTGCTTCTTCGGCCTGCAGTATGGCACCTTCTTCGCGTGGTAGTGATGGGGACAGGACTGAGATGGAGACGTATGACGTCCCGCTGGACCAGGACTTCGTGAGCTCTGAAGCGGGATCACGCACACYATTATTTGCATCCCAGGCTATCGAAGGTGGTCTTCGCAGCAACTCCATCCATCGTAAAATGTGTGCCGAAGACTTTGAGCAGATGAGGTGCCTTGGAAAAGGCGCATTTGGAACGGTGCATTTGGTGAAGCAGGCTGCGACTGGCAAGCTGTATGCTCAAAAGCAGTTCAAGAAGGCCAGCATCACCGTACACAAGCGACTTATCGAACAAACGCGCACCGAGCGGACGATTTTGGAGTCGATCAACAGGCATCCGTTCGTCGTCAAGCTCTACTATGCTTTYCAAGACCACGAGAAGCTCTACCTTATCTTGGAGTACGCGCAGGGAGGCGAGCTTTTTCATCATCTGGCAATGGAGCGCATGTTCACCGAGGAAGTCGCGGCCTTCTACATGGCCGAAATGGTCCTCGCTTTGGAGCACCTGCACCAGAATGTTCGAGTAATCTACCGTGATCTCAAGCCGGAGAATTGCCTTCTTGATACGGAAGGCCACTTGCTGTTGACCGATTTWGGACTGTCAAAGGTTGCACTCGATGGGGAAGATGAACGAACCAACAGTATTCTGGGAACCATCGAATACATGGCTCCTGAGGTCGTCGAAGGCAAGCCATACGATTTCTCTGTGGACTGGTGGGGTCTCGGAGCTATTGGATTTGATCTGCTCACCGGAAGTCCTCCTTTTGGCGGTAACAACCACGCCAAGATCCAGCAGAACATTATCAAGGCGAAGCTGCAACTACCATACTTCCTTGGCCCAGACGCCAAGGATCTTCTCACACGTTTGCTGCGCAAGGAACCACACAAGCGACTTGGAGGCACGACTTCAAAAGAGATCAAAGTTCTCAAATCTCACCGCTTCTTCCGCAAGATTGACTGGAAGAAGCTCGAGAGGCGCGAATGCGAGCCAGTAAGTCGCAAAGCTATCCAGTATCAACGTGACACAGCTAATCATTTCTACAGCCGATTCAACCCGTGATCACTGACCCAGAGCTCGCGGAGAACTTCAGCAAAGAGTTTACCGACCTTGCTATGAGCCCGGTAGTGACTCGTGACGGCGCGACGTTTGACGAAATGGTTGCGGATTCGTACGCTACTGGGGAGTCGAACCCATTTGGAGGCTTCAGCTTCGTTGCGAGCAAAAGTTTGCTGGAGGATGACGATGCATTCATGTTGGACGACGCTTGACTACATGATGGTGGTCGTGACGCAGCATCGCGTGGCCTGTTGCACGAGCGCACGTCTTCACCCGCCGCACTAGTGTTGAACACGCGATTGACTATAGCATGTACATGTAGATTATTGGCTGAGAATGTTCCACATTTAATTACTGCATCAGGCCCTCACTTTCAAACTGGCAGGGCTGTTTTCTCGCTAGTGGAATGGGCGTTGACTTGTGCTGGCCGTTCTACATCTCATACATGAAGACTAATCTTGCTATCGGACCGGAGTCCAAGCGTTGCATCGACTGCTTGCTGTTCTATCAAGGCACGGCTTCTTGAGATGCTTTTCTTGGCTCTCGAATCTCGGAGCTTTCGACCACATTTAGAGTTAGTTACACGGGAGGAGATCTGGAGATCTCCCGGTTCGAAGAAGCTTCCTCATGAGCGACGATCTTCCAATATCACACGGACATGGATGCAACTTGTGACTTTCGACATGCATCTCAGGCTACAGCCAAGGGAAGACCACTTGTCGCTTCAACGCTGAGACATACAGTTTCCACGGTCAAGCCAACAGTCGTCATCTCTTTTGTCGAGAAACCCCCACCGTTCCCCAAGATTTTCCCCACAAGCCACWTCCCCATCTAGGAAGTCGCCCTCCAGCCGAAACGCAGCCCTTAATTTAATCGGCACATCTCTTGCCTGTTCCTGAAGTTGTACCCCCCGACCTGCACCGGTCATGCTTCACATCTTGCATCCTTCATTTTGCGCGCATGGCCACTTAATCGCGTCGACGACCACGGTACGAAAAAGTGCCATGTACCCCTCCACAAACCCAATCATGTCCGACGTCCTCCAGTCTAGCGGATGCCGATTGCTGCCCTTTCTGGACGGGCACGCGATATCGGTTGCGTGCCAACGGGTGAACCATCGGGGATCTTTGAAGTTTGAACTAAAAACGTTCCTCATGCTGGCACCTAGTTGAAAGGAGATGGGGTCCACAACGGGCATCATGCCGCATCATGCGGTGACTTGATTGGTAGTGCACACCATCTTATTCACTTTTTCTCTCTCTCTCTCTTGACTCTCGACCCTTCACTTCACCGCTCGTCGCTCACTTCAGGTTGCTTCTTATTGGTGCTCCCTCTGCTATAGTCAGAGTGTCTGTCTTTAAACACCACTACCCTTCCTTTTTAATCTTTCTTCTACTTCTACTTGACCTCTCACACCATAGCCTACTTTTAAGATGCGTTCCTTTGCAGTGCTAGCACTCACTGCAGCGGCGGCGGCAGCGCCACATCAGAAACGACAGGACGGTGGACAAGAAGCTTCGCGAGCAGCGGCTGTCAAGGAGGCTTTTGATTTTGCTTGGGCTGGATACTACAAGTATGGATTGTAGATATATCACTTTACGGGCAAGGCTGACTGAAAGTAGATATGCCTTCCCAAGCGATGAGTTGATGCCATTGACAAATGGGAAATCCAACTCGCGGTATGTTGTAGATTGTGGATTCATCAACATAGCTCCTCGAACTGACAACGTCTAGTAACGGCTGGGGAGCTTCGGCTGCAGATGCACTCTCGACTGCACTGGTAATGGAGAATGCAGAGATTGTCAACCAAATCATCGAATATGTCCCATTGATCGACTGGAGCGTCAGCTTCAACGATGATCCTGTCAGTCTCTTCGAGACTACTATTCGGTACATGGGCGGCCTGCTTTCGGGTTACGATCTGCTGAATGGACCATTGAAGCAGCTTGCAAACGATGTAAGTAGGAGGAGAGGTGTGTTGTGAGCATCAAAATCTGACAAAGCTATAGGAAAGCAAAATCCCGATGCTGCTCGAGCAGGCCCGGAACCTCGCCAACAACTTGAGCTACGCTTTCGACACTCCAACTGGCATTCCCTACAACAATCTCATCTTTTCTGATCGCAGCAACGATGGATCGACTACAAATGGTCTGGCTACAACGGGTACTCTTGTGTTGGAGTGGACGAGACTTTCGGATCTCACTGGTGATGGTTCGTACGCGCAGCTGACGCAGAAAGCTGAGGTGAGTTCCAAGGATGATGTKGTGAAGCCTGATCTTGAACTGACGAGACGTATAGAGCTATCTTCTCAACCCACAGCCAGCGTTCGCTCAGCCTTTCCCTGGTCTTGTTGGCACCAACATCGACATCAACAGCGGCAAGTTTGTGGATGCTCAGGGAGGTTGGAACGGCGGTGACGACAGCTTCTACGAGTACTTGATCAAGATGTTTGTCTACGACCCAGAACGTTTCTCGGACTACAGAGACCGGTGAGTGATGTCCCACCAGAATGCGACAGTATCCAGACCACTAACCTTTGATAGCTGGATTGCCGCCGCAGACAGCACCATCGAATACCTCGCCTCCCACCCATCTTCTCGACCAGATCTCACGTTCCTAGCTGCCTTTAACGGCCAGCGAACGATCGAATCCTCTGGTCATCTCGCCTGCTTTGATGGAGGAAACTTCATTCTCGGCGGCCAGGTTCTCAAAGAGCAAAAGTACATTGATTTCGGAATCGAGCTTGTCGAAGCCTGTGAGGTGAGACGAAAAATACTCCCCATCCTTTTCATTCCCAAAGACGCATAATCTGACTCGAATGTTACCATCCAGGAAACCTACAAGCAGACATTAACACACATCGGCCCCGAAGGTTTCTCCTGGAACGAAACCAACGTTCCCGAAGATCAAAAGGATTTCTACGAGCGTGCAGGATTCTTCATCACCAGCAGCGGATATGCTCTGAGACCAGAAGTCATTGAGAGTTTCTACTACGCTCACCGCGCGACTGGAGATAGCAAGTATCAGGATGTTCGTCTTTCCAAACCCCTCATCCGAAATGCAATCTCCCAAGCTAATATGCGAATAGTACGCGTGGAACGCTTTCGTAGCCATCAACGCAACCTGTCGCGCGGGATCCGGTTTCGCTGAGCTTTCCGACGTGAATGCACCTGGTGGAGGAGAGTTGCAGGATTTCCAGGAATCATTCTTCTTTGCTGAGGTTATGAAGTACAGGTGAGCAATCCTTGCCTCAATCGAGATGTCATATTAAAGAGATTGTGAACTGACATGTTTTTTTGTGTTTAGCTACCTCATCCACGCACCAGATGCTGCGTGGCAAGTTGATCAGAATGGTGATAATCAATATGTATACAACACCGAGGCTCATCCTCTCAAGGTAAGGATTCTTCATCCCAGACTATATTGATGATAAGGATTATGCTGACTGACTTTGATTGATAGGTTGCTGGTGGGTCAGCTAAAGCACYTGGCTACGGTTATAAGTAGTCCTCTTTCTCTAATGTCAAATAGGGAAATGAAAGTAGGTACATATATCAAGTACAAACGAACGTGTTCATCAGTATCAAAATGAACGAAGTTGGCGCTGCACAGGTCATATGACGATCCGTGAGATCGAGGGAGGAGGATGTTGAAGCTTGCTGGCCCTCCTCGTAGTCAAGTGACTACGCTCATGTCTTCCCCGCCGTATTGTTGTTCTTGTAGAAAGGACAACCTCTTTCATTGTAGCGGGTAGAGAGAGCGGCAACATTCAATTTCACATCACTGGCCATTCGGCAGGCAACACATAATTTCAAGGGTAACTTTTCTTTCGTCTTTAGGAAGCTATTCGTAATTACAGCTACATTGCGCCTACACTGCGCCTTGCTAGCTGGGTATAGAAGTACAGGTGGTCATCATTGCTGTTGTCGTGATATCCATTCTCGTGCGCCGATTGCAACGTCATGATTAAAACGCAAAACGCATCCGTGAATTTTCCCCATCCAGAACACTGAGAGCAGAGGTGCTGTCCCTACTCAGGTGTTCAATTTTTCAAGTAGACGTGTGAGTCTACAATTCCTTCTTGGCGCCAGAGTAAGCGGCCTTTCCGGCAGCGCTGACCTTGGAGGCAATGCTCGATGCGCTCTTGCTGCCTGCCGCGGCGGCGCTGGCAGCACTCTTGCTGGCAACGGATGCGGCGCTGGAAGCAGACTTGCTAGCAACGGAGGCGGCGCTGGAAGAACTCTTGCTGGCAAGCGAGGAGGCGCTGGAAGCGGACTTGGAAGCCTCGCTAGCGGCGCTGGAGCCTGACTTAGAGGCGACCGACGATGACTTGGAGGCCTTGACGCTGGCAGAAGAGGACGAGCTGGATGACTTGGTGCTTCCAACAGAGGACAGGCTAGAAGATGACTTGGAAGCGACAACGCTCGCAGATGAGGAGTAGCTGGAAGCCGAAGCGCTGGCGACGGAGGAGACGGAGCTCAAGCTCTTCTTGGCATCCTCAGAAGCGAAGCCGATCTGGTTGAGGGCGAAGTCGTAGTAGTAACGCAGACCACCGTAGGCGGAGTCGGTCTCCTGGGCGAACCAGTTGCCAGCGCTGGTAGTGGCGGCACCAAACGCAGAGGAGGCAGAAGAGGCCGGGTTGTTGCCAACGACCTTGGCGGCGTGCTTACGGGCAAGGGCAATGAGCTCGTTGCGCTTGCTGCCCTGAGGAACCTTGAGGCCGTTCTTGTCGGCCCACTCCTTGATCTGGCTGTCGCTCCAGCTCTCCAACAAAGCATCGCTCAGAGAAGCCTGAGCAGAAGCGGCAGACTTGGTGGCAGTGGCGTACTTGGATGCGGCGGCGTCGGAACCGATCTTGCCGTTGCGGCGCATGCTGGCAATGAGCTTGTCGCGCGAGCTTGGCTGGGGAGCCGGGATGCCGCGCTCATCGAGCCATTCCTTGAGGTCCGAGTCGGACCAAGACTGGTAAAGCCAGTCACCAGGGTAGCTGGCGGTCTCGCCGATTTTGCTGGCAATGGACTGGTAGTTGGAGCGAGCGGTTTGCAAGAGGGAGTGGCGGGTACGCGGGGKTGGGKTGGGGATGCCGTTGTAGTCGAGGAAAGACTTCAACTGAGACTCGGTCCAGCTGAGAAAAATTCGTCAGCAAGAATGTAAGTGGAGGTGGTGGAGTGGGAACTCACGAGTCGAACACCCAGTCCTGAACGCTGCCATAGGCATCGTTGGCGTTGTCAGAAGTTGTGGTCCACAACGACTGCACCTGGCTGATGAGGCTGTCCTTGTTTTTCTCCGTACCCTTCTTGACGTCCTGACCCTTGGAGCCGAGGAAGTTGGTGAGCTGGTTCACATCCCAGGAGTTGTATGGCTTGACAACATTGTTCTCCCAGTTGTCCTTGACCAGGTYCTCCAAATCCTTGCGGTCAGAGGCGGCTGGGTAGGGAACGTTGTGATCCGACAACCAACGCTCGAGCTCGGTCTCGTGCCACTTGTTATATGCTACACGTCCTTTGATGTTAGTCAGTCTGGAGTCTGTGTACGGTGCTATTCATTTTGTTGTAAACAAAGGGGAGAATGATGATGTTGACAATGCCGGGATCGATGGCCACGTCGTGGTGCCCACTTCGCCATTCTCAGGCGCACGCTCTTTCTCATGTTTGTCTTGTCGTCGCCGCCTAATACTGCTGTTGATGGGATTGGAATGTGTGATGCTTACCGGACTTGCCAAACCAGCCATCGGCCACGACGGACTGTGTAGCCAGGGCGGTCACCGCCAGGGTTGCGACGGAGAATCTCATGATGGCAATGCTCTCTCAGGATGTTGTGTTGGATGAGGTTGATGGAGAGATGAATTGAGAGGTTGATGACTTTTGTTCTGTCAATCTGTCAATGCAGCAAACACAAACAGGATTGTAACAATGCGGGTGGGAGAAGGTTCAGAGCTGCGTGACGAAGGATGACGTCGATCGAGAATCGCGCCGCCACAACGGGATGCCACAGAGCAGATCTCGCAAAAGTTAGCGAAAACGACAGGTTCTCCATGCCTCGAGGCCTTTTGTCTGGAAGAAATAGTGTAGATGCCTACCAGATAGACACGCTGCTGTAGAACAGCAGCCAGACCAACGTAGACCATGGAATACACGTACCTATGCTGCCCCATGAAACCCGTGACCTCACCACCTGCTACCTAGCCGCGTTCGGCTCGGCCATCATCACATGTGAAAGACACGCTGCATCACGCCCTCTTGCAACTCACTCATCAAGTGACCCCCAGCGTACGACCACCACGAGTTGCAATCCATGTTTTGCTAATGCACGCGATCACGGTGATGCCTCCGCATACCTATTCTTCCAATTGATGGCCGCTTTCGGTACGATATGAATATCGCAGTGACGACTCATGGGTTGCCTGCGAAAGACGCTCAGGGCGCTGAGGCAGAAGCTAACAACACGCATTCATCGCACAGACACACCTTGGACCTTCATGAGCGAACAGTATCAAGATGACCGCCAGGGCTACGATGGTGCCCGCAACAGCACCCTCCCCGAGCCCACCGTAGCCGCCTTTGCCCCGAATCAGCGGACGGGCACACAAAAGGCCACCCGCGCGTCGGTCGTTATACACCAGAAATCACCACTCCTCACTGCTACTCCCCCGCAAGTCACCAGAGCGTTGGCATATTCACACCCATTCATACTCCCTCTCAATCACCTCGCCGGGTTACTATCATGGACCACGTCGGATCCGTGGGAAAGCTTCCTCCTGGTTGCAGCATTCTGGTTCGCAGTGCTGTACGGGGATGATGTCCTACGATGGGCGGGACSAATCGTGCTGCTTGCCATGTTGATGGCGGGCATGTACTCGAGGAGGTATAGCCCGCTCTCAAGCACATCATGGAATGGAGAGATCAAGAAACGTAAAAGAGCGGAATCCGAATCCCAGCAAAGAAAAAGCCTAGACGAGATATTGTCAACACTGCAAACCTTCACAAACCGCTGTGATGTATTGTTGGACCCGTTCTTACGATTGACGGAGTTTCTCAGCACTCAATCGACTGCAACCTCCGCCACGACCCGACCAGCACTCACATCCATGTTCATTCGACTGTTGGCCATCACGCCAGTGTGGATTCTGCTGACGCTCCCACCTGTTCGGATCATCACAACCCAACGTGTTACGCTAGTCTTGGGCACGATTGGCATGACTTGGCATAGTAGGCCTTCGCGAGCCTCTCGTGCCATCCTCTGGCGTAGCAGGGCGGTCCGATATGTCACCTCGGTAGCCACTGGTCTCAACTTCCCTTCACCATCGGTCAACACAGGGAAGACACCGCCACCCCTACCACCTCGTACTCCTGCAGCACTCGCGAAAGCCTTAAAGTCAAAGGGATCAAAGCCCGGAGTTCGCTTTACTTTCGCCATTTACGAGAATCAGCGACGCTGGGTATTTTTGGGGTTTACCGGGAACATGTTTGCTCACGAACGCCAGTCATGGACCGACGAGCATCTTAATACAGTTCCCGACAAGGATAATTTCGAACTTCCGAATACCGACAATGAGACGACAAAATGGAGTTGGGTTGAAGGCAGCGAATGGAAAGTCGATCCTGCTTGGTCCGAAGACATACAGACCACCAAAGGTGCTCGCGATAAAGATGGCTGGACCTACTACGACAACAAATGGGCCGGTGGTAGCAAGATTGATGACTGGAGCAAATGGACACGTCGTAGGCGATGGGTCCGTGATGCTGAGTTGATCGAAGTGCCACCGGAAGAGCTCGCCGCGACGGCCGACGCTGATACCCAGTCTATTGCAAGCACCGACATGGGTGACGGTGATAGCATCACCACGGCAGTCAAGAAAAAGGGTTGGTTCGGGAAACGACGGCTCACCAATGAAAAGGTCCGGGTCGTCGACAAGTCGGACATGGTTTCTGTGAGTGGCAGCGGAGATACGGGCAAGACCAGTCGTTCTCGCGATGACCCTACGGATGATTTGCATACGCCGCTGCAATATCGAGAAACTCAATGGGATCGTAGTATAGGTGATGGACTTGCGGAAATGCTCAGTTAACAGTACATGAGAAATGATTAATGGTTGGGTAGCGAGGCGCGAGGGAGTGGGTTGGGATGACTTCAATATATCGCGTATTACTTGCAAAGGTGTTCCTGTCCACTGTTACATTTTGTGCATTGCGCAATATCTGTCGAAGCTCCGTCCCTCTGCTCTCCTCTCCTCGTCGCGATCTGCCCGGATATCATGGAAATATAACTCAGCCCTGAACAGTAGTTAAACCATAAAAGCAGCAAGACCCAAATCATCTGTACACGAAACTCCCAGACAGCCCTGAGCACCAAACACCCAAACACCATACCCTCATCCATATCATCATCCAAGATGCTGCACATTCATGCCATTCATCCCATTCAACCCATTCAAACCATCCTGAAGCTGCTGATCAAGCTGCGAATCAATATTTGCATGAGAATGGGCATGAGCATGAGCATGATGCGTAGGTTGAAAAGCAGGATGCATCTGCTGCTGCGGTTCCATCGGAGCTTCCAACGAGCCCATCGCACCCATTTGAGCTTGGGGGATGTTTTGTTGATGCAGAATCGGGAGATCCGGATGCGTCTCCATGAGTTGAGCACGAGTATTTTCATCTATAGGAGTGCCGTTCTCTTCGTATTCAATTACTCGGACCCATTTTCTGCGCATTTTGGACATTGTGGTGGTGCTGCAGACGATGCCGAAGCGGTCATGGATCAACCAGACCAAGTCGTCGAGGTAACGGTTGCGGTTTTTGGGATCGCGGAGCCATTCGCAGACTTCCTGGGAGGGCTGTTAGTTCTGGAGGAAGACTGTAATCTTGAAAGACAGGCGGGCGATTAAAGGAAAGATCTCGAAACGACTTCATGGACTTCTGTGGATCTCAAATCTCACATCGATCTGAGATCGGGTATTCTATACCAGAGTGAAGAAACAGTGGGATAGCACGTGGGTCGCCACAACAATATAATCAGMGATGAACGCGACGCGCTCGACTCACCAATTCTTGATCCGCTGTCAACACTTTGGGTCTACCATTCTTCTTATTCAGCTCCTTGGGCATGTAGTTTGTGCCATGTTGCTGTAGACATCGTTTCATGCGATAGATGGAGCTCCTGCCCACTTTGAGCCGACGGTGAATAGTGGTGGGATCGAAACCAGCCTCGAGCAATTCCTTGATCTGCTCTTGAATTTCGGGATTTTGCTTGCCGCTTCCAGGCATTGCGTTGATGGAATGAGGTGGTAGACTGGCTCCTGGATTTGGTGGGATGGTAGGTAAGGTTGTGTTACGACTTTCTCCTCCATCCTCGCGCCAAGACCGCTTTCCTCCGAACGTCTCGGTTGCTCCTGATTTCTGAATCCTCAACTGCCCGCGCGTCTTCATCGCTGTCACAAGGCATCCATGATGATGCGCATCAGATGCGAGATATCTCCTCATTGCCATGGAATACTACTCAACGCGCTGCATACATCTTGAGATGGCAGGGACGGTGACAGTACCTTACGCGAGCACTATTCCAGTGGGTCGGGATATAGGTTCTTCCGGCTACAGAAGTGCTTCGCAGCGATGTCTTTCCCAAGGCACTTCTCTCTCGTCTCGATCATTCCTCCTCTGACTGCTCACACAACCACAGCTTCTTTGATCCAGAGTCTGCTTCGAGATGCCATCCACCATCCTACTCATCAACGGTAAGACCGCGTCTTTCACCTCTGCAGCATATTCTAATGCGAAGTTTTCTTCCAGGTCCCAACCTCAATCTGCTAGGAACCCGGGAGCCTCACATTTACGGCAGCACCACACTCCCAGATGTCACCGCAGCAGCAGTGAAGCAGGCCGAGGGCAGAAATATCGTCCTCAGCCATTTCCAGTCCAACCACGAGGGAGCCATCATCGACCGCCTACACGAAGCTCGCGGCAATATCGATTTTGTTATCATCAACCCAGGCGGACTCACTCATACTAGTGTGGCGCTGAGAGATGCTCTCCTGGCGACTGAGCTTCCATTCCTGGAGTTACATGTATCGAATGTACATGCACGGGAAAGCTGGAGGCACCACAGCTATCTCAGTGACAAGGCAGTCGGTGTCATTTGTGGACTCGGCGTCTATGGCTACACTGCGGCCATCGATTTCGTAGCGCAGCGGTTCGAGGCTGCGGAGAAGGCCGTCACAAAATAATCTCTTCCAACTCGGTGAAGCGGCGCAAAACGTGGCCATGACCGACAAGTGGAGTGTCTTGTTGTAAGATTGAAGAGGCTAGGGCATGGCCGTTCTTGTCGACATTATGGGCGATTTCYGCGCATTTAAGTCGACTTTTATGAAAGTCAAGACTCCGTCCAAGCTTTAAGAGACAATTTCTCGACGAATGCGAAGGCCAGCATTGCGATTGCTGATTCACAAGAGCCGAATCAAGCTCCAATCTTAACAGAGCTGCTGGTGGGGCTACGCGGGTCCGTTCCGACCTTACCTTACCTGATCATTTAAGCAACCAGGGAGCAAGCAAAGCAGCTTACGCATATAAAAAGATCGCATCTTCTTCGCTTCAACACTGTTATACCTCGTTGCATTTTCGATTCCTTGCTGTCGATATGGACCCCTCTCAAGTCGACGTACCTCCTCTTAAGGATCTTACCATGTAAGAGCAACATGCCGACCTTCTAAATCTTGCTGAAAGTGAACAGCGACAACATAACCGACAATGTGAAGCTGATAAACTCGAATTGCCCTAATCCACGCATGAAATACATCCTTGAGCGCATTGTCCAGCATCTACACGATTTCGCGAGAGAGACACGTCTGTCCCACGATGAATGGATGACAGGATTGCTGTTCCTCACAGCAGTTGGCCAAATCTGTACAGACGTCAGACAGGTGAGAACTACCCAAACCCCATCTGTCGTTTCTTTGGCTGATGTAGACTTGTTAGGAATTTATCCTTCTTTCTGATATCCTCGGTCTTTCTCTACTAGTTGACAGTATTGATCATCCGAAACCTCCCGCGAGCACCGAAGGAACTGTTCTAGGCCCATTCCATTCCCACGAGGCTCAGAGCGAGCCCAATGGTGCTCTCATAGCTCATGATCCGAATGGCGAGCCATGCTTGGTACTTTGCACCATCAAAGACACCGATGGCAAACCTGTTGAAGGTGTCAAAATCGACATCTGGGAGACTGATTCTGGTGGGAAGTATGACGTCCAGTATCCCGGAAGAGAAGGCCCAGATCAGAGAGCAGTGATGCACAGCGACAAGGATGGTGTCTTTTGGTTCAAGGCTATCGTTCCTGTCCCATATCCAATTCCCAATGACGGGCCAGTTGGTAAATTGCTCAAGCTGCTGAACAGGCATTGCTATCGGCCTAGCCACATGCACTTTATGTTCGAAAAGGAGGGTTTCGATCATCTCATCACGTATGTGAACAGCTTCGGTACGGAGAAACTTCGCTAACATGGATTGGCAGGGCATTGTATCTTCGTGGAGATCCGTACGAGACTTCCGATGGTAAGGCGATTTATGCTGCTTATTGAACCTCTTGCTTATACATTTCTAGCTGTGTTCGGAGTTAAAGAGTCGCTTCTCATCGATCTGGGAACCGTAAACGCAGAGCAGGCTTCGACATATGGTGTGAAGGAGGGTAGTAAGCTGATGACCTACGACTTCGTGTTGGTCACCGAGGAGGACTCTCGTAAACTCCGGGAGAAGAACGCTATGGATGCTATGAAGCAATTGGGAAGGACGATGAAGCTGTGGAATGGGCTTCCGGTCCCTGATGTTGATTGAACGGAAGAAGCAATGCCAAAGCAACTAGCTCCGTTGCGTACAGTGTGATGTATATCGACGTCAACCAAACATGATTGGCATCGTGTGACTTTGATACAACGCGGATGTCAACATCGGAAGCTCACTAATCCAGTGATCCCATATGCAGTATAAAATTGCCGCCAGTCTGCCCAACTATGCCACAGGCTCGTAAACACCGGAGTGTCGGGGTTTTCTCAAACATAAAAGGAAAGCCGTAGTAAGGCATTCACATCATTAACCTCCTCCAAGATAGTCGTGATCGTCGCGGGATTCGTACTACCCCAACCCTGACCCTAGCATGCTCCCAACCGCCCTTTGACTTACGCTCTACTATGAGATCAGATGCGAGCGAAAGACAAGGCCCAGCACATGAAGACCTCTTCCTGGACACGCAGCATAGAGTGTTTACAATGTTCCATATCAACTGCACTCATACGTCGGACCGATTGAGCCGGAATTGACTCCGCCGGGGATCCGCCTGTTGTAAGGCACTATCTTTGGCTCTTTACAATCCTGACATCACTCACAACTTTTATTCTCCGTACAATCTTTCCCAGTACTATACTGTCAACAAAGTATGGCTTCCCGGGACTCCATCAGCGAAGCCGAACTCGACGAGATCCATGCTTTTGCCGTGCAGCTGGCTAAAGATGCTGGTCGAATGCTACTCGAAGCTGTTGACGCTCGCTCAGGCAAGACCGGCCAAGCAGGCCATGTAGAGAAAGAATCAGCGGTGGACCTGGTAACACAAACGGATGAAGGTCAGTCTCCTCGACCTCAATGAACAATCGTTTTGGATGTACACCAAGTCATTTCATGCTTATCTCGTGCTTTTACTGATACGGAGGAAAAAAAAAGATGTCGAGGCTTTCATTCGCAACAGTGTACTTGCAAAGTATCCTTCACATTCGTACGCAGTCATGTCTTGATCTGTTGAGATTTGTATTTATTGATCTTGGGTTTTAGATTTTGTGGCGAGGAGTCGTATGGCAAAGGGAGTTCAAAGGAGTACCTCATCCCCAGTGTCGGCCCATCCTGGTGTGTCGACCCGCTGGATGGCACTGTGAACTTCATCCACCTTTGCCCATTCTACTGTGTCTCAATAGCCTTCCTGTGGAATGGAGAGCCCGTTGTTGGCGCGATCAACGCCCCATTCCTCCATCAACTGTAAGTGTTGCCTTTGTCTGGGTGAACGATTACAAACCATGACTAACATTTACTTGCGCCGAAGATTTACTGCATGTCGTGGGAAAGGAGCTTTCCTTAATGAGTCCACACGGCTTCCTCTCGACCGAAATCCTATACCGCCTCTCCCAGAATCTGCTCCAAAAGGGTGTGTGTTCTCTTGCGAATGGGGCAAAGACCGGAGAGACATGCCAGATGGAAATCTTCATAGAAAGGTCAATACCTTCATGAACATGGCTGCAGAACTCGGCAGTCGAGGCGGCAAAGGCGGCATGGTTCATGGCGTTCGGAGTCTTGGCTCTGCCACGCTAGACCTTGCTTATGTCGCCATGGGGTCTTTTGACATTTGGTGGGAAGGAGGCTGTTGGTACGTACAGCGCATTCACATGAGTCAGCCTCGCCAATACTGACATCCTTCCAAGGGAATGGGACGTCGCTGCTGGAATATGCCTGTTGAAGGAAGCCGGTGGTCTGGTCACCACAGCTAATCCACCTACCGACAGTACCGATACTCATGTTCCAGACACCCATCTTGGAAGCCGTCTATACCTTGCCATCCGTCCCGCTGGAGACTCTGCCACCGAAACTGGGCGTCAAACGCAAGAACGTACAGCACGAGAGGTGTGGCGTCGGGTACAAACATTGGACTACTCTCGTCCAGGGATTTGAACCGCGCTCGCTCCACTGGAGATCACCTTCACTGATGTTCGAGAATCATGAATTCAAGTCCACTATCAGCCAAGTTACACAGATGTGAGCTCAGTATGGACTGCTTCCATCACCGGGCAACGAGGCCTGCTTGCGGAGCAGAACAGAGCCTTGCTACGGGGAATCAGCAACATGTGTTTTGTTGTACCTCGCAAGATAGAAGGCCGCCATCCCAAACGCGCCGAGTTGATTCAGACGACCAAGAGCGAGCGCCAGACTAGGACGCGAATTGATATTTACTTGGAAGAGCGTTGGCGCCGAGAATGCATGGCTGGCCTATAAATTTACAAGTTTTGCAGAACCTGATCAATCCACTGGATACTACATGAATCTGGAACAAGTATACAGTGGTGAAAAGCTCACTAATCTACAGTCTAGCCTTGCCAAGCTCTCGAGCAATGACATCCTTCACTGCTTGTATACTTTGCTGGCTCATGGGAGTGCCATGCCAGTATTTGTGCTGTTCAAAGCCTTGATATATCATGGCCTCCGTCCCCAAAACGACCTGCCAACCGGCCTTTTCAGCAAGGTCCCCAAGCTCTGTCCAGGGAGATGGATGATAGCACATCTCAAGCATGGCACCTTTGTGAGACTTGGACAAGAAGACCTCAACAATATTGCGTGCCTCTTTTTCGGCATCCGTTACCGGAGGGAAGTTTGGCACACAAGCAACTATCGCCCCTGGTCCTTCCAGTGACTCGGCTTGAGCAGCAGTGGTAACATGTACGAGACCATCACCATATCCTTGCGACTTGCACCACTCCATAACAGCCTCGACCTCTGATGGGTCTCGGTTTACAAGATATATGGTCTTGCACTGCATGAACTTGACAAGAGCATATATGGCTGATCTGGCTGCACCACCACCACCAACTACCATACCTGGTCGGCCATGGAAGACTTGATTGGGATTAGCGACATTCTGGTAGAAGCTTTCCCGCACGCCGATTGTATCTGTGTTGGTTCCAATGATCTGGTCACCTCTGCGGAAGATGGTGTTCACAGCTCCAACGTCTCGGCCTTCATCCGTTAGACCGTCCAAGTATGGAATTATGGCGACTTTGTGTGGCATGGTCACAGCCGACCCTGGAATGAGATCAGCTGGAGATTGCAGAAGACAAAACCGCCACACTTACCGTATAACCTCTGGTCTCGGATCAGCTCCAAGAAATGAGGCATGTCGGTCGACTCTAGGAGGTCGAAAGTCCATGGTGATCCAATCTGTTTGAAGATCTCGCTGTGCAATATTGGCGAGAAAGAGTGAGCGATGGGAAAGCCAAAGAGGTATCCGCTTTTCTCAGCGTGAATGGCTGGTTCGTGGCCAACAACGACATTGTCTTGTGTAGCCTCCATTTCGTTGAATGTCAAAGTTGTGTCGATTGTACTGGGGAACCGGAGCTGACGGGGCGGGCAAAAATGTGTGGAGATGTTTCGATTGGACTGATTAAAGGCAGAGAATAGGGCCGAGAAAGAAAGTGCAAAGGAAATGGATACCGACCACTGCAGTGGTTCATACAGCAGGAAGCGCGAGAAGGAACTCCCAGCTGTCGTCCCCGATCATGAACACGTTCGACGCCGATATCCATAAGAAGAGTTTACGCTATTGGCGTCAGATTCTTCTTGCCGTTCGGATCAAGCGTGCAGATTCCAGGGTTAATCTTTATCCCTGCAAAAGGCTGGCCAAGTGGCCAAGCCTCGCCAGGACCGCCGGCAAATCAGAACCACACTTTTCCCCACTAGACTCGTTCACGCGCAACGCACGCGAGCCGCCATGTGCGCACATGGCTAGTCCTCCTTCTGATCCCTCATGCGACATCGGACTAGCAAGTTTGAGACCCTTCGCGCCGAGACGGCTTTGGACGGTCCTGATGAAAACTCTTCCGTTGCCAACATGCAGATTGCTAGAGCATGGCCCGCGCATCACACTCTTTGTTCTGCAACGCTTACCAGGAGAGGTATCTGCCCCATTTGCCCGTTCGATTGAACATTGTGGGGGCACTGGGGAATCCTGAAATCCGGGGTGAACACTCGGCCGCTCAGATTTCTGTGATTACTACAAAGATCTCTTCACCTCCCCCTACCGGCCCTTCTTCTCCGATCATTCCTCCCTCCTCTACCAGCGGACCCCGGCACAACAACACTGCATCACAGTCAACATGGGAGGTTTTCTCACCTTGGTCGAGGATCGACCCACGCCCAAGGCGGTATACAACTGGCGAGTGTACGCTCTCGCAGCCGTTGCCTCGTTTGCATCATGCATGATTGGTTATGATAGTGCCTTTATTGGCACCAGTTTGGCTTTGCCATCTTTCATGAGCGAGTTCGGACTCGATGACATGGAAGCAGGCGACCTTGCCTTTACAAAGAGCAACATCGTCTCCATCTACCAAGCTGGAGCCTTCTTCGGATCGTTGGCCGCATATCGTATGTCGCGGCACTACCTGTACCGGTCTTGTCGATGATCTCTGACATTTCGCAGCCCTCGCCTATTACCTCGGACGCAGGAAGACTCTCTTCATCTTCGCCACTTTGTTTGTCCCTGGCGCTGGCATGATGCTGGGCGCTGATTCTGCTCGCGGTCTTGGTCTGATCTATGCTGGACGMGTCATTACAGGCGTGTGTGTTGGCGCAGCCTCTATGGTTACACCAATCTACATTTCTGAGATTTCCCCTCCTGCCATTCGTGGACGGATCGTCGGTATCTACGAGTTGGGCTGGCAATTGGGAGGTCTCGTTGGTTTCTGGATCAACTTTGGCGTCTCAGAGACCATGGAATCTAGCCACAGGCAATGGGTAATGACATCTCCTCCAATAACGAGCCAKAACGTCCGCTGACACATCTTTAGCTCATCCCGTTCGCTGTGCAGCTTATCCCCGGAGGTCTGCTGTGGATCGGTACCTTCTGGATCAAGGAATCTCCACGTTGGCTGCTGTCCAAGCACCGTAGAACACAAGCGGTGAAGAACCTTTGCTACATTCGCAATCTCCCTGCTGAGGATATTTACATCGTCGAAGAAATGGCAATGCTTGACCTTGCTCTCGAAGAACAGGCTGCTTCTATTGGAGAGGGCTTCTGGAAACCTTTCAAGGCTGTGGGCAGGGACCGCAAGGTACAATGGAGATTCCTGCTCGGTGGCCTCCTTTTCATGTGGCAGAACGGAAGCGGAATTAACGCCATCAACTACTACAGTCCTACCGTCTTCAAGGCCATTGGTGTCCGAGGAACCAACGCCGGTTTCCTGACCACTGGAATCTTTGGTGTCATCAAGACCGTGTTTACTTTTGTCTGGATGTTCGTCATGATTGACAACCTTGGTCGCAGGAACCTCCTCATGGGCGGTGCTCTCGGTGGCTCCATTTGCATGTGGATTCTTGGTGCATACATTTCCACGACAACCATCGAGTCTTCCACTACTTCCAGCGCTCCCAAAGGTCTCAGCCCCGGTGGTATCGCCGCCATGTTCTTCTTCTACCTTTGGACAGCCTTCTACACGCCCAGTTGGAACGGTACTCCCTGGGTTCTCAACTCGGAAATGTTCGATATGAACACCAGAGGTTTGGGACAGGCATCTGCCGCTGCCAACAACTGGTTCTGGAACTTCATCATCTCGAGATTCACCCCACAGATGTTCCTGACTATGGGTCCCAACGGATGCGGTGTCTTCTTCTTCTTCGCATCCATGATGATTGCCAGCATCTTCTTCGTTTGGTTCCTCATTCCAGAAACTAAGGGTATCCCTCTCGAGTCCATGGACCGCCTATTCGCCATTCGTCCGGTCCGCAAAGCCCATAAAATCGTACACGATGAAGATGAGTTGAGAAATGCCGAGTTCCGACATGACGCAGAAGGCGCTGGTCTCAGCGCAGCCAAGGAGAAGATGGACTTTGTTGAGAGGACGAGCGAGAAGAACAGCGATCTGTGAGAGTGTGTCATCGAAGCAGATATTTTATATGTAATCTGTTGATAGAGCGCTGCTCTCGCAGAACGAATGTTCATGAAAATGTATTACACCAACGCTATCAACGTTAATGAAGCATCACATCAAAATGTCTTGGCAAGCATTTCCAAACTGCTCTACTCCGTAAACTCCTATTCGATTGCTATGTTGATGATATGAAGATATATGATCGAATACAACCACGTATGAGATTCTAGTGACTATTCCACGATCCGTCAACCTTTGACAACGACCGATGGTATCTTCGAAGATGACATGATATGGTTGAGGGCATTCATCCAAAGAGCACATCATAAACGTTCACCCTAATAACAATGGGTCTACTCACACCCGAAAGACGGCAGTATTGTGGCGACTTCTCCATCCACCTTCGCATCCACTCTGTCAGCAGCGGGTTTCTCTAGTTACATTCCCAAACAATGTCCACACCATCTTGACGAGTTGTAATGCCCCGTGTAACCGATTGGAAATAGTCAAAGGCTTGCAAGCGAGTTCCCATTCGTATTCCTCAGCCGCACTCATGCAAGTGGATAATGATGCAGCCCTTCCTACAGAGCCGTTAGTTCTCCGAGCCAGCCCCCCCAAAAAACACTCTTCCGGGAACTTTCTCCCCAACGCGGTCCTTTCTTGGCGTTTTTGAAGAAAGATACCTAGGTAGTAAGAGTAACGCCGAGCACAATCTAAGTTTGGACTTTCCCCCCCCCTTGCTCTTGCTCGGGAAGAGAGTTCATCCCTGCAGCTTTTGCGCCACTGGGGAGATCTCAACAAAATATTCTTCCTGCAGGCTGATTGAGCTATCAACAGGCAGGCGGGTGCTGTGTAACACACCGCGAAAAGGAAAATATGGGATCATGATAAATCTCCTTCCAGCGAGAAAGTGGAGACGTACCGGGGGGGAGGATAATGTTTGTGTGCGACATGACAGCTGCTGCTGCACTAGTAAGTACTTGAATAATATAGTCCTCCTTCTGCATGAGGTCTCCAAGTATCTTATCTTCCACCACCACACACTTTCACTCACTCTTAACTCCTCATCATCACGTCTTTGTCAATTTCCAGACCTACACATCAGCAACATCAAGAATCCCAGAAAAACAACACAAGAAACAACAAAACAACATGCCTTGCCGCCCAGCCGTATGCAGCCACTCCCTAGGCCGAGCATGGCTACACTCCCTCCCCTCAAAACTAGACCAAGCATCCCACTACAACCTATCCATAGAACTCTTCTACGAAGACCTCTACTACATCGCAAAAACCCTCCCAGGCGGACCCACCCCACAAAACCACCTCTCAGCAGCCCACTACATCCGCCAACTCTGCGATGAACGAAACATCTCCATCATCTGTCTCCAACCTTTCATGCACTACGACGGCCTAATCGACAGAACCCGCCACGCAGAACGTATTGAAGAGATGAAAAATTGGATCCAAATGGCAGGGATTTTGGGAACGAGTCTTATTGGGATTCCTTCGACGTTTTTGCCTGAAGAGGAGGTTAGTGGGGATGTGGAACTTATTACGAGGGATTTACAGGAGGTTGCTGATTTGGGGGCTCCGTATGGTGTGCAATTCGCTTATGAGGCTTTGAGTTGGGGTACGCATGTTGATACTTGGGAGGCTTCGTGGGAGATTGTTAAGAGAGTTGATCGAGATAATTTTGGGCTTTGTTTGGATACTTATAATATGGTAACATTCCNCCCCCCCCCCCCCAAAAAAGCCCTCATTGAAGATTTCCACAAATCACTGACTATTCTATTCTAGGCCGGAAGAGTCTACGCAGACCCAACATCCCCCACATTCAAAACCCCCAACGCAGAATCCGAAATGACCGCCTCCCTAACCCGTCTAATCAACACAGTCGACGTCCGCAAAATCGCCTTCGTCCAAGTCGTCGACGCCGAAAAACTCACCTCCCCCTTACTCCCAGGCCACGAATTCTACGACCCTACACAATGTGCACGAATGAGCTGGTCGAGAAATTGTCGTCTTTTTTACGGAGAAGAGGATCGCGGGGCGTATTTACCTATTAAAGCTATTTTGAAAGCTATTCTTGTGGATTTGGGATTTGAAGGGTATTTGAGTGCGGAAATGTTTAATCGGAGTTTGGTGGATGGGGATTCTGGGGTGCCGGAGAGGCATGCTAGGAGGGTGTGGCAGTCTTGGGAGAAGATTGTGGAGGATTTTGGGGTTGGGGGGGATGGTACTGCTGCTGCTGCTGCTACTGCTGCTGCTACTCCTGCTGTTGTGAGATCGGGTAGTGTTGGGAGATTGGAGATTGAACCACAGGCACCACGTGCGCAGTTGTGAGGATGACCTTTTAATGATGCGATAGATTAGATTTATGTGATGAAGCAGCGAATATATACCCATGCAGGCTGCAGATGATAGATTCGATAGATAGCTTCTCCTAATTGAGTGCCTTTTGCATGAGTTCACCCAATCATTATCTTCTAGCCTCCATCGCAACATGCCACCACCAGCGATTGTGTTTCGGAGACAGCTACGAGGAAGAGTCCAGTCCCGTGGAACACATTGCAGGCCAGTAATGCCAGGCACCATTTCTGAGTAGCTCAGCGGTCCAAAGGCGTCATGTTGTTGAAGATTGAAAAAAAAGGCCCAGCTTGTTATTAGGAGCTGTCGATGTTCCCGGGCCATCGAGTGACCCGGCAGTCAAAGGAATGAGTGCTTCTCGTTCCAAGTAGGTGTGAGTGGCTCCGACAGGGGAGTATGAAAACCACACCAGGAGCTTCGTCTCATCACACCTCTCCACCTTCGCCCTCCTGATCTCCATCTTGTCCTTCATTGATCACCAACAACATATGTTAACATGCCGCTCGCTCTCCCGACTCATGCCAACTCTAACTCCATCCTCTTCATAATCACTGCGATGGACCCCAGAAATGGCAGCGGCGCCGGCGATGAAGACCGCATCATCACCGCGCAGCTTGCCGGAATGACGTAGAAGTAAGATAAAGCTTATATCCATCAGAAGAGTAACTTGTAGCTCGCCTCATTGCTTATCGCCCTCGATGGACGAGTATTGGCGTTCCTCGTCTATAGTCGTTCTCTACCTGACTGGATTTATCGTCCACGCTTGAACTGCTGTCTTGAGATCTGTGCCTACCGCCGCGATAGACTTTTGCAACAGCACCTCAGTGACGTTGACGATGAAGACAACGCCACAGGCCCCTCCCGGCTCGATATCATGATCGAGAAACAAGACCGAGATCTGGGCTGAGCTGGATACCATCTTTGACAGAGCAAGCAGGAGCACACTTCTCGCACCAACAAGGTGTGATTCAATTGCTCCAGAGATGGTTCACCCGGCCATTGACTGTCATGAAGGCTCAGAAATAGCCCATATCGGAAGCGTGCGTCCCTTCCTCTCCTCTACACATCTCCATTCGTGGTACAAGAGTTTGCTTCCAGACTCTTGGGCAGAGGGACCTAGAAGGTTCGATGTGAGGATCCATCACCGAGACAAGGAGTCTCTTGACCATCTTCACATCATCTCCAAGCCACGCAATCKGCAGAGTTGTCAATTCTGCAGCTGCTGGAATCCTCTCTACTTGCCCCTGAGATAATGAAGAGAGGGATTTTTGAAGACGCCCATGCTGTTAAGAATTTCTCCCATCAATCGCTCAGGAAGGGACCTCAGCCCCCCTTATCGTAATTCTGCGGCCACTGATAATCCGCACCAAAGAAATCGGCAAGCTCCATATCAGCACCAAAGCTTCCGAAGCCAAGATTCTGCATGAAGCTAGGGTTTTGATTGGATTCCGATCGATMCAGCATTGCCAATTCTTCAAAAATGTCATTGCCGGGTTGTATATTTCCGCGCTCCAGATTGGTGGAACTCTCGCCAGCAGTCCATAGATTTGATGGGGTAGCTCCGATCGCTTGAGCAGGAGTACTTGATTGTAAAGACTCAGCTGCTTCGTTTGGCATGCTCATGAATGGGTATTGATGATCGAAGATTGCGTCTGTCATTTCTATGTTGGAGTTGTTCCTGATGTGACCAATTGCTGACTGTGGAGTATGAACTTCACCCATGTATGGTATGTTGGCTGCTGCTGGTTTCGGCGCGGAGCAGTAGTTGGTGAGTACCGTACGAGGGTGTACGGAGGTATTCCTGAGCAGTGTTGTCACCAAGTCCATCTCCGWCCTGCTACCATTAGCCGGCGTCATGATCTGTTGGGCGTGACAGCGGAGTGCAATGCGGATGAGCTCGTTGAAGGTAGATATGGATCTTGCGGGTGATTTCTCGTGTGCGGAAGTGGTGCCCAGGGTTGGATCTGACCAAGGTGACCACTCCTCCAATCCGTCTTCAATGAGGAGTCCGATACTACGAACATTGTCAGGCCTCAGATGTGCAATTCCGCCAGAATGAGAAGCTATTGTACTCTCAAGGAGGAACGCCGCAAGGAAGGTATGTTTGGTTCTCCCCTCATTCAGACGAGTGGCGGTGCCTCTTCCTGCTGTGAGGTGGGTCAAGAATCGAATGGCAGAGCCAATGGTCAGCCAAGCTGTGATCCAGGCCTCTCTGGAAATCTCTACCAGTCCAAGGATGAGGAGAGCTTTGATGTGACCCAACGCGAAGCCTTGCTCATGGGGTATCAAGGCTTTTGCAACGTCTCGACACAGCAAGAAGCTAGCTCCAGAATCCGCGCTGTCCATCCGTGCGGCGGAAAAGGCCATGATGCTCCACAGTTCAGCGTGCTCAGACGCCACTGCTTCGTCTCTCGGGAGACCTTGGGCGGGATAATTGTACATGAGCTTTAATACATCATGCTTTTCTGTGATGGGTAGCCAGGCTTGGGTAAAGGTGAAGTAATGCTCGAGCAATGCCCAAGAGTTCTCGGGGAGTTTCAGCAAGGCAAAATCTGCGTCAGATTGTCCAGTCAGTCCAGCATTGGCTAGCTCAGGGACTTCCACCTGCAGAACACCAGTATCAGATGGTGCTGATTGCGGAGGCGATTGATACGGGGTGTTGTTGGTAATGTCCTGAGGAATCCTTGTTGGCGACGTCCTCGGCACTTCAATATCCGCGCCTGATAGCATTTGGTCAATCTGTCTGCAGATGATACCACTTCGCCACCCGCCATGCAGCACGTCTGCGGCCGCAGCATCCTTGCCAGAAATTGTTTGGTGGACAGAATCATTCCCATTTGGCAGCAATTGTGACAATTTCTCCTCGCTCTCCGGCGATGCTTGCAACAGCCAAGCCAATGTCAACTCCAACGTGCGAATGTAGTTTGGCTGGATTCCTGGGGAGTGTTAGCGATTGGGTTGAATGTCACCAAGTGGAACATGAGCATGGCGACAGCACACGCGATGCGTGTTCTAATGCATGGGAAGCTGGCTATTGCCATGGCCTTTACTTGCACAGAAAAGACTCGTTGCCGACTGGTAGTACGAGACAAGCCAGGTCAAGGTAATGCCTCCAGCCAAAGCTTTGATCCGACGTACCTCTCTTTTTCGGCTGCTCATTGTACGTGCACACGCGATGCTGCGACTCACAAGTATGGCAGGTGGGTGTTGCGCCATCGCACTTTTCCCGGCCATTCCTGCACTGGTCGCAGGCTCGAGAGACGCGGACGCGCTTCGCCCGCTGCACAGCATCTGCCTTCTTCGACGATCCATTCAGAGCCCGCTTGGAGCCGGAAGATGTGGCAGAAGGTGCGGCTTCATCTGGTGGTGGCGACCGACTGCTGCCTTCAATCATATCAAAGGTAATGGGTGGGACTGGCGCATCTTCATATGCCGCAAGATGCTGGAGTGTCTTGCAGTGGAGGTGCAGGTTTTCCCGTGTCCCTGGCAGACAGACGAAGACGAAGAGAGAGGTGGATATCACGAGGATTGCATCACTCCATAATGGAGGACTTGATTTGAACATCGGCACAAGATGAGATGAGTCCCGCGTCCTCTAACCTACCTAGCCATGCATGGTGCCGGCAGCCAGGTGCCGATGCTTTGATGACACTGCAGACGGGCATCTGGTGGAGGTGGAGAGGTGGGGATTGGATATTGATGCAACTTGATTGGTGCGGGATTAGAATTCTCCTGCTAAAGCCAAAGGCGTAAATTCTTTCCCGGACCTGCGTGAGAGAGCGCTCTCGAGAGATGCGGACCTTTTGGAGGGCCCTTTTGATGTATCATGGACTGCCGCAGAGGAACGCTGAGTGCTGCGTCTCCCTTTGCGCTGCTTCGACGCGTCCAGACCGTTGCTAAGCTTTCACATCCCACCTGACGCCTTTCCCCTTCTTTTTCTGTTGTGTGATGGTATGGCCAGCGGCTGTTGCGCGATACGACGTACGTCCCTCTTTGCATATTCTACTTGCTAGAGTTGGCTGTGATTGGGTGCAATTGACGATTCTGATATCACACTTCGACGACTATGWTACACGCCGGCGTGAAGCGGACCTTCCAGGACATGCGTGGGGTCGATATTATGCCTCCGCGACACGATCCAAAGCAAACACCGCAACAATCACCGTCACAGTCCCGTCAAAGCAGTATCACACCATCGCCTCCCAACGGCGTCAACGCCGCGATCAATGGCTTGGAATCGTTGCCTCGGAGGATCTCATTCCCCACGGATGCTTCGGTGGTGCTGATTGGAGTTCGAGGAGTTGGCAAAAGCTCCCTGGGATTTCTCGCTGCATCTGCCTACACCCGCCGTCTGTTGGAATCTGACAGAGCCTTCTCAGACGCCACGGGATCTTCGCGAACAGCTTTCCGAAAGCTTCAGGGAACAGCCGAATATCACAAAAAGCACTGCGAAATCCTGAGGCGATTGCTCGAAGCAAACAGTACGAATTGTGTCATCGTGTGCAGCTTCGCAGACCTGGAGAGCGATGGTGCTCAGCTCATCCAAGCCTACTCTCAAACCCATCCCGTGATATATGTCACCAGAGACATTCCAGGAATCCAAGCGTATATCCGTGTCTGGACCGAAGAGAGGATTGAAGACTTGACTCGCGCCAGTGAGGCTCTCCTCCGAGAATGCTCAAATTATGAGTTCTTCAATGTGACCGAGACGGTGGATGGGAGCTCCAGGCCAGGCGACGTTTCCAGATCGCAGATCAGCAGGTGCACCAATGGGCCTTTTCTGACTCTCAAACGTGCCGAACACGACTTCTTAAAGCTGCTACGCAACATTGTGGGAGATCACGATCGTGGCCGGTCTCATCAGTCCGCCTATCCGCTCTCTCAGATTAGCGTCGACAAGTTGGAGTTCACCACTGCCGTCACCTTCACAGCGGACGATGTTGTCACTCATCGTTTCAATCTGGACGATGCCCAGATCGGCGTGGATGCAATCCAACTGCACATCAGCGCCAACCCTCGCAATGGAACAAATTGGAAATTGGGCAAGCATAGCTGCTTCAATCTCGTCAACGAAGCGTTTGCGCTGTTGAGACGATCGACCATCCTCCCTATAGTGATTGTTGCCGCAAGCAATGAAAAGCCTTCGAAACAGGTCTCTCGGCTTGAGCTGCTCGAGTACTGTCTTCGACTTGGACCGGATTATTGTGCCTTGGACTTGACATTGGACGATGAACATCTCAAGCAGCTTCTCTCCGGCCGGGGTGGTACGAAAACGATTGGCGAATTCGTCTTCCCCGACCGCATTGCGCAGGGCTGGCAAAGCCAACAATGTCTTGAGATATACCAAAAAGGCTACATCTTAGGCTGTGACCTGGTCAAAATCACGATGCCTCGTGGCACTCTGTCCGATAGTTTCGCAATCCAGGCGTTCCAACAGCAGATTCGAGAGCTGCACGGTGGTAGCGGTCCGCGGTTGATCGCATACTGTACCGGCATGCAAGGCCGTACATCCATGTGCTTCAACAACATCCTAACACCGGTCGCGCCGATGAATGGATCATCCGAATCCGCCATCTTACAGCTTCCGCCTGGCTTGGAAGGGGACGCTCCCTTGGTGACATCAAAGGAGCGCAATGCAGCACTATTCGCAAGTTTCGTGCACGAGCCGATGCGCTTCCTCATCTACGGAGCGAATGTCAGTTTCTCCCTCTCCCCTGCCATGCACAATGCGGCGTACGAAGCTTGTGGAATGCCGCACACCTACCGAACGCATTCCGCTTCATCTCTAGAAGACTTGATTGCACTGGTCAGGGAGCCTGACTTTGGAGGTGCCGCTATTGTGCAGCCCTTCAAGACAAAGACGTTACCCATGATGGACGTCTTGAGTCCCCAGGCCAAGGCCATTGGAGCTTTGAACACCGTCATTCCCCTGAGAGACGAAGCTGTCATCAAGTCGGTCACGAGCGAGGTTGGCATCTTTCGCGAGAGGAACCGCACTGGCGAAGTCAAGGCGCTGTATGGCGACAATACTGACTGGATAGGAATCCGCGCATGTATTCGTAGAGGCCTCTCACCTGCTAACACGGTGCGTCCTCATAGTACGGGCCTCGTGTGCGGAGCCGGGGGTATGGCGAGAGCGGCGATTTACGCCATGATTTCCCTCGGAGTGCAGAACATCTTTGTCTGCAACCGCACAAAGGGCAACGCGGAGGAGCTGGCGGATCACTACAATCGTCTGATCCGAGCGAATGCCATTGTCGATCTTAGCCCCGCCGACGCGAGCAGCACTTCCGTCGTTGCTCTCGAATCTTTCAAGACTCCGTGGCCAGCGCACATGCGCCACCCAGCCATGATTGTGAGCTGTATCCCCACGCAGACAACGGACGGGGTGCCGACGAATTTTGTGCTTCCCAAGGATTGGCTGGGTAGTCGGACCGGCGGAGTCGTTGTAGAGGTGAGTGTGCTGAAGCTGACGCTGACCATGATATGATGTTAGCTGACCGACCGACCTTTTGTGTATAGCTGGCGTACATGCCCATTGTGACGCCGCTCGTTCGGCAGATCCAGAATGAAGGTCGCAAAGGATGGATTTTGATGGATGGTCTTGATATGTTGCCGGAGCAGGCTTTCGCTCAGTTCGAGCTCTTCACTGGCCGCAGGAGTCCAAGGAAACTCATGCGGGAGAAGATCTGGGAGTCGTATAATGAGGATGAGTTTCCGATGCATGGCGCTTTAAATACAGATTCGCCGACACACTCGTAGGTGTGGCGAATACCCCTGAACTGTTCCTCGAGGTCAGCGATCGAGCGAGTCCTACTTTGCTCTTCCAACGCGCCCATTGTGGTGGAAGGATCTTGTTGGAAGTGCTGTCGGCCATGATGTTCAACACGGAGGAGGGCCCACTAGCGGGGCTTTGTAGTGTTGTTGATTTCTTCTTCACGGCAACGCCAACTTCTTCCACACCACAATCTCATCGCCCCACGAGATACAGAAACACAAAAGCTCCATCTACCCCTCATACCCCAGAAGAAATGGACGAAGCCACAATACTCAAAGTACCCCACCTTCAAGAAAATCCACAAACAAACCACCACCGCCCTTCGAGCCGCTTACGCACGATCGACAGAAAAGCTGTACACGACACCCGACTCGCAGAACGCGAGGCAGCACATCGATAGTCTCCTTCAAAACATCAAAGACCACGACGACAACAAAAACAACAACGACGATGGAGACTACTAACTACATGCCGCTCTTCTCTCGCGTCGTCGAATTCGAGGAAGCTCTCCTCTTGGSGATGTTGAATCTCTCGGCTTCATAGAGCAAATTTCGGAGTCCGAGGGTATTTGTTGAGCAGGTGGAATTGCTTGCTGGATGAGCGGAATTTTTAGTTGAGGCTGAGAAGGTTGAATGGCAAGCGGGGGAGAAATTTAAGGAGGCTGGGATTGGATTGGATTGCTGGGTATTGAATGAGGTTTTTTATGGAGGGTTTAGCTTAGGTAATGGATTAGGATGATGGCGCGTAGAAGAAGGAGAAGCAGAAGGAGAAGCATGAATTGGAACCTTACAGATAAATTCCGCTCCCAAGAATAACAACTACAACAACAACACCAACAACAACAACAACAACAACAACAACAACAACGAGCAGCAGCAGCACACCCTCTAGAAACAAGCCATCACGCTCGCGAGCCACTAACAGATCTCTCTATAAGGTAGTGAAAGTCTTCCCGGAGCCACTACCACCAGCAGCGGGGGAATTGCGTCCAACTAAATTGCATTAAGACTTTGAAGCAGCAGCGCGCTTTACGAGCTTGTGCGTGTGATAATGTGGAAGTTACTTTTAATTTAAGCAGTTGAAGGGATATGCCGATAAAGGAATCGAGGAAATTTCTTGGTAGATGGATTGGATCGTTTTGGGGTAGGGTAGGTGTGAGGGGGAGGTGAGGGGGGAGGGTTGGGTATGTTTTCCCCCTTGCTATACCTGTTGATGGATGAAGGGTTTGATGAATGAAGGGTTTGATGAATGAAGGGTTTGATGAATGAAGGGTTTAATGGAGTGATTTTTTTGTTATTTAATAGGCTAAAGCGAAGGAGATTTTTCTGGTCGTTGATGGGATTTATAAGATAATGAGGATGAGGAATGATAATGATGAGGGATGATGATGGGTCGTCGGAAGTTTCTGGTGCTTGAGGGGAGAGGTTTCTTGGAGATGAGATAGGGGCTTTGCTGAGGGGATGGAACTTGTAGATATGAAACTTGTCTTGTTTGTTGGAGAGTGGGTGGTTGATTAATCTTGTTCCCTTTCCTGTTCGTTGATGCTTTGAATATTTTTATACTCTTCCAGCGTYAGGGATATCGATAGCAGATCCGCCCGGAAATCGGAATCGTTGTACGCCAATAATGCCTCCTAGGTACTGAACCATGTTGGAACTCCTTCCACTTTCCTTCCGGTCTCAGAACCTCGATTCAGGCCGGGGCCCAGATATACGGCTTCTCAAACATCCAACTCTCTAGCATACTTACCTGCAGTTTCGATTGAAACTCGGCGGTCATCGATTGATCCAACCAAGCGCAACAATTCTATCATGACTCCAGCTGGCGAGTGAAGGAAGATCCATCCAGCCATGAATGAATGAGGTCGAGGAGTGAGGAATTTTGATTATTTCTCCCCGTGGGATGATGAGGACTATGCTACTAAGGAGAGTTTCTAGTAGGGTTAAAAATGACGTTCAATTCGAGGGAGTTGAATCGCGGGATAAAGGCGGTGGAAGTATTTCTTTTTATATTCACCTTGCGCTAGTTCTGGAGTTGGGTTCCCTCTGCGTAAGAGATATCGATGTTATATCGCCCTACTTAAAATTTCTATGTTTCTGCGTGGGATAATGGGGACTATGCTACCGAGGAGAATCCTAGCAGGTCTAAACATAAGGTCTAGTTCGAGGGAGTTGAATCGCGGTATTAAGGCGGTGGAAGTATTCTTTTTTATATTCACCTAGCGCTAGATCTAGAGTTGTTTTGCCTCTACGTAAGAACTAGACTATCGATAGGACAAACGTCCTAATTAAAGCACTATCTCTCGAATCGCTTCGCGAGTACTTTGCTTCTTAGGAGATTTCTAGTAGGTTTAAAAATGACGATAATGGTAAGAGAGGTAGATTGTATTCTAGAGGCGATAGAGGGGAGTTTTAGGCGTATTTAGCCTACGTTAGAGAACCGATACTTTTAGATGACTGTTCTTGTTATGTCTCTAGAGGAGTTTGAGTATGCTATACTTAGAAGGAGTGATCTGGTAGGTTCAGAGGTGGGATCATAGCACGTAGCTAGAAAGAGAGCAAGATAAAATCGCTTGCCCAGCGCATTTATAGATCGTACACAGCGGGCGAACTCCAGCAAGATTGCTGTGATGTCTAACAAGAAAGGATGGAGTGCTATCATCGAACCCCATGCAGTATGCACAGATTCACAACCTGGCCAACGTTCTAAAGTGAGACGCTCGGAAATAACATCCTCTTCCCTGTCCACCCTAGAACGCATCACAGAGACGCAGGAAGAGAAGGGACAGAGGGATATACCAGGTTTTATTAGGATACAATGAAACCACTCAATCTAGGAGGAGAGGGACTGTTGTTTGACGGTATGCACGGTGCTTTCATTCTGGTTGATTGATCTGACGGCTCGAAGCAGTGGTTACGCTGCGAATCCTTATAGAATGGCGAGTATGGCCATCAGGCCTACAACACCGAAAGCCTCGCCACCCACGGACATCTTGCCAGAAGCGCCGCCCGCGGGAGTCTCAGTCGGTTGGAAAGTCGCTGCAGGATTACCGTTGCCTGAAGTGATAGCCGTGGTAGTCGCTTGCGATGTAGACGACTCATCAGTCGGAGCAGTTGAGTTGGTCGGGATTGTTGTCGAAGTTGTGATGGGTGGGCCACTCATGGAAGCAGTGTTGGTACCCACAAGGGTTGACAGGGGCACTTCTGACGAAGCAGTACTGCTCTGTGAAGCTGATGTTGTACTTGCGTCGATGGTGCTGACGATCTTTGAATTGGATTGATGTCAGCTACGCTTCTCTGTCCGAGATGGATGGATGGCAATGTGGACTCCCAAAGGAAGGCATTCCAGCYAGCAGAGGCACTCACCTGTGAGTAGTTGTCTGCATTGACAACATATKTACATGGCTCGATGCTCGTGTCTGTTTGGATGGAAAAGATTGGCTCGTTGTTGGGATCCACAGCTGGGAGACATGCTGTGGTGATCGTAGTGTATGCCAGCAGACCTGAATCGCTCGCAGACGTGACTATAGCTGTCATGTCTTGTGCGATTGCGAGTCCAGCGGCCGCGGACACCATTACCAGAGGCTTCAGCAAAGTGGTATGAGTATGTTCTGCGTCAGGCAACAGATTAAGAGTTGGTTGAGGAGTTGTAGAAGTTGAAGGCCGAGTCGGAAGATGTGTCGTCTTTCTAGCAGTGAAGATTACAATTTGATCTTCCAAGTCTGGTGAGCGTTGTAGCTCTGCTATCAGTTGTTATAGACGTTTCAGGTCGACTTTGTAGTGAGGTGGATAAGAAGGCGTCGTATACCACCTTCTCAATACAGCTCTTGGTATGACGCGGCCGACAGGGGTGCAGAATGATCGACGAATTGGAAGTTCGGAGTTGCCTAAGCGGCAGAGCAGATCCTCTCAATCCTTCACTTTTCACCATGACTACAGTAAGTAGTACACCAAGGGCATGATAAATGATCCAACATGATCCGCTCTCCCCGAGCGATCTCTCRCATGCAGAGACAGAAGCTCACTTAATCCAACAATCATTATTATTCTTCAAACTCAACAACGAGCAAGACTGGAATGGCCTTTTGACAGCAGACTGGATTTCGCCTAGATTCACTGCTGCAATCGAGTACCGGGCGAATCAAGAACGCGAAGTGGGGCTTCGGCAGCACATTGAACAATACAGCCAATTCATCAAGGAGAATCCCAGTTATGTCGAAACCACTTCTGGGATTGATGCCAAGATCGACGAGCACGGCAGGACGGCGCAGGTCTTCATCAATCATGTTGGGAACAGTGACTCTGGAGTTGGCATCCCTGGTGTCGCTGTCTTTTCATGGTGGAAAGCGAAGGGTGGAAAGTGGATTTTTGCGAAGATGGTAGACATTCGGGGTTTTGGATCTTAAGCCACGACTAGATGTGACTGGAGGAGGGACAGTCAGCAGCCGGTGATGACTTGATGAGAGACCTCACAAGCTTCATGTTGCCACAACGAGGCTGTTGGTGGGAGGAAAGTGAACGAGTAAGGTGGCCGTACGATGAGCTCTAAGCTGCCCTCACCATTCCTGCTTCGACTTGACCTATATCAACGACACCACTGCTACGAGCGATCCATCTATCCATCACAACAYCGAACTGCCTCTCTGGACCCTCCCGACAGCCACATTCCTCCTTCTCCAGTCTCGCCGCACCCTTATTGAATGTCGACGCCAGGTGGACAAATCACACCCTTCAGCTTCATATTGAGCACGAATCTCATGGGGTTCGAGATACCAAAGCTCGGCCCCAACACCACCGTGATATGTTGCGCGTACCGCCTGACTCTCTTAAACCAGACGCAGGATCCATTACTGGTGTTGAAGTAAAACCTGTTKTACCCATAAAAGATGGAAAGGGTTTCGTCGCGGATGGTCTTGCTGACACGCGTGAGGGGAGGTTGCGATAGCTTGGTCAGACAGGGACTGCAGCAACAGTCGACGTACAAGCATCCATGGCGGGTCTCGTAGCCTGAGATGAAGACGGATTCTTTTGCTGAAATGGGTGGTGGGTTGGGAATGAATTCTGTGGGTACGAGCGATTCACCTGTGGATATTGTCAGTGGATGGATCCGGAGAAGTACAGTTGCGCGGCGCCGTCGCAGAGTAAGGTACGGAAGGCACTCCGCATGGCCGACTTACATAAACTGTAGATTTCATTCCGGATCTCCGGCGGAAGGTCCATGAAAGTCTTGACCATTGCGCTGGATGGACGATATGTCGGAGAGGTGGTGGAGATGTTTCGGGAGTGAGCAGAGGTGAGGTGCAATAAATGATGGAGGTGGAGGTGGAGGTGGATGAGCAGAAGTGAGTTGCAAGAAGTTGGTAGAGGTGGAAGATTGCGGAAGGGGAATTTTCACCACGGAACCAAGCAAGAACGGAGCGAATATGTGAGTAGCACCTTCCATTTTCATTCCCACATCTCATGACGATCTCTGAGACTAGCAAACTCTCCGCTGTTCCTTCCACGATTGTATCGAGCGACAATCGGTATCGAACATTTTGAACATCAGATCAATCGTTTCCGAGATCCGGCCAGCATTTCAGCTCATCACTCATAATGCACTCTCCTTCTTCTCGCGGCCACGATTCCATTGAATCAGATAAGCATTCCACCTGATGTCCCGCTGGAACTGTTCATACTCTGGATAGGCCTGTGGTGGTAGCGGGGTCCTGTGTAGAACAGCCTCGCGTCGGCCACTGCACTGCGCTCTTCCCTCTCCGTCTTCATCTCCTGCTTGTTGGTCAGCATGGTCGATTTAGCTCATGATCAGGAAGATTACTTGCCTCGTATTCTTCTGTCTCGTCTTCATACTCTGCATCCTCCTCATCTCCCTCGTCYTCATACTCTGCATCTTCCTCGTCTCCCTCGTCTTCTTCCTCATCCTCCTCCTCGTCTTCTTCCTCATCCTCCTCCTCCTCTTCTTCCTCMTCCTCCTCCTCCTCCTCATCTTCCTCCTCCTCCTCTTCTTCTTCCTCCTCCTCCTCCTCCTCAACGTCGCTATTCCATTCATCCTCAAACTCATAATCCTCACCCGGATCTTGATTCTCCTTATCCCCACCCATCGTGATCCTCAAGTACTTCACCCTCGCCGCCTTATCCGGCTTAAGACGAAACCCCTCTTCACAAACCACCCCCACACCCAGACACCGCACCGTGCGCCTCACAGCAACGTCATCAAAATCCAACGCAAACAAAATACTCCCCTCCAAAAGCAAACGAGCGCGCTGGGAAAAAATCCACCTCATGACATACCTATGACTGAGCTCTCCACTCTGCGTTCCAAAGAAGCGCGTAATGTAAAACTTTGCATTGCCAAAGTACACCCGGAGAGTCTCCTTACGGAGCACACGGTTGACGCGAGTGATGGCGGGTTGTGGGAGGTACTTGCCTGAGGTATCGAAGATGATGCGACCGTATTGGACGCGAGTGAAGGCGTGCTGCCAATGCTCGGGGTGCTCTTGGGGGTTGTCGATGGGCACGAAATGGTTCGCTTTGGGGTAGTGTAGGGTTGGCACCAGCGACTCGGTCAGTAACCAGATTTTGGTTCGAATTTCTGGCGGAATCGTCATGAGGCAGGTGCGGAGTCCTCGGTGTGAAGGGTGAGTCCAGGTGGACTTGTTTGCGATGAAGCGCTGATGATAGGAAGACATTCTGCGTGTGTCAGTTTTAGGCCTCATTCATCGAGCCACGGGCGCTCTTCCATCGCTTCTTCTGAGATTTTAGACGGCGCTCGAGGCTACTGACCTTGATGGAGGAGGCATGGTAGATGGAATCGGTGCTGCTTTGATGGATGGAGTGATGCGACGAGGAAGAGAGAAAGAAGAAAGCGGTCTCAGTTTGCGTCTAGGCTTCAGTCCAATCCAGTGCTCTTCACAACTTCATTCACATCAATGGATCTGCACAAATCTGCTGGCCGTAGTTACATATGGCAGGTTGAGTATACACAAGCGAACCATTCATGATGGGAAGATAGCAGGAACAGCGCATTCGTCGCGACATATGGATGAGAGTTCCATTCCTGTCTCGGCTTCCTCTTTGAAGTTCCTAAGATCCACTCGCCATTTGAAGCCTCACCAAGGAAATCGTGTAGAGAGCATTGGGTGTGCATGTGGCATGATGATGATACTCCCATCCTCCGGTGGCTTCTGTTCAGCCGTTCCCATAGTACGCTTTATAAAGGTAGAGAGATATAGAAGAGACAGAGAGACATAGAAGAGACAGAGAGACACAGAAGAGACACAGAGACATAGAAGAGACGCAGAGACATGAAAGAGACACAGAGACATAGAAGAGACACAGAGACATAGAAGAGGCATAAATGCATAGAAATGTTGCGTTGATTAATACCCAGCCATGGATATATGACCCAAGCCATACCAACAACATCTGCATCTAAACATGCATAATCCACGACAAGCGCCTGGCTTTTAAAAAGTTATCTCCCAAATCTCTCCGACATGGTAGCGCGTGTGAGACCACCGAGCAAGTATCTGCATGGATGGATCCACAACCTCGAGGCCAATCATTGCCAGCTCACTCATACTCATCATACTCGTCATCCTCCATCGGAGCATATACCTCACCAAACTCATCCAACTCCGGCTCCACATCTGGTTCCTCAATAGCAGCGCCTTTTTTGATGGAATCCCATGGGTTTTCGTCCATGTCTTCGACAAAGTCGTCATCATCATTGGTGTCCTCGTCAGCTCCATCATCATCAGCGCCCTCCTCGGCTCCAGCTTGAGTATCTTCCTCAACAGGTCTCGGCCCGGATGCCTCAGCCTCGGCCTCAGCATCGGCCTCACCTTCTCCCGGTGCAGGCGTAGCTGATGGCTGTCTGCTTTCAACCGGTGTCTGCGAAGTACTTCTATCCTCGGGGGTAGCACTACCACGCGCTGGGGTCTCTCGGCCGTAGATGCGCTGCAGCACGCTGAAGTCGACATGTAATGACTTTTGTGGTGCGCGCTTCTCCAGCATCGCTTTGGCGGCGTCTTCAGGCGTCTCTACAGGCGTCGATGCTTCCGTCAAGACAGTACCATCACCCATCCTGCTGTGCTTTTTGCGTTTCTTCCCATTCTTGAGGAGCTTGCCAGACTTGCGTTTGTTGGTAGTTGTGCTCGCAACCTTGGCCAGTAACTCTTTCTCTGCTTGCTTACGTAGCCAGTCTTCGTTATGTGCAACCCAGATCTGCTCCTTGATTTTGGTCTCCGCCTCACTTAAGAGGCAATTCTCGACTTCGGGATCATTCTCGAATTCAGCTTCCAGTTGCTCGGCGGTCAGGATCTCACCAGGATTCCACTGTGTAGGTTCGCCGAAGACGTTTTGGCCCGCGGCTTCTCGTCGCTCCTTGTTGTTCTGTGCATCGACCTTTTGTTGCTCACTGGCCAGGACCCGCGCTCTTCTCTGTTGCAAGAGGATGCGTTGTTCGTTTTCGGCTTCTTCCTTGGCTTTCTCGACCTCGGTCTTTAGTTCTTGAACTTGACCGTTCTCAAGAGCGGCCTGGATTTGCATTTCCAGGTAGTTTTCTTCCGCCAGTTCTTCTTCACAAATGACAATTTCGGGAGGCTTGTCCGCCTTTTTCGGTCTACCACGACCGCGTTTAGGCGTTTCCTCCTTTTCTTCAAGCGCTGGGTCTATCACGGGAACAGGAAGAGCTGGGATCGCAAAGCCGTCAGCATCGAATCGAGGCATTTGGAAGACGTCCGAGGCAGCGGTCTTTTGGCGTTTAGATGGCGAGGCCAGGTCTTTTGCGCTTTTTCGCTTGGCTGGCGCCTTCTCGACGGGTGCTGCAACATCATTCGCCTGCTCGGATTGTGAAGCGTTGGGTGTAGGCTCAGGTGTAGTTGTGACGGGGTTCACGACCATAGGGGCTGTCGGTGGTATTTGCTGAGTTGCTGGCGGCGTGGGTAGAGGGAACGGGGGTTCGGATGTTGCTCCCACTGAAGGAGACCGGGAGGAGGCGTCCGTGACATCGTCTGGTATTTCAATGATGGTGCGAGGTTGAGAAGCGCCGAGCTGAGATTCTCGCTCCAAAGTTGCCCGCTCTTCCAACATACGCATGTGCTCTTGACGCTTTTGACGTCTTTTCTCCATGATCTTCTCCATGTGCTCAGAAGCGTACAGGGATGGTGGGTCTTCTTGAGTAGTGATCCGGTTTCCAAGCTCCCGGAAGAGTTCAACTGTGAGGCCAGAAGATCTGGTTTTGCGGAACTCTGCAATACGCTTGGCGATTGTGACATCTGCAACTTTCGAGACGTAGACGACCTCCCTCACACTTCTCTGAAAGTTGTTCATGCGTGCTGCGAGGATGATGCACGCTCCACACAAGCCTGCAGGATGACGACCCGAAACGATCCAATCGCGGTTCATACGCCGGATGATTCGAAGCGCATCTTCTGCCACAGTCGACGTCTTATTGCCGAACTGGAGTTTTTCGCAGTACTTGTGGATCAGAGGCTCCAGCTCGACGAGATTTTGATGGCCGACGCTTTCGTTGTTGAGATAGAGTTCCTTGCATAAAGATCTGTACACTTCTCCCAACCTGAAGACGTTGAGTCCCTGTTGCTCGGCAATGTCCATGAGAAGGATGTCGTTGGACGTCTGGCGTCGACAGGCGGCATAGAGACAGGCGGAGATGACTTCGCTGGTCTTGCGGCCGGCGGAAAAGTTGATGTTGGCGGCGAGGGTCCAGATCTGGTTGGCCTGCATGGAGACATTGTCGGTGATGCCGAGTTTTGGACAAAGAGCCTCGAGGTTGCGACGACCGGCGTTTTGGATGTCTGCAAGGCTGTTCCTCTCACCCCCACCAACTTTGCGGTAGGCTCCCGCTCCCAGAGTACGCGCATGGCGCGAGTTGTCGGCGACGGTGCCACCTTGGACGGTTGAGCGACCACCCTGCTGTTCCTYAAAGGTGACTTCGGCAACAATGTTGGACTCGTCGATTTGAACATAACAATTCTTGCAAATGGTGCTCCCTTCATCCACCACGAATTCGGTACTGCCACAACCGGGACATTTCTTCACCGCGGCTTCTTGTTTGCGCGGTGGTGGTTGTCGAGGCACTCGGCTTCCTCCTGGTCTGGTCAAGCCTCCCAGTCGCGGGCGTCTTGGCGGAGGAGGCATTGCTGTACCTAAATCGCATGTGAAATGTGCCGGCGTGGTGATGTCGGAGTGTGGTGAGTTGGAATTCGGAATTTTGGATGACTCGGCAAGAGAGCGGGGTTCCAATCTGAAAGCGGCTGGCTGGAAATTTGGCTTAGTGGTCGAGTGGCACGAACTGGTCAAGCTAGGTAAGGTAGAGTGAAAACAATCAATCACGTTTTTATTGCCATTGAAGTGTTGCCTGTCGTGAGAGTCACATCGTTGATGAAAACTCAGCCTGACCTGTGTTATTGGTGGATTCTATGAATGAGTCCAGCTATCGAGTTCATCGGTGCACGTGAAATATTGCACTGGACAATAAGAATGAATTCATTTGACCATCTTTGCGAATCCAACAAGACTTGAACCCGTGCCTGCGAAGAAAGCGGAAAGCTATCACATAGAGGAGCAATCCACAGCGCAATCTCTCTACAATTGAACATATTTGGTATCATAGATGGCTTCTACTTCTGCCAAGAGCGGGGAGATGGGGGGATCCATCACCATCATTGCATGAACCTGCTCCGGCAGCATGCATGTCGCCCGAGGACACACCAATGCGGTCAACTGTGCTGGTTTAAAGAACAATGTTATGGACGGAGCGGTGTGCTTCATTAATAAGATGCTTCATCCAATATTTCATCTAGTCCAATCGATTGGCATGTAGGAGATGACGCAGATTTGGTCCAGACCGAGCAGCTCAATTTTACGACCCCTCCATTCCGACTCACAACATCTACCAGCTCTCCATTGCCATAGCCATTGACTCTTCAAGGCCACTCACAAAAAGTCTCTGCTTGTCCAAATCCTTCTCGCACCTTCAAACATTGGGTGAGTATCCTGTCACACTCTTCGGCCCGTATTGCTCAACAGTTCAGCTGCTCCGAAATCGCTAAACATAAAGTAGCTGACGGACTGACATCACAGTCTCGTTCAGTAGAGAAATTATTCTTCTCACCGCACTTCATCCTCCCAACACACACACATTGACACACACAAAATCACCCTCCACCATGGCCATCCAAGATCAATCCGACGACGTTCGCGTACTGGGTCAAGACCCATTGATCCCTCCCCAACTCCTCACATCCGAGATCCCCGCACCCGCCAATGCCCTGCCCACCGTCCTTCGCGGACGGAAAGAGGCAGTAGAGATCATCAAGCAGCGCGATGACCGTCTTCTTGTCATGGTCGGACCCTGCTCGCTCCACGACCCAGCTACCGCTGTGGAATACTGCTCGCGACTGGTCCAGCTCGCGGACAAGCTCAAAGATGACATTTGCATCATCATGCGCGCCTACCTCGAGAAGCCGCGCACCACGGTGGGCTKGAAGGGTCTGATCAACGACCCGGATATCGACGAGAGCTACCAGATCAACAAGGGTCTCCGAGTCAGTAGACAGCTGTTCTGCGATCTCACCGGCCAGGGAATGCCAATTGCGAGCGAAATGCTGGATACCATCTCCCCTCAATTCCTTGCGGATCTCATCTCTCTCGGAGCGATTGGTGCTAGGACCACGGAATCGCAGCTCCACCGTGAGCTCGCCTCGGGTCTTTCCTTCCCCATGGGCTTCAAGAACGGTACAGATGGGAGCTTGACGGTTGCGGTGGATGCCATTGGTGCTGCTGCGGCGAAGCACCACTTCATGGGTGTGACCAAGCAAGGTCTGGCGGCCATCACAAAGACTGCGGGCAACCCAGACTGCTTCGTCATTCTCCGAGGAGGAACCAAGGGCACCAACTTCGACCGTGATAGCGTCAAGGCAACGAGGGAGGCTCTGCGGAAGAAGAACTTGGATGAAGTCATGATGATTGACTGCTCGCACGGTATGTACATGCTGAGGAGGGATTGGATGAGAAGAGATTGGATTCGAATATCGACTGACACTTCATAGGCAACTCCCAAAAGGACCACAAGAACCAGCCCAAGGTCGCACAGGTTATTGGCGATCAAATTCGTGAGGGCGAGACCGGCATTGTTGGTGTCATGATCGAGTCGCACATTCACGAGGGTAACCAAAAGGTACCTGCAACCGGCGGTTTGGCGGCGCTCAAGAAGGGCGTCTCCATCACAGATGCATGCATCGACTGGGATACGACAGTCGAGGTACTGGAGCAGCTGGCCGATGCGATCCGCACAAGACGGCAGATCAACTCCAAGAAGGCCAACGGCGCTCAATAAGGTGAGAAGGGTGATATCTCTGTGCCTGTAGCTGTCCCGGTTCTTCATTGGTACTGCATGGGACCACCTCCGAATGCCGTCCATCCAGTTTGGTTTCTCCACACCATGTCGGCTTCTTCCTGGACCTAGATCGAAAAGATACAGTAGAGAGTTGTTCGTGCGAGTCAAAATGACGGAGGCGCATTCCGGCGTGGTAGATCGCTGTACGCGTGCGCATCGGTGCTGCCTGGAAATGAAAAGGCTCTTGATTCGGGCGGGTGCGGGCGTCAATGGATGAGGGTATTGTCAAAAGTTTGACCGGGTTGATTGTTTCCAATCGCATAGCTTTATACCACTCTCATAATGCGTTCTGATCGTGGCAATTCATGGGTATCCTATGCTGTAGCGAGAGGTCGCCGAGTCGATATCCTGACCCCCCCGTCTCTTTCAACCCGCCCAAAAACGCTGTATCAAGCTGTTCATCACATTCCCATCCTTTGCGCCACATCATTCATATCCCCCCCTCCCACCATCCCTTCCCCATCAAACAGGTAAATCCTTATGCCTCCTCTCCTCAGCCCCAGCCTTATCGCCCGCAGCATTCAACCCTTTAGCCAAAAACGGCCCGACAACAGGAACATTATACGCAAACCCCGCAATCGTCTTAAAGAACTCCCCAAATAAAATAAACATCCCATAACACTGCACCACAAACCCTACCAACGGCCAGCGCAACAAAATGAGTAAAATCCCCGACCAAAAAGCTAATGTGCCTTTCCATTTTTGTTTCCGCGCGAAGAAGATGAAGGTGCGTTGAGGACCGAGCAGGAGGGTTATGCCGATTAGGAAGAGGATGTTTCCCATTGCTAGGAGGGCGCGGTCGAAGAGGAGGATTAGGCCGAAGAGGAGGAAGAAGCCGCCGCCTGTGCAGAAGGCTACGCCGATTTCTGTGGTAGGATCGTGTCATTAGTATGAGGGAGAGGTTTTCAAGGTTGTGGTTGTTGGTCTTGGTATTGTATGTCGAGAAGGAGTGAGAAGACGTACTTTGGCTGTCTGAGAGCCATAAGGTGGGCATGTTGGCGGTGGTTTTCTCTCAGAAGGGCGGAATTCGAGGTGACGGTAGGTGGTTTGGTTTATATCGGTGATGCGGCCGTTGTTGTCATCAGTTCGTTCGATCAAAGGTGCGGTTGCCTGGCTGGATACTATTGTTGGGGGATGATAGCTGTCCCCGTGTGTCCAGGATGAGATGTTCGTGTCCAATGCGCGTCTTTACTCCACTAGTTCMCACGTTTCGCGACCAATGCCAAGGCCCCGGGAAATCATCACATCTCTATCCACGACGACATCTGATACTCGAGGATCCACCTCAGCTTGTAAGTAGGTACCAGCTATATTGCTAAACGCTCGTATAACACCGCGCGTAAATTCATCGGCAGCCCGATCGCAGTCAGCACGAGGGCAAAGCTATAGTGCAAAACCGCAGCCATCCAACGCTCTCCAGATGMCATCACCTCCAGCTCCAGTTCTGTACTCCTACCAAGCACATGCCCATACGCATCTAAGCCCACAACATGAACACCCTCCAAATCCCGCACCGTCCAATCCTCAGGGACGGATATCCGTGTTTCAAACCCCTCCCTCTCCACCTCCACAACCATCTTCCCATCTTTCACCAACCCCCACCCAACAACCTCCGTCGCCCCATTCCAACTCATAAAAACTTCATTCCCCTCTCTCACCGCACTCGGCTTCGTCTTGGGTCTTCCGACCCACTCCTTCTTCAACACCCTATAACTCAACACATCTTCCTCTTCGGCTCCGAATCGAGATTCCGGCCCGAAATGCACATCGCACAGGAGAGAACCCGTGTCAGCGGAGAATTCCGACCAGCCGGGGTTGACGCCGTATCCAAGTAAGACATGTCCATTGTCCGGGAGCATCTGCATGGAACCGCGGGACTCACTGCCGATGCGGTGTGGAGAAGCATAGGAGTGTAGAACGCGAGCAGTCATGGAGTCGAGGTCAAGGGATATCATTTTGCCGTTGGTATGGGCGATCGGGGAATTAGGAATTACGCCATTGTCGAAGAGGGTGATGATGGTTACGTTCTTGGAATGATCATGATGAGGATGATGATGATGGTGCTGGAGAAAACGGGCGTGGTGCTGGAAACTTATATTCGTTGCTGCAATCATAGCAGCAGCATCATCATAACCATCATCGTCATTCGGCGACAGATTCTTGTTGAACATGTTCTCCTTCCCACCGAGTTTCCAGATGAAATCTCCCGTCTGGCCGGACACGAGTCCGACCAAACTCGTATGTCGGGCGGAGATGAGATAGTTACCTGTGCTGCTATCTTTCTGCACGCTATTGATATGGAATGGATCCCACGGGTGGTTGGCCGCTCCTTCGGTTCCTTTGGGCCAAACCATGGAGCTCGTGATGTTGTAGTGATCTGCGTAGTTCCAGGAGAAGAGGATTTCACCAGAGATTGGATCGAGTTCTTGGAAGCCCACGTCTCGCATGAATCCCTTCCGATGTCCATTGACAGGTGTGAGGTCATAGGGAATCAATTTGTTGGTTGTCAGAATCACGGAATTGTCATCTGTGATTGCGAATTCTGTCCCATCTCCTCCCAAGCCATTCTGTGGGTGGATGGAGAAGACTTCTTGATACGAGGAGTCCAGCTGTGGAAAACGCCGAGCTATCAACATTGTTGACCATCCCAAAGCAAGGCATGACTTGGGGATCGTTATCTTACCATATGGCAAATCACCCGTGTGCCCCACCCCTGCCAATCACAGAATGTAAGATGAGGCTCACCGTGCCACATTTGCACATCCAGACCCCAATTGTCTCCCGATGGCATGCTCCAGATCAAATTGCCATAATTGTCCAGAATCATAGGTGCTGAAGCAGGCACAGACGACCCGATGATGCTGAGAAGGACAAACCGACCATCATCGCAGCTGGGATCGTATTGACGAATGTTAAGGAGGGGGCCTAGGATGTGGGACGAGTGGWAGGATTGATGAGGCCATTTCCCATGAGCTGCTTGTTCGTAAGATGGGGATCTGAAGAATGGTCCGGTGTCTGCGAGTGCCAACGAGGTGAGAAGTAAGGCTGCTAGCGCATGGAAAGCCATCATCTGGTTACCAAGAGTGAGGAAAGGTCATCTCAAGTTTCTCGCTGTAGGAAAATCTATTGAAGTTGAATGTAAGCGTAACGACGCGCCCCTCAGCGGCGCATGGGACCGAACTACGCGAGCCGCATATGTCGAGATATCCTGCCGGCATTGTTATCGTCTTGGCAAGGTGCGCTAGCGGACGCGGAAGGCGTGATGACCATATAAACTCTGCTACGGACTGCCTGATACGGTATTCTGTCTTTCTCATAGCGTTTTGAACGCCCAGATACTATTATACTTGATTAGAGGTAATTCGGATGGAACATACGCGTCCGGTAGCACGTRTTCACTTCGCTAGCTTGATTCGAATAAAGCCGAGAAAGTTACCGAGCGGGCTAAGTTGGGCATCTCACAACATCATGAGTATATCATCTTTCACCTACAACTGCTTGACTTTTTCACCGCCAGCAACGTCTACGCCATGGGTAGCCAGGCTCTTCCACGAGTCCGCAAGTTCTCGGTCGATACGGACCCCCACCTGGTATGGCAGACGGTACAAACGGAAGGCGCAGCTATCATCTCGAGAACAGTCCCTCTGGATGTCGTATCTAGATTCAATGGTGAAATGGAAGCACAAGTCGAGTCCTGGGAAGACGCAGAAGCTAATGGGTGGAGGAACTTCTCACCACACACCAAATTCACCAATGGTCTCGTATGGAGAAGTCATACGTACCGACAGGACATCCTCAACAACGAGGTGATTCATCGACTCTGTAAGTCGGTCTTTGAGCAGAACGGGGACTACTGGATGGTCAGCAACGTATTCCGACAAACGCAGTCTGGACACCCGGCCCAACCTTGGCATAGGGACGCCAACGGCTGGCCACTGGTCAAGTTTCAGCAGCCTGAAGCACCCCCTTTGACCATTACCATCATCATTCCTACCACGCCCTTCACGGAAGAGAATGGAGCCACAAGAATCTACTTTGGCAGCCAGCACTGGAAAGGCATCGACCCGCCGGGTGGAAACGCCCAATACACCCTGGCGGAAGCTGATCCCGGAGACATGCTCCTCATGCGTGAAGGTATGGTACACAGCGGTGGAGCACACACCAAGCAGGCGCCAGACGATCGTGGGATGCTATTGTTGAGCATTGCTAGTTGCCAACTGAGCATGTTCGAGAGCCCACTTGGCTTGGAAAAGGCGCTAGTGGAGAGCCTCACCCCTCTGGCCCAACGAATGGTTGGCTGGCGAACCGCTTATCCCCTCAACAGTCCTGTTGGCATCAATACATATCGTTCAAAGCCCATTGAGGAGAAGTTGGGCCTCTAAGGCAAACATTCACCCTAAGACACGACACAGYCATGTGTGATAAGCATCCAGCGTCGGCTATGCCATCAGAGCCACCGAGGCCGGTCTTCTTCCTTACGCACCCGCGGACGGCATCAAACTTGGTCATGTACATGCTCCAAGATCATCCCGGCCTTGGAACGATCGAATATCCTTTCATCGACACATACTACTTTGGACAAGAAGCGTTGACTCTTAGGGAGAATGCACGCATGAACGATGCAAAGAAACGCATGCAAACCGACAATGCTCTTTTTCAAACCTATCAAGAGGCTTTCGATCAGCWAGAGAAATCCATCGACAATGTACAAGCAATGGTAGATGCTCCATTCCGTATGCACCCTCACCATTCTGCTCTGACGTTTCTCCCATGCATAGCACAAGACACCATTCATTAAAGAGCACGTCCTCGCCATTATGAAACCAGAGGTCATTCGCACACATCTCAAGCGTGAGCTTCAAGCCCGACAGTCCACACCGCGGGTCGTAGAACGATCCGGTGTTACGGAAGATAATGCTAGCGAACCTGCTGGTGTGGCGCACGATGATGACAATCCCACGATTCTACCAACAAGATTTCTGCATCGCACGAAGCCAGTGTTCCTCATTCGTCATCCGGCGCTGGTCTTTGAGTCCATATTGCGAGTCAGTGGACCAACAATGGGAGCTCGCGTGGAGGACGACGAATTTGCTGGCGTCGAAGCGAGCTTTCGCTGGACGAGACTTGTCTACGACTGGTTCACGACCTTCTCCAATGCAGATGCTGCAGGTCCGGTGATATTGAACGCTTACGACGTGGTTCAGAATCCTGCAGTGGTCTCAAGCTTATGCGAGCAGCTGCAGCTCGATCCGGCCGGAGTTCGTTTCGAGTGGGACGCTGTAGCTCCCTCCGCCATCGAAGCTCAAACTCCGTACCACCAGTTTTTCTTCTCAACGATAGAAGGCTCGAGCGGTGTGCGTCGGGACATGCATTTTCCTAATGAGGAGGAGGGCATCGATCTAGATGCCATGGCAGCAAAGTGGGAGCAAACGTATGGCGGGATGGTTTCTGCTGCGTTGAAAATATTAGTGGAGGCCGCGATGCCTGATTATCTGTATTTGAGCAGTCTTGCATTCCGCGTACGATAGGTGGCTCGTGATACGCCAAGGATAGGTTCTGGAAGGTTGGGATCGTCTGAAAGGTAATCAATTTCCAACACGCACGCTTGAAATATAGCCGACCGGCCACAACTTTCAGCGTCAATTCCATCAAAATTTGATGCAACCCCTATCAACCTAACCTTGATTCACGACAAGGTTTCGACAATATCTCCCCAGCGGTATTGCAAAATGTCCTAAAAAAGACCAATATCTTTTTCGAATAGTAACCAGGACATCAGCCGAATCTCAAGTGTATGTCGTTACCGTCGCCTAAAGGCTCCAAACTCGCGATTTCTCATCAAAAACACAGGCCCGCGTTGTTGTCAGCCGGTTTGCGAGCCCCTGTGCAAGGAAAAATCCGGAACTGGCATGACTGTGGGCTTCAATCACACAACTTGACCAGAGATTTCGGTCACAACATCTGGCTGAGCCTGGGCGATCTGCGAAGATGGTGCTCAGTTCCTCTATACTTTCCAAGTCTGTCTACTTGTCGAGCATGGAATCCTTGTACGGAGTCGTCCTCATCACCCTAGCGGTCGTTGGTTGGAGCTGGTATCGAGCGAATAATCCCAGAGCACTGCCTAGCCTACAGGTCAAGAACTTGTGGACGAGGTATGGAGTCTCTTATATCTGTTAACGATCACTTTCAACAATGCTGACATGAGGACCCTCGTTTCAACACAGCGCTGAAATCTTGGACAATTTCACACCACGATCCTGGCAGCGAAACGCCTATGATGCCTTCAGTGCGCGACTTCTCATGCAACAACCTCAGATTTTTCCATGCGTATATGCGGCCAAAGGCTTCAAGGCCCGCGAACATCGATTCTGCTTCATCGACCCTTTGATGTTCGAACCAGGCTCCAGCAAACTAGACGCTCAGTATACTTCTCTAAGCGCCTCCTTTGACGAATACGCCCAGAATTGGCGAAACATGGGTCCCATGACTTCACTTGTTGTCCTAACCCCTTTGTCGTCTCAGGAGGTCACACAGAAGACACGGACATTACGAGACGACCGCAGCTTGTTCTGGCAGCTTTTACGAGAAATCAGTGATCGTGACCCATCAGAATGGCCCGAACATGTCCCTGAAGAAATCAAGGAGGGTGCGTGGACGCTGAGGTTTCGGGGAGAGGCCTTTGTGGCGCTTGCGCTGAGCCCTCAATACGAGAAGCGACAGTCACGATTCTGTGCGGGATTTGTGCTTGCTTTTCAGCCCATTGCAATCTTCAAGGCTCTGTCTTCAAGTCCGGAAAAGTGGTCTGATGCGACCGGCAAGGTGCGCGCTCTCACGGATAGCTTGGATCATGTGCCTTACAGCGAAGATGTGATTGCAGTAGGAAACGGCGAGAAGTCAGTGGGCGCCATGTTCTTCTTGAGTGACGATGAACAGTCTTGGGGTAGTACATATAGCAAAATTCGCAGTGGATGATACCGGAGTGCAGCACGTCTAGTGTCTATTGCTGGAGGGAATCCCACGGTAGCTGTATGAATACATGCAACAGGATGGAATCAGCAGATGAACATTGAACGAGCAGGTCGCTTGTTCGATCCACGGTCCAGAAGCGTGTCCGTATCTTCAACTCATTAAAGTTGTGGAGTCGTGACCTCTATCTCGACCCGATGCGTACAGCAGGKGTTGGACTGAATTCCCCTAACGACTAACTTCCCCTACTGACCGGCTCTTCCTACTGACCAACGTTCCCCACAATGACGTTTAGATCATGAAGCTATTTACTTGTTCAATGCGGTCCGAACGAACTGAACAGCCGTTCAGTCTCCTCCCTGCGTCGAATCATTTCGCCCCAATCCCACTCTAACCACTCCTTAACCACAAGCCTGGCATCATGGCATCGCAAGATCTGCGCTCCCTCGCAGATCGTATCAGCAACCTGGTCGATGGCGCCAATACGGTCGACGGTCTTCGTCAGCTTCGATATGCAACTCGAGAGCTCGAGCAACAATGCATGCCTTCAGCAGAGATAGAGTACGACTTCCATTATCAACCCCACCGAAATGCATGCGTCCGCATCGCGATTGAGTTGGGAATCTTTGATCTTCTGGGCGAGGAGCCCACAATGCCCGTGGATCTGGCTTCGAAGGTGGAGCTGGCAAGACCTGAGTTCACTCTACGCATCATCCGCGTTCTGTGCGCCTCTGGTGTTCTAGGCGAGCGAGAACTTCCTGTAGGCAAAGTTGTCGTGTATCACACTGCACYTTCGCGATTGTGGCGCCTCCAACCCACCAAGCAGGCCTATGCGAAGCATCAATGGGACAACACGGTGCAAACGCTATCATGTATCATACCATTCCTACGTGAGCGTGGGTTCTGCAGCCCACAGGATGCATTCAATTCACCTTTCGCTTACTTATTGGGAGAGAAAGACGCCGACTTCTTTTCATTGTTGCAACAGCACCCAGAAAGGCTTGCCTCGTTCAATCAAGGCATGACTGGAACAGCTACTTCGGTTACCTCCATATTCCCCTTTGACAGTCTACTCGATGTGTCCGACACTCCCGTCAGTCTCGTTGATGTCGGTGGTGGGAACGGCCACACTACTCAAGATATCATCACCGCCTGTCCGGGATTGAAGGGCAAAGTCGTTTTGCAAGACTTGTCTGGTATGCTCGAGCATACAGACAAGCTTCGAGTGGAGCGAAAAGTTGTCCAGATTCAGTCATACAACTTCCTCCGCGAAGTTCAGCCTGTGCGAGGTATGCTCTACATGTGAACCTTGTACAATCGACCGTTGGAAGCTAATAGTATAACCTGTCGTAGGCGCGGCCGCTTACCTCTACAAGTCAATCTTCCATGATTGGCCCGATGATAGCTGTCGCCAGATACTCAGAAATCTCGCACCTTCAGTACGCGGAAGCGACTCGCGACTCCTAATTTGCGATCTTGTCATTGATCGTATGGCCTCAAAGCATCCTCACAAAGTGATGCGGGACATGAATATGATGATCATGGCTGGCAGAGAAAGGACCGCTGACGAGTGGGACGTCCTGCTCCGAACTGAGGGCTTCGAGATTGTGAAGATTTGGGGTGTAGAGAATTCTGGGAACAGCATTGTCGAAGCTAGATTGGTCTCTTAAATCTATTCAGTCTTGAAATTATTGATGGCATTGCTGTCTTGAGCCCTTTTTCGCTATGAATCCAATGCCAAGTTTTGAGTAGCCTCCGCTGCAGCAAGAGCATTCCTGATTCGATCCAGCAGCTTGGAGGTCTCGTCCAACCCGACACTGATGCGCACGATGTGCGGGAATACTCCATGGGCCGCAGCAAATTCAAGCTCGCGAAAGTGAACGAGCTGTGAATAAGGAACTGCAAGTGTGAAGTTTGCACCAATGCTTGTCCCTTTGCAAACATCAAGAGCATCATAGAATGCCACGGCGGCTTGTGGTTYGTGGAATATGATGCTCAAAACATACCCGTATCCTCCAGTCGGACGACGGTATCTTTCGTATAGATGGCGTGTGGGAACCATTGTCGGATAATTCACCTGTGATACCAGAGCGTGCTTGGAAATAAGATTTGCGGCGGCCAGTGCACTTTGGTTGCAATAGCGGACGCGTTCTTCAAAGTCGACACAATTCGACGCTAAAACGCTCACGTCGGTTGGGAACATCACGTCCCCTCCTGTTGCCTTCAGGCGGGCAACGATGTGTGCATGGAAAGGTGACCGTGGGTTGACCATGACGCTTCCACCCATGACATTTGCTGCTCCGCTGAAGATCTTGGTCAGGCTTGTCATGGCAATGTCAACAAAAGGGATGATGTCCACGTTGATAAGCGTTCCCAGAGTTTCGTCGCATGCCACAACGAATTGGTACTGGTTGGCCAAGTGCCGGATTCGGTGCAGGTCTGGGGATGCCAGTTGTGGATTGCTGGGTAGCTCGCAGAACAGAACATCAATTCGCATGCCGTCCCGGAGCTTTTGCTCCAGATCGTCCAGGTCCGTATCAAGGCCTTTTCCATAGAGTATGACTTGGTCCCAGCCACTGCGCCCCACGCACTTGACGGTTCCGCCGTATGGCCATCTAGAAGAACCCCTTAGTTGGCTTTGCTATCGGATAGTCACCAGAGCTACTCACCCATATATCACAGCTGTTGACTTTCCCACGGAGTCACCGGGGACGAGAGACCGTGAAACTGCGAAGATTCCACAGAGCCCCTTTGAATAGAGAAATATGTCTGACGGAGTTATCCGCTCTTGAGACGGGTCATCTGAAACTGCACAGGCGGCTAGCACAGCCTTTACTTGAGCGAGTTCTCCAGCCCGAGTATCAAACGAGGGAAGCAGGATCGTGGTTCTAGAGCCAGCACAAAGCTCGTCAACTCTCGGACGTGTGCACAAGGACGAAACCTCAGATTGCGACTCGAGGTATTCGAAGTTCTCCAGGGCATACTGCGCATGTCGACTAGAAATGCCGTCACCCGTCTCACACCAAAATGCCATGGCTTCGGTGCTCAGCTCGGTGGCGTAAAGTACAACATGAAATGCTGCCCAGTGAAGTGCATCATCATGTTGTGCTTTCGACGAGTGAAAGAGAATGCGTGGGGACACGTAGTGCTTCGCATTGCCAATCTCCAAGCTTGCGATCAATCGCTGTGCTGCAGGCTTTGAGGGAAGAACCATGCAACCTGTGTTCCCGTCTTTCATACCAAGCCTTTGCAGCACCGCACTACTCAGACTTTGTATGATGGTGTTGACGAAAAGCCTGTAGGTCATGACATCAGTGGTGGATCTCGGGCAAACGATGATTGCTTCACCTTGGATATCCAGATGTCATTGTCTGCACGACCCATGGCTCTCGTCGTGACCAGCTCTCAATTGAATGCCACGTTGGAAGTGACGCACTCACAGCCTACGGCGCCATTAGTATGTGGTCTTCAAGGTACATCGTTGGTAGTGAGAAGCGGCTGACATGGTCATCTTTAGGTGGCTGAGAAGTCCCGATCGGTAGCGCATGCGGTGAAGTTGACCTCATTGTAAGGCAAAACAATACGAACAACGAGTGAGCCTGTTCTCACGATGAAGCCCTTCGACTGCCCAATATTAGTAGTAACTATACTCATAACAACAGTCAATCCAAACTAAGCCTTCGTCTCCAGACCGCTGATCTGTACCAGCAGCTGCCTACGCCACTGGAGTACAGCCTCTGGGGGCGTCGGAGATGGAAGCGGCACGAGGTGAGTATGGCTGTCCTTCGCGACCAGTTTCCAGTGCCTTTGCCCGACGTGGACAGTGCAATCACTGCTACCGTGAAGAACAGGCGATACGCCCAGCGCCGGGCTTACCTTCAATGCGCCGAGGCTGTATCCTTGCGACCAGTGGGTGGTTCGGTGAGCGGTCTCTTCCACAAGGTTCCCAACGGAGCTTATCAGCGAAGAGCGCTTTGGTGGAAGGTATAGCGTCTTGATGCATCGGAGAAATGACGTTCCTCCCTCAACGAGCTAGCACGAAGTCCGTAGCAGCCCGTCGCCGTTGCCAAACTACACCACTTGAAGACAGTCTAACGAATAGGATGTGTAGGATGAGCGGACCCGGGACGGAGTCAATGATGAACTTCCATGCAGCGGCGGGCCGGCTGGTGCGAGCGGCCCCGGTAAGGGAAGTAGGTGCCATGCAGATGCACCAGCACGCTACACCCTTTCTAGTGAAAAAACTCATCGCTAATCAATTCTGCTGTAAGTACAGTATGATACGACGGTCCGCTAGCGCCGCTTCCTAAGTGGTGCGCGTTCTAGCGGAGAGCACATTACGGCGGGGAGTCCGCTCGTCCGGGGAGCCCGATCTCTGCGGCTCATATCGCCGGGTCTCGGCGCGAGACAACCAGGCAGGTGGAAGCATCCATTGTACTCCACCGCGCTTGACGGAAGCGGTATATGCACTGGTAAAAATGATCGAGCCGCTGTAGCAGTGCCGCAGCCATTTTGCTGACCGCTTTGTAGGATTCATAGTACATGTAGTTAGGGAACTGTGATTATGCCTCGTAGACGAAGGAACTTGTAAGTGTGCAGATGTATCTGTATATCTTGAGCTAGCGGGCTTGGCATACCGGACCGCCCGGGCCGGCCCACTCACTGACGCACTAAATCAACCGTCGCACAATGAAAGGAGCCACCGATGCTATTGACATGTTTGAATGGACATGGAATGCATGTCATGCCCAACTCTTCGTACCATCGCGCTGTCCGCTTATTACTTGCCTCGACAATGACCCGAGATTCATCTAGGACCAGGACATTTAGCGCCAGCCACGGACTTGTCATGAACAGTGGAGTGTCCTTTGGCTCCTCGGGAATGTATGGATATGGGCGCAAATCCCAGTCGGATAGCACCGAGTGGTTTCGGAGAGCAGCTTCGGTAACTTTGTTAGGGTTGTAAACCAGCACATCTTGGCGGAGCGGCAGAATGGTTGCATCAATATGCATTGCACTCGGGTCGTTAACTTCTAGCATCTCCAGCCGATAACCATCGGGCAAGTATCGCCGGAGATACTCGGTGCCAGCCTGGTTGGTTACATGGCTGTATTGACCTAGTATCACCCGTCCAAAGCGCATGAAATCTGCCGCGTCGAATGCAGGACGGCTGTTGTTGATGACCCAAGGACCGCGCACCTCGGCCGTCGTGCAGCCGGCGCCGTCGTCGTCGAGGAGTGAGTCGGCGAAGCTCTCTGTAGGCCTGCGGACGATGCGGGCTTGAGGGTCCGATGAGACAAGTTCTTGGAGTATGGCTCCGTATGCCAACTCGATTTCTTTCGAACGACATGACCAGGCAAAACAAGCTTCGATYAAGACATTTCCAATGCTAATCAGTCCATCTCGAGGCATGGCACCAGTGTATCCTTCTTCAGCCAGCCAGTCGATGCCATGGGGAGGTCGATAAACAAGGACATTTTCCTGTTGTAATATCGCCGTAAGACAGTCTAATTCCGCTTCTGCCTTGTCGATGATGTTGCTAGGAAACGGAGATTAAGGCGTGAAACAATGAGCATGCTTGGCGGGCATCGTGGCCTCTATCATAGCTTTCGGTGCTGCTGGGAAGCATGCACGACCGGCGCGACCAACGATCACGGCTTTGAGAGGTGACCACTCATTATCGGCCTGTACTGAAGGCATGCTTGAGGGAGATTGCTGAGGTCCTGAGATGAACTGCGTCTTCGGCGGTGAGTACGATTCGATCCAGGCGTTGGAGCTGGTGCTGTTTCCCGTGCAGGGCCAGCGTTCAGGGTAAGTCGTTCTTATATGTGGATGGGGAGCAAGGCGTAAGTTGCTCAGTTGGGGGCCTCCAACGACTCGAGTATTGACAGAAAAGACCACGCCGGAATGTCAGTTCAAATCACGCCAACAGTCCTCATCAGCCAGTGGAGCTCGGCAGCTGTTTCCCACGGGCCACGAGTCAGTTGTCTTGTCCCCTCGCCTCCGGACATTTACAGCGCGATCCGTCTCACCCGCATGGCAAGCGCCTCGCAGGAAGTATGAATCTATGCTGGATCCACTGCCCCACCTATTGGAATCATCGACCTGGTAGCTGGTCCCTTTTTAGCCTTTGTAAGTCTCCCCATCAAGCCGCCCCTCGCTAATCCGGACTTGGTATACTTTAGAGTTGATTGAAGTGACCAGCATACGGACTAGCCCACACCAGTTGACGACATGCACTGCCATTGAAGTTTCACCGCTGCTCAGTGCACTTTCCTCATCGGTTGTAGCAATCGTCGTATGCCAACTCGTCMTCGTCGTCCARGTCTCTTCAATCGAATTCGCATTAGCATTTCTCGAAAGACATGGTGATGGAGCACTCGATGGAAAAAGGGAAAATGCTGCACACACAATTGACGACCGCATGGAAAAGATCTAGCAGAGCTGGCACGTCCAAAACATGGCGGAGCCTGTCCATACCCCTCACTATCCTCACGGCTGGTGTCAAGAAGCCTTCCTCCGCAAGCGAAACCGAATTTGTGGCCATCTTGGAGGCCCTGTGGGCAATTGTGCTGCGAGAACATACTGCACTCGCTGAAGTGTCTTATGGTCGTTTCACTGAGGATGGAAACGATGAAGATGCTTCCTGCATCTCCCTTGTGATCAGCACGGATGAATCGGCGGTCTCTCCCTCCCTGAGCTCGGTGGTGACAGCAAGACTAGATGGCGCACGAAGTCCATTTGTCACTCGAGATCGCGGCGAGGCTTCGCGCTGTGAAACGGCCTTTTTGATCACTCACACCGCTGACCGTGGTGCGTCTTTGCCGTCACTCGGGCAAGAAGGGCACAAAATCGTCATTCAGGTCGATGGTTCGACACCCGCAAATCCTTTGTCGGCAACATTTTGGTATCGATCGCCTGAAGTCAATGATATGGAGGCGCACAATCTTGCTAGCACTCTCAAGCAAGCTATGTACTGTCTGTCCTCGGAACCTCACAAAAGCATCAACGATCTTGTCCTTCTCAGTCCTGAGCATAAAGAGCAACTCCGAAAATGGATGCCGCGGATCGATTCGCCCCTTGACTCGGCTTCATCTGTGCTCGATATTCTCGGAGCATCAGTACAAATGTGTCCAGGAAAGCATGCCGTTGAGTCCTGGGACGAGTCTTGGACATATCACGAGCTCGAGAGAATATCGCAGTCTCTTGCCCTGCACCTGCGTGAGGCGGATGTTGAGTGTGGCGATGCGGTCCTGCTACTGACAGAAAAGTCAGCTTGGGCAGTTGCGTCAATAACAGCAATACTTATGGCCGGTGCCGTGTGCGTGCCTGTCGATATCCGTCAGCCACGAGAAAGATTACAACAAATTGTCGAATGTAGCTCTGCCAAGTTCATCTTGATAAGTGAATCTGAGGCCATGAAACGAGTCGAGTGGGGTGTGATGAAGTCACTTCAGATCATCCGTATTCCCGCTTCTCTCTCGGCCTTGCGCCCAACGACAAAAGCTCAGCTACCTGTTATCCTCCCAGGTATGACTGCTTTCAACTTCTTCACCAGTGGGAGCACTGGCGTACCAAAATGTGTTGCTCAGTCACATCAGGCACTTGCCATGACTGCGAAGCAAATCACAACAGCAATGCAGATGGAAGAAAGCTCCACAACATTCCAGTACTCGTCATACAGTTTCGACGTCAGCATCGGCGATATCTTTGCCACTTTTTCTGCAGGCGGATGCTTGTTTGTTCCTTCAGAACAGCAACGCCTTGATGAGCTTTCGAATGTGCTCAACACATCCCGAGCGTCTCACATTTGTATCACTTCAACGGTGCTCGCCAATCTCGTACCTGAAGAAGTCCCCCTTTTATCTAAGATTGTGGTTGGAGGAGAATCACCCACCAAAGAGCAGCTAAATGCATGGTATCCACGCATCTCTACGATATATGGCACCACCGAGTCGGTCATCTGGGACACATATCATGCACGTCACTCTCCAGACTCGTCGCCAACGAACATTGGGCGGGCTATGGGATCTACAACGACGTGGATCGCTGATATCTACACTGCTACCAGGCTGGTACCGATCGGAGCGGTGGGCGAACTCCTCATAGGCGGGCCTCAACTGTCACAAGGCTACCTCAATGGCGATAGGAAAGCCGACGAGGCTTTCCTCGAGAAGCCTTCCTGGTTGGAGGAATTTCTGGAAGCTGACGAGCCCGGGCGCTTGTATCGCACTGGTGACTTGGTCCAATACGATGCGAATGGAGACCTCCACTACCTGGGCAGAAAAGACCGACAAATCAAGCTTTCTGGCCAGCGCGTCGAGCTTGGAGACATAGAGTTCGCTCTGCGGCAAAGTCTACAGGAGGGGACACTTTGCGCAGCGGAGATTGTTCGTCCTGATATCTATCAAGGCCGAGAGATGCTGGCTGCCTTCATTGCCGTAAATGATTCCGACTTGGAAATGTCCTTGCAAAGATCTCGAAGCAAACTAGCGGCGATGCTTCCAATGTATATGATCCCATCGCTTTTCATTCCACTTTCCGGCGGAATACCAGTCACGCCAACGGGAAAGGTAGACCGCGCCGAGCTCCGTCGAATAGGCTCGAGCCTCTCACAAGCACAGTTACTGGGCTACAATGACGGACGCGGAGCTGATGCGAACCCGGCTACCAAGAATGAGAGAGTTCTTTTTCGCATCCTACAAGAGACACTTGATCTACAAGCTGATCTGGCAGACATGAACACGAACTTTTTCCAACTCGGTGGCACTTCGATCTACGCCATAAAAGTTGTTGCCCTGGCCCGCAAGCTAGGCTTCAGTCTTTCCGTGATGGACATGTTTGAGAATCCTTGCCTACGAGACATGGCCGCTGCCTTGAGACCAATTGACAGAACATCGAACGGGCAATCTGCAACCACTGCAGCCCCATTTTCTTTGCTTGGACAGAGCATTGACAAGGTTAGGGCCCGAGAAGTTGCTGCTTTCCATTGTGGCGTAGAGCCATCCCAAGTGCAGGACCTCTTTCCTTGCAGCGCTTTTCAACAAGGGTTACTGGCACTGTCCCTCAAGAATGATGGCGACTATATCCAACAAGCTGTAATGGAGCTGCCCTCCGGAGTGGACGCAGAAACATTCCGTGCGGCATATGAGCGTACTGCAAAGCGAATAGACCTGCTGCGTTGTCGAGCAATCGTCTTGCCACATGGCGATCACAACGTGCACCTGGCAGTAATTGATGAGCCCCAGCAATGGTTCACTGGAGATGATCTGGAACAGTCTTGCGCATCTGACCATCATGATGTAAGCTCGCGCGGTATGGGTGAGCGGCTGGTACAATGCACAGTAATTGAGCAACCTGAGGGTAGACCATACTTTGTCTGGACACTGCATCATGCGCTCTTCGATGGATGGTCGATGTCTATCATGATGAACGAGATTCACAATCAGCTCTCTGGTCATACGGAATCACCTCTTGTTCCATTCCASAATTTTCTACGCTATGTGCAAAACGAAGTKGACGAACAAGCTTGCAGCCGCTTCTGGCGGAGCAACCTAGATGGCGCTGGTCATCTGCAATTTCCCCATGCTGTGTCCGCATCCCGTCGGTCACATGGAGGCAAACGCAGTAGCCTGCGTCGCGCGATTGGCGGTCTGAAATGGCCCAAGACCGGAGTCACTCCGTCAGCTATCATACAAGGTGCCTGGAGCCTGCTTCTCGCGAGGCAAACCTCTACCTACGATGTCGTTTTCGGAAGCACGGTAATCGGTAGACACGCAGCCATGCCCGGTGTTGAGCATGTTACTGGCCCTGTGATAGCAACCATTCCACGTCGAATTCGCGTGGATCCTGAACAAAAGATCTCGAAGTATTTGATGAACCTTCAGCTGGACACTGCTCGGACGGTACCATATGAACAGCTGGGGWTGGCAAAGATTGCACGAGTGAGTGACGATGCACAAAGAGCTTGCGAGTTCCAGACACTGCTCGTCGTACAACCACCAGATGAGGCCACAGATCTTGCTTCAGACATTTCGGAGCGAGGCCGCTGGGAAGTGTCAGGCGCTGTGAATACCTATGCGCTGATGCTTCAGTGCTGGTTGAAGCATTCGGGATCTGTCGAGTTTGAGATGGAGTTTGACGAGACAGTGACGGATCTTGTGGAATGTGAGAGGCTACTTACACAGCTTGAATGGATTGTGCAGCAGCTTTGTACCGATTCTGATAACACGGGAAAAGTGGACGATGTATTGCACGGCAATCATGCAGACCTGGCTCTGCTTACGAGCTGGAACGAAAAGGTGCGATGTAAACCGACTCCATCTATTCTGGCAATGATCCAAAGACAGGTCATCAACGTCCCGGATCGCCTCGCTGTTGAAGCCTGGGATGGCTCAGTAACGTATGAGCAACTGTGGACCTCTACAGATCAACTTGCTCAGCAGCTACATGTGGACACCGAGAAGCCGAGGGTCATCATCTGTCTCGACAAGTCGTATCTTGCTGTGATAGCTTCGATAGCAGTCTTGAAAGCTGGAGGCGTCTGCGTCTTTATGGAACCTGGGTCACCACGCACACGGCAGAAGGCCATCATCGAAATTTCTCAGGCGAGCTTTGCCATTACAGACCAACGTAACTCCAGGTTGCTGAGTCAATGGATAGCTACGACTGTGTTACCATGTGGCACTGAAACGTCCGCAAACGCGGCTGTCGGCCGTGTCATCCAATACCAAGCACCTACAGCAGAGGCCTGCTTATACTTCACATCTGGCAGCACGGGTATTCCCAAGGCTGTGTCCTGGGATCACACAGCTATCTCAACGACTGCTGTAGGGCTAGGAGAACGGTTTTGCTTTTCGCAAAACAGCCGTGTGTACCAATTCTGCTCTTACGTCTTTGACGTAAGCTTCCACGAGACTTTGGCTACTCTGATCAACGGCGGCTGCTTATGTGTGCCTTCGGACCAGTCCCGACATGATATGCTACAGTCATCTATCGCCGCATTCAACGCCAACACAATCACCTTGACTCCCTCCGTAGCTCAGCTCCTCGAGCCTGGGCATTTGCAATGTCTAGAGACTGTGATTTTAGCTGGGGAGCCCATACCGCCACAACTCGCTAGAAGATGGCAGGAGCACGTGGTGCTCTATAACTGGTACGGCCCAACCGAGTGCTCGTTGGCCGCCACCTGTCGTGTGGGAACCACTTGGCAATCTGGAAATGTAGGATCTGGCACTACTACAATGACGTGGATCGTCCATCCCGAAGATCACGATATACTGCAGCCGATTGGGGCCGTTGGCGAATTACTCCTACAAGGGCCCTGTGTTGCGACCGGGTATGCTGACGACCCGGAGCGGACTGCACAATCGTTCGTTGAACCGCCTCAATGGTCGCAACGCTGCCAGGTAGCTGCGACCGGAGGTCTGCTATACAAAACAGGTGATCTCGCAAGGTATGCCAGTGATGGCTCGATCATCATACTCGGTCGGAAGGACACGCAAGTGAAAATCCGTGGTCAGAGAGTCGAGCTAGGCGAGGTTGAAGTCCAAGTCCAGGCTGTTCTCCCACATAATACAGCTGTTGCAGTGGAAATGGTCAGAGCAAAGGGATCTTACGAGAACCCGGTGTTGGTGGCATTCATCCAGTTGCATGAGCCTGATCGTTCGGTGAAGGAAGGGACACGTCCCGCCTCATCAGAATGGACTGAAGCTACCAAAGCGCAACTGTCTGACGCCCTACCTCGGCACATGGTTCCCAATATCTTCTTTTTTGTACAGAGCTTCCCCTACACAGCTACTGGCAAGCTAGATCGCCGCAAACTGTCAGAGCTCGGGGCTTCGTCACTCAGTAAACAGCTCAGCGAAGAGACCGTTATCCATCAAGAAGCATGGCAGCCAACGTCGGAAGCAGAAGCTATACTTGGTCAGTCTTGGATGGAGGTCCTCGGTGTTTCACAAGAGAAACTTGCCCAGAATGCGCATTTCGTTCGATTGGGAGGGAACTCGATCGATGCTATGCGGTTAGCTTCCGCCGTCACGACATCTGGCTACTCACTCTCCGTTCGAGATATCCTCACCAGTCCCCTTCTAGCCAACCAGGCAGCTGAAATGCAACTGCAGTCATCCAAGGCAGGCTATTGTCCAACGACGCCGTTTTCTCTGCTGGACGAGACCATGACTGAGATGCAAGCTCGGCACAGTGCCGCGTCTCAGTGTGATGTGCGGCCTGATCAGATCGAGGACGTATTGCCATGCACTGCTCTCCAAACAGCACTACTTGCCCAGACATCTAGAAGCTCCGGAGATTACATCTGCCGATATGTCTATGATATTGAAGTGCCGTTGGATCTTTTCAAGGCTGCCTGGGAGGCGGTAGTGGCTGAAAACCCAATACTACGCACCCGAATCGTTGACCTGATGACGGGAAACTTGTATCAGGCTGTTATCGATAAAGATCTGTTGTGGAATGATGGATGCCAGACCGTGGATGATTACATCCATGGCGATCAGGGGCTTACCATGGACATAGGCATTCCACTGGTACGGTGGGGCATTGTTGCAAGCGATCCGAGTTCATCGTTCAATTTCATCTGGACGATACATCACTCTCTCTTTGACGGCTGGTCTTTGCAAGCCATTTTGAAACAGGTGGACCAGGCGTATGCAGGCCAATCGCTTGGACCAGTTGCTCCCTTTCGCGACTTCGTGAGATACGTGGCGAGGTCTAACAAGTCAACCGCTGCCAAAGCATTCTGGGAGCGCAAGCTAGACGGTGCTGCAGCTCCGCAGTTTCCTATACTGCCTAGTATGCGCCATCGACCCCGTGCGACCAGCACGACCGAGGGACGCATGTCTTTGCCCCTTCCATCCGTTCGAGAAGACGGAAATAACGTTACATTGAACACCATCATTCGCGTTGCGTGGGCATTAGTTCTTGCACGGTACTCGCAGTCTGCTGATGTTGTGTTTGGCGCTACCGTGCTTGGTCGCCAAGCGGATGTGCCCGGTATATGCGACATGGTCGGTCCAACAATCGCCACGGTCCCCGTCCGGATTCGTTGGTCCGACAGTGATACCGTGCAGAGCGTGCTATCGGCCGCCCAGCTGGATTCAATCGAGACGACTCCCTATGAGCAGGTCGGGCTTCAGTGGATTCGTCAGCTCTCTCCCAGCGCTGGAGAAGCATGTAAATTTCAGTCCACGCTGATTGTACAACCGCCTCGCCAAGAAACGCCATCTCCCCAAGAAGGTCATTCGCTTTTCGACAACTTCACAGGAGAAGAGAGCTACGGCACATTCAGCAGTACTGCATTGATGCTCCGTTGCGCACCTCCATCCGAGAAGGACATGAGTGACATTCGTGTCAACCTAGACTACGATCCACAGGTGGTCAATGAAGCGCAGGCCCAACGATTACTGCRCCAGATGGAACACACCCTTCGCGAAATGTCATCCTCGTCCCCAACAACAAGAATAGGCCAACTCAAGTTGCTCAGCGACGCTGATCAGCATCAACTCCTCCGGTGGAACGACAAACTACCAGAGGGAGTGGAAGCGACGGTGAATCAACTCTTCCATGACGTTGTCCAGAAATACCCGACTACTCAGGCAGTTCATGCCTGGGACGCAGATCTGACATATGAACAGCTGGACTCGTACTCAAATGATGTTGCGAACCATCTGGCGTCACTTGAACTAAGTTCCAAGCAAATGGTGCCCCTTTACTTTGAGAAATCTGCTTGGACTATCGTAGCCATCTTTGGCGTCATCAAGGCAGGAGGCACAGTAGTACTACTAGAGCCTAGCCAACCTGATCATCGACTGCAGATGATTTTGAAACTCATCGATGCAAAACTGATAGTAACGTCTGCGCGGAATCACCATGCTGCCTCACTGCTTGCGCCCACTCTCGACATTTTTGTAGTCAGCGCTTGCAGTTCCATCTCACCAGGTCCCACGAAGATGAGCTGTCGGCCTGAGGTCCAGCCTTGCTGGCCGGTATACGTGGTGAGTGATATCGGACCTCCTAACTTTCCCAAGTCTCGACGCGCTGACTATCGGCTAGGTGTTCACATCAGGTAGCACAGGAGTGCCAAAGGGTACTTTCAATTCTGAGCCTTTTATCTCAACTCTAGCTAACCCTGTACAGGTGTTGTGATCACGCATGGGAACGTATGCAGCGCTCGGAAGCACAGACAGCCGATGCTTCCGTACAAGCCTGGTGATCGGGTTCTGGACGGCGTCTCTTATGCCTTTGATGTCAGCTGGGGCAACATTCTGTTCACGCTTTGCTCCGGTGCCTGCCTCTGTGTGCCTTCTGCTGCCGACGATTTGGATACATCTCTCCGCCGATATCAAGTCACCATCGCTGGAATAGTGCCAAGTGTCGCCCGCCTGCTTCGTATCGATGATTATCCAGCCCTCAAGGCCATTACTCTCGGAGGAGAGTCTTCCCACGCGGGAGATGTCAGGCAGTGGGAGCAAAAAGTGAAAATGTTCAACTCGTATGGACCAGCTGAATGTACAGTGTCCGTCGGCCTTGCTCTATTGAATGGAGACGATAGAGTACACATTGGCCGTGGCATGGGTTCCAGACTCTGGATCGTTGACGATACACAAAATTGTCTTGCGAGCATTGGCGCTGTCGGTGAATTGTGGCTCGAGGGCCCGCAGGTTGGATTGGGCTATCTCAACGACGCCAGAACAAGCGCCGCCGCCTTCCATGACGGAAAGCCCATATGGATGCCATCTTCAGCGGCTGACTCGTATCAGATTACCGAATCATCGCGGTTCTATCGGACAGGAGATCTCGCGCAGCACTTACCGGACGGTATGATTCGAGTTGTTGGCCGCCGGGACACACAAGCAAAATTGCGCGGACAAAGAATCGAGCTTGGCGAGGTGGAGCAGTTTGCGAAAAGATATCTCCCCGAGGGCACTGCAACTGCTGCCGAGGTCGTCTGTTCACATACGGCTCCAGACCGACAGTTTCTCGTCGCATTCGTGGCTCCGGATCCTTGGAATGGCCTTACCCCTGACGAAACGCTTGATCGGCAAGCTGAGCTACGGGCCAATATAGCTGCGCAATTACCCTCCTTTATGTGCCCATCAGCGTACATTGGCCTTCCAAGTCTACCATGTCTCGTGTCAGGGAAGGTGGATCGAGGTCAGCTGCGAAAACTTGGCTCTGCGTTATCTGTCGAGGATTTGACCAGGTCCATGCTTCAGCGCTCGACTTCAGAACGGTCGCTTGTTCTTCCTTCAAACGAGCGGGAAGAGAAGCTTCGTGAGCTATGGGCTGCCACTCTCCGACTATCAGAGCGGACCATTTCTGTTGAAGATAGTTTTCTCCAGCTTCAAGGCGGCGATTCAATCAGTGTCATGCGCTTAGTCCGCCTCGGGCAGGAGCGCAGTATGCACTTTAGCGTGGCGGATGTCTTTACTTACCCAAAGTTGCGTGATCTCGCGCAGAAGGTCACTTCTGGAGAAGCTGTGCCTGAGATGATATTGCCGTTCTCACTTTCTACTGCACGTTGGACGGTAGAACGTCTTCGGAGCGAGGCTGCAACGAGATGTGGTGTGAGAATGGAGCAAGTTCAAGACATCTTTCCCTCCACCGCACTCCAARAGGGACTACTGGCAGTCTCATCAAGAAGCTCGACTATGTATGTATCTCGGCAGGTCTATGAGCTGCATGAGAGTACAGATCCATCTCGCTTACGGGCGGCCTGGGATAGGATTGTTGCATTGCTGCCAATTCTGCGCACGCGAGTGGTCGACCTTCATCCTCATGGTCTTCATCAAGTTGTTGTGGATGAGCCCATTACATGGGGGGAGGAGGAGGAGGGTCAGAACTCATATGGTCTTGGAGATCGGCTGGCACATTGGACTCTGATCGACGACTCTCACTCAAGGCGCCTTATCTGGAACATTCACCATGCATTGTACGATGCTCCGACTATCCTCTACATCCTGGAGCATGTAGAACGAGCATACTACGGTGAGAGTTTCCAGCCACATCTGCCATTGCAGCCGTTTGTGAGATACCTCTCTACGATTGACGCAGAAGCCTGTCGGAAGTTTTGGAAGTCGCAACTCTTGGAAGTCCCAGACCCATCATTCCCGGTGCTTCCTTCTGGTTCACACACTGCAAAGGCTGACCAAAGCTGTGCATGTATTATTCCCGATTTCGAATGGCCAACTACCATCAACGTCACTCCCAGCACGTGGGTACGTGTCGCATGGGCTATTTTGGTCGGTAAGCTCGCCAACTCCGACGATGTCACCTTTGGAGCCACTGTTTCTGGTCGACAAATACCTTTGGTCGGCATCCAGGATGTCGTTGGGCCGACAATATCAACAGTCCCAATCCGTGTAGCTCTGAACTGGACCACAAGCATAGCCGATTTCGCTTCCCAGCTTCAGAATCAGGCAACAAGTATGATGGAGTTTGAGCAGATTGGGCTGCATCACCTTCGCCAAATTAATCAAGACACAAAGCGAGGCACTCAGTTCAAGACCCTTCTGGACATTCAGGCTGCCAAGGCCCAGCAAATTCCCTCCCGACTATGGACTCGCAAAGATGGCGAGGCTCAGGGACGATTCGATGACTTCCCCTTGATCATTGATTGCGAGCTTGGAAAAACCAACATCTCGATCAGCATGAATTACGATCCCAGCATCTTGACAGCAAGGCAAGCGGAGCGCCTCATGCACCAGTTTCAGGCAATCCTACTGCAACTAGATGGGAGATCGCTGGATTTCAACAAGTCGATCGTAGACCTGGAAGCCACAAGCCAAGAAGATATTGCAGAAATATGGCACTGGAATGCCACAGTTCCGGAAGAGATCTTTGCTAGTGTGCATGAGACGATACAGAGTCACGTGCAGTCCCATCCTCACGGATTGGCCGTAGACTCCTGGGACGGGCAATTAAGCTATAAGATCTTGGACCGGTATAGCACAATTCTCGCCTCACATCTTCAACAAGACCATGCTCATGAGCTACAACCGGGTACAGTCGTTGCTTTGTGCTTCGAAAAGTCTATGTGGACTGTCGTAGCTGCATTGGCTGTAATGAAAGTAGGAGCCGGGTTCACATTAATGGACTCGAGTCAACCGGAGGAGAGACTTCGAACCATCGCCAGCCAGGTCAACAAAGCCGTTATCCTGTCCTCCTCGATTAACGAAAACTTGGCAAGCAGACTGGCCGAGCAGGTAATTGTCGTCGACAGTGACAATCTTCTGAAGTGGTCATCGCCTCGGACGTTGAACATTCATGGCTCACCGGCTTCAATTCTCTACGTAGTCTTCACTTCAGGATCTACTGGCACGCCCAAAGGTGCCATGATCACTCACGCCAATTTCTCCAGCGCATTCAAGCACCAAGCTGCTTTCCTCGGGTACAACGAAGAGACACGCGTGTACGATTTTGCTTCGTACAGCTTCGATATCGCATTGTCCAATATGCTTCATTGCCTCATGGCTGGAGGGTGCTTGTGYATTCCGAGCGATTCACAAAGGAGGTCTAGCCAGCTAGCGGAATCTATGCGGCAGATGCAGGTAAACCTCGTCGATCTMACACCTTCGGTCGCCCGTACGCTTGATCCAAAGGACATTCCAAGTCTCAAAACCCTGGCCCTTGGCGGCGAGTCTGCTCTCAGATCTGACATTCAAAAGTGGGCACCCTATGTCAGGGTACTGAATGGTATTGGCCAGGCCGAGTGCACAGTCACGACAACCATGGGTGTGATGGATCCTACCGTTCAAGGAGCTCCAAGTCTTGGCAGATCACTGGGTACAAACACATGGATTGTCAATCCTCAAGACCACCAGAGGCTTTCTGCGATTGGCGCCGTGGGCGAGCTTCTCGTCGAAGGGCCGCTAGTGGGTATAGGCTATCTAAATGACGAGACCAAGACATCGGCAAGCTTCATTCGCAACCCTCGCTGGCTTTCTGATGCCTCCATCGCCGGCACAAAAGCTCGCTCAGCCCGCATGTACAAGACAGGCGATCTGGTTCGATACAACACATCTGGAGAACTACTCTTCGTCGGAAGAAAAGATGCTCAGACGAAGATAAGAGGCCAGCGGATCGAATTGGAAGAAGTGGAGTATCATGTTCATCGCTCACTCAAGCACTGGGCTCCGCAGGCGAAAATAGTCGCCGAATCAGCATCTCTGAGTAGTGCGTCAATCACCAGTCAAGTCCTAATAGCCTTTGTGTGCATCAGCAATGATGGCGACTCTGCCGGTTCCGAGAATAGGCTCCGGATCATGAGCGCAAGCACTTTTCCTGTGGAGCATCGACTGAAAGTACACGCACAATTGGAACATGAGCTACCTTCGGCCATGATTCCCTTTGTCTACGTACCCGTAAGCCATATTCCTCTCGCACCAACAGGCAAGGCAGACCGCAGGAGGCTCAAGGCTTTAGCAGCTTCACTCAGCGCGGATGACTTGGGACAATTAAGGGGCGTCGAGCGAGGACCGAAGCGGGATCCTACAACCGCCACCGAGAGAGAACTCGTCGATCTATGGGCTGAGATTCTCAACATACCGACGGAGAATATCGGAATAGGCGACAATTTCGTTCAACTGGGCGGTGACTCCATTTCTGCCATGCGTCTGACATCTCTCGCTAAGAGGAAGATGTTAAAACTCGACATCGCTATTCTTTTGAGTCCTACATCGTCCTTGTCAGACGTGGCAGAAGCAGCAGCAAAGAAGCCCGTTCTGGAAGCGACACCTGCTGGTCTGCCGCCCTTCGCTCAGCTGGCTACCGATGATGTCGAGGGTTTCTGCCTGTCTCACATCCGGCCTCATCTTCACCACGACACGGCCGAGATCGAGGATGCATACCCAGTCACCGAATTCCAAAAAACTTGCATTACGGCAGCTCTACAAGAAAAGCCAATGTTCTGGAACTACTTCTACTGCGATATCAATGCGACACACATGACTGCTTCCAAGATCGAAGATGCGTGTCGGGCTGTGGCTATGCATTTTCCCATTCTGCGTACCGTCTTCGTACCTTTTGATGACTCGTATCTTCAAATCGTTATGAAGGACTGGCTCCCAGAGATTGTGAACCTTGACTGCGATGTTGATGAGATGGAGAAAGTCTGCTTTGAAGACTGGCGGAGCTGTCATGTCAAGCTGGGAACTCATTTCGTTCGATTGATGTTCTTACAGCAAAAGGACAGCAGTACGAGACTGATTCTACGCCTGTCTCATGCTCTATACGATGGGATGAGTCTCTCCCTGCTGCTAGAGGGTCTCGCTGCAGCAATTGACAATCGCCCTCTACCCGCAACTGGATCCTTCGCCTCGTTCATCAACCATACCGTACCCAAGAGCAACGACAGCATTCGGTACTGGAGCCACCTCCTATCTGAATCATCAATTACGCAGTTCCCTCCAACATCCCACACCTTCAGCGCCGGTAATCCTTACACAGTCCGAAATCGAGCAAGTTGGAAAACCGCTCTACCAAGTGGCATCACGCCAGCAACTTTCTGCACATCCTGCTGGGCAGCAGTCATAGCTACAAATACCCAAAACCACGACATTGTGATTGGACGTCTCGTGTCCGGCCAAGGAAGCGTCGTAGACTCAATTCCAGAAGCCATTGCTGGCCCCTGTCTCAACGTGGTGCCCCTTCGAGCCACATGGCCCGCGCAATCGAATCACAACAATGTTGAGAATTTCGCTCCTCCGCGAGACGTCGTCTCGAGTATTCAGAACCAACAGCTTCAAGGTCTGCCTCATGAAGCCACGGGACTGACCCAAATCACCGCTTCTTGCACAGACTGGCCACGTGATACAAAATTTGATTCCGTCTTCCAATTCCAGAATATCGACGAAGAGACTGAAATACGGCTTTCCGGAGGCACGTCCATTCGTTTCGATGTCTTGCCGATGGAGTTCCGCCCGGAGCAAATTTGGGTTCTGGTCAAACCTTTGGGTCAGCAGCAGGAAGTTGAGGTTGTTTTGTTTGGTCATACGGGGATTATGATGGAGAGTGAAGCGATGAAGCTTGTTGATCAGCTTTGCGAGTTGATTGGAAGAGGACTCGAGTGATTGGAAAGAGCAGGGGCAGAACATGGCTGCGAGGCTGCGGCAAAAGTACATGAGAAATTTATTCCGATTGGGTATTTAACAAGAACGCCATTTTCTGGTACTTTCATTTCCCTCAACTTGTGCTGTCTATTTCACCGCCCCGACGTCTTCATGTAGAAGATGGGCGATGTACTCCGAATTGCTGATTTTTCCTTCGCTCCCTCCTCTCACTCCAGAACTCCTACTTCCTCGATCGCGGCAAGAACCTCGCAAGCCGATGAACTTTTCAAACACACCTCCAACTGATCGATATCAAAACCCTCGAGATCCATACAAACCTCCCAGATAGGCTCCTTCCCCGACGCCCGGGACTCCCGATCAATCTGCACAAATCGGTCCACAAGATCACCCATCGTGACACCATTTTCGTTCTCCACCATCCCTTCTCGCCATTCGATTTTGTTGGTGTCCTGTTTTCCCCACCAGTGGTATAAAAATTGATTTACACATGGGTTGCAGCATCAACACATTCCTCCAAGAATCCCCCGCATGAAGGAGCGCGTTGATGTTTGTTTTGAAAGGCCGTCCATTTCGAAAGTCGCCGATTTTGGAGAATTCCGTCATTTCGAAACTGTCTGAAGGACTGAAGAAGAAGAAGTCTAGAAGGAGAGGATTGAAGACTGGTCTGATGATGGGTCCATTCTCGTCGCCTTCCCTCCAGCATTCAACGACTTCTTGGTCTTCGTCGTCGCGGCAGGCGATACTCTCGAGTTCATCGCCTTTCCCCGAACATTTTTGTCCTCCCTTCTTGACTGCTGGGAGCAGGAACAGCGCGCGCTGCAAAATCTTCGACCCTTTGATCGCGTTTTTCCAGGACTTGGATAACTGCATGATGTCGAGGACTTTTGAAAGTGGCAGTTGGAGAACGATCATTTCGATGATCTCTGGAGGCAGATCGATCTCCATTCGAGACTTGGCTTTGAGTAGGGAAAGAGATGAGGTGCTCTTGCCTCCCGTCTTGCAACTTTTAGTAGAATCGGATGCGCGCGGATGCGGCACACGTTTTGTGATTTTCATGCTGGCGGTTGTGTTGCTGTTATTGGCGATGTTGACAGTGATCTGATGATGTCGGTGTTGGTGATTTTGACCATGCCGAAAGCGATGCTGCTGATGCTGATGCTAATTTTGACCAGACAGAGTATGATGGAAAGGAAGTGTAGAGGAAACGCTTTCGCATCCTAAAAAGTGGAGCCAACTTTGAGGACTTACTTCACTAGCGTCCCGAAGTGAATTGCAAAAATGGCAAAGTCGGAATTTACCCACGCGGTTGAACATGACTGGTCACCGTACGAGCGGCAGAGRATGGCATGTATCTATGAGAGAACTGTGTTTCCTCAAGCTGGATGATTCCATCGCGTCCAAGGATGCCGTTTCGTCCTTGTGCCAGAGCATGTTCTTCGAATGGTGGATCCTCTGGTCGCACACGCGACGAAACTCTAATCGGTGTTTGCATAATGGGCGCATTTATCTGGCTCCAGAAATCCTCGACCAATGGTTCTCTCAAGGCCGCCATTTTGGATGCATTGTGCCACGGCAATCAGAGTCGAGGAGTTCCTGAAAAAGATGACAAAGCTTTGCATTAATACAACTCGACGAGAATTAATCCTGTACAATCCGGAGGTATGCAGCTACGCATACGCCGGATATCTTTCTACGAAGTCCTGCCCACGTGCGATACTGCCGTCGTACACGAAATGGCCGCTCCAGGCACGGAATCGCCAAATGCGGCTGTTCTCATCTTTTGTCTCGGCTTATTCAGCAACGCAGATGCCGTCTTGATGAGGTTACAAAAACAATCAAAGTAAAGACGTCGTCGTCACCGCAAAAGTCCTCTTGCGTATCTTCGGGCAGTACATTGTAGTTACATGATCCACATCTCGGCGCCGATTTTCGGTGCCGGCGATCCTCCAGGATTTTCTCGACAAGGATTAAAAGCTAGTATATCGTGGAGAAGCTCAGACACCTCAGCAACAGGAGGTTTTGTCGTCGTACATCGTCTCAAACCTAGACTCGATCGAGATACATAAGACACCACATCAGCACACACTTCCTGGAGAAGTTGTATGTCTTTGCACATACTCCCTAGAAGACCACTTTTTCCAAGTCCATCAATCCATCACCCTCTTCGCCTGCTTACGAAGCAAAGTCGCAGCAGCAGCATTCAAAGCATGGCGAACAGCGCGAACACGAAAGTCGTGTCCTCGCAGATAGAAATCAACGCTTCTCCCACACATGTTCGCAGCGTCGTATGTCTCTTCTGATCTCGACTACCTGTCAAATCAACTACTGACGGGAAAGCCCAGTTTTTCGACTTCGCCGCATGGCCTACATGGTCCAAAGGCCCTGGAATAACAGGCATCTCTGCCGTAGTACCCAGAAGCAACGATATGGAAATTGAAGCAGGCGAGAAGATTAAAATCAATCTCTCAGGCACAACCTTTAAACCCACCGTTCTCGTATTACTTGCCAGGACATCCCACGTCCTTTATATTTACTGACGTTTGAGTAGGAGAATACGCCAGAGCAGTTCAGCTGGCGTGGCGGTATCACGGGTCTGTTCCATGGCGATCACTTTTTCAAGTTTTTGCCAAGTAAGGAGAATCCAGGCGGGACGACGTTGGTGAATGAAGAGGTGTATTTTGGACCCTTGGTGTGGGTGATTCAAAAGGTGTCGTCCACCTTGGACAATCACACCGGGGAAAACTACATGATTCTCAACAAGGATTTCAAGGCGAGGGTCGAGAGTCTGAAGGAGTCTTGATTGTGATTTCCTTGGGCTTGATAGTGAATATATCAAGTTGGTTGAAGGATCTGGTTCTCAAGAGGCGGGGCCGATATTACGGCAAAAAAATGACTTGCCTTTCAATCTAGAGCAAGGGATGAGATACGTGGGTATGCGGAGTTCTTCACTGCATGAGAAGATCAACCACTCCCTTCTGCCCTGCTTCAAGGTCGAGCCAGCCACCTTCTTCTACCTGAATGATCTTTCCATCAACGCAGACCCGGCGCCACCGAGCATCTTTCTCGTCGAATTGGATCAGTAAGCGATCAATCTCCTCATAGCCCACTCTCTGATCTTCAACATGCTGGCCACCTTGATAGGCCTTGGTAAGGACTTCCATGGCCGCAGCGCCAGGCATAGGGCCGAAGTGTACAAGACGCAGTACTCCATCCAAAGGCTTTGATTGCGGGCTGATGTTGAAGCCCTTCTCCAGATGACTGACTAGCGTCGCTAGGACATATGCATGATCACCTTCTCGAATCGAATGGGATGATTCCTCGCCACGTTGCCATGCCGAGAGCTTAGCGCGATACACATGAGGTGGAGAGCCATCTTCTGGGTACAGAGCCTCTTTCGCAGCCATCTTGAATCTTTCAGCGCCGAATTTGYGATACTCGGCTGTGTCGCTATCTGCAACCAGACCAGCGTGAAGTCCCCAGGAGCAGACCACAGCGCCGTAGGCCACAGGAACATGGTCTTTCATTGCAAGCTCTCGCTGTTCTCGAGCTTCATTGTATAATTGTCTGGCGCCTGCTGAAAAGCGAGCACAGAAAAGTGGAAGCTCCTTTGGGGTGCCTTTATCGAGGGTGTCAAGCGCTGTCGTGGTGTCGGAGACGCCTATACTATGAGCAAGTGCATTTCCCGTACCAAGTGGAATGACCGATATCGTCGGTTTCTTGTATGCTTCACTGCGGTCTCCGGAGAGCAAAGTGTTTACAATGTCCACGATACCGCCATCGCCGCTCATCAGAATCACAGTCTGAGCGACGCCACGGTTCGCCTGAGGAAGCAAGACATCTCTGGTGAGATCGGACACACTGTCCTCTGAAGCAGTGAAATGGACTTGGTACTGTTTTCCGTCCAAACGTGGCTTTACAACCTCTTCCCATACCTCGGATGCCTTGCCCGTCCCCGACCCGGAAGAGACAACGACGTGAATACTGTTGTTCATTTCTGTGAGAATCGATAACGGCCAGCCGACCGTTGGTTGAGGGAGTGTATGTATATGCGAAGCGGGTTATGTGTGGAGGAGCCGATCCACGTCCAAGCACGATTAATCCCCGACGTAACTCTACCTATTCTTAGCTCCCACTAGCGTGACATGACATGTCATTAGGGTCCAAGGCGAATGTGAAGGATGCTCGGCCTGGTGCAACGACGAGCAAGGCATCAGCAACCTTCTGACACCTGTCTATCCATCCCAGCGCTTGTCTTCTACGGCCACCGCATCGGCATCGTCTCGCCGACGACAACTATTTCCATCCTAGCCAGCCACAAGCAGGCGTCCCCGCGCCGCCATCAGCAGAATCCTGGACGTTGCATGCGGTAGTTGACAATGAACGGCTGGGGAGTGTTTGCGATTATCCTGGTGCTTGTGCTTGTCGGAGGCGGAGGTGGATATGCAGGGTGAGTTTGACAATACAACAACATCCTAATTCATACTCTTCACGCGACCACTCCCTAATTCGTCCCAGCTATGCGCATTGGCGAGCCCGACGGCTTGGCCTACCACCACCCAATTTGAATCCATTCTCCAAGAAACGACAAAACGACTCAACATACCATGCGCCCGCGCCTGCTCCTGCGGGCATCCAAGGATGGGTAGCCGATAAGTGGAATGCACTGCGAAACACACGGACTGCTGGTGGCGCGTACGAGAATACTGGCTACGGCGGCGCTCAACGGGCAGGAACCAGAGGGAGGGGATTCGGGCCATTGGATCCGGACGAGGCATGGGATACGCGTGTAGACCACGAGGCGGGCGGGTATTACGGCGATGATCAAGAGCTGGGGCTGCAGGACCCCAACCACGGACCCTACGGCGGCAATGGTTATGGAGATGTCGGAGTGGCAGGGATTCAGGCTGGCAGAGGCCGTAGTCGATCACGACAGAGGGAGCTGGACAATCGCTACGAGGAAGAGGTGCACCACGGCGGCCAGAATCCCTTTGGTGATCACGCTGAGGCAAGTAACATGAGCTTACGCGGTGTGAGTCCACGACCGGATACTGCTTCACGTGGAGGTGCGGGCGCACACAAGAAGCAGCAAAGTGCGGGCACTACGGGGAGTGCGGAAAATACCAGCCCTTCCGAGAGGAGGAGCTTGTTCACGGAGGATGTTTGACGGTGTGATGATAATATTTATTGGATGGGAAAGCAGGGCGCTGGGGCGCTATGGACTTGCAGTGTCTCGTCGACGTGAGCAACACACGCTTATCGGGTTGCGAGCATGCTCTTTTCTAACACTTGTACACTGCGAGCAGTTCTGCACAAGAGGCAATCACTTTCACATTCATCATACGGTGAGTACCCGGGCAGGTACTGCAATGCTTGCATTTCACAATGGGTTTGGGGGAGAGCCCAGTCAGAGCTGGCAAATTGCGCTAAAATCGACAGACTGCAGAGGACTAGGATATCTCGACGGCGCGAAGTTTGGGCACGGAGGAGCTGAATCGTCTATGTGGAATATGGCTGGCTATCGGTCGATGGGACAGACACTTGACTCTCCGCAAGGCTGTCTTCTCTTTGTGCTGCTAGCTACCCGTTGGCGAGCATTGTCCTCCATTCACCACAAAGAGAGCCGGCATCCTTCAATTTCGCTGGTCTTTGGAGCTTCTGGATGCATTGCACGGCAGTCTCTGTCCAAGCTCGAGTCTTTCGAATCGATATTCAACTTAGCGGTCGATGTCCACAAGCCAGCCGACAAGGTGGAATGAGAGAGTGAGTCTTTGAAGTCAGCGGGCGCAGTTCCGCGGAGAGTGCGAGGAACAATGAGGAACCGGAATAATTTTGCTGCCTCTCCCGGCAGTGGTTCGATGACCTCGCTCGCAAGCGGGTAGTCACACTGATAAGATCCAGCAGTCTTACGAAGAGGCGAGTACTACCGGATGATGTCTCTCTGGTCGTATTGTTGCAAAGAAGAGGGCTTCAATCGCAGGACATACCTTAGGGCAGCAACCTTCGATTGTACCGGCTCTCGCTCGTACACGTGCTATGAGCTTCAATCTACGACTTGTCGAGTCCGTCGATTCACCAGCGGCTTCAGCCGTGTTTGCTACTTCGGCACAGCGATCTCCACATAGACGACATGAGAAGCATCAGCTTGATCCATTACTTACTCGACATTCGCTAACAAGTCACAACCCACCGATTCGCCTTGGGTATTCCATTATGCATGAATCTGTCCAGGCCTCGCCGGCTGCGGAGCGTTCTCGAGGCACGATGCAGCGTCAAGGAACTACCATCGCCGGTCCCTCTCACGAGTACGTCAGACTTCAAGGCGGCATAACAGCACTCATTGACTGACATATCAAAAGTCCATCACCCAGATCAAGCTCCCGCGCGCGAGCATCCAACAAAGTCTTCGGCACGACGGAGCTCCTCGAGGACATCCTACTTCACCTGCCTTTACAAGACATTCTCAAGATGCAGCGCGTCAGCAAGCTCTCCAATGCAGTTATCAAAAGCTCCCCAAAGATTCAGCGCGTGATTTTCTTCACTCCGCACACGGAACTCGTCAGCAAAGCCCCTCTCACCGATCCAGATTTCGGACCGAAATACAAGCAAGGCATCATTGCAACCATGATCTTCCAGACAACTGCTGGATTGGTTAGACCCGGCCATTACACCACCCTCTTTCGTGATTCGGCTGCAAGCACTTGGAGACAACACAGCATTTCCCAGCCGCCTTGCACCCACATCCGATACCAAGGCGCCATCGACGGGGAGACTCACACGGTGAGCAATCCCAACGGTGTGACTTTCGGGGACGTATTCGACGCCGTCAAGAAGTGCATGCCAGTCTTGGACCGGGAACGCAAGATGGGTCCAATGAAGGGACGTGAGCCTTATATGGAACTTCCCAAGGAAGTTACTGGCTGGGATGTGCAGGTGCTGTTGAAGGAGGTCTTGGATGAAGTGCTCCACGGCGATGATGAGCTCGGAGGCGTGACGCTTAATACCAATGTCTGAGCGGGTATACTCGAGGAGTCGAATCCGTGATGCGGATTACAGAGCGTGAGCTTGGAACTGTATAGGAAGCCTTGGCAAGAACATGGAGTCGCTAGCTTGGACATGAGGGTGTCTCGGCGAGATCTCAACAAGGCGCTTTGAATGAGGAAGCGTGGAGAATCCATACGACTCGCATACATGCAATCTCCAACGCTGAGGATATGTTCATGCTGTACATTCTCACCCTCATTCTACTCTCTTACAATCAAAGATGCCATGCCCATACCCGTACCGATACACATGCTGATCACACCAAGCTCCTGCCCCTGCCTCTCCATTTCMGGCAAAAGAGTCGCCAATTGCCTAGCACCCGTGGCACCGAGTGGATGGCCCAGCGCAATCGCACCACCCTTGGGATTGACCTTTGCATCATCAATCCCCAAGCTTCGCACACAGAATACAGCCTGAGAAGCAAAGGCCTCGTTGATTTCCCAAATTCCAATCTCCTCTTTCCCAACATCCGTGTATTCCAATAATCTCGGAATGGCAATCGCAGGGCCAATGCCCATCTCATCCGGTCTGCAGCCTACAATCTGAGTGCCCGCCCACTTTCCAATAATCGACTTCTCCAACCCCAGAGCAGTAGCGGTGCTTCGCCGCATCATCAATGTCGCAGCCGCACCGTCCGAAACCTGACTACTATTCCCCGCAGTCGCAGAGCCATCGGGTTTGAAAGCAGGCTTCATCTTCGCCAACGCCTCCTCCGTACTCTGCGGTCGAATGCCATCATCCTTGGTAACAGTAATACTCTCCAGCACCTCCGGATGTTCCGGATCCGACACCTTCTTCGTCGTCACAGGCACAATCTCCCGATCAAACAAGCCTTCCCGCTGCGCCTTGGCCGCTTTCACATGCGAAGCGACGGCAAAAGCATCCTGCTCCGCTCGACTAACACCATACCTCTCCGCGACATTCTCCGCCGTGATTCCCATGGACATGATACAATCCCTCGCATCTTTAACTCGACTCTCCCTCAATTCCTCCCAAAGCGCCGTGGGGATAGCTCTCGAACCGTAATTCCTCGTCATACTCTCCATTCCCCCCGCCACCCCAATATCAATCTGTCCCACAGCAATACTATTCGCCACGCCTGTAATGGCCGCCAAACCACTACTACACGCGCGATTTACGGTTTGAAAAGTACTCGTCTCCGGGAATCCGACGTGTAGAGATGCCATGCGTCCTGCTTTACAGCCTCCGATTTCGGAGAGGGTGGTGCCGATTTGGACATCTTGAATGAGGGCTGGGTCGAGGTTGGGGTTGGCTTTGAGGGTTGCGGAGAGGACTGTGGCGAGGAGTTCGTGGTCGTGGGATTGTGCGAGACCGCCTTTTTTGGCGCGGGTTATGGGGGTTCGGAGGGCGGAGAGGAAGACGATGTCGGTGGGTTGTTTGGTCAGGATGTTTTTGGTACCTTTTTGGATGAAGGATGCCATGATGGTGGTGTTGATGTGGTGAGGGGAATGACTGGACCGGGAGAAGATCTGAGAGGGATGGGACTGTGGACGACGGCGTCTGTAGAGGGAGGAAAGAAAAGGGRAAGAGGACCAGGAAACCTACAGAGGCGCTACGATCGTGTGTGTGCTGTCTATCATAATGCTGTGGATGATCGGGAGTCTTTCACGGCTTTGTGAGAAGCAACTTTCGGCTATGGTGGCAGCGTGGGGACCCTGGGGAGCTCGAGCTTAGGGTGAGCATTTAACCGGGATGTGGAGAGATAGGTTGCGTGTGACATGGACATGAATGCCATTGCAAGCTCACCAAGATTTCCCGAGAAACGGTATATCGTAAGCTGGTAGAATCTGATAAAGTCGCCTTCTCCAGGTGTGAATGCATGCTGTTCAGTCGTCGGGAGTTCCCCGCAATAGAAGACCGCGTTTCCGTATTGGCGATGCGACACAAGTTTGCAAGATGGAATTTCTACCATTTCCCACGCTTTCATGGATGGATGGGATGGTGTTGCAACTTTTCAATTCCTACCTCGTAGTAGCATCAAGCACCTGAAGTACCATCGACCTCACCCCCTGCTCTCCCTGGTATATGCATGCGCTCTGACAAGGTACCATAAAGGCGTGGAATCTAGCTTCCGCATGATCTGATTTGTGTAGAAGTTGCTACAGTGTAGCGGGTATCTCAAAGAATCGAAGAAGAACATAGCACCTCGCATGTGCTCTCATCAAGCATCGTTGCCCTTCCCGCCGCTCTTCTTCTTGCCCCTGCTCTTCTTCTTCGCCAGCATTTCGTCCATGTAGCTCGTTGCCTTTCTCTTTGCCGGCCTCTTCACAGCCTGAGCGTCATGCTTCTCCTGCGTGACCAGTTCGGCCACAGTAGCGAGGTCCTCCCGTGGATCTGACGGTTCCACATCCGGGTCGACGATATTGTCTTCCTCCCCTCCTGCAGTTGTATATGCAGGTCTCTTGGTGTCTCGCACTTTTCTCCCGCCCATACCACGAGACGATAGCGTACTTGCGCGGCCCATCTCCTCGTCGTCTTCACTATCATCCGCTGGCATAGTGGTTCGGGACTTTGATTCCACGGGCATCGGTTTACTTCCCGATTGCCCATTCGCGGATGTGTGCGGTTTCTTCTCCTTCATCTTCGCAGCTGCAGCTCTTTTGCCCAGCAAATGCTCCAGTAGTTTCTGATTACCATCCGAAAGCTTTTTGCGTCCAGGTACAGCATCGTCTGCCGAAGCCACCGTACCTATTCCACCCGATCCGGCCATTGCGGTGAAGTCTTCATCGCTGTTGTCGTCGCCTTTTGCGATTTGTGAAGAAGATGTTCCGTTGTCGAGAGATTGTGCTGGGCGCATCCAGGATTGCAATACTCTCTCGCTACGACTTAGGCCGACATTCATTTTGGCGAGCCATATGTCGGCCTCGCTGACGGGTTCTGGTTTTGTCATGCTTGTGATGTTGTCTATTCACTGCCAACGCGCCAGCGCTGGGATACTCGAGAGGAACCTGTGGGAGACCGTCTAGGTAGTTGATCAGCCGAAGGGTCGAGCAGACGCCGGGCCGGATAATTCCGAACGTCCAAAAACTACTTGCAGCAACAACAGAACAGCTCCAGCTCACCTTCGCCCAACGCCCTCGCAAAGAGGACTGTTTAATTCAAAAATGTTCAACAAGGCCGCCCGTTCCAGCAGGCAGTGGGCTTCGGCCCTGCAGACCGCGCGGGTAAGATAATCTAAAGATCCCCGACGACGGAAGAAAACAGCAGCTGATAGCTATCCTCCAGCAATCCTCCCTCCGCCAGCAGACACAGCAGCAGGTCCGCAATCTGTCCATCCACGAGTACCGTAGCGCCCAGCTCCTCGATTCGTACGGCATCGGYGTGCCCAAGGGAAACGTCGCCTACAATGCAAAGGAGGCCGAGCAGATCGCGTCGCAGATTGGCGGCGAGGACATGGTCATCAAGGCGCAGGTGCTGGCTGGAGGGCGTGGAAAGGGCCACTTCGATAACGGCTTCAAGGGTGGCGTGAGAATCGTCTACTCTCCACGCGAAGCCTCGATCCTGGCCGACCAGATGATCGGACACAAGCTCATCACCAAGCAGACGGGGGAGCGCGGCCGGATCTGCAACAGCGTCTACATTGTCGAGCGCAAGTTTGCCCGTCGCGAGTTCTACCTGGCCATCCTCATGGACCGTGGCAGCCAATCGCCCGTCATCGTGGCCTCATCCCAGGGTGGTATGGACATTGAGACGGTCGCCAAGGAGACCCCCGAGGCCATCATCACCACAAAGGTCGACATCCACAAGGGCGTCACCGACGAGATGGCCACTTCGGTCGCTACCAAGCTCGGCTTCTCCGAGCAGTGCATCGAGGACGCCGCCAAAACCATCCAGAAGCTCTACAAAATCTTCATGGAGAAGGATGCGACCCAGATTGAGATCAACCCTCTGTCCGAGACTTCAGACCACAAGGTTCTCTGCATGGATGCCAAGCTCACCTTTGACGACAACGCCGAGTTCCGTCAAAAGGAAATCTTCGACTGGCGTGATGTTACCCAGGAGGACGCCGATGAGGTCGCAGCCGGCGAGTCCGGCCTGAACTTCATCAAGCTGGACGGTGATATTGGATGTCTCGTTAACGGTGCTGGTCTTGCCATGGCTACCATGGACATTATCAAGCTCAACGGAGGCTCACCTGCCAACTTTTTGGACGTCGGTGGTGGTGCGACCCCCGAGGCCATCAAGCAGGCTTTCGATCTCATCACCTCCGACCCCAAGGTCACAGCCATCTTCGTCAACATCTTCGGTGGTATTGTCCGCTGCGACGCCATCGCAAAGGGCCTCATTTCCGTTGTAGAGAGCATGAACTTGAGAATACCTATTATCGCAAGATTGCAGGGTACCAACGGCGAGCAGGCACACAAGTTGATCWACGAGTCAGGCTTGAAGATCTTCAGCATTGATGACCTGCAAACAGCTGCCGAGAAGAGCGTGCAATTCAGCAAAGTTGTAAAGATTGGTAAGTCTTGCAATATCACGCCAGCAAACGTATGCTAACTTCCCTCTAGCTCGCGACATCGATGTTGGTGTTGAGTTCACGCTTGGAATCTAGAGAGGACCTTGCGAGGCGGAGTGATACCTACCTTGGGGCTCTTCATAAAGTGTATTTGTTTTATGCATCCAAGCGAGCTACYTTGTACGTTGTAACAGCGCAACTGTTTTCCCAATCACTGATTCAAATTGTTGAACGTTGAGTGAGAGAAGGTGTTGTATATACATACACACACATACCTTGACTCGCTAGGCTTCCGAGCCCATGTTCGCGTAGAGCCATGTAGATTCTAGACCATGCATTCATTCACTGCAGCATAGCATATTGTTTTCCGCGGGACCATGCCTTGCTTGCACGACTTACGAGCGTGGCGTCAAACACTCACTATAGTAACCGAGAGTCCATCTGTTTCGTGTCCGCAAGACGAAGTTGCGGGTATCTTTCTAGAAGTAACGTTAGCTTGCAGAACCCAGAATTAACTAGTCTGCAGGTGGAAATTCCTTCGCTTTCGCTCACACCTCCGAGTCTTCTCCCTTTGATGTGCGTCTCGTCTCGCCTCAACAGACCATGTCCTGTCCCCACTTCCACTGGCTGCACTTCGGCTTCCTGCGCAGCGCACATCCATCCCAATTCTTGCGTTTACCGGTCTRTTTCATTTCCCGCCGTGGCTTTGTTGAAAGCAGTCCCTCCGTTCCGGTTACCTGGAGTCTCCAGGGCGTAACTTGGATTATGAGCGGCGTTTGGTGCCATGTATCCGCAGCATTCCGCCTCCGTGTGCAAGCAAGAGGAAGCCGCGAACGTCCTACAGCGGAGAAGGAGACCCGCTCCTGTTTGCATTACATGAGCATGAAAACGGACCCACGACCGTGATCATGCCAGAAAAACCCACATCATAACAGTGGAGCAACAGCAAGCACAGCACGCACATCAACACCAGTCTCAGCTTCCCGCTCATCAGGGCACACGGCACATGGCATCACCAATAATTGATCCCGGCATAGTGCCGTTTGTGGAACTGCTCCCGCGTGTCAGTCAGTGAGTGGCCGAGGTGGTCAAAAAGTTGGAGGCGTCAAACACACATTATTCTTCGTTCGCCTCCAACTAATCAGATTCTGTTCATGTGGACCGCACCCGCACGGCACGCGCAGGCGGTCGACCGCATTGGATGATTCCACCGATACTACATTGTCAGGAACACCCCTGCTGTGAGTCTTTACTTTGCACGAGCCTTCTTTGCCGTTTTGAAGGTCCCCATTTTTATATATACCCTTTTATATGCGCTGCTACGCGAGAGGGGGAGACGCTGTGGGTATGATCTGCTTTCCAGTATATGCACCTTGCATCGCTTGTGGGACGGGGCCAGTTTCCTTGATCACTTCTTGACCATCTACAATCCTTTCGAGACCCTATCAGCTCTGCTTTGGGGGAGAAGACCTGTTCGACGTCGTTGTTGAAGATGTGGAGTCAGCCGAGGAAGGCGGTATTTGGGGTGAATGTTGCCTTCTTTGCGCTCACATGGATTACTGTCAGCTTGAGGGTGGTGGTGCGGGTTGGTATGCTCCGGGCATTTGGGTCTGATGTGAGTGTACAATCCAATCCACACATGTCATGAGGAGATCATTGCTGACTGATTTTGTAGGACTGGACAATGTAAGTCGTTGATGGATATGTTCTGCTTCTGGAAAGAGTTCCTGCTGACATCTTTGTTGTATAGGCTGGCTGCTCTGCTCTTCTTCACGGCATATCTCATTGCACAATTGGGAGGCGTCATATACGGCACAGGCGAACATCTGGATACCCTCATTCCATGGCGTGCGGAGAGGGCACTACACGTAAGCAATACAGTCTTGACTTTGAGAGAGTGTATGTTTTGACCTTGAAGCAAGTTCTGGTACTTTTGCGAGTTATTCTACGTTCTTTCCACTTGCATTCTCAAGATATCAGTAAGTCCACCAACATCCACCTCCACGCTCATCTTGAAGCTAACAGCCTCCCGTCCATCTAGGTCTGCCTCTTCCTCCTCCGAGTCGCAACGAAACCCATCCACGTCTGGATCATCCGAATCCTAATGATCCTCTCCGCCATCCTCGGCTTCACCTTCTCCTTTGTCATAATCTTCCAATGCTGGCCAATATCAGACTGGTGGGGCTTGGACCCGACTCAAAAACGTTGTATCAATCCGACCGTCGTCATCGGTTTGACTTATGCCGTCTCGGGACTCAATGTCATGGCGGACTGGTCCCTTGGCATCTTACCCGTCTTTGTGGTTAAAGACTTGCAGATGAGTCGAAGACAGAAGAAGTTGGTTACGTGCATTCTTGCTTTCGCGGCGATTGGATCTACGGCGACGATTGTGCGATTGCCTTATGTTGGATCTTTGGAGGAGAGCTTMGATGGGTCGGATGGTGATTTTCTATGTAAGCAGACGTTCATCCCTCGATCATTCAGCCCATTCATCCCCCGATCACATCGGTCATTCATCCCTCCATCACATCAGCCATTCATCGCTCGACCACATCAGCCCATTCATCCCTCAACCACACCAGTACTAACACACACGTCCAAAAGACAGCACAGTCGGCGTAGCAATCTGGACAACAGTCGAAGTAGGCGTCGGCATCTCCGCCGCATCCCTCGCAACCCTRCGCCCCTTGATCCGCCTAGCCTTTACGAAATTCGGCATCGGCAGCAGCGGCAACACCCATCAGCAAGAAATCGAAACGCCCAAAAACCGCTGGAATTCCGCCAAACATCGTCCAGATCCCGAAGAATTCAACCTCAGCATGTCGGGGCATCAAGCCCGCACCACGACGACCGTGACGGGGAATTGGAATGAAATGCGATCTTCGTCGAATCGTTCGGGGAGTAGTTCGCAGGAACATTTGGCGCTGCCGCCGGGGAAGATTACGACGGGGAGATTCACTACTGTGGAGTATCATGGGCCGGATATGGGGGAGGATGATGATGATGATGATGTTGATGTTGGGATTGTTGATTCTAGGCCGAGTTGTAGTTCTTTGCCTGCGAGACGGAAGTCGGCGCCATATTTTAGACGATAGATGGGAATATATATGTACATTTAGACATCTTAATCAAAAGCCACTTGGACGTTGACAGCTGCTCGCTCACTCACATGCTCTACCACAGTACATACGATTAAAGAAGACATTTCATCCCAACAAAGGAGATCCAACGGAAAATATGAAGCGAGCGGGAGGCTCGGAAAGGGAAAGGGAACGCAACGCGGGCACGCATCGGTCCACAGCAATACATCCACTGGTTCCCGTAACGAGGAATCCAATAAAGAAAATCCGACCTCTCCGACATCCATCTTTTCCTTGAGATACCTTACCTCATCAATGAATTAATTAGTCTATGCATACATATATGCACAGCACAGCAGTTCTGATTCCTAAAAAACAACCACAAGTTCCAGCCGGGGTAAAACGATTAAAATGCGCGCGCGGAGGAATGAATAAGTTACAGCTCAGGTCATATACATCGTAATCTATTAATTTATAGAATAGAGAGAGATGCTCCGTCCCTCCATGCGTCCATCCATGCATTTATTTATTCGCCGCGATTCGAGCGGTTGTAGAGACATGCATAGATCAATCGACCATCGGACATGCAAATGCACTTCTTTCTTCCGTCCACTTCCTGCTGCAACATCTCAGATGGAACTGCGCCATTTAACAAGGATGTGGTTTATCCAATTCCTGGACTTCTTGTAGGAATAATCGTACAGGGAGTGATGCACGTGTTACTCTCGCGCGGTGGATTTTGCATGAGAAGTGCCTCTGCCACATCTCACTCTCTGGTGCCGCGATTCTGGAGCTGTCCCACATACTCGATCGAAGCTGGCGGCATCTCTTATTGAGAGAGATTCTGGTACGAGCAGTCGCTCAGGACATTTCGGGAGGGAGGACGTATGGTAAGATTCGTCGAATGCTCCACGCTTAGGTATGTAGTTGGCCGACATGAAAAACTTGTCTCATCTCGGCCTAGATTTCACAGCAGTCAACTGCATTTGAATCCACTCAATCGCCTTTGATCGATCATTCAATCTCCAAGAAGTCGAAGTCGGGGTCCAATTATACCAAGCAGGGAGGGTGGGATTGCCTGGTCTTGCGGTGCCAAATCCCTTGAGATACCCGGCAGAACGTGCGTATTTGAAGATCAGTCTCGCGCCTACGAGGAATCCCACAACTAGGAATAGTTTGAAGAGTACCATCCAAGTCGACGACTCGCTGGCCGCAAAATCATACTCGATGACTTCGGAATAACTGAGCACTTTGTGTTCTGAGTCCAGGGCCGCCACACGGTATTGCGCGAGCTTCCCAGATGCGGCAGAAGAGATTTCGAAGGAGCCCTCAAAGCCAGTCTTGGGGATGATGTCGACGGTCTCGAATACCTCTTGGGACTCGTCTCGGATCTCTTCGGCTGCGTCCGGTGACGCATCGAATTCATCAAAATGTTGTCCGCGCGGCTCCTCGAGCGCCCAGTACGCAACCTCTGTCGCACCATTCCAGCTGACGTACAACATGTCATCTTTGATCTGCAACTGCGGTGGCTTTTTCGGCATGCCAACCCAGCCAAAGGTTTTGGTCGTTCGGTACGACTTCATGGGCTCTTGCCAGTAGAACCAAGAAGCGCCGAGGTGGGTTTCACACATGAGAGCACCATCCCGCGTGTATTCGGAGTAAGCTGCTGCGGAACCCCACCCAACGAAAAGCTGTTCCGAATCCGGTAATCGCTGAACGGAGCCCTGCGAGGACGCGAGAATGCCCTGCAGTGAGACCATGGACTGCACAAGCTTTGCGGTGCGGTTTGGAAGATCAATCTGAATTAGTAGTGCCCGGCTGTTGGGCGCGTCGGCATGCAGTGGCCCAGCTTTTGAATTGTCGAAGAGTGAGATGATGCCATCTTCCTCGGACATCCATCGAGCGTCGTGTTGCCACWTGAAATTGGTGGCTTCCCCATCGGACAAATCGGTGAATTGGTTGTCGCGGCCACCAAGGATCCACAGCGTCTCCCCTGTGGGACTCACGCACACTACATGATGAAAGTGGCGAGAAGATATGAGGTAGTTGCCTTGGGAGTCCTTATCGACCGAGTTGATGTGGTAGTAGTCGAAGGGAGTGCTCTCCCAGTGACCGCCAAATGGATTCGTCATGTAGGTCTCCACAGGGTTGAAGTGATCCGAAGCTTTCCATTGGAATATCAATTCTCCGGTTTCAAGGTTGATTTCCTGGAATAGATTGTCCACAATCCAGCCGCCCTCTCCACGGCCCAATCCCATGCCAGTCAGATCCGCGGTTGTTGTGTTGTAGACAGTCAGCAGCGCCGTGTCTTGGGGTGTGATTTTGAACTCATGCAAATCGCCAAAAAGGCCATCACCGGCCGCTTCGACCACATGCACAACTTGATAAGTTGAATCGAGCATGAAATAGAGACCCTTTCCAGAAGTGGCTGCCTTCTCTCCGGACCACATTGTTAGATAGTCTTCTCCCTTGTAGCGCTGGACTTTGAGATTAGCCGTGGAGCCATAGTCGTCCTCGGCCCAGACAAGGCCACCCATCGCATCCAAGATCATAGGGCCAGGCCGATCAACGGCAGGTCCATTTGGAGTGAGTAAGATCAAGCCTTGTTCGCACTTTTGATTCCATCGTGGATGGCGGGCTTGAGGTCCGGAGAGGGCAAAAGAAATAAAGTTTTGGGTCGGATAGGTCCCGAAGACGCCCAGATCAAAGAGCGCGGGATCCAGAACGGGGAAGATGAATGCCAGGAGCGGGAGGAGGCATTGGTGGAATAGATACAGGGAGAAGAGGGCAGCGAGCGAAAGGCAGGTCCATTTGGCGACGCTGCGCAGGTGTTTGGCCCAGTGGGCCCAGGCCATCTCAGAGGCGGATTAGGAAATTCGGACGTCTGCCGCTGTCCATGGTGAAGGGCGGGCAAGGCAAGGGAAGGCAAGGCAAGGGAAGGGAAGCAAGGTAAAGAATAAGTAAATMGCAGCAAGAATGGCTAGTGAGGGTCGGCGAAGCGAAGGTGTAAGGTAGGCGAAGCAAAGGTGGTTAGAATGGTGGATGAAAGGTGGTGCCCTCGTCCACTTACGCGAGCCGTAAGTTACTTTAGCCACGTTGTTGGGGGCATCATGCATGGGTTTCAAGCGCCGGACGAACCACAGCACTGGAAAGTCATGCTGGCGGCGACGACGCCAAGAGGGAAAGAGACTTGGGAAAGCCCCTGCTGCAAAATGCCACTGCACCTTCCAAGGACCCCTCCCTGGCCGCAAATGAGGCTGAGCTAATCCGCATCTCGCCATGCGTTGTGGAGTTACGTTACCTGTTGCGCGGGTGTCTGGTGCATCGTCGTTGCCACTTCACGTTATTATTCTCTCGTCGCAAGGAGGTGAGCCGGGGAATTGTGAGACGTGGCAGCTCRTCATGACTACAGAAACATTACCTTGATGATGCCCGCTTTAAGATTTCACACGTGGGCGACGTGGGTTAAGTTACTTACTACAAGTTTCACACCTCCGTCGAGTGTGTGGCTAGGGAGATCCAACTTCATTGGTTCGGCGCATGRAGAAGGGCATTCCTTGCCATTTCACGGCGTATCCTCGTCGCTTCGGGCTGGCGATAGCGATTCTTCATTACAGCACATCTGCGCTGCTCCCCGTCCCGTTATTCCACGCCGTTGAAGACGGATCTTCTCAAACACGGAAACGATATCGTGAATCGTCCCGTTAGGTGGAACGGGAATCCGCGGCAACTGGACTCGACCAAGTCCCAACGGCCTCACGTCATCGGAGACAGGTCTTGAGCCTGCTTGGAGCAGCCAAGACGATGATCTGACAAGCTCCGACCTTGGCACAGCGGTCGGTGCCTTTATCCGAATCGAAGCCGAAGTCCGGCTCCATCGCAGATTTTGGCTCGCACAGGGATCGCGAGTGTGTTCCCTTCAACCGAGATGAGCCTATGAGGTGAAGGGGCAGGGCACATCCGCGATGATTTCCATGGCAGGTCGGCGTCTCTGTGCTTTGAGGACCGTCCGGTCACGTCTTGGTTTCGTGTTTGTCGTGCCGTTATGGAGCACTTGCTTGCCCATGAGCAGATGGGAGGAGTCCAGCACGATACTCCGCAGGGCGACATTGCATGCTGCTTGCCTGCCCTACCTACAGTAGGGCTCGACACATTGCCCTAACTTAGGGTCCAGGTGKAATCAAGAGCAGGAACATCGGGCCGGTCGACGAGAGAAATGAGAGGCGTGCGCAAGGAAAGGAAGAAGGTGCAAAGACGTGCGAGTCTCCCTGCAGATGATAAAATATGGTCGTGGCAGAAGGATTTTGCATTTCTAAGCTGCATGCGCTTCCTTGGTGCGATTCGTCCACGCAGTAGCTGCGCTCTTCCTACCGGTGAGCACGATGGATGCAACGACCCACATTGGCGCGCGTATGAGAGGTAAGGTAGGTGAGGTACAGATGCTATATGGAACCACAGCGACATCTCAGGCAGCTCCAAGGCTTATATATATATGAGGCGGCGGCGTGGATGCAATCGGAAGGGCCCTATCATAGGTGAGTGAGGACGGTCAAGTTATTGAGTCGTACATTTTAACTCCAATCGTTCTCAGCAGCTTCTTCCTTCGTGCCAGCAAGTCCTTAGGGTTGTGGCAACGCAAAGCATATACAGTGTCTTGGCGGGACCCGACACAACCGCCTACTCCACTGCCTTACCACTACGTACAAGCTTGATATTGTGATTGGGCGGCATCATAGCAAAGGTTCTGGCGCGCTGGTTCAGACTCGCAACCAGACCAGCGCGAAGGATCAATACGCTATGCTAACAAACTATCTGCAGATTTCATAGTAGCAGATCGAATCCTACGAGCAGCAAGCTWTACAATATGGTATATACCGCATCCCTCCGCGGCAAAAGCATTGCACTCATATATCGGTGAACATCTCGCAATATTCTCATTCAATCCAACCATCATCTTTCCAAAATGTCGACCTTTCTCAACACCACAACAAACACCACCTCGCCATATGAATCATGTTCATTTCTGGGACCCATGCCACCACCAGGTAACAATACACTAGTCTCTTGCGCAATCCCCGACTGCCTCAACAACCGTGCCGCGATGGAGAAATGCTGCTCAGGAGGAACCATTACGACTTTCCAAGAGACACAAAGAGTGCCCGAGCAAAACATCACAATCAACGCCGAATACCTCACCTGCACATTCAACGAGGACATTTCTGGATACACCGATTTAACAAAGTACGACCCCAATGCTACAGTCTTCGCACTGCCCGACTGCCTCGTCCGAAATGGCGGAAACAGATTGGTATGCAACAGGCCAAATTCGCAGTACAAGTACTGTCCTACCTCGTTCGAAGGCCGGCCAGGCGCGGGCACAGGTACCGGCGATGTAACATGCTCCGTGAATACCGGGAATGAGAACCTGACTTMCTTGTTGAGGACCTGCTGTCAAAGTAGTGATGGCATGATACGCGCCGATCAGGAAGGGTGTACTGCCAGCTGTTCGGGTGATGAGACTCTCATCTCGTGTATGCGGGACAGTGATGGTAGAGAACTTCAGCCTGGTGGAGGGTTCAGCTATGGTTGCAGTAATTCTTCTGGTGAGAAGAAGAAAGGCGGTGCGTCGACTGTGGGGGGTTCGGGGAGAACGGCCCTGGCGAGTGTATTTTTGGCTGCTGGGAATGCGATGGCGTTCCTGCATTAGCTATTAGCTGTACCGTTTAAATGTCTCGAATGATATCGTAGTACATATATGTATATCTCTCGCTGGGTCTGCAGTCCGTTTCGCAAGACTCGCATCCATACTGCTCGAGTCTTCATGATCGCAGGATGCGATGGCGATTCACATGCAGGATGGCCCAATGTGTGCCTGAATGTGAATATCCCGAGCGACAKAATAGGGTGATGAGATACTGACCATTGAGCGCCTCGCTCGTGGAAATCTACCGCTATGACATGCGCAAAAGGTGTTGCGATCAAACGTTCGTTCATCGAAGCTGGTCCGGAAGCAAGTCATCGTCGGCAAATGTAAATGCCGAGTGGATCTTCCCACGAGCCTCACTCTCGGTAACACGTTCACATGCTTGCCGTTTCATTGTTATTGTTTTTGTGCTCAACAACACCTCTTCCGAACCTGTGAAGATAAGTTCCGTCGAAATATGGCTCACATGGCCGTGCTGCGGTATGTCCGCCGCTCCCAGGTCCGGGCCAGGAGAATTAGAGCTGACCGCTCTGCAGTTTTCCTCTCACATCGCAGTGCTTGCGAGCAGTGAGAAGTCCTGCACGAAGCTTTGGACGGCATGGTGCTTCAACCTTCCAGCTGAATGTGCTTTCGCTTCCCTACTGCCGGGGACTGGCAAGTCTTGTCCAGAATGAACCCTCGGCAAGATCCAGAGACTTGCCTCAGCCATTCCAACCAGCAAATTCAAGTCTACACGTAGGTTGCATGACACACAGTCTTGTCATAGGGACACAGTACCTAAGATTTCATTGCAGCCTCTCCCTCATTTCGACGCAAACACCCCAAAAGCATTTTCGATCCAATTGGCCCATGGCGAGCTCAGACTTATCGAAGATGTCTCCAAGCAGTCCACCAAGATGTTCGTAACCTTTGCCTACTACCTCAAATGCTCCATTCTGACACTTTGTAGTCCCGGACGATGGTTGAGAGATAACTGTGCTTGCTCAAAATGCCGCAACAGTGATACCGCACAGCGTCAGATCAATGTTTTCAAAGGTTCATTGGATTGCAGCATCGCGGAATGCAGTACCAATGGACAACACAGCATCACCGTCACATGTTAGTATGCTCTCAATCTTTTGCTTGCCTCCATGCTAAGCTCGAGGGCAACAGTCGGCGATGGTCACCGAAGCGAATTCCCAACCAACACCTTGTTGAAGCGGAGAGAGCACAATGTTCACAAGAGCCGGCATGGTGTCGTTCCGTGAGTTTGATTGGAGGCTGCAATCTGTTGCTCAACTGCTGATTGAGGACCAGAATACAAGTCTGGAGAGCCGATATTGGATCCTCACGACCTTCCGTGCCCTTTGGCGATATGGAGCGCCCCAATGGAATGGCATCTCTCCTACACAAGATTGTAAGTTCGCAACTACACAGATAGTACTCTTGACTAAAATAATGTAGCGTACCTGGGGTTTCTGCCTGGTAGAGGGAACTCCTGCAACTCCCGAGGCCACAGAAGCTCTGCTCGAATCGATTGGTCCAATCAGGAACACGCACTACGGTATGTTTCTTCACAACGCAGACCTCTTTCCTGGCTAATTTCAATCAAGGTGGATTCTACGACTTTACATCGGATCTCTCATCAAAAGATACTGCCTATACCAGCGAGAGTCTTGAACCACACACCGACAACACCTATTTCACCGAACCCGCCGGCCTACAAGCACTCCACATGCTTTCCCACACCGACGGCTCTGGAGGCGAGAGTTCTCTCGTAGATGGTTTCGGAGCAGCACTTCAGCTGTATTCGGAAGATCGAGACGCCTACCACTGCCTGAGTGAGACTGGAGTCTACGCCCACGCAAGTGGCAATGAAGGGATCAGCATACAACCATCTCGAGCGTTCCCAACACTCTCACACGATCCGGAGTATGGCTATCKTACTCAAGTCCGATGGAATAACGCAGATCGCGCTGGTATCGCTGCGGACTTTACTAGTGTCGACAGGTGGTACGATGCTGCGGCAAAGTACGATGCCCTACTCAACGACCCAAAGAACCAGTACTGGTTTCAGTTGAAGCCCGGCCAGCTGCTCATCTTTGACAACTGGCGGGTACTTCACGGCCGTGCTGCATTTACTGGAAAGCGTAGAATGTGCGGCGGGTACATCAACCGCGATGACTTTATCTCGAAATACCGCGCGACGAACATGAATGCGCAGGAGATTCAAAGCGCTACAGTTACAGGGTAGAGTGGAACGATTGGGATGAAACATTCAATTCCATGCGTGAATATCCAATAAGCTCTCCAACCCGACTGACTTGCTGTCCTCCCTCACTATCCAACCACAACAGGCCAGCCACTCGACAAATCCAGCTTATTCCACCCGAAGAAGAAGTTGTCATAATCAAAGCCAACGCTCGGGCGAACGTAATGATAGTACATCACCACACTCTCCTGTTGAGCATCCCACATAACCCCTTGTCCACCAGGCGCATAAACATCATCATGACTTCCCAGAACAACGGTCCCTCCATTCTCAGTCAAACAATTCCTCCCTTGCTGATCGAAGAATTCCCCACTASCCTGCAATGATCTACAGACCATAACCTTGTACTCTTCCCCCGGAGGAGCCAATCCCTCTTCGAAAGAATTGCAGCAATTTCCCGAGGAGAAGAAGAGATAATAAAACCCCCTCCATTGAAACATATAACTCCCCTCCGTTGAGCCAGGTACAAGACCCGCAGGCCGCACACTATCATTCTTCGCCAACTGGATGATGGGGTCGCCGTTGACTTTAACCGGGGGATTCGTTAACGGGACCTGAAAAATCTGACCCCAGAAAGATCCAAAATTCAATAAATAGGTGCTTTCAGCAGAGTGCTGGAAAAGATTCCCATCGATGCGATTGTAGGAAGTATTTCGAGGAATCCCAACCGAACCGTGATCAAGCCAAGAATCGGGTTCGAGAGTTGTGGATGTCGCAACTCCAATATCGCCTTCTTGCGAACCTAGCGAGGAGACGCTGTAGTAGAGGTGATAAGTCCCGTTGATATGAAAGACGTCTGGAGCCCATAAGTCCATTTTCCCCGGAAGGTTGTCGATTGTGGAGCCGGAGGGGAATACGACCCCTTGGTTTGACCAGGGACCGCTGATGTGAGGGGCTGTGGCGATGTGGATTTTGTCGTTTGTGGTGAAGCGGTAGAAGGTTGATGTTTGTTCGCGGTAGATTATTGAGGGGTCGTGGAGTCTACCTTTGCATAGCCCGGTGCAGATTCCTGGTGGGGGATAAGATTGTTTGGAGAGAGGGGAGGACAGGGTGAGGGTTATGAGGGCTGCTGCGAGGAGTTGCCAGATGAGGAACATGGTTTTGAGATGATGGTGATTGTGAGGATGGATTTAGATTCCGTGGTTTTCTTTGGAAGGGATGAGGGTTCTTCTCCCACGGAATTTTTTGGATGACTTTCTTTGGTGGCGGTGAAGTGTGTGGTGATGATGTGTTGGCGTAGTAGATGAGATGTCAGGTATCCTGGTCAATCAATCCCCAATTTCTTGGCTCCTCCTGGGAGTTGAACAATGTTGATGTTGATGTAGTAGTGTCTGAATGAATGGTCAAGGGTGCGGAAAGTATGGATGTTAATGTTGTTGCTGTTTTATACAGATGGATGGTTTCAAAGATGTGTGGCGTCAGGGACATGTGAATAATGAGTTGAAGGAAGAAAGCTGGTTGCAACTTGCAAGCTGCTGCTGCTGCTACTGCCAAGCCCGGCATGTGAAAGGTATGCATGCTGCTGATAATGCGACTGTCTTCACTTCACTTGGAGCCATCGTTCTCGACCTTGTTGCTGGCTATGAAACTGCTAGAACCAGCCCTCTCTACCAGCAGAGTCGTTCGTTTCAATAGCGGAGAAGCATCGTAGTAGAAGACGCGTTGTTGCATAATATATACTTCGAGAGAGAATACTTCACCTGGAATACACAGCATCGGCCCCAAGAAAGTCTCTCTCGATATCGTTGTTGTCTTTTAACCTGCTGGGGATTCTCCTTGTAAGCACAGTCCTATTTCAACACTCGAAAGACAAAAAAATTGAAATGACGTCTCTGGCAGGGTGATGTCGATGAGGTGCGTCAAAAAATTCTGTGCTCGTATATTGTCTGCTAGATCTCTGCTCTGACCGCATGCCAAGGTGTTGCTGTGCAAGCAGAGACACTTCCTTATTATGATGAGCCCTCTAGTTAGCGCGTTCCCTTTCACCCGCTCTAGACTCCGCACTGTATTGCATCATCTTTGAGTTTGGGCCGTCAAGCTTTAGGTGTTATATCCGTGATCAGGAATAGCCGGATGAGGGCACTAGAACGATAGCCGCGCTGATAAATACATCTCAACCCGCTGGGCAACATGATCCTTTGTCAAGTACATTAAAATCCAATCACCATGGCGCCAGTAATCCACTTCGACTATGGTAAGATTGATGACATCCCGGGCCAGCCTCCAACGACCCTCGATTGACWCAATCCTCAGACTTCTCTCCGTACGGCCAAAAGACCAAGTTACTTCTAAAAGCAGCAGGAGTGGAGTTCCAAAAGTGCGATCAGCCGGCTGTTCTACCTCGCAAAGATCTCGAAGCGCTTGGAATCACATACCGACGCATTCCACTTTTATCGGTCGGAAAGGACATCTATGCCGACTCCTCCAAGGTCATCCAAACAATCCTCTCACTTKGAAACATTCCCACCGGTCCAGCAGACAAAGCATATCAGACATGGGGCGACACAGTCTTCAACGAAGTCCTCGGACTCATTCCCAGCCAAGTCCTATCCCCCGAATTCGTCAAGGACAGAAAGAGCATCTTCCCCATCGTGGAACGTCCAGATCTGGAAACCATTCGTCCCAGCGCTCTCGCTGGATTCAAATCCCGTCTCCGGGAAGTTGAAGAGGACTTTTTGGGAGATTCCAACGGTCCTTTCATTCACGGAGACAAGATCTCCCTCGCAGATATCCACATCGTGTGGCCGCTTCGCTGGGCACTCAATGATCTCGGCGCCGCGCACGATGTCGGGACGGGCAAGAATGATTTCCCTAAAGTCTGGCGCTTGATTGAGAGTTTGCCGCAAGTTTCCCCTTCTGCGCTGAGTGCCGAGGAAACACACAAGGCTATTCGTGAGAGTGAATATACATCCAAGGGACCGAATAGTGTTCAGCAAAATGATGCGTATGGGATTGCTGCTGGCACGCAGGTCTCGATTGAGAGCTTTGAGTCAGTTTTATTACGCGCGAGCCTCTTGGACGGAGAGATTACTAATGATCGGTGTAGTTCGACTCCTGGCTCGCACCCCCAAAACGGCAAGCTTGTTGGAACTAGCATTGATGAGGTTGTTATCGAGGTCGATGATGGCATTCGTCTTCATTTCCCAAGGATCGGATATATTGTGCGTGCTCAGTAAAGAGTGTGAGTGTTCTACTGGGCTTCTTCAGGGGTTGCGGAGATGTTTATTCCGCTCTTATTTTCATGAAGCAGCTCAATTTCTTCGAGTAACTTATTGGGTGTCGTTGTTACACTCGCCAGCGTTGACAGAATCTGCATGTTGTTCGGTGAGGGTTAGGGTTGGGGTAGTCTGAAGCGCTTGACTTTTCCTTCTCGTCCGCCAACTTTCACTCGTCACTCAGCGATGATGATATTAGCTGCTAGCGGCGGCTGGAAGTTTCGTGCTTCCACCTTGTTCATCATCTGGTGGAAAATCTGCTGGAAGTACGAATGCTGAGAATGTGCTTCCGCGAACGTGACCTTGTCGAGAAATGATAGCACCAGAAGGTCAAACGCAGATGTCGGGAAGGAATCCGGCATGGACTCCAGCAGCACTCTGTAATCTCTATTCCGTAGTACTATCGTACTTGTTGGTAATGTGGCAATAACCTCGTGCAATTGACGACCTGTTGAGCGATTGAGCCTTTCAGCACTCGGGTAATAGTGCGATGATTGATGCTGGAGTTATCGTCCTTGGTGATATACAAAGATAGTAACTTGTCTGGCAGCGTATCGCATGGACTAGAAATCTTCTGAACACCTCTGAAGTCATCGATAAGCTAAAAATTTATTAAGCATCATCATTAGCCGACTCAGTATACAACCTGCTGTGTTATAGTGACTTGTCGTCTAATAGCTACGCTACAAGCTAGAGTTTCTCGGCTTCCTGCTGTGGAGGTGCGCCGTTATGGCTTCCGGCATCGCTGTCATCGCTACCCTTGCCAGCATATGGATCCTCGCGAGCACCCAGCTCGTTCATTTCCGCTTCTTCTCGGTCGTACTGGTGGAATGTCCAGTAGAAGATGACAGAGGTAGCACTTGCGAYAACTGCGATTCCAGTGTACATGTACCTGTCTATATTAGCGAAGTTCTTGGATGTCGTCGCACTCGGAAGATCGTTCTTCCGAGTTTCCCTCGGATCTTGAACTTACATGATATCTGGATCGCCAGTAGCTGGCACGAGAGCTTCATTCAAAGCAGATCCAACGGCGTTTGTGAAAAGGTACAGTGACTGCACAAAAGACTTCATGGATGGAGGGGCCTTGGTGTAGGCGTACTCCAGACCCGTGACCGAGATGAAGATCTCGGCGATACCGATGAACATGTACGCTGGTGTCTGGACCACAATGTGCACGTTGTTGGGCAGAGGGGACTTGCCGTCCATACCTGCTGGGCACTTTCCGGGGTGACTGTAGCAAGGGCCACTCGCGTAGATGATGTGCTGGACGATAGCCGCATATGCCAGACACAGGGAAGCGAAGAAGAAACCAATCGAGATGCGAGCGATCGGCTTGAGCTCGATGTGCCATCGTCGTAGGGCTGGGTACACTAGCTTGTCCAGAATCGGGATAAAGACCAGGATTGAGATGGCTATGACACTGGTCAGCATTCTATATGTTTGGGAGGGATATAGGGCTTTACATACGGTCGAAATTCTGCATTAGGTCATTAGGCATGCCGTGACCTTTCATCTGTCCTGCCTGGGAGACGAAGTTGGAGCTGAATTGGCCATAACAGACCCAAAAGATCGGATAAACTGAAACTTTGTCAGCAATCAACGATCGACAATACTCTACTCCGACAACTCACAGCAGAAGACCTTGCAAGCACGGAGCGCACGCTTGAGTTCCTCGATAAAGTGGTCGTTCCATGGTACAGGCTTCGTCTTTCCCCTTTCCGCGCGCCAAGACGGCTTAGGAGCATCAAGACTGCGGTTAGCAATCATGATGCCAATAGCCTTGAAAGAATCGGTGATGATGGAGCCTTGTGGTGGTCTGTCGATGTATCGTCCACGGCAGATGATTAGTATAATGACTCCAATGCAGAACATCAAGAAACACATGAGGTATGCGGTCCAGAATCCCTTGTATTTCTCCATGAACGGCGTGGCAAGGAGGGATAGGCATCCGATGTTGATGCAAGCGTAGAACATCATGTAGATCCGCTGGAATGTGATGGCTGGGTCGAGGACAACTCGTTCACCAGATGGGAGGGTCTTGACGGCCATGATCTTGCGAGTGTACTGATCCGCGATGAGTGGCGCAATGTTGGACTTGATACCACCCGTTCCAAATGCAATGACAATGATGGCGGTTATATAGCCACCAAGAGCGGCACCACCTTCGATCGAAGCTGGTAGAGCGGTTGTCCAGAGAATTATCAGTCCAACCCAGTAAATGGCCGCAAACAGGACAATGGTCTTGTACTTTCCGAGATACTGATCGGAAATGATGGCACCAAGGATAGGTGTGAGGTAGGCGAAGAACTGGAAGAAAGTGTTCAGTCCTGTTGCACCAGCATGACCGAGGCCAAGACCACGGGGGCCATCACGGCCGTCAGGATGGTTGCTGACTAGAGCGACGATTAGTAGGTTGTCTGTAGTATTGATTGATTTCACTTGCTGTAATTCTGAAACAGTCCTTGACAACCATAGTAGGTGAAGCGTTCACAAAGCTCAACAACTGCGACAAGATATGCAGACTTTGGGAAGGCATCTCCGATGTGTCGCAGGGTTGCCTTTTCATGTTCGGTAGGCTCTAATTCGTCTGCGGTATGTTGTGTTTCCACATCACCCGAAGTGTTCTTCTCAGCCTCGATGATGGGCAGCTTGGCACCACTGACATCGGTCTGAACCTGTGAGCCCTGTCGCTGTGCCATGGTTGAGTGCAGCTCCACCACTGCATCTTCGTGATTCTGCGCCATGATGGCTCGTTGTTGTGAGGAGACTGATGGCAGAGAGAATGACGATGTGACGACGAGGGCAGAACGAAGCGAGGTCAAATCGAATCAAAAGAAAGGTGACGGCAGCTTAGCTTTCTATTACTCGATCAGCGCCCGCAGCAAACCAAAAGTTAGATGATGGCTACTGCTTTGAGAATCTGCCCCGACGAAGGATTTTTCGCTTGAAAACGGCTTGACTGGGGCGCCTATTGTAGGTCTTGCCTCTATCTTTCCCGGCGGGCGCACCGACCTTTTCCTCACGCGACATCATACATGGAAAAGAGTTCTCAGAAACGGACCGGCCGTGTAGATGGTTCGCTGGCGCTGATGTAACGTCAGTTCACCTGAACCCTGCGCCAAACCAAAGGCGTATGCTTAACCGAAATCGCGCTGCCGATATCCGCTGCCAAGTCTTGGGATCTGCTGCCGCACTTTGCTTGTGTCGGCTTGGTCGTCTTGCACATGCTTGGTTGGGGATGCAAGCAATTGTCATCATTTGATGCAAAAGATAGCGATCACAGTCGCCTTATCAGCTGTATACAGCATCCATAGATAGACCTCTAGTCGTCAAACGGACGTCGATATTGGCTCCACCGACTGTGCGCCGTCCGCTCTGCTAGTGCCGCCACACGTGTGCTGCAAACCTTGTCTTGAGGTAGGTATCGACGGGCGGTTCGGATGTACCGACTGCGACTGATGCACTCTTTGCATGCATGGTAACGGTGTGTAGCATCCGACTCCGCATTTCGTCGCGTGGGATCGTCCTACCTCCGCACACAAGAATGGCAAGATTGACATGGCACATGGCGTTTAGTCAGAGGCTGTTGAACGAGCTTCCTGATCCGTTCGAGAGTGGGACCGCTATTACGAGACAGGTCTCCTGTGGTTCGGCACTAGTCTCGGAATGCCGTATCACTCATCTTCATGCCATGTTACTCTTGCACCGCATGCCGCTTGGCAAAAGGACAGTGGGAGATGTCATGGGAAGTTTACGCGTACCGACGTTGATAAGTTTCCCATGTGCCGCGAAAGGAGGAGCATACATGTCGGAAACGATTCCGATGTTGAAGAAGCACAGATCCGCTTGAGCGATGCTGATTTGAAAGTATCGCCATTTGAAAAGTACGCAGGAAATCTCGCACATAGCAGGAAATTGTCAGGCGGCATCTCGGGAGTGAGATATGCTCACATTCCAGGAAAGGGCGGATCTCACGCCTGTGAGTTCWGCTTGCCTTTGATCAGTTCTTTGACAGCCAAAAGATTTGAGCCTTCGGACTTCCGACAAATTAGCACACCATTTTGAATTCCAATGGAGGGACAGTGGTGACTAAACGGGCGACAGCGGCTGAAATGAGTCTAATTTACCTGAATTGAGACAGCGTAAAGTAGGTGTGAACTTCTCTCACCTGTGACGACCCCTTGCACTCTTCCGGACGCTGCAAGTCTGAAGAATAGCAGACGGTTAGGGAACGACCATCTAGAGGAGAGAGCAAGACTGTCACATGCTAAAATGGAGCGGGAGAGGCCACATTCGCACAGTGGCATCGTCGAAACCCTGGCCTAGTCGCACCCAAGTTGACCTTTTCCGGGGAGGCATGGGTGATCTTCTCCACTGCCCATCGACAGGTGTCGAGGCAGTGAGCAGCAGTGTGCGCGAGGCCCAGGAAGATGTTCTTCTCGTGTACGTGGAGTAAGGGAGTGCCATGAGAATCTTGGAAACGGCCCATGAACAGAAACGGCAACCCGTGCTGGTTACGTCCATGCGCAGATAAAGATGGGATCTGAGAAGGATCAAGCAAACCCCGAGGGCCTCCGGAATGTGGCTGTTGTTGCTTTCTTGAAGAGCGTCGCCACCTGGACTGGAACATCCGCCAAGTACCACGCTGCTGCAATTCCTGGTCTTCATGTTCATTCGTCCTGCCTGGCGCGTTGCGTATCCACGCGTTCGCCGTGTCGGCACGGCGAGGTCTTCTGGATGTTGTACCTTTTGTTATCTTGCTGCGAGACGATCTCCCAGCAGGCCGCGTGTCCTCATAGCTCGGCGCTGAGCAGGAACCATCTCTTCGCCGTGATAGTCAATCGACAAGTGATCTTGATACCCCGTCCAGGCGGCAGATATGAATGATCGATCGATAACGTTGGCGGCTCGCTGTTATGCCGGTTTGAGGGTAGTCAGACGCTGTCAAGGTCGCCGTCGGACAGGACTGGAAGGATAAAAGCATGGGCATGCTTGATACATATCTTGCCATATCCCATGCTATCGGAATAGCATGCCTGAAGTTCACGACACAGGTGATGAAGATGAGACGAGAGTGTGCGTCTCGCAATCCGGTAGGGTGGTACCTAGCTCCGATATAGCGGCAGCTCCGATTCAGCCGAGTTCGGCCCGCGCTATCCCCGCCTTCTCGATTCGTCAAATCTCCCTTGCGACTACCTACGAGGCCACACGACTTCACTGGAGATACTTCTTCTCCGTGATCTCGTCAATCAGATTGAACATAGCCTGCCCTCCGAACCAGCCAGCCTTGTGGGAGCCCGCGATGCCCTTGGTATATTCGGCTTCCTCATCTGACATTTTGACCGTCTCTCCGCCGCGTCCATTCGCCGCAGCATCAGCGAGCAACTGGACGTGGCAGACTTTATCGAGAAGATAAAACCAATTGACGGCCTCCTCGATGGTGTGGCCGACGGTGAGAAGGCCGTGATTACGCAACAGGGCGGCCTTGCATTGTCCAAGACTGTCTGCAATATCACAGCCTTCATCAGCCGCCAGAACGATGCCTTTGCCCTCGAACACAACGTGGTCCTAGGAAGTTGTCAGCTCAAGGTCATTACGCTGGAACAATCTCGATCCTACGTTGTGGAAGATGCATGACTCCAGCGAGATTGAATCTAGCGGCTTTCCAAGCGMACAGAATGCACGACCGTAGATCGAGTGCGTATGTGCGGCACACAATACATCCGGTCGAGCTTCGTGGATTGCGCCGTGGATGAGGAATGCCGCCTTGTTGAGGATCTTCACTTTGCCATGGTCAAGAATGTTGCCTTTGTGATCCACACGGAGGAGATCGCTCTTCTTGATCATGTTGAAATCGACGCCGAAAGGATTGACCTAGATGCAGCGGTGAGTTAAGCGTCATGGAATAAGATTTGCAACTCACCCAGAACGTATCCGGCTCGATTGGGTCGCGAACGGTGATGTGTCCTGCAGGATGAGCCATCAGCTGTGCTCAAAAACTGGCTGGAAGCGAGTCGCACCAGCGAGTCCCTCGTTCAAGCCATAGTGTCCGAAGATGCGATATGCCCCTGCCAAACGGCCTTTGATATACTCTCGTTCTTCAAACTGGGTTTTGAACTCAAGTTTGGGAGGAGATGCGAATCCGACATCTTGACCGGCAGTCTTTGCGAAGTCGGGCGTCTTGGTCTTGCCATTCCCAACCACAACGTGTTCCTCGATAGGAGCTGGAGCCATTGCGATCGATGACTCAAAAAAAAAAAAGTTTCCGGTGGGATCTAGCTTGGAAAGAATATGGGCGGATGATCGATGAGAAGAATGAAGTTGAAGAACAAGGAGGGAAGAAGGGTACCACTTCAACTACCTGCCTTCAAAGGTTGTTGTATCGCTTTCAAACAGCGTGTAATGCTACCATAGCTGTGGCGTGGTGAGTTCCTTACCCCGCCACAGGTACCGCAGTACACTCAACAGAACCAGCAGCACAAGCTCGATGCAGGAAAGCTCCGCGCTGTTGTGACCATCTGATCGCTCTGGTCCGACACCTGCAGGCTGTGAATGCTGCCAATGGCTGACGACCATGATAGACTCGGCATCGATTATGGCAACTTTCGCTGTGACTCMAAAGCAGAGACTTGCCGCATCAAGTCTAGAAATCATTGGGACATCGCCCATTGAAATCTGGAGGGACGARATTGAGAGAAACAGGCATGCATGTTCGCCTCAAATCGAGTTGTTTATGGTGAACCTGCCTAATGCCCAGATCAAAAACTCCACGCCAAAACCACAATCGGCAAATATGCTCCGCCAACACCTCAAGTACGCCGTTCTGCTAACTCCCAGAGTGGGCCATCATCAAATCACGAGTCGTCTCTCCCAAAGTCCGCAACATGGATTCTACCAAGCAGTGTAGCCGCCATCAATGACCATGTGCTCCCCGGTCATGAATGACGAGGCATCACTCAACATGAAAAGAATCGCGCCGCGGAACTCCTCCGGAGCGCTAATGCGACCGAGCATGTTACCCTCCTCCCACTTGGCGCGCAGGGTCGGGTCGTCGTTGAAGTTGGCCCGTACCATCGGAGTGACAATGTTGCCCGGGCAGAGCACGTTGACGCGGATGGGCTTGCCATCGATTTCCTTGCCCCACTCCATTGCGAGGCTGCGGCCGAGCTGAATGACAGCTCCCTTTGAGGAGTTGTAGACGGCGCAGAAAAGGTCCTTGTTGGCGATCAGTCCGCTCATCGAGCCGATCAGGACCATGCTTCCGGGTGTCTCGTACTTCTTCATCTGCCGAGCACAGCTGCGCGCTGAGAGGTAGACACCTTTGAAATTGATGTCCATCATCTGTTCGTGTTAAAATGCTGATATACAAGCGATCGAGGAGTTGGCGCAACATACCTCGGAAATCTTCTCGACATCGTAGTCGAGGACGCGAGTGACATTCTGGACAGCGGCTGCGGCGACAAGGCCATCCATTCTGCCGTGCTCCGAGGCAATCTCCTCGAAAACGTCGTCTTGGCGAGCAGCGTCGCGAACGTCGGCCTGCATGTAGTGGAGAGTGCCACTGTGCTTGTCCGAGATGTCACGCTGGGCAGCGCGGAATTCTTCGCTTGGGGTCGCCGAACGATCAATTGCATATGCTGGAAAAAGTCAGTACTCGCGCGCAACTTAGACCCACCACATGGACTCACCGTGAGCGCCCTGCTCAGCGAGAAATTGCGCCTGGACGAGGCCGAGCCCCTGGCCACCGCCAGTGATTCCGTAGACACGGCCGTCAATCTATCGCATGAGAGTCAGAGTCCAGTTCGGCAACTGTCAAGTTTGGCTGATTTTCGAGACTCACCTTGAAGATGTTCTCAACTTGGGCCTTGCCCTTGTTGGCGCCGATGTTGGCGGAGGTGTTGACTGCGGTGGTGATACCACTGATACCGCGGCCGCCGCACGGGAAGCCACGAGTCGCGGACTTGAAGGAGGTACGGAGAGCCGCGCGCATGATGGATGTGGATTGCATGACGTTGGTAGTCCGTTGGTAGTATAGTGAAGGTTGATGGATGCTGTCTTCGAAGCTTGAAGGAAGAAATGCGGAAGAAGTGGTGATGTTCAAGTTATGTCTCGAGAAGAAATGTTGCGGTTTAAATAGTGTGGTTCGTGGATTCGTTCTTGGGGCGAAGGTGAGTGAATATGGGAGTGAACTATTCACTGTTGGCCGGATCGAGACTTCGACCACGCTGCAGCACGCATTTGTTCGTGGTATTCACCTTCTTTGCAGGCGCAGCATATGTGATATACAAGTCGCTTCGATTTGATCAATGAAGGCGCAGGGACAGCGCCCGTGATATACGAGTCACTCCAATCTGGGTATTCGAATGTCGAACCTTTTGTCCGATCGCGCGGTGGCAGGGCATGCACAGCGTGCTGAGCTCGGCGTCAGACTGGACCTGGTCTGCCTAGGCGGTAACCGTCGGACACGGGGTTCATGGGATGAGGCCGCCACAATTGTCGCATCACTTGAGCGAGGTCCATTGGATACAAGAAGACGCCAAAACATTGGCATCCAGCATGCAACATTTACGGCAACTTGTTCAACAATGTGCGAGTAGAAAAGCAAGGTCGGACCACAGCTGTTGCGTACTGCATACAGGGGACGGAGCTAGCAGCGTTGTTTGCATCTTCTGTCCAGGTACCCGCCGCACAAAGCCGATACACAACGTACAAGCATCGTACGAAAGCTTGGAGCAGTCAGCATCGTATCGTACGCTGCGAGCATTTGGTGTAGCGGCTTTCCGAAGATCAACGTTTCGGCGCTCTTCGAAAAGGCGTCAAGGAGTCAGCCTCGCAAGTAATCCACCACTGGCTCTGCCCAGACCGTCCCACGCTTATAATGGTTCATCTCAGGCACGTTCCCGGTCTTCAATCCTTCAATGGCGTCTGCCAGAGCTTCTGCATATCCTTCTTCCTTGGCCTCGGAGAGCTTATACAGGTATGTCTTGAAGGCAAACACGATCGCTTTGGTGTTCGGTAGGCGGAAGAGAATCTGACGTTCAGAACGCAGTCTACAATTCTCAACCACCACATCCCTTCTCTGCTGCTTAATCTCCTCGCTCTCATCTTCGTACGAAGGGCTGTGAAAATGAGTGCCATCCTCTTTGAATAGTACATCGTCCGTTGTGATCGTCCAGTTGGAGCGCTTAACAGGTTTCGCACATTCGAGTCTCGCAAAGAATCGGTCCATGGACTTTTCCAACTTTGCCTTGTACCCAGGCACGGGACTGTGGATCTCGGCCAGTGGCATGCCTGACTTTTGACGCAAACTGAACCCCATTGGACAGCAGCAGACGAAGGCCTGGAGATGGTAGATTGGAGATCCATCTGCCGCTTTGCTGGTGGGTAGCAGAAGCACGAAATCAGTATCAACGTGCTCGCCTAGTGCATCGAGAGCCCGTAATGGCGAAGCCGGCACAAGAGGGACGGAAGTATTGCTGACTGTGTTGAAGAGACTGTTTTCAGGGGTAAGGTGATAGATGCTGGGAAACCGTGTGGGTAGATAAGTGCGAAAGATCCAGTCGTGGAGCTCCAGGACTGCTGGAACGCCTACTGGATTGCACTGCATCGTTGCATCTGGATTTTTGTCTATCGTGGACCTTCGAAACTTCATTCTGTCGGCGTAGGTGTTGTCAAGGGCAATCGTTTCCGAAAGATTGACGTTTTCCAGGGCTGTCATTATGTCAGATCAATTAATCTGTGAGAGACAAGACGACATTATACTTACCCATAGTGAGGTGGTACTTTGGCTTGAGGTTTGCATTGCGAATTGGGGGTGTCTCTGCCCATTTGAAATCTGGAAGAGGCTCGATGTTGGTGTAAGGATTCTTTTCTTCAGCTTGTTCAGAGCACTGTTTGCTATCTTGTTGAGCTTGTTGTCGCTGTTGGCATAACACTTTGTACAGACGCCACAGGACGAATAGTGCGAGCCCGGCAAAGGCAGCGATGACGGAGTTTGGGATCATGGTGATCAACAATGCAATTTGCGGAAATTTTGAGCAGACAATCTTCTGGTGAATCAAGAAGGGTTACAATCAAAGGTACGAAAGATAGGGACCATCACTAAGATATGAGTCCGCCTCGGCTGCCATCGTCAGTGTGGACGCATACGTTGGCCGAGCGGGTCTTCATCAACCAATCGAAACACAGTGCACCTTCCGCATCCGGAAGTCCGTCCCGGGTTGGTGTAGTGGCGGCGTACCGAATACATATACATGATTCGGATAGGTGTGATTAGGCTGCGAAGCTCGGGAATGATGTAAGCCATCTACGACGAACGACGATACCGCTTTGCAGGTGAAGAAGTCGACAGCATGCTACAATGGAATGGTAAGTGCAAGTGCAAAGGTCCAAGACGAATGGAGTAGATAAGCTGCTTCTATCTGGAGATTGTCAGGGCGTGTGAATCATGTGGAGTAGTGATGGTAGAAGACGTTCGTAAAACTATCTGTCCAGCTTTACTTCACATGTAGAATCTTTGTGGTCAGCTTGTAGCCGCTTGCACCTAATCAAGCGACAGTGGGTACAAGCCTTTGTCTCGACAGCGCATGAGCAATATCGATGTTTGGTAGTCGTTTTCCGAGTGCCATTCGCGCTTTGAAACCGCAGGTTTGCGGACGGTAAAGCAAACACGAGAGTCGGGGAGTCACATGAAAGCCTTGGCAGAACAGAGATGTTGGCCCAAGCTGATCTAGCATAGGTAAGCATGTGAAAGAAGCCCCAGAAAGACCAATTTCTCTTCTTCTACAACTCAGAGTAAGCCAGAGCAAAGATTTTGCGCGGCTCTCGGCTTGTWCATCTCAACGACCTCCTGTTTGCTGACAGAGCTTCCCGACAACTCCCCTTACATCGAACTCCTTCTTGAATATCAAAGAGCAAACAACAAGGTTATACTAAAGATGCATTCACAACCCAACATGATGCTACAACCAGCCCAAATATCTTGCCATGGCAGACAAGACAACCACCCCACAGAACGGCGCATCTACCAATGGCGACAACTCGACCATTCAGCCACCAGTCGTTCCAGCCGCCGGAACATCCGAGACTCAATTCTGGCAAGCTTTCAATGACTTGGTGGATCAGATCATCGCACAGAGAACGAGAGATGGAAGTACTGGCCCGATTTCGGTTACCCGCGAAGCGATAAAGCCTCTGTTCAAGCTTCTGGAAGAGTGGAAACCAGCTCTGATTAGTAACACTCAGTGGGTGATCCTCATGAAGGAGGAGAAGCTACGAAGTGATACCAGTAAGCGAAGTGTGCAGGATGCAGTTCGAGACGCTATGTCACAACTCATCCGAGAGTCATCTCTGTGATGGAAGCTGCGCTTACGTCGCAGAGGGACAGGGTTTGATGATTGATTGGGGGAGTTTTGAACGCTCATCAAGTGTAATTATCACAGACCAAGACGAGAGAGACGATGGGTGTGAGGGAATACTCCGTAATGGTCTTGCAATGTCTCCCCTTCGCAGTCGAAGATGGACGAGTACTCATATCACAGAACAGCGGCACGAATCGTTACAGAATGCAATTGTGTTTTGACCGGTCTCCGTATCGATTCGTTAGGTGGATGAGATTGTATTCCCTTTTCCCATCTCAGTGTCTCGAATAGGACATTTCAATCGAAGTTTTGGAGAAAAGCTGCTGTTGGTCCCTGTCCCTCAAACTGATGTAGCAAATATTTCTACTCCTCTCGAGGAGAAAGCCAGAACAGCACGATGAGCACTACTTTGCCTACAAAACAGAGCAGATTACTTCCAAGTTGACAGCTAATGCTCCTTATCTGTACATCAAAGATCCCATCTCCATCGTGGCAAGATATCGCACTACCCCAACCCTAACCCTGAGATTTTTTCCAGCGGAGGAGGGCATGAGAAGGAGGCAGGTTCTTAGAAACTTTCCGTCCACTACTAGTGATTTTTGACCATATCTAAGGCGGTATCGTACATCGTATTTCGTCCCACCTGTCTGGCTTAGATATCGTGACCGCAAGTACCAGTGTGACGCTCACCCTCGACAACAGTCCACGGGAAGAAGTCATCGTCAATGATCGTAGCATTCGACCATTCCTCCCGCTTGTAGATCTCATCCATGACATCTCTAGGCGCAGTGCGATTGCCTTTGGGAATGAGATTCTGTCCCTCCRTCGCAAGTGTTGCTAGAACATGCGCGGCTGCTTTCGCATTGACAGTGATCTGTTCCTCATTGAAGTTGCCAAACACATCGCAGGCCTGATGATAGCAGTCATCCTCCGTAACACCGGTTCCAGTGTGAAGGCCACCGACAGGCTTGTTCAAAGTGGACATGAAGCTAGCATAATCACTGCCACCGGTGAAGACAGCTGCTCGAACAGTCTTGTTCTGAGATTCAAGATAGTCCACGAATAATTTCTCGATCGCACCGGATCCAGGGGCTCCGGCAAGGCCGTGAGTGTCGCCATCTCCATCGAAAACTCCCCAGTACCCACGAGAAACCATGTCGAAGTTGAGGTATGCAAGCAGATCGTCTGCCTCGCGAGTGTTGTTGATGTTTGCAGTGTAGTATTTGGATCCGACGAGGCCGTTCTCCTCTGCTCCCCACCATGCGAGACGAATCTTGTTCCGGAAGTCAAGACGCTGGAGTCCATCGAAAATCTCAAGCAGTAGACTCGATCCAGATCCGTCATCGTTGATTCCAGCACCGGCCTTGACAGAATCTAAATGAGCTCCAAGCATGATGACGTTTCGTGGATCACCACCCTTTGACTCTGCGATCACATTCTGTGTGATACGGGTTTCCACAGTCTGAGTTTGCTGAAAGTAAGCAATGAGTTCCTCGCCTGCTTCAAGTCGAGCCTTTAATCGTTGACCGTCGTCCTGGTTGATGAACCCGCTTGATCTATAGCCAACTTCGTCGGGAGCAGAGAGCGTACCTCCGGTGACCTTTGGGGAGACGTTGTTGTAAATGATGACGTTGCTGGCTCCAGCAGCCACAGCAGGGCGGATCCTTCCAGCAAGTGTGCCACCTTCGGGGCAAGTTCCTCGTTCGACAAGAACAATCTTGTCTTGTACGTCTAGACCTGCGTAGCCAGCAACATCGCAGGCGGCGGTCCCGTTAGGACCAAGAACGAGAGGCAATGTAACCCCTTCTGGAGTTGTCGAAGGAGAGTATGTCAATCCAAAGACGTAGATGTCTTCATCGTCCACTTTGAAAGAAATGGATACCACGTCGTTGTAGAGAGCCGGCAAGTCTTGCGTCCACGATTTCCATTTTTGTGAACCAGAGACTCTGGACATGACATAGTCACGCGAGGCATCATATCCAGGGAGACCAAAAGCTCTGTTTCCGCCATTTGCAGTGGCGATCTTGTCGAGTTCCTTCAGGTTTCCGATGAGGCTGATTGATGATGTCAGTTGGGCACAACATTAAAATGGCCTCAATGTACACACCCGCTAGTCTTGATCGAAGATTGCAGCTTCTGCGAGAGAATTCGTGTGAGAGCGGCATCTGCGGTAGCAAGGAAGCTAGCCAGGACCGTGACGGTCCACGCAATGTCTGACAAAGAGATGCGCATCGTTGGAAATTTGCCCTCAAGGTCAAATTTTCATCAAGGTGGTCGACCGAGTGCATATAAAGACCCGCAGCCGTGTCGCCATAGTACTTGGCACTTCTCCGCAATAGTCACGTTGCTATCTTGTCGATGCGACTAACATGCGCTTAGAAAAAGTTGCTCCAGTCGTACTCGCTGCCAAGGAGTTATGCCAATCCGAATTCTGCTACCTTCCGCTTCGGACCAGAGAATCATTCTAGCGTGGTCTTGGTACTGATAACGCTACCACACCCTCCGAAGCCAAGAAGCTGTCATAATTTCAATCAATGCCCAGTAGGGCTCTTGGAAGGGCCAATGCTTGATCTCACCACATGATATTGGTAGGTGGAGAAACCAGTTTGGCAATGCATACATGGAGCGAAGAGAGTAGCATTCGGCTCTACACGAGATATCTGAAACCCTTCCTCATCCTAAGAGCTTCGTCTTCGCTCTCCAGGAATTCTCCATCCTCCCCACGACCAGCGCCAAGCTGTGCAATCTCGCTTTGCTCCAACTTGTTGTTCAGCCGGTTAAGGGTAAAGCGGAAGACCCAGCATCCAAAGATTGTCACGCCGAACATGGCAGTCACAATGCCGTAGCTATTGCGGTAGCCGTTGGCAGTAAGACTCCAGACGTAGGAGCCAGCAATGTTGCCGAGCTGTGAGAAGGCGTTGATCAGCGCGATAGCTACGGCACGCTTGGCGGGAGGTCGAGGGAACGAAGAGCTGATCCAGGAGTAGAAGACAATGAAGCCTGCGTACGAGCTGGTCTGCAAAAACAGAGCAACATAGCGACCGGCAGTATTGAGAGTCGACATGGAGATGATGAAACCAATGAGCCCAATGCAGATCGGCCCAACGATGTGTAGAAACTGTGTATTGCGTTAGTGTGAGGCAGGAGTTTGGTTATTGCCTTAGCATACCTTTTCTTGTGTGCGATCAGCATGCCAACTGACGAGTAGCGACACAATTACCGCAAAAGCCCACGGTGGAGCGCTGAAGAGAAGGGTTGGCACGTAGCCGTATCCGAGCGTCTTGGTCAGAGATGGGAAGAAGGCGTTGAATGACAGTCCAACGACGTATGCGGTGAATGTGAACATCATGATGTAAACCTTGGAGTCCTTGAGACACATGAACAGCCCGTCGAACGGACCTTGGTCTTCAGAGTCCGTATCGGCTTCTCCGACATCCTCCATCATGCGCAGCTGTGCGACCTGGAGTTCCTCTGGAGTGAAGCCACGCGAGTTGGTAGGAAGATCCGGCAGGATGAATACGGCTAGAACTCCCAGAAACATGGTGAAAGCACCCTCAACTGGCGAAGAAGTCAGCGAAGGACACTTCAGATTGAGATTCGTAGAACGTACTCCAGAAGAGCCAACGCCATGCAGCGTGTCCCAGCACACCTTCCATGTTTGAGAGAACGCCAGCAGCAACGAGCGCAGAGAAGGCGTTGGAGATGAGATTTCCGCTGAAGAGGATGGCGTTCCTCATTGTCAACTCACGGCGTGTATACCATTTCGATTGAATAAGCAAGGCACCGGCTGTCCGACCATCAGTGGGATTCGAGAGCTGTTCAGTGTCTGTGAAAACTCACGAAGAAAAGCGGCTTCAACGAAACCCAGGAAGAATCGAACAAGAACCATGCCCGTAAAGTTATGGACATTCCCAGAAAGAGTCGAGATCATACCCCATAGCAGGATAGCGGCTCCGATATACCAGGACGGACGTTGAATCTTGTTCACGATCATGTTGCTGGGAACCTGCATTAAGATGTAGCCGACATAGAGAATGCTCAGACAGGTAGAGTATCTAAGCGAAGCACGGAAGGTAAGCGTCGTCTTCGAATTGTGGGAGCGGTTTGGAGGCTCCGAAACATGCTGTTTGGTTCCCATGCTTCCAATGAACTTACTCTGTATCACTCAAGCTCAGGTCTTCTTGAAGTCCTTTCAATCGAGCAGCGGCGATATTGTTCCGGTCCAAGTAGTTCATGATGCTACAGTACCGGTGAGTGYAAGCTCTGAAACCACGAGGGTGCTTGTGAGTGAGCATCGAAACTTACTAGATGAGGACGAATAGTGAGCATCTGGCATCCAGCTTCCTCAACATCGACTTTTCGACTGCTTTCCGACGTTCCGGGTCCATGGTGGCGGCGTCTCTGAACCCTGATGGAGCATGCCGTGCTTCAATATGTTGATGTTGTTCCATGTCCTTGGCCACGGCGCTCTTATTGTCCACCGCCATGCTGAAGGATTGAATGGAGAGAGTCTCGATGGAAGAAGTATGGAGGGAGTGCGGTTAATAAAGAGTGGGAGCACGGACATGACAAAAGCTGGAGGCGCACGTGTGAGAAGCCGGGGGCCGGAAGTCTGAGAGTGTGGAGTGTGGTACAGTGCGGTGGGGAGATGTTGGAGGCGGCATTGCCACAAGGGGCAATGCGAGAGGGCGATCTACTCGGATGGGAGTTTTGCTCGTCGTCCTGGGGTCCACTTTGCGAGGACTAGATGAAGAAGGCCCGAATGTGAGTTGTGCACTGTCTGTACATACTTTGGTAGTTGGGCGGGCTTGTGAGGCGAAAACGCTGTGCTCCATGCTTTGGAAAGCAAAAGCCGAACTGGTCGAGTCGGAGCTTTCTTCACACTCTCGCCAATAGAGTCCTATGGAGCATCACAACACCCATTCGTTGGCAACGAATCGGGTCTCGCAAAATTACCAGCGAAAGCAGGTCTTGACAACCTTCAGATGCAGAGAGACGCTGTATRGCTTAAGTTGAGGAGATGATGGGACACTGACTGACCCATCCAACGCCCGTCGAGGCGAAGTTGTTCAACATGACAGGAAGGAACGAACCATCTCTGGCTGGCATCGGTCCATCGGAGCGCCCTTCGGTCGGGCCGACAATCTTGGCGCATCGGCAATCGATCAATAATGTATAATTGCCGGGTCGCTCCGAGACTACTGTAGTGTTCATCATCTCACCTCGTTGTTCAAACGACGCCCACACCACCGTATGCCCTCGAGAATCAATACGGTCAACGAGTGTTGAACCTGCTACTGTCGTTCGAAGCGGGCATCTGCAGCTACGACCCGTCCGCCTAGGACGTGATCGACGTCATTTCGCAAATAACCCAGGCAGCCCTGCCATGAGCTTGTTTGTGGTACGGTAAATCACAAGCAAAGTCAACCTTTGTTTTCATGACCACAACTTAACCGTACTTCCTTCACCTTTTCCTTGCATCTCCTCTTCATCTCGAACAGGGAGCGGCAACAATGTCCACATCTCAGTCCACTGTCGGTGGTAGCCCAGTCCCATCAAACACTGCAGCACCCAATTGCAACAAGTGCAAGAAATCCGACGGCGACCTCAAACGCTGTGCGAAATGCCAGACCGTCATGTACTGCAACCGAGAATGTCAGACTCAAGACTGGAAGACCCACAAGAAAGAATGCTCGATGCTCGCGGCAGCCCGGAGTGCCGGTACCTCATCTGGTGCCGGGACTTCCAGCAACGGTGGCAAGAGATCAATTGCAAAGCCATTCACTGCCATCTACAACAACAAGTTCCTGCATGATCGATCGGAGGTGAGTCGAGCTGGACCGTGCCATGGGATCGAGAGCTCATTAACCGCTTCTTGCTTTGTAGAAAGAGACATTCAATATCCTGATCGATGTGCTCCGCATGAAGCAAGAAGATACCTACAAAATTGAGGGAGACACCATGACTGGCACCATTTACAACGGCGAGGCCAATTCCGTCCCCGCTTTTCGTGACCTGCTCGGAAAGGCCAAGAATGTCCAAGGCTTGCTACCACCATGGTGGAGCGACGAAAAGGCCGCCGAGTGCATCCGTTACGGCCAGCAGTCAGACCACGGATTCTCGCTGAGCGCTGTGCAGGAAAAGTCCGACATCTCGGACCACTGGAAGGATCCGCAGATGCCCATGAAATTGCGCATGCTGGGAGAAAAGATTTACGGCGTGGGACCTGGTGGYCAGCCCGCCGCGTCCATGTTGCAGATGATGATGGCTCAGGAAGGTGGCGGCAATTCGGGCATGCAGATGAGTCACATGGAMATGGCTGGAATATTAGGCCAACTCACGGGTAGGAGATAGGTCATGGTTGTGTACTTGCTGCAGTACGTAAGATGACGGTGGTGCATGAATTTGGATGGCATCCGTGAAAAACGAAGAGGATTCGGTGCATTGTGGCTCGCCTTGCACTTTCAACTCGCCCGGTGGAAATATGAGCGTGCCTAGCTCAAGCTTTACTCTCTCCAATGTCGACTCCATGACTGGATATGCTGCAGCACGCGACCAACATCAAGCGCCCTTGCCACCCCGCGCGACAGAATCCTTCTCCCGCCACATCTCACGTTCCCCCTTGAGAGACTCCAGTAGCATCTCCTTCTGCTCACACTCAATTTCACGTCCTCTGACCGCTTCTTCACGCTTCTTCACAGCTTCTTCTCTCTTCTCAATCTCCCTCAACCTTCCCAACGAGTTGGAAGATTCGCCCAAGCTTGCGCGCCCACCACCAAGTTCTGCATGATACGCAGCCTGGAGTTTCTCCAATTCCTCGAGCTGTTGATCGCTGACACGGGAAGTGACGCCATCTGCGACTCCGCTGTGTTGTTTGACGAGTTTGGCGTGCAATCGGTCGTACTGTTCCTTCGCTGTTGGTGCCATTTTGCCAGTCTTTGCAAGGGATGAAGAGTGCTGCTGAATGAAGGTGCGGCAGTCCGGCATTTGTATCGATCGAAGAGTTTGTTGAAGATGGTTCTGATAATGAGCCATCACATTCGAGAAAGGCACGCTGCTTGCTGCTCTCAAAGCGAAATACTCCTCATGCTTCGATTTATGACAATCGCGCGAGACGTGTTTGATCTTGTGACTCCTTGATGRCTTTGTGGCTCACCTGGTCGAGGCCCGAAGTCACTCGAAGACGAGAAAGGTATTCATCAATCTTTCTGACGTTGAACGACTTGCACGTGTCAATGCATATGACTGCAATCGGACACAAGTCCACCACAACTCACGGAGCATGTGCGGAGACTCTGTTAGCTTTTGCGCACTCCGGTGGACTGGCAATCCCCTCAATCACAGCAATGGGCTCGTCTTCTTCTACGATCGGTTGGAGTCCGCCTAGTCCAGGCAGTTCCTCGACAGAAGCGAAGTTAGGCGATGGTTCCGGCAAAAGCGGACATGGACCTCTGGTCGTGGAAGTATCTCGAGAAACACCCCATGCCCATTCTAAATCCTCAAATTCGTCCTCGWAGACACGTTGCGATCCTACCGCATAGGGACCGTAGGTGGTATCGGCACTTTTAGAAGTCCAATATCCGGTGGATGATTTGCTTGACGAGCTTCCTATTGATGTGATGACACCAAACTTTTGGTTGATCTTGCTAGCTACCTTTTGTCTCCTCGATCTGTCTCCCAACGCGAAACCTTCTGCCTCGAGGGGCTTTTGCCTGATGGGATGTGTTCGTGCTCGTCGGGAAGGATCGAAACCCTTTGTCCAGAACGCACGGAGGAATATGGGTCGAATGACGGGAGCGTTGACAGCGGCAATTCCAGCAATCTCTTCCCTGGTACCCCACAGATTGGTGTTTATCGTGGATGTTGGGTCCGTCAGCGACATGCATAATGAGACGAGGGCAGCGCTGGTGACGAATATGCCGGAGCAGAGGAGCAGTGTCAGTGCGACTCTTCTACGCACTGATACTCTAAGCTGCCAGAGTAACGGGAAAACAACCGTCAGGATGGCCAAGTCTGTGGCGATGTTTGTGGCCATGATTGGATAGTAATTCTGCATGCGACTGGTGCATTTGGGTGGCGGACGTGGAATCGTGGCCCAGCCGAGACGGAATGGCAGGCATGTGCAAGTCAAGGTGATCATGATGGCCACGAAGGCAAGTCCGCTCATTACCACGAAGAGCTTGAGTAAGCGACGTTGATAGAGTCGTAAAGGGAGCCGGCTGACGAAGAACAGCACCGTGGCCTTGAGTCCCCAGAGGAACGACACATATGCGTACCATAGGAATACCTGTGACAAGATTGGTGAGACAAGCTGTGCTGGAGCGGATCATGATGTATGCTGACCTGTACTTTGCTCGCCATGACAACTTTGGCCATCTGGCATTTAGTAAAAGTGCGTAGGCTCTCATCGCTCTGGTCAGAGTTGGGTCCAATGTAGTAAACCGTCATTTTACCGGCGATGCAACTCATGAACATCAGCAGAGTCACAATGGCCATGTAGTCGTCTCCCTGAAGTCGTCGCCATGATCGTATTCGAAGCCGCACGGCGAACCTGGCAGCGAATATCAAGAGGCCCAGGGCGGTCCAAGTGTAGACTTCTGCCACAAAGGCCGCGCAGTGGTGGACCTGCGTGCTTGGACACGTCATATTCTTGTGACATGTTGGAGTGAGGAGGAAAATGCAAGAGATATGGTGTTCTTGAAGACGCCGTCAGCATGTGATTTCCGTGGCAAGGAGTGCGGTTTCTGTGAACAAGGAAGAAGCTTGTCGAAGCACGCGAGGAACAAAAACCATGTCAGATCATGGTAGATAGACTTTACCAGCCTCACGCCTCTACTGCGGATGCGCCCGAAAGTTGTAAGATCCGCTGAGGTGCAGCTGATGATAGGAAGAAGGTTTACGCTTGATCGTCGGCCGTTGATGAATCGTCGTGGGTGAATGTCGGTTGAAGAGGGCAACTTCTCGGATTCGTCCCGATGTCTACTCATTCCGACCGAGCGAGCCTGAGTCTTTCCCGGTTATGCCAACATCAGCTGACGGTGCGTCACATCCGGGAACGAGGAACGTGGAAATTGACCCCGAATAAAACCCCAGTAGAGTATACAAATTTTGCGTTGGTGGCACCGGCAGCCCGTGGTTGTCGAAGCACTTCTCCAAGAATGGCCTCGAGTTCGAGCTCTCAGCCTGCCATCCAATCGTGCCACATGGTAGATCTGCTGCCGCCAACATCTTTCCTGACATCCTGCAGTACCGCTTCAATGGTAGATAGGCTTGTCCATCTAGGATCTTCACAGCAAGGCTGCGAACTCCATTCGTTACGCCTGACGCATGAGAGTATGATTCTTCATCAACTACAGCTACGTGGGTCGTACAGTCATCCGCTAGGAGTATCGTGGGACTTATGCTGGCATTGATGGCAGTCTTGTGCCGCCTTGCGAACTACATGTCGATGTAGCCAAGGACGTTCCAGCGCCGTGAAGGAGTATCGCGAAATCTCGGTCTTCACGTCATTTGCTTGCCTTATTGGGGTTGCATCTGGTGCGTGAGGGCCAATCGTGGATCGCGTCCATCTGACATGCTCAACATGGCCTGGTCCGGGTTGGCAAGCTGATGTTCTACAGGAGATCAGCATGTCATGGTCGGGTCGAAGGAAAGACCTACCTAGCAACAATACTGATGATTCTAATCTCCTTATACAGGCTCTCATACCCAAGTACATTCTGGAGCACCACGGTACAAGAATCCTCGTAGACAAGTCCTTGGGCCAGCGCACTTGAACCACTCGGGCTAAGACTTTCGTCGTAATTATCAAAGGCCTCAAACGAGCGCTCCTGCCTCGTCAGCACAGGCGGATGTGTATTGCGGGGTGAGATTTTTGTCTCCGAACATCGAACTGGTGACCCGAAGGCCATTCTTCTTGTTCGGATCGTAGTTTGAGAAGAAATTGCTGACACTGACGTTCCAAGGGCTGCGGACAAACGGGACTTACGAAGTCCACCAATGCCGTGCTGATGACCAGGATGTTTGTGGAACGCATTACGGGCGGTATGAAGATGGAAGGCTTCTAGAAATCTGGTGACACAAAAGTCAAACGCCGAGGAACGACAAGGAAGAACCACGAATCGGACCACGATACATTCACATGTTCAGCAGTCGACCCCCAGCACCATGTCCTCGTCCTCGTCCTTGGTGGACCCCTCGAGATGATAGGGCGAACTCCCATTTTGGTAAAAAGAGCGGACTGCTTTGTACATATGGTAAAGAATCGCCGCCAATCTGGACCTTGGTCGGCAGACTATGATGTCGGTTTCCCCTAGAGTGAGTCCCACGTCTCTTATCTGGCGGCTGATAGGCGATGCGCCCTTGCATATAGGTGCATTGCGTCTCCAGTGACTTGCGGGGTATTCACGAGACTACGATAGTAAGTACCATCATTCCTGTCTTCTTCTCAACATCTACCATTCGATCATCTGTCATTGCTATGTTAGACATAATCATTCTCCCGTCGTTGATCGTTGTCGGTTTCGTGCTTCATCTCATTCTCAAACGAACAGAAATAGGCCGCCACTGGCTCTTGCCACGCCTTTCCCCAACATCAGATGCCACCAAGTCTAAATCATCCTCCACAAGTCTCAAGTATGAACGACCTCCTAGCCGACGTCATGCTTTGCCCGGCTGTAGCTCATATGATGCCCGATCTACAACAAAGCAAGACTTTCGACATGACCAACCCCTACCGGACAAGCAATCAGTCAATCCAGCTATTCACCAGGACTGCTTCACACCGACTGGCATTACACGCCGTGAGATTCAACAGCTGAGAGACTTTCCAGACTACGCCGGTCTAAGCGGCGTTCCTCTTCCAGACCCTTGTCTAGAATTCGACATAACAAAAGCAATGGCACGTCCATATCGTCCTTTTAGATGGGTTTATCATCAGACAATGTGTAAGCATGTCTTCCATTGTCGTTTGAAAGATGTTGACATGTAGCTTCGTAGCATTGCAAAAGCTTGACCCGAATTGGTGGCTTGAGTTAGACCGCAACTACATTGAAACGGTCAGACTTCGCAAGGAACTCTTTGAGAAACAAGGATCGGACGTCCTGCAAGTTCTTCCCGGCAGTGAGCTCGCTGCAAAAGAGTTGATGGAGATGTGTTTGCAGTTCCTCTGCGCACGTTATCCTCACTACTTCCAACTTTCAGAATGCAATACAATATTCCACAATCTGATATTACAGACGCAAACACATCTCCCTAGCACCTCACCTTTTGACGTCCTTCTGGAGAACATTCCCGAGGATTTTGCGATCATGCTCCGCGACCCTTCCACAGGATCGTATACCTTCCGAGCTGGCATCATCATGAGTAGTCTGGGCTGGACATTGGGATCCAAGATTGGGAAGAGGCTGGATGAAGTTCATGGGCCGGTYCCGGACTACAAGGCGAGAATGAGTGCGTCTATGGATCGTTTCTTTGCAAAGATGCCGACAGATAAGCCGATACAGAGGGGGTCTTGGGGTATTGAGGTGGGCAAACCATTGTTTATGCCTGCTGGGCCTGAGCGGGAGGGCTTGAAAGCAAAGCAGAAATTGGACAGGGGAATCGAAGACATGCATTTGAGAGTTGATTGGCAGACATTGAGGAGGCTGCCGTTGTCCGGAGCGGTGGTGTTCAATTTCAAGGCTCTGTTCACGCCTGTGGAAGAGTTCAAAGACGAAGCGTATGTACCGACGCTGTTGTTAAAGGTGCTGAGAGAGGGAAAGGAGAGCTTGATGGAGTACAAGCGGAATTGGTGTACTGAGCATGTGGTGGTTCCAGCGTTGGAAGAGTATGAGAGGGAGCAGATTGACCGGGGCATTATGGAGGAGGAATGGGAGCCTTGTACGTTGGAAGAAAACCCATTCTTTCCTGGTTGGCGGGAGAAGTGGCATCGCCAGCAAGGGTTTGTGTAGATGGAGAGTATTGATGATTCCAGATACATGTACGTAGGTTGGAAGAGAGCTTGGACCAGCCTTGGTCAATCAACGCTAGGAGGGACGTACGTCATTCTTTGATTGGAGGAGGTAGATGTCCAACAGCACCCCAAATAATGTCCCAGCGATAGGTAGGTAGCAGTTTAATGGCCGCCCGCATCAAGGCCCCAGCTGCCGCCTACGAAAGGGAGGAGGAGGATGAAGATGAAGACGAAGAGTCGTCCAACACTGGCCTCATCTCCACCGCTGCTGACCTCGCCCTCCGCCCCGTCCGCCCATTCTTCTCGCGTCCCGCCCTACGCGCCTACCTGACGACCATCTTCGCCGTCATCACCGCCTTCACCTTGCTCGCACTGGCTACCATCGCCTATCTCCTGTTCTACAATTTCTACATTCCTCGCATTGGCTTCACCCGCCCACTGCACCTGCAGTACGACCACATCCTCCTCYGCCAACAGTCGCCCAAGCATGCCGATATCACGACATTAACATCCCATCCCTGGGCCACGACTGCTCTCACCCCCGACATCTCCTCTTCTCAACAATACGATGTCACCCTGGACATCACCCTCCCTCACACGCCCTCGAACCGAGAAGCGGGAAACTTTATGCTAGATGTCCAACTCCTCGCCTCCCCATCCTCCCTCGCATCTACATCCAACATTCTCGCGCAAACACGACTTCCCGCTCTACTCCCCTACCGTTCCCGCCCCGTCCGCGCTCTGCAACTCCTCTTCTCTCTACCGCAATATACGCTCGGTTTCCGCTCCGAAAGCACAACTCTGTCGATCCCAGCCTTCGACCGGGTGGAGTTTTCTAAAGGATGGAGAACTACACCCACCACACTACGCCTGGAAGTGCAGAGCATTCACGTCTTGCAGATTGAAAAAGTACAAGTCAACTTCCGAGCGAGATTTCGAGGATTAAGATGGCTCATGTACAACTTCCGGGTCATGAGTGGTGTTGTATTCGTGGGTCTGTTCTGGGGAGTCGAATGTCTGTTTGCGGGTTTGGCTTGGGGTGCACTGGCCATGTACTTTTCGTCTGCTTCGGATGAGAAGATGAAGGAACCAAAAGCGGTGTTGAAAGTGGATCAACAGGAGATCAAAGAAGAGGAAGGAGCGAACATGTCGGCTACGGAGAGGATATTCCCATCACGCACTGGAGCTGGTGTTGTGAGGTACTCTTCCGGTTCAGATGTSAAGAAGGAAGTGAAGCAGGAGGAGGTGGATGTCTTGTCCATCCCGGAACATATTGCCAAAGCCGCCGAGGCGGACGTAGAAGATGAAGGACAAGATTCTGAGGATCTGGATTTCAGAGACTCGGGGATTGGTACGAGTTTGGAGAGCGAAGCGGCGTTGGGGAGAAGCGACAGTATGCGAAGACGGCAGCGGAGAGGGAGGACGGAGAGCAAAGAATAGTCTCATCTTCAGGATCACAGGACAGATGATGGAACACGCAGAAATGTATGCTTTGTGATGACTTTCTTCCCTTCTTGTCCTGTTGCAAGATATATACGCATATGTCCATACTCTGTCCATGATATGCTGCTGTTCTCTTGATTATACCCAACCCTTCTCAATCTTTCAAACAGATCATCCCGTTTCAATCCTCCTCCCCGTTCTTCTGGTACTCCTCAATCGCCCTCTCAACTTGCCGAACGTGTTCCCCGGTAGCCTCTCATCTCCGACACCAGCGCCGTTCTTGACAGCTTCACGTCTCGCCGCCCTCCTCCCTTCAATCAGTCCTTGCGAGATCCCTCCAAATCCCGCTCGCCTCCTGAAACACTGCTCCATCAGGCCATTTGCATCCAGCATTCCCCTTGGGGAACTCTGCACAAGTTGAAAGACCTCCATCGGATCTCCCAGCCCGACGACTTGACTTTCACAGGATTTGAAAATCGACATGGCGACGCGGAAGAGAGTCTTACTTCCTTCAAAGAACAGGCAGTCCCATACCCTCAGAACGGACTCAATCGGCAGGGTCCCAACGAACAGAGACATGAACCATGCGGTCGTGGCGAGTGAGACAGTTGGCAAACGTTGCTCTCCTTCGTTGTCATCCAGCTTCGCCCAGACCGCGGGGAGAGAGTCTTTGATGCAGGACATCAGTACTCCGATATCGATGTTGGCGCCTTCAAGAGCGATGCCGTGCGTTCCGGGGAGATGCTGTGATGTGATAATCTCCAACAGGATGAACGACTTTTCCTCATCCATGTCGAGGAAGAGAAGAAGAAGGCCGGCGATGAAGTTGAGGGATTGACAGTAGCCGATCTGGGGATTGTGGACTGCAAAGGCTTGGAGGACCCGACGGAGTGATTGGATGATGGGCGTCTCGGGCACTGCGTCTTTGGCGAGTCGTTGGCGATATTTACTGAGGGTGGTAGAGCCGGTGGCGTTGCTATCGCGAATCTTTGGCGGGGTGTTGAGGATGGATGGGCTGGGGCTGTCTCGAGCTATGGGAGGTGTGGGGGTGTCTCGAAGCACCGGAGGAGTCAGCGAAGGAGTCGCACTGTCTCTGACGGTGTCGGCCTTTCCCTCCTCAATGATGGGTGGCGTGGAACTGTCTCGGGTGGGAGGTCCTGGTCTGGCCGGGATGCTGCCCAGGTTGCTGTCCCGGGTGAGAGGTGGATTGCTCAAGTTGCTCATGTTGCTGTCTCTGACGGGGACCGTGGCGGCCATGTTGCCGTCTCTGACAGCAGGCGGCACACTTCCAGTCGTGGCACTGCTATCCCTCAGCATACTGCTCTTCACCGGTGCGTATGTCGATCCCGTTGTGGCGGAACTCTCCCTCCCATTTCCCCTCACGACAGCGCCACTGTCCCTCAATGCGCTGCCGCCCGTCTTCACGCTATCTCCCCCATTAATGCCCTCCACGATATCCGCCTTGAACTTTACATTATCAGGAAACGTCCTCTGTAAATCTCTCTCGATGTGTTCTCGATCAGTATCGCCAAGTCCGCCATTCTCCACCTTCTGCAGCAGCTCTCCGTATAGTCCCGGGTTCTTGGCCAACTTTCCCGGCCCGCCCGCATACCAGAACCAGGCATTCCCTCGGAACTCCGGCGGGATGCCTTTCCGAACATAGCGCTTTATCTTATCGCTTTTCGGCGGAAATCTCAACGCCCCCGGGCGTGTGCTCAAGCCATAGCTGCGCATCAAGGCGTGCCATTTCTTGCTTCTGCGCTCCAAGTGAGGTGTGTATGTGGCGTTCCATGCATCGTAAGCTTCGACTGTGATGTAGTGGGAGGCTTTCTTGAAGCCGTACCGATCTCGAGGGATGGCTTCGCTATTCGGACGCGAATCGGTCCCGCGCAGACTTCGGCCGGACACTATCTGCACGGAGCTGCGTTCTCGAATGAAGGATGGTGTGGGCGGAATTTCAGGCACGTTGGCAGGAGAAGATCCGGGGGCGTTGAGTCGTGGCACTCCAAGGATCAGAATACTTGCGCTCTGACTTCTCCGATGAGCTAGATTCTGTCGTTTGGTGGGCGTATTGGGAGTAGTGCGGGGTGCGTTGTTGAAGGACGAGTTTGATTTCGGCTGAGATGCAGCTCGTTCCAGCGACCGGACGGATTGCACCTCCAGACTGTCTCTCACGCTTTCCAGCTCGAAGCGGGATTTTTTGGGAGTAAGTTGTGCTTGCGGTCGCGGGAGAGACTGTGAGCGTGGCAGTGAGGGAGCTCGTTCGTTGGTCATGAATGAGCGGACACTGCGCACTTCTATGCTGTTCTTCGCACTTGCATTGCCATGAATCTGCTTGGATGCGAAACTCGCCGCATCACTCTCGAAGCCGTCTCCATACGCGTCTAAAAGGTCATCGACATCACCGTAGTGAGCATCCTCCCAATCCTCCGAGGTGACCTTGACGAAATCACTCTCTGAGCTAACACTGGTATGGCTGGTGTTGACACTGCTGGATGGACCGAGCAGAGAGGAATCGCTCGTTAGAGCGGAGCGGAACGACTCGCGTATGGCGGATGGTGGCTGCATGGTCGAGTATGATGGAAGGTCGGGTGTCAACAGTCTGGATTCCACTTCCGCTGCAGAACCCACCCTCGATCGGAGACTCTCCCCCAACGAGTGGGAGTGCTTCAATCTCATGGCATGAGCTTGGAAATGTGGAGACTCGGGTGGTGGGAGTAGCGGGGAAGACGGCGGCCGGCCTCCATCTCGCTCGGCAGGATATGTGTCGGAGTGCGGGTATTGGTGTTGGTGTTGATGTTGAAATGAGGGGTCCTGCTGGCTCTCCAACATGCCCACGGCGGGCTGAAAGTGGCGTCTGGTGTCCCTCCCGGCAAACGCATGCTCGTCGCTGGCCTGGACGTGGTCGATGTGAGGGGCAGGCGGGTGGTGGGAGAAGGGAGTGAAGCCGCGGAGGTGGTGGTTGTGGGTGGGGAAGAGAGGTTTGGGCACCGCGCCTTTCCTCGCCTGCAGTTGCAGTCGCGACGCCGACGCCTTTCGCAGCGGAAGATGCGGCGGCGGAAGGGCGGGTGAGTCCATGGGTAGTCGAGGGCCGAGGTCGGGATGTCCTTGTTCTGGTCCTTGTTCCTGTTGGCGATGTCCCCAGCCGCGAGGGGGTTCAGCTACACGGGACATTTCCCAGTGTCTCCATTGATCCACACGAGAACGTCGCTATCAATGTCAATCCCTCTCTCCTCCTCTCTTTCTTTCTCTCTTTCTTTAAATCACTGGCGGCTGCGGTGTAACAATGCGCCTCCCGCGAATCTCATCTTCTCACGTCGCACATCCAATATCGGCCCACCTTGCACCAATCTCTACCAATGCCTACGTTTAACCCTCCGCTCAGGCTCCACCACGATGGCCTTTGTTTGTGGACGGACGGGGATGCCCGTGCGATCCCTCGGAATGGCCGGAGGCGATTCGAGTCGAGTCGGGGTGGAGGGGAGCGGGAGGGGAGGGGAGCGGGAGTTGATAATGGCCAATGCGGWATTTGTTGTGTGACGGGCGGTGGATGTAACGGAGGAGACAAGACGAGAGATACAAACGTACGACGGCACCAAGGTCCAACTCCATGCACCTGCGTTTCTGGCGTTTGCGAACCCCAATTCAACCCACTGTTCATCTCTTGTGCGCGTGAAGCTGTGGATGGGGAACGGCGGCCCGTTGATCATCCGCCACTTTAGGTTTGCCTTTTTTCGACTTTTGGACACCGGCATGATCGTGGAGCACTCTCGCTTACGGCGTCATCCTCGTCCATAATATAACAAGGTGCATGTACCTTACCTGCCCATCTTATCGCTCGACAACCCAGCGCGACTATGTCATGATGAAATAGCATGAAATGCCATGAAATCATGAAATGGAGACCAAATGGAAATTATGTCAATCGGCTGTCATCTTTCCATAACATCTATCCATCCAGCAGTTGGTTCTATCAAACACCACAACGCCGCCGCCCGCTATTTAATATTTACCCGTCCTTGCGCTATGCATCCATGTGAAGCCCGTGTGACTTGTAGACGGGGCGCACTGTCCTGTCTTCATCCGTCTGTCTTCATCTGCCTTCATCTGCCTTCATCTGCCTTCATCTCCACTCCACCCCACTCCACTCTCACCGTCGGTCCACTCTCACATCTCCTGTGGTATGTCTCACTCGGGCCTTGCCTCCTTTCCACAGCCCGCGCGTCCATATCTTTCACGTTCAATTCAAGCCTTCATTGTGCATATTTGCCCACCCATAGCTTGGCCGTCTTGTCGAACCCTGCGCGATTGTTCTTGAATTCCTCTGCCAGGCCCGCCTCGACTGCGTCATCTGGTTGCGGCGCCGCCAGCACGGTCCTCACCAACCTCAACACATCCGCAATCTTGTTCGGAGGCTTCCATTCGTCCGACTTGAGCATTCCCAAACACATGGCTCCTCTCTCATCGTTGCTGACGTTGGGGTGGTAGATCTTGGTGCGAAAGGAGAGCGTCGGTGGTTTGAAAGGGTACTCTTTGGGAAGTGTGATTTGGATGTGGAACTTGCCGCCCTGTGTTGTAGAAGCGTTAGTTGGTGATACAGCTGCTCTCCCTTCCCGATCATGCATACCGAATAAACGGAATCTGATGGACCGTCCATCATCACATCCCACAGATTCATGTCGTCGTCCTTGTTGAGTTTGATGGTGCAGCCTGGTGGTGGGCTCGTGGTGATGTCTTGAAACTCCTGTAAACATGGTCAATCTCCCGCTCCTCGTGCTGTCATGTGAACTCACCTTCATAATGCGGCGGTTAGCCATCGTTGCGCGGTTGTTCTGGTCTGACGAGTGTGATGGTTATGGTGTTGTGAACGAGAGTTTGTCTCGGTATGCACACAAATTTTGGAAGAAGGTCTCGAACACGCCAAAGTCAATGTTTTGGGGACGAGAGTGTCGGTGTCGCGAAACTTTCTACCAGCATCGGCGTGGCGCGGCAGGCGTCACTCCTGTCTGTCGCCCTTTGTGAAACTCGTGCCCGCTTATCGATTGCTGCCTGAAAATAGACTCTTGGCTTGGCTCCCCGCTTGTGATTTGTGCCTGCCACACGACCTCACGAGAGCATGTCGAGACAATCGTTGTGTAAAGTCTGGARTATGCATCTCCGTCACGGCWTGTACAAAGCGTCACCCTCATCATTCATCACCTTCACAATCCATCAGACCTCCTGCCATGGCTGCGTTAAGCGCGCTGCATATCACCTCCGCACGTGAGGACGTCATGCAGGCACCCGCGCTGGGATCATCCCGCCCGCCGATAGTGGACAGTATAAGTAGATGAGCCTCTCCCGCCCTCTCTTTCCCTCRTCACCGCTGCAGTCAACATCGCATCTGGTCGTGTACCCTTTCATCCCGAAAGTGTCGCGTCCGTTTGTGCAAGTCCTAGAGACTTCCATGCACCGCGCGTCGATACCACCCTCCTAACCACCCATCTCTCTGCCTGCGAGTCGCTCGTTTTCCCCCGACAACCATCTACTCGCAACGCTCGTTTCCCTCGCCCTCGAAAAACCATCGCTCGTTTGGGGAGATCAAGACCAACAAGACCACCGTCAGAACGGATCGAATTCGGCAGATCAAGCTCACCATGTTCAAGCGATCCTTTGTCACTCCGTCCAAGGACCGGGCGGGCAAGGCGAGGAAGATTTCCAAGCGTTCGTTCCGCGACGATGCTAAAGTCAGGATGCGTGAGCAGCTCAACTCCACCGCCAGTCCCGAGACGTCGCCTTCGATTGGTGCGTCTTCTCCCAAGCTGAACTCTGCAATTGTCACGATTGCAGTCGGCAAGGACCAGCGTCTATTTGCCGCGCACGAAGATGTTCTCTCGCGCTCGCCTTGGTTTGCCGAGGCGTGTCGCGCACAATTCTTCGAGTCTCCTGGCCATCGACGTGTAACCCTCCCCGATGAGGAACCAGAGATCTTTTCCGCCGTTCTCGAGTTCATGTACAAGGGTGGGTGGGACATGATGATAATGCTTCCTTCTTTCACTAACATTCATAGGCGACTACTATCCTCGCTTGATGCACGACAGAAGGCGCAACACCTGGTCGCTTGAGGATGGCCAAGATCCGACAACCACCGTGTCTCCTCACGTGGAATCCGACAAGAAGATCAACGACTTCGCCTCAATCTACCACCACGGCGTGGGCGACTACATCTTGCGGGATACCGTCGTCTACTGTACTGCCTTGAAGTTGCAGCTCCCCGAACTGCAGCGTCTTGCCCTCAGAAAGCAAGKGCTGCAGACTGGGATTGATGTGGCTACCATCTTGCGCAGTGCACGATTTGCTTATGCAAACACTCCGCCTAGTGATTCGAGACTTCGCGCTCATTATCTCGCTCTCATCATCCGCAGCCGCAAGACCTTTAAGCGCAGCGGTACAATGCAGATGGAGATGGAGAAGGGCGGCACGCAAATGTTCTTTGACCTGTATGTGTTGAGGATTGTTGGCAACGGGGGACGTCATGCTGATTGATAATTTTTAGATTCGTGGCCATGTGCAACCACATTGATGATGTTGTGGAGATTGGGCAAGTCTCATCTCATTCGTCAAAGTCCTCTCTTGGATCGTCTTCGTCGTCGAACGCAACCGCCTCAGATTCGACCGATTCTTACAGCGACTTTCCCCTTTTCATCTAGTCTTTGTTTCTTCTACTGCCAGGCGTTCTCTTTGCTTCAGTCTGTTGACCAGACTACTAACCTGACTCTCCGATACAGTAACAACCGCTCTCCCGATCTCGCCAAATGAGGATTRCACATTCTTCGATGAGATGTCAACCCAACCTCTTCCCAGCACATCGTTCGAACGGATCGAATACCCCAGCACTCAACTCACTTTCATACGCGGCTGTCACTGGAGAAACCTAATTGTCTGCTCTCAACGAATCTCACCTCACCCCTTTTGGAGTTTTGGCATTATTCCCAAGAATGGATCGATTATGGGACTATCCTTGATATCTTTGTTTTGAAAGATGAACGTACTGGACTGGATTTGCGAAGGGACCTCAAGATTGAACAATCCGCCTCGTATCACCATCACCACGATATCATACCGCTCCGCATAGGATCTGGTCTGAGGTCTGAAACTGGTGTTTGGTGGAGGCGAGATATTGCTGCTGTCGCTTTTATTGCCTCTACGGCGAGCTCCTCTCCTTTTTGTTAGTATTGCTTTCTTTCATTTCTCAACTTACCGGCGCCGAGGGAGGACATTATCCATTCCTGTTGACAGGATCAAGTGGATGATGTCTGGCATCTCTCAGCTGCCTTTCAAGGCCTGACTTGTTGGGTGTGGCCTTGCGGTGAACGGCTGACAAACTTGTCTATGCACATTTCCTCCCTCTTTATTGAGAGGGGGAGTATGCAAGATTGATTAGAGTTTGTAATGAAGGATCTTTGTCGGCCAATCTCTGTCTTGTCATGTCTTGTCAATCTTGTCAATCTTGTCAATCTCTGTCTCGTCACTGTTTTCATCCTGACATAGATGGCATGCCCTCCCTTCAACTTGGACCTGTGTCAGCTCGTCCCTCGGCATCGACCTTTCATTAGCACCAACATCGATTCAACCAATCGTATTCAAAGCGGACCTCTGCGAGTCAGATCGACAGACATGCATTCTGAAGTGGTGACTGCTGTAATCTCACACCCGAGTCAGAAGTCTGTTTCATCAACTTCCATGGAGTCGGTTGGGAAATCAGATGGAGTCACGCATTGGAATATGAGTGCTTACTCTCCATCGGCGGGCTCGCTACGCCAAAGACCATGCTCTTTYCATGCAGCATCCTGAACGAGGCATTACAAACCTTGCGCCAAAATCCTTCAAGAAAAGTCCTCCACGTGGTCGAGGCAACTCATTGGTCATGAAGTTTGGCTGAAGAAAAGCCACGCAGCAACCCGCTGCGAAACCGGTACGAAACGCTGATCATTCTACTATTTGGGCTCAAACGCAAGCTAGATATCTCCGCAAGGTTTGGTAGAGGCTGAGCTACTGCGAAGTGACGATTATCAACATCTCTGTTGACTTTAAGTAACGCACTTGGTCGTAATCTAGCCCGTCTGCCAACTGCATCCTCTCCCTCCTTTCGTATTCTTCACGTCCGCAAGAATGCCGTCCCTCTACTCTTCGCTGGCGTTGCTGGCTACATCGTTGACTGCTCTGGTAGCTGCTCAATGTCAGAACAATGTCGCAGTTTACAATCCAAACGTCCGGACCATGACCATGAATGCTAGTAAGTTTTTTCCATGGACAAAAAAGTCGCGTCGTACTGATTCTCCTTCTTCTCCTAGCATGGTTCATCGTCCCCGTTCCCAAAGCTGCAGTCCTCGCCGCCGCTCAAGAGAAGTTCCCATTGATGGGTCTCCGTCTTCTTGACATCCCTTCCACCCCAGACCTCTTCCCCCATGGCTTTCCCGAAGGCATGCACCCCGTCCTGGCAACCATTTCCACCACCGACGACATTCGCATGGCCTTCCTTCAGATTGATGGAATATTAAAGTCGGCAAATACCATCGCCCCCTTTGTTGCAAAATCTGGAAGTGACGCCCCCGTCGCTGCAACTTTGAATGGATACATTGCTGGAGCTGATGGCCCCCTCCCCAACGGACTGGTCCCTGCCGTGGCTTCTGGTCTGTTGTTTGGCGGCACTCCCCTCCGTCTGGGACAATTCGACCCCAAATCGGACGCCTACATGGCGGATGGTGTTGGAGGAAGCAGTGCGAGAGTCGCGTGGGCATTGGTTCCCAACCCAATCTCCGGACCGGGTGTTTATCCCGAGGCTGTGGACATGTCATTCAAGACTGCGACGGAGAGTCGGTATGGTGCCAAGACGTTGAAGACGCTCATCAGCCAGCCGATGCTGTTGCCGAGTGGAATGTGTCAGAGGAACCAGTATTACTTCAACAACGCTACGGCTTCACCGGTGTTCAGGCATGGGCGGGTCACTCTTGGGCCTGCGGCGGATGGTATCGGTCTTACAAAGGGAGGCTTGATGGCTGCCAGTCAAGACGGAAGTGGCATCTATCGGGATGTTGATGGATATGGCGCTTGTGCACAAGGGGTTGGCAATACCCCTGAAAGTTGTGAGGATGCAATCAGAAACTTCGATCAGGCCAGTTTGGAGTGATGGGTTAGAATGGAGAACAAAATAATGCTGGTGGCGGAAGGGATCGCAGCTGTGTTCGTGCCACTGGTTGTGATCAAAGAATATGGAATGATAAACGCTCAGAATGCTGTCCCAGGTGCTGTCTCAAATGCTCTCTCAAGGTCTCGATCTCCCGCAAACTCTTTACTTTAAGATTTCTCGAGCTTGTTCCATAAAGGCAGTCGTCTGCGATACCGGTCTTCTTCTGCCATGACCTGGCTCAAGCACAGCATGCTCATAGCCTTCGACGTAAGGTGAAGTAGAGTCGGCTGGGAGCTCTTGCTCGATCCGCTTGCTGTCCCATTTTGCAGTTCCAGAGCGATAAATGGCCTCATGAGGTATGGTTTGAGGAAGCTGAGTGAGTAGCAGGCCGGCCTGTTCCCTGGCCTCTTTGWTCTTTTCCACGGCGGTCGCCAGAGACCTCGACATTCCAGATGGTTTCACCTCGATGAAGTAGTCGCATATCATGTAAGCATATCTTGTGCTGACCGCGCCACGTTCGTTGATAAAGTATGTAGGGACATTCCGGTTCAGTGCAGCCGATGCAAGTGTCCAGGTCTCGCCATCGAGTAATGCTGGGCGGGAAAGGAATGTTGCCAGCGCAGTGTCTTCATCCTGCCCCAAATCAAAATGGACAGTCTTATCGGCGTACCATGGCTCGAGATCTTGAACGTCGTTACCACGATTTCTATCATGCCTGATGAAATGGGCAGCTGCTGCCTCAATCCAGTCCATCGCCACTGCAATCTTCCTGCTCAGACCACCGATCCAGAAGTACACATCGGTCGCTCTTGAATAAATTGACAACAAGTATGAGCCCTCAAAGTGGGCAGCTTCAAAGGCATCGTCATGGTACACGCAAGCTGACCTGACCCAATAGGTCCGCTTGGACTGGCTACCTCGTCTGGAGGATAGTATCCTGATTGCTTGATCGAGATCCTTTGGAATGCACACCATGCCTTTGGTTGTGCCGGATTTGGACAGCTCGACACGACTAGACCACTTCTCGGTCATTTCTGATGGCATGGCCAGAACGGTGTAGTTGCAATTTGCCTCGTCCGTGAATCCATGATCATTCATGCGTCCGTGGAGACTGTTGAACCTGGAGTGCGGTGGCTGCATTTGAAGCAGCCTGATCATTGGCATCATGGGCAGGGGAACATGTTGGCCTACCGGCGCATCTTTGGGGACAACGAACCACATGGCGGAAAAAGACGAGAATGGGGACTTGGGAATGCTGAGCTGGAAGACGAGGCGGTTCCCACGAAGAATACATCTTGTTGTGCGGTTACGAAGGATGCTCATGTGACTCCAACGGCCTCGGTCTAGGCAAGACGCGTGGGGTGATAAAGTCGCAACGGTGTAAACTTAGTTTGATGAATACCGGCCGTCCACAAAGTTTAAAGGAGAGTGGCAGATCTGCTTCTCGGCAAATGACTTCGCCGCATACCTGTGAAATATTCTAATCAATTCACAATCAAATGCCATCAAATATAATTAATCGTAGTTAAACGTTCACTTTGTGAACGGTTTGCCCTGCGGACCGCCTCGAATGCTCGCGCGCTTCGGAGGGCAAGCCTCCTACGCTCGCACGTCGGCTCCTTGCGCCTAAAATAGAGGCGTAGGCCTTTAAGGTATATTCGGCATCCTAGAGGTGGCCGTTCGACAGGTATGCGGCGCTAGTAGGTATGCGGCGAAGTCGTTTGCTCTCGCCTTCTCGCCGGCGTCTACTCGTGCACAGCATCGTCGGATTCTTCTAAATCGTCGAGGGGAGAGGTTCTCAAGTACATAATATCATCAGCAAGACCCCAAGCAGAGTCCTACAAGGCGGTGTCAACTGAACTTTCGGAAAACTAGCGTGAAATGCTGGGGGAGATTGAACGCTCATCAATCTGCTTCAATTGTATTGATAGTCGCCTGGGATAAATGTTAAAGCGAAGAAGCCTGCGGATGTGGTGTATGCTCGCAACAACAGCACACAAGCCAAACTCAATCAGTCTGACCCGTCTATCGAACTAAGACTGAATCCCCCTAAGCTGCTGCTCCATAGAAGCGGATATTGGCGCATCGCTGGACATAACGCTCTGCCGATTGACAGTTCTCCCCCGTCCTTGGCCCAGCTATGGATATGCGGAGAGCAGCATTTGACTTGGCTATGCACATGTCATTTTCTAATTTCACCTACCTGAACACTCTTGCTCTTGCTATGAATTGCGGAACCAAGCCATTGGCATGCCGTTCCTCTCACCGCCCAAAACCCGTCGGTCTCGTAACTTACAACGTATGCGGAAGAGATGGTTGCACATACTGTCCACAATTCATGTATTGTTTACATACGTAATTGCGCAACTCCTCCACAGCTTGCGCGGTACGCAACTCTCTATGCAGAGGGATGGGATTGCTCAATAAACGATTTATTGCACAGATCGTAAAGCATCTGCACGATATGGCAGTCTTGGCGAAGAGAGAATGGTCATGCGAAAAGTGAGACATTGCGCATATAGCAGAACATTGAAGAGCATTCAAAGAAAGAATCCTGCGCAAAGGGTGCGCAAGAAGAGTCCTCTACATTGGGCAAAGCAGACTCCGCGCAAGGACAGAGAAACCGCGCGCTGTCTTGAGGGATGCTAGCAAGGATCTCGATTGCGATCTTTCAATATGGCCAGCACTCGGGCATGACCTGWAGGACGAACGTCAGATAGCATATCCAGTAGATGGTGGTGCAGAATGAACAAGATGGAACTGATTGGGCGACGCCGAGTCTAGAGAGTACAGAGCTGGCTAGCCTATTCCCGAATTCGGAGACCTCTAGACGGTCTTTTCTTAACAAAGCCTGTCTGGAACTGATCTAGACAGCTCAGTGGGTCGAGAAGAGACTGAGGACATACATATAATGATTGTCGAGCAATGAACATGCTTAGTTTGTGTTTTGTCACCTGTAGATCGAAGGACTACGACACCCAGTGGAGGTACTACAGATGATGATAGTCGGTCTCGACTAGCGAGGTGATTCCCTTACGCTCGACCCGGATCTGGAAATGTGTATCGTAAGCCGCATGAATAGGCAGACCATTATGCAAGCAAGAGGATTGTATGGCGTAGAAGAAGAGATCTGCTCTAATGTGCATGTGACTGTCTAATGCGCAATGTCTCTCTAGATATGCACTWTCTCTCTGAATGCGCATTTCGTGTTCTAATGCGCATGCTGTATTTTGATGCACATGCGGTATTCTGATGCGCATATTATGTTTTGATGCGCATGCTGTATTTTAATGCGCATATTGTATTTTAATGCGCATGTTGTATTTTAATACGCATGTTGTATTTTAATGCGCATGTCTTATTCTAATGCGCACTTCCTCTCTAAGTGCGCATCTTCTCTCTAATTGCGCATCTTCTCTCTAAATGCGCACCTTCACTCTAAATGCGCATTCTCTCTCCGAATGCGTATTAGGGGACGAGATGCGCATTCGTAGAGAAGATGCGCATCTACTAAAGATGCGCACTCTGTGCTTTCATCGCGTTCTTAGCATACACACAATTTAGAGGTTTGGAGGCTTAGAGCTACTCACTTACACTGCAGGGCGGTAGGGGCGAGTCGTTTTCTGCGACCGCAAGCGAGCCGCCTTAGCAGTGTTAGTAAGGCCTTAAAGCAACGTATATACGTGCGCTATCTATAAGCTAAAACAAACAGCAGGGTAGGTAGGATAGATAACGCTATAGTAGTACTAGCGCGCGTAAAGGGCGTAGGATAGAGGGCTAGGTTTCCTTAGCCCTTAGAAATGAGATAACGCCCTTATATATAGACCCTCGTTATCTGTGCTTTTATCGCGTTCTTAGTATATATATAATTTAGAGGTTTGGAGGCTTAGAGCTACTTACTTATACTATAGGGCGGTAGGGGCGAGTCGTTTTCTACGACCGTAAGCGAGCCGCCTTAGCAGTATTAGTAAGGCCCTAAAACAGAGCCGCTAGATAGTAGGGTAGGGGTTGTCTASATACGACTCTATTCGGAGTAATCTAGACATTATATAGACGAGCCGAATAGCTAACATATAGCGACGATAGAGCGCCGGTTTAAAACCTATAGCCTAGCTAAGCTAGCTGCTAAGGAGGTGTCCGAAAGTAACGCTTAAAAGCGTCTAATTGCTAGCGGCTAAGGAGCTGTATATCGCTATGTACGATGCGGTAGTCGGCGGCCTATTATGTAGCTCCCTTTCGTACCGAGTATCCGCTATATAAGCTATTATTAATTCCTTGCTCTTTTACGCTGTCCTTTAGGAACTTAATTAACTCGCTCCGAGTAACATTAAATAGCGCTTCGTACGGCGGTTATAGGTCGTACTCTAGTAGGGTGCGCATCTATAAAACTGGGCAGGTAAGTAGATGTCTAGTCGCCGCTATATAGATAGAGACACCTTAGTAATCGATATCTGTCTTAGACCGCTTTAGCGTAAGCACTATATAGCCGAAGTCTTCCGCGATCGCTACGTCCGAACGGTAGAAGTTCCGAGAGGCCTAAGCTAGCGTTCGTTATACGCGCGACTTATACGTATATTCGCCGGTCCGAAGGAACCCCGCGAATGCTATAGTTACCGCCGCTTAGAGCCGTAGGCAATGCGTTATAGTCGGTCGTACTATAAAGCGTTCGATAATATCGAGGGTTAGCGGAAGCCTCGTTCGTCTTAGTACCGCATTAATCGACTTCGCCCTACGAAGCAGCCTCTTAACGTATTCGCTACTAAATATACTAAGTTCGCTACTACCGATATCGACGTAGTGCGAACGGATAGCCTACAAATTTAACTCTATAGATTCTCCCTTTAGCCTTTTAAACGACAGCGTAGGATATAGGGTGCGATCGATACTATATCGATATAATAGAGTTAATTACGGTAGGTCCCTTAAATAAAGAGTTAAAAGTAAACAGTATAACGCTAAAAGCTTTCCCTACGTTAACTACGCGAGAGGCCTACGATAACCGGCCGGCTAACTCCTTAGTTTGTCGTAATATTACTAAAGGAGAGAGAAGCATCGCTTAGATATTAGTAATAGCGCGTTGCTGCTTTATATTAGACAGGCTCGCTTTTTAAGGAACGGTATCTAGTAGAATACTAAGCACCTCTACGCTCCTTCCCTATACGTCCTTCTTATCGTTACGAGGGACGCCGAATATAGTAGTTACTTTAGTCTAAGTTTTATAGACGTGTTTAATTTGCTAGTTATTATCTTCTATAACAAAAATAGAATCGTCTAGGTAATAGTCTAGTACGGGTCTAACTAGCCGCTCGATAATCTAGTATAGCTATTATACGAATAGGTTAAATAATACTAGCGCTATACGTAGGCTAAAAGGAAGATAGTTCTTTATATATATACCGCCCTTCTACTCGAAAGCTAAAAGCCGGCGCTATTTTAGAGTAACCGGTATAATCTAGAAGGTATCGCTTACGTCTTTCTTAATAATTACGTATCCTAGCTTATAGCGTAAGATACGCTATATTATATCCTTAAAAGAACTATATATAATAGAACTATGCTCTTTCTAAATTATGTCGTTTACGGAGGAGCCGTTTCGAGGCGAGGATAGATCGTAGATACGGCGTATTCTACTATCGTGCTTCGCGACTTAGCCGAGTAGTAAAACTACAACATCCGCGTCGTTTTCTACTCGTATAATATACCCGAGTGCTAGCTTCTTAGCTACCTTATTCGAGATATCGTTCGCGTCGAGAATAGCGTAGTTCTTCGTTCTTCGACTCGGTAGATAGCCCTTAGTTCTAATCGACGCCCTAAACTCTAAGATATAATCGAGGGTTTCGCGTAATTAGCTAGGGTAGTCGCGTAGTATACGCTACTAAGCCGACCGTTTTAGCAGTAACGCGTTTACTAGTAATTTATCGAAATATAGGTAGGGATTAAACGTTAGTATCGTATTAGGCCTCTATATTTACTCTAGTAGCGACCTTCGTAATCTTATAACGAGAGTAGGGGTAGCCTGTTTTATTATACTTATCGTATATATATCGAAAACCGAGCGGACAAGGAGATTGCTCGTAACGGCCGTTATTAAACTTTCGGTATATTTCGGTAGCCGCTCCTCGAAATAAGTAATCCCTACCCGTATCGGAGTAGGATCGTTTTCCTACTAACGGTACTAGTCGTAAGTTATAGATACGTAGGGCGTCGTTAAGGTAATAGAGTAGGGCGAAAGCGACAAGTTAGCGTAGGATCTAGTAGAGCGCTTTAGCGAAAAGGTTAAAGAGGACCGGCGCTATACGTAGTCCGAATAGAAGGTAGTTCTTAATATAATACCGACCTTCCTACTCGAAGCTAAGTAGCCTTCGGTCTACCGGTACTATAGGAATTAAGCGGAACGCCGCTTCGATATCTCGCTTTACGATATACGCTCTACGGCCTGCTTAAAGTAGCGCTAAAACGACCTCGTTAAAAGAAGCGTAGTATAAAGATCCGTAGGATACCGGTATGTCCTCGTTTACTCCGCTAAATAATAGGTCGTAGATACGGCGAAAGCCGCCGTCGTATTTTGGAACTAATCCTAGCGGTAACGCGATAATGTCGCTAGAGACCTCGGTAATACGCCCTATACGCGTATCGTTATCTACTTTCCTCGTAATATCTAAGGGGTTGCTCCGTATAGAGCCGTAGTTACGGAATACGGCTATTATCCCCTTACCTTCGTACCTAATTAACGCCCCGAAATAGAGGATATAGTTAATAAGTGCTAGTAGGCCCTTATCTAGGTAATTGCGTAGTATATACGCCTATGTATGCCGCTTTAGTAGCGACACTCCTTCGATAAGCGCCCCTCGCGGTATTATATATCTAAGCACCGTATTTAGCCGAGTGCCGTTACCTCTTATCTACCTATTTTCGTCGTTACTTTTCCCCTTTTATCTGCTAGCTAGCTTTTTATTATACGACTTAAGTAGGTGCCGTCCGAAGCAATTACTATATACGCTCGCGTAGCGATAACGGTGCTTATTATAATAGCCTAACTCGTTATACTCGAAGTAAGGGGGGTTAGCGTTTACGCCTAATAAGGGCGCGGCGCGAAAGGACTCTATCGCTATATTACTACGCGATCGTTTCGAAGCGTTCTACGAGATATTTATATCGTCTACGATGCCGTAGATAAGCGTCTATAAGTAGGCGTATTCTATAATACTAGCCTATGCCTCCGGCTTTATATATCCCTAAAAGTAAACCCGGACGTACGCCTTTAGGGCATACGTACGAATAACGCTCTTTTTATAGTTTATCGAAAGATGCTTAAATACTACGTAGTAGAACTCGAGGATAGCTAGGATTAGGCTAGGAACGCGACCGTAGAAAGTGGCTATAAGCCTAGTATAAACCGCGAAAGCCTTACCCTAGTAAGCTAAGTACTATAGGTCTCTCGTTACTATCGAGGGAATTAGCCGTACGCCTAATAATTCGGAGGACTCCGCCTCGTCGGTAATGCTTATTATAAAGGTGCTCGTTCGTAGCCGTGCTAGGGTAAATAGATTAAAGGATCCGTTAAAAACGTTAAGGACGTAGCGAAGGTCGATGTCCGCTAACTTAGAGAGCCCGCTCGCGTATTCTATAGATAATATCGTACCTTCTTTAGCTTTCGCTATACTCGAGCTATGCTCGTTCGCGCTCGCCGTAGCGACTATAAGTGCTAGCGTATATGCCTTTAGTAACTCTACTTTAATCTTCTCGCGCTCCTTCTTACGTATAAACTTCTTATACGACATTTATTCCCGGACGTTAGCGCGTATCGCCTCGATCCTCTCCTTTTTAAACTTAGCGCTCGCTACTATAGCTAGTACGTCTATTATTAATATGCGTTTTCTACGCTAGTTAGAGCTCTAAGAGGTAGGAGAGTGCTTACTATCTTCGTCTTAAAGTTCGTTAGATAAACCTAAGGCTTAGCGACCCCTACTTATACGTAATAGGCTATTTCTTCCCCCTCGGCCGACTATCTCGTCTCGCGTACTAGCGCCTTATCTAGAGTGTCCGAAAATAGTAGTAGCTAGACATCTAAGTATAGCGCATTCGGTAATTATAATAAAACGATAAATAACGATATAGTAGTGCCTACGCGCGTAAAGGGCGTACGGATAGAGGGCTAAGTTAGCTTAGCCCTTAGAAAGGGAGGTAACGCCCTTATATACAGACCCTATCTATCTTTTAGAGGGTGCGCATTTGTTTAAAAATCGTGCATTTATTTAGACAATGCGCACTAGTTAAGAGAATGCGCATTTATTTAGTTAATGCGCACTAGTTAAGAGAATGCGCATTCTTTTAGAGGGTGCGCATTTATTTAAGAAATGTACATTCATTTAGTTAATGCGCACTAGTTAAGAGAATGTGCATTTATTTAGAGAATGCGCATTTATTTAGAAAATGCGGACTTATTAAGAGAATACGGACTTATTTTAAGAATGCGCACTTCTTTAGAGAATACGTATATATTTAGAAAGTCCGTACCGTCGTCTTTTACGCCTACGGTATTACCCTCGACGATTTTAGTCGTGTCTAGAGGATAGCTAAATAGGGCGGTCCCTAGATAATAAGGCTTTCTTAGAAGAGGGGGCGGAGGAGTAGTTCGTACGAGTAGTCTAGAGGTTTCCTAATCGGGATAAAGCTAGCGCCTAACGCCTAACGCCTAACGCCTTCCTAAATAGAAGGTTAGCCGAGTATTAAGCTAGGGCTAGCTAGGGCTAACATTAGGTAGTCCTTAATTAATATTTAGCTAGAATGAAGATTAATCATCCTAACAACACGTGCTTTATAGAAAGCGAGTGTTTGTTCTTCGTATAGACTCGAGTACCTATGCTTATCGAGGGGTAAACTAGGTGCTCGTCCTCCGACCCCTTATTATTTAGTATAGAGGCGCCTATAGTTAACATTTGTCCGTTAGGGAGTCTGCAATTACCGGACCCCCCTTGATCGATCCTMACATATTTACTCTATTTGTGTCGAAAATTCATTAGGTCGCTGGCTACCAAACTTGGTACTACGAGGAACTAATTTCTTCTTTTAGCCGGCCGGTCTTCTCGCTTCTCGGTTGATGTCCTCTGCCGATGAAATTTCTGGGAATGCCTACCCAAGGTAGCATACGTGTGACATTGATAGGGAGTCGAAACTGGAATCATTCTGAGCAGTTATCAAAACGAACACTCTTTCTCTGCCCGTATCGATTCGAATTTGAGGGGCTTGATAGGGTACCTAACGGGAGCAAGGCACTCCTGACATGAGGAGCGATGGCCCGCATTATCCTATCAACACACGGTGCCCACATGCCCACTCCGCTTGGCAAGCAAGGCTCCACCATACACCACGCCCCTTGATAGATGTGTGCCCCGCATTTCGCGCGGCTGAGATGATCATTGGCCTGAATCGGTTGCATGTCATCGGGGCGGTGTCCGATAGAGACCGAAGGAGTGTCTCGGCCGCCGTAATCCCAGCTTGATAGGTAGGGCTCAGCTCAGCTCAGCCAAGCTTGAGTAAGTTCTCAGCAACACACACACTTGCCCGCGACGAGGGGTGTTCTTTGCCTCGATTTCACACTCGTCTAACCATGTCGACTGAAGATGGACGCCTCCAGACCCACAGCAGTCATAGCAACGACGCATCAGAGTAAGTGTTTCCCGACCAGCTGCTTTGATGCCTTTAATGACAGCTTCCCGCTGACTCCCCAAGCCCGGGCTTCATGTACAAGCAGCAGTGGGTGCAAGACCTAGTTTCGCAGCTGTGTTTGTTCGTGCAAACCAATACGGACTGGATGGGCGTCAGGGATGAAATCGACCGACCGGCGAGAGTGCTTGACTATGCTTGTGGAAATGGTGCTCTTTCCAAGGTGAAGCTCTGCAACGTCTGCCATCTCATCATTCTCACATCTAACGGCGTCGTGTCACAGGCCTTGGCAGATGTAACTACCCACACGACGTTTCGTGGCATTGACAGCTCTGCCGCCCAAGTTCAGCGCTTCAACGATGCTGCTCAAGCTTTGCCCGACGATAGCCAGCTGCGGATGCTGGCAGCTCAGGGAAATCTTCAGGAGGAAGACGCGAAATTCGAGAGTGCAGAATGGTATCACTTTGATGTGGCCTTGATCAGCATGGCGCTACACCATGTTTCCAGTCCGTCTGATATGCTCAAGAAGCTTGCCTCAAGGGTATCGACTGGTGGGTGCGTCGTCATAGCAGAGTTCCTCACCGAAGAGACGCATCTCTTGGGCGACCAGGGACACGGCAAGTGGCCTGGATTCACCAAGCAGAGTTTGCAACAGGCAATGGAACAAGCCGGGCTGGTTGACGTTGAGATGAGGACTGATCCAAAGCCTACCGTTATACCGGCCGAATTTGGTGGTAACAAGCAGATTGTTTTCGCTAAGGGCAGGACTGTGGCCTCTTGACTAATGGCCCGTTCTTGCGTATAGCTCGACGAATGACAAGTCTCCATCGAACATGTTAACAGTGATATCAGTGGTATTGCACTCAGGATGTATTTCCTACAAGCTGAGAAGCTGGTTGTCCACACCACACAAGTAATCGACGCGGCTGAAAGAACCGTGGATGCATTGCCGCGTCACTCGTTACTCTTTTCGAGACCGMCTGTGGCAAGCGTGATGTCTTTGAAGACAACGAATCACCGCAATTCGAAAGCCGTTGATGTGTCCAAAGATTCTCCGATCTCAGCTGTAGGCAATGTCATCTACATGGAATCACGCACGGAAAGGGTCAGGAGAGCTTGAAAGGGTGAGCTAGCAAGGAAGATTGCATTTGTAACCAACCATCTTCTGTTTTGTTGGAAATGTTCCCATCAGATGCAGAAGCTTGCACGGGTCGAAGTGGTATGGAAGGTTTTCCCAACAAGCTTGCCGATATGTAACGTTGCCGCGAGCTCAGCTTGCATATGTAGATCATCGCTCCCCCGCAAGCCCTAACAGCTGAAGATGTGATGCGAGACACGTTCTCTACGGCTGAGATCGACCGGTCTGTCACCCTCAAAGGGGCTTAACAGAGCGATGCAGAGGCATACTCATGCAGTAGCTCATTGTGATGGCACCAAGGACTAGTGTCCACCAGACAGACATGATGTAACCCTAACGACGTCTGCCCCATAAAATTACCGGTGTAAGACATTGTGACACCTTGCCTTGTTTTAGGGGGTAGGCGCAGCCTGTTCATGCACGACATGCTGCCGCGGAGCATTCCCATGAGTATTAGCCCTCCACCTCGTTCGTGGACTCTGAGCACATGTTTCACGTGGCCAATCAGTATCCTCGGTGAGGTGGCACAGGAAAGTGGATCCAGGCAGGCTTCGTTTTGGATGGAGACGCCTTGTCGTGCGGCGAGGGCGCATTGCAATGGGATAGATTGTTTCGACCTCACACTCAGTACTTCCACTGCACATGTAGTACTTCTCCTAGTGGTATGATACTCGAGTACATGGAACGAATGACAGCTGATTCCAGCAGCTGTGAGCTGTCGATCAAAGCCAAGAGAAAAAAGCCAAGAAAGAAGCCGCGCTATTCTAGAACGTTGAGGGAAGGTGGCGTCTGGAGAGGGGGCAAACGCTCGAGGTGTTCTGTACTTACTAGGTACAATAGTAAGGTATCGTTCGGTAACTTGCTAACCCTGTCAGAATCCTGCGCAAGAGTCCAGGTTGCGACCCACAGAAAATAAATTACCTGCCCATCAGGAATCGAGCGTGAACTGGGCATACCTCTACGTGTTGCTACCCATTCATGCAAGACTCCTCCGCATTTTGTCCAAATGTCTTCAACAAGCTGACACGGGTTCTAGGAGTTACCGAACGATACTCACTCGTATGAAGACGTCGAATTAACGTACGGCATCATGCCACGCCGGGAGATATCCCCGTCCGATTACGACTGGTGCGAATCTTCCGTCAGGTCTCAGCTTTTGATTGGTTCAGGACACGGCTTCGACCAATAGAGGCTGCGAGCCGCCGCGGGATGTAGCAATGGGTTAGATCGAGGGAGAGAGCCCCCGGTGTGGTAGCATGGATGCTATGACCAATCGCATGCCGGATTAACGCCTCCCGACTTGTCAAGTACCGGTACCGTAAGCTTCCTTGTGGGCCGATCCTTTGTCCCGCACGAGGCACCCAATGTCCTCTCAATGTCTCGACTACGTTCTTGACAATCAGGGCGAAAGAATTGGCAGTGTACGAGCAAGTCGTGACTTACCAAGACATCTCCAACTCTGGGGAAGCGCTGGGACATCTGGACGATCGCTGGAGGAAATGGCAATACCAAATCCGACCACCCCGCAAGATGGATCATTCACATGTCCTGCTGAGCAAGCATATGTGCAGCGCGTCCACCTCCCTCGTGTTGGAACCTTGCATTCAAAAGTGTCCGATCGGTCCGCATCCTGTGATCCTTCACTTATCTGAAGCACACGGGCCAATCAGGAGTTATGGCAACGCGAATGCGTCACGGAGAAATTCCTGTCAATAAGTACATCTAGATGGGTTTGCTTCTCCCGTGAGCTTTCCGACTCCCCATCAGAGCTATCACGCCTTATGCCTTCGGTTTCCACAATCGAAACTCCGATACTACTCACCAATAACCACCCTTCARGGTATCGGCTATGAACCAAGGACCCAAAGTCAACAGAGCAGGGCAGAGGTTACGCTCTGCGTGTACCGAGTGCCACGCGGCCAAGGTAAGGTTCCCGTTGTGCCACAAAGATGATTCGAGTACACGGGCTCAATTGCCGGCAGGTCAAGTGCACAGCGGAGAGCACAGGGTGTGCACGGTGTCTGCAATCTGGCTTCGAATGCAACTACGAAGTCTCCATGGTTGGCAAATGTCGCCGTCGTAAGCGTACTACCTCTTCAGACATAACCACTCGACCTGTTCCAAGATCAAGCTTTTCCACGGCACGCTCGAGCTCCGTTGCGGAATCACCCTCTGAATATCTTCAACAACAGAGCACAGCACCAACGTCGCCATTGATGACTGGCTCTCGCGATGGCTCTACGTCGATGTCTATCAACGACAATGTCTTTGACTGGTCCAGTGACGGAGCACCCTCCAACCCGTTCGATGCCGAGTTTGTCAACGATTCTGCTCCAAACGCAATCACTTCAAACGATAACGACATCAGTGTTGGCTATGAAGATCTGATCAACGACCATCTGGGAGTGGATTTTTCAATCCCCCACATCGTTCTTGAAAACCAGGCGTCCAATGCTTCCAGCTCATCCGGCCCTTCCACCACCACCTTGCCGTGGACCATCGACCCAGACTTGATGACATATCGTGGACAGGCCTCGCTTCTCCGCCAAGACCTCGGAAACGACACATCTTCCAGCATGGGCGTGTGCTATGCGGCCATTGCACGACTCGACGCTCTATGCCGGCAATCGAATCCACAGATCGACATGGTGGTCGGTGCAGTGAAGACCAGCGCCAAGGATATTGCCCAACTCATGCAACTTACGTCGTATCGGCGAAGCTATACCGGCCCATCGGTGGTGCTTGTTGCCGTCGAGCCCATGGTGAATCTGTTCGAGATGATAGCCCCGAGGGTCACTGGCCAATACGATCAAAGCTCATTGGCCTCAATGACGGAGCCCAGGCTTCCCAGTCTCATGCTAGGAAACTTCAAGGCCGAGGGAGAGGAGGCAACGTCGATCTGGAAGCAGATTGTGCTTGCAGAAGCGCATCGTCTTTCGAGACTCATCGATATGCTTAGTGATCAGATCAACTCAGCGCAGGCCCAACCGCGGGGTTGGCGTGCGACCGGGTTTAGTTCCTCWTGCCACGAGCTGGAACAGCGTGTGAGAGCTTTGGTCATCGGGCTGGAGCGGCCAGCCGTTTGTTAGCTTCAAGACAATGGGTAGCGTCAGTGGTCTCAGAGGAAGAAGTTGCAATAAAGGTCATGGTACTCTACATGATTCTTCCTTCTTGTGTGTCATACATACTCCTTCACATGAAAAACCGCGCCGTGAAGCAGCCAGTATGAATCAGAAGGAATGTGTAGGTTCGAAGGATGCATGGGGTGCAATCCTCCAATGGAGGGGGTATATACAGCGGCCAGCCATGTTGTGGTCCGCTTCGGTGACCGGGGTACAGACAGCTGAGCTCGGAGACTCCGGGACGGAGTCTTGGCACATTGGTGTGCAAAGTAAGGGGGATCCCAAAGGTACATGAAAACCGATCCTCCGCCAGAATGAGGGGTTACGCGCGGAAGCAATCAATATGTGATGCGTCTCGGCAAGCAGCAAATCAATTGATTGGACTCGGACACTCCTGATCGGAGTCTTGGTAGTCCAAGTGATATCCGTTGCCCGGAGACATTGTGCGGAGACATTTACAATTCTGATGTGCCCGTGGGAATTCAGCTGCACGCAGCTCCTTTATTGCAACATCGTCGTCTCCCACCTCATCCCGCCAACATCACACATCAGCAGACAGCACTCGGCGTGATGAAGACACCATTTCGACATGGCCAGACCGAAGCGAAAGAGAACGATGGCCCACAGCCGGATGACGGACTTCCTGTGCAAGTCGACAAAACCGTTCTGGTGCTCATCATGATCGCGTACATGATCCCGTACCGCTATACAAATCAGACTGTCTTACTAACACAATCATGGCAGTCTATGCGCGGCTGTTTTCTGCCAATCCTTGGACACGACCGTCATTGCCACTGCCATTCCAAGAATCACCGACGAGTTCAAATCACTTAGAGATGTCGGCTGGTATGGCGGCGCATATCTCCTCGCCAATTGTGCCTCTCTGCTCGTCTACGGGAAGCTTTACAACCTCTGGCCCGTCCAGTGGGTATTCCTGGGAGCTCTTGCTCTCTTTGAGATTGGTAGTATCGTATGCGCTGCGGCGCCAACATCGATCGGGCTGATCATGGGCCGAGTCATTGCGGGCATTGGATCGGGCGGTATCCTGTCTGGCTCGGTTCTCATCATTGCAAACACTGTTCCGCTGCGCCAAAGACCCATCTACAATGGCTTGTTGGGGACAATGTACGCCATCTCGAGTGTAGCTGGACCTTTGTGAGTCCCCCAAGACGGCCTTGGCAAGTAAAGACTGACATCTCCCCAGACTAGGGGGCGCCTTCACGCAGTATGTGAGTGGCATTGAGGACTCCGATTTTGTCGGGTAAGACTCCTGCTTTACTGACGCCGGCTCTCAATCTGCAGGTCACTTGGAGACTCTGCTTTTGGATCAACCTTCCGCTGGGAGTGTTCTCAGGAGTGGTCATCATTTTCTTCCTGCGGAAGCTCAAAGCCCCTCCGCGGGCAAGCCTGACATTCAAAGAGAAGGTGTTGGAACTCGATCTACCTGGCATGGCGCTGTTCCTGCYATCCATTGTCTGCCTTCTACTGGCCATCCAGTGGGGCGGAATCCAGTACCCATGGAATAGCGGACAGGTCATTGCCCTTCTCGTTCTGTTTGCCGTCCTGGGCGTTGCCTTTATCGGCGTACAAGCTTGGCAGAAGGATCGCGCCATCATTCCCCTTTCCATCATGAAACTGCGAACAGTCTGGTCATGCACAATCTTCTACTTCTTCCTCTTTGGCTCGCTCCTTGTATTCACGTACTACCTGCCGCTGTGGTTCCAGGCTGTCAAAGGTGACTCGGCATCGCAAAGCGGTATCTATACACTGCCGTTGATGTGCGGAAGCGTGATCATGTCGATTGCGACGAGCATCATCGTCACATGGATCGGCTACTACACCTGGGCTTGCATAGCCTCGAGCATCGTGGCTTCTATAGTAAGGGCTCGCTTGAAATCCATCTCGCATTCACTGACGACTGGGCAGGGCGCCGGACTCATGACTTTATTTGCTCCTGGAAGCTCAGCAGGCTACTGGATTGGATTTCAAGCGCTGTATGGAGCAGGAACGGGCCTCGGATTGCAGCAACCTTTGATTGCCGTACAAGCAGTCCTACCAGAGGAGCTCATCTCCGAAGGCACCGTGAGCGAATGACATCCCGAGGGAAAGGCTTCACTAATCCATTTGAATCACAGGCTTTTATCATCTTCGTATCTACCGTTGGGGGCTCAGTCTTTCTGTCAGTTGCACAGAACTTATTCATCGGACACTTCACCTCGGGTCTACGATCCTCTGGCCTTCCGATTGACGCAGATACTCTGAGCAGAGCCGGTGCAACGGAGCTGGAGAAACTGGTCACACCGGAGCTGCTTTCGCAAGTCCGCAGCATCTACAATGATGCTGTCATTCAGGTATGGTCAAGGTGTTGTCTGGATGAGACTTGACTAACGTATCTCGTAGGCCTTCTATGTCGCGGTAGCCACCGCAGCACTGAGTGTATWTGGGAGTGCCGTGATACCCTGGACCAACATCAAAAAGGTTCAGAGTCAAAAGAATGCCGCGAGGACGAGTACTGCGCCACAAGGTGAACATGAGCAGTCCGATACGACGGAGAAACGGTCGATCAGTGGCTGAGCACCAAAGACGAGTCTAATTTGTCGTTGTAGACTTGATCTTCAACGCAGAGCCAGTCCCATCAGTACTCTTGGGCGATGGACTGTGCTGAGATTTTATCATTGTAGATAGATGTTCGGATAGTCAGTCAATAGTACGACATCTCAATATCAGTGCCACCGAAACTGCCATGTCGGAAGGATGCATGACAATAAAACAGCTGGAATAGATGATGGGTAATTGCTTCATTCACGTAAGAACTACAAGGCGTCCACTTGATTGCGCCATCTTGAGCATCGGCGTGTTACCCAGTCGCTATAATACCGCACATTCACCGTCATCTACGACTGCCAAGATACCTCTATCAAGGCAAGATGAGAGTTCACAGGGCGTATCACGTTCTCCACCACGAATCGATGATCTGCTGCCTTGCAAAGCTCCCTCCAGCCCTGCTCATCTCGAATCTTRGAGTTACCGAGCGCCAGCTGGGCCAGATCCATAAGCCTAGCGATCGTCAGTGAGTCGAGCGATTTGCCTCCATCATCAAAGGAATGCGTGCGTACCTTTGGGTGCGTTCCTGGGTGAGAGTCATCTCCCCCATTGCTGGCATGAGCTCATCCATGATCAAGATTCTCGCGCCGTCCTTGAGAGCCGCTCGCTGAGCCCTGAGAATATCAATCGCTTGAGCATCCGGCCAGTTATGCAAGACGGAGCGGAACAGATAAACGTCTGCATTGGTGACGGATTGCTCGCTGAAGAAGTCGTGTACCATGTGAGAGACATTGGCCCCGTCGGCATTCTCATGCGCGGAATTGGCATCTCCCATGTCTTGAACAATCAGCTTCAGGTTGGGAAATTTCTTGGCGATGGCGAATGCGGCCTGCCCAGTGGAACCCCCTACGTCGACGACTGTCCCGGACCCATAGTCAGCCCAAGGGAAGTTGTCAGTAAGGTGATCCATGGACCATGGAGGCCCAGCTATAGCCTGGCTCATACAGTGTGTGAAGCGTCGAATCTTCTCTGGGTCTTTCGCCAGGTGCAGGTAGAATGAAGGCTCACTGACTCCATGAGCTACCATGTATCCACTTTTGGAAGGATCATCAGCCGCAGGATGCTCGAGCAAAGCGTCGACTACGCCCAAGAATCCGGGTATCATGTCCTCGGTTGTGAAGCCAGCGCAGTCGTGAAGGACCGTGTCTGTCAACAAAAGCTGAGTTACAGACGAGTGCGAGACGTAGCCCTCCCGCTTCTCGGCGAACATATGATATGTCATGGCTGCACGCAGAAGCTGTCGAAGTGTCGCAGCACGTAGGCCTGTCTGTGCAGCCAGCTCCGCGTAGCTAATCTCGCCGCCTTGAGGAACCTTTTCGACCAATCTGAACCGGTAAATGAACCGTAGCGTAGCAAACTTGATCAGAGACGGAAACCCTGCATTGGACACCAGACCTCTGGGTCCTGTCAAGAGGTCGTTGAGTTTGGCCGTGGCGTCGAGGACTGTATCCTTCGAATGGGCAATGTCCTTTGGATAATCTACCTCGGCGCCAGTGTCTGCTGGCTCAAAAGTGGCCGAAGGGATGCCATGTTTGAGGTTGTAAGAATCAATAATAGCAGAATGCTTCGAGATTGCATTTGAGAGCTCCACGAGCTCGCTGCTGTGACTCGCAGGCGCTTCTGTAGACATGGTGATGGTGTAAGATTGCGTTATCTTTGCGAGTTCAAGAGCGTACTTACATCTCTACTTTCACAACGATTGTGGGCCGCTCGGTGCTTTACATCGGGATCCGGCTGCTTGTTGCTCGGATGCCGTGCGTCCTCAACATCGGAGAGAAAGACGTCGGAGAGCTGATCGGGGAGCTTTGGTCGACCATTCAAAGGAAGGACGCGAGTGTGTTAAGCGCACTATACGAAGACCAAGGTAATTTCATGTACTTCTCCAGGGGGAAAAGTTGCGAGCTTTGAGTTGCTATCAAAATCTCAATCTTTAAGTCAATTGGCATCATGTTATAGTTTGTGACACTGTACCTCTACATTTCTCTCTTGGTAATCTTCACCTTGAGATCACCCTTAAGACCCATGACTTGGTTGCCAGGCAATGCTTTCACCATTTTTGGAAAAGCGTTGCGACCCGTACCCATATCTACGACACGACCATTTTTGTGTTCTACAAAAGACACAAACTGGATGTCGAAATTTATCAACAGAACTGCAATGGTAGCAACAATCTCTTGTCGAGCAAAGTTCCGGCCGGGACACCTGTAGACCGAGTCAGTATTGCCCCTTTTAGCAAATCCGGTCAATCATCGGTACTTACATGTGCGCGCCCCCTCCGAATGGAAAGTACTGTCCGCTCATGCCTTGTATCGAACAGCGTAGCTCGCCCGTCTTTGGGTCCTGCTTGAGGAAGCGGTTCGGGTCGAACCTTTCCGGGCTTTCGAAATTCGTCGAGCTCCTCTGTGTCATCCAGCTGCTGGCGATGACCTGTTCGCCTTTTCGAACGGGAATATTGGACAATGTCTCGTCCTGCTCTACTTGCCGGACGATCAGCAAGTCAATGTATAGACGAAGGACCTCATTAACAGTAGCGTTCAGGAGAGGGAGCCGTGCCAGTGCGACGATGTCAAACGATTTGTCTTCTCGCTGTGCGGTCGTGATCTCTTCCCGCAGCCGAGCCAAGAGATCTTCAGAGCCTGGGGAGAGTATATGCGCCAGAGCCCAACCAACTGTTGGTATGGCATTGCTGACAATGCCAGCGAGGAATATCATTTCCTTGCCAGCTTGACTTCTCAAAGTCAGACCCTGCTGGTTGTAATATTCGTGACGCCTCCGCATAACCTTGGCTCCAAAGTACGGTTCCCACTCCGTGTCCACCAGATCCATCTTTTCCGTATGTTCATAGCCGACCTTGAGCCACTGCTGAAACTTCTCGGAAAGGCTTTCGCGGGCGGCGTAAGCCTCGCGGGCGAAGATCTTCGGTGTTCCAAACAGCAAAGTCAGGAGATTCTGTTCCCACACCCAGAAATCGCTCTGAAGGTCAGGAAACATGTCCAGTAACTTGGTGCCGAAGAGTGCATTGGTCGACGCAAAGAAAAGAATGTCCTTTGTCCAAGCGTACAACTCGATCTCGACGCCTTCGTTGATACCTGGAGAAGCCGCGGTCCTCTCTAGCAAGCAGCTCAAGAATTTATTGGTGAGGGTTGTGACAGAGCTCATCGCTAGTAGAGACTCGGTATGGACTTGCTCCAGCGTGACCTTTGTCTTTCGGTCCAACGATTTGGGGAAAGCTTTCGCGGCTTGTTCCTCCGTCATACCCAGAACATTTGTCGCCAGCTGCCGAGCATGCTTGTACCTCGTCAAGTGCTTTGACTTGAACTCAGTGAGAATTTCAGGGGCAGAGAAGAGAATATGGGTCCTGGTTCCGAAAACGAGGAGCGAGATGTTACCGAGGTCGTAGTGTTCGCAGTAATGCATCAACTTGTTCCAGAACTCCCCAATATTCTTGTTCATCATCCCGAGCGACGATCCCAAGAAAGGGATTGCATATGGTTTGAGCGGAACGGCGGCAGAATCCTGTGACTATTAGTAGTCAGCGAAAGCGTAAGTGGAGTTTGACACACTCTGGAAGTGAGATAGGGGTTGGAGAATGGTGTATTAAGATCGCATACATTCTGGCCAGAAATTTACTTACGTGCTGACGATGGTACTGCTTGACGGCCACGTGGAAGCGGATGGTACTCAAGGCCCAGGTGAGAATACATGTTACGAGCACGGCTACTAGCAGAGCCTGTGCGAGGAGGGTCGAACTGTGATATTGTCCAGCGATGTCCATGTTGTTGCTTGCGTAGGAAGAACTACTTCAAAGTGAGATGATGGATGATGTGTGATGGAAGTATAGCAATATCGCGATGTCATATTCTCACTCAACTCACGTGCTTCCGTATGCTCGTAAGGATGCAAGCATAGCGACCGTCCTCGGTCCGTTCGGTGGGCAAATGTTTCTATAACGGCCTCCACATCGGCAGCGATCATTTGCGTATCACGGACGGCGACGATTCAGTGTGCGGCCTGCAACGAATTGAATGAACTGACGGACGGGTATACTATTGGATGTGTAATGTTTAATGCCACCAAAATTTGATTTCTATACACCCCCTGCCGGCCGCATTTCAATGGCCTTGACCCAAGCATTTCGCAGGTCATAAATACCCGTTATTTCCCACCGAGAGGCCGTTGCAAGTCTTTGCCAATCGTCTACGGTACGCTCCAGTCCCTTTGCTGTCATCATCATATTGATATCCCCATACCTCGACAGCCTCCCCATTTCGCCATCGGCAAGCACAGATTCCAAGACTACCAGCTTTGCGTCTGGGCCTGTAATGGCATTGCGGATGTTGGTGAGAATCTTGATTGCTTCGGGATCTAACCAGTCATGCAGCACCCATTTCATAACGTAGCACTTGTACGAAGGTATTACGTCGAAGAAGTCTCCTACGATGAGGTCCTCCGAGGCAACACGATCACCCACATCCTCAAACTGACCTCCAGGCTGGAAGAAGGGCTTGATGTGTTCGATGACGCTGGCCAGATCGAAGACGCCGCCCTTCATCTGCGGATTCTGTCGTAAAAGGGAAGCGATGAGAGCTCCACCTCCTCCTCCAATGTCCAGCACTGTCTCGTCTTTGAAATTGGCCCACGGGTAGTCTGCGAGAATCCCTGGAGCCTGCGCAATAGCTCCAGCACCCAGAGTTCGATGCAGGCGAGGTAGCCAGCCTTGAGCGTTGAAATAGGTGAACATGTCGTCGTCAGTGTTGAAGTTGTGTTGCGCAGCACTACGAGTCTTCTCTCGGTTCATGGATGCCGGAATACCACGAGCTATGTCATAGAACTGGTYACCATACAGGTCCACCCAGTTGTGCCAGCCGTGTGGATGGTCCGAGCGAAGGAGATTCGAGCGTATGTTGTTTACCCAGGTGTCAGACTGAGCGTGGTATGTAAATATACCGTTGTTTTGGAGAAGACGCATGACTTGACGGAGACGCTCTGGGTGTGCCTTGGCCACCTCAGCGAGATTTGAAGAGCTCATGTCGCCATGTTGGTGCAGGATGTCCGGAATCCCCAGCGACACTGCGGCGACAAGGCACTTTGAGCTAACGTAGCCTGTTGAGAATCGAGTTAGGCCGAGACATATCTGATGAAAGAACTTTATACCTACCAAGAAAGTGATCCGCAAGCACTAGATGTGCYGGCTGGAGCATCTGTCCAATGTCATGCAAGATGTCGACAATCTGAGAAGCGGGTCCAACAAGATGTTTGTCCGGAAGCTGTTTGTCATCATGCAGCTGCTGGCAGATGCCTTGTTCATGCTCCAAGTCATCGAATCGCTCACGGAGTTTGATCAAATCATCGCGAATGGTCTCGAGAGCGACCACGGCTTCGCCCCTGGGACGTCGATGGGTGGATGTGGAATTCATCTCTTTCGGTTGGCGATAGGTCTCGAACAACATCATGCCACGGGACTTTGGCAGTCAGTGCATGATGATATTCAGCCTCGGAATCCATTTCTCTTGGCCCTTCTGTGATCGGTTGCCGTCTCGGTTGCCTGCGGAGACTCGGAGACTCGGAGACTTTCTAATGGAGCGATTTCACGGGTTATGTCTCCGCTAATGCCCTCTCCGAGCAACCAAGGGATAGAATGGAACAGCATACATAAAACAATGTCCTCCGTAGCGAAGTATTCTGCTGCAAATATCCTCAAAAAGATACAATCTGCAACGATGGGCTCAGCAGCACCCACAAAAACGTACGCTTTGCACTCAAACATATCGTCCCGGTGCCTTGCTCAAGCTCACTTTGAACAGCTACGACGTTTTGATCATTGGAGCCGGTCCCGCGGGCTTATCTGCAGCGCTTGGCCTGGCTCGTCAATGCTATTCAGCGCTTGTCTTCGATTCCAGCAAGTATCGCAACGCTCCAGCAGACCACATACATAACATCATCACATGGGACCACCGCAACCCAGCCGACTTCCGAGCAGCCGGAAGAGCGAACATCCTGTCAAGATATCCGAGCATCTCATTCCGCGATGCCGAAGTCACTTCCGCCGCGAAGCTTGACGACGGTAGCTTTGAGCTCACGGATGCCAGCCAGGAGACCTATCGCGGCAAGGTTTTGATGCTGGCCAGTGGCGTTACGGATGTGATGCTACCCATTCCTGGCTATACGGAGCTTTGGGGCAAGAGCATCTTCCATTGCCTTTTTTGCCATGGCTTTGAAGAGAAAGGGGCTACCAACGCCGGTGTCCTTGCCGCGGGACTCATCAACCAACCGTCAATGATACTCCACATGGCCCGTATGGCTACGAATCTGGTCAAGGATGTTACTGTCTACTGTGATGGTGATCAAGAGGTGGCCACCACCATGCAGGAGGCTTTCAAGGGGAAGCCTTTGACCATTGAAGGTAAGAAGATCGTCAAACTCGAGAAGGGTGCGACCGACGAGGATGTAACGGTACATCTCGAAGGCGGTGAGGTACGAAAAGAGAGGTTTCTGGTAAGTCGCTCATACAAGTCGTACTTCATGTGTTTTCGGACCACTGACACTGCTGGTAGGTTTCTGTCCCGACGACCATGAACAACGGATCTTTTGTCAAAGATTTGAATCTAGAGACCGAGCCCTTTGGCTTCATCAAGGTGACGCCGCCCTTCAACGAGACTAGCGTGCCTGGTGTATTTGCCATTGGCGATTGTGCTACTATGATGAAGGCGGCACCGAATGCAATCAACATGGGTTCTTTTGGAGCTGCGGGAGCCGTGGCGAAGCTTGCATCGATGGGAAAGTTGTAGCCGGCGAGTCGTGAGAGTAGTGAATCTCATTTAGAGTAGCCACTGTATAATGACAAGCCATCTCCAATTTTCCTCCTTTTTGGCTACGACATCTCCTATCCACTCTATTGACTTTGTTGTCAGAGATTTGATCCGCTGCGATGTGAACAGAAGGCTGTTTCTTGCAGTTTATCCAAGAGAGACTCTTTACCAAAGACATTCAGCTACAGCTCTGTGGCTACGACTACCTTGAAACTACGGTGGGTGGTTGCAGAGCTCGAAGACTCGACGACGTACGGCTTGAGTCTTTAAGACCAAGCTTAGTATGTCTAGATTACCAAGTCAACGCCGCCTTGTGATCGTCGTTCTTTGCCTTTATCAAGCAAAAGCTGCCTCTGGGCATCTGTCCAGACACCACTGACTTCATCAAACATGTCTCCATGATTGACTTCCTCTTTCAATCGTCCGGCCTGTTCTTCAACCTGCTTCAGTACTCTCAAAATGTTTCCGCCAAGAACATTTTGCAAATCGCCTTCTCCAACACCCCTGGCGAGGAGCTCAGCTACCAGCGCGGGATAGTCAGCCACATCGTCCAGACCACGAGGTCCCTCCAGCATTCCATCAAAGTCAGATCCGATGCCTACGTGTCGATATCCAATACGCTCTGCGGCATAGATGATGTGAGCCGCAACATCTTCGATCGATGCCGGTATTTGGGCTTCTTCTGCAGGCTTGGTAACAGTCTCATTGGAGCATAGACCAGCCGGACCTATTCTACTAATCCGACAAAGTGACGGTAGAAAGCATATCATGATCAAACCACCATTGGCTTTGAGAGCTGCCAATACAGCGTCGGTCACATTGCGAGCATGTGGTGTCAACCCAAAGCTGCAGAGCATGTTAATCCCCGGGGACGAGAAGTCAAATGGTAACTCACCAACTTGAATGGGAGAAGATGACAGGTGCAGTCGAAATCTGAAGCACTCGGTGCTGGGCGGCATCGGATGTGTGGGACAGATCAATCATCCTGAGATGTAAGCGAAGGTTTATTTTCGTATGGGTAATGATTGACACACATGCCGATGCGGTTCATCTCACGCACCACTGCCTCTCCCTCAGTCGACAGTCCACCGTGCAAGGGTATGGCAGGATTCGAAGAGTCAACAAACTCGTTGTGATCGTTGTGACACATCGTCACATATCGTACACCGAGGCGATGGAACAACCTCAAGGCGCTTATGCAACCCCCAATCTGATGCAACCCTTCCACGCCTATCAGACTTGCTATGCGTCCGGATCGAAAGGTGTCCAAGCATTCCTCCGCCGTTCCCGCGAATCCAAGCACATTGCTATGCTTTGCAATCATGCGGTAAATGAGGTCGATTTGCTGCAATGTGTCGTGCAAGATAGAGAGACGGCTTGCTTCGCTATCGTGTTTGGGACCAGGCACAAATGCACTCCAGAACTGAGCTCCGACCATACCTTTTTCCAAACGATTGAGGTCGGTCTGACCGATGGGCATGTCTGTGAGATCAAAAGCAGAGGAGTCCGAATCCAGACCGAACCATCCACGTATCATGTACGGGAAATCATTGTGACCGTCTTTGAGTAACAAGAATCAATGATCTTACTCGTGTGAGACGACAGAATGGATGACCTACCTATCAATGGGTATTTCCGGAGCAAGCTCCTGGCTCGGTCCATTTGAGATTGCGATGGCATTTTGTAGCTTGTGCGTATTGGATCTGCTGATACGACTAGAGAATCGGACAATAAGAGAAGCACATGTGTGGGTTGACGGCCTCGATCGTGAGGTACTTGATCCTTCTCGGTCTCCGGCTGGCCGGTTCGCTTTTGTTGTCTGAATCGGTCCGTAGCGATATCCTTGCTGTTGTATACTTGCCCCCACGGACACCGTCGGCCGTCTGTGCATCATTGAGGCTGACACTCAGGATGAACCTCCATCCAAGTTGTGCCCGCAGCTCAGACTCACCATATAGCTCCTGATTCTAGCCTGCTTTTCCGGCTGCCAAACTACTGACAGTGCGATTGGCAGTCTTTGACTGCATTGGAAGATGATGGCAACTTCATCGGAGCCTTTGACGGCGGAAAACATCGCTGCAGAAGAGCTGGTAGCGGTTCTCAACATACCGCGAAATGCACTGGACGCATCTTTGAGCTTCGTTGGACATGGTGGTGACTCGCTAGCTGCTGTTCGCTTCAGTGCGGCCTGTAGAAGTCGGGGAGTTACGATTGCGGTGGATCATGTCCTCTTCAGCGCATCTATTGCGGAGATTATCCAGTCTTGTCTTCCAGTGCAGCCTGTTCTACTCGTAGACAAGCTCGCATACCCGGAAACCAGTGGGACATATTTCGAAACTTCTGTCAGCGATACATTCAGCAGCTCAAATACGGAATGCTGGAGCTACGCTTCTCCAACGCCGCCGTCTCCAGCGCCGTTGACGGAAGATCGCATTCAGCTTGCTTACACGACGACCAGGGAGGATCTAGGGGCTTCAACATCTCTTTCAGGAACTGCCCACCTTCCAATCATATCTTCGACAGATCGGTCGAAGGAGGAATTGCAACTGTTGAATACCGAATCCGAGGACTTGTCATGTTCTGACGACCGGTCATCGGGTATCACAAACCTATCCGAAAGCCAGGTGTCTTTGATCCATGGCGGTCTCCAGGCACCTGGTACAAATGTCATCCATTACTATGAGACCTATCTGCCAGAACACATCCCAGCGCTAAAGGCAGCCTGGAAGCGGGTGGTAAAGTCGGAACCGATTTTCAATGCCCTTTATTACAACCCGGAGGATGGATGTGTCATTGTCCCTCGTTTACATTGGCGCGAGTACTCCACTTCCAGTATGGAGACCTACCAAGCTGCCCTTCACAGTAGCGACGCTGGTGTGCGGTCGTGGACAGATGTCACGGAAGGGGTCATCGATCTCGGCATTCGTTTCACCGTGGTACATCTCCATCAAGGGAGCGATAGTAGAAGCACTATCGTTTGGTCTGTTCACCATGCAATGATGGATGGCTGGTCAGGCTCTCGAGTTCTGCGCAGAGTCAGGGCTGAGGCTTGTGGTCGAGAGACGAAGTCAGGTATGGCTTACACAGAGGTCATCCAACTCCTCGAACGTTATAAAAAGGAGCATAAWCAAGAAGGAGACTCATTCTGGGCTGAACAAAAAGACCGATTGGATGCGTCTCGAGATGAGCTGATGCTACCAGTCCCGATATCCAATGAACCCAGAGAGAGTCCGCGGCCAACCATACAGGATGTCAGAATGGTACTCTCAAAATCCCAGTTCGGCGTTCTGAAGACTCTGGCCAAAGAATGTGATGTCACACCGATGGCTGTTCTCCACGCGGCCTGGGCTATCATGTTGGGAATCTACGCCGACACGAACAGCGTTCGGTTCGGCGTAGTGGTGTCCGGACGCAACGTGCCCTTGCCGGGTATAGTCGACACCACAGGACCATTGGTGAACACATTGCCCCTCCAAGTAGACATCGATGAGGCAAGGTCTCTGAAGGAATTCCTACAAGATGTGCATCAACGAATGTTGCGTCTCGGAAAGTTCTCTTGGACGGATTCTTCGAACGGTCTCTCGAGGACGATTGGCACAATGGTGGCTATGCAGACTGGCCCAGATCTTGCAGGGACGCTGGAGGAAAATCAGTTCGTCCCTATTGAACACACATTCACCCGCCAGACTACGAACATCCCTCTCTGTGCCATTATACGTGACGAGGGGGACATCATTCTACAATACAGCAGTGAGCGCTACGAAGCTAGACGCATTGAAGCTTTTGCCGCCTCTTTCCGGGATTTACTGGTTGGCATGAGACACTCTGGCGTGCCTCTTGAGTTTTATACGACACGAATCCTAGACACTAGTACCACAGCAGAGTTGAGAGCCTTGGGCAATTGTGAGACGGGTGCTACCACGAGGAGCTCTGTGACACAAGATCTCGTAACACTGTTCGAGAAGGCGGCAGCCTCACATCCTGAAGCCATTGCAATCGAACACGCTGGTCAACGAATTACATACAGCGACCTACTCACTTCGTCGGGAAAACTTGCTGCAATTTTAGCCGGTCTGATTGAGCCCGAGGAGACTGTTACTGTCCACGCGGACGCTTCTGTCAACTGGCTGATTTCTATCTTTGGCATCTTACGAGCGGGAGGCGTGTACTGTCCCATCGACGCAGCGCACGCTCAGCCATATCGCGATTCCCTCGTGGAGGCTTCAAAGGCCAGATACTTCATGGCAACAACGAATGACGCCCTTGCTGCTGCGACATCAATCCCGAATGTCCAAGCTATTGATGTTCCAGCGATCATTGCTTCCCAACCGTCACCAGACACCGCATTTCCACTGCGCAGCCAGCCACGCCCGTGGGAACTGGCATATCTTTGCTTCACCTCTGGCTCAACAGGGAAGCCCAAGGGTGTGCAGTGTACTCATCAGAGCCTCGTGGCTTTCCAGAGAGATCCAGAAGTTCGACTTTTTGCGCATCCAGGACGCCGGATATCGCAGGTCATGTCTGCTGCCTTTGATGGTAGCATCCATGAGCTATTTTCATCGCTCTGCTACGGGGCTACTTTGGTACTAAGGGAGGCCGGAGACTCATTCGGCGTGTTGAAGAAAGTCGACTCCGCTATCCTCACACCGACTGTTGCAGGTCTCTTGGAGCCAAGAGATTTTCCAAATCTCAAAGCGGTATGAATGGACGAAGGCAAGGGCGTTGGAGACTTGACTGACCACATGACAGCTGTATCTTGTTGGTGAGGCGGTACCGCAAGCTGTATGCGACTCTTGGTCGTCTCAAACGACTCTCTACAACATGTACGGGTACGTCTGCTCAATGGGAGACTGAACAAGCGTTATACTGGGGAGTCGTAGCGGAGAGATAACAACGGCACTGACCTGATTTCACAGGCCGACCGAGGGTACGGGAGGTGCAACAATCGCTCGACTGCAGCCCAACAAGGCGGTGACGATCGGACGGCCCAACCCATCAACACGCATATACCTCCTTTCCCACCGTGGTCGTCTGATGCCGATCGGGAGCACGGGTGAGATCTACCTTGCCGGCGTTCAGATTGCCAGGGGATATATCGACCAGCCCGTGCTCACACCAGAGCGTTTCCTGCCAGACTCAATCTGCAGTGGTCTTGGTGAATACATGTACAAGACAGGCGATCGTGGATACTGGGACTCTTCAGGAAACCTCGTATATCTGGGCAGAGTTGATCGCCAAATCAAGTTAAGAGGCTTCCGAGTGGAMCTCGAGGATCTGGAAGCACGGGTCTTGCGCGCCTGTCAAGGTGCAAGAGCCGTTGCCATTGTCCGGCAGKATGATGAGCTGGTCTGCATGATTCAGGCAGAGTCCAAAAACACGGCCCTGCTTCGAGCCGCCATGGCGAAGGTCGTCCCCGCCTTCGCCATGCCGAAGTACATTCTCACTGCCACGAAGCTTCCCGTCACCCCCACCGGCAAGGTAGACTACAAAGCCATTGCATCAAGTGCAAAAAACGAAATCAGTGATGAATACAGGCTCGAGACGGAGACCGAGGCCATCACTGCAAAAGTCTGGATGAATATTCTCGACATCGCCACAAGGGACGACGTCGTGAACTCACACTCCAACTTCGCTGCCATGGGTGGTCACTCACTCCAGCAGCTGCGTCTAGCTTCAAGATTATCTGCAGTATTCGGCGTTCGGATCACKGTGCGGATGATAAACGGTCTCCCTACCTTGCGGGAGCTCTGTGCCGCCATCGATCGGATGCTTCCAGAAGCGGAGCAAACTATCAGCTGGCAAAGTCATTCCACGCAGACCGATTGTACACCGTCCCCAATTGAGCGGGAATGGTGGCAAAAGTATGCTCTCAACATGTGCACGTCGGCTTTCAACGTTAGCTATGTCGGCCATCTCGCTGACAATAGCGCCGAGAACCGCCAAAGACTGGTGGGTGCTTGGAATGTGACTCTGGCTCGACATAGTGTCTTCCGCAGCAGATATATATACCATCGCTCTCGGGGACTACGACGAGTACTATCATCCCACGCACCGAGGGTGGAAAAGCTGAGCTCGGTTGACATCCAGCTGGAGCTCAACAGGCCGTTTGATCTCGCTGGTGGCCCTCCTGTGCGAGTCGTCATCACCAAAGATGTTCTGGTGGCCACGTTGAGCCACATCGTCTGCGATTACACCACACTGAGCTTAATTCTGGCCGACGTGAGATCCACGTATCACGGACTCCCTCGACCACTGGCCGTACAGCCACCGTGTCAAAGAGCCGGGGAAGATCTTCCTGCACCGCCTTGCTATCTGAACTTTTGGTCCTCACAGCTCGCTGGGGTTGAGCTCCAGCATCCGAATTATCTCGGGGTGACTACTGAGCGTTTGAGCTACCGAGGAACTTCGCTCATGTCACAGATTGCAAAGCCTCTCTGGCGAAGTATGCGAGAGTTCGCCCATGCCAACGATTGTACGTTGCAACAAATGACACTCGCGGCCACTGCGCTGGCATTGAGCACCGCCGATGATGGTAACATGGACATCACACTGGGTCTACCTTATCTGAATCGTCAGACAGAGGCTGAAATGAACACGGTGGGGCTATTTCTGGAGCCACTACCAGTCAGGATCACTTTCCCCGCTGATACAAACAACATACCGTCCGCTCAGCAATCTAAGCTTCAACCCATACAAGCATTCATATCAGCAGTTCAGACTTCCGCTCAGCAGTCTCTCTCGCACGCCGTGCCCTGGAATCAGCTACTCCGCTATCTCCTTATTGATCCTCAAGACTACATACCGAACCATCCTCTATTTGACTGTGTCGTATCGTTCCATGATCATCGTATAGCGACACACGGCTTCGAAGATGGGGACGATGCAAACAAACTACAGAACGATACCACTTTGGAACATCCACTCGATGCAGCTATGGGCGTGCAGCCTTTATGCGTTTGGAGCGAGGGTGCCAAGTTCAGGCTCATGGTTGAGTTTACCGCCTTGAGTGACGACACGTTACTTTTACGCCTTGAGTACGACCGGGTCTGCTATGACCACAATGTCAATAGGGTGAAGGCGGTGCAAAGAATGATTCTGAGAGCAATCGAGGGAATGGTGTGCGGACCTCCGCCAGATGAGCCATGCCAAGTACCGTCTTTCGAGTCCCTGCGGACAGAATTGCGACAAGTGTGGGATCAGGAGGTCGATGGGGACTTCACCGACAAGATGACGGCGTTGGATGAGCAGAGACTGTTGGACAGGGAAAGAGTGGAGTCGAAGGATTTCTTTGGTCTTCCCTTATCAGCATTGTAGTTGTTTCTAGATTGATACGGAGTTTGCGTGAGAAACCTCGTTCTGTTCAAATTTACGTGTCTGAGGGCCCGGATTTCATCTTCGTTTGCGCTGCGTGGATTATAATGTGTACACCAATACAGCAAAGCGATTGGCAACAGAATCTCGCCTTCACTCAGTCTTTCTCGGACGATACAGTGAGATTGCATTCAGAGACCGATTCTGCCGGTCACCGTAGAGCACTCGGCTCGGTCTCGCGCAGCGCCGGACTGCACTTTGAACGGACCGCAATGATCTGACCGCAACAATCTGGCCATTTCGGATCGCGACCCAGGTTTGCATAACATGTCATGTTTTTGACTTGCCTCAACTCCATCACAAACAAGGCCCATCATAGTCAAACAACATCAAGTCGGCGAGATGGGTTGGGGTATCATCTACCTCGTTTGGCTGGTGCCAGGTTACGTCTTGTCTATCATCATCTATCGATTGCTATTTTCCCGCATATCCCATATACCAGGACCGAAGCTTGCAGCAATAACATATCTCTACCACGCCTGGTACGAGCTGTGGCCTCACCAAGGCCGCTTTCTGTTCCATCTGGAAAAGCTCCACGATAGATATGGACCGGTGATTCGAATCGGACCAGACGAGGTCCACATCAAAGACAACGCATTCATGAACGAAGTCTATCCTCAAGATGCTCGCCGGCGCAGGAACAAAAGCACGTTGTTCTTTTGGATGGTCGGGACGAACGAATTTGGAGACCACAGTGCCGGAGCAACGATGGATCATGAACTTCATCGATCACGACGGGCCGCTTTAAGCCCATACTTTAGTGGCCGCATGGTTCAAGATCTTGAGACTCGCATTCGCAGACAGATTGAAACGATGCGAGGTAAGATGCTGGCAATGGCGGGTACTGGGGAGGTTCTCGAATTGAGAAATGCCWTGAGTGGACTAACTTTGGGTACGCCACGTCCGAGAACTTGCTGCCTTTTGTACTTACCCCTGCTCTAGACGTGATTTCCGAGTACCTATTCGGCCAGTCCTTTGGTGCACTCGACTCTCCTGACTTTGGCCGACCCCTGAACGACGTCCTTCTCTCTGGTGTCAAAGTCCATCCCTTTGCTCGGATCTTTCGGCCTCTGGCAATCGCCATGTTCCGCGCGCCCAGGTGGATGATGCCGAAGAGTGAGATTCTGGAGAGTAGTCTGAAGTATGACAGAATGATCGGTGACATGACTCGCTCGGCGTTCAATGATGCAGAGAATGAGAAATCAGCTTCCCACACCCGGACGATTGTCCATTCGCAGTTGCACAACGATACGCTGGACCCTGCTGACCGGACTTTCGAGCGCATCAAGTCGGAGGGCATGGTCTTGGTTGGGGCTGGAACTGAAACCACCGCCCGTACTCTTGCAACGGCCATCTATCACATCTTGGCCACGGATGCCGTCCACAAACGTGTACTTGGAGAAGTTCGCACCGTCATGCCCTCTTCGGAATCACCCCTACCATCCGTCGCCCAGCTACAACAGCTACCATACCTCACCGCTGTGGTCAACGAGTCTCTCCGGATCGCTCACGGGGTGGCGGGTAGACTCTCTCGCATTGCTCCAGACGAAGACCTTCAATACGGTACCTTGAAGATTCCTCGTGGTGTTACCTTCTCACAGTCCATGTACTATGTTCACTCGGACTCCGAAGTATATCCGCAGCCCAATGAATTCCATCCGGAGCGCTTCCTAGGGGAAGACTCCGATGTTGCAAAGGCAAACTTGTGGCCTTTTGGCAAGGGTACTAGAAGCTGTCTCGGTATCAACCTGGCTCAGGCCGAGCTCTTTTTGACCATTGCCATGGTAATCGGTGGTGTTGATATGGAGCTTGTCGGTACAACCAAGAGGGACGTACTACCCGTCAAGGTATTTCAGACGACTCAATGTTGTTGAATACGCATCAAGACTGACTCCTCCAGGAATACTTCGTAGGATATCTACCAGACGACAGTCTCGGTATTCGTGTGAAGATCCGCGGCAGAGCCTGAGGTTGCAAGCGCGATCTCACGAGATATATCTGAGAGGATTGTGCATTCCATCGGACTGTCAGTGTCACAAGACTCCGACTCGCACATAACGGTGGTTGAAGACACAGGAATCATAGCAGTTAGAATAGAAACTCAGTAGTGTCATCATGCGTTCCGTTTCGCCAAGTCTTCCATTCGCTATGAACCAGGGCAAGTAGCAATCTCCATACTCTACTGAAGTTACGGCCAAATAAAATCTCTGCTTACAGACAACGAAAATCCAGAGATTAACGTGGTAAAGTGCACAAGGCCTGTTACACAAAGTTTTCTAGAGCGAAAACCACCATGATATATCACTTCAGTCTACATACTCTTTCGTCCCCATACGATCATACATTGAGTCTGGCCACCCATCTCCTCAAGCTCGCTGCGTAGGCGGGACTGCAATGTTGATGCTTCATCTTCAGAGTACTTGTCTGGTAATATCACTGCCGGAAATATTAGCTCAAAGAAACCCAACATAAGTGCGACCACATCACTCACTCTTCTTGCCCTGCATAAGTGGTGGTACAGCGTTACACAGGCTACGAACGCTCTTTTGAGCCAGAGACTTGTCGGGGTTCGAGACACCATGTTCCAAAGTCACTGACTGTTCCGTAACTTGCTCCAGCCCGGCAGTTTGAAGACAGTCTCGAAGGTCCTTGGCAAGATTGGGTCCCATGCCACTGGCGGAAGACATGGCTTGTGCGTTTCCCAAAAAGCTCTGCAGCGCTGGGCCATTGGAAGGAGTCGAGTCTGTGTCGATCTCCAYAAGTTGCAGATATCCTCCTGGCTTGAGTAAGCCAACCAGCTTATCAACGATGGACTGGACACTGTGGGGTGGTGCTGCTGCTAGTACAAGGCGCTGGTGGACAATGTCGAAGGCACCTTGCCATTCAGAGGGGAAGTCATCGTGAATGGACTGGTTTTGGAAGTGGGTGTTTGTCGGAGCGTCGGTAGGATAAAGAGCGGAGTCGATATCTGTACCTATGTACGTGTGTTCAACCGTGGTGGTGGAACGCAAGTCAAGAATCCATCGACCATCCGCCTACAGTCGAGGTGGCATTGATTAGCTATCGGAGCAAACTTGCAGGTGAGGCTTCAGCCAACAGATTGTACGCACACAGCCCGAGTCAAGAATATGCAATGGTGAGCCTGACAGATCTATCGGTGGAGATATGAGCTTTCCGGACATGGCAGCCACGATTGTATCATGTTGATCAGTGAGACGCTGAGTTTCCGAGCGATTGTCGTCGCTGTCTTTGGTGTGCTTGACAAAGTCGTCCATGATGTCGTCGTCAGTTGCCAATGAATTTGATGGTATTCAAAGCTTTCCTTGTTGTTTTGAAGAGAGGCTTGTAGGGAAATGTACAAGTACAATAGTGGAATCTTGTAGTCCGAGGCGACCGAACGGACCGGTCGGAAACAAAGGAATATTACGGCCAGAACTTTGAACATGTAAGAGATGAAATTGACTAATGATAGCTTCTACGAGAAAATACAGCCTGTAATCACTCCCTTTCCGTGCATAACAACTCGAAATCTGGATGTGTGATCCAGGTCTTGGGATCCCGTGTCCATGCAGCAGAATCTTGCAAAGCCAAGTCGTAGTTCTGGACTAGATGAACGATTGCTTGCCGTATAATCAGATCGGCAGCATGCTTTCCCATACATTGTCTGGCTCCGAATCCAAATCGCCAGAAGAGATATCGAAGGTCTGAGTTTCGGACTCCGACAAAGCGGGTGGGTCTGTAGGTTGTGTTGTCCGGAGACCAGGCCTGATTTCGAACATTCAGCGCGTAAGCATCGATGACRAAAGAAGTCCCCGCAGGAATAATATAACCGTCAACTTCGCGGTCCGTTGGTGCTGCCTGGGGCACACTGAACGCCGCCAGTGGTTTTAGACGGCTAGACTCCATAATACACGCCGCGAGCAAGGTCGAGCTATCCAGAAGATATGCATGGAGCTCGCCAGAATCTGCAGCAGCGGCGATCTCAACTCTTACGCTTTCTTGAATCTCCGGATGGGCAGCGAGGAAGACGAGGTTCCAGGAGAGACCGCCGGTAGTAACATCGAGGTTAGCATAGAGTGATTCATCTAGTGTCTGGAGCAGTTGTTCGCTCGACAACTGTCCCGCTTGTACCGCGGCATACATGCTCACTATTGGTGCTGTTGGATTGCTCGACAGAGCGTGGCGCTGAGCTGCATCATTGAAAGACCTCCACTGCTGCTGAAAGTATTTCAGGTCAGCATTGGCTTTTGTTGGGAGATATCGTGATAACCAGAAACGTTGTAGCCCTCCTTCGACGACGTATTGGAAGAGGCGCTCTCGTAGCGGTGCTAGTTCTTCGAGGAGTTGTGTAAGATCTGCTGGTAATGGGCCGTAGAACATCTCGCAAACCACCCAAAAAGGTAGCATCTTCAAGTCCTGTGCTGGATGAATCAGGCCACGGCTGAGATTGCCGCCACCTCTGAGAGACCTGAAATGGCGGACTACGTGTTGCTCCACCATCGTAACAGTGGTCATCACCGCTTGATGGCTGAATGGAGGCTCAACCACCGACCTCACGCTACGCCACTGGCGGCCACTAATAAGTCCGACACACTTTCCGAGAAGTTCGTTCATGTAGTGGCCGGAGTTGTTCGCTGGAGCTTTTGCGTGCCTGTCTGAGTCTTTGAAAATGCTTCGTAGCTGATGAGGCTGGGTGAGAACTCTGCGGACACAACTATCAGTGGAGAACAACCACTTTAAACGCATGATCCGCCTTACATCTCGGAGCTGAATCCAGACCAAAGTCTATAAACACTTCCATATTGTTCTTCCCACTTGGCAGAGTTCTGGATCCCGTCCATGAACTTGCCGGTATCTCCCTGACCATTTGGCCACCGATACGAGCAGGACGGAAGCTGTACCCGGCGGGTCTTGTGCAATATGGGATATCGCCATCGCAAATATATCTGTGAGAATTTTCAGTACATTGTGACGAGAAAGCGTGATGTGCTTACGTCCAACACCACTGAAAGTTGGTCAATGATCAGTTGTGGAGCTTTGCCTGGCCGAAATAACTCCACCAAGGCAGCGACCGCTAAGCTTGTACCCAGTATGATCACTGTCACAATCAGGAGGGTCGTGACTGGAGTCGGCATGCTGCAAGATTACACGACTAACGTCTTGAGTGAATGAAGATCGGGTTGTATGAGATATGCAAGCTGCTGGCTTGGTTAAATGAAAGAATCTGAGGCGGCGGCCATTCCATATCGGAGGCCGAACTGGCATGCTGATTGCCGCCCGCAACAAATCCAGCATCGGGTGCCAGTATAGCGTTGTAGAATTATGACTTTGAGTGTCCTTTCGGAGAGAGACGTGATTTCAATTCAGTGTAATCGAATACGTCCGTGTACACTCTGTTCAGATAGTCCCCGCCAGTTCCACCGAGACTGACTCGCCCCCTAGCGCTCCCAACGACACTGCTTGGAATAGCGTTTTGATTGGACTTGCACAATCCCCCACTGCGAAGACACCATCCACGCTTGTGGCCTGTGAAAGAGGCTCGACTCTGATGTCACCTTTTTCGGTGAGGTCCAGACCTAGCTGATGTACAAAAGATCCTTTTGGTTGTGTCTTTGCCTCGTGTATCAGATAGTCGTTCATCTGGCWGGAACAGTCAACAAATTGCACCTCAACCGATTGATCATTCTTGCCGTTTCGACTTTCTTGCTTGGTGAATCGCAAAAGGGGTCGCGAATCTACCAAAACACTCCCCGAGCTTGAAGCTATAGTGAGGCTCCGATGTTTACGTATCCTGTCCGCCATCTCTTCATCCCCATCTGTGTACACGATGATGGTTCCAGCAGTCCTATGAGCCAAAAGTGCCAGGGTCGTGACTCGATCGACGGTCGCCAGCTCGTTGAGTGCGAGGATTCCAACAGACTGGACTCTTTCTAAATCGCCCTCCCTACTGTGTAACAGTTGGTGACGAGCACCGGAGGGATATCTAGGCACAGTGTAAGTAGAAGTGTTATTCACATATGATCCTGGTATGATTATTCTTACATTCCCTGGGCCCAACATTCTTCGAAGCCGGGAAGATCCGGAAGTAGTTCGCTGACACCGGTCGCGAGTATGACTTTTCGGCCTTTCCATGTACAAGATGAAGAATTGGTCACCATAAAATGCCCGTCGCTGGCTGGCTCAATCTTTTGGATGTTTGTGGCTTCAAAAGTCACAAAATCAAACGTTCGGCGGGAAGCGAGACTGCTCTTCAATGCCTTCCACGTCCCAGGACCTTCACAAGTTCTCAAGTTGCTGGATGAACTTTTCGTGTAGGACTGTGCTTCACCTTCGAAAATGATCGTGCGCATTGCATGCCGCGCCAGAACCGTAGCCGCTGAGATACCTGCAGGTCCACCGCCGATGACAATACAGTCATAGACATCTCCTTCACTTTTGCATCTCTGGCTAGCTTCATGATGGGTGTGCATGACTGATGCGTGTGTTGGTATGGCGAAGGGCGTTTTGAATGAAATACTATGGCTGCCTCTTGTGACTGACAGTCGTGTTGAGGCTTGCTATGCTATGAATATTAAGATGATCCGGACGATCGAGGCCACGAGTGATGAGAAGGCTGAGTTCTCCGGCCAACGGGCCGGGGTCTTCCCTCTGCTCACCGGTGGAATCTGGCTCCTGACAACGCTGCCTCGCGATACCACCGATGAACCGACGATAAAGCAGCCCACACTACATCGCTGTACTGTACCAAGAGAGCCGCTCTCCTCAGCCTCGCATTTTCCATGTTGCAAATGAAGCTCATCATGTAAGCACAATGTCCCTCGTTGGAAATCGCAGAGGACCTTCACAAGGCGACTGTGGCACTCTAGCATGTTTCCTGCCGTACGTCATTTGACACGCACTTGAGAGACAGGCTAGCTTCGTCTGGATTAACGGCGAAAACAATTCTAGCACGGAATCTAAAATACCACTCCAAATAGATCAATGTCCAATCCTGGGAGCACTCTCCATAACTTTCTTGACGGCATCTCGGGCCAACATACGCTCCGACCAATCGGTGATGTGAGGATACTTCGTCATATCAACCTCCAAGAACTTGAACATCCACGGCATAGCGAATGGAAAATAACTCAGATCAGCAATCGTTGGTCTGTCGTTCAAGGCAATGTACTTTTGGTGGGAGAGGCGTGCTTCAAGAATATCCCACTGCTTCACGGTATTTTCATGCAGCCTGCAGTTTGTCTCAGTATTGTGACGGCGCGTATAATGTGAAATGAATGAGAGACACATACTTTTGAATCGTACGCGGTAGCTGCACGGGATTCGCTCGCGTGGGATAGCCTCGAAGGAAATAGAGCCAGTATTTCGCCGTTGCGCTAGAAAATTGCCCAAAACGGTTAGCGTGAGCCTCGTTGGCCAATGGGCTGGGACGAGGCTACTTGCCCGATGCCCGCCGTCTGATATGCTGTCCAAGCGTGAATGTTGCCCTTCTCGAAAGCATTTCTACCAATCCAATCGCCTGCAGTGTCGAAACGATCGCAGAGATAGTACAAACAAGCAGTCCCTTCGAAGACGTTGACTGTTTGTCCGCTCTCCGGGTCCTGGTCACGAAGAGCTGGGACCATGCGCTCTGGATGTATTTCATAAGCCCACTGAGACTTGGTATCAATAACGGAGAGTAGATGTGGGAGCTGGAGCTCTTCTGCAAGAATCAGGGGTTTGATGTAGTTGATGTAAGACGTTTGATCGGCTGCAATGAGGAGTTAGCGGCAAACAACAAGAAAGCGTACCTCATAGATGTACATCATGAGACGAGGGAGGATGAAAGCACGAACCTTTGATGACATAAAGTATAACTCGCCCATCGTAGCTCTCAGGATCTCCGATTACAACCTCGCCATTGGCTCCGGCATCACATCGCAGATGACTCATCGCCGTCGATAGAATGCAGACCAGTGCGAGAAGTGGGCAATGAAACGCGGGAGCAAAGAAAAAAGCACACTTATCACGAGCTGATGCCGAGAGTTGCTCGCTTAAGTCTTCCTATGTTGAGTGGAGGCCGGTTACGGGGCGGTGATGGCATCCGATCCATTCGGACCTAAACACGGACGCCGATGTAGCCGTGACCAAGTTGATCATTTTGGTCCTCGGTCTCTCTATCCATCCATCTCGCAGCACTACCCGTGTGTCGAATTCGCATAAGCAGACATCAGAAGTTTTGTGACAAGGAGCTGGTGCGTGAAATATTATGGGGGAACTCGGAGATTCACCACCAATGGCGTTCGAGATACCCACAACTCTTGTATCCTTGGACCTTCGTGCACCATTATACATGGCACTCCAGACGATCATCGCAGCCACCCTGATATGCTCTACCCCTAGAGATTCCATCCTCAGAGTCGCATCGCTTCCTTTGTTCATCTATCTGATGCTACAGTCCTGGGAAGCGGCCGCAGCATTCACTGGACAAGGAGTTCTCTATTCGTTTTGGTGGGTTGGTCCTTACGCCAACATCTTCCACTGTATGAACAATATGGTCCTCCACCCACTCGATAGCGACGACATTCACCTCGAAATGCGAAAGTGGGAGAAGAAGCCCTTGAAACCTGCCGGAGCCAGTTTACTGAATCGAATCATCTTCACCACGGCAACGCTTTTCAGCTACAGAGGCATCAACACAACGTGGCAGATCGGTTACGTTCCAGAATTCCCAGGAAATGTAATTCCAACCCGTGCGAGATTCCTCTTTCGCCAATGCTGGATGATTGCACTCCAATATCTGATCATGGATGTACTCGCGAGCTCTCCGCCACCCGCGGATGTTGTCGAAAGTTGGGCCAACGGGAAAGAATGGCTGTGGCTTTCCCTGAATCCTCATCGCGTCACGACGGGTGACCTCTTCAATCGCCTGGTTGGGTGTACGATGAATTGGTTCATTGTTGGCAGGGTCATGAATGATATCTGGTACAGGGTGTTTTCGGTCATTTTTGTCGGACTGGGTCTCAGCCAGCCGAAGCAATGGCCGCCGCTCTACGGAAACTATGCGGATACCTTTACACTACGTCGGTACTTTGGAAGATTCTGGCACCAGACGGTCCGGTGGCCCTTTCTGGGCGTTGCAACTTACATAAGCCGAAGAGTGCTTGGAATGACCAAAGGGGTTGCCGATCAACATACAAGAAACTTCATCGTGTTTTTCTTGTCCGGAACCTTGCATTCGATTCTTTACGTTGCCTTTGGAGGTTCATGGAACCCAGCGGCTGGACTGATTTCATTTTGCTCTTTCCCGCTCGGCATCATGTTTGAGGATGCTGTACAATCTGTTTGGCGAAGATCGATGGGCAGGAGTGACTCCAACAAGGTGTGGTTCATGGAGAGAGCGGTGGGCCATGTCTGGGTGGTGATCTTCTTATCACTTGTGTCACCCATCTTCAACTACCCTCTGCAGCGGATCGAAGGCAATCCAACATATCTGGTGCCTTGGAGTGTTGTACACAACATAAAAGAGTTTATATAGTATCAAAGCAGGTTGCCAGTCTTCACTACAATCTTGACGCACCACAAAAAGACCCTCAGTGTCTGCTCAAACCATCAACGTCATCTAGAACAGAAAGTGTGAAGCAAGCTCGGTGGATGACTCTTGGGGAAGTGTTGTCATATTCATCGCTATGTACTGACTCTGCGCCGGAACTCTAYAACCGCATCGGAGTCGGGTAGAATGGCAAAGCCAAAGTGGAGGCTATGGGGTCTCTTGGTTCCTGGTACCAGTCGAACATCGTAGTGCATCAAAACGTGTGCCAACACCACCTTCAACTCTGCGCTGGCAAAGAAACGACCAGGACATGCCCAGATGCCATGTCCAAAGTTGATATTGTCAGCTCCGGTGCTCACATGCTGAAATTTGACATCATTTCCTGGCTCCTCTCTCAGCTTTGAGAATCGAAATCCATCAAAGGTTTGGGGGTCCGGCCATAAGGATGCAGATCTGTTGATTGGTTCTGCTCGAATCATGACGGTATAACCTTGCGGAATTACTTGGCCTGTTGAGGTGCGGAACCCTCCAGGGCTCGTCACCACTCTTGGGATATTTGCTGTCAGAGTACTCAGTATAGATCAGGATCCCATTCAACGGCAGATGGAGACTTACCAACGGAAGGGGGGCTTAAGCGCTGCGACTCCCGCACAAAACTATCAAACTTCCTCAACCGCGGTAGGTTGCTCTTGTCGATGACTCCATGCTCTCCAACAACATCCTTGAACTCTTGTCGAAGTTGTTCTACATGTTCCGGGTACGCAGCCAGGTCAAATATCATGTACGACAGGGCGTTGGAAAGATTGTAGATTGATGCAAACGTAGCCAAAAGCTGGTCCCTCGCCAATTGATGGGCAGTGGGAGGTTTTTCATATCTCATCATGAACCAGTCCAGTAGTTCTCCTCCAGCAATATCGTTTGCCTTGGACACGCCTTGCGTGTCGACGACACTGGGTTGAGACCGCTTCTGCTCGAGCAATGGTGCCAACTTTTCAACATTCATTTGTCGGTGGCGCATCAACGACTTGACCGGGTCACAGAATGGAGCAATGAACGGCTTCGCCCACCAGGAAAGACGGTGGAGATGGAAGGAAGCTCGAGATACATCCTGAGTGAAGTTGGTCGTGGCCTCCACCCAACCCGGATCTCTACTCAGGGGCAAGCCGACAAAGGCACGACCAGACAGGAGCGACGCCACCTTTGACATGGCCGCTCGAACGGTAATTGGGGTCCAGCCTTCGTCGCAACGCCCGATGCTAGTTTCGATGGCGTAATCAATCTCAGCGGTGAATGACCGCAACATGATGGGTGTATTTCTTGTCAGGGTGTGCCGCACTGTAGCGTCGAATTCTTCTGCTTTGGTTCCCATATATGAATATTCGCCAAGAAAGACATTGTAGTGATGCTTCCTGTTCTTGGTAAGTAATCATGCCCAGCGTGGTGAGCTCACCGACATACTTGATGGATAGTACTGATTCCGGCAACGACTTGACCGTCTCAATCTCGGAGGTGGGCAATATCACGGCTGCGAGACCCAGCATGTCCAGTATGAACGGCTCGTCTGGACACTTTCAAAGACGTCAGTACTGAGGCAAGTTGTCCGGTCATGTTCGCATACCTCTTCGTGGGCTTCTTCAAGTAGTTTCGCAGCATCGGCCCCTGGAGTTACCCGGTATATTGGCAAATGGAGTGCCTTTGGATTCTTGCTTCGCTTTGAAGAGAAGAGCCATATTAAGGGAATGACGAATACGGCGAGTCCGACAACACCAAGGACGGCGGTTGATTGGCGCTTCAGCGTTCCAACGAGGAAAATCTCGAAATTCTCTGATTTATCCCACATCGTGCCGCGGCTTGTCGAGAATTGCGGAATAATGATGAGATCTGTATGATCTTATCGTTGTCATCATCTGGTGTCTTCGGAGTGTATGTGCGGACAGGATTCGAGATCGAAATTCCGCGGTCTCCGAGCGGACAGCGATGAATATCGAGACCGCACCCAACATAAGTCAGCAATTTGCAGTCATTCGGTCGTGTGGATCACTGCTGAGAATCTTCCTTGGATCTTACTTTCACAAACATGCCTGCTTTCAGATACAACGTCGGCTATACGGCCAGGGTGAATCCCACGGGCATTCCTGCCGGGGACCGTCTCACGAAGACCGAGTTGTGGCAAGGCGTTAAGCGTGGCGCGCGGTTTCCAGGAGACTTTGCCGAACACGTCCAACGATGCACTGTATTGTCGGGCTCCGGGGACAACTTTGTTCGAGAAATTGTCATTGGCAAGCATGGTGTACACGCAGCTGAGGGGACAGCGATGATCCAGGACGTAGCCCTCGTAGATGGCCTCTATGTGAGTCTTTAGATGATTCATGTTGTTGGTAAACTCCCCTCACAACTCCTCAGTTGCTTGCGACTACTCGCGGTTCCGGCGCCAAAACAACCATGATGGTCACTTACGGATGCGGCGAAGCCGACTTGGACGCCCAAGAAAATGATCCGCATCTCACACTGTTTTACGAGCTAGTTATGGACGAGAACGAGTCTCCCGCTGCAGGTAGTGATGAGGCCAAGGGTATCATTAGTGGGTATCGGGAGCTGGCGAAACGTATTGTCGGTGAAAGCATCGATTTGATTCGGGCATGGAAGAAAAGCGGTCGGCTGGCTGAACTCGTCGCTCAGGAAACAAGCGAAGTGAAATTGAACGGGAGCAAATAGAGGTACACACTCTGTCGACAGTACATGATATATTCATATTTAATTCACCCACGATTGCAGTCGCTGTATGCTTTGCTTGGTCATATCCTGTAGTATGCCCCTGTTCTCAGACTTGGCAGTACCCGGGAGATGTTACTCATCTACGCCTAGCAGATGCGACCTCGCGGTCCTTATCGGACTCCGTGGTCGGTCCTTTGKGAAGGCGTATCAAGCACATCAATCGCCGGGAATCCGTGGTGAATGTTGACCACAATCCTACACAAGGCCTAGTGGGTCAAGCTTCGTCTAAATGGCATCTCATAACAGCTGGCTCTCACGCAGGGTTCATCCTCAAGTCCAAAGGGCGCTCCCGGCAATCTCTGCTTCTCTAGCCTCCAGGGATTCCGAGGATGTCATCGACTTGAATATCGCCGAGAATCGACTGATGCACTCTGCAGTACTATCACTCTCCAAAGCAGTAATTGCAGAACAACTAGGGTCGGAGGTGATGGTGAACTTTCTCGTCACGATTCATCCCATACTGACTATACCTACGTAGGCTTTGAGTTATCCAAGGGGATTTGGTGGCCAGCCCGAGCTTCTCTCGGCGTTTGCGTCCTTTTTCAACACTTACTTCAACCCAGATGTGGCGGTGGAGCCATATCACGTTGTCGCGGGACCAGGTGCAACAGCATGTCTCGTGAACCTTCTCTGCAGTATTTGCGATCACGGAACTGCGGTCATCGTTCCCGGCCCATACTGGAGTAGGTCACGGCCCCATTATTTTCCATCAGTGCAATGACTGAAACTTTGATAGACGGCTTCGACGTTCACCTGACTCTATTGCCCGGTGTGCATCTAGTCAGCCTCGATCCAGATCTGGGAGGAAAGGATGCAATGGACACCGGGCTTGACGATTTGCTCGATCAGTCTCTACGAGCTTCAGAGTTGTGGGGCAAGGAAGTCCGGGCGGTCTTGATAACCAATCCTCACAACCCATCAGGCCGGTGCTATAGTGTGGAAGCCCTAGCAATGGCGGCACGCTTTTGCGAGAAGCACGCCCTCCATCTCATTGTCGACGAGATCTACGCTATGAGTCCCGTCCATCAGTCCTCCCCGGGGCAAGATGGCTTCACGTCAATACTTGCATTAGACATGCGGGCGTTGGGTGTAGATCCAGCAAGGGTTCATGTCGTGTGGAGCACTAGTAAAGATTTTGGCTGTAGTGGATACAGAGTCGTATGTCCACCCTCAATAAGGAGAAAGCGGTGACTTGCTGACATGAACAGGGCGCTGTGGTATCGCAGGCAAATCCAGCAGTTCGAGCCAGTCTCGGACTCCTCAATACCACACAGATCTCTAGTCTTGCGGCAAATGTGACCGCAGGCATGTTAAGCTCGCCTCAACTCCCCTGCCTCATGGCACAGGGTACAAGGAAGCTGAGGCAATCATACTCTCAGATCACAGCTTGGCTCGAGGCGCATAACTTCACCTATGTGCCTGTTACGGGAGGAATCTGCATTTTAGCCCGACTGGCCCCACATGCACAGAGCTGGGAAGATGAGGCTGCAATTGTTCAAAAGATCAAGGCTGCGGGAGTCGTCGTTGGTGCTGGACGGACATATCACCTGAGGGAGCACGAAAAAGGCTGGTGTAGGCTAGTATTTGCAGTGCCCTCGTCCGTACTGAAGGCCGCTCTGTGTCGGATGGAGGTGGCTATGGGTCTGACATCCTTAGAGTAGCGTTCATGTAGAWTGTTTTGGAAATGCTCGAAGCCCAGGTTTGCTCAAAAATGCAGTTGTTTGCAATCAGGCTCTATCACTTTCTACCGTCCCTTACTTTGTTGGAAGAGCTATATACAAGAACAAAGCTCCTCGCCAGTAGAGACTGGAAAGTGCAGCCGCAAGGTGAAGCCTCAAGTACAGGTTTGACAAACTATGAAATGAGCGAGGTCATGTAGCTCTACCCGCAAACACTTTCCATCATCATGTCGATGAAGATTCGGGAGAAGAAAGATCAATCTCTTCCCGCCTTCTTCGAACCACGATTCCCAAATCTGGATTAGTCATGTAATTCACCTCCCAAGCCATCGCCTGTGGTCTAGTCTGCCCATCCAGAAACTTGAAATCATACTTTAGCAGCAAATGGCACATTGCAATCTTGATCTCGTTGGCGGCCAGAAACCGGCCGGGACACGCATGTTTTCCATAGCCGAACCCCAGGTATTCGGCATTGGCAGTGATCAGTTGTGCCTTGCCTTCGTTCACAGAACGCATGCGAAAGAAACGAAGGCCGTCGAACTTCTCGGGCTCAGGGTAGACTTGAGGGTCGAGCATCACGTCGATGATGGGCACCATCGTGCTASTGCCTTTTGGAATGATAGCACCGTCAGAAAGCGTAACGTCCTCGGTAAGCATGCGGCGTGCAGTGACTGAGTAGAAAGGTCAGCAAGTATGTGATTTGGGAAGCTGTTCGCCGTGCGCCACTCACTCATGCTTTGAGGTCGCAATCTCAGCACTTCTTTGATGAAGCTGTCCAGTTTTTTGAGTCTGTACATTGAAGTCTTTTTCCAGCCGTCTTCTTGGAGGACTTTTACCATCTCCTCCCGCAGAACTGGAACATATTCGGGGTAGGCGCAAATATCAAGGAGGACTTCTGTTAGGAGTGTCGAGGTAGTGTGTATCGCCACAAAGCCTAGCTGCAACTGACCTGAGACCAGATCAAACGGCCTTCCATGAGCAAGCTGCTGCATCCAATCAATCGTGTCCTGACCCACGGCTCCTGGCATTTCCTGCGTTGCAGTTTTTCGTCTCTCTATCTCGGGTCGCAGAATTTGGCGTATTGACTTCRACATGGCTCGCTGGCCTATGCAGATTGGTAGAACTCGATTAGCAAGAGGCTGTAAGAACTTGGGCCATTTCCAGAGAGCTTGTCCAGCCATAAAGGCACACATGGTATAGCCTTGAGATAGTTCAAGCCATTTCTGATCTCTCGAGAACTTCTCGCCCAGGAACACACGAGTCGAGAGGATCGTGGTGAGGTCGAGAACTGTTCTGCTTATTGTCGAGGCAGTCCATTCTGTATGCTACCCGTCAGATTGCTGCAACAGATCTTGATATCTTCCTCTACATCCCGCTTACCCCCTGGATTTCCAAGAAGCCTCTCTAGCGCAATCGTTGTTTCCTCGGAGAGCGCTTCGGTAATCTGCCCTACGCATCTCTAAGTCAAAGCGCTTCTTCCGACGGGTTCAAAAATAAGAAGTACCTAAAGACTGAGTGATCTTCACTCGAATGGTATCCTGAAAGATGTTGTCGCGGAGCGGCGTAGAAAAGGCCTCGAAGCCGCTCAGATGGGATAGAGATTGCTATTCACTTTCAGTCTCATTCCAGATTCGACATGGCTTTAAACTGACTTTTGCCATTTCATGGGCGAAGCTGAACCTCTCATCGCTTTTGATCTCCTCCAAGTATCGAGCAGGAAGCACAATCTTTGGCCCAGTTGCAGTTTGTACCCTAAATGGGCCGGCGCACTGATCGTTGATTAGCAAGTCAAGATGTGTGTGATGGGACGCCGTAACCAACCGTATTCATTCCATATCTTAGCACCTTCAATGCGTCTTTGGCGAAGTCTACGGCCGCGCTACTCTCATTGCTAGTCGCCGAGTCTTTGCCGACCAGAGGGAACTTCGATTGAACACTGGTACGACTACGCCAGAACGCAACCAGTGAACACGTAACTAATGCCAGCAAGGTAGAAATTGCGACTTTCGTGGACGATATGTCCGAGAAATACAACCTGCTGAGGGCTAAGAACGACATGGTAGAAGTGTGGGTGAATGGCTTCTAGATCACGACGAAGCTGACTCGAGCCGGGCATGGTCTCTAGAACCCCTGATCAAGGGGTATAGGGGCAACCGGCATACATTCAATCTCTCCGACAACGGCCGTGAGGCGGAATCCGGTCGGACATGTTCTCATATCCGGACTGCATGTTCGGTCCGTAAAGGGGCCCATCGTAGAGACCGCGATGATGTGCCGTAGCGCACAGTGTGCCTGCTTATTAGCGCTCTTTACCAAAGTTACAACGAGAGGCATCCAGTTTCAACGATGAATCAACCGCACACAAAATTACCATGAATCAACCATCCATTCCAAAACACAGGAAAGACAACAACTATGGCACAGACAAAATCTGGTATTTTGCATTTGGATCAAACATGGTTTACTCTGTCATGAAGAAAAGGGGTCTTGACATTCTGGACACTAGAACAGCGACTGTTCCCGGCTACGTCCTCACATTCGACGTGTATGGACTTCCTTACAGTGAGCCTGCAATGGCTAGCATCGCCGCTTACGATGTCGATGTGCAGGCGGGGAACAGGGACAGACCGCCAGATGTGTGTGGAGTGGCATATCTGCTGTCTGTGCGAGATTTCCGACGACTCGTCGCCACAGAAGGTGGTGGTGTTGCCTACAAAGAAATCCAAGTCTCTGGATCTGTGATTACTGCCGATACTGAGTCCATTACCTTGTATACTCTTACGGCCATCTTTCCCCGGCGGCCCAATGCCGCGCCGAGTTCAAGATATCTGGTAGAGCCCTGTCAGCGAAATCCTCGAGTTGATACTGATTGTCGCCAGGGCCTCTTAATACAAGGTGCGAAGGAGAGCGGTTTGCCGGAGTCCTATCAGGCCTATCTACGCTCACTTCTCAGTTTCACTCCACCGAATACATTCCGGGAGAGGCTTGGTGCTTGTATCTTTCTCTTCTTTGGTCGGAGGATTATGAGACAGCTGGCAGGAATGGTCAAAGCCGCAACGAATGAACACGGGGTCTGCCCTTCCTGGTATGGAGATTTGATATATTACATCTACACCTCTTTTTGGATAGTTCATGATTGGATGTTTGCCCCAGTCTTTGGGAGGGGTGATGGAGGTGGAGTGGCTTATGGACCTCTCGTTCTCGCTGTTGGTTAGAAATGAGCACTCTCGCTGTACATGTAGTGGAGGTCTACAGTGCGATATTTCTGAAAGTTTTGCGGGACTTACTCCCCTGGGGAGGACATGGAAGTATCAAAATCGCTACGATTAGACTCAATCAATCAACAAAAGCTACTTCTCTCGATGTGTCAACTGAGCTTTGAGCTTCCTGCGAAGAAGTTTCCCGCTTGCAGCGCGAGGAAGACCATCCACAAACTGCAACTCGCATCTCGATCCTTTGTAACGAGACAGTTGACTCCGCAGGACTTCTCTTATCTCCTTTTCGGAGACTCCGTGGTCAGTCCTGACGACACAAATGTACGGATGCTCGTCCAGGCTGTGACCCATGGACAACGCAGCGGCGTCCATGACCCCCGGCACTTGCAGTACCGTCTTCTCCAGCTCCGCTGCCGAAACTTGCCAGCCATTTACCTTGATGATATCCTTTGCACGGTCAACCAGGAAGATTCTTCCTCTCGCGTCGAGATATCCCACGTCGCCCGTCTTGTACCAGCCGTCGGAAGTTACATGACTAGCCGTGGCAGAGTCATCACCCAGGTAGCAATCCATGAGTTGTGGTCCTTTGACAAGGAGTTCACTCGCAAAGCCTCCACCGGGAATCTCTACCCGTTCCTCCTGGCTGATCTTGACCAAATAGCCAGCCACAGGCCGCCCAACCGTTGTAGGCATGTCTGCGTCCAAATCTCCTGCCCTTGAAATACACCCGCACTCTGTCATTCCCCACTCTTGAATAAGTTGTGGGGGATTTGAGAAGAGCTGAATGAACTCATCTCGAAGCTTCACAGTCAACGGAGCTCCGGCACAGATGATCGTCCGTAGACTTTGTAGCAGTGGTTTCGCATCTCCTCCTCTTGCCTGATCGACCAGGCGGGATAAGATTGGAGGGACGGTAATGATGTCTGTGATACTATACAGCGACAGTTTCTGTATGAAGGTGTCATCAAAGCGTTGCATGTAGTATGTTGGTTGTCCTTGACGGAGAGGGTTGATGACCATCTTTGGAAAGGAGTAGGCATGGAACATGGGCGTACAAAACAGCCTGCGGATTTTATAGGGCTTGTGAGCGTCTTGTAACTCGTCGGAGCGAGACTCACAAACCAGAGCGCCGTGTGCGCGGATTGCCATCTTTGGAAGTCCCGTTGTGCCGGAGCTGGCCATCAAAGTTGCCGCTGTTCTCGCTGATAATCTTTGATATCGACTCTCAAGCGGCAAAAATGTAGAGTTGGCAAGGAGGTCGTGTAGGGTTGGGTGCTTTCCATCCTTACTTGGAGGTCGCTCAACTGTAACATCGCTGAATAGAATGAGCTCAATATCCTCGTCCATGCGGCAGAGCACATCGAAGACCATATCCTCGTGATCCTCGGAAGTGATAATGTACTTGGATCGTGATACTCGTAGATGGTCTTCCAGTTCGGATCGAGTGCATGCAGGATTCGTTCCCGTCCATTTACAACCCGTTGCAAGGATCGCCAGAACAAGTATGGGATAGAGGATCTGATGTGTAGCACCGTCAGCTGGGGACCTTTAGCGTTGGTTTGACTTTCCATCGACGTGCATTATTCTGGAGGTGAAGACAAACGGTGCTTCCCGGTTCGAAGGAGCCGGAAAGACGAGTCACCAGATCAAGGGATTTGTTTTTGGAAAGACTCCGAGCGGGATTCTCGGCGTCTATGAGTATCTAGATTTTGCCATGTGAGCGTCGCCCCTTGCTGCCATGCATCCAGTGAACTGTACTCACGGGCTTGTCTCCGTCATATGCACCCGAGAATGCCCATTCAACCACGTTATGATCTTCATCGTCGAGCTCGCTCGTCTTGGACCCTCGTAGGTACGTTGCTGTCTCCAACTTCACTTGTCGTGGTGAAACGCATTGGATGAGCAGCCGGACGAGAGCACGGAACTTTCCAAGCAGATATTGGGCCAGCATCTTGAAATAACTTCAAGCGTGGCTGATTTCATCGTACCCTCTACAGAGGCAATATAGTAACCCGGAAGGATTGAAAACGGTGTCATGGTCGGTCACCGCAGTCCGGTCCGCTGGCAGAGCTACCGAGTCTGTTGCAACAAAATTCAATCATCRCTCTAGAAGTACAGTGAAATTTAGCTCTACCACTTCAAATTGGTTCCTCAACTTCTCCTCAGGATGTTGAGATTGTTGGAAGGCGTTCAGATGTCACCTCCACCGATGACTGGGAGCACCCTGCTTGCAGTCACATTGGCGGCTTTCCTAGCATACGTAAGCGGTATGATCTTGAGAGCGCGGGACCCTATACTGATATGCCATCGTGAACAGCAAATATGGATGTGCATCTACAATTTGTACTTCCATCCCTGTGCAAAGTATCCCGGTCCCTTCCTCGCGAGGATGAGCATCTTTCCCGATTTGTACTATGCATGGAAGGGAACCAAGCACATGTGGGCAGATGATCTTCACAAAAGATATGGTAATCAGAAGCTTTTGCCGGTGTGTTTGGTGTGGTAAATGCTMATCAATACTTAGGGCCGGTCGTACGTCTCGAACCATCCTTTCTCTCCGTCATCACACCTGGTGCTGTACAAGGTACATCCAATTGATCATACTGGGATGTTGTAAAGTGTTGCTGATTCTCAAAGCCATATACGCTCATGGATCCTCTTTTGAGAAGGTTGGTGCTTGTTTAATGTATTCTGATCGCACCGTTCTTGCTAAACCCATGCCCATTCCAGGCAACCTTCTACCACCGGGGCTCGCCACAAACCCAAGTGTTGACGGTGTGTAATTCCGTGGCTGTTCCTTGCCTTGTACTCATCACAGTCTCCTCAGAACCTGGCAACGGCCACCGACAAGAAGGTTCACAGCCGAAAGCGCAGAATCATCGCGCAGGCATTCAGCGAGGCGTCGATCCGATGGTATGAAGCGACGCTACTCAACAAGGATCGTATCTTTTGTCAACGCATTTGCGACCCGGATACATTCGGGGGAAAATACAAGAACATGGCACGATGGTTCTCCTATCTCACCTACGATACAATGGGAGTCTTGACGTTTAGTCATGAGTACAACATGTTGACAAAGGAGGACGATCACTTCATTCAGCCCTTGATCGATACATTTCAGCACAGTCAAGTCGTTGTGAGTGCATGCAGACTTTGATGATCAATACCGGGTGAGCTGACTTCTTGGAATAGCTGGGCGTTGTGCCTTGGGTCGAACGCTGGGGTCTGGCCCCATTACTCTTTGTCAGAATCCTGGGTGCGGTGGCAAGATTCCGCAAGTATGTCGACCGACAAGTTGCTTTTCGAATGGACCAGGAAAAAGCTGGGAAAGGCGCTCGAGATATCTTCAAGATCCTTCTCGACCACGAAGACAAGACCACGGGCGAGAAGATGGAGTTTAAAGAGCTTTCCGATGAAGCGGTTGTTTTGATCATAGCTGGTAAACCGTCAACTCTGCCCTGGGTGAGCTTGCCAATTCTGTACTGATGAATCGCAGCGTCCGATACAACAGGCACGGCGCTTTCCGGCCTCTGGTTCTATCTCGCAAAGTATCCGGAGTGCTACAGTAAGCTCAAAGATGAAGTTCGATCGACTTTTTCGGATGTCGAAGAGATTATCAGCGGCGACAAGCTACGAAGCTGCAAATACCTCAGAGCATGTGTTGAAGAGGCGCTCCGTATGAGTCCCGGCGTACCGGGATATCTCACCAGAGAATCTGCAAAAGACGAGTCGATTGACGGGCACTTCATCCCAGCAGGAACTCAAGTCGGAGCTCCAGGGTGGACCACTCATCGCAATCCCGACATCTTCCCCGATCCACAGACTTACCGGCCCGAGCGATGGATGACCGAGTCCTCGGAGGAGCTCCAGCGGATGCGTTCGATTCATTTTCCCTTTAGCTACGGCCAGAGAGCATGTATTGGGAAGAACTTGGCCTACAACTCAATTTATCTCATCACAGCTCGGCTGGCATTCTTGTTTGAGATCGAGTCCCGTGATGCTCTGCCATTGGAATACCATGTCAAGGATCACTTTGCAGCTGGCGAAAAGGATGGGCCATATCTAGCATTCACAGAGAAGAGCCTTAAATAGGGGTAGAGGGAAGTCATTCTAGATCTGGTAGACGTGGGATGTGAACGATTCAAAAGGGCGAGGTGAGGTAGATGATATCTCGTTACGCTCGACAACAAAAAACATTCACTTCTACATACCTCGTCTTGACTTGTTTGCCCATGACTTGATAGGGGTCAAAGGAAATGCAAGATTTTGAACCTTGATTTAAGGCTCCTTGGCATGGCATGCGTAGAGAAGGTCAATTCATTGATCTAGCCAATTCACTATGTGTGTACCGCGGACATGCTTATGATAAACCCGTGGACTCACCCAACACTCGGGACGACTTTCAGTGTTCAAATACGACTGCATCAGCTCCAACATGTCACTGTGGGTCTCAAGGCTACAGAATCTCGAACAGAGCTACGTCTGGCAGATCTAAGCGATCATCCGCCAACCAGCTTCCATCCATGCCAGAAAGATCTCCGTGATGGGACGATGGGCTCGATTCATCCCTCGGACCATCTATCCATCCCTCTCTCAATCATACCGCTCCTCTGGCTGTAACACCATCCGACTGCTCGTCATTCCATAAACGGACTCCTTCCTCGTCGGCACAATCTTTGTCAACCGATATCGCGGCGGCGACGCAAACTCCATGCACCTCGCCCTCTTCATCTCTCCCCGACTATTAGAATTCACCAAATGTAGCGCAACCTGCTGACCCGTCTCAATGTCCCAGCAATTCAGCGAGGTGGAATCCACAATCTTCTGCACTTGGGAGAGGTAGAAGACCAGAATCCAGACACCAACAATGGTAGGCATGGCGGGTAGGATGTAGCGCTTTCGAAGCTCGATTGGGGCGGCGGGGATCTTGACACCGTTTTGCATCATGGCGTAACCGTTTGTGGCCGATCTGGAACTGGTGTTCATTCTTGGGGGTGAGATGGTCAATCGTCCAGAATCCTTGAACCAGCTGGGCTCGGCGGCGAGGAGACCCCATTCATCCGCCGCCCAGCCTGGCATCGCGCCTCCTGCGCCACGTTTGGGCATTCGCCATGCGAATAAAGAATCATCCGTGCCCTTTTTCAGAAGCTCTTCTTGGAGTCTGATGAAAGCGCTTGTACCGGTCTGACCATACCGAACGTCCATGTTGATGTTGAACAGTCCAACCAGGCTGTACGCCATATCTTCCTCTCTCGTCGTCCTCCTGCCAGCCATCCAGCTCATCTTGGTGGCGATACATGCCGAACTGAGCGACTCGCGATTGTTCCTGAGGTACTTGGTATCGATGCCAGTCACGGCGCTGATTGGAGCAGAGAGGTCATGCTTTGAACCCAGTTCATTCCAGTTCGTGTCGTAGAATACCATATGCCTGGGAGCCAGAAGCTCTTGTAGCGTCCATCCTACGATTGACAAGCGTGAATACTCGGAATGCCACTCATGTGAAACGTGTTGATCAACTTACCTCTCGAAAACCACTCCGAAGCAATCCACCTCTCCGACCCAATCTTTTTGAAAACACCCGGCTCCCTCGAACGATCCTCGCCCGGACTCCCACCCACCTCCACATCAACAAGATACCCCAAACAAATGGCCGCTTTCAAATACCACTGAAACATCGAATTGATCGACTCCACCAACTCCGTCTGACTCTCCTTGTTGATGCAACACGTATCCACCCACAACCACTCATACCCCAGCGATCGGGCCTCATTACAAGCATTGATGATTTTCCTAAAAGCCGGCGTGGAAAGCGGCACATTGCGCTTGATGTCCTGGAAACTAATCTCCTTTCCTTGCCATCTATGCGAGAGGATGGCGTACCCTCTCCCGTTGAGAAAGTACTCTAGAGGTTTCCAGTCTTCGTTCAATCTGATCGTCGTGGTATTGATCATCCACATGTTGCATACACGGGCCGGACAGGCATGGAAGGGGAGAAAAGAGGAATCGAAGGACCAAAAACATAATCTGCGAAGCGCTGGAAATGTATACATGGCACAGCCATGGCGTTGGGGCTAAATTGAYGCCTTGGAACATATCAACCAATCGCGGAGCTGATATCTTGATCTAATGCACGCTGTGTCAGCGAAGGATTCGAAGGATCACATAAGCGCGTCTTCAGGCCAGCGGCACGAATGAGTTGTGTTGTCATGATATTCCTCGGCGATGCTGCTGGAATACTCGGACTGATGTTTTACGATGGATTGTGTATTCCACAGAGCTCCTCAGTCGTTTTCATGACGTCTTGAGGCCCTGCTCTCTGCTGAATCCATCACTCTGAAGCTGCTAGAACAATTGCTAGCAGCAGAGTGGCCCGTCATTCTATTAGAGGGCAATTGAGGGCGCTGGTAGTCAATCAAGTTCCTCATATCGACAGCTCTGATGTTACAAGATGAAGCGGGATGGAAGCAGATGTGACCTCCGAATCAGACTCGATTCTTCGGGATTGCTTTGACCGTTTTTGGTGAACAAACATGGAAGATTGTAGAAGCCTCATCCCATCTCCTGATTGATCGTGGTMCATTGATGTCCTTGACTGTCTTCGTCGGTCCTGGCATTGTCAAGCGAGTGTCTGAAGGCGTACGCAATCGCACTGGCAGCCTTATCCTCATCCTCCAACGCCCGTCATCTGCGACGTCCATTCCATCAACTCTGATGGATTCAGCTGTCGCTGGCCTTGGATTCTTCCAAGCGAGTGATGATGATGTGAGCTGACAGACGTGGCGGTGATGATGGGATGGCGGCTAACTTAAAATCCAAGCCCGAAACAAATTTGCCCTTCAATCTGCAGCCTTGGCACAGACAGTACAACTTCGACAACAACAATGAACAATGCCGAGAAGGGAAGGTGATGTTCTTGGGATGCTTTTTTCCCATTCCATGCCATGCGCATGCCATGCCATCCCCGCGGCGGCCAGGCCGGGTCGGTCGGGCATGTGGGTCGCGGATGGGACCGTCGGCTTCGCATCCAAGCATCCTTCCACATTCTTCAGCTCAGCTCAGCTCTTCATCTCCCTCGTGCATTATTGGCTGCGCTCCACGTGCCCTGAACGCAATTCTCACTGCAGGATCAGGATCTAGGGCTCGAGTGGGAATGATATAAGAAAGACGACGGCGCCAAGTGTGGGAGTTCCAACTTCTCATCGCCTCTACTCTTACAGAAGATCCACTCCGCGGTCATGGCGTACAGTAGCCTGCTATCACTCGCCGCTGGTGTCGGGAGCCATCAATTCTACTTTCACCATGGAGAGCACCACATGTACCCGATACTCTATCTCCAGCTCTTCACGCTTGCATGCATCGCCGGCGTGTTTGCGTTGGTCAACCTTGGCGATGCCAGCACTTCCGAGGCCATCTCCACCGTGGGCACCCTCTCCGTCTGCTGGTTGTCGGGCGTATACGGCAGCCTGTTGACATATAGATTGTTCTTCAATCCCCTCAACAAGATTCCAGGTCCCATCGGAGCGCGTCTGGGGGAGCTCTACTTTACCACCAAGCTCGGCGGTCAAGATTGCTACTATCAGCTGCAAAAGATCCACCAGCAATACGGCCGCTATGTGCGAATCGGAGCCAACACGCTCTCCATCGCCGACCCGGATATCATGCAGCCTGCGTTCGGCGCGAATGCCAAGATCATCAAAGGTGATTGGTATGATGGCAGCGCTCCGCACCACAGCATGCACATGACCAGAGACAAGGGCTTGCACGACCGGCGAAGGCGGGTTTGGGCGCCCGCATTCAGCGACAAGGCGTTGAGAGAGTATGAAGTGGTCGTACAAGAGTTCAACGACAAACTCATCCAACGCATCGGAGATTTCAAAGGCGGCGCGGTCAATGTCACCACCTGGTTCAACCTTTACTCGTTTGATGTCATGGGTCGGCTTGCTTTTGGGAAAGACTATGGCATGGTGGAATCGGGAAAGAGACATTGGGCGCTCGATCTCCTCAGCGAGGGTATGGAGATCAGTGCTTACAAGATTCCCACGTGGGTGTTTAGAATACTGATTTCCGTTCCGGGACTCGCTGCTGGATATCACAAATTCTTGAACTTTTGCTTCACCGAGCTCAAAGAGCGAGTTCAACATCCGGAAAAGACGGGCGGGAAGGACATTACCGGGTGGCTTTTGAAAGCATACGCTGGCGAGAAGCATCCCGAGAATGATCCGCTGTTGCAAGGCGATGCACAACTCATCATTGTGGCGGGAAGTGACACGACTGCCGCAACATTGACATATCTCTTCTATCACCTCGCCCTCGATCCGAGTCAACAGACGAAGCTGCGTGAGGAACTCAAGCCACTGACACATGGCGCATGGAGCGATAAGGATATTCAGCACGCAGACCACCTCAACGGTGCAATCAACGAATCTCTGCGCCTCCATCCACCAGTTCCTTCGGGTCTCTACCGACAGACGCCGAAAGAAGGCACGCAAGTTGGTGATGTCTTTATCCCCGGCGAAGTCGAATTCTTTGCGCCGTTATATGTCATGGGCAGAGGTATGTTGCATGTCTGCTTACATTTGATCCTGCTTGACTGACACTGCCCACAGATGAACAGATCTACACGGATGCCAACTCTTTCGTGCCCGAACGCTGGTACTCCAAGCCGGATATGATCAAGCATCCCGATGCCTTTGCTCCCTTCTCCATGGGACCCTTTAACTGCATCGGCAGAAATCGTAAGTTCATAACYCTGCGCGAGATGTGTATTGCAATGCTGATAGATGGATGTTTGTTACAGTTGCTCGCATGGAACTTCGAACCCTCACAGCACAGCTTCTACTCGCTTATGATGTCTCTTTTGCGCCTGGGGAGGATGGAACTAGACTTTTGACCAAGACCAAAGATCACTTTACGCTGAGTTTGGGACAGTTGGATTTGGTGTTTACTCCGGCGAGTTGATCGGAGCGGATGTATACAGATATCCATCAATGGGGTATGAATCAACGCTTGTATGCATGCATATTGCGGTCGAAATTGAAGATCGCTGGCTCTCCTGGTAATCATCGATTCATGGACGAGCAGCATTGCGGACAGCCAGTTCTGTTGTCGAAGGATGTCTTCTCGATCGTGCTGTGCCGTTGCTCTATAGCAAGAGAGGTGTCTCCAATCGCAGGATTTCCCCGGCCCTGGGGCAGTTCACGGGGAAAACTTCGTGAATATGGCATCCTGGGAATATCATCTTCCATACGACCAGGACTCATGGCGCAAATCAGAGACATGAGCTAGCGTTGGACGTGTACCAGCCAGTCGGAAGCAGTGCATCACTTTCGAGGAGCTTCCCCACAAAATCGATCGGCGCAGGAACTGCTCTTTCCCTCCTTTGCCGTGCCGATGAGGTGAGGGTCGTATTTCCGATATTTCCGACTGCACGGAGTATTCCCGACCTGCACGCGCGAAAACGCGACCTGATGTTCTCCCACCTCGGCAATCGCTACCCCATTCTCTCTCTAGCTATGATGATCCATACATACATGTAGAATAWCGTAGACATATCCTCCATATCAGGGCTGAATTCAACTCCTTCGTTTTCACCTTTACATATTCACTTCTCACTCCAAGCAAGCTCGTCCGCCCATCATGGCAACAAATCACCTCACCAAGATACCCTTCTCCGACCCACCTTACCTATTGGGCATGCCCTCCCCATTCTACCAAGAAAAACACCTGAGATTCCAAAAAGCCTGCCGAGCATGGATGGAAGAGCACTTCGTGCCCTTCCACATGGACTGGGAAAATGAAGGCAACCTCCCGACAGACCTCTTCGACAAATTCAACAGCTACAACATGCTAGTCCCCAACCTCCCCTCCCCTCTCCCTGTTAAAGAACTACACGCCCAAGGCATCAAAGACATTCTCGGAACCCCCGTCGAAGAGTGGGATTACGTGCACTCGGGCATCTGGATCGACGAGGCGCATCGATCCGGTCTCGGAGGTCCGACCAGTGGTCTCACGGCAGGATTCGCATACGCCATTCCTCCCATCATCAAGTACGGCTCACAAGCGCTCAAGGATAAGTTTCTTCCGGATCTGTTGACGGGACGTAAGAGGACGTGTATTGCGATTACGGAACCCGGGGCTGGAAGCGATGTGGCGAATATTGAAACTACGGCGGAGAAGAGCAAAGATGGCAAGGTTTATATTGTGAATGGAGCGAAGAAGTGGATCACGAATGGGATTTGGTCGGATTACGCCACCATGGCTGTGCGGACTGGTAAGGAGGCGGGAGCAGCGGGGTTGAGTCTTTTGGTCGTACCCCTCAAAGCTCCGGGGGTGGAGATGAGGAGGTTTACAGTGACGGGGACGAAGACGGGTGGTACGACGTTTATTGAATTGGACGATGTGCGGGTGCCGGTGGAGAACCTTATCGGCGAGGAGGGCAAGGGGATGTTGTATACCATGACCAACTTCAATCACGCGAGTCTCCTCCTTGCCCTGTGAGGATATCCATACGCTGACTTTGATGGCTCTTGCAGGAACGATTGATGATATCCCTCGCGACGACTAGACAAGCCCGCACGGCTCTCAGCACTGCCTTCGCCTATGTCATGAAGCGGGAAGCTTTCGGCAAGGCCATCATCGAGCAGCCTGTCGTCCGACATCGCCTTGCCAAAGCCGGAGCGGAATTGGAGACGCTGCAGAGTTGGCTGAATGAATTTCTGTACCAGATGAATCATTTGCCGAAGAAGGATGCGGATTTACGATTGGGTGGGTTGACTTCTTTGGCCAAGGCCAAGGCGGGCATGGTGTTGAATGAGTGCGCGCAAGTGGGCGTGTTGTTGCACGGGTGAGCACTCCGGACCGCTTGAGACACGCAAGATGAGGACCTCTGCTGACAGGATGACATAGTGGCAATGGCTTTACAGAAAGTGGACAGGGAGAGCTGGTGGCCAAGATCTACCGCGATGTTTTTGGTTCGAGGATTCCGGGAGGTTCTGAGGATGTGAGTCGCCCTTTATACCTGTTTCCTTACCTCCTCTTCGTTTTGATTGGAATGCTGACTCTGAACTCTTTCTTTCCAAATAGGTGATGCTTGATCTTGCAATCCGACAATTGTTGAAGAACTACCAACGAGCTACGAAGGAGATGGAGAAGAGTGGAGGGGCCAAGTTGTAGAAGAGTATGTCATATCATAGCATGTATGCAAACTGGTCAATAAATGGCCTTGCTGAGAATCGGGCATTTCCTTGGACAATCTCCTTGAAGTCGTGTAGCATGCTACATGTATTGCTGCAGCGACATGGTGGTTGGCATGTGAAGGTCTTTTGAGTTTGGGCCTCGAAAAAGTACGTTGGCTTGGAAGGCGATGTTTCGGTAGCCGGCAAGTGCGCTCAAGGCTCAGCCCTAACTACAAGCATCGGCCCCATAATTAATTCCGCATCTGCATCTGCAACTCGCGACCTTGACGATCCTGTGCTTCCAATCATCACACCTCATCGCCCTCGATATCGCCGCCCGTCCAACCCTCTCCCCGACCTTTACTCCGCTCACTCTTCCGGCATCCACCATCCTCGCGCCTTCCCTCCATCAGCGCACCGCCATCGTACGCGCGCCACTTCCCCATTTCGGGCGCGCTTGGGCGCTGCGCGTCTCCCTGGCCACGGACACCACCACCACCATCAACCTCACCTTTTACGCCATCAGTCGCATCGCTGCTCGTGGAAGAGGTAGGCTGGCTATTGCGCGTCCCGAGTCGCTGCAGTGAGGGCTGATTGGCACGGCGCGGGGGATTTGATTGTCTTGGAAAAGGGACGACCACGAACACGACAAGGACAAGGAACCACTTCATACACTCCCATCATGGCCTACGCCAATGACCCGATGATGGCCATGGCCGAGGAGGAGGAGGAAGAGGTGTACGGAGAGGACAACACCGTCACCGCCGAGGACTGCTGGACCGTCATCCATTCCTTCTTCGAGACCAAGGGCCTGGTTTCACAGCAGCTGGATTCCTTTGATGAATTCGCCAGCACCACAATGCAGCAGATTGTCGACGACCAGCCCGCCATTGTCATCGATCAGAACATCACTGCCATGGACGAGGACAGCGGGATGCCCATCGTCAAAAAGCGATCCAGCATCAAACTCGGCACCCTCACCGTCAGCCAGGCCGCCATGACCGAGGGTGATGGCAGCACCCGCGCCTTACATCCCCACGAGGCTCGCTTGCGAAATCTGACCTACTCTTCACCCATGTTTATTAAACTGCACAAGAAGGTTGAGTTTGCGCGCGAGCGAGCTCTCGGTGGGCACGAGGAAGACGGCGTGTGGGTTCCGCCTCCAAACTGGGATGGAATTGTCGAGACGGTGTGGGAGGAGGACCCGGACAACCCTCCGCAAACAATCGATCAAGTCTTCATCGGCAAGCTGCCCGTCATGCTCAAGTCGAAGATCTGTGCGCTGCGAAATCGAAGTGAAGCCGAGCTATACGCATTCCAGGAGTGTCCGTTAGATCAAGGCGGCTACTTTATCATCAACGGTAGCGAAAAGGTCCTCATTGCACAGGAGCGCAGTGCTGCAAACATCGTCCAGGTATTCAAGAAGAAGGGCACCAACACACCCGTCATTGCGGAGCTGCGCAGTGCTGTCGAGCGAGGCACGCGCTTGATCAGTTCCACCACGGTAAAGCTCTACAATCAGGCGGTCAACGCCAACAACCCCGGTCAAACAATCAAAGGCAGTCTGCCATACATCAAGACCGACATCCCCATCGCCATCATATTCCGAGCGCTGGGCGTTGTGTCGGATGAGGACATTCTGAATCACATTGTGAACAAAGAGGATACCCAAATGCTGGAGATGCTCAAACCGTGTTTGGAGGAGGCTTTCGTGGTGCAGGATCGGGACAACGCTCTTGATTTCATCGGCCGCAGAGGGCAGCAAACTGGTACTAAGGACCGCCGAATCCGATACGCGAGGGACATTATGCAAAAGGAGTTTCTGCCTCACATTTCTCAAGAAGAGGGCAGTGAGACGAAAAAAGCATTCTTCTTGGGATACATGGTGAACCGCATGCTGCAGTGTGCTCTGGGTCGCACGGAAGAGGACGATCGAGATCATTTCGGTAAGAAGCGACTGGATCTTGCCGGTCCACTGATGGCCCAGGTCTTCCGTTTGAAGTTCGTGCAGCTGGTGAAGGAGATGAAGCTGTACCTCCTCCGCTGTGTCGATGGAGGAAAGGACTTCAACATCACCCTCGCGATCAAAACGAACATTCTCACCTCTGGTCTGCGATACTGTCTTGCCACGGGTAATTGGGGTGATCAAAAGAAAGCCTCCAGCGCCAAAGCTGGTGTCAGTCAAGTGCTGAACCGATATACCTACGCCTCCACACTTTCCCATTTGCGGAGAACAAACACACCCATCGGTCGTGATGGCAAGATTGCCAAGCCGCGACAACTTCACAACACCCATTGGGGTCTCGTGTGTCCGGCAGAAACGCCGGAAGGACAGGCTTGTGGGTTGGTGAAGAACTTGTCGCTCATGTGCTACGTCTCGGTGGGAACACCTGGCGAGCCATTGACAGACTTTATGCGACAGCGCGGCATGGACCTGTTGGAAGAATACGATCCCGTTTTGGAGCCCAAGTCGACCAAGGTCTTCATCAACGGTACTTGGGTTGGTGTGCACAAGAACGCTGGACAACTCACCGAAACTCTGCGATCGCTACGAAGAAAAGGCCTGCTCAGTTTCGAGGTCACCATCATTCGTGACGTTCGAGAACGCGAGATTCGAGTCTTCACCGATGCTGGGCGTGTTTGTCGGCCGCTGTTTGTGGTCGACAACAAACCCGACTCGGCAGATCGCGGCAGTCTGGTGTTGAAGCAAGATCAGATTGCAAAGCTGCATGAARACGAGGCGGCAGCGGCTTCCCTCCGTGGTATTAGTGAAGAGGACAGGGCCGAACATACCTACGGCTGGATGGGTTTGGTCCGCGATGGTGTGGTGGAGTACCTCGATGCGGAAGAAGAAGAGACCGCCATGATCATCATGACTCCCGAGGATCTTGACGAGCACAGAGCGCTTCGCTCGGGCGCAGAGTACGATGACCCGAAATCCGATCCGCATCGACGTATCAAGCCCAAGCCCAATATGCAGGTTCACACGTGGACCCATTGCGAGATTCATCCTGCCATGATTCTGGGCATCTGCGCCAGTATCATTCYCTTCCCTGATCACAACCAATCCCCACGTAACACTTATCAAGTAAGGCCATCACATCCTCCTCATGCCTTCCAAAATGTCGTCGCTAACCAAGTCAACAGTCCGCTATGGGTAAGCAAGCCATGGGTGTAACGCTCACCAACTACAACGTTCGCATGGACACCATGGCCAACGTGCTATATTACCCACAAAAGCCACTTGCCACAACAAGAAGTATGGAGTTCTTAAAATTCCGAGACCTCCCCGCAGGTCAAAACGCCATCGTCGCCATTTCATGTTATTCTGGCTACAACCAGGAAGATTCCGTCATCATRAACCAGAGCAGTATCGATCGTGGTCTGTTCCGTTCCCTCTTCTACCGAGCATACATGGACCAGGAGAAGCGTGTCGGCATGAGCGTTGTTGAATCCTTCGAGTGCCCCACTAGGACTGACACGATGAAGATGAAGCAAGGCAGCTATGACAAGCTCGATAATGATGGAATCGTCTCTCCTGGCTGCCGTGTTTCGGGTGGAGACATGCTGATTGGAAAGACTGCGCCCATGGCACCTGATGCGGAAGAGCTCGGCATGAGGACCAAGATGCAGTCGAAGCGTGATGTCAGCACGTCTTTGAGATCTACCGAGAACGGTGTTGTGGATCAGGTCCTCCTCACCACCAACACCGARGGTCTACGATTCGCCAAAGTCCGGACAAGGGTTACAAAGGTGCCACAGATTGGTGACAAGTTTGCCTCTCGTCACGGACAAAAGGGTACCATTGGTATCACCTATCGTCAAGAGGACATGCCTTTCTCCGCCGACGGTCTCACTCCGGACATCATCATCAACCCTCACGCCATTCCCTCCCGTATGACAATCGCCCATTTGATCGAGTGTCTTTTATCGAAAGTTGGCGCTCTCCAAGGTCAGGAAGGTGACGCAACGCCTTTTACCGATGTCACCGTGACATCCATCTCGGAGATTCTGGCAGACCACGGTTTCCAACAGCGCGGCTTCGAGGTAATGTACAACGGTCACACGGGTAAGAAGCTCAACGCACAAGTCTTCCTCGGACCCACCTATTACCAACGTCTCCGACACATGGTCGACGACAAGATTCACGCGCGTGCCCGTGGTCCCCTGCAAGTTCTCACCCGCCAACCTGTCGAAGGTCGTGCTCGAGATGGTGGTCTTCGATTCGGAGAAATGGAGCGCGACTGTATGATTGCACACGGCGCTTCCGCTTTCCTGAAAGAACGATTGCTGGACGTCAGTGACGCCTTCCGGGTGCACATTTGTGAGATTTGCGGCTTGATGACGCCCATTGCGAGTATCAAGAAACAGCAATTCGAGTGTCGTCCGTGCCGGAACAAGACGAAGATTGCGCAGATTATCATTCCTTATGCGGCGAAATTGCTGTTCCAGKAGTTGGCTGCCATGAATGTTGCTACGAGAATGTTTACCACGAGGAGTGGGATTAGCATTAGATGATGAAAGAGGAATCGCTTTGAGGAGAGATGGGAGATGGAGAGGAGGTTATGGAAAATGCATGCATGCGTGAGGGAGCGGGATGCGGGATGCTGGATGTTTTCTGGCATTATCAAATGTAACATCAATCAACAACATGGAGGGTCATTGGGCCTTTTTTGCTTCAAAGTGGAGATTCGAATATTTCCAATCGCATCGCATCGCTGTGGTCTTGTTCTTTTCTGGTGTTGTTCCATCGTGTTGTGTCTTTGAATTCAGTGAATATGATTATGATTTAAATGCTGGGATAGTTAGGGTTAGGGTTGGGGTAGTAGAGATATGTAAGTCTTCGGATCGCTAGAGAGGTAAGCWGTTCTTCACAATACTGTCGAATTCCTTATGGATTTCCAGGAATATTGCTCGATAATTAGGGAGTGGTAGACACATGTAGCGAGTCGTAGATTGGACACAAGCGTATCTGAAAGCATCAGCTGTTTACCTCTTACAGTTTCTCTTCATTCCATAACCCTTGGAACGAACTCTGTTGCTGCGCTACCAAGTGTCGGGGATACCAAAGCCTTCCGGATCTCGTTATAGTGAATCGATGACGAGACTCGCTAATAGGTGGCTATTAGGTAGCATGAAATGGAGTAGTCTTGTGAGAGTCAAATATCTTACACTGATAACGTCCTCTTGTTCATGCAGTCAGTCACTCACTACTGCAGACAGCGTGAGATTTTCGATTGTTGCAGTAGGTAGGGCGAAAATCTTCGATATAACCAGGCCTTACACCTTCAATCAATTCAAGCAGAGAATCGAAGAATAAGGTGCCTCTACCATTGACAACGCCAGCGGGCCCATGCCCAACCAGCCTTTTGCACTCCCAAGTATGTRATTACCAGGACATGATGAATCTTCAGACTTCTACATGATTAAACAAGACCATCCACTCTCCGCATCCCGCTCCAAATCAAAGACTCGCTCTTCTACCCTCCTCACACTCTTCTCATAGTCTCCTAAATTATTAGCCGCATCCTCAATCCTACTCCTCAAGCCCTGAATTTCATAATCGAGCTTCGCGGCCAGACTTTCAATCTGCTTTCCGCCTTCCTCGAATCGCTCCGTTTCATCCCTCATCAAGGTCTCCGAATGGGACTGGAGATCCCGCACCTCTGCTCGTCTCCGTTCCAGCATTGCGCCCAGCGCGTCAATATCGGAATCTTGCTGGGGTAGGAGTTCGGAAGTGAGATGCTCAATCTGGGCGGCTGTGAAGGGCGCCGTGTCGGTGTGTAGGAGAGCGATGAGATGTCGAAGATGCTTTGCTTCGGCTGCCGTGCATCTCTCGGCTGCAAGTTCGGCGTTGAGAGTTGGTGGTGGGGAGAAGGGATCTTCATTGTCGGAATCTGATAGTGAAGGCCAGTCGAGCACGGAAGAGGATACCAGGGAGAAGGAGAGATGGCGTGAGTAGCCTGCTTCGGTTGTGTGTGCTTTATCATACAGTGGATCGGATGCTGTGCGACGCAGGAGATTTGTGATTTCTACTTCTGTTTCTGGGCCTGATGGAAGTATTTCGTTCAAGTCAACCCCTTTGTAGAGGGATCCTCTGATGGAGGGTAAGACTTCGCCGGAGGAGGAAGCGCCATGGTTGCCATTCTCAGAAGAGACTTTTTGCGGGTATTGTTCGACACCGACCTGCTGATTACGGGAAATCGTTGCGGCAGGAGGAAGATCTTCCATGGAACTTCTGACAGGGATCTGTGGAATCGACTCGTTTGTGATAGTCCGCTTTCTTCCAAGAATTCTACCAAGCCGCTCGGTCTGATGAGCAGCTGCTGGAACTGGTACTTCATCCTTGCCATTGGTATATCCTTGTGGGCTCTCGGGACTACCCAGAGGACTCGTATGAGAACGGCGAAGCAGTGGTCTTTTCTTGACATCTTTGTCAACGGGAGAAGCAGGTACTGACTCATCAGTCGACGGTTTGGCCTTGTGGCCTCGAAACCCTACAGCACCCTTCACCTTTCCCAGCCCACTTTTGGCATCATGCCGCAACGTGTTGGCACGCTTGAAAACTGACTGCATCGCTCCCTCATCAGTCTCATTCTCCTCTTCGCCAGGCGTAGCATTGAGGTCATCATATTGCTGTTGCGGGTCGTGCGGCATGCCCTCGACGGTGCTCTTTCGCGCTGTCCAAGTGAAGCCACCATGTTCATCGGAGCGGAATACCAAGCCTTTGCCAACTAGTGGAGCATCTTGGACCTCTTCTGGAGCCCGCTCGATGTTACCGTCGGACAGCTTCGATTTTTTCATTGGCCTTCCCAACCATAGCCACTTACATCTATCGCCATAGACCAATTGTGCGAAACGGTCAATATCGACAGTTTCAATCTCGGCAATTCCAGCTCTGTCACGCCTTCCGACAGCATCCATGACCATTTCGCCACCTTTGCCACTCAATTCCGCAACAGTGGACTTGACAGCTTTTGGAACCGCCCATCTCTCTTTATGTGCAGCTTTTTGGGTCGTTTTATGCAAATGCTTCAATGTCCTTCGATCCAGCCGCCTCGTACGCGGAAGGCGTTGATGCTTTTGGTAGCTTCCAATACCACGCTTCATGGATTCCAGATCGAATGGATCTTTCGAGACCGGGGCATTCTCAGCATGAAGACGATTCCTTGCACCCATGAGGAGACCCAGAAGAGCGGCAACGGTAGTGGGACCTAGGATGCCGTCGTGAGGTTCTATGTTATACTGCTCAGTTCCCAGCTCTACCCACCAGTCATTGATGGCTCGTTCAGTGACATCACAGAGGAGGCCGTCGGCGTAGTCTATCTCAAGCTCGCCGAAAAGKGTCAGTGCGCGTTGGCAGAGCTTTACTAATTCCACGACCGCCTTGAATGCCTCATTCTTGTCACTCGTGCGATACAATTGATGAAACTTGGCAACAGTAGCGACCGCAGGTGGAGCAAGAGTAAGACCCACCCGGCCAGAACAACCCAGGCGTTTGAGATTCTCACTAACAACAAAGTTGCATCGATGTTTGACAATGTCTCCTTCTGGGACTGGTATTACCGTGAGTGATGAAGGAAAGCCCGAGAGATTAGTCACCATGAGAATTCCAAGCGGCGTGTCGCGTCTCCGTGCGTGATATTGATTGAGGGCTTTGAAGTACACTCGTAATCGCATGGACCACGTGCTCTCATCGGTGGGCACACYCAGTACTCCCACGACGATGGAATGGGATTGATCACCGGTATATGTGGTGACGACGAAAGTCGGATGGGATCGAGAGGTGGTCCATTGTTCGACAATGTAGCATTCATAGCCACGTAATATGCGCCGGCGAGCGAGGACCGTGGTGGATGGGTCTTCTTGGAGATAACGAAACGCAACGGAATCCGTAAGAACAAAGCGTTGCTGGCCAGGAGTTGCTTCGGGGACGTCTTCKTGTAGATCTCGGTGSWMGYC